TCGAGTCCTATCTCCGGATCTTTGTCGGAGAGCGTCAGGACGACTGGGCTCGCCTCCTACCTATGGCGGAGTTTGCGTACAACAACCGGGTCCATGTGTCCACTTAGCAGTCACCCTTCCTCCTGGATACCGGCCGTCATCCTCGTCTCGGGTTCGAACCTCATCAGCCACCGTCTCGGATGGAGTCCGCAAACGAGTTCGTAGACCAGATGAAATCCGCAGTCGACGAGGCTCAGTCCGCATTGGTCAAGGCTCAGGACGACATGAAGCGCTACTGCGATCAGCGTTGGACTCCCGCTCCGGAGTACCAACCGGGTGACAAGGTCTGGCTGGACTCGTCGGACATCAACCTTGCCCGACCCTCCCGGAAACTCGGACACGCACAACTCGGTCCTTACAAGGTCGTCCGGAAGGTTGGCAAGGCAGCGTACCGGCTCCAGCTCCCTCCGGGCTTATCCTGTCTCCATCCCGTCTTCCCTGTGGTCAAACTCTTTCCCTTCGTTCCGGACCCCATCCCAGGTAGACGCCCTGTCGCTCCGCCCCCTCCGCAGCTTGTTGACGGAGAAGAAGAGCATGAGGTAGAAGAGGTCCGAAATAGCAGACGGTTCGGTCGGGTCCTGAAGTATCTGGTGCGCTGGCGAGGCTATGGTATTGAGCACGACTCCTGGGAGCCCGCGAGCAACCTCCAGCATGCTGCCTGGAAGGTCAAGGACTTCCATGATCGTCATCCGGACGCAGTGCGCTCACTCCGGACAAGTCCGACGAGTCCGACGACTCCCACACCGCTCCGGATGTGTAAGGGGACACTCCTATTTTCTCCTATTCCCCCTGTCTGCCCCCTTCCTCCTCGTTCCTTTCCCCTTTCCTTCATCCCCTTTCCTTTCCTTTTGTCCCCTTACCTTTCCGCTTCCCTTCCGTTCACTCCCTTCGCATCCGAGCCCCGTCCGGTGACTCCGAAGTCTTCCCGCACTTCGGACTCGCCTCGGACTCGCTCAGACGCTTCGGACTCGCTCGGACCCGTAGATACACTTCGGGGCTCATCCGGGCTACCTCTATCCTCCTTTCCCACTTCATTACTCCTTGTCCCCACTTCCCCCAGGTCGCTGGCACGACTCCTGTACATTCCCCTTCCACTTCATTATCACATGCCCCCTCGTACCTTGTGATATTCGTTCGTACCTGTGGCTGGTGTACTGTACAGTTACCCTTCATTCCTCCCATGCTACTACAGTATATACTTCGCTTCCTAGCATGGAGAATCCCCATCCTGTTCTCTTTGGATTCTCCCTCTGCTAGGTGAGCAGCTCTCTCATGTATTGTAGTTAGTCTTATTCATTTCTTTGGATTCTCCCTCTGCTAGGCTTGCACTGTGCGGCTATCTTGAGGTTGCCCTTACAGGATGACTCCTACAGTGCTGGACCAGTCCTGGGAGCGTTGGCGCAGTCGGAAGGCTCCGGGCTCTGTGCAGTCGTACTTTGACATCTTCTCGCAGCAGTCCGGAGTTTCGGGGTTAGTGAATTCGTGGCGTGGCAGGCAGGAATCTTCGCGTCGGGTCGCCGCAACCTTGAAGGGGGGGTGATGTAAGGGGACACTCCTATTTTCTCTCCTTTCCTTCATCCCATGGACTCTTACCTACATTCCCTTCGTTCCCTTTCATTCCTTTTCGCTCCCTTTCCTTTCCACTTCCTTTCCACCCACTCCTTTCGCATCCCAGCCGCGTCCGGTGACTCCGGAGTCTTCCCGGACTTCGGACACTTCGGACTCGCTCGGACTCGTCTATACTCTTTGGGGCTCGCTCGGACTCGTCTATACTCTTCGGGGCTCGTCCGGGTTACCTCTATCCTCTTCCCCCACTTCATTACTCTTCGCCCTTACTTCCCCAAGTCGCTGGCACGACTCCTGTGCATTTACCCTCCACTTCATTATCACATGTTTCCTTGTACCTTGTGATATTCGCTCGGACCTGTGGCTGGTGTACTGTACAGTTATCCTGCATTCCTCTCACGCTACTACAGTATATACTTCGCTTCCTAGCATGGAGAATCCTTATCCTGTTCTCTTTGGATTCTCCCTCTGCTAGGCCTGCGCTGTCGGCCATCTTGAGGTTGCCCTTACAGCGCCCTCCTAGCCCTGCGGTGTCCCGATTTCAGAGAGAGCAAGGTGAGAGGCGGGCTCCGCAGAGGAGCCCGCAGCGAAGACTTAGAAGGACAAGTGACGGAGAAGGAACTAAGATTCAGAGTAGAGAATACATGTCTACTAATGCTACTATAAATACTAACTAACACATGTATGTAGTGAGGCTAGTATGTAAGTACACATGTACATGAAACATGTAACAGATGAATTCCAGTGCTGCGCACCATGCATAGACCGTGAGGGCGGAGCCTGAGGGGCTCCGAGGGTCCCAGTATCCGAAAAGGGGCGTAGGGGGGACCCCTAAGGGGGCGTGAGGACTGGTATATGACAACTGGGGAACACGCAGCGTCCGCGCGTTCACGAAACAGCAATGAGTCCGGTCGTAATAACTACAGTGTGCTCGAATATGTACTTAGTCCGTAATCTGAGAAGTCCGCGTGGCCGCGTGTATGCGCGGCCCGAGCCCATAGTCGGGAACGCATGTGGATGCGCCCCTAGTAGCCCCTAAGGGGTTCCTTGGATGCGCCTATAACATTGGATCCATGTATGCATTTAGTTTATTAACATCACCCTAACATTTGAGGCGATAAGATTGGCATGGAAGTCGAGCATTTGTGAATGCTGCCTGCAAAATTGCCCACACCGAGTTTCTCACATATGTTTGCACACTCTGAATGCTGAGAGAGAAAAGGCTTCTCTTTGCTGGTAACAGCGGGGTGTGGACACTGCTAAGACTAACTAGAGGAACTGGTTGGAGGCAGTTGGGGAATGCCGGAGAACATTGCAGAATAGAGGACAAGAGATATCAAAGGCACAAGGCTCATCGCCCATCCAATCGTCGCACTTTGCTGGGCAGATGAGTTGTGCCATAGTTTTGGCTGAGGCCCAATCAGGCATTGAATGAAAGTGATCACCCTTATACGCGCCAGATTTTTCCCATGTAACTTTTACCAACGACAGCCAAACTCTATTATCGTAATGCCAGCAAGAGGAGAATAGCAGGTGTGAGCGGCACTAACTGTGTAGCAACCAGACCGCTCGTCAACCCACACCTATAACAATTCATCTTCTTAAATGCCCGAAGATCCTGGACGGACGAATATATCGGAACGGCGGACCCTGTACAATCGCTTCCTCTATTTGCACCGTGCAGCGAAGGGGAGTTGGTATAGCATGCAGTTACTGGAGCTCGTGAGGAAACTCGGTATTTCATTACTGTAGGCGGGTAGGGGCGTGTACACTCTCCACCCGAGAACGGCTGGGATACACAGTCGCCTCTGTAGTTGGTCCTTCACAGTATAATGAGGCCCAGATAGCTGAAGCCTTGGGTGGGGGTGGGCGACGCTAACAGTTCATAAGCATGGTATTCGCGGTATTAGAAAATTCGTAATTTTTACTTCAATCAAGTCCCTGGCCTCTGTGTGACCATTCCTCGGAACCAGCACCAGTTCCCCTGATGCAGCATGGCCTATGATCATGATAGATTTAGCCATATCTGATCAGTGTCTCAAGAAACGTCGCAAAGTGATGATTCCCGAGATCTCGGGAGAGAAAGCGAGAAGGAGGGGCCTTCTGCGCTGAGCCGCGTTTCCAGTAGTTGTCGCCGGGTGGTTAGCAGCACATAGGACATGTACTGGCCATCCCCCATGTTACGGTCGGCTAGAGCAAGATACATGTCAAGTTCCAGGACTATGGGCCACCGAGTTGCATAAAAGGCGTCGCTCAGAGTCATAGCACCGGTTTGTTCGTCTTTCTCGTTTCGTTGGAGTTGGGTCATCCCGCCTTTTCGTGGTCAAGGTCGCGCACCGCGCTCTGATATACACACCTGGGTTTCTTGTCGTTACCGTAGGGGCAGAGTTCCGGGCAAGTCTACGGAGGAAATATAAGGAAGACAAAGGCCCGCCAGGTTGATGCCGTTGGCATCGACGCCGACGCGCGAATGATGTTGAAGTCGGGGCAGCTGTAGAAGCAGCACGTGACTATTCACTTTGTTAATGAGCGCTATCCCACGCTTGACTCAATGCCACCACCACGTTCGCGCGTCGCGGCCTTGGTGGATTTACATCAAACGACAAATACTGCTTGATGAGATGACCAACGATACGGCACCTGCTATCATCGTACCTCGAACTTCCTCTGATATCGCCGATGACAAAGACGTCTCCGCATCTTGTGTGTTAGTCTGACCTCTGGATGATATGCCTCCTTGCTTTTCTGTAACCATCAAGCCCGGCGCGGTGGGACAGTCAATGTGATGCCTTATCGCGTACTTGTGATATATCTACCTCCTTTCGACCCACTCGCTCTCTGCGACGTTAATCTCCTCTTCTCGCGATCGAATGGCTCAGATATCGAATCTTTGGTTTGAATGATGCCGGGCGCCCGGTGGGACTGGCGTGATGGTGAGATTGCTTGGACGTTTGGGTATGTAATTCTTCCGCCCTACAATCGGTATCAAAGATAATAACAACCGGGTTCCAAGGCATATGGCTCGTACCAAATATAGACCTGCGTGGGGTGAATTTTGGTGAGAAGGAGAAAGTAGTGGATCCGTGGTATGTGGATCAAATCAACCTTACGTGACTTAGCAAACCAGCTCATTCATACATCTCGTCATCTGGTGCATTCGCTGTTTGTTGACCCGCATGGCAAGGATTGGACCCCATCCATCATTTTCCCATGATGATGATGATTCACCGAAAGAATACAAGAAAAGACACTCGTCCGGACACAGTCATGATTGTCGTGGAACCCAGGGAAAACATCACCATTTTTGATATTCTAGTATGACCAATTGCAATAAGGTGAATATGAGAGATAGCATACAATACAATTCTAAATAGCTATAGTGGAAGTGAGTAGTTTTATCCCGCAAGACTATGAGAACCGTCACGATGATGATGGTGATCGCCGAGGCTCGTCACTGCGACGCTAAATCTTCTTGCCTTCGTTTCTTTGATACTCTCGTGGAGAGAAAAGGGAGCGAGTGGATGATGAGACTCTTTGAAGACATTGGGCGACGGCCTCATGTTTTCATCCAGGATATCTGGATGGCGAAATATAGACGCCGCGACAGCTGAATCATAATAGTCGAAAGGACTATCTTCGGCCGGTAGGGGAGAAACCACGCGGCCACCAATATAGTGGTCCAAGTCCGAGGTGAGGACTGAGCCTGGCGGACGCCTTCCTTGCTGTCTAGCACCAGTAACTGAGGCCAAGCTCATCCCCGTGAGCTCAGGGCCAAGAGAACACCCACTCCGACTCATGGGCTTGGGGTGCTTGAAGGGACAGCGTGAGGCATCCTGGCAGGCAGGCCACCATGCGCACGGAGTATATTTCATATCTAAATGAGTCAACCGTCAGTCTAACAGAAGGGACGTATTCGTATCTTGACACCACGTACAAGCTTGGATATCTCTGGGATGTAGATGCGGGCAGTTGGGGTCGTGGCAGTTCCCTCGCACATACGCCCAACAATGAGCCCGAGCCCTATCGACGGCGAAGCTGACCACAGAGCTGCGGCTTGACACACGAACATCTTCTGCTGGAAGGCTAAGGTCATGTATACTATCCACGCCTGTCAGATTGATTCCAGCAAACAATGAGGGTAGAGTACATACAAGTGGCATTGGCCAGCAAGCGGGCACCAGCCACCTCGGCTGATAAAGAAGCGACAGGGGACCGTCACCCATGCAATCGGCTCATACACAAGATCGGTACCCAGGTTCGGCTGCTGGAGTAAACGATCGCGAGCCACTTTCCCTTCGTTGGAAGGCGTCCTCGACGTCTCGCTTACGCGGCTATCCGAAGGATGTAAAAACTTGCAGGTTTCACCATAGGTACAATGGCCTCGAAGAAATTGTCGGCAATTGATGGGGATGATGCGTCCAGCGGGTCCGCGCGCAGTAGTCGTTCTGATCGAAGACATTTTTACGATTCGCAGTCAAGGCTTGGTTAAGGCGGGGGAATTCTGTTTTGGGGAATGTGGATATTCACTGATAGCTTCAAAGAAAGACCGTCGACGCGAGCGACCTCCATTTATACCCATTTTTATTGCCAACGCTGGCCACCATGGCCACCAGTGGTGGCCAATGGCTCAAAGCTGGTGGTCATGTGGTCGGGACTCAATCAAAGGAAAGGGGACGGCCACAACGAATAGTCCAATACCCGCAGAATTGGGTCCTTAGAAGGCCGTGGTTGCAAGATGCCACGATTTTGACGACGGTACGGTACGGCAATTGACAAGTGGGTGCGGGGGACCTACTACGTTGTATCCGTTCTTGGATGTGGTGCAGTGGCGCGGAGTTCGAAGCGCCCGGGTTCCAAAATTGGTGTTGCCGAATTCCCGCCACCGCCACTGCGACACGTTGCTGTGGCGAACCCGACGTCCACGCATGGATTCGACCAGGTCCGGTGGAGTTGGACGTCTCTGCTGAAACAGCCCGAGAGAACCTGGCCATCGTTTGGTCTTGTACGTGGAAACTAGAATAATCGGGTCCTTGGGGGTATCACTGGATCCCATCAGAATGCCGGGGAATTGGAGAATTGGCGGCATCCCATGGCATTGCACAGCGAGTGGAAGATGAGCGGAGTCCGCAGTAATCGTGTATTGCATGAGACTCCGCCTGCGTAAGTGGATTTGTCAGAGCGATAAAGTTGTACTGCATCAGCTCGATCAGACCTTGATGTGAGTTTGGATAGATGAAGGAGGGGTGGCGCGGAGGCAGGAGCTGGTCGTTAGGTTCAGTTGATTGCTGATAGACATCACAGCTACAAGATACTTCTTCAAGAACACCCTCGATCGTGCAGCAGGTCGACTTGAAGATCAAGGAGGCTAACATTCACTTGGAACACTCTGACGCTGACGAGCGGGCTTTATGAGTTTCCATGAAACTTAATTGACAAGGCCGCTCGTCGAATGTCCTAACAATAGACGCAATTCATCAGTCAAGCTCAAGGTTTGTAATTAAAACACCTAGGAGGACAGATGCGTATGGTATCCGCGTCGATATTACATTACGTTCCTACTGCCCAAGATATTGTAGTTAAGGTATATTCTAATAAGGATATCGAGTTAAAACAAAAAGGAGAGCGTAGAACAACAGAGATTACGAGGGAAAGCCGTGCGTAGATACAATGCAAATCATGATGGTCGTCGCGCAAATATAGCAAGGAGAGATAAACATGTGTCATTATGAAGGCATAGGCATGTTGGCAGCTTGAAGTGCAGCGACATTGCTGAGTACTTCGAAGCCTGGCATCATATGGTGCACCCGTTTCCTGGGCGGCAAAGCGGTAATGTCCTTAATAGAGATGTCAAAAGCTGTTTCAAAGCCATCAAAAAGGCGGCTGGCTTACTTCGCAAGCATATTGTCCATCTAAGATTCCAAGAAGAAAGAAAACAGAGATTTCAGTACGAGTGCACGAACTGGCGGATCAAACCATCTCACCTGGAAACTGATTGCCACGGTCCCAACTGCGTGAGTGCTTGCGGCTAGCTTTGGCAGATGGATCCTGGAAATAGTCGAATGGGGTTAGCGATAAGAACTACGGCGTGGGGTTGAGGGCTTACTTCGATATATGCCGCTTCATTGGCATAAGCGTTTTGTTGTGGGTCGCTTTCCGGCCAGCTCACCGGCCGTGGCCGTGAGGTCGTTGAATCTGCAGATGACGGCCTAGGTTCCTGGGTAATCGATTAGGAGGGAATGAATGGCTGCTTGATGCGGCGAAGACATACATCTACTTTGCTGTATCGGGGTGGACTTCGCCCATCCTCATCATCAGAGGCAGACGAATGCCTGGATCTGGACGTTGAGTGATGGCCTTGCTGCTGGGTGCGCACAAGTAGGGCGGCCACTGCCAAGAAGACATGAGAACGAATCAAAAGAGCGGCATCACCGGACATACTTATGTCGTCGCGTCGCTTTTCTGCAGAGACGACTGCTTGACGTGCTTGTCGCTCAACATCGAGACAGGCAGTGTATCTGAGGAAAGCGTCTTGTGTGTCCTTTGATGATCGAGTCAACGAAGCTCGAGCTGCCTGCAGGACTTGTTCTGGATGGACAGTTGATGAACATGTGCATGTCGAACGGACGGGAAATTGACATGTACGTACTGGAGGTGCTGGCCTCTTGTGTCAGTGTGTCTACGCCGAGTAATGATGGGGATTTGGATCCTCGAGGTGAGGAATGGGGGACATGGGAACTGGAGGCTTCTGAAGCGCATTCCACTATACAGCACCCAATCAACACGGTTGCTATACAATCACATGAAACAGGCCACTCACTTGGTCCAGATGAACGGTACTTTTGTGGGGGTGGCACGAAGGCAGATTCGGGCTCGGGGGACATGGAATCGACAGAACTTGCACGTATCTGGGTGGGTCGTTCACCATTACGGAGGCGAGGGTTGTGAGGGACTCCGGCTTTGTGGCGTTCGATGAATCCTCGCAGAAATGATAACTCGACATCGTCGGGCATGACATACGGAGGGCCTTGAATGTCGCCTTTCTGCATGAGCAGTTCGAGATGGGACATGGTCTTGTCTTTCAGCTGCTGAAGCCACTCGTGGAGCTCCATGTGATCCTGATCAGCGCGGGCATCGTAATCCTGGCGTCTCCGTGCCTTGCGCCAGTAGGTTTTTGTGAGTTTGAGGGCGCGATTGACCTCGTTGTCGAGGGTTCTGTACCATTCGCTTGCCTGACGGTTGAGTCGCACTGCGAGCACGCCAGGCTGGACACGGAGCTGCAGCTGGCAGCGTCCGTCGCGGTCCGGAGAACCAAGGACACCTTTCTGGCCTTGATTGCCACGAGTCGCGCCACGAGAAACGTTGCCCAATTCCGGCCAAGGGAGGTCATCCTGGGCAGACAATGTCATGATGGTGGTGAAGAGAAGAGGAGGAGTTGGGTAAGGGTCAGAAGCGAATCAGTGGGGAGGGCGGATGAGGATATGAGACTTTATGCATCGGGTTTTTAAGGTGGAGGAGTGTGCGCACGGGCACTGCCTGATGGGTTTTCTAATTTGAATCATCGAGCTGGTCAACATGTCGCCAACATGGTTTCAATTGCACATGTTTGCTTTTCTCCCGTTGCCTTCTCGAAGCGACAACTCCGGGCGGTTTTACTCACACATCTCAGAGTATCAGTGGGTCGCTTCCCACACATTTCTCGACTTGTGAATTTGACATTGCTCCATGCATTGGCTCGGTGTCACGTAGTATAATTATCAGCCATACGACTCCAGATGGCAGCCGGATCAGATGCCAGCCCGTTAGATCTCTCAGACAAAGGCGCACAGCTCCCGCCCGTCCCCCCGTAGGACCGCAAACAAATTTGAGCGATTCCTAGGGAACCAACCCCCTCCCCAACTTCATGTAGCAAAGCTGACTCCTTGCGCCAAGGGAGCGGCGTCGGAGAAATTGACTGCATTAAACGACAAATTAAGATTGTTGGCAAGAACACGGTGAGAAACATATCTCTTACTTGTGCAGGCGCTCCAGCGTACGTATTCTTTCCATGCATCACCGCCAGACTCACGCCCCCTGCCAGCAGAAGTTAGGGAACCATCAGTCAATCGGAAGTCACTAATGCGTTTACTCACCATCCAGTGCTCTGTAGAAGCAAGTTTGATCAAAGACGTGATTGATTAGCTTGGAATAAAAATATGAACCAGGTTGCAGGAACAGACAACTGACCTTGTTGCCTCCAAACGCTGCACCGATCTCGGCGCCACTGGTACCCACATTTACCTAGGTTGCCTATTTCGTTAGCGAGATAACACGGAGTTAAAACATAATTTCCAGCACATTGACAATTCCAGCGTCAGATCCCGAGGGTCCGATCCACTTCCCCACATTTCTCAAGTCGCGTGTCCAAATGCTACTTGAGAGTCCCTGTTACCACGATCAATTTTGATCAGTCGTTTCATCGCATGTCACAGAGAGAGGAATAAAGTACTTGTGGCACTGCATTGTTCCACCCGATGGCCTCCTCGAGATCATCAAATACAGCTGCGTTCAGAATCGGTGCAAACGTCTCCGTACTCCAGATTTGATCGGTTGGATTAGCAGACTTGGGTATCGCTATGGTCGGTTGGACGAAGTTTCCTGCGTCAAGCGGAGACTGCTCATAGCTCTTGCCACCGGTCACGATTTCGGCATCAATCTCTTTGAGGTGTTTGATAGCGTTGTGGTATATGCCAACTGCATCTTTCGTGTGCATGGGCCCCAAGAGAGTAGCAGAGTCGAGGGGATCACCCGGCACAACCGAAGCATAGAGTTTCTTGAGACGCCCCATGAATTCATCCGCAATTTGGCGGTGAAGGTAGAGCCGTCGTGTCGACGTACATCTCTGTCCAGCAGTGCCGACTGCGCCAAAGAAGACGGCAGGGACCGCAAGGTTGAGGTCGGCATCCGGCATTATGACGGACGCTGAATAATAAAACATGAATATCCCCGACATCAAAACGCAGATGCGAACCGACCATTGTTGCCACCCAACTCAAGAATGACCTTGCCAAACCTTGACATTACGGTCTTCCCGACAATTCTGCCAACGTGCTCACTTCCGGTGAACGACACTAGTCGAAAATCCTCGATAAGCATTAAATTGACGGCGTTTCTGTGGGATTTAAATTTACCCAGGTCAACGTCTTTGCTCTCTACTACAGCCGACCCGACGTCCTTTCCACCCGTTACAAGCCCGGCGACTGCACCAGGTATGCCATTCCGCTCCAGCACTCCCGAAACAATCCTTGTGACGGCAATGGAGCACAATGGTGTGGTGGGAGACGGTTTCCAAATCGTAGCGTTCCCAGCCGCCATTGAAAGTGCCAAATTCCTTGAATCGTCGGCTATCAGATTTGCACAGATGTACCACATGTGAGGAAACACTAACCAGCCATAAACCGCCACCGGGAAGTTGAAGGCCGACAGAACAGCGACAACGCCCAAAGGGTTAGGCACTAGAAATGCGTCAGTAATGGAGTCGAGCTGTTGGTGAGAGAATAAACCTTCTAAAATGGAGTGCCCCGGTCGTTCCGAGGCGACCACTCTGCCATTCATCATTCTAGACAAACCCACGGCATAGTCGCACTACCATCGAAGACATCAGAAGACGTTAGAAAGCGGGGATCGGACACCCTTACAATGTCAACAAACTCCTGGACTTCGCCTACTCCTTCCGTCCTTATCTTCCCCATCTCGAGAGATACAAGTGCACCTAGTTCTTCTCGCTGATGGGAGTATTAGTTCTGATCCCAATCCTAAAACCGTACTGTTGGGTACCTTAGCTCCTAAAGCTTCGCGAATCTGGCGCAACAGCTCTCCCCTGCGGGGAGCGGGGATGTTTCGGAAGAAGACATACGCCTCTCTCGTCTTCTCAAGGGCCTCGTGCAATTCTTGAGGCGTAGCCTATACCATTTCAGATTCATAGATTTACCAAAGGCTTAAACCCAGTAGCACTCACTGTCTTTACTCGAGCCAGAACTTCACCAGTAGTCGGGCAGACACTCTGCATCAGTTCACCCGACCCTCCCCATTTTCCGTCATAAACTCCCGACACCTCTGTTGTGGATGAAATTCCAAGCGAAGTCAAGATATCCGACGCTCGAGTAGAGAGCCCACGGCCAACGGGTCGCGCGCCCCTCAGAGCAAGGACTGTGTGACGTGCAAGAATCATCTAAGCGGTGTACAAGGTTCTGTTCAACAGTAACGCGTTGCACGAAATATTCTGCCTTCAAGCGTCGGTGTACTGTGATTCTTTCAACCTTGGTCCGAGCGAAGGATCCGCTCCGGGCACCACGTGCGAGAAAGCGTGATTAGATTAGATAATACGCACATGCTATGCAGAAGGCCGAGAAGAAGTAAGATTGACATCTTACTATCTAGTGGTAAGTGAGCTCTAACCTCACTCCGACGGCCGTTGTGGAAATAATGATGAACGTGTTTCACCTGCGCATCTTACTTGGTAGAATACTTCTCACTGACAAGCCGTGTGTCTGAGACATCGACGAACGAATGGCTTGGGTCCACGCGAGCGGCTAGCGAAATGGAGTTATGGAAGTATCCCCCAGATTCTGCCATCAATGTCCTTCACAACATTGCAAACTTTTCTGCTATTTTAATCAACAAATCTTCATGCTTTTGCCAGCGGTATCGTGTGGGACCTGAGGGTGGCCATATTGTCACTGCCCAATGCGGACTTGCTCGGATATGACATTCAGTCAAGCGAAGCGAGTGACATGGGATCTCTGTGAGTTGCGCGCAGTGCACAGATAACGAAATATCTTGGGGATATGAAAATTAAGAACGATTGCCGCCGTTTTTTGGTTACAGCGTGGCCCCCTGAGCATAATACGAGGTACCAGGTCCTCCTAGGACTCACACACTGCCATTTATCTTTGTTGTCAACGCTTCATGCAATTCGTCTCTTCCGCAACATACCACTGCGACTCCTGATGCGTGAGCACTGTCGTTTGGCTACCTTAACGTCACAGTCAATCCTGCCTTGCATATGTCGTAGGGAAGGTAGTTAATTGTCGGCGAGATCAATGGTTACAAGGAGCAAACCAAAACGACGTTTCAAGCGTCTAAATTTAACTATGAACAAGTCGCTAGGAGAACACTGAGAGGCGAAGATTTCGAAAGTGACAAGCCTGGGTAGCTTGCTGTTTGGGCTCCAAGGAATGCTTGGTAGACTTTGTTCCGCCGCCTCAGGCGAGAGTCTGGTGTTACGGCGCATCAGGCATCAATAGATGGGGCGATGGCGTTCCACGGAGGATGTAAGCACTAGCAATCATTTTCGAACCCAGCGAAGGAGGACAAGAGGGCAACGTCGTTGTATCTAATGGGCTAGAGCTGACGACCCGATCGAGGACAAAACGTTGCGCCATCTATAATTCCGCAAAGAAAGCGCCCTCTACGTTTAGCTGATTGCGTCCAATCTTCTTTTTCACGATCAAGGGGTCCTTCTGTAGTCGTTTGCGTTTCTTGGGCGCAGAAGCGAACTCTTCGCCTGAGCTATGATCGCTATTTCCGTCTTCGTTACTAACCTTCTCATCCATAGGAGTATGGACCTCCGGTGACTCTTCTTCACGAGCATTCCCATCATCATCGCCCATAGGAGCGGACGTTCCCATCAACTCTTCGGCTTGCTTTCCGTCAATCTCAGCAAAGAATCGCCCGAGGTCGGTCAACTTTAGGGAATCGTCGTAGCCAATGCTACCCAGCCACCAATGCTCTGTAGGGGTGCCATGTGAGCGCTCGACTTCAGGGCCGTCTGAATCGCCAGATGTTGTGCTGAGCCCTGATCGCGCGGGCACTGAGTCTCCGAGTGGCTGACCACCGCCTCTCCCTAATGCCATTTTTTCCACTGGAAAGTCCCCATGATCCGCAACAACTCCCAGTAATTTGGTAGGAAGAATCTCAACTGCGCGTATAAATCCATCAGATGAGCCCGTAAGAATAGCAGACCCCTTGTTATTCCGAAACGGAGCAGGGAGTGCAAGAAGGGTGTCCACAGACTGCGGGTGACTAGGTGTGAGGTGTCAATCGCTGCATGTTGTGTAAGTGGAGCGAGATGCGCTTGCCCTGGAACTCTGTCTACGCAGTCTCCCCATCCGGCACTACGATTGAAGATGGATAATATTCCAAGTTGTGTCCCAACTACGAATTTAGTTTCGCTAGTGAACATACTGAGTTAGTATTACGGAAAAGGGCGGTTTGTTGAAAAGGCGAGATTTGAACTCATATGGTAAATAGGTTATGACTAAATCAGCGTGCGGTTGCCTCAAGAGAGACTCATAAAACGAGTGCGAGAGTACCACAAGTATCCATAGAAGCATGATACGGGGGATTCGGAATTTTTGAGACGCACCCTATGATAGGAATGATAGATAGAAGTTCGTCCTCTTGATCCTCGGATTGCGCCACGGGTTTAGTTTGCTTTGAACGTACATCTATGACAGACAGTGTCCCATCACCGCTGTTGCAGTAACAACGCACGCGCCGAGTGGATCAGAACTAGGTGCGCCGAAATACAAGACCATACCTAGTCGTGACCAGCTGCTTCTTGCTATTGAGCCAAAGGAAATCTGTGATATAATCGAAGTGGTGATTATAAGACCTTATAGATTCATTTTTTCTTTGGTCCCAAATCTTCGAATGATGAGGCTCAGCATCCTGTCTGCTCTTCCGAGCAGTACGAAACTAACCTTGATGACGCCGTCATCATCGCCAGTGGCGAACAAATGGTCTGTTAGGACCTTGATACGGTTAATTGAGGCGCTAAAAGATAAGGTTGAGCTGCTTTCTATTATTTACAGTAGTAATGACAACCTACTTGTGGCTTCCGACTCTTTTGTCCGTCACTTGGCCTGATGTAGTATCAATCGCCCTGATCATATCATATATACAAGAAACTCAGAAAGGTTGTATTGCAGCACTAACGCTAAAGCCTTCCCCTTTCCACCGCACCATATTGTTCGGCCGTCGAGAGTAATGTCCAAACATCTGCAGGACTTTTTGAACGGTCGACTCGACCAAAGCTTTTTTGAGTTTCCGTAGTCATCGTAAGCATATGCGAGAACGCGACCTGATAGAAGACAAGTAAAGACTACAGCCTTTTCTGAGTGAAAAACAAGGTCAAAGGGATGGTCCGGCAAGGAAATGTCGAGTGACATTATGATTTTCTGAAGTTGGAATTAGTATGGGCGCTTGTATCTGGTGGTTGGAACCGGACTTTAAAATATTCAACCTTCTAAGTTCTCAGGGGTAAAGAATAATAGGGGCTGTGGAACCTGACTTGGTGCCGAAATCCATCAATCCAGTGGTGCACCACCTCCGCCGCGGCAATTAACTTCTCTTTGGGCATGTAAGTACCACCGCACAGTCCATCCTATGTGGCAAATCAGTGATCCCTGAGAATCGCTCAGAATGGTTGGCTTATTGATACAATGATAATCAACCATCGATGGCTTCTTCGAAGCATTATTTTAGTAAGTATGTTGACTATGTGATGTACGCGCGGGATCCAGGCACACGGAAGCCCACGGCCTGGTTCGAATGGGACCCACGCTATCACTGATGTTTCAAGTTGGAGGTGCCGGAGAGCAGAAATATCCCTTCATGACGCTGGGAGCTCAGAGTTGCAATCTTTTACCCACATGGAGGTTCTTCCAGGAGAGGCTGACGAGGAGGCGAAGCAGGTCATGATCGTATCATATGCTGTACAATTACATCAACGCATTGTGGACATACAGATAAAGTAGTGCAAATAGAGCTAGGGAAGTAAATGGCCAATATCAATAGTTAGTTAAGATAAAACAACATCATTGCGAACAGGACAACCGGTATTCAAAATAGCACAGGGAAACAGGGGATGAGAGCATCGCACGTAGGGAAGAGCTACTGGTCCGCCAACTCGTAATACGACCGAAACATGGATTCATTATTGAGCCCCGTCTCCCCGACCACCGAATGAACGTGGAGGAACAAGCGCGGATACCGTCGAGTGAAATAAGATAGGAAACCTTCCGGCATGGGTCCCAGGTGCCTCTTTACATTGTCAGGTAGGTCTTGGTAGTGATTTTTCTATTTCAAAAATATGGGTTAGTCGCGACCAAAGACAGCAACGAACTCGGAACCGACCTTGTTCCTCAGTGCCCGGAGCAAGTCTTGCACCGACTTGCCGTCGTATTTTCTAAACTTACCCAGGTTCTCGATGAAGAGCTTATCCAGTCGAGACAACCAGTCCAGCCCCACGACGCTGGATGCGTTGGTTTCCAGCGTAAGCAATGCTGGCTCCTTGGGATCACGACACATGATTTCGAATCTATCAGAAGCATCCTGGAGGAATGTGAGGCGGCGCCCTGGATCCCAGAAGAATGGGTGCAGAAGGCAAGTCGTTGTATCAGGCCTGACGCGGGTTTGATCAAGTTCACAACTTCGTATAATTAAATTCTCACCTGTTTTTAGCTTCAGGGTCGAGCATCTTCTCGATAAGGTCAATAGCTTCGGCGCCTTCTTCTCCAAACCGCTCAAGTCCTTCTAAGCATTTAGCATTCTTCATGATGTTGACTTCGCGTTCGAAGCGATCGCCATAAGGGTGTCCACCACTAGTGAGCGTATAGTAGTACAAACACCCTAATGCAAAGATGTCCACCGATTTGGTGAGTCGTGTCGGCTTCCCATGTGAGCTGGGTGTTGTTCCGCTATAGGAGGACGTCGGCGTTGCTACCGAGCCGCGAGAAGACATAGATTGATCATCTGTAGCAGACTCATCCAGTCTCACCTCGCCCCTCAGAATCTCTGGGGCACGCCAGCCAACAGTACCCGCCGCCATTGCCCCATGCGCAGTGGGAAGGAAGCTCGTCTGGTCCATATCCAGCTTTTTGCACAGTCCGAAATCCGAAATCAGCATCCGCCACTTCCCTCCTCGTACGCTCGAGGCCTGGCCTCCCTTGGCTGCGGAGACGAGGATATTCTGGGGTTTGATATCCCGATGAACCAGTTTCAGCGCATGCAGATGCCTGAGTCCACTGGTGATTTGTTTGAGCGCGCGTTTTGGATCGAAGGACACAGCAATTTCTTGCCATTGTTCTCGATCCGGGGCCTCTATGATATCGGCAAGAGAGGCGGGGCATAGCTCAAGGGCGATGTAGAGGAAGCCGCCGCTGGCTTCCTGATAGTAGTATCTGATGACGTTGGGATGGTCATCGGATTCCTGCAATATGGAGACTTCACGGGAAGCAAGAGTGACAAAATCGATGAGGAGGCGCTTCACAGCAACAGCACGTCCTTGCAGTGAACCGCGGAACACGACGGTACCGTGGGAGCCGAAACCTATCATTTGAGGTTCAAAGACAAAGACATCAGCACCCAACAGAAAGACTATATGGAAGAGCACCCACCAAGGACTGTGTCAGATACGGTAAGCGATGGGCCGCTAGAACTCTCCTTTCTTGCCCGTTCCATAACAATGCCAGACTGCGGTGCCTTCTCCTCTGCACCGTCCTGCTTGATGACTTCCTCCTTGGACGAATCAGACGCCGGCAGCACAACATTCACCTTTTTCTTCTTTCCACGTTTCCTACGTATGCCTTTCCGTCTGCCAGGTGTAGCGGGAGTCACGTCGCCGTCGTTGTCGTTGTCCATATCCCCATCGCCATCCTTGTCGCTCTCGTCTGCGTCATCTAACGTTATTTTGGGGTCTAGACGAGAGCCGTTCCCGTTCCCGTTCCCGTTTAGTTGGACAGCTGGATTGATGATAGGTTCTTTTGCAGGACCTGCATCAGAATGGGAAAGCTGTAGAGGTGATAATGTGGGTTCAAGATCCCGGGAGTTGGGGTGAGCAGTCACAAGGTTAGACGGGTCAGGTGCACTGGCTGAACCTGATGAGGGGGTCGAAGTACCACCCGAGATGGTGTCCGGGGTAACTTCCTGAAAGCGACCATGGTCCTTGGCTTTTCTCGAGTGTTCCCGCGGCCGTTTGCCTTTGACGTAACGCATCCACACACCTATCATACCGACCGCTCCTACCAAAATAGTGAATAAAAAGTCGGCATATCCCAGCCCAAAACCCAACCCCGCGCCCCCCGCACCGAAAATACCACGAGACGCCGCCGATGAGTTCAAGCCCTCGCGCGAAGGGACCCCTAGACCAAGGGGGCCGGCATTCCCGCTCCAGTACCTCCCAGAACGCCATATCCACCACGATCCCCCAGTCGCATTATTCCTAGGGGCCCCTCCGTGACTATCATCAGGGCCCGCACCTTCTATGAGCTCTACGTTGTGTGGGAGTTCATTTGGCGCGCCGGGCTGGGGTTCGACGCCGGGGACGCCGTCAAGAAGTCGCCTCGCGCGGTCCGTCGATCCACTCTCGAGTCTCCGTACACCCGTGAGACAAGAAGGATCCAGAACAAGCCTGCCTTGGTCAGAAGACGGGTCTGCGGCATAGCACCGCTGTCGCTCGCGATCCAGCTGTTCACGAAGCTTGCGGGCGCGGGTGATCGCGTCAACTTCAAGAGGGATCTCGTCATCAATTGCCGGCAAAGGTGGATCACTGACAGAAGGCGCATCCAGGTAGTAGCCATGTTCGGCACGGTTGCTGGTACCAAAAGCCACCAATGGGAAGCGGTCTGGACTCATAGCATAGAGGCTGCCAGACTCGCGGATAGCACCAACGAACGCAGAGTTGAGGTTGGGCAGGGCATCTAGAAGTGCTTGCGGTAGCCCGTCGCGTGAACTGCCAGCAGTCGAGGATGGAGAAGCAAAGTTATGGAAAGCTAGAACGTCGGCTAGACGAGGCCGTGGTTGCAGCAGAGCAAAAGCACTATCGGAGTCCTGACGCCGTAGTATGTCGAACACGGCTACGCTGCAGAAGGTGTAAGTCTTGTGGTGATGAGAGACACGACAACTTCCATACATAGGTTCGGTGAATTTATGCCCCCATCCCGCCGATCCAGCCTGCGTTTCCCCATCCTCTGCTTTCAAGCGAAGCGATATGATTTCCCCTCCAGGCATGCTTTGGATGTATCGGTCATCCTTTGGCCTTCTATACGATGCCTGCAATGCGTGGTCTTGGTTGTTGGGGCCATAGGTAGAGAATGTGAGCTTTTGGATGGGTTTTGGTCGGTGGTGGGGTGAAGACGGACTCGGGTGTGCATGAATGGAGATATGGTAGTCTGTCTCGAGATATACTTTATGCGTAAATCGTAATCAGCCGCGCTACGCACCTGTTCTGCCAATGAGGACCTCCGTAACCTGCGGCTGAGTGTTTCCAGCAGAATCCAAGTCCTCCAGTTCGTCCAAGTCTACTTCCGTCTCGCTCTGCTTCCACGGGTCTGGGTCCCACGGACACTCCCCGTCTATCTGCCTCACCCGACCCGTCTCGAGCTCCAGCGCCAGCAAGGAAGTCTCTTTCTTTCCGATGAAGAAACGTCGCTCCGACTCGCCGTGAAACGAGAACGGCGACATGTCAACGAGCTGCTGCATCGTGTATGGAAACTGTTGCAACGGCGCCGAGGGGGAGGGCAGCACGAATATTTCCCCGGACTGTGGTTCAATAACGTACATTTCCTGGTAGTAGTCCTCGTCTTGCTCCAGAGAATCGTTGGGATTTGCGGTGCGGATCAGAGGCGCCAGACTGGAGACAGTGGAATTGGAAGCAGGCTGCGAAGTCATCGACCAGACAGCCTGGCCGCTGGATCTATTGAAGGCATGGAATTTGCCATCGACGCCTGCGACGAGCACAATGTCCAGCAGGTCGAACTGATCGTGTTCCGCAGCTCTGGCATCGGGGTTGGCTGTCGCAGCGCGCGGCGGGTGAAAGTAGCCAGCGTGTGAGAAACGGGCCGTAGCTAGGGCATTATTGTCGGTATTTGCGTATGCCAGAGACGCATCAATGAGGGCCATTAACGATGGAGGAAGGAGGAAGGCCATCTCGACATCATCCACGGTACGTGGAGGAGTATGGATCTTGTGTTGGACTTTGAATTTCGAATTTCGAGAGCGCGCTGGACCTCAGGGTTTGTTTACTGTTGCTTGGTTCGGATGACAATGGCTTGCTTCCAACCCCACGTCACGGTTGCGACATTAAATTCGGACTTCTACTCAACTTCTACTTCTATTTTTCCATCCAGTAAGCGCAGATCTTGCCAGGCTGGGACTGTTGTAGCGCTGAGCGCTGAGCGTCGGGGCGCTGTGGTCAAAATTGGCGCAAAACTAATTGAAGGGCAGAATGATGACTGTCTTTCATGGCGGGCGACGCCGCGACAGGTGTTCAAAATTCCGACAATGGCACCTGAGTGCTGCGGAGAACGCCGCTGAAAGCACAATACGACATATGTCGAATTCTGTTGCTGTCCAGACACGATGGGGACTTGTAAAATCGGCATAGTTGACTTACCAGACTCACCAAATTGGTGCTTCTTCGGCTTGCCTTTACCAAATGGTCAATCTATATGGCTTACCACCATCAGTTAAATACCCTGAGAGTGCTGTGAGTGTTCAAATTCCGAGTCGATAGGCGTGTGATCTGATTTTTGGAACTTTGGGATAGGCTCGCAGTCAGTTGATGCTAATCTATCTCTACTTCGTTGTAGGCCGCAAATGTTCGAGCTCCGGGTGACCGTTCCTTTACCTGGAAACTTGCTCCAACAAATACTGTGCTAGTCACGGTCTCCTCGCCACCCTATTCCCGGATTTCTTCCTCCATCGAACTGGCTGGTAAGCCCACACGTGACCAGCTGCATCGCATTTGTCCTTCAACTAGTTATAGGTTTATGTTATAGAACTCTCTGGGTTGCCTCCCCATCCCTCTTCGCCCTGATGTCAACTTCAGGACAACAGATCTTCATCAGGGCTGTTGATCAGTACTATCAACTCAGTCTCCATTCCCGTCTCGGGATTTGATCTGACGAGGGGAACTAGGTCAGCGATATTCGGAAGTCATCAGAATGTCCTAGATCCAGGAAGAACACCGGCGTCATCCGGACATACTTATCGTCACCCACGAGAACATAGGCTCGATTTCTACCTCCTATGGAGCTCAATCCTGCTTCTTCGCCTAGTTTTGAACAATGTCGATGCGAAACCCTGAGCCTGCAACGGGGAACATAACACTGAACACCAGGCGTGAGGACTAACCGTCACATGGAGTCACAATAGGCTCCCGGGTCAAAGGGTGATAAATACCTTGAGGCACCCTCGCTCATCATATAATCCACAATGCTACAAGACTTTGTTTTCGTTGCTCTCGCTTTTCTTCTGGCCCTCACAGGTTACTATAGGTGGGGTAAACCCAGTTTGCCTGTCCCGCCGGGACCAAAGGGGTACCCCATTATCGGAAACCTACTCGACGTGCCCTCAGAACAACTATGGGTCAAATTTCTCGAGTGGTCTAAGGAGTACAGTACGTGACGATTGAATACACGAGAAGTCATCTAATGCATCAGTGTAGAGTCCGACATTATTTACTTCCGTGTTTTTGGCAGCTCGACCATTGTTCTCAACTCATTGAAAGCGGCTAACGACCTCTTGTCTGTCAGATCCATGCTGTACTCGGATAGGTAAGTTGGCACGCGGGATCTTCACATATACCCGCTCATGTTCTTCAAAGGCCGATCAGAACCATGGTCGACGAACTGTAGGAAACTAACTTGATATTACGTTCAATCGAGTATCTGATTTGGATTCAAAGCCTAGGCTGGGGTTCGCTCATCAGCAACCTTACGTATGGTCATGCTTGGCGTATTCGTCGTCGTGCATTCTGGCAAGAATTCAATCCAGCCCGCTCTGTCAATCATCGCCCCAGGCAGTTGTGGTATTCTCACGATCTCCTTCGACGATTACTGAAGGACCCTGATAACTTCCTCCATCATATCCACTAGTAAGCATTACACCCTACTTGATCGATTTACGGCTCAACGTCAACGTTCAAAGCTCGCTCGCTGCAAGTATCATCTCGGCTACGTATGGGTTGGACGTCCTACCCGAAAACGATCCTAACATCGAACGCGCGGAAAAAGCGCTGGACAACTTCAAGCATGCCGCAATTGCAGGCCTCTATCTCGTTGATGTACTGCCCTTTCTGAAATATGTGCCGAGCTGGATGCCTGGAGCTGGCTTCAAGAGGTTTGCGGAGAAGTCACGGCCGGATACGATGGATATGCTGAATGCACCGTTCGTTGAAGGTTGTAATCGTATAGTGAGTGGTTGTATAAAGGAATTGGTATTTGGCACTCTGATGGAATTTCAAGCGGGAGGGAAAGAATGAACCGAGCTTGTTGTCTCGAAGCCTCGCGAAAGGAGGACACAGTATCGAAGACCATCCTGACGCAAAATTGATCAAGGACGTAACAGGGGTCGCCTATGTAGGTGAGTAATTTCGGAGTGGTACGTCGGTCTTGCTGCTTACAATCAGGATGTCGACCAGGTGGCGCCGAGACGACCAAGGCAGCGCTCTCGACTTTCATTGCGGCGATGTTGCTCTACCCGGAGGTGCAAAAGAAGGCTCAACAGGAAGTCGATTCGTTCAATCGCTCTCGGCTCCCTTTGTTTGAGGATTTACCTAATATGCCATACGTCCACGCCATCATGTTGGAAGTATTAAGGTTTGTTGACTTTGTTCATACTTCATTGTAAGTAAGTGATGAATGGTCGATATGTTCGTAGATGGCAATCTGTATTACCCCTAGGCAAGTCCATCGAGGTGCAGTTCCCTGATGCTGACTAGCCCTGCAGCTATCGCTCACCGACTTACAATGGTCGACGAGTATAAAGGGTATTATATACCTAAAGGATCTATCGTATTCGTGAACGTTTGGTACGTGTTTATTCCGCCTCAACGCCTGATGCAATGTTTTGACGTTGGGTACAATATGTCTCCACCCCAGGGCGCTTTTGAGAGACGAAGAGCATTACCCAGATCCTGATACATTCCGCCCAGAGAGATTTCTGAAAGATGGTAAAATCAACCCCAAGGTCGCTGACCCCATCCCCAATTTCGGGTTTGGACGAAGGCTCGTACTATCTCCCCTAAAGATGTCTGATGTCTTATTTCCTTTCAGGATATGCCCCGGCCGATTCTTTGCCATTGATTCCCTTTGGCTCAATATTGCCTCCATTCTCACTGTCTTTGATATCACCAAGGCAAAAGACGAAGAAGAGAGAGAGATCGAACCTGATATTCAATGGACTCCAAACTTTACACGGTATGTGATTGATGTTGGCCGGCTGGTGAATTTATTGAGCAAGGCTGATACTTATTCCTAGGCATATCATCCCCTTCAAATGTTCCATCACACCTCGCTCTTCGGAAGCAGGAAAGCTCATCCGTGATTCAGAACTCATTTAATGAACGGACGTGTAATCAAATCAAATGTAAATGAAAGATCTCGCCAGGAGTATCTATATCCACGACAAATTGATGGCTAGACAAAGACATTGATCCTTTGATAAGTCGTGCATCTATGGTGCATCAATTTGGATGCGCGCCCATGTACGTAGTCTCAGTCCTGCAAAGCCGTAATGATTTGATCATTTCTTGTCCCCTGCGCCGGCTGCAAACTCCTTGGGACATGGTTATAACACCCTGATCTGATGACTTGGATATTATCTAGACCTAAATATACACTGTCTTCTCTGTATCTAAGACATTCCTGGCCGCGCCTTGCCTCTCGAGGATCGATTCTCGCCATCTTTACGTCTTTGATATTTCGAACACTCAGGAGACTCCGATATGAGAATTATTGAGCCGCTCGTCGGGGTCAAGGCTGCCGGTAAGCCCTACTTATGAAGAACGCTGACATGGCTATCCAAACCAGAGACCGGTGGGGAGGGGTGTTTGGGGGTGCAGTGGTGAGGAGATACCAGGGGCCGAGGACTCGTACATAAATAAGTGTAAGTGTATTTACGACGGGCTAGAGACGAATGATATGCTACTGGAGTGTAGTAACAATGGGCACCGCACACTGGGTATAGGTCTGTGTGCCAGCGATAGCTCTCTAGAAGTCAATACCATGTCAGGATGGCCCTCCTCCCCTCCTCATTCATTGCCTTCATTGATGCGTCGCTTACCACTTCCACCCCTGAATCCCAAGTTGCCTTCAACGTCGAAATCTCGAAGCGCGCACGGGTGATCAGTCATATTTCTCTGCAGTTTCTCATACACAGTGCGCGCCACTGACAACCGGGTTGAGTGATGGTATACCAAGCGGCCTTCACGTTGAACTATCGAAAAATGGGCTAGCTAAATTTCTGCAGGAACTAGCAGGGTCTATCAAACTCAAGTGCTTACTATTCGACGTGGCAGGTGTCACTCAAGCACATTCCCATAGCCGCATGAAAGACAAGAGGGTGGAACAAGTAAGCCAATTACCCCGCCGACCGCCGTTGACTAGATGTTGGTAATAATGACTTTTGTCACCAGCCCTGTCAACTACTCTTATTGGCAATAAAATATATATGGACTTGACGCGAGACCGGTAGAAAGGCTTGACACTGACGAGACACTATCTCAGATTCAACGTTTTCACTTGACTAATAGCACCCCGCAGCTAACTTGGCAGCAATGCCTTACCTAGAGCATTGATTAAATGTCGACCGCCGTACCTAACACAGTTCTTTGCGCGTAATTCGATTGCCTTTGCTACTTGCAACCGTAGCGAGAAGCGATAACAGCCAACCTCTAACGTGATGACGGTCTCGTTCGCGTTCGCGTTGACTGCTCGGGATGCATGCACAGGCACGGAAGGTCGCGAAGATAAAGGTCGCAAGGAGACGGATGAAGTCAGGTCTGCAAGGCGCAGAAGATTTGCGATACGTTGAGTTACATCTTAAAACACGGATTATGTACCATGAGAATAAATGCAGACTGGAACTCATAGTCAAGGGAACCATTTCGAAGCTGCGACATAACTTAGGCCGATTTGAACACTGGAAGCTCTCCAATGCGAAGCTTGGTGGCCTGGATTCGCACTCAAGTCAGTGCGATACCGGCGCGATGATCGTGTTCGAGACTTACACCAAACGGCCACAATGTGATGGTTGTCTGCGCCCCGGTACATGTAGTGTTGGTAGGAGGAGGTGCAGCGAATGTATCTCCTCCGGTGCTCCAGTTAATTCGGCAAGCGGTGGCAGTGATAGTAAAAGGTGGCTGTCCAGCATCAAAGATCGGGGAAGGAAGTCTTCCCGACGCCGGAGCTTTGTTGGAGAATTTGAGTGTTGCTGGATCAATCGCGTATTGCCATGGTGCAGTGGCATCAAATTCTAGATCGACTGCCCGGCTTTCCTGAGCGTTGCGAGCAAGAACTTTCTGGCTACGCGCGATGTCATACGCGTAGTGAAGAGGCCCACGGTGCACGGCAATGGACCCATGAGGCCGGGACTCTGTTGTCAATAGATCTGAGTATAGAGGGTTGATAAATCGAGCGTAATCGACTACCTGTGGTGATCTGGGCTGGAAGGTTGAGAACGAATTTAGTGGTACCAGCAGTGACTTGAACAGCTAGAAGTCCGTTGGATGGAGAAACAGCTCGGGCGGCGGCTCCATTGATTGCGATGGTGCCCCCTACGACCCAGCTTGGGATACGGACGAAGTATGTGAATGCCGAAGTCGCAGTGATCGTGGTAGTTAATGTATCACTGACCACATATTCCAAATATCAGAACAAGACGACGGAGAAGACAAAGGGCGGCCTACCTGAATGGATACAATGTATCGACATTTACAGCCACCTTGTTACCTTTTGAAATTTCGTCAGATTCTTAGTTTACGGCCAAAATCTAGATCTACGAACCCGAAGCGAGGGTAGCGGTAGTGCTGAACGGGCCGAGATAGAGATGCACTAGAGACTTCTGGTCCGGAGTTGTTAAGAATGCGTTCGATACAAACTTTGGCCATCCTTGGGGATGGTTGACAGTGCAACAACTGACATCCTGCGGGTAAACCTCAACCGCCTTCTGAAGACGTCTGACACTTACGGGTAGTTAGGCTCCAGACCAAAGACATTAGAGTATGCGCTATCACCCGCGTCAGGAAGTCCATCATCGATATAGCAACACTACGTACCCATCATTAGGGAAGGGATTCCTATGCATTGCGGTTAGTTCGATCAGTATTTGAGGATGGAGTGCCACTTTACGGGTTCATGTTCTTGGCTGCTATCTGGTTCTGTTGCTGAAGGTATTGTCGGGTCCACATGTCTGTTTTATGGGAGTTTGTATTGTGGTTTTGCAGGAGTCTGTGAGACACTCACCACCAGTCAACGTCGCCGGCAGTGCATTGTAGGTTATGCGTTCTACCTAATAATTACCCGACCATCTTTGAGCAGATTGTTACAAGGAATCACATCGAGAAACTTACACGATCAGCGAACTTAGGGTCGCCGATTACTTGATATAAGTACGACCCTCTGTAGAGCAAATAGTCAGCCTGTCTTGACGACAAGAATCGAACAACATGGCTCACGAGAACATGGTTTCCTGGAAGCGAGCTAGGTGAGTGGTTCAATCCAGTCCGCTCGAAACTACTTACGACGACTAGGCAGAGTTCGGTTCTGCGACAATTCAGAAAAAAGGGACATACGTTCAGCAGATGATCTTACCCACGAACTGCTTCGAGGCCAGCGAGGTATTCGTCCGCCGCGTAGATTCCAGACGGGCGTCCATGGTACTGGAACAGCATATCCCAGCCCAAACTGGCGGCATCGAGGTCTATCGAGGTATTTAGTTAGACCCTACATCCGACGCATTATCTATATTGACGGACCACTTTGGTTATGAGTAAATCTGTAGGTAGCGGGCAACGCCTTCAAGCCCTCCGCCATGTTAACTCCGTGCCAAGTCAGCGGCAAATTGAAGGGGTTTGGAGTATGCTCCACTACATGTCAAAATCAGCCAACGCAACCGCGAAGGCTCCAGCTCTCCACGGACCTGCAGTTTTTGGGAAGTACTATGCAGATTATAAGCACCGGCACCTCATCGTGAACGAGGAAATTTAGGATACCTGTGCTGAGAAGACCTTTTCCCATGGGACCCCTGTCCACTTTAGTCGTTTCATAGTGTCGATCAGGAGGTCCTCCTTGCCATTCGGATGGAAATCATACAACCTAAGAGCAATAGTTAATGCTTCGACTACGTTAAGATACTCATTCCTACCATTGAAGTGCCATGACGAAGTCTTCCCAGCGAGTCGCAGCCCAATCGTCAACACCTTCCCCATTGTTCTTGAGCATCGTATTGGCCAATGGGACGAACTTGTGCAGAGCGTTGACAACGCGGTCCGTCAATGCAGGATTGTTCTCCACCATCTGGATGGCTCCAAAGAAAAATGGGTACCTGGAAGATTGGATATATCAATAAAGCGAAGGAGTAGCAGACATTGCCATTCATCTGACCTTCCCCAAAGGTACCTAGGCTTCGTAGTACCAACTTCAGGACCGAGCCAGCCTGTTGAGTCTTGGTGGTCAAGGACGTAGTCTAGGAAGGCTTGTGTCTTCTGATTGATTACAGTATGGTTAACCAAGATCGCATTTGGCACCATAGCATTCTGCAATAATGGGTCAGGATCTCGTCAAAAGGATGAAGAGCAGCAGTACTAACAAACCAATAACTGCCGGCTTTAGAGTGAGAACTATCAGCGTGATACTCCCGTGTGAGCTCGAGCGATCTCTGTACCTTCTTCCAAGCTGGAATACGCAGATGTGCCGCCTGTCCAGTCTGTCTGCGAGACGCTACGGGTCAAGAGTTAGTTATCGAAGAGATGTTGCGTTCTGCAAGCATACTAGTGATAGAATTCATGTTCATGGCCAGCGAGGCCGTTGATTTGCACATTGAGCTATTGCATGGGAGTTGGTGAACGTACTAAAGTGCTTCAGATTGAGGCACGCACTTGGTCCAATAGCCACCCCGATGGCCTGACGGTCCCGAGGGGCAGCGTCAGATACTTCTTTGGTGCAACTAATGATAACGACAGCGTGAGCACGCGATGCAAACAGCACGATACTCGCACACTTACGACCAGTCTGTGCAAGCGCACAAGCACCAAGAGCCACAGCAGCAACGATAATACGCTTACTGATCATATCCTTCGAGATCCTCTTCCAAGCAAAGGTTGCAAGATACGCTTGCTCTAAGCTGTCAAGTGCGTATGTTTTATACTTGTTATTCTGCTATTGATGTTATCGGCGGGCCGCCACCACATGTTGCAAGAACTCAAGAACCCTTGTGACAATCTTCACGCGCTCGGAAGAAGTGTGCAGTTGGCGTAAGGAAGCTGCAATTGAGTCAAGATACCGCCGACGGAATCTTCACCAAGTTGGAAATGTGAAACCGATGAGACGACGTCTAATTGAAATAGACATCGAGCAATTGACAGTGTACTCCAATATCTAGACTGTCTTTCGTCAAGTGGTGGGTGATCAGCTATACAAGTTCACCGACCCTTGCACACACCATATCACAGCCTATCGAGCCAAGCACCTCAAGTCGAACGTGAACCCACAAAGACATTCTGGCTTCTATCCTGATATTAATAGATCATTTATGGGTATGGATTGTAAACATTATCTGCAGAGTGTAACCACCTCTGGGTTACCAGTGTATCCACTCGCCATACATGTTCGGTCGTTCGCCTCGGATATAGCTCTCAAAGGTCCTCTTGAGAACAGCAGACCAGTCGAGGTCTCGCTTATCATCAGTTACACTGTCTTCGTCTTCTTTGTCCACTTCTGCTTCCCCTGCGTCTGTTGGAGAAGGGGGCGAGGAGGTGGTGAGTGCGTGGCGGGCGGCACGTTCGCCGGCGATGAAGCGCGGCCCCAGATCAGGCCAGTTGCGAGAAGGATCGAACGGTTTCCACCTGTTACATCACGGAGATCAGCAAAGCCGCATGGAATCAGTCCGGAGGATGAATGCTCACCAGAAGTTATGGAAGTGATACGAGTAAGCTCCTGCGATTCTCGATTAGTCGTAGTTGAATTAGTCCACATGATTACTCACCTCTGAAGAAGCCTTCGAAGCCCAGGGCTTGAGGGGCCGCGCTATTCTGCGGAGGCGTATCAAAGAGGTCTGCGAATCTATCCGAAGGTCAGCTTCTGTGCATAATCGAGGGCGCGGCAACATACTCGGTGAAATAAGGCTGTGGCGGGCGTTCGCGCTGGAAATATTCCGTATTCAACCACGCGGAATCAAACAGGGCATCAGGAAGCCTGAGCAGGAGCCCCTCGAGATGCGCGTCAGCCATATATTTCGTAACAGTCATGGGGTGGAAGTCCAGCCCGTTCTTCAGCGCAGTGCGGAAGAGGAACGTCCCGAGCGCGGAGTTCTTGTTCATGCGCAGGACCGCCGTGTTGTAGTTCTCCAGCCGCGACCACCGGTAGGCGAAAGCGCCCTTCCACCCCCAGAGCTCCTCCCAGTCGCGCAGGAAGATCGTGTCGGCGTCAAGGTAGATACCGCCGAAGCGGTGGCAAAGAACGAACCGCGCCATATCTGATAAGATCACAGATAGCCGATCGTATGACGACAGCGATTTAGATCCAGTGCGGTTGAGCATGTCATCCTCCTTAGTTGATGTTGAGTTCCCTCCGGCCCCAGATTCGACGGCCTTGATTTTCTCCTCTGGCACACTAATGACCTGACCGCCAGAGTTGAAGAGCGACCCGCTGAGTGCACGCCACTCGTCCTTTAATTCGGGCACACCGTCAAGTTGCTCGGTCGTATTCCACAGCTTGAACTGGATGATATCCTTAAACCTCGGGTGCAGGAACGGCGCCGCCCACGGGCTCGTTTTGAGTTGCTCATACATATCGTGCACAGCAGAAGGATTGGGCACCGACGCCGCGGGCCCAGGGTTGATCCATAACCAGAATTGCGGGCGGCAAACGCTGGGCCCGGTTTCGTTGGCTAGCAGGTGGATGCCGGCGTTCTGCGAGAACAGGTACGACATCAGCGCAAGATACGGCTTGTCGGTGAATGGCCCCGTCCAGAACATGTGAAACACCCGCGGGTTGTTGGGATCGCAGGCGTCGTTTTTGGCGGCTGGTGATGCGCTGGGGACCACAGCCTGGAGGGCGATGGAGGACTCCCATTCGGTGTTAGGTTTCTTGTTCAACCCCGCGTTCGGATCGCGTTCGCGCTGGACGTTAGGACTCGCTGGACGAGCTATAGGGATCGGCTGCTGGTCGAGATCCTCCGCCAGCTGCGCAACAGGGCCTTCTTGCTCAAGGAAAATATACTTCCAGTCGTCCATTTTACCTCGTCTAACCCGCCTTCCATTATCTAATCCACCTCCTAAGCGGAGCACTTCTAAACAGTCACGTACATACTAACCGACAGGTGAGCGAGCATCCTCCGCGGAAAAAATAACCACTCACCTTGCCCGTTGAGAAATCGCAGTGCTTCATTACTACATCCATGTCGGCAATACTGCCAGGTACTGGTCGCGGGGGGTAAGCAACGTCCGGCGGTTTGCTTTGAATGTCCAAGTACACTCGCTTGGGCCCGGTACCCAGCGTATCAATGTCGGTGTCCGCGGCCACGGCCGTCGTTGGTGGCCGGTAGCGTGACGGTGGAACGACGCGAAGTTTAGGGGGAATGGCTGGGTTGTGAGGCGGCTCCTTGAGCCCAATGTGCTTCGGGACTATACACCATGAATATACGAGTCCACGAATGTTGAAAAACACTCACTGCTTGCACGGCTAGGGTAGTGGCCGCTGGCTATCTCCCATTTCCATATTCTCTGCAGGTCCTGCCGCTGAAAAACTAACGTCGAGGGATCGCCGCTCTGCGAGGGCCACTGTTCCATCCACTCGCGCCCCTCGTACCGACGCGAGACAATGAAGTATACGCCGAATATCGACAGGGCGATAAAACACATCAGAAGCGGACCCCGCCGTCTTCCCAGACGACCTGCGCCGAGATGGGATAATTTGCCGGTGTTAGGGACCAAGATACGGAGGCGACGAGTGTGCACACCAGGTATGGCTAATGACACGGGTTTTGTCCATGGCGCCGAGTGCCTATGGTGTTTTTCTTGATTTCCGAACGAATGAGAGGGTAGGCCGTTGGTGAGATGCCGTTGCGAGCTGGCGAAAGCCATCGAGGAGGAAGCACACTGAAATTAAGCGCAGAAGACGTGGAAAATCATACAGCATGTGGCTGTGCCACTGTTTGAGGTTGATTGAACTGGTGGCGGGAACTTTGAATGGTCTCGTTGATGTTAAGTGTCGCTTGGACTATATCTTGATGGATGGAGAGAATTTATGTTGCGTTTCACCGAAACGTAGGGGATTACAAGAAATGCTGGTGTCGCATTTGTAGTACTATCCTCTAGTGAGTCACCTGATTCCCCCTGATCCCCCAATATTGTAGAGCTTCAGAGTTCAACAGTTCTGTTGTTCATCAGTTCGGCCGACATATTTATCAATGATGGCTGAACATCGCGCCAAAGTATACTTCCAAGACAAGTGAGCACCGGAGAGGAGATAGTCTTCTGGTCTGCGAGAAAGGATGTAGATCGTACAAGTCCGACGTTCATCCATGTAAATTGGGATGTAGGTCTTCTGGTGGTACCTCTGGCGGAGTGGCCGATTTAATGAATCGTGTATAGCTCCGAGACCAAGGGGATATGATATGCTGCAGCTACCAGCTGTGATGTTAAACACATTTATCAGTTCAACCCATATCCTCTCCGAGGCACATAGGAGCTCCCCTTTCTGACAACTGAGTCACGTGTAAGCTTGGCTGAGGCGTCTGGCCTTCACAACACCAAATAGGCGCAGATGATTGTAGGTGGCGCAAAGCGCAAAACGCGTTGTTTTCGACCACGACCCCCGACTATTCTCTCCACCCGTTGAATTTTCACGAAATGTTCAACCTCGTCCGAAGAATATCGCGATCTTTCATTCCACGTCCGGATCGCCCTTGGGAGGAAGACCGTGAGTCCCTGCATCCCACCCGTCGCCTTCATTTATGAACGACACGCGGTGCCCCCGATCGTGGATTAACGCGTGTTCTGGAATTAGCGACTTCGAATGCACCACAAATTGGCCGAAAGCGACGGTTAAGCACGACCGAGCTTGGCGATGGGCCGTCGGACGAAGAGCGGTTAACGAAGAGAGGTCGAGGGGCCCTCCCACCCGTCGCAGTCGAAACTACGACCGAAAATACCAGTCAGAACGATACGAGGGAGGCCTCACCGGTGTCACCTCCTCACGGAGCCACTACCGATCAGGAGGATGTGAAAGAGGTGACAGAGGGGGTTAAGGAGGTCGAGCTTGAGGATAAGAAGGAAGTCGGACCAGAGAGCGTGCCCTTGCCGGTGGAGGTTTCTGGTGAGCTTGACGAAGTTAGCGCCACCCCTGCAGAAGGATCCAAGGACGAATCAAAGGCAGAAGCAGAGAACGACGACGTCGCTTCGTCGCGATCGTCCTCAGTACCACCACAACCCGCCGAGGCAGTCGACTTAGCGTTGGCTGAACAGCCATCTCAAGTTACTGACGAACGAACAAACGAACCCTCGAACGAAATCCCAAATAACATTCTCGTCACATCAGCGGAAATAGTATCACCTCAGCCGGCAGAAGGCAGTTAAGCCCTCCCCTCCTTCACGATACCCAATCGGAATCTTACGGTGGTACTTGTCGTAAATGTTCATTTATCCTCCATCTTGCTTGTCGCTTTGTTGTATCTGCACGGATCCATGTCTGTACATCTAAACCCCCATAACTATATCTTGCCCCCCTTGTCCCTTCCAGGCCATCTCGTATTTATCTGTAATCCTTATTTTCGTGCATCTTACCTCCCAGATGGAAGACACTCAGCTGCACGCATTTGTTTGTATATCGCTCACTGATGTTCACTCTTCGCTTCAACAGAATCGGCGCCACTTCACCCCATTGTCCGCGCCTCGAGGCTGCCATGATGCTCCGTGACCGGACCTTTGTTCCCGCCCCCTCTTCGTGTCCTTTCTGACTCTATGTGACGACCAGGATCTCCCCAGGGCATACCCTCTTGGTCATTATTAGGTCTCCCAAGCCGATATATACTGGAGCCCGATGATGCCTTCCATTGTTCTCCGAACATGTGTTGGCCATGATGCTCACAGCTTGGGTAAGTGTACCTCCGTTTGAGACCCTTAATTCTGATCAACGTTGTATCAGTGTATCACAGTTGTACGAGACTTGCAGCATGGCTAGCACCCGTATACACCACAGCATAACTGGGTGCACATTCTGCGTGTATATCATTCCGCAGAGCTATATATGCATCTTGCCTTCCTTTGTTCCTTCTTTCCATACTTTCCAACCAATTTCTTCCAGCTGCTTTGTGGCCTGCTTTCCCAGTGCTCGTGCTACACGCTTAGCTCGATTGTCCTTCCATCATCGGGATGTTCGCATATCTTGCTCAGCGGTTTTCAGGTGGCAAGTCGAGTGAAGATGGTGGTCGCGGACGCCTGGCTTGGGACCACGGTTCCCCTCACAGTCCCCCATCACAAGGATGGGCGAAGGTCGGGTTGCGGCCCCGAGCTCCGTCTCAACCAGGAGATATTTCGACGACGAGACTCCCTCTAGCGAACCCATCTACGGAGGAGAAACTAGGGACGTTTCGCCGAGTACAACCTACGGGTAGTCCAACCCGTCTATTTCCGCCTAACGTATCGTGGCTATCGGACGACGACCGCGACACCCCCCGCCCGCCCTCCCCTCATATATCTAATTATGCTTCTTCCGACCATGCTCCTCAGCGGCATTTATCACCTATCTATGACCACCCTGACGCCTATCCCAACATGCTGTCACCGTCGACTTCCACGTCGACGATATCCCCTGCGCCGTCCACGCCACGGTGGGGTCTCAGGCTGCAAACTGACCCCGCCTTGGTGGGCAGCACACCATCACTTAATATGTACACAAGGCAGACCTCTTTGGAGGACCCTCAAGGAGTGCCGTTTGCGCAAGTGAAGCAACTCAGTCCCATAGCGGAACAGGATTATTTATCTCCTACGTCTCTTCGAACGCACACGCGACCCCCATCCGACCATGATGCCTCACATTCGCAGAACAACCGCTCGCCCAATGAATCGCAGCACTCGGATATAACCAGTACATACATTTCGTTCGAATCTCCTACCGCTATTAACACGACGTTGACATCTACAGAACCCTCGCCGGTGTTCGCGCCTTTCATTTCCCGGCCCTTGAACCGCACACTATCACAAAACTCCTCACGTACACATATATCCACGACCTCTACGATCGTGAAGAATCCTTCGCCTTCTGTTGTCATCCCTCCGCTGGATCTTAGACCCCCCTTTCCCGGACCACACCCCTCGAACTCCTACAATGCAAGTGTTCCTTCACTGAGACCACTGAAGTCGGCTACTACGCCGACTATGCCCACTATCGCTGGAAGCTCGGAGGACTACGGGGGAGAAACCTCCGCGAGTGGAGATGGCAGTCGCTATTCTCTACATGCCGATAGTTTCGTCACCGCTACCGATTCCATGAACGGTAATGAACAGTCGCCGAGGGGAGAACAGCGACGACCTGCATATAGTGCTCCCGCTCTTGATATGGACATAACTGAAGTCCCTACCGAAGAGCATCAGAGGAGCACACCGACCCCTAGCCTGTATGAGAATCCCTTCGAACGCGAGTCTAGAAGGGGTGCACCAACGGTGACACGAGAACCGTCTACCTCCCGCTCGATACCCATGTCTGTAACCTCTTCTGGATTTATCATGGCGCGCTGGGATCGAGACGCCGCGCTTGGCACTGGGACCGTGTCGTTTCCTCGTGTCAAGAAGCGACGGCTCGCGTACACACCTGCATGCTGGATGTTCTGGTTGTGCTTCCTCTGCCCGCCATTGTGGTTTATCGGCGGATGGTATATCACCATTTTCGCTGAAGCCTACACATTCCGTGACCCGGACGATGACTGGCATTGGTGGGGAGTGAGGCAAAGGGCAGCGAGAAAGCGTCGAAGAAAGCTCCAGGAGTTGCAGCTCCCTCAGTGGGTTAGAGACAAGCAGCAAATCTCCGATGGGGCAAGCTCGACACGAAGAGCGCTGAGAGGCATTTCGTTTCTATACCCCTTCGTAGCTCGCCCTATAGATCCTCCCCCGTCCCATGGCCTAGCAATGCGCATGTGCTTGCGTACCATCGCATTCCTTGGAAAGATGAACAGATTGTTGGATAGGATTCCTTGTGTCAAGCTTGCAGAAGTCGATGGAGAGCGCGAGACAGATCGCAGGATGTTCGACCCGTGGATCCAGAGATGTAGGTATGCGTGGTGCTGGTTCTTCATCCTTTGGTGCTTTGTCGGAGTGCCGAGTTTATTTATCATTCGTCAGTATTGTAATACCTGCTTTCGTGATACTATATTGTAGTCCTTGGAGAGCTTCAAGCTCCACGTTCGCTGTAGCAGAATCAAAGCATTGTTTGCCGCAGATTTTCAGAAGTAAATAGCCTTCGTACGTCGCATCCGAGTGGCATAGTCATATGTTGTCACATTTCTTGCCTATATGGCCATTTGTAATTGCAGTGATTATCGTTGCTTGCGCCGACCATCCATGGATGCCGTCTGCTTTGCCATGCTCCGCATGAAATATACCCATGGCGGGATACACTGAAGGCGGTAAAGGCCCGGAGCCGGTTGTGATCAGTCCATACATTATATTCGAATGAAATTCTCTGCCTCCGAAGAGCGAGGCATGATGGAGCATTTGAGCGGGATGAGATGGCTAGGAACAAATCTCAGTATCGCCCAATTACCTACTTTAGGAGTAATATAATATATGATCCACAGTCTGCCAGCGTGATATATCGCTGGATGTGAATGCCTTTTGCGTGATCATATATCATATATCACTGCACATGCTGACACGTGATCTGTATAGGAGACCCCTGATCCATCATTACACCAAAAGTTGTATTCTGGCTTGGCTTTGGAAATTGAGATGAGTTTCCGCCGAGAGAAAATTTTAAGAATGCATTGAACATGCAGTAAACGAGTAAAAGTGAGAACATAGCATGACTTAAAGCTGACATTAACGGCATGATGGGATAGGGATCATAGGAGTCTTGGAAAATTGCTCTTTACTCACAGAGTTGAAGAGCAAGGTCGTCCTCAACCATGCGACGCGAGATCACCCTTTCCCATTCGTACTGCATTTGACTATCTTTAAGCTCTCTTGTTGGAGATCTCCGTGAGCCGCCACCGAGTTGTACCCTGGATTGACCCCCTTTGCCACCTCATCGTAGTTTGGATGGCTGTCTACTTTGTCTGATTGATGCCGCCGCCACCTGTCCTCGAGGCTGTCGAAATCAGTGCAAAGGCTTCGAACACCAGGGCATCACCTCGACCAAACACCCCGTCGTCAACCGCTCTCCTTGAGAAAGAGTCGGTGTTTTCTCATCGGGCCTCAGCCATCATTACGGTCTCACAAAAATACACTGATGGCGCTGAGCACTTCAATGATATATTTTGATAACAATAGGGAAGCCTCGGTCCTCGTCGACATTAGAGTAACGACGCCAGTACGTCTCGGTTCTTGGAGATGGCCTCATGTCGACCCCTGTTAAGCCCTTCAAGCTAAAAAAGGCTAGCTGCCTTCTCCAGAATTTGATCTTCGGAAGCAGTTATCGACGCGTGACGCCACGAGCAGGATGTAAGGACCCTTGCTCCTAGTGCTCTCAACCACGCGACGCTTTGACAGGACCCTATGTAGGTCTTGCGGTTACTACTCGCTTGAACCTCCAATATCTCTCGGGCAGAAGAAGTTGCAAAATGCTTAGTGATGACAACTAGGGAAGTACACCATCCAACCGATTCATGCTCCGATTTCTGAATATCGCCACAAGACAGAGTGATCAACATCAATATTCAACGGGATGGGTACTAGCATAAGCGAAGGGGAGAGGATCTCATTTCGGGAGTTCCTTACCGACGCTTGATTTGTACGACACAGCTGCGATCGTGGATGGCGGCTGGCAAGTGGGTTGTTTACGACATAGGCCCCGGGACCAGACAAGTTAAGCGAGTCGCGAATGGACGGTCGTGGGTCTGCCTTATTCATCTTTGGAGTAGCTTGACTGTATTAACTTTGGGTGAACGTAGCGAAACGGTACGGTCTCGGAGCATACCGTCACTCGGTGCCGTCAAACCGAGGCACATCGCGGACAGGCGTGTGGATTGTGTGGGCGTTGAGTGGACACTCACACCCATTCACGTACGTGCGAACGACGAGGCCTTCTGTTGCTGTCATGGGCGATCCCGTAGGGAATATTTAGCGGCGTTACTCTAGCATGAGACGGAATATGTCAAATTCAAACAGTGATGGTTCCCCGGACGTTCGGTGGCGGTCGGTTTTGATGCCAGGATAGTGATGGTGGTTGGTCGCTATCGAAGGGTACGTCGTCTATCCTTCGAAGAGTCTATTGACGTGCGATATCTGTGTAATCCTACGGACTCGGGCGTCGGGGTTAGACCCTATGATTTCCCGATATCGGGTACGTTGTTTGATGTCACTAATACGGAGGTCCGCTGAGCGACGCTAGTAAGACTTCAGCGTACCCAGCACTGGTTTCAAACGGGACCCAATTTCCAGGCTTTTCGCTTTGATAATTGGGTAAGGCATTATGCATTAGCTTTCATTCGAAGTTCGAGGCACTTGCGTCCATTGCGACGGTTTCGCCATGGGTATATTGGATCAACGGCGGAGAAACCCAAACATCCTAGTAAATGATCGGGAAACCATACTCTTCTCACCGATTTCCAGGAGGTACTTGACCACTACCATCATAATGCGTCTACATCGCCGAGGGATTTACGAACAACAATTGGCACGAGCTTTCTCGTCAACCTGGGCTTGAAGGTACCATGATGAGTCTATTGAATCGGCCTCCTGTCTGGATCCCTGACTAATTGGCACCCGGGACAGGTAGCAGATGAGGATATGGCGGTTTCTTGTTGGCATCTGTAGTACTCTGTACCGAAAGGTGCTGATACGGCAGAGGACAAGTCCTATGCTGCTTCCCGAGCATGAGGCATGAGTACTGAGGACCGATGGACCTGCGCAGAGGTAATCAATGCAAGCTCTAAAATAGCGAAGGCACGCTCACCATTCATTACGGAACAGTGAAGTAGGCTATCACCAGCGGCGTACGAGATCCCGGCTGTGACCCACCAATCGGCCTACACCCCCAGGCTTCGGGCTTGGATTAACCGCCCAGCTGCAGGACCCTTGATAATACAGCCAAAGCCCTGATCCCAAATAGTACACTTGCAGGCGGCCGTAGGCCGCCGGCCTGAGGCGTTTCATACACTTTGGAGACAAAAATGGGACCAATCCCTGGTCCGATTTTCATACATCCGGGAGGTCTCTGCCTCAGGGCTGATCCAAATTCGTACACCATGCGCCGAGCCCTAAGGTGTCAATTATGTTCGTCGTACTCGTTACTTTGTATACAATGTGCCGAGTAAGAATCTCACAACTTGTTGTACTCCATGTCGATACACGAAGAGTTGTTACTTATACCTGTGCAATGTCTGTAGCCATCACAATCGTTACCTAATATATAGTCTAATGGTCTTTTTCAGCAGACAATGTAAAAAGTCAGTTCAAATTTTAACCTGAAACACTACACGGTACGATGTCCAACGTGCAGGAAACAAATCCTGTGTTCAGTCGCAAAGACTGGTGTCGGAAGCATGGTCCTCTCCGCCCTCCTAAACTCCCAACACAATATACTCACATTCTCGTGTACCATTAGAACGCCCATGCTTCGCTTACGATTATTCTCCGCTGCCGGGTTCGCCAGTGCCTCTTTACTTCATGTCAAAGGTGCAGGGATCTCAGGTGATATATGTCTCTCGTTGAATGATTACGGACTTGTCTTTGTGGAGCGGTCCGTGATGTTAGGCTGAGGTGTGTTCAATGTTCTAATCCGTCTTGACTATCATGACCGTCATTCCATTAGTTGTCGTACTTTATTCCAAAACTGGCGGTAAAAATGCGCGGCATGCATCGCAAACGACAACCACAAATATCGCTGCACTGTCATACATCGGCCTTCAAGTCTATCAATACTCTCGTGCACGACAATTCCACAATATCCCTATGTGTTCTTGCCATCAGTGGCCTTCTTGTGCCGCGTGCCGTCTCCTGTGTCTGCTGCACGAGACGATCTAGTCGAGCTACCGGAGGACGGCCAAAAGCTGTATAAATACTTGGACCAAGTGGACTCAAAGGCGAAGATGACAAAAGTCATGGCTTTATCACGAAAGAGGGCCCCAATTCCTTCCTTGTGATCCGCCACTAAGTAGTTCCAGGTTTGCAACTTTTGTGTATATATGCCAATCTTTTCTGTGCATACGAGGCGCCATTAGCGCGTTCTAGGGCTCGCTGCGACGTGTTTTGTTCACTTGGAACAGTCCCGAGGCTTTCTGGAGGGGCCTGGATCAAATTTCGTACATTTTGACGGTCCTGAGGAGGCCTGAGCCGGTTTTCGTACATTTCCGAGACCATTTAGGGAGGCCTGAGCCGAAATTTATACACTTCGGGAGGCCCGAAGGGCCTCCTCCGAAAATCGTACATATTTGCATATTTCTTGGCTAGGGCTGATCCATTTCGTACACATTGGGGCGAATTGAAGAGTACACTTTGGCTGACCTTGGGATCAGGCCTTTGGCTGTATTATCAAGGGTCCTCCAGCTGCTGACCTTGGGCACCGATGTCGACGCGATCTGGCGATTCCAAACGTAAAAAAAAGCAAGACAACTGCCTACCGTGCTTCGATCATTCGGTGAGATCTGCGGAGTCGCCGCCTCCTTCGAAATAAGGTGGGGTCGGGCAGGACCCTGGTTAATAGGTCAGCCCCCTGATCCGATTTCAGACATTTTTGAGCGGCCGAAGGCCGCTCGGCCTGAGGACTTTCAGACATTTTACGCCCAAAAAGGTGAAACACCCTGGTCCTTTTTTCGGACATTTTTGGGATTTGGTCCCTAGGCGGGATCCATTTTTGGACATTTTCAGTGGAGGTGCCGACGTTGGGTTGCTCGTCATACATTCAAGTACGACCATTAGTAAACTAAGTTAGTTACCTTAGCAACTTTTTTTCAGGAATTAGCTTTTTGCCTATTGACATTAACCTTTAACAATACACCGAACGGCAGCGCAAAACTGGTTCTCGATGAACGGGGCCAACTCGTCTCCCACAAATCCATCCATGGCACTAGTGTCGGCACATGAGGACCGGCTCGCCATGCCACCGTCAGCGCAGGCACTTCTTCCATCATCGGCAATGTCTATCCAGCAGCTGATTGCTCAATCCCTTCCACCACGACGAAATGCACTCAATACAATCAAACCTGAGGCTTGGTACAGCAAGGACATGCCATCTCAGGATCTCCAGATGCTTTTGACACGTTCGCTCCCTTCGAAGACAACCCTACAACAGATTGAAAGGAAATATGGTAAAACATGGATGAACGGAATGAACTCACTTATAGACCCAAGATACGATGATGGTCGTGATCGTTTCCCACTCTATGCGCTTACTCTCTGGAAGCAGCTGGGCCGTGTAGTGGATCAGCAAGAATCTTGGCAGAAAGCATTAGTATGGTTAGAGGCAGAAGAACGAAGTGCAGACCCTTTGGTCGGCGCAATGATTACCAGTGCTATAGGCCGGCTAGACGAGCTTGGCTGGGATGTTCCACTTCAATACCTTCGTGGTTCTGCTTCGACCAGTCTTCTATCTGCTTTATTCAGCAACGAGTGGCTCAGTTCTGACCACATGGACATGGCGGCCGAAGAACTAAGCTTGCGAATTGTCGACGACGGTCAAGCACATCTGAAGATACGTGTCGCGCCGGTTGCCTTTGCCAATAGTCTTGCAGATGCCGCACGCTACAAACAGGCATATTCGAAGCGGCAGACTCCTTTACTCTGCCGATATGAGCGTGAAGTGACGGCCAAGGAGCTGGAGAGGCTTTACTTTCCGATTCATGTTCATGGGAATCACTGGATTGCGGGGTTCATAGATTTTTCTAGCAAGACATTTGGATACGGTCAGTATTAGAATAGCCTTGCTACGTGAATGACTCAACTGACATTACTCATAGGAGACTCTTTAGCTGGACAGGGATCTTGGCCTCCTGATACCTTTGTTCGCGCAGTCAGACGTTGGCTCGATTATCTTGACCTAGGCGCATTCACCAATGAACATGACAGTTTGCTGCACGGAGACCAAACAGACATGTTCTCTTGTGGAGTCGCTACCTTGAATACCATTGCACATGTGGTCTTCGGTGATCCACTATGGTCCCAGAAGCGCAACGTCCGCGAGCGCATCTCATGGTTCAATCGTCTATCTCAACGAGTCAAGAACATGGATTCGGTAAGTGCTTGTTGTCATAAAATAGCATAAGTGTACTCACTTAGAGACAGACTCCCTATGATGCCGTTGATCTAAGTACAGCACACCCCGCACACCCTCAAGACACCTTCACGAGCGATGAGATTGCAGTTGCTGTCGCAATCGGTGATCACAACTTCTTAGATCTTGCCGCATTTACTTCCACCGGCTGTGATGATCGTGAATCCATCAGTGTTGACCAATCTACCTATGGCAAGACACCACCTTCCAGTACTTTCTGCTCTGAATATGAAGCGAGCGAATACGATGCAAGTTGCTATGCGTCACCAGCACCACTGCTCCCTGACGAAACTGAGGTACCCTGGAGTGATGGTCATGGGGTAGATTTATCGTTGCAGAACAGAGGCCTGGTTGGACTGGAGTGGGACGGTGGTGTTAATGACCACCAGTTGGATGTGGATTGGGTGAATTCGGAGCGAGAGAAGAGCAGTAAGGTGAAGGGAACAGCGGTGGGAAGGATTGGTCAGCAACTCGACAGCCAACTTGTTCAAGTTCAACAAGTGGTCACTAGCAGCATCGAATGGGCAACTCGCGCACGTAAACGTTCACATGGGTCATCCACTGGCAGCGAGTATAGTGGCTCCAAGTCAAACCCCTCGAAGAAGATAAAAGCCACTGGCGCAGCATCATCAGGACACCCCCTGACGTCCCCTGATTCACTCTACGAGCGATGGAAGACAAAGCTATTGAAAGACGACTCGTTAGTCAAATTTGATGAGAAAAATCATCTGAGTGCCCGCCATTCCAACTGTGGTGTGAACCTCACCATGCGGACACTTTATGATGACTCTTGCTGGAAAGCTCACTTGAAGATTTGCAAATCCGCGCATTCAAGTGTTGATCAGAAGAAATGGTGTCGCTTTCAGAAAAAGCTTCGTGAAGCAGACCCTCTTGTTCTATTCCACCACTCAAAACCACGCTGTGTTCGTCATTCTGTCTGTGGATCAGATGTCACCATGAAAGCACTGTATGATACATCACGGTGGAAGAGTCACCTCCAGGATTGTGATGAAAACCCTAAAATTAAGGCAGCATCTCGGACCCAAACCCTCCATTCAATGTTCGCGTTCACAAAGAAGTCTAGTCTGCAGCCATCCCAGAAGAGGACTTCGGCCTCGATGACAGCACCATGTCCAGGTGTCACTAGGCATGATTCGGACCATATACCAACCTATTTACACCGGACAGCAGCCATTGGTGGGGGTGCTCGCTCAGTCACAGTCATCGCCAAGGAGAAATTTGGTTCATTATTTTCCAAGCTCAAGGCGAAGCTGAAGAAGATAGTTTTGGACCAACAATTCCACGAGCACCAATGGCAGAATGACCATGCCAACGAGCGTGTGTTCTCTGCACAGTATTGCAAGAAAGTAGTCAATGTGCAGAGTAAGGATGATCCTCCACTCCCCTGCACGCCGTGTAAATCACTTCTTACCAACAAAGCATTCAAAAATGCCATCCAACGACCAATGCCTAAGGATAAGAATTTCATATTCACTAACTACCGGTTCCGCCCTCAGTTACTCGGCGAGATATATGCTCGCTCAATTGGCTTAAAAGATATTATTATATCATCGGTGCAGTTTCAAGTCACTTATTGACCGTTTGGATTGATTACTTACTTCATTACAGGATGCTAAGAATACCCCTTGTATCCGTTTCGCAGAGGGTGTGCTTGCCGGAAAGTACAAAGACCTATCTGTCTTTACGGGACTTGTTGAGGCCATGGTCACGAAAGTCGACCGTACAGAACGAGGCGTCGGAACACAGAACTTCCATTACGCTCCTGCATGGGATGAGTTCTGCCATATCATCAATATACACAGCCCAAGAGCTTATCAAGCTATGGTTCGACAGTTAGCTGGCCGGGGTACACGCAGTTATAGGTTAGCTCATTGACAGTATATATTATCAATATTAGCAAACTCACTGTCTATATAGGGAGAAGGAGGCTCGACTACCCCGGTTTCCAATGAAGATCTGTAATGAGAGCTTTCAGCGTCTGAAAAACCAGCTCACCGCTCTTGGCTATGTCGGGCCTGTTGGACTCAGCTGCGATGATACTAAGCTTCTACCTTCGCTACGGCTGTACTGGGACAAGGACGAAAATTCCTATTTCCTGGTTGGCGGTGTTGATGGACCAATCCGAGTGGTTAATGCCGATGAAATAAAGCAAGCTCTACGAGATGCATCAGTGGTCAAAGCAGAGAAGGTATGGACGGGATTTATCAACAAATTAAACCACTAATACTGGTGGCTCTAGCTCCGCATTTGGTGTGTTACGATCCCTCTCCCGAAAGTGACACCAATTATATTTGCCTGCATGGGAATCCCCAACGACCTCTCTGCGAGCACACTCTACGTTTATCTGAAGCAAGTCCTTAACGGACTCATTGAGAACGATATCCCGGTTGTTTCTTACGCATGTGATGGAACCGAGGTCGAGCGGTCAGTCCAGCGCAAACTAGTCGCAGATTGTGAAGCCAGCGGAACAGTTAAGCGGTACATGATCGACTCGGATGGTCAAGGGGGCACACCCATCAAGATCACCGTGCCTGTTTTCAATGGACAGCCTATTGTCATGATCCAGGATTCCAAGCACGCATTAAAGACTTTCCGCAATAACCTCTTCGCAGGAGCTCGCCTTCTGACTCTCGGAAACCACATTGCGGCATATCGATTCGTTCAAGAGATTGCATTCATGCCGGGATCCCCTTTATATCATCGAGATGTCGAGAAGCTTGACCGACAGGATGATAACGCTGCCGCTCGCCTGTTTTCTGCTGCCACCCTTGAATTCATCGTCGCAACACGCCCACAATATGTTGGGCTCATTGTTTACCTCTTCGTCTTTGCGGAATTGGTGGATGCGTATCAGAATCGAGCTATTTCACACCTCGAGCGCATCAAGATGGCACTCCGCGCTTACCACTTTATCAACATGTGGAAAACATACCTGACGGCAACCAAGCACAAGCACACGCAGCATCTCATCTCTCGCGAAGCCCTTGACATTGCCAACATAATTATCGAGGGTCTCATCGGCCTTGTTCTTGTATACCGAGATCACATCAACAGCAGCACGATCCCATTGCTCCCATGGCTGCACTCTACGGAAGCCTGTGAGCACACCTTCGGCGAGGCCAGAGCTGTGGTAAAAGACTTCACATTGTTGGATTTTGTATATATGGTACCGAAGCTCAGTGTCAAATTGCGGGAGGCAGTCATGATGGCCAAGGTTACGGGCGAGAAGAAGACTGCAAGTGGGTATTGCCACACCTATTTCGACTGCGATACGTCCAACCTAGCTGCACTAGCTGTATTTCCTTCCGATGTTGACATCGTGGCAGCATCGAACGAGGCTTCTCAGGACGCCGATAACTTATTTGATTTACTAGGGGTCCGTCCGTCGCAGTTGCACAAGATCATGAAATCACACGCACCAGAACCCATTTTACCTTCGGTCAACTCATGGCTCAATGACTCTGACGTCGACTCAGATGACGAAGAAAGTGTCTGTGAAGCGCAAGAGTTGCAGAGGATGGTTGATGCCGAAGAAGCTAGTCTCATACCACGCAGCAACAAGGATGATGAGCGTGTGATGTCTCTCACTTGCACAGGTATCGTGCTTGCTGTCGACGACTTCATTGCAGTGTAAGTACTGATGAAGTGTTGCTCAACATAACAACAGTAATTGACATGGCTGCTTTCATAGGCAATCTATGCAAGAGCCTGACGAAGAGGCCATAGAAGAATCCCTTGCCGAAGAGTATTCAAATATTTGTACTTCACTGAGATTGGCCAACGTCTCTACTCTATCTGTACCTTCAAAGCCCCTCGGACAAGGCTCATTCACCATGAATGAGATCAGCTTCACTGATCTCATCAATTATCGACGTCTTCACCAGACTCAACACGCACTCAAGGCTACTCGCGTTCAACTTCGAGAAAACAGTGACGAGGATCTTGATTATCTTCCGAAACCCCCGCAGTCGCTCCGCCTCCAATTGACTCGCGAATTTCATGCCATTCTGAGGGAGGACCAGTTCCGTGGTGTTACAACAGGACTCGGACGAGCAAAGCGTATACAAGGCAGCGCTGATAGTACACCAACAATTGGTAACGCTGCAAATGCTGTACTGGCTGCCGATGCAGTCACCCGTAAGGTATGTGACAGTATCTTAAACACTGTTCAACAAATAACTGACCGCATCTCTCTCGAAGAATGCTGAAACTCGCTCGAGGTTGTATTCCACAGGCGGATTCACAGGAATCCTACTATCTCGAATCAAAACGGGTGATATTTCGACCACTCGTCGCCTTGCACTTGGCGACATTGGGTTCATATTCCTCGAACAGGGTCTTATGCTCGGTGAAGGTGTGTCGTGTATCTCAAGAACATCGGACTGCATCTGACTACGTTTACAGTTGTGGTGCTATATGCCAAAGGCGGCGGTAAGAATGGTCGACATGCGTCACAATCAGAAGCGTTCAATGTTGCCGCAATGTCATGGATAGGCTTGAAGGTGTACGAGCACGTTTGTGGGCGGCGATTTAGCAACATCACGGATACAACATCGCATTTCCTTACTCGTCACTTTGCAACCCTTCCCTCGCTCGCCTTCTTGTCCAGGCTCAAGGATGCCCCGTTAAAACCTGCAAATTCAAGTAGCAACATGGAGATAGAGTTGACGGAGCAAGACTGGGAAGTATATAGGCAGTTATATGCATCGAAAGCGAAGCTAACAAAGGTAATGGTACTATCAAGGAAGAAAAATAAGACTGCATGGTTATTGGACGATTCGGAAGGGTAGAATGGGAGCTACATGTGTGGGGGAGTCTGTATACACTGCATAAAGCTTTCGTGAGGCATCTACTAGCCTTGTAGAGCCCGCGGGATGCCTAATACCATATTTCAGACATTTTGAGAGCCCTAGAAGGCCTGAACCGAAAATTCGGACAAATTGTGAGGCCCGCAGGGCCTCCTCCGAAAAATGGACATTTTTTCGAAATTTGAGAAGGGCCGGGTTCAAATCAGACACTTTCGGGCCAAATCCATTCAGACATTTTGGGCCTCGCTGGATCAAGCCTTCACGGTCATAAACCAGGGTCCTGGTCGGGCTCGGGTTCTCGACGTAATCCGTTGTACACGGGAGATGACTACTCAGAAGTCTCATATTGTAGGAGAGTCAGTCCCTGGAAGTCAAAGTCCAAAGGTCGAGAAGATTCATTTACCTCAAGCTCATCTGGCGAAGCAAAAGCCGGTGCGGCTGAGAGTCATCGGTAATGCCATGAACGGGTCACCGGTCGACATTGCAGTGGCGGAGGCTTCTGGCTCAAGTCAATGCAATTCGTGGATCGAGCCTGGTCGAGGTACGTCGGGTAGGGCTGGGAGGGTGGAGAGGGGAAGCTACGCATTTCCGGCCTCGATGAGTATACGGTTCAAGATAGTATGACTCGGAGCCAGAGTTCGCCTAGAGAAATCTATTTACCTCCTTCACAGCTGATTGCAGGTGAATCAACCCAATGCTCAGCTGTTGCCTGACTGTTCCATCTTATCGGCTTCGTTACGTTTCATGCGCATCGACTTCTTACATCACATTCAGAACCAGGTATGTGCTACATATGCATGCAACACTGTCTTCCCTCATTCCACATAAAAATAAAACACCACTTATCGTGTCTAATTTTCGCATCGAAGCCATGTTGCATCTATACAGCATGCAAACCCTGGGCGTTACGAATGAACCCACACGCGACCTTGTGATTTCTATCCATATTTCATCAGTTTGGACGCCACCAGACAAGCAACCCTGCCGTGAACTATGTGGTGTTTCTATTATGCTGTTGAGCACACAAAAGACGCAAAATAAGACGAAGATAACTTACGCCCGTACGGCAGGTGAGAGCCGGGATACCTAAACAACAAACTGCGCCATCGTCGCTGTTCTTGGATCCTGTCCGTGAACCGGGTGCAGAGCGTGCCGATCACCAGAATTCCAGCGACACCACCGTTGTAAGGGATGAGTATCATCAGTAATTCTCATCGTATAACATCAATATCTCGGTATGTTTCCCAGAGAGACACGGTCTGTTGCGGTAACAATCAACAAGTTGACAGTCAGTGGACAGAGGATGATAACCGTGGTCCCAACCGTGTCCCTAGAGTTGGTATCCCGGCAGCCCTGGGCCTTGGTTTATCGGCGGGTCGTTATAACGTGGTTTCGGTTCGCCAATCAAAACCTGGGGTAAGAAAACACGTTCAATCGTCCTGCCCGGATAGCGACCGCGACGGAACTGTGGAATCAACGCCTCTGGTCAGCTATGGCCGAACAACGCCTGCGGCATATTATTATTTCTCTTCGCTTCAGCTTGTTGTTATTGATGCTTCCTCCGTTTCCAATCCTGAGTACAATGAACAAACAACAACTGCAACTTAAACAGGCACCGTCGCCGCACCACCAACGGGCCAAACCATGGAACTTCTAGTAATCGCATGCATATGGCTAGGTACATTTTACCTCGGGGAAGCGGTTGCTGTTAGAGCTGTTGGACATTGGGCCCTTGGTAAAACTTGGTACTTGGAAGTATATGATAGTCTGCTTACGGGGGTATGCTGACGATGATCATCGATTGGCGCCTTGTGATGTTTTGCATAGCATGGAGAGTAAGTTGGGTATTTGGAATTCAGGAGAGGAGATCTGATCGAGATGTTTTAGGGATGGCGGTGGAGTTTTTGGATCCAGACTTGGAGGTGGAACTTTAAAGAGGGAAAGGGAAAGGGTCCATCAGAATGCTCCTGCAAGTAATATATTGTATTGTGCAGCGCGTGCTTGAAGGCCAAAGGTACTGGTGCCAGCCACACGAGTACGATGAGGGACTTGTGCGGAGCACGTAGTTGGATGCTGCCATAAGATGATGTGATGATGCCATTCCTGTAGCTTGCTGCGTTCCAAATCAGTTGAGTCACTCATAAATGTTGGTCTAGGTGTAGCTGGGTGCTATTGTTGTCAGGCAAGTGCTCTCGTCGACTTCGGCGTCTCAGCCTCCTCCTATTTATCCCTGTATGATGCGTATCAGGGCGCGGTCATCGCATTTGGGTTAGAGATGGAGTTTGACTCTTTGATGCGCTTCGACGCAGCATCATGCAGGGTTGCGTTACTCATTATCGCAGTGCGGGTTGCATCATGATCAGGAGGAGCACGAGGGAGCACGATTGAATAGAAAGTCGGATCTGCATTGATCAAACCACTCAGACAATTCCACTTTCGTTACTCGTAGGACAGCTCTGATTCCGAGAATTGTTCGTAATTTGCGTCGAAACCTCATGAGCACTGGCGACTACATCCTGACCAACTTTCATGACGATATTTATCCGCAGATGCTTCTAGTTTCTGGGCCTCGCCGACTCGGAATGAGCTTGGGGGTATTCCAAGAGGGGATACAGTCGAGTCTCTTGACCTCCACCTCCAATGGTGTTAAGCCCATCTCTAAAGAAATGTGGATGTTCAGGGTGGAGTATCTGCATTCGGCCGCTGTATGGGGACCATAAGACCTCAGCTCTGATTCGTTCGCTCATAGGGATCGACAACCCGGAGGTTACGAGAAGGTGCATGTATTATCATGTAAACACGCATATTCCCTCCGAGCTATCAATTGCCAGTCAGGCTTTGGAACAGCGCTGCGTACCTACGTACATGATTGGTTCACAAAGGGACGAGGAACTCGGACGACTCCCGAGGGAGTGCTTCTCATCTTTCTTCCTCGCGTGGTGGGGGTCCCTCGTTATCAATGCGTGGTTTGCACCCTCTGTTCCGCCGGCCCGTCAGAGCACGTACTCGAGTCCATCTAGGCGAAAGTCAGGAAGGACCAATTAAATTCACATACAGTGGAGACTGCCCCCCTTCCCCTGCACAGTGCAAGCGAGAGTGCGGATCAGAAAGGTGTCGGTGGCTTCGGCTAGCCGCACACCTTGACCCATCGACCCGAAGCAAGGCAAGTATACTCCGAGACACGGTGACCCCTCACTCCTAGCAGCAGGCAGCAGGCCTCGATGAATGTCCGACCTCCTAGTAATTTGAGTATTTTGAACTGAGTGCGGAGAGGGGAGTCGGAGGAATTGGATGGGTCAAGGCGGAAATAAGGAAATAAGGAGGCCGGGTTCCGTATATACCAGGAAACCTGCGGTGAAAAAAGAGGAAATTTTAACGTGTGGCGCGGCTGTGGTATGTCGATCGTCCAAAGGCTTTCGTTGGTAGATGATCGAGTGTCCGTCGAGAGAAGATGCTCGGAGGGGATTGGTAAGATCTGGCGGCCGAGTGGTCAAGTTTCTTCCAAGCACGATGAATCATAGTGGAGGTAGAGCTAGATGAGATAGGCCTTATCTACACACTTAATTCCGAGTCGTGCGTGCGTGCGTGCGCACGATCATCTGCTTTGGACCGCCGGTACTCTGATTTTGTGATGATAAGCATTATTTGGTGCAGTGGGGTAGCGGGAGTATATACAGCGATGAATGGCGACATCCTTGGTGGTAGGGTTGGTTATCAGTGAGCAGTGCACGAGATGCGGCTTGTACGGTCGCTGATCGCTGCGATCGAGTCCATCGGGGCGGGGCGATGGCCGGAGAGTTGGAGGCGCACACTGTCGATCTTCCTGGACAGCGCGTGTTGGTCTGTGTTGGTATCCTGGAAATTCGGAAGACGTCTATCATTCTCTCACCGCCATATCTGCTTCCAGTTCACTGACTGGGGGCTGAGACTCAAGCAAGGGTCCGGAAAGGCGGAGATGCCAGGAGTGCCATGTGAGCACGTGGATGTGCCTCAGGAAGTCGAGCGCAGTGAGCTATGTTGCTGCTGGGCCCGCTTGTGCTGTTTCCTGTAGCTGCAGCGACGAGCAGCAACGTCCCCCCCTCGAGTCGAAACACGGAGAGTCTCTTGCCTGCAGTGTTCTGCTTGCGACGAGATGAGGCGGAGGTCATGTGATTTGGTGCTTGTGATTGGAGATAACCCAGTTTGGGAGTCGCAGATAAGGTTCTGGTTGGAGATGACCGGGTTTGTGGTTGTTTGTGTGTGAGATTTGTTTCGACATTTATGGAAGTGGATTTGATTGAAGGCGCTTTTGAGGTTTACAAAGTCCCCAGAGTCATCTCCCTTCTTTCCCCCAGCTCCCCTTCCCCTTCCTTCACCCCCTCTCCTTCCCGCCTCTCCCGCAGCCCAAGTGAGGATACCGCCTGAACGTACGTGCCCGCCCCCGACGCCCGCCCTTCCCCTCGTCGTACTCACCGTTGCACCCACAGATCTCGCGACCCTTGCCGGCTTCTACTATTCCGCCCCCCAACCCACTTTACCCAGCAATATTCGCTTGAGCCCTGCTCGCGACAGCCATATCACAAACCCACCTCATCCGCAGTCTTTGGGATTCCGCAGATTCTATCGCGTACCCCATTTTCTCATCTTGAACTACATCAAAGCAAATCGCTACTTTCTTTGAATGGCCATGACTCTCCCAATTCCTTCTTCGCCTTCTGCGGGAAACTCTCCAGCTTCAGAGGAATCGAACGCCCCACGCACCCCCCTCTCGCCCACTCTGCCTCTTCCAGCAGAGCAAGCTTCCAATGCCAACACCCAGTCTGCTGCTGCTGCAGCGAATGCAAACAACCAGGGACAGCCCAAGCGTAAACCAAGCAGGCGCGCAAACACGGCAGAACGCCGAGCAACTCACAATGCTGTCGAACGCCAGAGAAGGGAGACACTGAATGGCAGATTTTTGGTATATCCTTTTGCCGTTGATCTAGGAGATCAGACGACTGATCGTTCCACAGGATCTTGCTGCATTGCTACCGAACCTTTCTCAGATCCGTCGCCCGTCCAAGTCGTCCATCGTAAACTCGTCCATCGCCCACATCCATGCTTCTCGCCGCCATCGTCTCCTGGCTGCCCGCGAGCTTCGCGCCATGAAGGTTGAGGCCGATGCTCTCCATCGCGAGGTCAACATCTGGAGAGACCGTGCCGGCCTCCCTCGTCTTGAAGAACCTGTTCGCAGCGAAGCCTTCAGCATGGTCCTCTCTGGCGAACTCGAGGTCATCGCTGCAGTTCCTGGCGATGATGAAGACGAAGACGGCCAAGGGTACGGCAATTATGGCGACGACGACGAAGACTTCGCCGGCCCAATGGGCAACGTCCACGGATCTCACGATGACATGGACGAACGCCATGCTGGTCTCTCCATGCTCAAGAACGCCAACGCCAACCCTTTTGCTCACAGCTTGCCACCCAACGCTGGCGGAAATCATCTTACCCACATCCTTCCCAGGCCGGCCCAAGGCGGCCCGATGATCTCCAGCCCCACTGTTGCAACATTCGAGAACCCCGCCATGGGCGCCATGTATGAACAGCACGAGAGTGCCCAGCATTTCATGCAGCAGCAGTATCCCGATGTAGACAAGGTTACCGCATGGAACACGACCCAACTCTACCAACAGCAAAGCATGCTCCAGGCACAACGGTCCTTGTTTACTCCTCCCGCTACATCTCATGGTCTCCCCTCAAGCCAGTCCAACCCGTCTTACGCTGATCAAGCTCTGTTCGCCAACTTCCAACGTCAACAGCAGCAACAACAGCAGCAGTTGGCCGCGATGCAGCAGAACAACCATGGTCACATGTTTGGCTCTCCCGAGCGCGACGACGCATCTTCTGTCGGCTCTGTGAACATTAGTGACCACGGCCGTGGACGCAGCGGAAGTTTGGAGGCTGGCAGCGGCTACGGGTCCCCCGTCGGTGCGGGTCATGTTTCTTCCTCACCCGGGAGCTTTGAGATGCCCAGTGCGTTGTCGTCGGGCGAGTACATCCCCCGACGGATGACGAGTGGAGGAGCCGGTTTGCATGTGAACACGGGCGTGTCTGGTGGTGCGCCGGGATCGTGGGCTAGGGATTCGGATATGAGCGGGATGGGTGGGATGATGAAGCAGGGGCTCGCGTCGCCGCCGATTAGCGTTGGTGGTGGCGGGAGTGGCACTGGCTTCGCCATGATGATGTGAAGAACCGGAAGTGAACCACCTCGACGATAATCCACTCTCTAGACGTCGAGTCCTCTGGCTTCATTTCCCCTTCCTATGAGCTCTTTCCCACGTTTCCGTTGAACCGTTCCTGCTCTACGTTTTGTTGCTGTTGATCCCTTCGGGCCAACGACCTTTACCTTCCTTCATATCGTGCCGTTCTTCAATAATCCTGGACTCACACTCTTTCTTGATCTTAAGTATAAACACCACACCCTCATTATTTATCTACTACTGTTTCCCCTCCCAGCAGCTTGCCCAGCGCACTTATTACCCAGGATTTGATACGGCCGGCCCTGTGTATTAATCTACCCCTCGTCCTGCACTTTGGCATTGGCGTTTGTTTTCTGGCCCTTCATCGTTCTATACCCTCCCCGCCCCGATGTAGCTTGCTCCCTGTCACGACTTCACTCCATTTCCTCCGCATTTCGACTCCCTCACCTCAGCACGCTCATCCCCTTCTCCGCTTGGCTGACGACTATCATACTATGATGTGTCTCGCCACGCGGTTAAGCCCCTCATCATTACTCAAACAACTTCACGACGATGTTGATGTAGCATTTATCACTTCCCTCTCGCGGCCACTCCGCCCACACTTGCACCCGAATACCGATTCCCACCAGCCCCACGCACTTTCGCTGGTCTCTCATCTCACCACCCCTCACCCGTTCGCATTCGCGCGTCCATTGCTCTCGCACATACCACACTATAGCACTAACCTCGACCTTTCCTTACTCAACCCTGTGTAACAAGAATTCCCTTAGCCTCGTTTGTTCCAACATCTCACTGTGTTCCACGTTCGTGAGTATCACTATATATATGCTAAGATTATATACAATACCATTATTGCGTTCGAAAACTTGGCAGCAGCATTTTTGGTACTTCGCATTGGGCCATGAGTTTTGATTGTGGTGTTGTGGTATTCACTTTCACATTTTGTGCGTCGAAAAACTGTGGCTTATTTGTCGTTTTTGGCCGTTTTTGTTTTGGGTTTACTGTATCGATAGGTCTTTGGTTATAAAAAATGGACAAGGATTCAAAATGATTCTTTGCATATATAACTCTGCATAGCTACTATATGCGTTGTACACAATAGAAAAGATAAAGACAGCAAATTGTTGAACCAGGTGGTCGTCGTGATACTTGACTTTGACAGCCACCGCTGCCAAACGGCATGACACCTTGCCTTCGCACCACCACGACCATTGACGGACCCTTCATCCCAAGCCGCCGGTGTTCGGGAAGCCTCCCGCTTCGGCTGCCATTTCTTCTGTGGTCGCTGAGCTTGGAGATGCAGGAACCGGAATCTTGAGGTACGCCATCACCATCAACCTTGCCATCAGTATCATTCAGATCTTTCTGATTATATGTTCAGTACTGCGCCCATCGCTGCGATAGAAGTCCTGTTTTTAGCGGACAATCTAGCCCTTAATCGTGGCGCGCCAGTAGTCTGCTCGGTGGTGCGGGAAAAGGACGGACAGCCTGGCCTGGATCCCTGGAGCTGGTGTCCTGGCGCGATCTGTCGGATATACTGCGAATTTCGAACGGCGGCAGAGTCAACGGTCTTTGCGAATTTGCTTTTCGCAATTTGACAAAGTTCCGTCTTTGTGCGGCCGTATTCATCCTCAATCAAGACTCAAGATGCTTCTTCCGCATCGATGCGACTATGTACAGCAGTCGAAGAGTTCTTCCGGCGGCGCCCTATGAAAATTTACTGCCCCCGTTACAACTGGAATTGTACCCGTATGTAAGTGCCAAAGCGTCAATTTCATAAAAACGATCCCCGCAATAAATGCGTCCTCCATTTCCGGAAAATTGAGCCGATGGCAGTAGGGTGTCAGGCGGCGCTGCTGTGCTTGTTTCTAAGCAAGAGGCTGAGCAAACCCTAAGAAATTTTTAGGCTTCGATGCTGAACTTTGAAGGGCACGCAGACGCCGGAGGCGATTGGGTTTGCGTTCAGCCAAGAGATATGCCGTTTCTATCGGTACATGCGTTCATACTCCAAGGTGCCAGCAGTGCAAGTCACTTAACGGATTAACGGCAGTATGAGCTATCACTGGAGAGCCTGGGGACCGGATCCTCGGAAGGTCTTTCGATTTGCCTTATTGTAACAATGGCATTGCTGCCCCGGTCATCCGAGTCTGGTGTTGGAGTCGTCCATCAACAGGCCCGGAAGATACAGGCAGAAGCAAGAATCTAGAGGAGATTGCATCCTTGGTAAGTGCCCTGGCTTGTCATTTTGAAGTAACGTAACTTTCGTACTAACAATAACCTCCAATGAAGGTTCACCACATCTCCAAGGTCCTAGATCGACCCTTCGACTAGTTGAACGAACTTACTGTAGATGAAATGCGTTGGTTGGTGGACACAAGGCGGGTATGCTCAACTGCCTTTTACTCTGGTATGATGTGCTGTCTCAACAGCTTAGATTACAAATGCTGAATCTTTGGTCTGAATAGGTTTAATGGAGTGTGAGCCAACGGGATTTCCGACTTGCTCGTCATAGCCTGTTGAAGGAAGGTTCAAGTCCGCTTCGGTCTTCGGTGGACCATTGTGAATTGGTGGAGACCTTGGCCGAATGTACGGGAAGGTACGACCAACAGGACTTGCGGACGTCGTGGGATCTCTGCGTCAATCGACATCCAATGAATAGAAAGGTGGGAGTGCATCAGGAAGCCGTATATTCGTCTCGTGAACTGAAGTTTAGACCAGCCTTTGTCCTAACTAAGGTCGTTGATAACCGCTGACGATGTCAGCTGTTCGCTAGCTCTCTTCGACGACTTACCAACAATTCCCTACACCGTCAATCATGATGCCCAGTGAGCTATTTTTCTGTCGAAGACCCAAGTAGCGTCAAATCTGCTTAGCAAATGATTGATGCACATCATATACGGAGAATCCTCTGGGACTTATTTTCGACATATTTGAGCACACGGCTCCCATGATAATTGGGCATCTCGGACACGGCTGTAATCAGTGGGAAAGTAGAAGGTTTGATATCGCTAGTCGTTCTTCGATAGATGGGGGGGATGATGATGGATCGGTCGAGGTGAGCCTTCACTTATTATGCTTCTTGGTCCAGCTGCCCCCTCGCAACCAAGGCTGACTTACGGGTTTAGGGAAGTCTCGATTCTTTCGAATATACGGTATCTGTATGGCACGAAATGTCCCCACCATCAGAACGGGCAGACATCGCTTCTTTATCATAGTTTTGTTTGCATGTGTCGAGCTTACGACACGCTTTAGATTGCGTTGAGATTGGCTCGGATATTCCGGAAGGTTCTTTAGTAAGTACTTACTGAGTTGTTCTCGTGACTAGTCGATGTTATTAATAACAGGACTAGGTATTCAGTGCGGGCGCGAGGCGGAAATATCAACGAGAATCCATTTTCGTCTGCCTGCGGTCTTGAAGTCTGCGCGAATCTCGAGCTGCCAACTGGCACTTGTCAAGGTTGAGCGCTATGCCGATATCGATTACTGCCTTGCCGGGGCGGGATATTGTGCGTCTTTGATGCACTCTAAGACGATCTAAGACGAACACAGTAATAAACCATACACGCGACTGGAGCGCAGATGTCTGCGGAAATCTCTCGGATTGGTATAGAAGGTGAACTCCATCGTAGGGGATTTCTACGTCATTTTAATCTCATCTCCCTTCACAGATCGCGCGTATGCACCATAGGTACGAGGCCATGTATTCCAAAATGAATATCAGGAGTTCGCGAATGCTTCTGTGGACCACATCTCCTACTCCTATAACAGTGAATCATACCTACTCGTACTTGCTCCTTCCGTCCATCTTCGCCGCATCGGGACCAGGATTGCAATCCCTCCATTGGGGATTCCGCTGGCGTTCCTCTCGGACGACGCTTCTGATACTTTTGTTTGCTCCTTGTACTTTCTGTGGTTCGAGGTCATATGATAGAAGGCGTCACTCCCTTCCCCGGCTCTTCGACAGGCCTATGCCTTTTACCCCAGTGTCTCCCTCGCTGTCGGGTGACCATATCTTTCCACATGACTTGTTTCCGTGTGCGGGGCCCTCTTAGGCGTTCGTGCCCGCTTCCCCACATCGCGTGCTCGGGGAAAACTTTGCGAAGCCGAAACATAATTCACGAGGACGGGGAACTTGGATTAGAATGGAATAGCGCGCGAGTACTGACCGTCCCGTGAGCTTTTGATGATGCCCACCCTGGCCACGCAGTTGGTGTTCGCCTGCTGGGTTGACGGTATGTCCTGCGAGAAGCGTGATTGGTAACAATGCCTGGCGCATAGTTACGAGGTAACAAACCCGACGCTCCGACCACGTGATCACGTACGAACTTTACTTGAACTTGAGAAGTTCAAGCTCAAGCATTGAAATGAACGACTAGTAACCAACATGGCCTCCCTTCAGTTGAACCCTGCCCCCTCACCTTGGGGCTGCCAGAAAAAGCTACCTACTACCAAACTAGAACGTTATTATCTCGACGATACTGATATGACTCAACACTACTCGATCTGCGACCTTAAACTTCTTACCTCCCACAAAAACACAGCTGTTTACAAGGGAACACTAACGCTGCCCGATAAAGCAGGCGCCGTGAGTGTAGTGGTCAAGACAGACTTCTTCGCCGAATCTCCTCGACCCAGCGCCTTCGAGCATGAGGCCGACATGTACGAGCTTCATCTATGGGACCTTCAAGACAAAGCAATACCGCACTGTTATGGTCTCTTCCAGTATGGCGGAGAGGATGGCAAAGTCTCCTCTTTCCTTGTCCTCGGTGACTGTGGTACGCCAATAGAGGATCCCCGTAATTTCACAGACTCATACAAGTTCGTTCATTCTTCTGATTCTTGTGGACAGTGGCATCGGCTGAGTGTCTGGTTTTAGATCAAAAGTTATCGATGCCGTGTATTTCATTCACTTCGCAGGTTTCACGCACGGAGACCTTTCTTACCACAATATCCTGAACAAAGACGGTTGCCCTTTCATCATCGACTTCGAAACGGCTAAGCCACACGTATGTGGAATGAAAGAAAAGGTATTCATTGGTGAGGAGAGGAAACAACTTGGCTGTGCTGAGATGATGCGGTGTGCTGCATTAGTGCGGGCTTGGGCAGATGGTGTGAACGCCCTTCTCTCCCTCATCTTATACTAATTGTGTTCGCTAGTGGATGTCAAGTTGGAGGGTGTCTACACGTTCCTGAGAATGGACCTTCGCCGCGGAAACATAGATTATCTGCTATCCCGCCTCGCCCATTACACTGACAACGCCAGCGTATATCGCCCGTACGTGGAAGAGTTGGTAGAGCAAGTTGAAGCTGAACGAGAGCACTATCGCAACATGCCCCAAGAAAGGCGCCTCATTGTGCCCGAGTAATATTTCTGTTTTCCCTGTCCCTGTTGCCCGCGTTTCTCAGCCGCAATGTCGCTACAACGCTTTGTAGACGTCGAATAATGCTTCGCAGATTACTGTCGTAAGCCTATTCGTCAGGTCATCAACTTCTACAGACTTTGCAATCGCTTTTCTACGATGGAATTGATGTTATTTCAACGAAAGAGCTTCGATGTTGAGGATACATCCCACAATCAGCGGCGCAAACACATCTTAAGACTCCGTTACCGAAGACACCTGACTCTTGTTAACTCTGACACAAGGTATCGACATATACTTACAGCGATAACAGTGACCAGTTCGGGAATTGCACTGAACGTTAACTGCATCGCGTCCGTCCCTCAATTTTGACGGTCGACTCGCGTGTTATCTTCGTGCCCTTGATGTTCCCTAGTCCTCGAATTTGAAACCGTCGGGATCAGGGACTAGTGATTGTGATATAACATGAGATGCCTATCTCGAGTCTACAACCTTCTTATCGTCTTCTCGTTACCTTTTCCTGCTCACCGTTCTGCCACCAGAAATGGACACCCCTCGGACGTTTAAGCTGAGCATAGATAAGCTCGAGCACTTCGGATGCTCCTTTCGCCTACACCTAGCCCCTCATCTAGTCGCTCATACTGAGTGTCCATCATAAACGCAGTTGAAGAGACAATCGAAGCCCCCAGAGGCACCTCCAACTACACCATCACAGGGCAGGGATTTGAGGCGCCTGATTTGAGTAGGATCGAGAGGTGGAGTTGGTTGGAGTTGATGCCCATGGGATCCCTCCATCCAAGTGAGTTCAATCGCGACGCACACATGCCATTTCCTTTCCTTGGGATACCCTTCTTTGACGTTCTACTCAATGGCAAAACGCTGACACGTAGACGCGCAGCTCCTGAAGGACCCTTGGAATCTCAGTGGAAGAACGACCCTGTTAAATGGCAGCCAGATGGATATCCAACTTCTCATCGGGATGGTTGACGGTGTGCATTTGAAGTTGATGGGGGCCGAAGGAACCCTTCAGACTCACTGCGTGCTCCCACCATTGCCCCCAACTGTCAGCATCTTCGTCGAAGGTACCAATTTCGAGGGGAAAATCGGAACCTCTGACCCAACGCAGAGTTTCATCAGCATCCCTTACTACGTCCATGACGACTAGAGTTGGTACGGATTCGAATATTCTGCGAGCATCTAGGCCTCTGGATTCAAGGAATCGCACATATTTCAACTTGGTTGTCGCGAATTTTGATAAGATAGATGGGGCAGGCCTCTAGGTAATGCGTAAGCAGTAGCTTCATAGACGAGCTAGTGTAGTAGTAGGGATCTCACTGGATCGTCCATCAGGAAATTGAGTTGAAGGTATTCTAGATTTGGGAGGTTGAAGTTGCCTGGGGAGCTTAAAGTAGTAGACGCGTCTTGCAAAGCCAAAGTGGGGGTGGAGGGAAGCCGTCCGACGGTATGTATGACTGCAGGTCCGTCTGAATGCCGGAAGATAGTGAGGTTGAGAACCGAAGGCATTGTGTTCTTGATCCGCAACGACGCGTCAAAGACTATTGCTAGTGTACGAAGAGTTGGGAGTGCGTCGGATGTTAATTCAATAATGTGGCCGTTGGTACTGCTACTAGAGAGCATGATGGACTCTAGTGTTGGATGAGACGAAAAGAACCACGTCAAATCCCCCGAGCAGAGGCGGCGGTCCAAGATGAGATGGGTCAGGTGTGCACTGGCTGGGAGTAGGGACAATACTCCAGGGCTGGCGGCTTGGCGACTTAAGCGGAGGCGTCTGACGTTGACTAGGTAAGGAATTATGTGGTCAACGTCTGGTTCGACATGTGGTGGAGCGGCGTAATATGCTCGCGGAAAATAATATGTCGCGAAGGATGTGGTGAGCTGAATGCCTGGGTTCGCTTGCACATCGCGGCGCAACGTGTTGATCGAACGAAGATCGGCGGCCAAGTTCAAAGAAAAGGACATGTCTTCGTAGAGCTGTCGCAAGGCGATCGAGTTGAATTGACGAGATACGAGCAGGAGCTTTGATAGAGTCTTCACGTCACTGACTTCACCCACGATCGCAGACAAGATTTCGGTTGGTAGCTCCATTCCAATCTAAAGAGACAGTGAACTTCTAATAGGATTTAGGATACCGCGACGTGCTTCCAGACAGAAGTCGTACTGGTAATGTTGTGGTAACTGGCAGTGGCACAATACTGTATCAGCGAGCGACGATCGATAATGGGCATGCCTAATCATTAATCAGCGCTTGATGCCGCGTTGCTACACTTTTGCGTGACTGACCGGGTGCTGTGAACATACAAACGAAATTGAGTAAAAATGCTACGATAGGTACCTCTGAAATATGTCAACTCAGACCTGCCATCCCCTCAAACCAAGCCACCACCGCGCCAACCTTCCTAACTGTGGCATCACTATATCCAAGTCGAAGATCGGGTCTGTATTGCATGTCTTCTGAGTTACTAGGCATGGTACGGAAACATATTTGTAAGCGTGACTTCAGATTTGGAGATGCAGTGAGGGTGGTTGAAGCCGAGGAAGAAGGGGAAGTCTCTTTGGATATGCTGAGATCTAGGAGATGTAGTGAATTAAAGAAATTGCTTCTGAACAGAGGGGGCCCTACTTTCAAGGAACACCACGTCACCACGCTTGATACCAGAAGCATCTTCCGCCCCCCAACATTCCGCTATCTCTCGCCAGGCCGTTAGCTTACAGACACTGCCTTCGTCATCGCCTAAGATCATCTTGAGGAGGGACACCTCCTTCCCAGCATTCAGGCCCTTCTTGATGTGGATCACGTCTGGGCCTTCGATTTCTAAGACAGCAGCGAGTACGCTTGCTTTTGAGTACGCAGGCGTCTTCGAGACTTTCGCTAACTTTAGCAGAGTATGCAAGTCGAAAGTAAATGAGGGGAAGCGGATGATCGAGGAGGCATCCGAGGAATAGGCAGATATCTCTTGTGTTTCTTCTTCCTGAGTAGCATACGTGTCATCTCGCGAGAGCACCGCAGACTTCGACTTGTCAATGGTCTCTGCTCCAGGTTCCCCATCTTCGAGACTTTCGTCCCAGGAAATTGCGGTGGTCTGGCCTAGTCAAAGTCTTTTAAGCAGGAATGCATTTCCGAGGCTAGTAACGCACCTTCTAGGAAAGTTCCATCTGGAGCCCCTTCATCTCCTTCCTCATCGTCGAAGATAATGTGCTTATAAAACTGAGAGATTCGCACGCTCGCTGCCTGCAAGGTAGCTGGGGGGAATGGTTGCGTTCCTGCAGGCCTTGTGCTGGCCGACGGCGATGTCGATGAGACGTTTTGCCAGCGAAAAGAAGCCGGATCCTTGGAAATATCGTTCTTGGTTGGAGCCCCTAGGAAGACTCTGAACATTGTTGGAGTGGTCACATGACTGAGCATCGGGCGCGGTAACGTGATGTTGCCCGCTTTGGATGCGACAGTTCATTCTTTTCGACATCTATTCCGTACTGTCACATAGCCCCGCCTCGACACGATGAGCCAGTTTTTAGAGCTCTACGACCCGCTGGATATCATAGGAAACGGGTCGTTTGGTATTATTAGAAAGGTCCGCAGGAAAACGGACGGTATGGTGAGTCGCATCCCGGTACACCGGTGGCGAGTCTTGCGCTGACATTTTGGGAAGATATTTGCACGAAAGGAACTCAATTTTGAGCGCATGACTGAACGCGACAGAAAGCAGATTGTTGCCGAAGTGTTAGTATTGCGACTGCTCACTCTACGGTATCCCCATTCTGATCACATTCATTAGGAATATCTTGAAAGATCTCCATCACGACCACATTGTACGATACCATGACCGATACGTCGACAAAGAAGCCGGCATTCTCTATATTCTAATGGAATACTGTGGTGGTGGCGACCTCTCGGGCGTCATCAAGCAAGCTCAGAAACACAACCGACCAATATCAGAAGACGCTGTATGGAATTTCTTCCTACAGATACTGCTCGCACTGCAACATTGCCACCATCCGAACGGACACTCGCGAAGTGGGAGCACCGGGTTAGAGCCAGATAATAAGGAGAGGCGGCCTCAGATCCTTCACAGGGATCTTAAACCTGACAATGGTGTGTTTATGCCATTGCTCAGCCGACGCTGCTAATAGTATATCAGTATTTCTCGACGAAGCTAGCTCCGTCAAACTTGGAGACTTCGGGCTCTCTAAAGCTCTCGCCCAGTCTAATTTCGCAAATACCTATGTTGGGGTACGTTCCCTGTTCACTCCACAAGGAGGGGACGTGTTTTGACCGCCTTGGCCCCTCAGACTCCATATTACATGTCCCCCGAGCTCATGCAGGAGAAAGCGTATGACTCCAAGTCGGATATATGGTCCCTTGGCTGTTTAATCTACGAGCTATGCGCACTCAAGCCGCCTTTCCATGAGGCTAAGACGCACGCCGAACTTAGCATTTTGATTCGGTCAGTATCCTACCCGTGATGTCAACGTGCAGGCAATAATACGTACACTAGCAATGGTCGCGTACCGCCTCTACCTCGTGGTTACAGCCAGACCCTGTCTAGCGTCATCAAGACCATGCTCAATCTGAACGTAAGTTTTCGATTATATTCGCAACAGTACAAACAAACGATAGACGATAGCCCGCCATGCGGCCCTCTGCGGCGCAACTACTTCAACACGAGCGCCTCGTACTTGCGCTAAAGATCTCTGATACTGAGAAGATGTACGCCATGGATTAGGGGTTGCATCCCAAAGCTAACTTACCTACCTCTAGGCTACACACTGTGAAAATCCACAAATCTACTCTCACTACGAAGGAGAGGGAGATCCTCGCCCGTGAAGCTGCTGTGGCCGAGAAGGAAGCACAGATAGCCAGCGTATTCAGCCAGAAGGATGCTGAAATTATAGCCTTGAAGGATATGGTGAATCAGCTTCAGCAACACCATCAAGTACAGGTCAATGTAGAGGTGCGGATACGAGAAGCCGTGGCCAAACGAGAGGATGAACTGCGGATCGCTGTTGCGAAGCGCGAAGAAGAGGTGGCTGCCGCGATGGTGAGAAGGGAAGAAGAGATTATGGGTGCGATTCGGAAGCGGGAGGCCGAGATATCCGAGGCGTGGAAGACGAGGGAAGAGCAAATCAAGAAGGAAGTTGCTGAGGAGGTGGATGAGAGGGTGAAATGGGTTATACAGCGGACGGAAGAGTTGAGTGATGAAGAAGAGCGACTGGAATCTATACGGCTTGAGCTTGAGGAGAGAGCGAAAGTACTTGAGGCATTGAAAGGTAAACCCAGTGATATCGACAATTATTACTACACGATGCTTATATTTCTATAGTGGCTGCGGCCAAGAAAGAGAAGTCTCCACTAGAAGAGATCAAGAACCTCGTTTCGAGAGCTACCGAAGACAAGCGACCCGAGCACGTGCTGGACGCCCTCCAAACGCCTATTGCTCGTACTTCGAAACTTCCGCGAGATTATGCACCTTCCGCAATGAAAGGTGTTGTACTTACCACGACCGGAGAGGCACTGGCGACACCATCTCCGGCTGAGTTGGCACATCTGTTTGATTCTCCGCGACCTGGATTGGACTTTGCGAAGATATTTGACTTCCACGAGGACAAAGGTAATGAGAGCGAGGAAGAGCCGGAGATTACACCACCGCCGAGTCCGTCGAAACGGGAACGCCAACGACCACGTCCCGCTAGTAGATCTACGAGTGTGCCCACAGAGACTGCATCTTCCTCCCAATTAACTGCGCCTCCAACTCGATTGCGGCGACCGTCGATCCGCTCATCACAGAGACCGGGAGCTTCTCGCAACGCCCCAACAGAGGTCAAGCCTTTATCACATCCTCACCTACAACGCGAGGGGCCGACCGCCCCCCAGATCGTCCGCTCGGTTACAATGCCGGTCACTTTGCCTAATCCACCAAAGTACGATCTGGAAGACGAGGAGAATCTCCCAAGCCCTTTCCTGAAGAAGACCGATAAAGATAAGATACCAGCCAATGGAGCGCCCCTGAAGGGATTGAATATCAATGGCGGTATCGCAAGTGTACCAGGGAAGGCGAGGACGGGGAAGCGAACGAGTACGGGTAATTTGCTGCGAACTGTGGCGGCCGCGAATAATGCTGTGAAGAAGGGTGTCTCACCGCCAAATACAACGAGCTCGGAGACCAGCGACCCTCGGCCGTCCGTTGCGACTGCTCGGAAAGCAGGTGAGGAGGCAAGGAAAGCTTTGTCGAGATCATAGCACGGGGACCGTTGGACATTTCTTGTACAGCTGTCACAGGTAGTGATATGAGTCTATTCATGTGTATTATAGCTCCCTATTTTCTATTTCATCGGCTCATCATTCGAGGCAAGTAAATTTGTACATGTTCGGTTGTGAAACGAGCACGCCATAAGCGCCCGTTTTCGTAAACACGTGCTTGAAGTTGCCGAAATTTGAGAGGTAGCGATCTTCGGTTGTTGGTACCTCGTCTCATCTATCTTTTCGTGCAGCTCAGGCTGTAAAAGCCTCACACGACCTTGACGACGTTTTCTTTTATTTCATACCTCTCGTCCTCGCCTTGTACGCTACTAATGAGCCTCCCGCACGACACTCAACCTACGAGTTCCACGACTTCAATAGACCGAAGAGGCACGACGCGTTCGCCATCACCCAAAATCGCATTCGTATCAGCCAACTTTCCCGCACATTCACGCTCTACAGCACCCGGCCAGGCCGTGCAGAACATCACTAGACAGGTAATTCGCAGGCTTTCGAGCTTACAGCACGTGGAGGTGCTAGAGATGCCGAACGAGAACGAACACGACGACGACGAGCTGCTTTCAGGACGAGACACGCCCAGTACAGCATCCCCGCCGAGGGAGGGGTCGCCGGAGTACACCAATGGCGTAGACCACCAAACCAATGGTCGGGTTGCGAATGGGAATGGGAAAGTGCAAGTACCTGCGAAGAAAATCGACTGGGAGATTCCTCGCAAAGTGCTGCATTCATCAATAGGTGCGTATTTGGTACTCTGGCATCAATTTCGTGACTAACTAGCCGCAGGATTCCTGACATTATACCTCTGGACATCTCAGGGCTCTCCGAAGGCAGTCGTTGTCGTTCTCTGGACAGCGTTCGCGGTTATCTTGCCTGCGGACTTTATCCGCCTGAGATGGCCCGCGTTCGAGCGCACATACGAACGGCTTCTTGGCTTCCTAATGCGTGAATGCGAAAAGGCATGTCCCCTCGCATCACTCACCGACCTTAAAGCTAAACAGCTGCCAGGATTCTGTGAATGGGGTCGTATGGTACATCCTCGGTGTGAACTTTGCGCTGACTGCCTACCCGCTCGATGTTGCGACGGTAGCCATCCTCATGTACGTCCCCTACGGGCCTTTGTTCGTCTTGTTTCTTATCCTTATCGGCAGATTGTCTTGGGCCGACACAGCCGCATCTACTGTCGGCCGTATGTTCGGTTCGGTCACACCACGGCTTCCTTCGCGCCTACCCTTCCTGCGCCTCCCCCTTGCGCCTCGCAAATCACTAGCAGGGTTCGTTGCTGCTTGCGTCACCGGCACACTCATAGCGATCGGGTTCTGGAAATGGATAGCGCCGCTGCGCCACGACACACAAGACATCAGCTGGACGTGGGATAACGGCGTTTCGCCCGCTCTGGTCTCGCCCGCAGTGAAAGACTGGTGCCAGGGGCTGCTGGGCGGTCCCTGCTCGTTGGGCAATGTCACGAGTGGGTGGGTTGGGCTCGGGTTGATAGGAGTCATGGCCGGTTTGGTGAGCGGTGTTGCGGAAGCACTAGGTACGTCGCACACGTCTCATTAATGATCGAGCTGACCATCCGGCCACGATAGACTTGGGGTCATTAGACGACAACTTGACGCTCCCCATCGTCGCTGGCGGATGTATACTAGGATCTTTGAAACTCATGTCACTACTATCATAACATAATCTTCCTCCTTCATCGTCAACCTTTATAATTATCATGGATATTCATTTGCGTTGCGTCTAATGACACAGGCCGACTTCCCAGTCAACACCCTCCGCGAGACTAGCCCAAGTAAGTGAAGCTCGTAGGCCGTAGTTGTCTACAGACGATGGCTTGCCGCCGATCTTCAAGGAGTTCGAGTTAATAGCTTTCCAAGCAAGATAGTAACAATCCGGTGAATGGGTGTAAAGGAAGGTAATCTGCGAAGGCTTTACTCAACCTGATATCGACGTTGGTGCGCCGTGCGTTTCCTTAGTCCAGGACGGGAAACGTAATGCATTGGGTTTATTGCTACCAGGTGGAGCGAATAGTAGGGGCATAATGGACAGTAAATCACTCAACCGCAATGACGCGCTTTTCAGGAGGGATATTGCGATAGAACTCTCGTTCGGCTTCCACTTGCTCCACCAATTCTTCCACGTACGGGCGATATACCGTAGGATCGTCATGGCAGTGGGTGAGGAGGGATAGAAGATAATCCATATTCCCGCGACGAAGGTCCGTTCTGTAAAAGGTGTAGACACCCTCTAACTTGACATACACTAGCGAGGCAAATTAGTAGTAGACGAGGGAGAGAAGAGGCCGTGTTCGCACCATCAGCCCAAGCTCGCATCAACGCAGCACACTGCATCATCTCAGTGCATCCAACGTCTCTGCTCTCTTCCCCAATTAACAGCCTCTCTTTAAGTCCACAAACGTGGGGCTTAGCGAACTCTAAGTCGATGATGAAAGGACTGCCGTCTTTGTTGATTATGATATTGTCGTAAGAGAGGTCTCCGTGCGTGAAGCCCAAGAAGTGAATATAATACACAGCATTGATCACTTTCGATCTAGGATCAGATAGTTAGCTAGCGCGATCGTGAACTCAAGGAGAATGAACGTACTTGAAAGAGCTTGTGAGGTTGCGAGGTTCAACAATTGGATCGCCGCAATCGCGAAGTACGAGGAAAGAGGATACTTTGGCATCTTCTCCTTTATACTGGAAGAGACCATAGCAGTGTGGTATCGCTTTGTCTTGAAGTTCCCATAGATGGATCTCGTACATATCAACCTCGTGTTCGAAGGCTTTGCGGCGAAGAGTCTCGGCGAAAAAGTCTGTCTTGACTACCACAGCTACGGGCTCTTCGCTATCGGGTAGCGTTAGCAGTCCTCGATAGACAGTTGTGTCCTTGTGGGAGACGCGAACTTTGAGATCGCATATCGAGTACTCTTGCGACTCATCTTCGGGTTCGTAGCGTTGTAACTTGCTGATAGGTAGACTTTTCCGGCAGCCGTAAGGTGAGGGGGCAGGGCTCAACCGAAGTGAGGCCATGGTCAAAGTTGAACGTTATGGTTGTTGTCAAACGAAGGTCACCTACACTGCGCCGCGATCACCTGACTTGCAATCATGATCGATCATCTGATACCATGCCTTGTATAAATATGTGCGACTACCCAATGTCGTGCAGCGCTATCGCTATCACCACGTTCATACCAAATGCCACCCAAAACAATTCCCGTAGACCCGAATGCCACTCCACGGGCGAGCAGACGGCACGCTCGAAATACGCGATCTTTGCCGGCAGCCTCATTAGATGAGTCGCCTTCGCGCGGAAATTCACAAAAGTGCCGTTTGACCTCACCATATTATGGATATACACTGATATACGACTCGCAGAACCGGTGGATCGCGATCTCACAAGGCGGACAACATCGTCTACAAAACACTCCTCTTGAAGCTTCCAGGTGTACCCGAGATGCAAAGTTTCTCCGAGAGCGGCAGTAGCACTCATTCTCGTGCGCCCGGAAAGGATGAGTTGGATATAAAACAATCCCAGCAACTGCACAAGGTGGTCCCTTGTCCAGGCATCATGCATAACCTGCTCAGGAAGCTTGAAGAATCTCTCAAAGCTCGCCGCCCGCCCGCAGGAAACGATCCATTCATGTTCCTCCTGACCATCGAAGGTCGTTGCGCGCACCTTCCAGGCAGAATCTGCTCCGAGCACGACACAGCTCACTGGGTCCATAGCGCCATCCTGAGACCTGCAATCGCTGTTGTCCAATACCTTCTCAACAATAATACAGTGACGCAAGACTTCCCAAACATATCTTCCGTCGGAGGCTCCCCTCCTGTTCCAGACAGCGTCATGTTCAAATACAGTAGGGATGCCCACAACGCAGTCCTTACTATCGAGTTCAAGACACATCGTGCTCTTGGCGGGGACTGGACCCACGCAATCCACGAGTTACTAGCCCGTGCCAAAAATTCAGATATACCCGGAGCGGCAGCCAAATTCCATTGGCCAGATTACGAGGTTACTGAATTCGACAAGGCTACGAAGGTGCTCCTTCAGGTAGACACGGCCTTTTCATCCTTCACTATGATCATGATTGACTTTGTCTGGATAGGTGTGGGGGCAGATGCGGAAGTGGGACGCGAATTACGCCATCCTCTCATCCTATGAATACACTTACTTCCTCTACAAACCTGAACTCATGAGCGATACCCTATATATAACTGATGGCTTCGAGTCCGATAATAGTGATCTCCTACCTGCCACAGTCTCATTCTTGGCCCTTGCTCTTGGTCACTATTCTCCCAGTGATCTTGGGCTTCCAGAGCCAAACATCGAGCACTGGAATCGTGCTTCCATGGTGAATTTCGAGTCAACAGGGCTAGTCCCAAGGTTTGTTGCCTCACAATTATGTGCAAGACATCAATACTGATCACGCTTCTTGTAGCACATATCCACCCTCGGCTCAGGCGGTCAATGTCAAACGACACCGTTAAGTAGCCACCAACAACCCCGCACAATTTGTAACGTCCGACGATGATGGTATTGCAGAGGTGTTGATAGATAGAATCGTCGTTGTTTAAGGAATATATTGTAGCAATACTGCAGGAAATGCCATAGTACCTGTCCTGTAATTGGTATCAGCCATTACACTATATCACTATCAACACTATCTGAGCATCGAACTGGGACAGGGGGAAAATGATAAATATATTACTCGGGCAGTCAACCCCACCCTCCGCGAGACTAGTCCCAGTAAGTGAAGCTTGTATATGTTGGCCCCATATCTGGTCGTAGTCGTCTACAGACAACGGCTTGCCTGTGTAGTACATGGGTTGACGACTGGGCATCACCTAGTGGCAATGAATAATGCCTTGGGTTTGCACGTGTGTTCAGTGTAAGGGCAACCTCAAGATAGCCGCACAGTGCAAGCCTAGCAGAGGGAGAATCCAAAGAGATGAATAAGACTAACTGCAATACATGAGAGAGCTGCTCACCTAGCAGAGGGAGAATCCAAAGAGAACAGGATAAGGATTCTCCATGCTAGGAAGCGAAGTATATACTGTAGTAGCGTGGGAGGAATGAAGGGTAACTGTACAGTACACCAGCCACAGGTACGAACGAATATCACAAGGTACGAGGGGGCATGTGATAATGAAGTGGAAGGGGAATGTACAGGAGTCGTGCCAGCGACCTGGGGAAGTGGGGACAAGGAGTAATGAAGTGGGAAAGGAGGATAGAGGTAGCCCAGACGAGCCCCGAAGTGTATCTACGAGTCCGAGCGAGTCCGAAGCGTCCGAGCGAGTCCAAGGCGAGTCCGAAGTGCGGGAAGACTTCGGAGTCACCGGACGGGGCTCGGATGCGAAGGGAGTGAACGGAAGGGAAGCGGAAAGGTAAGGGGACAAAAGGAAAGGAAAGGGGATGAAGGAAAGGGGAAAGGAACAAGGAGGAAGGGGGTGGGACAGGGGGAATAGGAGAAAATAGGAGTGTCCCCTTACAATGAGCCACTGTCCGTCCGGATGTGATACCTGTCGGAAGGAGTTCCACCATGACAAGCTGACCTGACGCAAGGAGTCCGTACGACTCCGGGAGTGTCGTACGGGTCCGATGCCAATGGTCGAGGAACTGCACTCGGACGATCTCCCGCAGCTTCAGGACTGCGAGGTCGACGACGAGGACGATGAGGCCACAACTCCGGATGACTCCGGACTTGAGAAGGGCGACCGTATCTTCGCAGCCATTCCTCCTCCGACTCCGGAGTACCTTCGGAGTCTTCGGGAAGAACACGTCCGAGCTTCGGAGATGGTCTCGCAGCGCCTCGCATTGGCTTTCCAGCGCAACAAGCTCCACGATCCTCGGAACAGCGCAGTCCCGGACTTCCTCCAAGAATTTGAGGACGTCTTCGCCAAGGAGTCCTTTGATGAACTGCCCATGCCGCGTCCGTGGGATCACGCCATTGAGCTAATGGACGGAGCGGAACCGACCTCTACCAAATGCTACCCACTGTCCCCCGCGGAGCAGAAACAGCTGGACGAGTTTCTGGAAGAAAATCTCCGGACTGGTCGGATCTGCCCCAGCAAGTCGCCCATGGCTGCCCCGGTGTTCTTTGTTAAGAAGAAGGACGGATCGCTCCGCTTGGTCCAGGACTACCGGAAGCTCAACAGCATGACGGTCAAGAATCGGTACCCACTTCCGCTCATCTCGGACTTGGTGGATAAACTCCGGAATGCTCGCTACTTCTCCAAGCTCGACGTCCGGTGGGGTTTCAACAACGTCCGGATCAAGGAGGGCGACGAGTGGAAGGCCGCGTTCCGCACTACGCGCGGACTCTTCGAACCGTTGGTAATGTTCTTCGGACTGACAAATAGCCCATCCACCTTCCAGACCATGATGAACGACCTCTTCCGGGAGCTCATTACGGAAGGTGTGGTCATTATCTATCTGGATGACATTCTGATCTACACCAAGACGCGCGAAGAGCATCGCCGGGTTCTCAAGCGAGTCCTAGAGATCCTCCAGCGGAACAAGCTCTTCCTCCGAGCGGACAAGTGCGACTTCGAGCAGACCAAGGTGGAGTATCTCGGAGTTGTCATCTCTGAGGGTAAGATCGAGATGGATCCCGTGAAGGTTTCCGGAGTCGCGGACTGGCCGACCCCCCGGACTCGGACTGAACTCCAATCCTTCCTCGGGTTCGTCAACTTCTACCGCCGCTTCATCAAGGACTACTTGCATATCGCCCGGCCTCTCTTCGACCTCACTTGCGCAAAGGAATGGCAGTGGAACGACTCCGCTCAATCCGCATTTCTTCGGATCAAGGAGCTGATCACTTCGGAGCCCATTCTGGTCTTTCCAAAGGAGGATCGGCCATACCGGGTTGAAGCGGACTCGTCGGATTACGCTACGGGTGCGGTCTTGTTGCAGCTGGATCCAGATGATGGTAAATGGCATCCTGTCGCATTCTACTCTAAAAGTCTACAGGCTGTGGAGCGGAACTACAAAATACACGACAAGGAGATGCTTTCAATCATCCGGGCACTCGAAGAATGGCGACACTACTTGGAAGGCGCAGAGACTCCGTTTGAGATCTGGACGGACCACAAGAACCTGGAGTACTTCATCAAGGCCCAGAAACTCAATCGTCGTCAAGCCCGCTGGTCGCTATACCTCTCCCGCTTCGACTTCACTCTCCAGCACCGTCCAGGTCGGACAATGGGTAAGCCGGATGCTCTCTCGCGCCGCTCGGATCACTCGGATGGTAAGGATGACAACAAGGATGTGGTTTTACTTAAGCCGTCCTACTTTGCCGTCCGTGCCACGGGTGTCACTCTTGAAGGGGAGGAGAAGGATATCCTCATGGCTATCCGGACTGGAGTGCGGAATGCGAAGTTTGAAGATGCAGTGGCAAAGGCAGCGGAGGAGCTGAAGAAGACCCAGGGCAGTCGCAAGACAGTCCGGAGCGCGGAATGGTCTCAATCGGACGGACTCCTGATGTTCCGGGGTAAGATCTACATTCCAGACTCACCGGACTTGCGTCGGACCATTGTTGTTAGGGCGACACTAGTCAAAGACTAACGTGGCTCCTACAAGAATACTAAAACCAAAAGAATAGACGAAATAGCTTAGTTGACTTAGTTCTCACTATTACTAGTGGAAATCCCAAGAGAACGAGCTAGCGTTCTAGGGCCTGTTATTGGTGCTTAAATACTAAAATACATGTGTAACCCTCATGTACTACTACATGCCTACTGCAGCCGTCTTTCCATGGAACGCGCACCGATTCCATGAGGTGCTTGGTAATGTACTGCGGACATGTGTTGTGCGTGAGGATCTTACTAAGGTACCGTAATGTGAATTAGTAATAGGCGCGTCCTGCGCGTTTAGATAAGATATCAAAAAAGATAGTATTCGGAACAAGCCGGACCATAACAATTGTAGCCCAGCACCATGACACTAAGGTTGCAGGACACGCTGGCAGATGGAAGACCCTAGAGCTCGTTTCACGCAGCTACTGGTGGCCCAACATGTCCCGGTACGTCGGATCCTACACCCGCCATTGCGACCTCTGTCTCCAGACGAAGGCCCAAAGGCATCCGCCCATGGGTGAACTCCATCCGCTTCCCATTCCGGATGAACGCTGGGATCGCCTGAGTGTTGACTTCATCGTCGAGCTTCCGGAGTCCGATGGGTTTGATGCTGTCATGAACGTGGTCGACTCCGTAAGCAAACGCGCCCACTTCATTCCGACTCACACCACAGTGTCTGCCCTCGGATCTGCAAACTTGTACCTGCAGAACGTCTGGAAGCTGCACGGACTCCCTCGGTCCGTTGTGTCTGACCGGGGTCCACAATTCGCCGCAGAGTTCACCCGAGAAGTCTACCGGATGCTCGGAATCAAGCTGGCTGCCTCCACTGCGTACCACCCTCAGTCCGACAGACAGACGGAACGGACCAACCAGGAACTCGAGTCCTATCTCCGGATCTTCGTCGGAGAGCGTCAGGACGACTGGGCTCGCCTCCTACCTATGGCGGAGTTTGCGTACAACAACCGGGTCCATGCGTCCACTCAGCAGTCACCCTTCCTCCTGGATACCGGCCGTCATCCTCGTCTCGGGTTCGAACCTCATCAGCCACCGTCTCGGATGGAGTCCGCAAACGAGTTCGTAGACTGGATGAAATCCGCAGTCGACAAGGCTCAGTCCGCATTGGTCAAGGCTCAGGACGACATGAAGCGCTACTACGATCAGCGTCGGACTCCCGCTCCGGAGTACCAACCGGGTGACAAGGTCTGGCTGGACTCGTCGGACATCAACCTTGCCCAACCCTCCCGGAAACTCGGACACGCACGACTTGGTCCTTACAAGGTCGTCCGGAAGGTTGGCAAGGCAGCGTACCGGCTCCAGCTCCCTCCGGGCTTATCCCGTCTCCATCCCGTCTTCCCCATGGTCAAACTCTCTCCCTTCGTTCCGGACCCCATCCCGGGTAGACGCCCTGTCGCTCCGCCACCTCCGCAGCTCGTTGACGGAGAAGAGGAGCATGAGGTAGAAGAGGTCCGAAATAGCAGACGGTTTGGTCGGGTCCTGAAGTATCTGGTGCGCTGGCGAGGCTATGGTATCGAGCACGACTCCTGGGAGCCCGCGAGCAACCTCCAGCATGCTGCCCGGAAGGTCAAGGACTTCCATGATCGTCACCCGGACGCAGTACGCGTACTCTGGACGAGTCCGATGAATCCGACGACTGCTCTACCTCTCCGGATGACTCCTGCAGCACTGGACCAGTCCTGGGAGCGTTGGCGCAGTCGGAAGGCTCCGGGCTCCGCGCAGTCGTACTTCGACATCTTCTTGCAGCAATCCGGAGTTTCTGGGTTGGTGAATTCATGGCGCGGCAGGCAGGAATCTTCGCGTCGGGTCGCCGCAACCTTGAAGGGGGGGGTGATGTAAGGGGACACTCCTATTTTCTCCTATTCCCCTGTCCCTCTCCCTTCCTCCTTCGTTTCCTTTCTCCCTTCCTTCATCCCATGGACTATTATCTACATTCCCTTCATTCCCTTTCCTTCCCTCTCGCCCCCTTACCTTTCCGCTTCCCTTCCGTTCACTCCCTTCGCATCCGAGCCCCGTCCGGTGACTCCGAAGTCTTCCTGCGCTTCGGACTCGCCTTGGACTCACCTCGGACTCGCTCGGACTCACCTCGGACTCGCTCGGACACTTCGGACTCGCTCGGACTCGTAGATACACTTCGGGGCTCGTCCGGGCTACCTCTATCCTCCTTTTCCACTTCATTACTCCTTGTCCCCACTCCCCCAGGTCGCTGGCACGACTCCTGTACATTCCCCTTCCACTTCATTATCACATGCCCCCTCGTACCTTGTGATATTCGTTCGTACCTGTGGCTGGTGTACTGTACAGTTACCCTTCATTCCTCCCACGCTACTACAGTATATACTTCGCTTCCTAGCATGGAGAATCCTTATCCTGTTCTCTTTGGATTCTCCCTCTGCTAGGTGAGCAGCTCTCTCATGTATTGCAGTTAGTCTTATTCATCTCTTTGGATTCTCCCTCTGCTAGGCTTGCACTGTGCGGCTATCTTGAGGTTGCCCTTACAAATGCAGGATAACTGTACAGTACACCAGCCACAAGTCCGAGCGGATATCACAAGGTACAAGGAAACATGTGATAATGAAGTGGAGGGTAAATGCACAGGAGTCGTGCCAGCGACTTGGGGAAGTAAGGGCGAAGAGTAATGAAGTGGGGAAAGAGGATAGAGGTATCCCAGACGAGCCCCAAAGTGTATAGACGAATCCGAGCGAGTCTGAGCAAGTCTGTAAGGGGACACTTCTATTTTCTCTCCTTTCCTTCATCCCATGGACTCTTACCTACATTCCCTTTGTTCCCCTTTGTTCCTTTTTGCTCCCTTTCCTTTCCACTTCCTTTCCACCCACTCCTTTCGCATCCAAGCCGCGTCCGGTGACTCCGGAGTCTTCCTGCACTTCAGACACTTCGGACTCGCTTGGACTCGCTTGGACTCGTCTATACTCTTTGGGGCTCGTCCGGGTTACCTCTATCCTTTCCCCCCACTTCATTACTCTTCGCCCTTACTCCCCCAAGTCACTGGCACGACTCCTGTCCATTTACCCTCCACTTCATTATCACATGTTTCCTTGTACCTTGTGATATCCGCTCGGACTTGTGGCTGGTGTACTGTACAGTTATCCTGCATTCCTCTCACGCTACTACAGTATATACTTCGCTTCCTAGCATGGAGAATCCCTATCCTGTTCTCTTTGGATTCTCCCTCTGCTAGGTGAGCAGCCCTCTCATGTATTGTAGTTAGTCTTATTCATTATCTTTGGATTCTCCCTCTGCTAGGCCTGCGCTGTCGGCCATCTTGAGGTTGCCCTTACAGCAGGCAGTGTCTGTAAGCTAACGGCCTGGCGAGAGATAGCAGAATGCTGGGGTGCGGAAGATGCTTCTGGTATTAAGCGTGGTGATGTGGTGTTTCTTGAAAGTATGCCCCCCTCCGTTCAGAAGCAATTTCTTTAATTCATTACTTTTCCTAGACCTCAGCATATCCAAAGAGACTACCGCTTCCTCCTCAGCTTCAGCCACTCTCACTGCATCTCCAAATCTGAAGTCGCGTGTACAAATATGCTTCCGTACGATGCCTAGCAGCTCAGAAGACATGCAATACAGACCCGATCTTCGACTTGGATATAGCGACGCCACAGTTAGGAAGGTTGGGGCAGTGGTGACCTGGTTTGAGGGGATGGCAGGTTTGAATTGACATATTGCAGAGGCACTATCCACTACCTATGGACCCGCATTGTGTATAGCGACACAAAGCCTATTGCCTGGTCATTAGTACTTTGGCGCAGACAAAGACAAAAAGAATTGTCTGACGAGAGCGAGATTCGAACTCGCGCCCCGGAGGACCAGATCCTGATTCTGGCGCCTTAGACCACTCGGCCATCTCGCCACCGAACAACCCATTCGTAAGAGCCATCATCATCTTAATGCTCCATATTAGTAGGAACCCGCCTCCCGCCCATTGTTTCCTGCGTTCACAGACCTTACAGCTTCCCTTTTGAACGAGACACGAGTTTTTCCAGACCTTCCTTCTTCCTACCATCCATTTGGACACTCTTCCGAGTTTTGCTATCCACGAATACGTGTGTGTACCCCCCGACAGCACCCGGGCTCTCCGCTCCCTGTTTGAACACGCCGATTTCGTAGGTGACTGAGCGCTCCCCTAGCTTACTCACGCGCAAACCAAGATCCAGGACCTCAGGAAACGCAGCCGGAGCGAAGTACTGTCGTTGTAAATCGACCATAAGCCAAAATCCGTGCAATGCGATGATAATTGGTTGGATACGCGCCTGACAGAAGGAAGACACGACAAGGCCTATTTGCGGCGAGTGGGTCGGATCAAGGCCACAGTGCTCGATGAGGTACGTGTTCACGACGGAGTCGAAGAGGTGGTAGTAGATGGAGTTGTTCATATGAGAGTACTGATCATTGTCGCTCCTAGAAAGTCGGGATATCAGCAAATACCAAAAGATGGAGGAATTACGTGTTCCTTGGAGGCTGAAGGAAGAACCTACCATCGCGTCCGGTACTCGAGAAAATATGGATAATCAGTACGCGTTCGTTTCTTCAATTCAGCTGTAGAGTCTGACATGGTTGGCGTATTGTTCAGTAGGAGCCTCGGGCGGGAACAGCACGTAGCCGGCGCGTCTTCTGATCACGTGCTATCGCGGCGGTTATTATATACCAGCAGTAACTTGTGCGCGGCCTCCGTTCGTGGTACGCTTTTTGCAAATTGTCATCAACTAAGAACGGCGGAACGTCATGAGACTCAGAACTCGGCTGGGTGGGCCACTTCAACAATAATAGGGGATACTTGATAGGAGCTTTGCCTGTACGGCCAGACAACTCGTAGAACTTTGCCGCCAAGTGCCAATGTACCTGCTTCAACGTCTTGGTGGATCGAACCTGCCACCAACTCCACGGGCTGCGGTCTGCTCCAATGTTGTACCGACTTGGCCCCCAAGGCTCATACCGAGTCGATCATTGCATCAGCATCTTATAAAGTTCTCCGGAGGACACTAGCTTCCTTCCAGTGCATTGCCTCCAGACCTCCTTATTGTCTCCAGCACCACGATGTTGCTTCTGGCTTCTTTACTTTCCGCCTCGCTTGCATCCGCGCTATACTTGCGCCACGGCCAGGGCTTCTTAGTGCCCGGACGCATGGGCTCCATCGCCGACGAACTCCCGCCTTCGACTCCTCTCGAGGGTGTCCGTATTCACCCTAACTTCAATAATGCGAAATGTGTCACTGTTAGAGGTGGCGTCAAAGCCGAGGGTACGCCTGTCATCATGTAAGACTTGCTCAGTGTCCTCGATACCGACAAGTAAACTGTGGTACTATCCTAGTTTCGATTGCATCGGTAGTGCCTCCCAGAATTGGATAATAAATGACGCAGACACAAAAGTACAGTGGGCTGGGACTAATTGGTGCTTGACCGCTAGTAGAAGTGAGGTTTACTCTATCTAGTCGTTGGTGCTCTGCTCATCGTCCCGCAGATCCTGGCAACAATGTTCGGTCAAGAATAACTAAGTGTAGAGACGGTGCAATCGGTCAGGATTGGTATTATACAGCCGATTTGCGCGTCAACCTCGCCGGACGAGGTGAGTTTCTGTCGCCTTGGCTTGGTCATTTTCTGACTTCGTGTTAGGACAATGTCTTGATCTCATCAACGGTAACCTCGATAATGCCAATGCTGTACAAACGTACGAATGCAACCCCTTCGATACCAATCAAATTTGGAACACCTCCTAAATATGCGTCGGCAGTCCTTTGTTGGCGAGATACTTGCCCTCGACTTCGAACCTATCAACATGTTGTATTAGAATGCGGCGGTGATCATACATCTTAATTCACATAGCCAGCGTCTACAATGCATCGCAATCATCGTGCGATATAACTTGGGCTCAGCTCGAAATGGCCCAACCTCGAGCCCCCCAACCCCTGAGCGAACCCAGTGAGCTGGATCCGTAGTCTCCTCGCGCACCCATTGCGTCACTTGTTCATACAGTGCATAGGCGGAAGAGCGGATGCGAACGGTGCTTATACATGGCCTTGGCTGTAACGAGTGCAGTGCGTCCTTCAAATCGTACACTGCACATCATACACCCCCTACTCATATTTTTGAGATGGGTCAGCTGTACTCCGCAACCGTCCGTTTGGCTGTTAGGCGGGCATGACACACCGCAGCTCTTCTTTTGTGGAGTGATAGCCATGGTTGCACAGCGACGGCTGCTCAGGCGGATGCATATTGACCGAATTAGCATCCGCCCGTCGAGTCTCTGGGCATTTCTCTGAGCGGGCACTTCTAACCGTGAAGGACGCACTAGTAGGGGTGATCAACTCCTCTCTCAACGAACGGATATTTAAAACCTTAACATCGTCCCGCACCTTTTTAGTTCCTCGTCTCTTTACGTGTCCACCCAGCAGCAAATAACCGGCGACAATTACAATGTTAACTAAACTCTTCGTCGTGTTCTTTGCTGCTGTGGCGATGGCTTCTGCTATCGACATGGATGCCTTGATCGCTCGCCAGGCTACGACTACGACTACGACCACCTCGACCTCGACTACTTCTACTTCTACGTCAACTACGTCGACCGCTACCACAACCACCAGTGGCTCCACTACGACCAGTAGCACTACAACCACTACTTCTTCCTCAGTTGCGCCGACCACTTCACTCCCACCAAACGAGGCCGGTGTTCAGATCCACCCGAACTTCAGTAGCAACAAGTGTTTGGACGTGCGCGGAAACACACTCGCCAACGGTACTCCAGTGCAGATGTATGTTCCCTACATTTTCTATTCAAGCTTTACTCATTTACGTACGTACAGTTATGACTGCAACGGAACGGGCGCTCAGAAGTGGGCAATCTCCAGAGGGCAAACGCACGTAAGGCTTGCGGGCACGAACTTCTGCCTAGATGCTGGAAGCAGTAAGCCATGCGCCTCACGGTACTCTCTTGGTCTGACTTGCCTTTCATTAGGACCTGGAAACGGCGTTGGTATGAAGATATGGACGTGCTTCGACAACCTCCCTGCTCAAGAGTGGTACTACACCGGCGATAATCGCATTGCGCTCTTTAACAAAGGTACGAATCCCTAAACTCGAAAGCAACTTATCTAATATCTTCCAACAGGACTTTGCCTTGATCTCACGGATGGAAGCCTCACCAATAGTAGGCAGACACAGACTTGGAAGTGCACCGACTTCAACACTAACCAAATTTGGAACGTGTAAAAAGGCATTATCAGCCAAATTCCATATGTACCACTACGCACAGACCACCACTTTCTTACGTTCAATCATTCTGAAAAACCACCTAAATTAATAAAGTACCGGACCCAGTGGACAACTTAGACAACAATTTCCAATCAGTCTTTCGAGCCTTTGACACTGATCTGGGAAGTAGGCTTATGTTTGTACGCCACGTTTTAGGCAAACAAAGGACGCCGCCACACCGAACCGAAGTGACTTTTCGACGTCAACACACCTGTGTTATGCTTCCCACTCATTCAGTATTCTAACTTCTGCCTCTGTGACGGATCATTGGGGACGCCATCCACTACTTCAGGTTCCTCATGGAGTTCCACCACAATCCGGAAGCCTCTGGAAATAGACATCGATCCTATATACAGAGCGGTACCACACATACACCCCATCGTGCACCGTCGCCATCGCTTCGGAGAGAAGCAAACAGATCTGTGCCCCCGGAGCCTCCCACTGCTGAGAACCTTCATCACACGGGCCGTCAAACGTTCAACATTGACCCTGATGTACCGTACATTGAAGCTAATGCTGGCGAAATTGGGATAGCGCAGAGCCAGAGCCGTCAGAACGACACAGATGCAAACTCGAGAGGTCCAAGGGAAATGGTTGGGGGCATATTAGGTGGGATCAAGACAGCTATGGCATCGACAAGGGAGCGCGCTCGCACGAGCAGTGGACCCACGAACCCCACTACTAGGCCTAAAAGCCCCCCAACGCGTCGCGATCGGCCACCCGAGGTTGATATGCGACCGACAATGGAACCTACTACCACAGCCGTCCCAGAGAGTATCTATCAACCACCAGGGTATGATATCTCTGCATTTCAAAGGCTTGGTCCCGCAACGGTTCAGTTCGTTACATCTACCGGAGTCCCCCTTGGTCCCCCACAGCCAGTACCCTCGAGACAGTACTACTTTGGCTCGAGGCCAGACGATCTTCAACGTTCTGTACCCGCCGCCGCCTCGGATGATCGTGTTGGTGATGCGCACGGTGACGAGGACTCTACCGTCGTCAGTCATGACGAGAACCATACCCATACTACGCAGAATCAGTACTTCGTTCCCCCAACGATAGGAAGCCCTATTCTCGTGCAACCTCGTCCCGCATCTGACTACGCTAAAATGTCCTCCCCTGCTCCTGCACCCTCATTCATGTCTTTCCATGCACACATGCAACGCATCGGGGACTTCTTCAAGGCCGTCAATAGGCTGCCGTGGGTTTCTGAAGAACGGGTGACGGTAGATTATATCCCAAAGGATGCGAGGAAGAAGATTTCTGGTTATACCAGAAGGGATACATATGGTCCTGGGAGTAGCGAGGGCAGCAGTCGTGCGAGCAGCGATTTCAGCAATGTGTTTAAGAGACGAAAGACACTTTCGGCTCCTAGACCTTTGTTGTCGTGGTATGGTGGAACTGGGAGGAACTCGGAACGTCAGACAGTGGATTTGCTGTCGGGGTCGTCTAGTAGCCAGTCGCCTGAAATCGAACCCTTCCCGTACTCAGCACAGGCAACTAGCGCTGCCGATCAACAAGGAACACCATATACCAACACTGCTACACCTCTCCCGGGCGCTCCTCCATTTCCGCCTGAAACACCACAGCAACGTCAACCCCAGCAGCCGCAACCTGATCTCGCACGCTCTGTGGGCTCCCCCGAACCTGTTACTCCTTTCAACAACAACAGTCAGACGTACGTGAACGATCACGATGCTTTTGTTGACATGGTGGACTCGGAAGCCCGATTGGCCAGTAACACTCAGGAAGGGAGTGCTTGGCCACCGACTTATCCGCACGGTTATGTGTCATACCAACCTCCAATGGAGGGTGGGATGCAGAATGAAGCAATTCATTATATTCCGATGATGCAGACACAGAATGTGCCCGTCTCATATATGGTTAGTATGCAATCTAATGGGCGTTAAAACGACATTAAACGTTTGTTATGGGGGCTCGAGCTACATCTACGATTCCATACATCCCTCCACGATTTGCCCTCTTCTCGGATAATCCTATTTGCACCCAACCAGCCTTTTCACGACTATTTCACGACACGATCATTCACGAACAATTGGATACGCTACGTAGTGTCATTCGTTCTCATGATATACCTTGATATTGAAGTTGTATTTCTAGTCCATATTCCACATATGTACATTGGCACAATATAGAGAAGTAAGGATTCATATCTTACTTTAAGCTGATGGTCTATCAAATCGGTCCTGCTGACGCTTAAATAGTGTCTCCGAGAGTCAGGCAAACCCATGAAGGCGTGTTTCACGTTGTTCTCAAACTGATAATACCTATGCTTCATGTGACATGACGCTGAGTCGCCGCTAAAGTGCGTAATTTTACTTCCTACTACAATATCGAATAATATCATTCATACTACTGACGCCCATAATGTCCATAAGCCCCGGGTCGGGAGCTGGTCTTTCGGCATCCGTTTGTAACTGAAGGCCGACAACTTTACTTCGGCGCCAGTGGTTTCCAGTGACCGTCACTCCACCGCGGAATGCTGGACTGTTTTTGCTTCCTATGTCTAGATTGTCGCGATGTGAGCTTCACTTGGTTTTCCAATATATCCTAATTTGACCCACTTGTCCCACATATCAGCGCCTCTTCAAGCTTCAGCAGTCATATTCGGCCTGCCTCGTTCCCGGATCGCACTATGCATCTTCCGTGTGGCGCAAATAGGTTCTCTGACATTCCGAGCCGAGGGCTCTTGAGGTTCCATTGTTTCTTTCTCCAGGTCTACACGGTCCGTTCCTCGGATTGTTCGAAGAGTATATCGCCCCTTGCAGAAGACAACGGAAACACTTCGTAGCGCTTGCATAAAAGCTGAAGCTGACAACATGGCGAAGTCATTCCTTCTCACCTTTCCAAATAGCTGAGTCACCCTCGATCCAACCGGCTGGCACAATCCATGGAGAAGTAGTGCGTGTGTGACTGAAACACTACCTCACGGATGTATTGACGCTTCTTCCCAGCTGAACGCCTCGCGGATTTCCATATCACGAGTCATCTCCACATAGCAAATATATGATTACACGCTGTCTCTTGATGGGTACAGAGTACATCACCTCACCGTTCGCAGTATTCGTAGTAAGAGGGCGAAGCCGAACACTGGCAGCCTGCCCCTCGGACCCTTGAATTCCAGGACGTTTTACTATATTGCTCCTCCACTGCGCCTATTGACCACAGGCCAGAGGTCACATCTGTTTGATCCTGTCACTTAACACATACAGCGTGGCTGCACTGTGGTCCATACATACATTTAACCCCCCTGCTATCTTCTGCAAATCCCATTCATGGGTTACTTTTCAACCCTGCCTGACTACCTGCTTAACCTCGACGTATTCCACCTCGTTCCCTATATGACTTCTCAAGCTGGCTCCATGCAGGAGAAGGGAATTTCAACCCAAACCAGGCCGACGCATGCTGGACACAATCATAAACCTTCCTCACTGGCGTCGTCAAGGACCCAAATTAATCATAGAGAGAACGCTATCGATAGCGGTATCGTCCTTGGCTTTGCCCGCTATGGTCATCCAGATGGTCCAATATATCTTCCTACGGATCGTGGTATGTACCAAGATGCTTTCTTTTGACATATTCAGCGGTATTCAAATTGCGGATAGACTACTTTAACCGTTTAGTACCAATTTCAAAGGACGCCTGGAGCAAGTACTCTCCGACATGGGAAGGTTTTCGGGAGTTCTGGGATCTCCTTGAAAGTGGGGGATTTGACCAGGACGGCCAGCAAGGACAACAAGCACAACAAGCACAGCCCCAGCAACCTCAGCAACTTACGAAGCTCACACTTGCCAACCCTCCGTCCGACCTCATAGCAAGCTTCAATACAGACCTAAAGCCTGACCCAGACGTGCAGAGGACAGAACAGGTAAGTCTCATGGGCGTAGCCATGTATTGCATGAACGACATAGTAATGTTGTTGGTCAGATTGAAGTTAGAAACCTCGCAGTTGTTGTCTGTGCACCGAGCCTGACTACCGCAGTCGCCCAAGATCTCGAGAGGTTCGATACTACAACATATTTCTTCAAAGTTCGATCTGCTGACAACATCTGAAGTAATGGATACGAGGTTGACCCCCTTGCTCTCATGCCCTTCAGAGCCAAGCCAGTTCCATTTGAGCATAGGGATAAAACTATGATCAGTAAGTCACTCCCTTTATTCGTCATGTATTCGATCACAACGCATGTGAACGTAGTTCAACTCGGATTTCCACGGCGCCCTCTAGGACTATGGCTACTACAAGAAGGGCCCATTGACCAGTGCCCAGAAAAGAATGTAGTAGTAATAGACAACAATTATCGAAGTAAGCCATCCTACCTATACACGAGTATAAACCAACCCCGCGTCGATCCAGAGGGCCACATCCGCATGGACTCGCTGTTGCTCCATATCAAGGAGGTAGACGGTATACCGACGATCCTGTCCTTCGCACACTCCGGGGACGTGGCAGAAAGCATGAAGATGACAATTGAGAACAATTACTGGAAACCTCGATTCCAAGACCAGTCAGAGGGCCGTGATATTTCCCAACGCCTTCCATTGCCGTTCTTCTGGTACGCAGTGCGGCGCTGGGATGAGGTCTCTGAAGCGGTTGATACGTTCATCGGGAGCATGGTACGTTGGATTGGACTATGCGCCATAACTAATAACGCGTCATGTTTCACAGGAAACAGTATTTAAATCACAGACCGCGCAACGGTTGCACGTCCTCCGCGCCCACATTCTTCACAGCGAAGGCCTTCTGATGAGGTTCGGAGAAATTCTCGCTGCAATCAAGACCAATACCAAGGACGCCATCGTCATGGCAGAGTGCGAGAAGCTCCTCAAGGAATGTCAACGTTTCGAATTTCAGAGGAAGATGCACGAAGAACGAGCAAAACATATTATTGATATAGTACGCCCTCTCTGAATATCGAGAACTCAACTGATTGGAAACGTAGATGTATAGTCACTCTGCTGATAGAGCAGCGGAAGCTTCAGTTCGTGATAGCAGAGATATGATGCAAGTCTCGTGAGCCCTCCTTGATATTCAACCCCAGAAGCCGAAACATGATACTTCACTCCTAGTCGCCTTACAATGTTATTTCTACCTGCGTCGGTAATGGCCGTACGTGTTCAGTGCTTTTTAAGTTCATTTGACTGTTTAAACGGCCTTTCATTGTATAGGGGATATTTGGCATAAACTCAGCTGTCTTCGACGCACAAACTAGCTTAATCGTCTATTTGATCCTTACTATCCCTCTTACCTTGGTAATCATCTGGGTCTTCGTGGCGATCCAGGTGGAAAACTACTTCAAGAATTTCCCTCGAGGCGCTTGGTATTATCGGGCTTTCTGGCCTTTTTATGTGTTCGGGCATAATGTTCGTGCTGTTGACGCGACGCCTGTTTGAGCGTAAATATTCCATTGGCTTTCCACTACACTACTTCAGATTGACTAACGTTGCAGACTAGTCTTGGCTACTGTGGGACTCTGATCTTGCGCGTTCTTTCGTTTAGCTCACCGTGTATTTAAACGTTGATTACTGTAGCCGTCGCAGAGCGACGCTCCTGCTTGCGTTTCATATATTTACTACCTTTAGGACTGTTCTCTGTAGTTAGTTTCGTACAAATGATCCTATTATTTGCTAGGGGAGGCGTGAACCGATTTAGCGTGAACCTGTTTACATAAATGCACGTAGGTCACCACTCCATTATCAACCATTTCCGGTGCTCACCATATATGTATTGGTGCAGGTACCAAATCCAGTGATGACCCTGTGGTGGTCTTGAATGAGTATATTCGTGTGTTTGGTACATCATATACCTTGATATTAGTTTCTTGTAGCTGGCTCTTCTGGCTCCACTGTCCAATCAAGAACGCTAACGCCGCTTGAACTCCCTAATCCAATTCTGCCTCGTGATGTGCTTGCATGGAGTGGAATAGGTCCTCTGCCATTTGATGACCTTCTCGAGCTCCCTGGGTCTAGAGAACCCTTCCTTACTCCTCCGAGCTCCCCAGTCGGTAGTATTCAACTTGAGTATTGTATCATGCAGAATATGAGGGGTTTAGCGGCTGTTATAGTCTCTAACGTGGTGAAGGGGGTGCATTTCTCTTTTGTGCTTCTCTTTCACCTTCAATCTCAGTGGGTTATCCTGAATCCAACCTGGAGGCACAAACCTTGTACAAAAGGTGCGTGGCAGGATGACCCACTTCCTCAATTTCCCCACAGGCGCTCGGTACTGGCGTATACCTTGGTCGCCTTACATATTCAGACGAGGTGTTCGCATCGCTGACTCCATTCTTGTATGAGGACTGACAACTGTATACCTGACCTTTAACTTCCGTGAATATTGTCCTATACTATTGTTGAGCATGGCAGCCCTCTTCACTAGGGGCTAGGGGGCTTCAGGGGACATAGTTGTTTGGCAAGATCAGCGTAGACCAACAATGTATGTTTTCAATCTCATCGATGTCTTCTCTTATTCCGAAGTCATCCTGCCGGACCCTTCAGGCCATGCACTCAATATCCTTCAACCTCGCGTCGATCACCCCGGAGACGCGAGTGGGCGAGCTGACTCTCATCCGTCCTGGAGGACAAACTATCACAATCCCTACCCCAGGCTTGATCACCTCAACGTCTCGAGGCGTTGTTCCGCATCTATCTCGGGATCACTGTCAGTCGACGGAAGCGATTCGATGGGCTAATATTCCATTTGAGACATTGTAAGTCGGCCGTTTATTGTATCGGTAAGCCGAAAGCATCTTTACCTCTTTAGCCGTTTCATCACAGCCTAGAACAATCTCCCCCGATTCCGACATATCAAACAGGCCCTCATCCACTGCATAAATTTTTGGGCTATGACCCGTCACGAAATCTGCTTTCTATGTCTATCAGAGACCCACACGACGGACGCGAAATGCCACCCAACGGTCAAAACCACATCTCTGCGTACTGTGTAAGGGGTGTGCGGAAAGTGAGTTACAGAAAAAGTCTTGAACCAATGTGCCCGATTCTGAGTGGCAGGTCACATCCAGCGACTGGCGATCTCATGTAGAAAAATGCAAGCCTGACGTCGTATTCGCAATGTCTGATATCCCCTTCACACCTCCCCCGTATTCCCAAAAACGAACGACGAAAAGCCTCGAGCGGTCTGCTGCGTGGCTCGTTGATATCCTTCGACCCTCGGATAACGGCGTACACGAGGGAGAAGAACATGTCGCTCAACCGAATGTAATTGTCCACATGGCTGGAGGTGCAAGCATTCCCGCACGCAAGGCCTTCGCGGAAACATTGGCAGAAGCCCTATACGCTAAAGAAGCCGAGCTACTCAAGCCCTTGAAGCATTTGAATGACGGCATACTCGGATATGTCTTCGATCTCGTACCCCTACGTCTCTCACTGAAGACCGAAAACACGATTAGCGACGTGGTTGGAGATGATGATCTTGATCAAGGCAATACTACACGACCCATCCGAGCACAAATTGCGGATTTCATTCCATTACTTAAAGCCTCGTTGGCTCCTCTTCCGGAGAGTAAAGTGCGATTGGTCAACTCCACCAGCTGCCCCCACGAGGTTCTGCAATTCATACGTGACATTGGGGTAGACCTCTTTGACGCCCATTGGGCACAAAGAGCTGCCGATATCGGTGTTGCGTTGGATTTCAAATTCCCTTTTGGCGAGGAAAGTTTAGATACCTTGCAGCAGGCGCATGGGAAACGCGATATCGGACACAACCTGTACGACACACGTTATGCACTTGACTTTTCGAGGTTGGCTTCGTGTTTCCTCGATGGTGCTAGTGCTACGGACCTTGCAACGGCCTGCCCGTGTGCCGCATGCTCGCCTTCAGCCCCTACCTCCCACATATCACACAGTTTACTTGATTCGTTCGCCAAAGTCGAGGGTTCCAGAATTCTTCCGCCGTATACCCGTGCCTATCTACACCACCTACTGCACACCCATGAGATGTCATCACATACTTTGCTCGTGATGCACAACATCACCGTTCTAGATGCCTTCTTTGCCGGTATACGCTCTGTTCTTAGCCAAGAGAACGGGAAGGAAAGATTTGTTACGGAGGTGGCAAGGTTCGAGAAGGAGTATGATGAAAAGTTAACAGTTTTCGATCAAGCCCGCGTGCTTTGGGCAGAGGTCGAGAGAGCGAGGGGCAAAGGTCGGCTGGCGAGGGAGAAAGCGAAGCAGAACGAAACGACTTTGGGCACCGCTGTGGAATTGGAGTAAATGTATCAAATCAATGTATGGATCTATGTGCTGGGTGTTGGTTTTGACGGGCTTCCATTGGGCAATGAGCTATTTATCTTCGACTTTTCTCTTTCGAGGGGCCGCCTCAATTCACCTCTGAGCCTTCGAGAAGGTTAGCAATGACTCTACTTGGAGAGCGGTTAGCTTACTCGGCAAGTATCCCGCCCGTCACGGCAACCATGATCAAAGTAAAGACTACGATACCAGCTCTAGAGACCGTAGACACGCCCTCAAGCTGCGTTCTCTCCGCCTGTGCTGCACGCTGCTTCTCCATGTGTGCTTGCTGCTGAGCATGCGTCTGCGGTCGTTGCCCCGGCCGTGTATAATGACCTCCGTGTGATTGCGGGTGAGAATGGCCAGCAGGAGAATGTTGTCGCGGAGATGTCCAGCCTGGCGGCGGTGATCGGTGCTGATGTGATGAATTCGGTCTTGAAGAGAACTCCCAAGCATAGTGGACGGTATTCCTTCGCTTGACCTGCCATTCTGAGTAGGTATATGCACGAGAAGGTTTCGGGGCCGTTGGTTGTGCAGCCGCAGCTGCAGCCGCGCGTGCTTGTTGCAATTTACGATCATATGCACGCCTGTAATGCATACAAAGGCCTGTCATATCCACCAAATTGTGACCATTGTATGCGCCTTACCGTTGACGATCGTCACTCAGTACGGAGTACGCCTCTGATGCTGCTCGAAATACAGCTTCTGACCCAGGGCCTTTCGCGACATCTGGGTGGTGCTCCTTGCTAAGCTTCGAGCGGCACACTGTAAGCACACTCCGATAGCCCAACGCTAAACTGGAGACAAACTCTGTAAAAGTTGGACTATTTATCATTCTAAGCAGCGGAAGGGGGCGTTGTGAAAGGATCGAGCATGAATACCTTGATTTGTGCCCTGCTAGCTTCCGGTGGTACACCGAGGGTCTCGTAGTGGCTCTCCGCTCTTGATGTTATAGATAGCGTCCGTTTGGAGCAGTCATATCTACTAGAAAGGAACGAGAAGGTCTGGCGGATGCATTTTGAGGTCGTAGCGAACTGCAGAAATGACATTCACGAAGGAGAGGTCACCTTCCTTTGGCTTAGGCGCCAAAGATCAACAAGTTCAAATTCCCACGGCCATTTGCACAACGAAGTGGACTGGTGCTACACCTTCCTTCACCAGCGCGCCGAGGAACTATCACAGCCAGTCTTGCGTGCAAGCTCACTCTATTCAAGCTGAAATACCAGCATCAATTATTACCTGCCAGGTACAGCTCTGATGCAACAGTGTATAGATGTCTCTGAAACCTTTTTCTAGCTTCAAATGTCAGAACTAGGAACGAGATTGTGCGAGCCATCGTGGCCTACTGAAAGACGTTGCGGAACCTCATCGTCGTATCCGAAAGAACTCATGCGATGGCCCCTCTACTAAGCCGTAACCTTGGGTTTATTGAATTTTAGCCCGATCTCCAAGTTAAGCCGCGATATAGACATGAACCTCGGTGTCCAGTTCACCACCTCCTTCACAATCTTGCACAACCTTTAATTCTATTACGACAAGCGCTGTGCCGAAATCGAAGACATAATTAGCTATCTAGTCTGCTTAACTGAAGAATGCACAAGGCCCCCGCAAATAGGTGAATAGTCGAAGGGATACTTACGCGTATTGGCTCAGATAAATGCCGGGGCCGGATATCCTGGCGCAACAACGTCCGGTGCTGTTCCTCAACGTCTGATAGAATCAAATTTGGGAGGATTAGACGCGTTGGGCCTGGCGGCGCTGCCGAGCAACCCTACTAGTCCAACTCAAGGCAGGGCTAATGTAGGTATCAGAATCAGATTCTGACATTTTCTGCTCCCGCAGGCACACACATCGTACTGCTCAAGTCTTATGATTAATCATGCAGTACCGGCGGTCAGTTTAAATACGAGGGCGAGGACGAGGGAACAGCAAGCACTTGACTTCTACGCCTGCGCAGCTCCTGCGAACATGGTTGTCACAAAATGGGTGCTATCGATGCTTCTTGGTCTTATACAACCGGCGTTAACAACCGCGTCTGCCTCGTCGCGCGTGCACACAGGGCCTCTTCCGTCCTTATCCTCTCCCCTTGGACCCGTCGTCAACCTAGGCTATGCAGCATTTGCCGGGAACGATACGTCTCCCGAGGGAGAAGTTCATACATCGGTGACGTTTTACGGGGGTATACCGTTTGCTCAGCCTCCCGTGGGGGACCTTCGATTCAGAGCTCCGAAGCGACTGGACGAAACGATTAGGGACCCAGCTCGTGTTCGGATATCAGATGCAAGGAATTGGGGCGCACCTTGCATCCAGCAGACCGCGCAGGTGGGCATAGGATCCGAAGGTGAACAGATTCGACATTGCAATTACTCCTGATTCACTCACGCGACCTGTGTATATAGACTGTTTGACGTTGAACGTGTGGAAGCCCTCGAATGCATCCGAGGCAAGCAGACTTCCCGTACTTGTATATTTCCACGTGCGTCCGCCTTGTCGCGTATTCTTGTGCCCGCGACTGAATACAACCCAAGGGGGGAGGTTATTTTGCGGACGTGAGTCGGCCATTTTGCTGGTATCACGATGGGTGACTACATGTAGCTGCCGCATCGCATTCAGTCGCCATTTGGGTTCCCTTTCTACCACTGGGTGGCCCAAAACCAGGGTTTCATTGCCGTATCCGTCACATACCGCCTCAACCTCCTTGGATTCCTTGGCGGGGCTGCCGTCGCTGCCGATGGTGACATGAACGCAGGGTTCCACGACCAACGCGCTGCCTTGGAGTGGGTCCAGAGGAATATACACCGGTAGGCATCTATGGTTTCTCATATAGAACAACTTGTCTAATGCCCTGCAACCGATATGTAGCTTCGGAGGGGACCCTGACGAAGTGACGATTGCTGGCGAAAGTGCTGGTGGCGGCAGCGTACTTGCACAGATGATGGCATACGGCGGTAAGCGCTTCTCTCAACTGAGAATTCACTTTATAATCTAAGTCTCTGAGCAACTAGGGTCCAAACCGATTCATTTCAAACGAGGTATCGTGCAATCGGGAGCCTTTGGATTGTTTCCCACTACGGAGCAAGCAGAAACAACATTCAGTAAGCCCGCCTTCCCCGGTCTCCTACAGGAGGACCTTGCATTAATTTCCATTTACTCATCCTAGAGAATGTTGCCTCTATAGTAGGCTGTACTGGGTCAAATGCCAAGATTATGAAGTGCCTTCGCAATGCATCCGTAGGTGAGTAGTAAACGTAAACCGCTCATCTACAGTTTGTCTCTGGAGTTAACGTGCCGCCTCAGGTGCACTTGCCAGCGCCATCAACAAGGGGTCCTATCCCCCGTTGATAGAAGGTCCCGGCGGCTTTTTGCCCGGCTTACCGACCCACCTTCTCCATTCTGGGAAGTTCAAGAAGGTGGACTTCATGGGCGGGCATACAACAGATGATGTGCGTGTTTTGATCGCCGCTGCGCCTGAGGCGTTTCAGTCGGAGGAGGATATAAGGAGGATCCTCTTCCCGCACCTTGTGAGTGGAACATTTGTGGATCACTACGCTTACGAGTATGTAGTTGAATTGGGGGTTATGTACTAATTTCTTTCGACATCTAGACAGCGGGACTATTGGACAAGGCGTTCAAGTTATATCCACCACCTGGTACGCCTGGGAGCCCATACGCGAATGAATACGAACGCGGCGCACAGATGTTCCAAGATAGCACTCTAGGGTGCTTGTACGTACTATTTTCTTCAGACCCTACTCCTACTGTAATACGCATGATCTGACTTTGCGATCCCTCTTCCACAGTGATATTCTTGCTGCCCGGAAACTGGCCAGTCGAGGCGAAGACGATGTCTTCTCATTTAGGTCAGTATATGCTTCGGTTCTCAGCCCGCTTATAACGCGACCTGATTTGTCCTCGTGTCCTCGAACTATAGATGGAACTCCCCACACATGGTCTGGTGGGAGCGCAAGCCATATCAAGGCTCCATGCATACGTCTGACCTGTATTACCTGTTCCACGGTCAGTCAGACCAAGCCTTGTTATCATATGTTAAGCTGAGGCCAAACCTGCTTTCGAAATCTATCAGGTACTGTGTAAGTCGCAGTCACTCGCTAACGATTTCGATCTCTTGAATGTGTTGCTGACATACGTGTGGGTCATGATCAGGCGGCTACCCAATGCCCTAGATTCTTTCAGGGCATTAAACGAGGTACGTGGTCCGATCCTGTTCATTGAGACGCTATCTCTCAGCCAACGTACATAGAGTGAGACCCGACTATCCAGAGAAGCGATTGGATATTGGACATCCTTCATAATTTCGGGCAACCCCTCTTCAGAGAATGAGCCTTCCCGGCCTACTTGGGAACCATTCGCCTCCACGTCCGCGTCGAATTCATCATCATCATCAAACACTACGACTACCGCTCATAGGCGGATTGTTATAGAAAGGGGGGGTGAGGATGTGATAAATACGAATACATTCGTAGAGTCAGTGCCGCAGGAGGAGATCGAGCGATGCGACTTTTGGATGAGTGCGGAAGTGACGGCAGAAACGAGGACGTAATGTTTCGTTGGTAACAAACAGAAGTAAGAAGGAAGTGAGAGGGGTTAGGCTAAGGTTAAGAGACGTAGCGATTGCCCTGAAGTTCAATATTGGGGGGGAACGTGTTGTAAATGTTCATGTTCGGGAATAGATTGAGAAGAACTTCGACAGTTGGTTAACACAAGGTACTCATAGCATAATAATACCTAACAATGGCTCAGAGCCTCGGGGTTGGGAGCCGCGACATGATCTGATTGATTACAATGGTGCTTACAACCTGAGAAGAAAGGTCCCTTCCTGCGTCGGAAGGCACCTACATGACGTATGTTACACTTACGGCAAGATGAAGGGCTTGTAAGGCGCTTGACCAACGTAAGTGTCGGTGATGTGCAACGCCGACGGTGGTGGGAGGGTATGTTGAACAGACGCATGCTCGTCCGGGGTTGCAGAAATTCGACTGCGATGCACCCAGGATGCAAGCATCAGAAGCTAAGAGTTGCACTGAGTAGAGAGAAAATGGGCTGGGTTGATGGGTATCATGGCGAAGGGTTGACAGAAGGTATTTGGAAATAGCTTATCAGGTCAGAATACGATGCACAGTGGATGTTGTCGTGTGCCTCGAGGCGTTCCTTATCCCTAAATACATCCCCTGGTCAGTGCAGGCGCCAGGGAGTAACATCACCGCACGTCAAGGTTTGAATTTGAATTGTTGGAGGTCAGATACACCCCAGATCGGTAGCCGGGAGCCGTCCGATGTAGGTTGCTTGGGTTTAGTGAATGGCCTGAAGGATTTATAGGATTCGAAGGCGGCTACGTGTATCGAAACCAAATCGATGTTCAGGGACCTCACTTGAAGAAACTGTAGGTTTTGGAGGAAGGGCGCAAAGAGAGTACTGCGCGAAGGTCGAACTGTTGCACCGATAGGCTATTTAGCGAAGGAAAATCCAAGACTTTACGTCCACATGACACGCCGCAGCTAAGCATGCTAAGATTGACTACCGAAGGCATAGGGCTCTTGATATGGACGGATTCATCGAATGCAATTGCTAGTGAATGAAGCTTTGGGAGATGTCTGGCATCCAACTCGATGGTGTGACCTTGGATATCGTCATTGATCAGTGAGACTGATTCTAATGCAGGGTGGCGCAAAAGAAAGCGAGAAAGCCCTTCCGAGCAGGTGCCGCGGTCCAAGAAAAGATGGGTAAGTCGTACGCTATTGGGGAGAAGCGACAAAACGCCAGGACTGGTGGCTTGACGAGTGAGGCAGAGACGTTTAAGGTTGACCAGATAAGGGATTATCTGTTCGATGTGGGCTCGGCTTTCTTCATAATGCAAGCAGTGCTTCGAGAAATAGATCGCAAAGGTGGTTGTGAACTGGACACCCGGGTTCGTGTGCACATCGCGGCGTAACATTGATATCCGAGACGACATATTATCTTCAAAGGGTAATGTTATGTCTTGGTAGATGCATCGTAGGCTCATCGCATTGGTTACTCTGGATACGACGGCGAGGTTCAACAATGTCTTGCGATCCAAACAGAGGGCTACAATGGCTAGCAGAACCTCGTTTGGGAGTTGAGGCATTTGGGACTAACAAGTAGATATTAGAGCCGCGGTGGTTGTGAACACCGTCGTCGCGAGGGCGTACCGGTATTGACTAGGGGTGGCTCCTATCCCCGACACAAGAAGGTGGATACCTAACAGAGTTAATCGTGCGCCTTGCCAAGGGGTCGAGAATTCGAGTCACCGGCCACGCTGGCCACATCATAACCTCTGAACCTTTTCGTTAGTCTGACAATCAGTAATAAATACAGCAATACGATACGATGATGCACAAAACATGGCGCCACTTGAGGGAGAATCATCATTCTGGCACAACCATAGAGTTATTACACCATATGTCCGTGGAGGCGGGTGTTAATAGTATATATGAGTAAAACGTAGATGTGTCAAGATTTGCGAGCTGAGATCAGTACTTGGTTCGGTGTGGGGTTTGGGATAGTCCAACAACTGGTCAGTGTTTACGGCAATGAGCGTTGATGGACAGTGAATAGTGCGACCAGAGATGAAGGCGGTGCTAGATGCATCAAAATAATCTGAAGCCGTTCGGACTAGGGGGTCACTGTCTTGGATGTATTCTTTCGGCCTTCGGATATTGAATTAGTCATTGGGATTGGGAAGTGGAGTAAAGAAATGACGACTCACTGGCCTCTTCTGTAACCTCTTCTACGAGTTCCCACCATCCCTCCCACAGGTATGCGTCATTGGCGATGGGCTCGTGCTTAAGGGGGGCGGGGGAATCCCTGAACCAACGTAGAGTGATACAGGGATTGCTCATGTCCACAATGACCAGACTTGGGACAGCATCAAAAAGTTCCAGAGGAAAAGCATCCATCGTAACAAGCATCCCAAATTTCACATATTTCAATCTTAAGAATGCGGCAAAATTTGATGCGGTCGGGCGCTAAGGAAAGAGATTGTCGGCCGTCATTCAACGCAGCAACACACTACACAGTGAGTACACGTACCGAATGCTGGTGCATGGAAAACACTTCGAGAAACTCGAGATTGCGGAGAAAGGGTGCCAGAGCAAGTACCGTAACAAAGTCATTTAATGGGAGGGATAGACTGCGTAGTGACGGAAATTTCGAGAGAAGGTTGCTTGCGCCTATGTTCCCGAGACCCAGCATACCAAGATTGACCACGGAAGGCATAGGACTCTGAATGTGTATCGATTCGTTGAAGGTGAGCTCTAGTGAATAAAGTCTCGGGAGGTTGCTCGCCGCCAATTCAATGATGTAATCGTGAACCTCGCCGTTGTGAATTGCGATGGCTTCCAGCGTGGGAGTACGTGAAAGGAATTGTGATAAATCCTCCGAGCAATGGGTGTGATCCAGGATGAGGTGGGTAAGCTGTGAGCTAGTTGGTAGAAGAGACAGTACTCCATGAGTGGCGCATTGTCGAGTCAAACAGAGGCGTCTAACGTTTATCAGATACGGGATTATGTAGTCGATGTCGGTTCGTATTCCGCCATAACCATTGAAGTAACATGGAAAGAAATAGATCGCGAAGGCCTTCGTGTACTGGATACCTGCGTTTGTTCATATATCGCGGCGCAACAGGGAGATCGGAAGATGATCCTCTAAGTGAAAAGTTATGTCTCGATAGAGGATTGGATGGGCCATCGCGTTGATTCTCTTGGATACGACGGTGAGGCTGAACAATGTCTTGCGCTCTAAATGGGCCACGATGGCCTGCAAGAGTTCATTTGGTAGCTGAGACATTGGAACTAGAGAATAACGCTTTAGTAAGACCGATAAACCGCAGGAAGAGGCCATACCAGCTGTATTATGGACAGCAAGGCTGTTCACTGTAAGTGGACAAATCTCAAGCGCCCAACTTAGAAAGCGCTTATCTTGAAGTTGACACAGGAGCCACCCCTATTCTCTACCTCGTTCTGGTAGGGTTGCGTTGAGATCAGATGTATTGATGCCTCGCGAAGATCGATGTATTTATTACGCATCGCTCTAGCTGGGTAGAGATAATACTAGATGCGGGCGTACCCAGGTGCCCGCATGAGGGCATGTGAAAGGAGAGAAATATCCGAAATTTCAGAACCAATCTAATCATCTTCTGGTTTGTTGACCGACAACTGTGTACGTTCACGACGGCGAGAATCGATGGTCTGGTACTTGAGCGGGATAGGCCCGTGAGTGGTGCGGGATTTCGAGTGGTTCGGTTCTGGGATGTCAGATGATCGCTGTTGTGCTCGAAACGAGGTAGAGTCCTTTGCACTGCGCGGTTACTGCCTTGGGTCTATACCTTCGATTTTGTGAAACTCATTGAGTAACGGGGAAAGAATATACTCACTCAGGGCTTCTTCTATGTGTTCTCTTCCCCGTTCAACCCACCACTCTCCCCATATCGGTCTGCTACCATTGAGAGTGCTTCCTTCAAGGGGAGTGGCGGAACCTCTGATCCAACGTAGATTTTTAGAATAATGAGATATTTCCATAACGACCAGACTTTGCACAGCACTGAAGAGTTCGAGAGGAAGTGTGTCCTCGCTGAAACGATACAGTCCAAATTTCATGTACTTCAATTTTGAGAACACAGCAAAGCTTGATGCATTAGGGCGCTAGGCATGCAAAGAGTTGAGGGAAAAATCATCCAGCGGTGTACGGTATATTGAATGCGTACCACATCAGAATTGCTAAATGACAGTCGGAGAAGCTCGAGATTTGGGAGGAACTGCGCCAAGGAGAATACCTCGGGAAGGTCGGAGTGCGGCAAGGATAGGCTACATATCGAGGGAAAATTCGGGACAACATGTCCCGTTGCCCTCCCATTCCAGGGGAAGCGGAGTACAGTGAGATCGACCACCGAAGGCATAGGACTCCTGATATGCACCAATTCGTTGAAGGTGATCTCCAGGGAACGAAGTTTCGGGAGGTTGCTAGTTGCCAACTCGATGGCGGGGCCGTCTTCCTGGATGTTGTGGATTGCGATAGCCTCCAGTGTAGGATTACACGAAAGGAATTGTGGTAAATCCTCCGAGCAGTGGGTGTGATCCAGGATGAGATCGGTAAGCTGTGCGGTACTTGGGAGTCGAGACAACACGCCGGGGCTGGCGCATTGGCGAGTCAAGCAGAGGCGCCTAACGTTCACTAGATAAGGGATTATGTAGTCGACATTGGCACGAACTTCATCAAATCCTTGGAAGTAACACGGAAAGAAATAGATGGCGAAGGCTTTCGTGTACTGGATACCTCGGTTGGCCTGTATGTCGCGGCACAACAACGAGATCGAAAGCCCATCCTTTATGCGAAAAGTTATGTCTCGATAGAGAATGGGCAGGGCCATCGCATTGATTCTCTTGGATACGACGGTGAGGTTCAACAACGTCTTGCGTTCAAAAAGGGCAACGATGGCCCGCAGAAGTTCATTTGGTAGTTGAGACATTGGAACTAATGAATACTGTTTAGTATGATGATACACCCCAGGGAGAGGCTTTACCAGCTGTATGGTGTCGACAGTCGACACCCAGGCTTTTGCTGTACCAAGTGACAACTTGAAGTGACTCGCGGCTTGAAGGGTGCTTGCAAAAGTTGTCACAGGAGCCACCCCTATTCTCTACCTCAGGCCTCGGGCGTCGGGATTATTTAAATGTATCGGTTGAAATGTATGGTTAAATCGGTCCATTTATTACACATCTCTCTAACTGCGTATCTCTCACAAACTCGATGTGGGCGTGCTCAGATGTCGTCAGAACTTCGTTTAAGGGGAAGAAATGCCCGGAACTTCAGGAACTATTCATGGCGGTTGTAAGAATCAAAATGAGGCGGGCGTTCGCACTACTGCATTGCGTCTATACCTCTGATTTTCTGTTATTCATCGAGTAAAAGGGACAAAATTTACTCACTCAGGGCTTCTTCTATGCGTTCTCTCGCACGTTTAACCCACCACTCCCCCCATATCGGTTTGCTGTCGTTGAGGGTGTCACCCCCCTCCTCAGGAGCGGCGGAACTCTTGACCCAACGCAGATTTTTGAAATGATTGCATACTTCCATGATGACCAAGCTTTGCACGGCATGAAAGAGTTCGAGAGCAAGGCCTTCGTCGCTAAACCGATGCAGTACAAATCTCACATATCTCAATTTCGGGAACACCGCGAAGTCAGATGCATTCGGGCGCTAGGTATGCAAAGGGTTGAGGGAACAATTGACCAACAGTTGACGGTGTAGCAAATGCGTACCACATCAGAATTGCCAAAGGACACTCGGAGAAACTCGAGATTCGGTAGGGACGGCGCCAAGGAGAATACCACTGGAAGATCGGCATGCGGCAAGGATAGGCTACATATTGAGGGAAAATTCAGGACGACGTGCCCCGTTGCCCTCCCGCTCCAGGGGAAGGGATGCACGCTGAGATTGGCCACCGAAGGCATGGGGCCCTTGATATGCACCAATTCGTTGAAAGTGATCTCTAGTGTGCGCAGTTTCGGGAGATTGCTAGCTGCCAATTCGATGACGCGGCCATTATTATCGCTGTTGTGGATTGCGATAGCTTCGAGCGTAGGATTACACGAAAGGAATTGTGGTAGATCCTTCCAGCAGTGGGTATGATCCAAGATGAGATCGGTAAGCTGCGCGCTAGCGGGGAGTCGAGACAATACGCCAGGACTGGCAGACTGGCGAGTCAAGCAGAGGCGCCTAACGTTCACTAGATACGGGATTATGCAGTCGACATTGGCACGAACTTCGTCGTAACCCTCGAAATAGCATGGAAAGAAGTAAATGGCGAAGGCTTTCGTGTACTTGATACCACGGTTGGCCTGTATGTTGTGGCGCAACAAAGAGATTGAAAGCTCATCCTTTATGTGGAAAGTTATGTCTCGATAGAGAATGGGCAGGGCCATCGCATTGATTCTCTTGGATATGACGGTGAGGTTCAACAACGTCTTGCGTTCCGAGTAGGTCACGATGACCTGGAGAAGCTCATTCGGTAGTTGGGACATGCAGAGCTAGATAATAGTGTTTCAGTAAGATCTACACACTGCAGACGAAGACCGTACCACTGGTATACTGAGCAACAAGGCTTGTGGCGCTAAGTAACGGTCCGTGTGACATGAGTCACTCCTATTCTAAGTATTCCCTCTATTTCGTGGTCGCATTTGTGGCTGATATCCAGGAAGCATGCAGCTTCATATTAGGATGCTTCCAGAGAGCATGATACTTAACTACCGTTGCGGAATCAAAATACAATATCACTTGAATGTATCAGATCGTCTCGACGCCCATTGATAATCCAGTGTTGCTTGTGAATTCAACGGAGAAGATAACTGGATATGTACGTATCTTGATAGTACGATTCTCTTATGGAACTGGATGAAGAATGGAGCTTTTTTCTGGGGTGGTCTGGCTGCTGGCTTTACAACTGTGCTCTGAACTCAGGTAGTCCCAATGATATGGACCTCTCGATATCAACACCATGCCCCAAACCCCCGAATTGTATGGACTCGGAGAGGATGGTTGCTTAATGAATTCATCAACAAGTGAAGGGGTGAACGTGGGTGTAGTGGTAACAAGTGGCCGCTGGTTTACGGGCGCACCGCGGGTACCGCTAGACAGGTTAGATGGGGCATCGTCTCCATCGTGCAACCGCACCGAAGAATCCGCAATGTATCTTGGAATGGCTGTTTGATCGGATGATCATCGGAAGGGGGAGGATGGAGCGTGGGGCTTCAGCTCAGATAATGAAACCTAGCACTCCACGCAGCTGTTGGCTAGTTGTGATTCGTTGTCGACTTGATCGGTAGTGGGATCGGAGGTGCTAGGGTTGCAGCCTTGGCGAACTTTGCATCCGTCAAGTTGTCGAGGCGTGGAGTTACTGAGGCTCCTGAGGCTTGATTGCCTGATAATTAGCAATGATGAGGAAGCGCAGGTGCCATGCGGGGATGTCTAGGTATCAATGTATCACTGCAGACATCGCTGAATCAATATATATGTTGATGCGTAGAGCCCGGTTTCGCTTGAGGGGAATGAATCAACGCGCTGATCATATATCATTTAGATCATTCAAGTTGGACAGAGTGTACTGTGCGCCATATACGGCACCGGCAGTGGAGGCGGGCGCAAGCGCTAGCAATGTGCATCTTCAAGTATTTTGAAACTATAGATATGCCCGTCGGCCGATCTCGTCAGGGTATTTCAACATAGGGACTCGAATCAATGCTTCCGTTTGGCAATTGGAAAAAGGGAAATTCGGGGGGTGTACATGTCAGCCGTTGCGCCGTGGCCTTGTAAATCACGGTTGCTTGGTTGCACGATAGATAGGGATAAGGGGGGCATGTGGAGGGTGTGGGAAGTATACTGAGGACACTCTGAGAGAATAAGAGAATGAAGTGAGGCGAGGTGAACCCGTGGAAGCTTGGGAAGAGTCGGACGAAGGTTGATTAACTCGAGGACTGATGATATCGATGGCGACACGAACATTTGACGGGCGAGGTTGGATGGAAGGTGGAGCCGTGGAGGGTCATAAAGAGGTTCATTGGTGATCGTAACACGACGCGGTAATTTAATAAATTCGCAGATGTTCTAGATGCTACGATGATGAGATGATGCTTCGCCATGAAGTACAATGCAGATGCCAGGCAGGCGTCGGCGTGCTCGAAAGCACGAGAATTCCACCCTGAGTCGTGACGCAGACGCCGTCAGTGCAGACCGAAGAGAAGGTTAGATTATTACATACACCATAAGTAATGAAGGAAGGCACAGGGCTCAGGAGACCGCGTAGCCCACCAACGTAAAGGATGTCGTTAGCCTAACAAAGTTATAGATGCACCACTAGACAGAATCTAGCAATCTCGAGGACGCAGCCGCTCGTGACGAGGCTGGCTGCTGATACCAGGGGGCCCATTGCGGTCGAGGTGGGAGGCCAGTAACACGAAATACTGACCATGATTGATCAGAAGTAATGGCGTTTGAGAACTCGCCTTCTTCCCGCGTCGGGAGTGGTGCTTTACGTTAGACCGTCAATCATGCATACGTTGTTCCACGCTGCCAGGAAATAAATGAAACCGAGAGTGCGTTTGGACCGGACGAATCCAGCCAGCCAGCGCCCGACCGACGGCAGACGTCGGGGATAGGTGGTGTGCACGGGCATGGGTGGGAGACAGTGGATATAATTAAGGTCGTTTCGGCGTGCAGGGCTTCGCGTAGGCCTATCAGACGCGCAGGAGTAGGAACCACCGTGCGAATAACAGATTGTGACAAAAACCCTCCTAGATCTGCAGATCCATGCCCAAATCGGTCGTCGTCATAGGAATTTTTATGTATAATTTTATATTTCCTAATTTACCCTAGAGCCCTTTCCGTTCCTTTATTCTTTCTTCCTTCCCTTCTCTCATCTCAGAGACGACCACAACGACGACGAGACGTGTCCCGACGTCGCCGTCCACGATGAGAGAATCCCGACACCAGCACACACCCGTCCCTCTCCTCCTCTCCTCCTTCCCCGCCCCGCCCTCGTTCATCCCGCCCTCCCCCAACCCTTCCATTCTCTCGACGGCCGCACACCCACCCATCGCCACCCCTTCCTCCTCTTCACCTAATCCGCCGCCCTCTCTGCCGCCCTCCAGCCCTCTCCCGCCGCTCCCTGGAAAATCTCCTCTTTCAGATGCCGACACCCTCCTCTTTCACTCGCATTCCTCTCCCCGCATTTCGCGTGCATCCATCTTATCCATATCTACCGCCTCTTCGAACAGACGATTGTCCTCAACAAGCGCAACATCGCCCTCCACGCGCTCTCCACGCGACTCCGTAGCTTCTAATAGCTCCACCTCCGCGCGCTCGACCCGCTCATTCTCGGCATCGTCAACTACGCCCTCCTACTCATCATCCACCTCTTCAACAGCGCCTCCTCGCACACCCTCCATCGCGTTTTCGATCTCAGAAGAAGCAGGGGTGGATGAGCTAGGCGCTATCATTGGCAGACGCGTTGACATTGGTGAGAATTTCCGGTTTGTCGTCGCTTTTCTTGTGCTTGCTGACACCTTTCTCTCTTGTTCTCGCCGTTGACAGTCACGTCGCCCGAGTCTCACGACGTCCTACCTGACATAACCGCATTCTCACGCTCACCCCTCTCTAAGCCAAAGCCTTTGCTATCGAACTCGCTCTCTAACCTGAAAAACGCAACATCACCTCCGCCATCCTCTTTCTCACTCCCTCGACCTCCTTCTTCCGCCTCAAAATCATCAAAATCATCCAAGCAGCGTAGTCGTACTCGAGACCGTTCAAATACGGCTACGTCGACATCCACCACCATGTCCAATACGTCAACATCCATACCCACTTCAAACCCTTCACAGTCACTACTTTCGCTCTCATCATCGACTTCTCTCCTCTCCTCTTCCGTAACCTCGCTATTATTGGCCTCGGATAGTATTCAAGACGATGACGCGGACGATTTGGACAGCATTCTCCGGACGCATTCAGTGGGAAACGAGTCCCTTGTAGAGGGAGCGTATGGGGGGATCTTGGGAGATGGAGATGATGGTGGCGAAGATAGTGATTTGGAGTTTGTATTGAATCACTCGAGGTTGGGGTTGGAGAGTAGGGAAGGATTTGCGGATGGTGGTCAGCCTGTGGAGGAAGATGGAGGAGACGCGGAAGCGTTGGCGCTGCATAGATCCTTTAGAGCCAAGAGGTCAAGGAGCGGGTCTCATCGCATGAAGTTGAATTCTGCCCAAGGCACCCAAGGACAGGACTTAGATTCAGTGGTACCCCCAGTCCCGAGCATACCCATCATCCCTAATACACCACAGACACCGCATACACACGCCACTCGCGCGCATACGAAGTCAGGCAGTGATAGTGCTAGAGAAAGAGGTCGAAGGGAAGAGGAAAGCGGACGATCTTCCAGTCCTGAGATTGGCGAGATACTGGCAAGTACGCCGAGACCGGCACGTTCGAAATCGAGGCCGAGAGTAGGTCAGCCAGGTGGTAGTAAGAGTGCACCCGGGTCAAGAAGGGGGTCGGCTGCGAATAGCGCGAGCATCTCTCGGTCTACGTCAATCGCTTCTGCTGCTTCAATGTCCAAGTCTCTTTCGAGGTCAGCGTCAAGAAGTACGACTAGCACAGCATCGGTTCTTTCAGCGTCGACGTCCAGGACCTCGAGGAGCACTGGTGGTGGAGGTGTCGTTGATCTTGATGCAGATGAATTTGGGTTCATTGGAGGTGTTGGCGCACACATGAGTGACGGAGGAGACGAGGATGGGGCGGGCAGCGATTCAAGCCTGGATTTGCATACACCATTACCGTGCGTATTCTCTAGTTTTCACTTGTTCATGTTTCCTGACCTGTCTACTGAATTTTGACTCGGAATATATTACAGGCATTTGATGGTTAAGCATGGAATGCTGTCACCTAACTCGAAACTGCTACCAGCTGGGATGAGTCCGTTTGCGATGAATTTCGGCGATGCGGGGGCCTCTACTACATCTTTATCTACGACAAATTCTCTCGCGAATGCATCGACATCAAAAGGGAAAGGGGGCAAAGGTGCTGGTAATGGATTGTTGAAAGATGAGCGAGATACAGTCAAGAGAAGGACCCGACATAGGGATGGGAGTTTGCTGAGGGGCGGAATCGGATTGACTACGGGGTTGGGATGGAGTGATAGGTGAGTTGAACGTTTTGTGATTGCTCTCTTTCCTTTTTATACGACCGGTGTGGCATTTTATATGTTCGTTGGGAGTGGGCTTTTTGCGATCGTGATTGTGCCGTTGAAGGAGTGCCTTGTTTCGCCTGTCGTTGTTGACAAGAGGCGCTGTGACAACGGGACTGCGGTTGCGACTTGTTGTTCTCTCATGATTTTCTCATGTGTTGGTGTTGTGCTTTTGTGTCAACAGAGGGGATCCTTGTGTTTTCCCTTTGACTTGTTTCCGTTTCGGACTGTTTAATTCTTTCCTCGGCGCTGCTTCCGAGCGCTTTATTCTACCTTTTATTCTTTATTCCCACTGCTATATGGTGTGCACGGTACATGACATACTGACGTCTAATTTCTTTGTAGTGAAGACGAGGATGCCCCGTCGCCGCTTACACGTCGGCTTTCGACGTTAAATATGTCGAGGAGTCCCTCCGCCGCGTCTATGAGATCCACGGGGTCTATGGGATCTATGCGTTCCGTAGGCTCGATTGGTATGGGCAGGGTTCATTCAATGGGTGTCACGGGAAACATAGGGAAAGGAGGCAAGCGGCACCCACTATCGAGGTCGTATTCGAGTCCGAATGACGGGATGCTTCTGGAGAGGGACGAACATGAGTACGGAGAAGGGAACGCGGGGTATGATGAATTCGGATATCCGACAGAGGGCGGAGGTTACAATGAGTATGGGAACGAGGGTGAATACGGGCAGGATTGGGGTGATGGGGATCTCAACGAGGATACGGAGGTGTATCAGAGCTTCGATTATCCGCGCAGGAGCGGGGAGAGTGCGAGTCGGATCACGACGAGTATGAGTTTGGGCGCGAAGACACGGACTGGAAGCGGGAGTGGTACTGTTAATGGAAGTAAGGTGGGGGCGATGCGTATGAGCTCGAGCCTAAGTGGGAAGGGGAAGGGAGGGTTAGGCTTCGTGAATCGGGACAAAGGACTACCGCCTCTGCCTCCGCTCAGCCGACAAGCATCGAGCGCCAGTGTGAAGAGTACGACGACGCCAGTTACGAGCGTGGGTGGGAATAGAATCCCTAGGCCCTTGCAGTTGCCTCGACACTCTAGTATGCGCAGCGGAAATGGCAATGGAGGCGTCGGGGGAGGTGATCGTTCCCCTGTCCCTGTTCCCTCTGTTCCTTCTTCCTCGCCTGCCGTGTTGACCTCATACAGTGCGTTTTCGTTTTCATCATCTATTTGTTACTCTCCTGAACATAACGCTGTTGCTATTTTAGGTCAGCGTTCTAATACGCTAGGCAGGAGCTTCGGGAGCGGCGTTAGTGTTGCGAGTGGTCATAATGGAACCGGTGTTGGTAACGTTGGATTGAGCGCGTCGATGTCGAAGTCGTCAGTGACCCTGTCGACACCCGCGTCAGGAGAGTGTGCCATCGGCAAGCCGAAACCTCGGACGGGAACCGGGATGGTCTACAGAAGTAGTGTGACGAGCCGGATGAGGGTTCCTAGTGCACCGATGCTGGGAAGGGCAGTCGGCATCGGAGGGGCGGGACAGAAGACCGCTGTGCTCTGAGCGGAAAACGATCTACACTGGAAGGATGGTTAGAGAAGGCGCGGAGGGAGGACGAGCAGCTGGCCCGGTTTTTGTTTCCATTTTGTTCTTGTCTCTTCTTGATTCGAGTCTATCATTCAGTCCGGTTTTTCGATGTCCATCACTCTCGTTGCATTTGTGTCACCTCATTCCATCCATTTCATTTTCGTTCATGGTTTCTTTATCATTTATCCCCATTTCTTTCTCTCCCCCCGTTCGCGCTATGGATTCGGAATCGAGGATTTCTGAAGAGGATTTTGCATATTGAATTTTTTGGATTTGTATCATACCTCCACCATACCATCTTATTGACCCTTTGTGGTCTTTAGGCACTTCATCCCCTACTCAACCCTCCCAATCGCATCCCTGCGGTCGCGGTCGACGTGCAATGTTCCGCACAGCTGCTCGCGTCCGAATGTATCACTTGGCCGTCGACCCTGGCAGGATATCCATTAACAAGGAATTCATAGATGATGTATCACATTTCAGTACATACGTACATTTATTGATTATTACTCACTTCGCGGATGTTTAGAGGTTTTGGAAATGTTGCGTGCAGCAGTTCCATCCACTTCCGAATCCCTCGTCCGTCTCCGTTCGACCTCAATTGACCTTTGGAACACCCAATCTCCCTATTTCCGTTTCGTCATAACCTAACGACACACTCTTTTTATTATCCTTACCTTCTGGAATCCGGATTTCGTGTATTTCTTCCTGTCTTATACCATCGTCCATTGCGCCGTTACTATATTTCCCCGTTGCAATTGTATTGAATACCATTCGGATTAATCTTATTGATTGAGTTCTGACTCAACTTGAGTGTCTGTTTTGGCATTGGGTGATCCCACCGTGATTGTCGTGATCGGGACGATGACAACAAATGGACGAACGGAGGAAAGGCTGAATGCAGATTGATCCTGCTCGCAAGCAACTGTATACAGGAACGCTTCTGACCGCAATACGATTATGGCCTCAATTATCACCCAGGAAGTTTCGTTGAATTGACATTGGGTTCTTTCCAGCTTCTACTTTATGCTACCGCTTGTTTCATCCAAATCGCAAGCGCGCATGGCGCTCTGCAACGGATTTATGCTTTTGAACAGTGGGGCCATCTTCTCCTTGGGATAAATAGTGGGTCAATATTCGCTGATGTGTGGCACCTGTAGATACACTCCAATATTCGTACGTTACCCGTTTGCATCTACGCCCGGACGCCCTCGGCGTTATAGTTTCGTGGCTAATATAGACGCAACGCTGGGAAATCCCAGCTCGACTGCAAGATCCTCCAGCGTTCTGCTGTCAGGGAGACTCAATATGGATAGATAGGAGTAGGAAAGGAGAGAAGAGGGGTAGACGTAAGTATGGACGCCTAACCCGAACTCAGAAGCTTCTTCAGAGCTTCCCTCGAGCTTGAACCATCATCGACACGGAGGACCATCTCCCTGGAGTTTCCACATTGCGTGGCGGCCACGAGATGTACTCCTCTCTTTCAGAGAAGCTCATCTTCCCCGCCGCCACCGCCTCTTCGTCTCCCTTTCCGAGAAGCTGAAGTACGTTGTATATACTACCTGCAGGAGACGATTCTTCGCCCTGCGTAGTATATCGAGACTACCCCTGGGCCTGCGATACCCGAGGGAATAAATTTTTGTGTGCACGGTAAGGACTATTTGTCCTTTTCTCGAGTTCCAAATTTTGGACTGGCTGGCGAATCCTGGTGTAACACCGCGTCATCCGTACAGCCTATAGCAACGTAGGCGTGCCTTGGATCGCATCAGTCGTATTTTGGGGTAAACGGAATACACGACGGGAAATGTTAAGGTGAACCATGCATTGGTGTTTGATGCTGCGAATTGCACCGGGAGATCCGACGATTTACGCAGAATGCTCGATGCTCGATGCTTGGCTGATGGATACCCGCTAGCATCCGGACTTCGTGACCTTGTGTTGTATATGGACGGTCGCGAGTGGGTAGTTTGAATCCGGATGCCCCGGGGAGGAAGCGCTCCGGAGCCTGGTGAAACTGCATACCCAAGGAAGCAAGGGATACCTTGTGCTGTAGTTTCTTCATTTCGCTCCCGGAAGGGTGACGACGTGCCGAAGAAACTACCCGCTAGATTCCACATGTTCAGCAAGACTAGAAGTTGATCTAAGTTGAGTTGATGTGGCCGGCTATTCCCTCGTTTGTGATACCATCTAGAGACTAATTAGTGGAGAGACAGCAGATTATGTAGATAGACAACTCGCTGTGAGGTCTGGCAACAGAGGGGGCCTGAGGCCTGACGTGCTTTTGTTCTTTATTGACACAGCGTGGCCCTTTTACCACTTCAGTCCTAGACCCAACCCGGAATCAATCACTCACCAACGCAACCGGCGAGGGTAGCACTAAACATCAAACGAGCATCCTGAAATGTTCAAAAGCTTGGAGCTGCTGTAAATGGTTTCCCATACTTGGGTCTGTTAGCCATTCGGAGTAACGCAAGTTTCCCTAACTATTCTGTGCCAGCCCGATCTCAAACGAGAATGTCGGCTACTCGGCCTCGCGGTGTACCACAGTCCTGTAAGGTTAATGACAATTAGAACGGCTCAATAAATTGACACATGGCCCCCCCAACAATTAAAACATATGCAACGTTGATTTTCGAGGGACAATGTCTAGTGTCCCTTCGACTGGCTGCGCTGGCTGAGCAGACCAAAAGTAGACCAGATCCAGGAGCAAAAGAATATGAACGCCACCGCCGCGCAATGCCATGGAACTATGCTCGAGTAGTCTATCTGCTGTTGAACGGTGAGTCGGCAACGCTGCTGTACTAATGAAGGTGACACGGTTTACATACCACTTTTCAGGTACCAGAAATTAGGCCCTAGAGACTACTGCACGGGGCGTACTGCACGATTCTTTCAGGGGGTCGTGGGAGCAGGTTGTGATACATCGCAAAAGACCTCGTATTGTATGAAGAGGCGTCCGCAAGGAATCCCTGTGCAGTGTGCACCGTGGCTTGTCGCAAGGCGCATAGTAGCGGAGCTCCTAAGATGTGGTGCGGATTAGGCGCCCACTGCGAAGAATCTATGTTGGCAACGTCTTCCCAGCGAGTCAACAATTTATCCCACTGCACAGCGAGGACTCGGATGATGAGGCCTGCAGCCTGGGGATTCAATGGGACATCAAACAAAGATGTATGGTCACTGAACCTTTCCTCGATGAACACCCTTCTCTAGCCTTGGAAGTATTTTCCTGCCCCAAAACGAGGGCGAGTGCAGGCAGAAGAGCACGCGAGGAAGGACGTCGTCGATGCTAACGAGGAGGTGCATTGCTTACTCGGGAAGCAGAGCAGTGAGTCTTCAAGGCTTCACTTGCAGAGACTTCCCTAGCAATTACCGGACGCGACATGACGGGACGGACAAGAGTATCGCAAAAATGTGACATTGTATCATCAACACAGTCATAGGGTCACTCACGATATATCCCAGCGGCGTCCCCCCAGTAGTTATCGTGCATGCTTAGTATCAAGGTAATAGTCAATGTACTCGCCACCAGCCTGTCGGCTTGGGGAGGGGGCAAATTCTTGGTGAGCAGCCGCTCTCCAAGTACTGAACACAAGTCTCATAGATGCCGTTCTAGAAACTAGTCTACAACCTCGTATGACTCTGTGTCTTTCCGACAACACGGCGAAAAGGGCTCATAAAGCGGATATCCTCAACTTCGGCGAAATTCACTCAACTCCCTCGGAACGCATGCTCCTCTCCCAATACTCCACCCAATATCCCCGTGTAAATTTGTGTCAGTATATGAGGAGCTGGGCCAAAGCATGAACTTATCCTACCCTTTCTTCGGCCCACCATTATTGCCCCCCGCAAATGTTTAATCCTCTCTCTCATCGTGGTGAAACGCCGGATAAAATACAGCCAAGCCTTCGCTGACGTCGCCGTAAGACAAGGACGGATCCATTCACCAGGTCGTACGAGATCGTATCATCGACCCCCTCCCGAGATTGCAGCGACTCTGCGCTTGCGAGTGCCTCATTCCTCAGGACACCTGACTACCGCAGGCCAATCATCGCTTGGACGGCCTCGTTATGCTCCCCATTGCTGCAACTCGTACCCTGTTGTGGTACTCGACGGTGGCAGTGGCAACAGCGCATTCTTTTCTTATGCCCTATACCAAGACGAGGAGACCTCCTCGGTCATATCCAAGGTCAAGGTCAGTGCCGAGTATAAAACAGACCCTACTCGAGGAGGCACCTTCAGCGACTCATCAAGATGAAGTCTATCCTTTCCATTGCATCCTTGGGCTACTTTCTGGGGACAGCCTATGCTCATACTATTTTCCAGGTACGTTCTTCGCCTCCCACAAACGCCCATGCATTCACACAGGCATCCAGGAACTCTGGGTAAACGGTGTCTCGCAGGGCCACAAAGTTGGCATTCGAGTCCCGGACTACGACGGAGTGCGTACCTCTGTATTATATCTTATACTCCTCGTCTAACCCGGCACTTGCTCTGAATAGCCCATTGAAAACGTGAATTCGAACGATCTCATTTGCAACGGCGGAATCAACCCGTATCAGCAGCCCGTATCCCAGACCATCATTGACGTCCCCGCCGGTGCAGACGTTACGGCTGAATTCCACCACCAAATTCGGGGAAGAAACCCACTCGATTCCTCCGACCCCATTGATCCTACCCACAAGGGTCCCATTTTAGCATATCTGTGTGTTCGCAAATCACTTCCCGTTGACCATATTTAAACTCTCACTACAAAACAGCGCCAAAGTTCCGTCTGCTCTGCAAACCGATGTAACTGGCCTCGATTGGTTCAAGATCTACGAAGACGGCTACGGACCAGGAACACAGTGGGCTGTGGACAGGCTTATTGCCAATCAAGGCTTGGTTACGTTTAAGATCCCAGAGTGTATCCCTGACGGAGAGTATCTCCTCCGCGTTGAATTGATCGGTATGTTCGCGCTACAGCTCGTTTATGGAGCCAATATTGATCCCGCCTACTCTAGCCCTTCACTCAGCAGGCTCCTACCCAGGTCAGTGCATATATGTCTACTTTCGTACGTTGTGATGCCGATGGACTTCTCCTCAAACATAGGCGCTCAATTCTATGTGAGCTCATAGACTGTCTATTGAAATCTGCCACGGCTGACCGGGGTATCCGATAGATGGAATGTGCGCAACTCCGAATCACTGGCGGTGGCAACGCAGTACCCTTCCCAATTGCTCATTTCCCTGGCGCCTACAGCGGTACTGTTGCTTCATAAACCCAAGCAACCACCGTGCTCATGTACCTGTCGTTTCATAGGCACTGACCCCGGCATCAAGATCAGTATCTACTGGCCTCCGCTCACCAGCTACGTCATTCCAGGTGTGCATCACGCTAGCTACAGTCTCGCGAGCTCAGCTCACGGATGCCTTGTAGGGCCTCCTGTCTTTTCTTGCAATGGAACAGCGCCTACATCTTCTGCTATTCCGGTTTCTAGCTCAGTAGTTCCAACACCACCTATCACTTCAACAAGCACATCATCTGCTCGTCCAGTTGAACCCACTGGGCCTACTGTCGGACAATGGGGACAATGTGGTGGCATTGGGTATGTACTTCTATCAAAATCTGTCCAGTCTAGTTTTGATGTGTATTTAGTTACACGGGTCCTGCCGTCTGTGTCGCTGGGACGACATGCACGGCGCAAAGCGAATATGTTCGTCATTGTATGCCCTCACATTTGCCGAGACTGTGCTAACCCTCCCTCCTTTCAGTACTCTCAATGTATCTAACAATCAGGAATACTATACTAACGATACGACTCTGAAATCAAGCATACTTTTGTTTCCACTGCAGCAATGAATTACTTTTGAAGGCTCAAGTTCAAATTAGACCAAGGTCAGTCGAGTACCTTCGTCCCCTCACACAAGCGCCATCGGCTACCCTACTTACCCCCTAAATTCCTGACTTCTGAGCGCTGAGCGCTGACACACGGGCGAAGCGCCCGACATCAGTGACTCGATTCATGGCGGTCGCACAACCTCCTGCAACACTGACAATACGACTTCGGTACGCACCCATGCCAAACATCTCGAATCTCATCGGAAGCTCATCCCTTTAGATTGATATGTTGAAGCTACCAAATGAAATTCTCTTTGCCATTGTGGACCAAGTCAATGAACCCGAGACTTTGGTAAAGCTGCTAGTCGTGTCTCGTCAATTTAACGCGATTGCCTTGCGACCACTCTACCAAGAGATATCTTTCCAGTTGAGCTCACACTCCGGTTGTCGCTCGATGTCCACCTTGTGCCGCGACATACATACGAACCCGGGTGCCCAGTTTACTACAACTTTCGCAACCTACTTTCTACGAATATGTGGCGTTCGACGTTATAGGGGGCCGCCGGCAGTTGAGCACATAATACCTTACCTAGTTAATGTTCGACGCCTCTGCTTAACTCGCCAAGCCGCCAGTCCTGGAGTATTATCTCTACTCCCACCTAGCGCGCAACTTACACGTCTCATCCTGGACCGCCAACTCTGCTCGGAGGATTTCTCGCGCCTTCTTTCGTACCATCCTACGTTAGAGTCCATCGCACTCCCAGGTAGTAGTACCGTTGACTACACCATTGGGTTAACATCTGGCACGCTCCCAAACCTTCGCTCACTAGCAGCGGTCTTCGACGCATCACTCCAAATCGAGAATCCTATGCCTTCAGTACTTAACCTTACAATTCTTCGGCACTCTGACGGCCCTACAGTGAGACATACAGTCACGCATCTTCCCTCCATCCGTACTTTAGCCTTCCAAGACACCAACTTCCCTGCCTTCGCCGCTTTGGCGCCCTATCTCCCCAATCTAGAATACCTTCAAATTACTCTGTGCGGAGGTTCCTCAGTATGCTCTTCACTACGCTTTTACTTACCCGTGAAGCTAATTTCCTCGTTGTCTAGATGCCTGAGGCATCTGTCTTGGCCAAATTCTCAAGAGCTAACTTGAAATATATACAAGTTCTTGGATCTGATCAGCCAGGGACAGCCGTAGTTCGCAGGATCTTTGATTCAGTGACGAGTCTGGTTGTCATAGACGTGGAAGAGGACGAGTATGAGTCGCTGCGTTGGGTTAGAGGTTTCGGTGTTCCCATCGTAGTCAAGAATTTCGACGACGATGACTGTTGGAGGCATTGGTGGGAGCGCCCAGGCAAAGACGTGGAGGATATATGTAAGTTGATGTTTATTGGTTGTAACTGTGTGCTGACTTGGAAATCACAATGGCGTAAGGCCGCAGGTACAAATCCGAGATAACAAAGGTTCATGTTTAAAGAGTTTGATGAATGAAGAAGAGCAGTGCAACGGCTCAGAGTATTATAGGAATGGACAATTGAAACGCCACTCATACACAATTCCTTTGGGGTTTTGGCTCTAAGTAAGACGTCAGGGAGATTCCTGCTGCAGCCTGTTCATATATTACTTACCTTGGTTCAATCAGAAAGCAAATGACATAGGCGATCACTGGAGGATATATCCAGCAACACCTTCACGGGTGTAACCAAGGGTGTTTGCAGCGTTGTCGGCCTCCCACTGGTTGGTGGTATAAAAGTGGTTGACAGAGCCAACTTGGTACAAACGGTACAGTGGAACGGAGCCACAGATCGGTGCACCGAAGACGTAGCCGGCAACACCCTCGCGATTGTAGCCAAGGGTGTTGGCGGCATTATCGGCCTCCCCCCGGTTGGTGGTGTAGAAGTGGTCCGCGTTCGACGGGTTGTAAAGGCGGTAGAATGGAATGGTTGAAGATTCCTGGCGGGAGAAAACTCGACCAGCCTGGCCCTCCTGCTGATAGCCACGAGCATTTCGAACCTCTACAGCATTGGTGGTGTAGAAGTGGTCGGTGACCGAAGGGTTGAATGCTCGGTACAAAGGTGTGGCTCTCTTTCCATTGGGGCAGCCATGAGCAACCTAAATGAAACGTATACAGTCAGCACAACGAAAGAATGTAGTGGCTGTAGTAATATCCGTACATTGGCGGCCTCAGCGTCCTTGAGCTCAGCAGGTAGCGCAACGGCCTGGGCGGCGAAGAACAAGGAGGCAACGACGGCGAGAGAGAACTTCATTGTAGTGACTGGTGATGACCTGAAGATGCTGCTGCTAGGACTTTGAAGAGAGAATGCAACCTGAGGGAGTTAAGTGAGCGTACATGCTATTATATACCTTTCGCCTAATGATAGTCCTCCATCTGAAAGACGACACGCTTTCCGAGTTTCTCGTGGACAAGTCTGATTGCTCTGCGGGCAGGAACAGTAGCAGTATGGACGCTCTGTGAAGCTAGTGGACACATCCTTCCAAGAATGCATACCCACCTTTCTAGGCCATGTTCCCGCTGACGAAAATCAAGTGTATCCGCATGTAGCACTTGCTTGCTGTGCTTTTGCCGAATTGCGTTCATTGTGAAATCGAAGTGGCCAACGGAGCATGATCAAGCAAGTGCATCGCTAACTCAAGATTAAAGAATCAATATCCCTCGTCGTGATTGTCCCTGTAGTTCAACAACTCAGACTGGCTCAACACGACAGAATTCCACGCTGACTCGCCTTTCTCTACGCAACCACGCGGAATGCATAGTAATGCCGTGGCCAAACCACAATGCGACGGACTAGCAGCTACATTGCCGAGATAGTCTTCACTGTGATTTCTAGCATACTTCCATTCATATCCACGCCGTGTGTCGCTATTGCGCGACATTTAGGCGCCAAACGTATATGGACCGCCAACCATGTGGATTTATCAAGACATTTGAGAACAATTTCATTAACGGTGTAGAGAAAGGTACAAGTTGGCATCTTCCAAATCAGGGAGAGCGACAACGGGAGAAGTTGCGGGGGTTGTTCAGCAGGAGAAAACAGCAGGTCCTAATGAATCCATGAGTCAAGTTCGCTCTCATCGGTACGTATTGCATACCTGGAATAGTGTAGTTCGTGACTGGAGGATAGTAGATGCCGATGAGGATGCCAGGGTCGGTGCCTACGCAAGGTAAGTATGCATTCCTTTGGGTTCTCGAGGTAAACGCACCACTGTAGGCACCAGGGAAGTGCGCAATGGGGGAAGGTGTTGCATTCCCACCACCAGTGATCTGGAGTTGAGCGCATTCCATCTATTGTGATCCTGCTCAGCGTCGCGGCTGGCTACGAGTGATTATGGAACTCACATAAAGCTGGGCACCTGTATATCGAAAGACGGACATTAATACCAAAATGGCGACGAGTGAAGATATTCATAATGACCTGGGTAAGAGCCCGCTCCGTGGAGGGCTGGAATCAAACGAGTTAACTCTCAAACTGGGAAACGGTTTTGCAACAAACATACCAATTAGTTCAACGCGGAGAAGATATTCTCCATTTGGGATACACTGAGGAATTTTGAAGGTGACGAGACCATTGTTGGCGATGAGTCTGTCTACAGCCCACTCCGTACCCGGTCCGTAGCCGTCTTCGTAGATCTTGAACCAATCAAGGCCAGTCACGTCGGTTTGCAGGGCAGATGGAACTTTCGCACTGTTTTGGACCCGGGGTTAGCACTTAGCAGTCAGTCGTCGCAACATTGTTAGCATATCCGACATACAGATAGGCAATTATAGGTCCCTTGTGGGAGGGGTCAATGGGGTCGGATGCATCGTTCGGGTCAGGTCCCGAGCCACCATGGTGCCATTCAGCGGTAACGCTCGCACCAGCAGGGACGTTGATGATGGCCTGAGACATGGGTTGCAAGAATGGGTTAATTCCGCCGTTACAAATGACATCGTTGGAGGTAACATCTGTGATGGGCTATTGCATGTAGTTATAATTGGGAGCAACTTCGCGATCCAAATGTAAGACATACTCCGTTGTAAGTTGGAACTCGGATGCCGACGTTGTGGCCTTGTGCGACTCCGTTTACCCAGAGTTCCTGTTGCCTTTCGTCAGCACATTGAGGTTTGGGACGTGCGTAAAAGGACGTACCTGGAAGATCGTGTGCGCGTACGCACTACCCACGAACGCTAGTGATGACAAGGCGAGAGTGGATCTCATCTTGACAAATTGCTTTGATTGACGGTTACCCTCTCAAGTCGCGCTCGTTTTATACTAGACACTGTGCGGAGCCGCGGGGGCAACAAAATGATATATAGAAGTTACTGTCAGTTGAGCGTAGGCCAAGCGATAATCGCCTTATGGCTGAACAGTTCTTCCGAGGCTGCGAGGGCGGAAGCGCTTCAACATCGGGAGGGAAGCCATGCTACAACAACGGTAGGTAGATCATCGTCATCCTTTGATGCATAGGAGCGGGGTCTCTGACTGAACTTTATCCGATATTTCAGCCAAAGAGAGCAAATAAGGTGTGCTATCCTCACGGTTGAGCCTACTCCACATATTCTGGCACGAAGTACGCGGGAGAGTGGGGCCGAGGATGTACAAGACGACGGGTACTCCAACGATATTGACTGAATTTCTCCGAAATTGACGATATCGGGGTCTTGTGAGCCATTTGCGCCATTTTGCCGATCGTTATCAGAGCGTCACCTCTAACCAAGTCTCTTCATACGCCAATCGGTGCCCAAAGCTGCGGCGCTGCACTTCGATAAGATTTCAGAACTGGGGATTTATGGGGCCTTCCTCCAATACTCTCGTTCTGCCTCAATCTTTTCTACCAGCTGTTCAACGAATGGGCGGAATACCTCTGTATTCCTGTTGTGATGAATGAGACGGGAGAGTAGGAAATCTATATTCTCCCTCCGAAGGTATGCTCTTCGAAATACGAAGAAACCCTTGACATTGACATCCTCTAATGATAGTGTTAGTTTACATAAGGGAAAAAATTGTAATGTGCGTACCGTCGGCCCAAATCTCAAGTAACATACAGCAGATATCAATTTCGTCGCATTCAATGTCTCTCTTCTCTTCCCCAACCATGATTCTCTCCGACATTTCACATTTGTGAGGTTCAGCAGTCTCCAGGTCGATGAAGAAAGGTTCGCCATCTTTATCAGTGATATTGTTCAAAGAAAGGTCGCCATGGGTGTATCCCGCGCAATGAATACCATATAGCGCATCAAGTGCTTTCAGCCTGCTCGCAAATACTCGGTAAACGACATTCACAAGATGGAAGGTGTAACCGTACTTGAACGAGTTTGTTAAACTGCTAGCATCTTTAATCCGATCACGGCAATCCTCAAGGACGAGGAAAGATGAGACCCTATCTCCTTCGCCTTTATGCTGGAATAGACCATAGCAGTACGGTATCGATAGGCCCTGTAGGCTAGACAGATGAAGCTCGTACATGTCGGCCTCGTGTTCGAGAGCGCCCTGTCGCAGAGTCTCAGCGAAGAAGTCCGTCTTGACCACGACTTTCTCGAGCTCTGGATTATCGGGTTGTTTTAGTGATCCCCTGTAGACGGCCGTCTCCGTGTCGTCGACGAAGAACTCCAGACTGGCGATGTGATATCTCTGTGGCGTAGGTGACTGCACATCGTAGCGTGCAAGTTCGCCGGTTGGAAGCTTCTTATCTGGGCTGTCCCAAGGAGAGGGACCAGGGCCCAAGCGGAGGGAGGTCATATTGGGCGTATTGTATCAGACGTGACTTCGCGATAATTCCAATTGAATTCAAAACACACAACGTCCTCGGCGTCGAGAGCAGCAGGACCTCGGCGGCAGCCAGGTTTTGTTGGCCTGATGAAGGGTCGAAGCTCGACAAACCCACGAGAGTACTTCTCCAGGTAGGATCACACATGTCCTGCAGAGCTGTGGGGACAGATGCGTAGCTGGAGCGACTGTCGCCTTCATGGCCATTGCCCTTGTCATCTACTCCATCCAGGACCTCAATTTGCCTCCGGCTGATACGAAACAATGGACGCGCTTGAAGCGCAGTGTCACGTCAGGATTAGACCCAAGGTTTGTCGTTTTGATGACTAAAGCGCGTCGATTACCTGAATTTCTTGTATGTGAGGGTCAGGCCCTTCATGGTCACGGCCGTTCTAGCTATTCATGGACATTCTACTTAGTTCACGGCCTTTCGTAGATTACTATGCACTCACCTGTATCTCTTATGCGCTATGCTTGTAGTCGTTACCACTACGGACTCCTCTCGGCGTTTCCCGCGTATCGTACTTGTACTCCGCCGCTCGACTCCTGTACCTTTGTCTCGTCAACACAGGTTCCGGTTGACTCACCGTCTCTCAGTTCTCTTCTCCGTCTCGCGGACCTCGGAAGTCGCCCGTTACATTGTAGCACCTTTGCCAATGCGATCGCCAAAAAATGAGACTTTGGCGGAATGATTGGATACACGTAGAAAATATATTTCCCTTCGATCGGTCGTATCGTACCCGACGTGATATTGCTGCCCACTTACATCCTGACAATGAGTTACAAACTTTATTCGAAAATCAATCTGATTTAGTACTACAAGCAAAGTTCATGTGCCAAACCCGAAAGTCATAGTGACATACGTTGCGGATTATAATTCCCTGGTTCGAGCATTTAAAGGATTTACGTGGGTCGAAAATTGAATGGCGCTACATTGTTTAAAGCAGCTGCTATTTTGTAAAAATAATCTGCGTGGTGTGACATTTGGCTCGTAAATATGTGGTGCGTGCTTCGGATTAAGTTACTTCTTAAAGGGTCCAAATCTGATTGGTGTTGAAATCGGTGCACTTCCAGGTCTGAAGCTGGTTGGCATTGCTCAATCTCCCGTCCGTAAGGTCAAGACATAATCCTGAAAAAGTATAATGATGAGCAAGGACGAGGCTAGGTGGACGAATCCCTTGCCTTTGTTAAATAGAGCAATGCGGTTGTCGCCTGTGTAATACCACTCTTGCGCAGGGAGATTGTCATAGCATTGCCATATTTTCATGCGAACGCTGTTTGCTGGGTCTGAATCATGGGTTAGTTGGTTGAGAAAATTAGATGAAACGCGCTTACTGCTCCCAGCGTCGAGGCAAAAGTTCGTACCAGCTAGACGAACTTTCGTCTGGCCCTTCTGTACAATCCATTTTTGCGCGCCTGTGCCATTGCAATCATAGCTGCACAGGGAATCAGACAGGGAATGGCTTTGAAATATATGCACAAACATTTGAACTGGAGTGCCGTTGACGAGCGTATTGCCTCGTACATCCATGCACTTACCACGATTACCGTTGGGGTGGATGGGTGCACCTGTGGCTGTTGGCACCATGGATGAAGTGGTAGACGAAGACGCGCTCGATGTGCCGGAGGAAGAAGCAGCTGTAGTTGTCGTCGCCGTAGAAGTGGCAGTGGTGGTAGCCGAGGACGCGGACGACGTTGTTGACGACGTGCTGGAAGTGGTGGTAGTGGTGGTAGTGGTTCCCTGGCGAGCAGCCAAGTGGTTTAAGTCCATGGCTGCGACCGTGGAAACAGCGACGAGGGCGAAGGCGATGACTTTGCTAAACATTTTGATATGATTGAATTGGCGATACCTTGGTCAGAAAGCTGAAATTGCTGCGGATACAACTCAGTACGAGCGACTATTTATACAAATGCTCTCGCTGTGCAGCACATCCACGAAGTCTCCTAACATACCGATGGACTTCGGAAGTGAGAGGCCTCCTAAAGAGCGGATGCCACATGCCGACACATCATCCGTATTTCGGAACGAAAGCCAAAAAGCCATGCACTCGCCTGCACTCACTGGGACGAGCGTACCTCCCACTAATCCTCAATCAGATGCCGATTTCCGAGTACGGCGAACGACCACCCCCACGCGGAACCGGGATAATATGCTTTTGTCGAGGGAAGTATCGCTTCGGCGCGAGTCAAACGCCACGGAACTGATGCGTTGCGGCGGCGGCGAGCCAATGGGAATGTCTGGATTTTTCGGGATGACTGTCGCCCGAAGATCGTCCCCCTTCCGAGAGAGAACTAAGTTTCGAGCTATATTGCGAGCAGCCGTTTAGACGTTCGTGGTGGTGTCGCAACACTATTTTGCAGCTAGGGGTCGTAACTACTCGATGCCTACAGTATTGCAACCCCTTTCTAGCTTAGTTTCTGAACGAACCTCGTGGAACAATGCTGAAGTTGGTTAAATGTATATGCTACACGAGAGTCGCACGGTTGCCTCCAGTTGGTGTCAAGCAACGTAGGAATGCAATGATGGCATGGGTCTACACCGTTGGGATTTTGCCATTCAGTGTGGACGAACATTGTGGCGACGAGGAAGTGGGAGGGGTTTGTTTGTACTTGTGTCAGGCGTTATTCGTTTACTTCCAGGATGAAACGGGGTTGTAAGGGACATCATTGCAATTGTACGTGATGTTTTACGGATGCATGAAGAACCACTGGAGACATAAGACAGTAAAATGTGATACATGACTGCTACTACACTAAAAGCTACGTGCTCCAAACTTGGTTGGTGTTAAAGTCGGTGCACCTCCAAGTTTGGAGTTGATTACCATTGCTCAACCTTCCACCGTTGAGATCAAGGCATTGACCTGCGTGAGTAGAATTAAGTCAAATGAATGACAAGCGAGCAAAATTATAGACTACAGACCTTTGTTAAGCAAGGCAATGCGATTGTCGCCAGTGTAAAACCATTCCTGAGCGGCGAGGTTGTCGTAACATGTCCAAATTTTCATGCCAACACCATTGCCTGGGTCTACGAAAGAAAGTATTAGTAGTATTACTGTTAGAAGGCGGATTTGCTTACTGCCACCGGCGTCAAGGCAGAAGTTTGTTCCCGCGAGTCTAACTTTCGTCTGCCCCTTTTGAATTGTCCACTTCTGCGCGTTCGTGCCGTTGCAGTCATAGCTACAATTCGCTTGAAGATCAGACAACATCAAGAGGTTTGGGTGATGACGTACATCTGCACAGGCGTGCCATTAGCGACAGATCCACCGCGTACATCCATGCACTTTGCGTTATTGCCGTTCGGGTGGATGGCAACGCCTGCTGCGGGCGGGGGAACCGAAGTAGTCGACGTGCTAGCGCTCGAACTGACAGACGAGCTGGAGCTACCGCCGACGGTAGTGGTGCCAGTCGAAGTAGTGGAGGTTGTACCCGTGGATGTGGTCGATGTGCCGGTGGTAGTGGTGGAGGTGGAGGTGGTTGTCGTAGTCGCACGGGCAGCGAGGAGGTTCACGTTCATGGCCGATGCCATGGAGGCGGCGATCACGAGGAGCAAGAGTTGTTTGTACATGGCTGTTTCTAGGATGTTAAGTTGATACTGTTGGTGAAGTGGGTGGAAAGGCTGCTACTGACTAAGGCCGCTACTACCAGTGCTTTATGCGAACGACTCTAGTCCCCACTTGTCCTGGATATGCCGCCACCAACTTCCGCTAGCGTAGCGCAAAGCACATTCCGGAGCATGACGACGGGCGGGTAGACAATTACAATCCGCATTGCGGAAACCGGAGGGATCCAGGGAAGCTCGAAAATCGGAAGAAGTCTATGCAACAAACTAACAACTGTTAGTGTCGAAGGTGTTCCGCTCATCGGATGACTCACTACTTGACGAAAGCGCCGTACACGAATAGAATCCCTCTCGAAATCCCAGGCTGCCAGGCTACGGAGGTCGGAAATACATTGCGGCTAAGTCATCAGAGATCGTGGAAATCGGAGACGGTATTATTACAGCTACAACTATCCACTGGTTGGGATACCCTTCAATAGGAGGAAAGTCGACGAGTCTGCAGTGTGTCGTTGAAACAAGGAAAGGGGTAGGGTCGCACGATTCACCCTTTCAATCTCCTTTATTACACTCAGGGGGCTGGTCTTTTCGTGAATGCACTACGAAGGCACTCAATCCAGTATCGAAATATCATAAACACAAAGTGTAGGTAGACAAATGCAGAATCAGATTACTATCCAATATTCAATATCCAAGAAGCAGATACACAATATGCAGTAAACAGTAAGTCACTAGTAAGTAGTAAGGAGCAGAGCATTCAAAAATAGCGTGCATATTACGGGTGCGTAGATGTAGGGAAGTAGGTGACCATATATTAATCTTCATCCGACGCGTCGGAGGCGTCGGAGGCGTAGGAGTCGCCTGAATCGTCCGCGTCATCCCTGGCGGGCTTCTCGACTTTGACTGCGTCGTCAAGTCCATCTACGGATGAGCGACTCGAAGAAGTAGAGGACGACGTAGAAGGTGTACGTGAAGGCGGAGATGGCAGTAAGGATAATGCAGGTAACGAATACGTGTTCGGATTTGGTGAACTCTCGTTGTTCGGTGACCCCCGTACCTCCAAAGCTACAAATCAGTCATTTGCATGTCATCTACCAATAATCATAGGAATCTCACCAGTCTGCGCAACGGGTTTGTCTGCGCACAGGCCAAGGATATCCTCCTGTATAAGGCCGCGCAGTAAAGTCTTCGTGCTCCCCGCCTCAACACCCCGCGCGACGTCCATGAGCCGCCTCTCCCGAATGCGCACGAGCTTCGTGAACGTCTCCAGCCCAAGCAGCCTCGCGTCCTCGAGTCCGACCGGCGCCTCCTGTTGGCTGAGCGCCAGCAGGGCGGGGAGGAGGTCCGGGGAGGTGCCCATCGCGCAGTTCTGGTAGAGGTTGACGCGCTCGGCGGGGGGCATCGTCATGGTGCTCAAGTGCTTCGCGGCGCGCTGCTTGAGGGGCTCGATGTCCCACATATGCGCCTGCTTCATGATGGATACCCACTGCTCGACGGTGCGTGTTTCTTCCTCGATGCCGAGATTCCTGGAAAGTGGTGGTGAGTGTTTTGGGGTGCGTTTGGAGAGATGTGGGTACGTACTGCGGGTAGAGAACACCCAAGAGGCACTCGAAGTCCTTCAGGTTGACGCCTTTGAGGACGAGAGGCGCGCTGTAGGTGCGAAACGCTAACCCGAGCTCGACGAATTTCTGCTTCGAGTGAAGCGTCAAGATCGACTGGTGGAGGTTGAATAGCACCTCGCCAACCTGTAAGACGAGTATCAAGGCCAGTAATTCGATGTGAAGGCAGGTGACAAACATACTTGAATAATGACGGATCCATCCGCGAAGTAGTAAGTGTCATGCTTTCTTACGGGTGGCATAGTAGGGACTTTGGTGAGTGCGACTGGGGTGCTGCTGACAGAAGGAGAAGGAGCGGACATGGTGACCCTGGGCGAAGTGAGGATATTAAACTTGAACGGTTGCGTAGCTGAGCTCGCGCTCTGTTTCGCGTTCACGTCCGTTGTCGCCCCCGGCGCACTTGACCCCGTAGCCGCGGCGGGAGTCTTAGCAGTGCCACTGGTGAGAGGCACTGGCGCAGTATTCTTTCCACTCTGGTTCCAGGTAAATGGGGTGTCAGACGCGGTATTGAAGAAGTTCGGCGGGGCTGGGCTGCTGTTCGCAGTGGCTGGTTTGGTTGGCGTAGCTTTGGGTGTTCCTGCGTAGGTAGACATGGGAGTTGTTTGAAAAGTAAAGGCCTGAGAGCTCCCTTTTAAAAGTTTTCGCATTACCGTTGAAAAGAGGGCACAAAGGACCTCTTGAAGACGTTCGAATTTAAAGGACGCGCACTGGCTTGCAGATCATGTGATCGCGTCAAAGGTCCATCAGGCCAAGGGTCCCATTTCACTCCTTCACCACCATCTTGCGTCGGGGAGGATGATAAGAATGTCCGTTTCACGACATCCTTTGTCGTTACGACTGGACGACCAGACTAGCCCCATTCTTCACAAAGAACCCAGCGCACCGGCCAATGCGCCGCCACCTGCGACCTTGCAAATTCGGAGCCCACTTCCCAAATCCTTGCCTTTTCTCAATCCTCAGACGCGCCACCATCGAAAGGGACGTTTCACGGAAGGGGGTCGTACGAGCATGCCTTGCGCACTGCGCGCGTTAGTTACGTAACAGGGGGGACGTTTCGAAGGCATCTCCGGCGTTACTTGCATAATGAATGGCCATCAACGCTTTGCCCCATTCCATGGTCGCACTGCATACACGCGGCCAATCATTACCTTGAAACCATCCGAGTACCTGGTCCAGTTCGCAGACATTTAATCCCAGGCTCTAGGACCCTCTCAGCCTCTACACCCGCACCGCAAGTCTACTGCTACGATGCCTCCTAAACTTCGGTCATCGAGTTTGGACGTCTCTCCGTGGAAGGACGACGCTTCGACCAGGTCTTCCGAAAGCAGTACCGGAACCATAACGCCCGCACTGACCTCAGCGTCCAAATGGGCGCCACAGACTCTACGCAAAGCCAGTCTCGACTCGCACCATTCCAATGACTATGAGCAGGAGAGCATCCGCTCATCCATTTCCTCGCACACCTACGCACCAAGCGTGTCGGTCTCGCGCAGCGACTCGCATGTCGGGAAGTACAAGTACAGCAGCACGACAGCCCTTGATGATGCCTTCGTGACAGGTGCGTCTCCGATTTGCGCCTCTCGACTTGAAGGGGTTCCATTAACGGTTTACCCCAGTAGACAATGACGTTCCGACTCGACTCGAGCTCAATGCGGCTCTCGGGGCAGACATCATACCCCTCACCACGGAGATCACCTCCCTGCCTTGCGCTGGTATCCGCATCGCTCACGGGCGCCTTACGGGCCTCATGGCGTGGCGCTTCGCCGTCCAGCTCACGGACAAGCCAAAACCGACGGCGACGCCCACTCACCCCGCATTCTTACCACACAAACCAGCGATAGTAACCAACTTCATACTCGATACGGGGAGCCTACGGTCTTTGGTTCCGCCTGAAACGCTGTACGCTTTGGGGTACTCGGGCAAGGTCTTCCCCGGCGCTGAAGTCGGGCTACTCGTTCAAGGAGTGCCCGTTACCTGTAAGGTTGCACCGAACGGCCACGCTGGCCGATTGTCGGTCCAGTTCATGGTCGCAGCGTCGTTGGCGCTGTATTTCGACGAACGCTTGATGGCCCCTGTGCTATATTGTATGTATTTGCGTGTGCTCTGGGGCGTTCCCCGTTTTGATTGGCTAAATCTGTTGTAGACTCTGCGCACGATAACCACGCCCCCTCACCCGACTATGTCCCGACAACCGTCCCCTCGCCTCCGAGTCCACCTTTCACCCTCAAGCAACTGATTATGAGTCTCGTTCACTTCGGACATCGGCCCAATTAAGATCGGCCCCTGGCAGGCTGTTGTATCTATTTCTGTTCTGTTCCAGCATCGTGTTGCGTCTATTTATTTGCCTTTGTTTTATGTGCATCAAGCAGTTTTATTCACTCTAGAAGAATACGAAATTCGATAGGTATAAGGAAGTGGCTAATAGTAAATATGTATAAGATAGAGGACAATGAAACAATTCGGGGTATCATCGAACATCGGAAACAATAGGGAAAGATACAGATAAAGACAAACGGCAGCCAACAGAAAGAACGAAGGGAACGAAAAGCAAAGAAGAAACAAACAAAGAGACAGGCGGCAGCGGCGTATTGTGTACTAGTTCTCGTCATCATAGCGGCAGTTGTTCAGAAAGATCGTAAAGTCTACCAAGCCATTATTTCAGTCATTCAGTCACTTCGGCAGAGATTCAATGAATGAACCTGTCCTCGAAGGAGAGACGCTTCTTCATGTGCCTGCGCCTCATCTTCTGCACGGGAGGCTGCTCGACGAGGGCTTCCTCGGTCGGTGCCGCGGTTGGCTCGGGGACGGCAGCGGGGTCAGTGGATTCGGTGGGCAAGGGAGTCTCTTCTGATACGGCGGATTCAGTGGGAGTAGCCTCTGGGACGGCGATAGTGGTGACAGGTTCGGGGACGGCTTCGCTGGTGGGTGCCTCGCTTTCAGTGGGCTCTCCTTCGACTGGAGCATCACCTTCGGTGGTGGTTATGGGTTCGTCGAGGGTGGGAGCGCCGAGGCTGGCTGAACGGAATGAAGAGGTGGTAGAGGCTTTGGCGGCTGCGCCAGTAGAAGGACCGTCAATGTCGGGGCAGTTCTGGGATTCCTGGCCGATGAAGTAGTTATTGCGAAGCGTGAAAATGATATCAGGCCTAAATGGTAAGGAAATATGAGTCTGAGTATGGGGAAATAAGAATGGAGATGTCATACCATTCTTCGGGATAGTCAGGCTCGTCGTTCTCTAGATCGAACTCGTCAAGGAGGTCACCGATGTGTTCAACATCCTAGTCAGGATATGATTAGCGAGCGAATAAGACAGCAGGGAAAAAGGAGGCTTACCCAGACGATGAGAATGCTTTTATCGCTGTTCTTGCTGAAGGTGTTGATGAGATCGGGGACACAAGTGGGCGAGGTTGTATTGGATTCGATCGTAGAGCTACGAAAACGTAAATTCAGTATTATATGACGCTACTCTAGTAGAGGGCGCTTCAAGACCCACCATTGAGTGTTCACAGTCAACTTCAGAGCAGTAGCGAGCGGATTCGCTGTCGCGATGGAAGTATGGCAATCGGTGGTGTTGACATCTGGCGTACAGGCGATGATCAAGCCAATGTTATACGCTGAGGACGCGCCGAAGACTTTTGGGAGACACTCGTCAGCGCGTTTCTGGCCAACGGGGGTCAGGCCTGCGAAGCCGAGGGAGGGCTCTTCGGCGTTGCGGATGAGGTAGACGGAGTTGTGGGCCGCGTCAACTGCCGGGAGAAGGGCGACGAGGGATACGAGGGCTATGAATGGGAGATAGCGGAAGAGGGAGCGGAAACGAAGGGGTGTCATTTGGTTTGGATTAGGTAGGTTCGTCGGTATGTAGATTAGAGTATACGGTGATAAGGGAGGAGGAAGTTAAGGGTACAGAAAGGCAACCTGTAAGGAGTGTGGGGTACTGAAAGAGTGTGGGGGTTGAGACTGGTGTCACACAGAAGAAGGAGACAGAAAGATGCTGTGATGCTCTGGTTGATTCCTGAGATGGGCTGGTATTTATGTATAACGCGTAGCCTTCAGAAGGACGGCCAAGATAATCCGCGTAGATGGCAATGCTTCGGGTCTGCATTGGCTGTTGGGAACAAGTTGAATGATGATTGACGAGTTGATCTCCGTCTAGTATACTCGGTAAACATTTGAAAAGACATTGTCAAGGTGTACTTGGAATCCGGCGGTTCCTCTTGTTCAAGCATCGCTCTGTCAGACTCTGGAAGATAGTAGAAATCCAGTACACGGATGTAGAGTAACGCCAGCGGGCCCGACAGATTAGATATTCATACCCACGGTGGTGGGATATCGGATAAAGTCCAGTACTTCTGGGCACAGAACATCGAAGGCATCCGACGTCACCAAGAACTCGGCATCGCGTCGAGATGAGCGGAAACGGGATTAGAACGGAGCCTAGCTCGACTTCTGAGCCAGATGCTTCAAAGAATCGCAATTCCTGCGATGTGAGACCGGCGGGACATAGAGCGCGTTTTGAAGGCTATATAGAGTATCCTATGGATTCGGTGCGTTATTCATATGGCCGTTGAGCACGATTCGGCCTCGTGCATTCATCCTGTAGCGTGCCGCCGCTATGTGTCGTTGATTTTGCATGGTCCCGCAGGTGCACGGAGGTTTTAACCCAAGACTGGAAGTGGGACGATCATCCAAGACGTACAGGGTCACGTGTTAGAACATCGTGTTCTCCTCGAGGAGGCGACTGATAATTGGCTTGCTGGCGGACGGTCAGTTGCCTGTTCTTCCTCACCCAGAATGAGGAATCTTACCTCCGCCATCGCCGTTCTGCTCTCTGCGGTAATCGTGCTCGCAAGGTACATCCAATTTTCACTATTCACATTTGTCTTGCTGAGCTCAAGTGGCGTCCAACAAACAGAGCACCGCTGCACAGACGGGCGACCATCCCTCCTCCCGCCGAAAGTTTGGATTCGGACGAACTGTCTTCGCCTGAGGCGAAGTACATCATGACCCCACTTCCGACTTTACTCGCCTACTCAGGCGTTTCCTTCTTCGCCCTCTACCTGCTCGTAATCCTCCGCCGGAGATGCAAAATACGGGTAACTGGACGCCGGCTCACATTTGGGCGTGCAACCACACGCATGGGCGCACTCGAGCTTGACGGCTCTGAAGTTGAACTTCTTCCAACAGTGGCCGAGCCCGGCGTGCGGGAGGTGCGCTTGCCGTTACAGACTGTCCTGGATGACGGTCGCTCCGAAGAGGTTAGCGACGATATTACGGGGGAGCTGGTGAAGCCGGCAGACGCTCCGTCAATGCCGCTGATACCTCTCTCCACTTTGGGTCAACTACCACCTCCTTCTCCGTTCTCTCCTCCCTCGTCTCCAGTGCCTTCATATGCCCATCCTTCGCCTATGCATCCTTCACCGCCTTATTCTCTTCACGACAAGGACCCAGTGTCCCCTTATGCCTCTCCTCCTTCTCGTTCAGTTGGACTTCCTCTTTCCCTTCCATTGATTCCAAGCACCCCGATACGTCAGTCACGTTTAGGTTCTCCACGACCGTCAGTCTCAAAATCTCGTTCGTCACCAGGGTTCAACAGCGCGAGGTTTGCCACGTACCCTCAACGCAGCAAATCTTCGCCGCCGCTTCCCCGACGGACCAAACTCGGACACGGGAGATCCGACTCCCATTCAAGTTCGAGCGACGGTGCAGAGGTGATCACTCTCCAGCCCATCCACCGTGTTGTTTCGCCGTCCCCTCGTTCTGACAAACCGACTCCTGGGTTCACTCTGTTGTCTCCTCCGCACATCGCGCTTAGTCGCAGCAAATCGACCGGAAGTGACCTTATTGACCTCACGACGCCATCAATTACGCCAAGTGCGTCGATGGGCTCATTGGTCCGGGTGGCTCGAGTGGAAACGGAATCAGTGACGACTATGGATACCAAAGACGTGGTCAAGGATATCCCATCAGATGTACCCTCTGTCATGAACAAGGACAGTGTCCTTACGCCTTCCGGGGAAGTGTCGGTCAAGGAGGAGGAGGATCATCGCAGCGAGGTTGACCTTGTCGACCTTCGTTTCCGCGCCTCGCCATCTGCTCCTGAGTCCATCGCTCTCTCCCTCTCCGGCTCCTCTACTTCCCCTACCGCCGTTGCCGAAGCACCTCGACCAGCATCCTTAATGGTCGTGGAAGACGCTCCAGTATCCGCCTCTCAATCCACCGGTTCCATATCCACTGACTCGTCGTCTTCGTCATCGCCGTCGTCGCCCACTATGGAGTTGTTCGTTCCACATTCAATCCATTCAACGCCCGGAACGACGCCGATGCGACCTGAATTCATGTTCGCCGGGCAGGTACATACCGAAGCGACTCACGAGCAGAAGATTGGATGGGAGGGGAAACCCGAGAAGGAAACGAAGGTCGTCAGTGGTTGGACACCCGAATTACCGTCCTTCAGCTCTGGAGCAAGCGTCGACTGGCACGACCATTCTGATGTCTGGGGCTCGCCTTCACCGGCGCCACCATTGCCACCAGTGTTCACGCGCGAAGGGGAACGTCGGGAAGCGGATGATATAGAGCTGATGGCATTTGAGGAAGACGATGCACCTGAGACAAAGGTTGGAAACACGAGTGCGGGCGAGGATACGGCTGTTGGCGAAGACTTGATTAGCTTCGAGGACGAGACAGAGGAAGAAGGCGGGTCGGCGCACGTGGTAGAGGTTGCGGCGGTGGGAGAGGTAGTTGAGGAGGTCGCGGAGAGAGAGGTAGTGGTGCTCGAGGATACTGAGGTCTCGATCCCAGAGACACTCGCTGTTTCGGCCGGACTCAGTAATTGGCCGGCCAACGAGCATGAAGATGCTGAGAAGGAGAATGGCGAGGTCGATAACACTCTTTTCGCGCAAGCGTATGACGATAATAATGACGACGCTCACGACTTTTACGACAACAAACATGACGAATCTACATTCAACACTTCGAATTTACTTCAGGCGGACGTACGAGAGGAATTGGTCAACGAGGACGAGGATGTCTTTGCCGCAAAGAAGGTGGAAGACGGCGACGTTGATGTTGTGGACGAAGACGAACATCCTGACCCCGACCTTCTTCCTCTTCCACTCGACGTACCTCTTCCAATGTCCCCGGCAGGCAGGTTTTACCTCGAGCTCGTTAGATCAGCGTCTGCCGCTGGAAGAGAGGAAGGAGCTGCCATGGCTTCGAACATCAATTCCCCACAACTTCTACCAGCATTGGTCATTTCAGCCCCCACACCAAGTAGACCCAGGACGTCGAACGGTGGGCTGTGTATTCCTGATGCTGAGAAGCCCGCCGGGGACGACGTGAAGGCGCCCAGTCCATCACCTTCTCCCACTCAGTCTCCCCTACCCACTCCCCTACAAACGCCTACCCCGCCGAGCTCTCCTCCGCCCCTCATCTCGCCTGCAAGGCGAACTCCCCTTGCGGGGCTTCCCGTGGTCACAAAGCCTGAGGTGGTGGAGATGAAGATCTCTGAGGCAAGTGAAGGCGACATTCGGGATAAAGAGAACAAGTTACCTGCTTGGTCTGTTCGAGCAGCGGATGCCCCCCCACTTGGTCTCTCCAGTGGCAACTTCACTTTGAAGGAGAAGCGGTCGTTCAATTTCAGGCCTAAAGTTAGCCCCATCGAAGCCCAAGCCCAGCCTTTGGGTAGTGCTCAGTCAGCCGAAACCCCCAGCGACGAACCTAAAGCGGCTGAACTTGCACATTCTTCCGTACCCAGTACGTCGGAGACCCAAGACATCGTACAACCCGAAGCTGTGAGCCCGGCGCAAGCTGAAAAGCCAATCGCTCCCGAACCGATGCAATTGAGACGGTCCCTTCCTGGCTCATTCGATGACAGCCAGGAGGCTTCTACTTCGCAACCTTCATCGACCCCTGAGCCCCCTGAATCTGTGGCAGTGCCTTCCCCTAAACCCGCTGAAGTTGCGCGTCCTCGCCAGCCACGACCCATCCGCTCAGCCATTGATATTGCATTGGCTATGCAGCTCCGGCCAGGCATTGGCATCGGCGCGGATCCAGCGTGGATGGTGCGCTTCTTGATGTCCATGTTCGGCTGGCTTGCTGTATTAATCAGCGGAAGCGGTGAAATGGACGCTCTACTGGTTGGGCGGCGGTGACTTACGTTCCGATCGTATATCGATCATAGTGAAGTGCGTCTGGCCTTCTAATTTTGTTTACTCGATACTGTTGGATTTCTACATTTCCCTCCGAGATTCGTTATCTTATTCTCCATTATTATCGTCATTGCCACAATTTCCGGACCCTCTGCATGCAATCATTCATCCATTGATACTCTACATATCATCATCTTCGCTCTGGAATACATATGTATCATTACACACTTTGCTATCCTTTATGCATCTTGTATCGGATGGATTCTGAGGTCTGAGTCTAAGCATGTTCGATTCTCGTGTTGCGCTCATGCCACAGCTATGAGTCGCCATTCTCGTAACGGTCAGGGAACTATGGGTTAATTAGAAGCACATATTCTCATCCCCTAATACGAGAGTGTGTTGCTGGTGGTCTGCATCCAATATTTCAAGAAAAGCTATTAGGGTGGGGGAAAGCCATCCCCCTGTATTGGTGTACAAAGATTGAAACGACAGAGTGAAATGATTGGAGGTACAACGGACGGTGAGATCGGCCAGATGCGCAGAGAGTGACTAGGCCGCTATTCCATTTCGGTTATTATCTGCCTTACGAACTTCGTAGGGTAAACAAGTTGTCAATGCTTGGACAAATATGATATATTTAACAGTTCCGACAAACTCACCATAATCCTCGACAGCTTGATACATAGGCTCCCACCGATCGCCTTGGTCATCTGGGTTGGCTATCAAAATAGCGGACTTCGAGCCTCTGCTCAGGCGCCAGTCACCCTTCGTTGATTTCCAATCGACAACGACTAGGTGCTTCATGGAATCAAAGAGGGTTTGAGCAAAGGGGCGTATATCGTATTCCGAGCAGCCGAATCGTATGTATTTCAACTTGATATTTGTGGTTCTGGAAAACACGACACCAAGGTCATGAGCTTGAGAGGGCGACTAGAACGAACGGAAGGTGCCATTATGAGTACCGGATAGATGGGGTAACACGAGTGCAGCCATACCGAGGGGGCTTTCGAGACTGATATATATTCAAGGTTGAGGAAACAAGAGAGTAACGATGCCATGGTGTTCATGTCCACAAACTGCAAGGCAAGGAAGCGAATGGAAGCAAATGCTCCAGAAAGATGGCGCAATGCGAACTCGAGCTCGACGAATCTAGATTGAATGCGATCGGAAGTGATGACCAGACTGACCAGCGAAGTCAGATTGTCGAAGAGTAGCGAATTCTCCACAGATAGTGCAAGGGAGCGAAGGTTCGGCAGCTCTTTGGACGATAACTTGTTGACAATCTGAGTTTCTTCGTCTTTGGGGTAGAAGTTCGGTATTGTGATTTCCTCCAATGTCGGAACGAGCACAATATGCTGTAAGAAACTTGCCCTATGACTGCCACAGGCCAAATAGAGGTACGTGAGGCGCGCCGTAGATGGGAGTAGTCGCAGGATCGCAGGATCGACGGCTTCAGTAAGTATGAATTCTACAACGAGACTGCGAAGATTGGGAAGATATGGGAGGATTCGAGATATCAGGAGATGAGCTCGACTGATAGTAGAAGAAGAGCATTTATACTCGAAGATAAAGGTAGTGGTGAACTGCATGCCGGGATTTGTTTCGATATCTCTACATAAGCTTTCGACTGACGCCAGTTGTTTTTTAAAGTAGATGCTATACACCAAGAACGATATCTTTTCATATAAAGGGAGTAGAGCGAGAACATTGAATCGGCGAGAAACAAGAATGAGGCGCAGCAATGTCGGTCGGTCGTTGGCCAAACCTTCAATTATTGCCAGCAGGATTTCAGTTGGAAGGTGCATGCTAACAGGATGGCTGGCGTCTAACTTGCCAACCTTCACAATGGGCAACCGACACAGCCTATACTCTGACGACAAAATCATCATACACTTATTGGATGGATTATATAGTGAGTTCACTCGATTGCACTTCATTGCGCAACACAGTACTCATGTTGCGGCTACGACTCGCCATTCTCGTAAAGCTCCGTGAACTGTTCCCCCAAGTTCCACGCTCTAACTAGATATTTGGGTTAATTACAAGCTAGTATTCTCATGCCCACGCGGCGAGTCGCAGTGCCGTGGGTGCCCCTTGGCTATTTTCAACGGGCGCAATGCCTTCTCGAGGGATTAATTCGTTATCAGTTGGGGCATGTGCGAGAAACCGTCTCATAGAAGGGGCTACGCAGGGCACGACTCGCTAGGTTTAAAGAGTCAAGATTGCGCGCATATTCTGGTCCACCGATTCACCATGTTGGTCGGGTTGCTGTTCGTCTTGGCCATTACGGGGCAATGTCTTTGCATCCCAAGCATACTTTCCTTCCCATTTGCGACGCGAGCTAAACCCATCACTTTTCCGGATTTGTATGAAGCCTCAGTCCCGGAATTGCAAGCGGGTCTTAATGCTGGTCACTTTACCAGTGTCGATCTCGTAAAGGTGCGTCGTTATCTAGCATCTGAAGAGTCCATTAATTCCTGACCATCCGCAGGCTTACTTCGCCCGAATTGAGGAAGTAAATTTGAAAGGACCTGCATTGAGAGCTGTCTTGGAGCTGAACCCTTCTGCTTTGGCACAAGCAGCATCTCTAGATCGTGAACGAAAGCTGAAGGGAGCCCGCAGCACCCTGCATGGCATCCCGATTCTCTTGAAGGACAATATTGCTACTATTGCTTCAGAGGGTATGTTAATAATCACGCTTGAGTAGGTATAGACCTAGTGCTCACTAAGACCACCAGGAATGAATACAACTGCTGGGTCGTTCAGCCTATTGGGATCTGTTGTCCCAGAAGACGCTGGGGTGGTAAAACGACTCCGTAAGGCTGGAGCCATCATTCTCGGTGAGTCTCCTTGGGATTGAACACGTGTGTCAGTTTGCCGTAATTCCGTGATTCCGTGTTTCTAGGCAAGGCGAACTTGTCAGAATTTGCCCACTTCCGAGCTGGTAGCCTGCCATCGGGGTGGTCGGGGCGTGGTGGACAAAATACCAATGCCTACTTTCCTAATGCTGATCCATGTGGATCATCTTCCGGATCAGGGGTGGCGACATCTATTGGGCTGACTGCTGTTAGTCTCGGCACGGAGACAGACGGAAGTATAACCTGTCCTTCAAGTAACAACAACCTCGCGGGAATTAAGCCCACCGTGGGCTTGACGTCTCGAGCAGGAGGTGCGCGCTTCTTGCACTACCCACTCAAAACGTAGTCTGAGCATGGATCCATGACATCGTAACTAGTTATACCCATTTCGGCACATCAAGACACTGTCGGCCCCATGACGCGCTCTCTGACAGATGCAGCCATCGTCTTGTCTGTGATCGCAGGCAAAGACGCCAACGACAACTTCACCCTGGCCCAACCTTCGCGCGTCCCTGATTATACGAAAGCACTGAACAAGAATGCGTTGAGAGGAAAGCGTATTGGCGTCCCTCGACGCGTGTTCACAGACGATAGCATCACTGGGACTGACCCGTCGGTCAACGTGGCTTTCAATCGTGCTCTAGATATCATTCGCAGCCTTGGAGCGACCGTGGTGGATCCTGCAGACTTGCCTTCCGCCGACGAAATTGCCATCTCTAACAACGAGACTCTTGTACTTGATGTTGACTTCAAGGTAACCTAACACGACACCAGCCATATCTTGCGGTATAACCCTTGCTTGATATAGGTCCAACTCAACGACTGGTACGAGGCTCTCAAGAAAAATCCATCTGGAGTACGAAGTTTAGCGGATTTGATCAAGTTCAATGATGACCACCCCGAGTTGGAGGAACCACCTCAACTTGAAGATCAGTCAGAGTATGTTTCTTTTCTTGTACGCAATGTATTGTTCATGTTGATACCTGGAAATTATAGGCTCATCAGCTCGGAAGCTACCAACGGATTTGATGACGCTTTCTTCAAGGCATTGGCGTTCGATCAAGAATTGGGGAAAACGCGAGGAATCGATGCAGCCTTGAAAGCACATCGCCTCGACGCGTTGGTGCTTCCGTCTACTGGCTTCACAACAGTCCCCGCCGGTAAGCACGTCAGATTCGAACCGTGACATGTCTCACTTCACGGCCGTGAATTAGCGATTGCGGGGTATCCGATTATCACTGGTAAGGCGTACACCTACTGACTTATTGAATCTACGGGGACTGACTTTACTGACCGAAGTTCCGCTCGGGTTCTATCCTGACAACGTAACTATTGGCTCCGCCGGGCCCACGACATTCTACCCCGCACCAGGCGTACCATTCGGATTATCATTCTTAGGAACCGCCTTTACAGACTTTGACTTGATCGGGTTTGGGTTTGCTTACGAGCAGAGGACGAAGACACGATTGGCAAGGAAGGCGTTTGCAGCTGCCATCCCAAAGACGCAGTTGAAGGATGTTATTTAGGAATAAGTTGACTACGCAGCTGTTTCTTAACTGAATCCTGTACCCAATCCTAGGGTAAGCGGGAGCTACACGGTTCAAGTTCAAGTTCCGTCGACGCGCATCAACAATGCAAAACAAACCTTCTCAGCTCATACATAGAGTCTCCACCGCGGGCAGTGTTTTCTAAGCAAACTAAACTTCAGAAACATAATTATATATGTCTGGAGATGTTCTGTGGTTCATATCTAAGGCGCCATGGCTACGCAGGTCATGCTAGTTGTCAAGGCTAGTGGTATAAGTAGTATCAGTAGTATTAGTATTTAAGAGAGTTCGGTAGACAGCTGCGGTAGACTATGTATGTATAAAAGGCATAAAGTATAAACAAGAAGTAGGAACTTCAGATGGACATGTATTGGTATCTTATGACGTGCACAGTCTCTGCCAATAAGTAGTAAAGCAAGTCCACTGAGTCTTGAAATTACGAAGGGAAGTTTAATAGGTATACGGGGCGGCGATGTGGCTTCTTGCGAGAAGGCTACTCCTTGCTAAGCTGATCCTCTTCAGATGCTTCTTCCGCGAAGTTCTTGCTAGCTTCGTTGAAGTTTGAACCATCAGAGTCAGTTCGATGGGTTTCCGGGTCCTTGGCACGGCGAGAGCTATTCAATGCAGTGGGCTTCAATACCAAAGGAATCTCGGTCAGCCCGAGTTGCTTGCAAAGGTCGAGGCATCTGTGATCATCAAGAAAGGACTCAATCCCGGTGATTGCACAATCACCAACACCTGAATCACTGAAAGAATTACAAGTCAAGACTTGCTCCCGCATTCGATGATGTGTTACATACCCATCGAGAGTGTGGGTCATTACGTCAAATAGCACCAAGCCATCCTTTCCCTTGATGCGAGTGGGTGTGCCTAGCCATCTCGGTCAACAATGATCCGATAAACCAATGAAGACTCACCTTGGATATCAGCAAAGACAAGTAATCGATTGCTATGACCCCAAACAAAATGAGCGAATGCATATATGGTTTGGCTGCTCATGTTGCGGCGCTGGGGGCGATGGGCGAGGGTACCACTGAACTTGGTGACTGTTGATGCCCGTTTTGGCTCTGCAATCCAAGTTATCCGCTCCGTGTTGCTTTCGACACCAGATGCAGGGGTTGGGGATGTAATCTCCTTTGCGAGGAAGGCATTGGTGAATATAATATCTATTAAAAAATATCAGCAGAGATGCAGGACTCGGAAGGTGATTCAATTTATATTTACCTGTATTGACACTCACACCGGGGTAGGATGTCTTGCAATATTTGTAGAACACTTGGAGGAACCAGTTTCCCCATGCGAGACGAGTGATTTCAGCCTTGACCTGAATCTCATTCTTGGCAGCCGAGACCATGGACTGGTCAACATCGTCAGAATCATCTTCACAAAGGCGAAAGAAGCGCTTGAGGATGTAGGGAGATCCATCTAGAGCAACAAGCTGGTACCAGATATTCCATTAGTAGTCATAAAGCAGGCATGACAGACCTTCGTGCTTACCTCGTACGCAACTTTCATTGTCCCAGTGGCAAAGATCACATTAGAAACATATCCGCTTAGCTCCAGATCAGCAACGGTGAAGATTGGTGTCCCTAATTCAGGATCCATCACACAAGTTGTTTTCTTGAGCGTCACCATGCTTCGCTCCACGCGCTGGCTGGCTCTGCTAAGGTTAAAGCTTGAGGAAAAGTCTGCGATCATGGTATCAATCTCGAAGTAATGAAGTACAAAATGTTCACCTCGTTTTTGAACTTGTCGGGATTGCTCCAATCCACCAACCCGTGAGTCAGCACGCAGTCGCTTGCGCGATTGTGGGGCAGTGAACAACACAGATCCATCATTTTCATCCCCGTTTATTCTGCGTGAGTACTAAAGTAGAAATTAGAACAACAGGAATGATAGAAGCTACTATTACCCACCGCATCATAGTCAACATACATATCAAAGCATAGGACAGGATGCTTTTGCTTCGACTTGCCAACTTGTTGCTGCCAGAACTTAGGCACATTGTCGATGTAAATACTTGCATTGGCTGGAGAACTATAGTAGCCGTAGAAGTCGCCAACATTTAGCGTTAGGGTATCAGAATGGAGAAGCCGGTTACCGGCAAAGCGGTAGGAAACCTCTTCGCTAGGGTGGTTGTTAAGAAGTGCGTAGCATCAAGGGGATCAACCATACCTTAGAAGAGGGGAAGAGTGGACACGTGTCCATTCTGTGTTGATATTCTTCACAATTTGAGCTTTTGCGTCTAACAAACATCAAATTCAGTCACAGATTAGCGCACTCAGTTGACATGCATCACCAATCATTAGAACCGAATTGGCAAACTTGATTGCTGAGCTACCCAGATCATCGTTGATCTTCTTTGGGTTATTGCTGACCCGAACCTACCAATATCCACACTGTAAGTGAATCGCCATGAGTAAACTATAAAATGTACCTGAAAACAAAACAATGTCTTAGGCTCGCCAGGAGCACCACCACCATGTTGATGTTGCTGTAGAGTAGCTGTGGAAAGGTGAGTTGTCGGGCCCAACCCGGTGGTCTGGGTTACATGCTTCAAGCGAGTCCGTGTTGCGGCAATCCGAGCTTGATTGGCATCTGAGATATTGGTGCTCCGTGCTGCTGACGGGGTAAGAGGTCCTAAAATGAGCCTATGAGTGCCGCCTTGTATTCCAGCGTAGAGGGATTGACCTGCATGACCCTCATCGTTGAGAGCTACATCGAGGGTGTGGGACTGACGGTGGCAAGCTATGGCGCCGCAAATCTGGATAGCTCCAGTTGGTGGCATATTTCGCCGTGTCACTCCGCACATTTGGCACTGGGGCCACATCTAAAGGGATTATTGGATTAGGTAGAACGATAGCTAATGGAGAATATACCAGTAATTCTGTGTACTCCGGTGTTCCAATGGCATGAATACCAAGCTTTTGACATTTTTGGCATGGGCCGCCCTGCGTGCGCAGCGGAAAGGACACTCCGCAGTCTCCGCACACCTCATCGGCATCACTGATTGTCTCTGGCATTGGCTGAAATGGAAGGGAGCGTGAGCGTAAAGAAGAAATGAGTGTGAAGGTGTGAATATAGATGGTGGTTGGAAATAAAGGAAAGTTGCGGAAACCCTAGTTGAAAAAACAAACAAATACTCACTGTACCCTTTCACGCATTTCACATTATAGCAGTGTAAAGGTTGCAACTGCTAGCTACCTTGCATGCCTAACCCGACAGGAAAGAACAGTCAAGGGAAGAAAGAATGTAAGTGATAGCCTTTGACAGACCGTAAAGAGGATATGAACCGTACTCACCTAGATCCTCCTGACGATGTCTTGGAGGCAAGTCTCCGGAAGTACGTTACGCGTGGTCTGAGTCAAAACGATAAACTGAAGAGGCTTGTCGATGACCATCATCTCTCTATCGGGTATGTCCCAGTCCGCAACACTCATGGTCACTGTCGTCCTGATTGGTATAATTAGACTATCAAAGTTAAATCAATTAGAGCGGAAGTTCAACATACCTTCGCTTCGACGCTGTGCGCCTTCCGTTGATATCGTACGGCAAGCAGTGGTGGATGAGGTCGACAAGGATGTTGCACAGCGTAACGGGCCTGCTTTTGTCACAGGGAAGCTTCGGCTCATGGGGATTATGACGCCTCGGTAAGCATAAAACCGCAACGGGTTATGTCGATGGCTCTAAACAATTTAAATCAGTGATACTGTTCGTAAAATCATGCACGAATATTACCCTGAAGGCTTTGATGTTCGGTTTCCAGGGAAAGTGCGTCCCAAGATCCCCCGGGGCACCCTTACCGCCATTGGTCCATACCACGAAGTTTCCGCTGATGGACATGAGAAGATTGCGCAACAAGCATTGAAGATGGGCGAAGTTGGCATCTCGATCTATGGGTGGAAGGATAAGTGGTCGTCCGCAGCGTTATGGGTGGTAGCAGTTCCGGATTGCCGTAGCGCCGGAGCAATAGGGCATCTATACCTTGACTTCATTGAGCGCATTGGTGGTGGGTCCTGTGAACCATGTGTAGTTTACTAGAATCACTGATAACAGAACGAACAGGCATACCTTTACAGATTACGGTTGATAAAGGCTCGGAGACCGGTTGGCAGTGTGCAATTCAGTATGCGCTGAGGTCAGTGACCGACTGAAATCTGAGACATGCTCTGACGTTTCCTCGCAGGGAAGTGTTTGCACCTGATGTTGACGAAGATACATACCCACCATTTGTTGCCCTGAAAAGTGTTCACAACGTCGCAATCGAGGGGTTTTGGCATTGGCTGCGACAAGGGACAGGTCTATCCTTGAAGGAGATTCTCCTTCGAGGCAAAACAGAGCAGCTGTTCAGCCCGAGCGTTGGGCTTCACAAGTAAGCGGTGATTGTGTTGCAGTGAAAGGAAACACTCATAGACGCGCCTAGGGATCTATTCAATTGGATATTCCCACCACTTGTCCAAGTCGCTTTGGACGACTTCTGTACCGCGTGGAACCATCATCATATCCGTCAGCAACCAGATAAGGACATGCCCTCTGATCACGTTCCCATTGATGCACTCGAACATCCACAATATCTCGCCGGACTCGATTGCCGAATTCCAATACCTGCTGAGGTGATTGGCCATCTCCGAGAGTTTCTGACGGAGCAAGTTGGGCCGCGAGAGGCTTATTTACAGTGGGTTACTGAGGAGTTCAGCCAGCGCGCACATGAGGTCCATACTTCACTGAGAATGCCTACTATTACACTCGAAAATGCTTGGGATATATTTGTTAAGATGTCAGACGCAATGAGCTGACAGTACTCAGCAATATACTATGTTTACCGTTATCACTCTATGCTTCTACAGTGTGCGTTGTTGGTTCATGGTTTACGAGTTCGTAGCGGAACTTGAATTCGAACCGTGTAGCTCCCGCTTACCATACAATCCGCGCAGGGGTTGCATCTTATGATTGGCTTTTAGGAGGCGTTCTAGTCCTTGAGTGTTCTTAAGAAGAAAACTTCGTTCCTAAGAATATATTTCTTGGTGTCGGTATGGCGGCAATTGGGTGTGGGAAAGTTTGTCGCGATAACGTGATCTAGCGCGCCGTCCAGATGTGGCAACTCAAAGTTGAACTCTGCGTTGAACCTCATCGCATACACACCGGTTTCTTGGATCCAGCAGAGCTCGAGCATGACATTGGACAGCAGTGGATTCAGCGATGTCGGCCGCTATGGCACTGTATATCTCATGAAGAAGCAAGACCCTGCCACCCCCGTTACTGCGTTTCCTCTGGACGACGAGGAGACGACATTCGGACGCGATCAGTCGTGCAGCATAAGACTCTACTACCCGCAAGTTAGCCCTATCCATGGTAAGATCTACTTCGAAGACCGCAAGGTAAGCGGCTGCACTGCTCGAATGAAGGAACCGGTAACTGATGGCCTGCAGGCATTTTTGGTAGTTCTGGGGGCCAGCGGTCTGTTTGTGGACGGATGCAAGGTCTTGCCAACGGCAGCGGGCACTTCCTCGCAGCATTCCCCACGAACAATTCCCCTCACGAACAATACCGAGATAGAAATACAGAGCAAACGGTTCAAGTTCACATACCCTCCGAAGGAACTACGAGCTGCACTACTCGCTACGCCAGCTAGTACGTAAAGTCGGTCCATCCTGTAATGGCAGGTAGTTGATCATTGTGATAGGAACTACCCAAACCCCCCACCGCAGGCGCGCCCTTCGTCTGTCCATGATCCAGAGCGCCCAAGTTTTCACTCCGAGACCGAGCCCTGATCCTAGAGAGAACCTTCGCATCCTTCAGAGCCCTCTACGACCGTTCAGCTCTCCCAAGAAGCCGAGCCCCTTGCAAACACCTAGCGACCATGAAGAGGAGGAGGAAGAAATTGTTCTGGTAGATGGCAATCATCCACGGGTCGTCGAAGACGAGAAGGACCTTATCATCCTGGAAGATGTTGAGGTCGAGATCAATGATGTTGAGCAGCCGCAAACAAGGGACGTGACTATGTTAGCTCCACCGTCTCAGACAAGAAACCCCCCGCCGCAAACTCCCCAACGAAGGGCACGTCCCTCTTTACATAAAGCGGTCCTCATCCGCTCTGCCCAACGGGCCATCATGAAGGCAGAGATCGAAAGAGAGGAGGAAGAAGAGATACAAGAGGTCGAGGAGTTCGCCACCCAAACGCACAGCGGTAGTGAAGAGAGTTCAAGTGAAGAGGAGGACGAGGATGAAGTAGAAGAGGACATGGAGCCACAAGGCATGACCCCTACATGGAGGAAGGGACTTGATGCGGTCCAGAGGACCCTCTGGCCTTTCGGTAGGGAGCCAGAAACGGGGGACTTTGCGGAGGTGAGCTGAATCCGACCGTTTTCTGTCATCTTACTTATGCTAGATTAGGACCACGACGAACCTCAAACAGACGAAGCGAAGACTGATAATGAACCACCTCGTGCATATGGCAACTTTATGACCCCTCAAGTGCCCCGCAGGACTGGCGATGCTGGACGATTGTCCATGGGAGGCGAAGCTCGACGTGTGCTAGTCGAACAGAAATGGCGAGTAAAGGATATTGAAGTTCCACCTCCCGTCCAGGAAATCAAAGAAGAAGATCGCACACTCGATGTGGGGCTGAGCACTCCTCTGGGCAGTCGAGGTCGCGGTCGAGACAGATTATCTGAACAAGAACGCAAGGTAAGAATCAAATTCTCTTGTCTATCATGGCGCTTGTTCACGGGAGTGATATAGGCAATACAAGAGCGACGGCGTTCTGCCCTACGCACGCCCGACCCCTTCTTCGGCGGTCAAACACCTGGCATCCGTCATTTCCCTGGTTTCCCGGCATCCCCAACCAAACCCACCTCTAATCCCTCTCCGACCAAACTATACTCCCCGATGAAGACCATCCCTGAGCCTAAGGAGGAGGAGGAGGAGGAAGAGGAGGACCTTGATACCCGCTCATTGCTGGATAAAATGAAGGAAACTGTTGCAGAGATGAAGAGACGAAGGAGCATGGCACCTGTTGGCCTCGCACCTGGGACACCTGACAGGAAGACTCCGACAATGGGTATGACTCCAGGAAGGCGGGCACTACCTACCGGCGGAGACCGTCGTTTCTCATTGCTTGCCCCCGCCGTTCGCGAGGAAATATTCGGGAATGAGGAAGAGGACGAAGCTATGCGACCGACCGAGGATCCGAGTGATGAAGAAATGGTTGACGATGACAAGGAGAACACGACTACGGAGCCAGGACCTATCACCAGTGGTACTCCAGTGAATCCGCTACGTCTAGCCCCGAAGACGCCTAAGATGGATGGACTACGCCATATGTTTGCCGCACCAAAGCCTGTCCCGCCAACGCCATCCTTTGTTGGCGTAAGGGATATGTTCAGAACAACAGAAGCGCCAAGGGTTGCGACGCCTACGTATGAAGGTATTGGGGAGCTGATACGAACACCAGTATATGAGGAACCACCCACAATCGTGGAGTCGGTGGCTACCGACGAAGCTAGCAACCCAGAGGAACCCTCGCAAGCAAAGCTACCAGACGAGGAGCCTGTGATCGAAGATGATTCCCCGGAAGTCGAGGAGAAACCCAAAGCAGCACCCAAGTCCAAGCTAGTCAAACCGACCAGAATATCCAAGCGATCGACGCGAAACGCAACATCTAAGGATACACCATCGCTTGCTGATGATGAAGCAACACCAGGCTCGCATGACGGAGGCAAGGGCGATGACCAGAGTGAGGCGGAGGAAGACGATGCCGACCGTCTTCGACATAGCAAACGACTACCTAGGCCTCGAAAAGTTGATGAGCCTCGCCAGGTAGATTCCCTTCTCCTAGGCTGGATTAAATAATGACCACATTTTAGGTTCCAGCAGCTCCATCTAAACCTGTAAGGACGCGACAGCATTCTGGAGATAAAAGCGAGGTAAGCCACAGACGTTATCGAACTAGTGTTCGTGACTTATTCCCTCTAGGGCTCGAGCTCGGGACTCAAGCCACGTTCACAATCTAAGGTACCGGCCACCAGGGCAGCAAGCAACGAAGTAGTTCAACCAGCTGTGCAGCCTCGTCGTAAAGCTACCACTACGGCAGTGGAAGAGCCTTTATCCTCCGAAGTGACTGATAGTGCGCCTAAGCGTCGGGCACGGAAACCCACGTCGAAAGCCGATGAGCCTCACGAGTCTTTAGTAGAAGAACATCCTCCAAGTTCGCTGCCCAAAGCTACACGCAAGGGAAGGTCCGCAACGAAGTCTAACACTGACACTGACCCGCCATCGACGGCCAACGAAGCGCAGAGCGCTATTGTACCAAAACGGAGGGCTCCGCCTCGAACACGAGCGAAGGATGTTATCAAGGAAGAAGACACCGAGGATAGTGATTTGGCCAAAGTTGTGGAACCACTTCCGAAACGTCGCGTAGGCCGACCAGTGGCAGCCAGCAAGTTAACCTCGAAGGCCGGGACATCGTCACAGAAGGCTACCCCTAATGCATCCGCTGGGACAGGCAAGGAAAACACGCCTGGCACGGGTGACGATGAGGAAGACGTGCCAGACAAACCTGTCAAGCCCAAGGTCTCAAGAACGAAGAAAGTTGTCAAGGAGGAAGTAGTTGAAGAAGCGCCGAAACGTACGAGAATCACGAGAGCGAGGACGAAGACTTGATCAAGTTATTTCATATTGTTTTCCGCGTAGTGTATGAGTAATGTTGTGGAATTGTATATCTACATCAATGAATTCGTTCACGACGATTCATGAGGCACAGGCTGGCGTTTCTATATTCTGTGCTGGCGAGGCCTTTAGCACCTTGGCTGATGTGTTGCGTAGTTCATGTTCAGTGAACGCAAGGATAGGATAAACTAGTGTAGTGCTTGGCCTCCGATGTTTTTTCGGACGCAAGATTACACACGAGGGACGTGAAACAAGGTGAAACCTGACCAAAGCCATCAGAGTTCAGGCTTTCATAGATATCGGGGGATCAGCGTAGAATGTGTATTCGTATAGACACCTGTACGGAAGGTATCTACAAACGTTAAGAACACCCGGATGCACTTTTGACCAGTTCCGTAGCTCCAAACAGCTTCCTCTACGCCCAATTGAGCCTGGGGAGAATAGCTCTCGCAGAAGCCGGGCTAGCGGAAGTAGCGGGTGCAGACTCGGCTGCTGATGCGGCTGCCACGGTCGCAGAAACTCCTTCACGTGCGGCCGACACAGCTGCCTCAGTCGCACTCGCGCGCGCGGAGGTGGCGGATGCCACGAGGGAAGAAGGGGCTTGTTGCGAGACTGGAGCTGCCGGGCTTGCGTTGCTCCCGGGGTGGGAAGGACGTGGGGCGCGGAAGGCGTTGAGAAGGCCAGCGGGGTTGGCAGAAGTAACAGGGACAAATGGCGCGTCTGGACCCGAGCACGCAGTCTCCGTGAAGCTAATCATCATGCTGACCTTTGGGTTAGGCCACTATGGATGCAACGGGGAAGCTCAGCACTATCAGATGCCTACAGGTGAATACTAACTTACGAAAGTAAGGCCGTGGTCGGGCATCGGGCACGTAGCACCAATTCGTCTCAACCTGATGAAGCACTTTCCACCAGAGCATGCCGGGATACCCTCGAAGACGCCGGCCTGAGCCGCGTTGGTGTTGAACTTGATGTGTGTGCCGCCAGCACCATTGTCAACCCATCCGATAGTCCCCTTAGCATTCTCAGGTCTGCCCATCTGGTCCTGAAGAAGGAATTGTCCGTCCGTAGGCACTGCTTCTCCCAACGCGCAGTCTGTTGTGCTGCGGCAAACTTTGAAAGGAATGTCCTTGAAGAACCCATCCTTTGCGTAGGCCGGGCCATCGTGGTTGGAACCCAATTGGGTGCCATCGGGGAATTTGAGGATGTAGCAGTGCCCATACTGGATACCGAGATCGTCGGTGTCACCGCAAACGGGGTCGGCAAGGTCCTGGCACGTAGCGCGGGGCGGGGACTGCGCACATTTACCGTTCAACCAGCTCATTCCGGCGGTGCAGCACCCCCCGGTCTTCGTGGCTCTGTCACCGACAAATACCAAGCTAGGGGCACAGCATCCTCCAAGACCAGAGGCTTTATCCTGCGACCAATTTTGACCACCGTCGCAGCAGCCACCCTCGAGGGTGGTTTGGTTGCCGGTCCAGGTTTGACCAGGGGAGCAGCACTAAGGATGAATTTAGCAACAGTAATGTAGCGGACCAATGAGTCGTACCTCTCCGATTTGAGCGGTTTGGTCAAACCAAGTAACGGACCGGGGAGCGATACAGCAGTTTAATACTTTGTCTGGGTCGCCCTGTCATGTCATCGTCATGAGTATCGTGCATTGTTCTCTAGTAAATCATTCGCCTACAGGCAAGAAGAACGGCGTGGCGTCGCCGAAGCAAGCCTGAGCAGCGTCTTTGGAGTTGCCGAGAGCTTTAGCCTGAGCTTTATCGCCAGCTGCATGAACAACAGCGGCAAAGACAAAGGCGAGTAGAACAGATCCGGTGAAAGTCATTGCTACGTGCCGTAGTATTGCTGAGAGCGAAGAACTGTTGGCTGGGGGAGTTGAAGAAAGATGACTCTGCTTTAAAGGTGACGGACGGTGCACCAGAGGGTATTTTGAATCCTGAGCCTATCCTTGGATGCCTAGAATGCAAACCACGCCATTTTTGACCATGCCTGTAGAAGGACATCTAGCGAGTGTCGGTGAATTTATAACTAAAACTGTGGTAAATCGGACGACACCAATGAACAGATGCGCACTTGTAGTAAAGATACCAAGTAGATGCCATTGAAGATGTAGTGGCATCCGCGAGACATACGCGGGCGAGGGTGTACTCAACTGTGTGGTGTCAAGGTACCACCGGGAGTTCCGCCTGTAAGCGACGAGTAAACAATAACTCTACATGATGAAAAATTGGGCGTGCTTATCACAGCACCTTCCATTAGAGCGGGAGACGAGGGTGGGCCGTTCGGCGACGTTATTTCAGCATGCACGGAAGACTGATACATATAAAGGCTTGCCGCTTTTGACCACGGGGATCGAAAGTCGGTATCATCAGAGCGCCGAAATCCCCAAAAGATCGAATGAAGCACACGTAAGATCCTTTGTGGAGCACGAAGTTCAGAAATGAAGGAGTCGGTCCAGAATGCAGTTGGTGCCAGCCAGAACATAAGGCTGTCAACTGAGGCGCTCCTACCCCAGCCAGAGTTTGTCCTCGCATCAAAGAAATACAAGCAGAAGAAGGGCCAAAGCGCACGCCGGCGTACGGAATAGACACAAGCAGGCATGCAGGGTCCGGGGAAGTGTCTATCCTACAAGTCGAAACGCTTGCCCCATCCATGGATGTGGAAAGAACACATTCCTTGTTTGAACTGTCGAACAGTGTCGCATTTCTGAATGGGGATCACCGGGACAATACGAAGACTCATAAGCACAGCCAGAATCTCCAGACAAGACAGAGCGTCGTCCAGATGAGTATTAGTGGCAGCGAAGAGGATGATGCTGCACATCTCGACCCGGCAAAAATGAAATCCGAGATTAATACGACATAGAGAATGCAAACGACGGCGCGAACGAAGAGTTTGGGGAATCCACTGAGAGCTTCGGATGGATATGGCATTTTCCTCTAGAATGTCGCGATATTTTCCTGTCCACTGAGCATGAACTGGAGAACGAGTTACAAGGAAGGACAATCTGGAGGCGTGAGACTAAACGCCTAATTGAGTGCAGAGCGTCCACATCTGGTAGCAATCATGTGATTCGTCAGGGGGGTTAGGAGGATGGGGCTTTCCTCCTCGTACCTTCCATGGCCTCTTGTGTTTCTTTGCTGTTGTTTTGATCAACGGGCACTTAGCACAGGGGTAGCGCGTTCGCTTCGCACCGTCATTTGGTCACTGTGTCATGCGAGAGGTCGTGGGTTCAAATCCCACAGTGTCCATTTTGTTTTATTGCACTATGACTTTCGACCGCGCTGCAAGTGTCTTTTTCGTTGTCAGGAGGTGCGTTACTGTAATGAGGGATTGTAGTTATCAGACCCGTATCTTCGACCCGCCCACGGCCCCGAGTAGAATTCGTTGGGACGATGGCCTGCAAGCGTGCCGTCGGAACTTCAACGTTGTATATCTGATACTACATCAACCTTGATTGATACTTGAGATGTTCTCCAGGTGACTCGTGGTCTAATTGATCCTGTCACACCGCCCTAGATCTTATGGTTTGGTTCATATACTAGGCCCAGTTGTTTGCTCGATGCGCAACACTCACTACCACGCCCCCCCTTGTCCCCTCTCTCCTCTAGGTCACCCAACCATCGCCACGAATGGACAACAGCAGCACAAATCAGTGGACGTTGAAATACATGGAGGAGGAACGTGTGCAAGCGTGAGGCCGGTTTCGTTTACATCGATATCACATTCGCTCAAAGTTCGCACTCTTGCGGCGCCATCGTCGACCTGTAGCCTGGAGCCACTCGTACGCCCATATTCTTCCCTTACATCAACTGGGGCCCATGACCGCTCGGCCAGCTCTTCGGAACCTTCTTCGAGGTCCTCCTGTTCGGTATACTGATCGTGCAAATACGTTCGTTCCTCCGAACTTGCCTTCGAAAACCACCCGTTCACCAACAACGTCTTAGATGACTACCACAAGTCCTTCCCTGGCGACAGGGCGCTCCTAAAGCTTGCAGGCAAGTGGTAGGCGTTACTTCGGGATACTGAGTTGTGACTTCCTATATGTTGCGGTTTCCGTTGATCTGTGGAACAAGGTACTATTCGGCGAATCCCAGTGGATATTGACCACCATGATTCCAAGCACCATAGCCGCCCATGCGATGGTCGCCATTGGTAAGTTCTACCTTCAGTGCCATTGCAGGTGGGCCGGCTCCTCAATGTCGCTCCTCTCCCGGCAGTCGGATTGATCTCGCAACTCTTCTTCGCGTGGAGAATCTTCCAGCTATGTCGGAAGCGCTGGCTCCTCGTCCTCACCTGCGTCGTGCGTGAATCCGCTATCATCCAATATCAATATCTTCAACTGAACAGCGAATATGAATACGACAACTGTGCATCATCGATCGTAGTTGGCCATCTCCGCGTTTGTGTCGCTGATACTCGTCAACTTCCAGCCCAATGTAGCCGATACCGCTAAACGTTCTCTTGGAACTGTAGCGACCCCCGTGCGTGTACACTCCAGTATGCCTCCAGTCGCCATCGATCAACCTGTTCTTGAATAGTTATGGATGGGGTTCAGTGTTTCCTGCGACCTGTCCATCACTCTGTCCATGGTTATCCTTGTAAGCATAATGCTGTCCATCGTTGATCCTGCCCACTCACCGTTGGTTTCAGATGTTCAAGGCGCTGAAGGAGGCCATCTTCCGGAAGACGCGGCAGACTCTTTCGAATATCCTGAGATTCACGCTCGAGACGGGTCTCCTTACGACAGCCGTGATCGCAGTGCAGATCGTGTTCATGCTACGAGTGGTAAATCCGACAGGGGACGAACCAACGGGCCTCAGGTGGCGATATATCTTGTAAGCCATCACAGTAGCGCGCTAGTCACCCGGCATTTATATGAAGTACGATGTGCGACGCGTGATACAGCTTTTATCCAACCGGCGTAGTGTGAGTTGTGGCGTGTGTCGGCTGTGAATAGGGTCTGACGAATTTGATAGGTACTCGTCTTGGCTGCTCGCGTCGCTCAATGCGCGGGCTACGATCGCAGACGACGGCTCCCTTGTTCTCAGTACGATATCAGCACTTCGATCTACCCAACCAACCCCAGGCACCGCACGCCCTGGAAATGGTATGTTCGGACATGTCGAGCCCGTCGTTGGTAGCCAGTGAGATCCGAAGCGCAGTGGCATCCTTGAAGAGCGCATTCTACCTACTTGAGGATTCAATTCATTTGTAAAACATATACTGCTGCCAGCAGATGCGATACGGGCCAACAGTTGCGAGGACTTTCGGATGTGTTGAGAGCGCTAGTCAAATGGCTAGAGCGATCAGCGTGCTGATATGGTAGCAGCGGAGGCGTCATGAGATGGGGACGCGAGCGCGCGGTAGACAGTCTCTATAGGGAACGCACCACGTACAAGGGCTTATGGGCTAGTGAAAACGGAGCGGGGAGTGGGGAATAAGAATCCGAGGCTACGGTGTGCAGTATCCGTTACACGGAGTTGGGGGTACTGGCTCGAGATTCAATATCATAGGCGAGAGTTTGGAGAAGGGGAAGGTGGACAGTTGATCAAGTTACATATGAGGGTGCAAGGAAAGGCGGGTGCACCAGGCGAGTGGGCGAGAAAGTCTGAGGCCAAGGGAGCGAGCTCAGCGTCGACGAGATCGAATTCTAGGTTCCTCCGCGACGACCATCCAGTCCTTCATTCTTGAACGTTACCTCTAGACGTCTGTTCGGCGCTTAACCCAAAACTATTTGTCCATGTTTACTCTAAAACTTCCATTGACCTTGTGCAGAGCCTCTCTGCTTCTCGACGGTCGTCTGGCCACAGATCTCTCCCTCAATGTCCCCCAATTTCCTTCTGCAACCAAGTCCCTACAGAGGACGTCGGTAGAACATCGCTCCTTTTGTGAGTAGTGGTTCACATCAGTTGCGATCAAATTTCACGTCTTCGACGACATTTCAGTCGTCAGGAGCAAATGGAGAGATCGATTTCGGATGAAGATCTCAAAATTCAGAACCCTCGCAAGGTAGAGCCTCTGTAATTCTGTGAGTATTGATCTCAATGCAGCTTCTCTCCGTGATGAGACTTCGAAATTTGCACGTCAGTCGGAATGTCGGATTTTTACATTTGCCATGTTGGATGACACCTATCGCTTTTACTGAGATTTTGTGCATGCTTGTCTGTTGTTCGAATGCTGACTCAAGTTCCTACGACAGATCTATCCTGGTGACTGAGTGAAGAGTACACGCTGATTTGGTGAGTACTGCGTTTGCTGGGTTGGTGAAGCGGTATTAGCGGATAGACACTACCTCGACGTACCGTAGACCACCCTCAACTATCGTTTGCACGTCGAGCTGCGAATTAATGTTTCTACCCCAGATTTCGGATTTGATTATACCCTGAGCCTGTCGCGCACGTACGTACGCCTAATTTAAGGCGAGTATGTATAAATAAGATATGCTTCATCCATACTCGCTTAATGTGACATTGCGTTCCTCCACGCCATTTTGGTGCCCACTGTTCTCGCCTTCTCCACGGAATCCATGTTGCGCCTCGCGATGTCGACAAACGAGATGACTGCTGCGGTTATCGACTATGGATCCATTGGGCCTTTCAGCGAGGGGGTGTAGTACTTCGGAGGGGTGTAGTACTTTGGAGGGATTGAGCAGTAGCAAGCGCAAGCACAGGCAAGGACACTGCATGTAACCCTCGTAACCGGACCGAGGTCCATGTAGTTGAAGTAGAGATGGTGTCGGCTAGAAAGTGCAGGGCGCAGTGCTGAATCAGAAGCGGGTAGCGTTGAAACTGCAGGACAGGGTGGAGACTGAGAACCAGCAGATGGCTTAGTAATAGTAAGTGAGACCTTGGGAGGTCGGCCCGAGTAAGCCGAACAGCACTAAACACGACGTGCGCGACACCATCCATCCACGAACACCACGAACACCACGGACATCATACCATCCCCATATCCCAACCCCCCTACTTCTCAGTGTCGTCAACATAACGTGGGGTACGGATATGGATACCGATGGAACGAGCGAACGCAAACGGAACGAACAAAGGGGTGGAGGGAACAAACGGGATAAGCGGACGGGAGGGGGAAAAGGAGGAAGGATGAAAGCGATGAGTAAGATGAGAGGGATGAAAGCGAGGAAAGAGCTCGTTGATGGATGGTACATACATGATACGCCCTGAAAGAGGCGAGGACGGGTGGGATGAGGGTGAACTGGGGCGCGAAGGGTGAGGCCTGGGTGGAGAGGTGAAGAAATGAAAAGGGAAAGAGAGGGAGTGATGCTTTGAGCCTGGGGACGTTGAGGGATGGAACCCCCATACATACGGAGTGGATCGTCGGAAAAGCCTTCGCTGGGGGGGGCGATATGAATGACGCGTGCCTCGCCTTTGCGACCTACTCGAAGTGAGAGGTAAGTTGTAGTAGACTAATTCGACTCCGCGAACATAGACTAGGCGGACTCTGGGGCATATTGGCCTCACCATCCTTCTTATCCTTCTTACGCTTCAATTGTGAATTTTACCCAAGCTCGTTTTGCCTTCAACGCCTTCGTAGCAAACCCAAACTCTAACCCAGGAGAAGGTGAAGAGGTAGATGTAAACGGATCCAAATCTAGTCAAATTTGCTTCACAGTCGCTGGGTAATCCAGTAGTCGAAACAGTGCGTGCTTTTTAACGTGTTCAAAGCGCCGACACAGTACACGTCTCCCACCCGATTAACAACCACCAAACCTCCGGATGTGCGTGGTATTCCAAGTGCGTACGATATGGCGATCTCTAAAATACTGTGCGGATATGAGTATAGTACTGGAATAAGGGCGTCAGCAGCGTGTTATGCGTTATCCTGGTGAACGTACAAACCAAGTTGGTGAACAATCGCGCTCCCAGTAAAACACCCTACGTACGCACGAGCGCGGCAGACTGCGCGTCGGAGCCACCCTGCCGGGAAGAATCGTCGCTATCGAGTTCATCTAGCTCGTCGACGTCGTCGATCGAGGCCGAGAGCGGAGGACGCGGCGCACAAATCCTCGCCATGACGATCCGGTGCTCTTCGTGCACCCCCACGACCCAGCTCTCCAAATTCCTAGTGAACCCGAAAGACCGCTGCTCCGCAAACGCATCTGCGCAGCGCACGGCTTCCGTGGCGATGATCAAGGCCTCCGACCACCGGCCCACGGATCGGAGGATCTGCGCGTAGATTCCCAGGCAGAGCATCTCGTCGATGGCCGAGTCGTACGGTCTGCAGATCGTGCGCGCGGACGAAAGGGCGACGTGCTCCTCTCCAGAAGCCTCCCAGCAGACCGACGGGCAGTCCGGGTCGTGCTGCGGAAGCGGGGCCTGGCGCTGCATCGCGAGGGCCTCCACCGCGTATACGAGGGCCTCGTCGAAGCAGCCGTTCGCAGCGAGGTGGTTCGAGTATAGGCGCAGGCTATGCGCGAGATCCACACGGTAGTCCTCCTGCAGCACAGCCGCCGTTTCCCTGCATATATCGACCGCGCGCTTGGCCGCATCCAGTCCTTCCGTGGTCCCGAAGTGGATGCAGGACAGCAGCTCAAGGCCCCAGGCAACACACGGCAGGTACGTCCTCGGATTCCTCCGCATGAGGGCCTGGTATAAATTGACGACCCCAACGCAGATCGCCGCCGCGTCGTCCTCCAGCCTTAGGTCGAACAGGTATTTGCCGAGGTACAATAGATGGACGGCGCCCTCCCAAAGCGCGAGGTCCGACGGGTCGAGTTCGAGCAGTTGCAGCGTCTCGATTGTGGCCATGCGCATGAGGCTCGGGCGTGACGGCCACCTCCGCTCTGTGCGGTACACCACACAAATGGGGCCGCGCGTTTCCTCCACCGTGAACGCTTGCGTCGCAGATATACGGCCGAGCAGGTCCGCCGCCCTCCGCACCTGGCGGTGCAGGAACTGGTAGTCGAAGCCGTCAAGCTGAGCGGTGCGGTCGAGAGACTGGTCACGGCTGGTTACGAACGGTGTTTAGCGGATGTGCAGCAAACGGGGCGCTTACTGAGGCGGGGTATGTGCCCGATTCGTGTGAGGCGATGAAGAACGGGGAGAGCAGGGTCTCCATCCTGTGCATCGCTCCACGTATGTCGGACGTCGCGACGAGGAGTTCGTGATCCGCCCGCTCAGCTCGCAGAGAGGCAATCATCTGAGGCGAGGGTGAGCTATACGTTCGATATGACTAGGAGTGACCGCCTTACGGTGAAGCGCCGGTGGACCGAGGAGACGCGATCCCGGAGGCGAAGTATATGACCTTCGATCTCTGCGTCCTTGAGCCAGGCGATAACATAGTACCTCGCAGAGGAAAGGCGCGTTTTAGTTCTGCGCTGTTCTGTCAGTTTTTGGCAGCGCTCCAGGACATTGATCAAATCGCTAGACCACGAACAACAAAAACAAAAACAATATGAGCACGGCCTCAGAGTTCGATGGAATACACTAGCATACTGACGAGTGGAGCTTCTCCAAGGAACGTGTTGAATCCGGATCGAAGCGGTTGAGCCCCCCGCCCTGACATAGCTTTTGCAGCGCCGTGAGCTCATCTACGATATTCTCAACAAGCTGCTGGAGGTTCCGGCGAGTTTGTCCGACCTTGTGCACGACCGTCAGTATCGTCCAAGGGAAACAAGCCCGCACTCGTATTGCAGGATTACCTTATCCACAGAGTCTTTGATGCGCTTCGCAATGTCTACGAATGAGACGACTGCTGCGGTTATTGACAGTGGATCCATTGGGACGTGCAACGAGGGGGGTACTTCTCTGGAGGGATTGAGTCACTGGCAACGGGAGCAACCCTCTTTAAGCAGAGGCACGGCGCTCAGCATGGTCATTGAGTTGATTCCTTGGTTGCGCCATGAGGCAAGGCCACCGGAGCAACACTGTCTGTATGTCGTACTTCATCAATTGATCATCGGGATGTCAGCCCCTCCGGTAGCTTCGACGAGCCGTTCAATGTTGAAATACAATTTGAAGGAGATGGGGAAGTGCGTGGTGAGCGGGCCAAGCTGAGATGATTCGATAACCCATGGCGGAAGTGACGGATGGTGGCCATAGAGGAACGAAAGACAACGGGAGGGATGCATGACAGTGAACGAAGTCACCGTTCAGAAAGACTTGCCACTGCGAAATCGCTGGACTCAAAGCGACCACACCGCCAAAGCTACTAGGAACTCGCGATCCACTCGCTGATATCGCTGAGAGTCTCCCTATCCTAAGTGAACCCGATTTGGAAGGTCGATGCCCCTGTCTACTGCATTCGGAGAACAAATACCAGCAAACAGGCATCGAACAGGAGCCGCGTCTAAGAGCCTCGAAAGTTGACGTTGAGCTTGAACGAGTGCTACCACCACTTCCGCGTGGGCCCACCATGCCCCTCACCCAAAAGCAATTCGTCCTCGGTTTCGTCTCCCAGCGACGCGGCACCATATTTCTCATATGCGTCTTTATTGCCTTCATGCAGGCCGGCCTCTTTTCCGGACACTGGTCACACAACCACCTCGACGCGTATCCGGACCAGATCGTCGAGGAGTCCTACTGGGGCTCGCAGGCTGCAAAATTCCTGCGTCTAGCGGAGTCGACCAAGAAAGTCGTGAGGGAACACCCCATTCCCAAGTTGATGGACCAGGCAGAGGCCAGATTCAGAGAGAAGGTCGACAGGCAGAGTAAAACCCTCCAGGCGGCTGTCAAGGAGTACAAGAGGAGGTACGAGCGAAACCCGCCCAAAGGTTTCGACGAATGGTGGCACTTCGCCAAGGCCAACAACGCGACATTTGTGGATGAGTACGACGGTCTGGTGTCCGACTTGGCACCATTCTGGTCATTATCAGGGGCTGAACTGCGACGGCGGACTGAACAAGTGAGTTTCCTCGCTTTCTTGTCTAAAGATGGGCTATTGTGACCTTGGAGTAGGTAGGCCAACTTCCGTCCATTGATTTAGTGCGGCTCGAGAAAGGAAAAACCTCAATAATCAAGAATGACGACTTCAGGGATTCCGAGGCCATGGCCAGAGCACATGGGTTCCGCAGGATGATAGAACGCTTCCAAGACAAGGTGTGTGATTCTGCTCCCCCGTCAAACAATCCAGTGAACATTGTGACGCAAAGCTGCCGGACATGAACTTTCCCGTAAACGCAAAGGCAGAAGGCCGCGTTCTCGTACCATGGGAGCACCAGAAATATCCGAATCTCACCAAACAAGACTCTTCTGGTAATTATCTCTTCGAATTCGTTGCAACTCTCACAACAATGTTAGGATAGGTGGCGTTGAAGATATGCTGGGAGGGCCATTCCCCGCCGACTGGAGAGGCAACGGCAACGTCTGGGAAGCATGGCGGCGCACTTGTCCTCCATCCTCCCCAGCCCGACGCTTATTCGCCTCCGTGCGCAATACCTTCACCAAGAAGGTACCGAATTACCTTGCAGCGAACCACACATCTCCGGGCAACGATTTCAGTTTCGTCCCCGCCACCGCGTCGAAATTCGATTTTTGCGAGAAGCCGCACGCGCATTATACTCAGGGGCATTTCTTCTCAGATTGGCGCACCATTCCTGTGCTTTACCCCGTCTTCAGCCCAGCGAAGACCGCGGGGTATCTCGATATTAGGATACCGAGTCACTACTACTATGGTAGCACGAAACGCTACACGTACGGATGGGATCCCGTCAACATGGTGTTGAAAGAAGTTGACGATATGGAGAAACCTTGGGAGGCGAAGGTCGACAAGATCTTTTGGCGAGGCGCAAGTACTGGTGGGGGGAGTCACCCTCCCGGATTCTCGCATCAATACCAGAGACATCGGTCCGTTCACTTGCATTGAAAAGTGTCTTCGTTTACCCACTCTCTTTATAGGTTCCTGCGTATGACGTCCGACACATCCGACGCGAATCGTACAATCACCTTTGAGGATCCCCCAGGCTCGAAGAACTTCGTATCCGCCGCCGTCCCCCTCGCGAAACTGAACGAGGAGATTATGGACGTCGCCTTCGTCAAGATCACCGATGCGGAGAACTACCCAGGCGGGCTCCCAGCTATGCAGCAACACCATCGGATGGCGGACTCGGTGCCACTGGGCAGGCATTGGGCGTATAAGTACCTGATTGATATGGATGGTATGGGGTATAGTGGCCGGTTTATGGCGTTCCTTGCGAGCGACAGCGCGGCGCTCAAGGCGACGATATACGAGGAATACTACTCAGATTGGATTGAACCTTGGTGAGTCCACGCATACCACGTATCCACATACACACACGCGTCTATTCTTTTTGCTGATCTCTGTGATGTGAGATAGGGTGCACTTTATCCCGTTGTCGAACAGCTATCGGGAGATCTACAACATCTACGCGTACTTTTCTGGTCCCACGAACTCTACGATACAAGCCGTGAACGGGACGCAGACGCAGGGGGATTCTGATTCCGAGTTCCCTCTACCGCTAGAACCAGAACCGAGACTTTCGGTGGAGGGCAATAGGAGGCTGCGCAGGATTGCGAGAGCCGGCAAGCAGTGGAAGAAGACGATTGGGAGGACGATTGATATGGAAGGTGGGTTGCCTTGCTTGACCCGCTTGTCATTCGAACTCACCGTATGCTGTAGTTTATGTGTATCGCCTATGCCTGGAGTGGGCTCGATTGTTCGCAGACGATCGTGACTCTATGGACTTTAATCTGTAATCGTTGCTCGTTGTCGTTTTTATTTCCTCTAGACTCATCGCAGGCATGTATCATTATTAGCATCAACATTGAACAAATAGCATTTCATGACATAATTAGGGAACGTATTTCAATCAGCAGAGTCTTGCGGGGAAAGTTGGTCAGGATCAAACACGTTGCAACGGCATGTCTTTGTTTATCTTAGCTGCTGCGTAGGTGCACACCTCCGCATGGGATCCATCATGCAAGGCTGCCCTTTCATAAGAGTGTATCGTCACGCCACTGACCCTTTAAACTCCACCTTTTCGACATCGAGCGACGAGTAGTTTACTCTCTCTCCACCCACAAATCTCGCCAACATGATTAATAGCATGCCCACGCCCCGCGTGTTGCCTTCTCCATCATTATCGACAGCCAACCTCCCGTACAACCGTAATCCCAACGATTTCCAGATCGAGAGGAGCCCCAGACCCGTGGCAGCGTCGAAGCGAACCTCGGTGTATGGTGGCAATCCTTTCCTCGAAAGCGATTACCTATTCAGGGAAACGGTGTCGAAATTCCTTGTAGTGAAGGATCGGCCAACGACGGTGTCAGGCCGTATACCGCTCGATCCATCGCATCTTGTGCTGTTCTTCCGGTCGAAGGTACGTACCAGTCAGCGATCACTCTTGCTGTTGTTGCGCCGTTCGTGACTAATGGGTGGACAGAGCGGCATCACGCACTCGCTCGACTTCCCGATCGATGTGGACTACAACACCCCGCCTGCGCTCGATGTGCTGATCGCTGCGTGCAGACCGCATCCTTCATCAAATGTGGACGGCCTCGATCGCGAATCGCTGTACTATCCGTCCAATCTCCCCCTCACGACCTCCCTCGAAATCGCGAACCACCCCATCCTCGAGGCGATCCGCAACACGCTGTTCCCCGCCCTGCCGACGGGGCATTACCTCACCGTCTCGCGCGATCAGCTGGAGGTCGTCGCGGTCGGCGGGCGCATGGATCCGCAGCCGCAGGAGCTGAGGAACGATGGAAGGTCGGCGACGATCATTGTGACGCTCCCGGTGCGGTTTCGCGGGGGCGCGTTGGTTGTGCATGATCCCGAAGGCGGGTCGGAGAAGTATGATGGGCGTGGAGGCAAGAGCGGGGACATTGAATGGACTGCCTTCGTCGCGGACTGTGATTACGAGGTGGAGACGGTCACGAAGGGGTGCCGCATAACACTGAGCTACGGAGTGTATCTCAAGACCTTCGGCCCGTCTGGGCTGAATCCCGATCCTCTGATCAATCCAAGCGACAATTTCCTCGATCTCCTGTCGCCTATCTTCAACCTTGCCCGCGGACGCAAGATCGCGTTTTACATCATGAATGACTATGAAGTCAACCCTTCGGAAGTCCTGGCTGAGGCTTTGGTACCAGAGGTAAGCCACATATTGTGTTGCTTTCTGTGGCAGGAAGTAGCTGATTTCGCTGCAGTTGAAAGGCGGGGATTCGGTGCTTTATCATGCGATGAAGTATTACAGTTTGGTGCCGGAGCTGCACTGGACCGCGGGAGGGTATATATGGCCCATCGACAAGACCGTCGAGCTTTCGAATGAGGATATCTCCTTGAACACGTCCGCGCACGGAAGGAAAGCCATGGGCGTGGTGAATGGCGGCCACAGGAATAGCCCTGCCATGCGTGGCGCTTTCAGCATGTACGGAGACCAAGACACCGACGGCGGCGAGACGCTGAGGATGCGGGTCGAGGATAGCGGCGGAATTCCTTTGGCGGATGCGGATATCGTCGTCTGCACGAATTGGGATCCTAACGCGCCTCCGGCGATTGGCAAGGCTCGGGTGCCGTTTGTCTCTGGTGGCGAACTTGAGAGGCTGGTTGTTAACGTCTTAATGGTCGTGTATGTAGCTTGATCGTCTGTGTTTCTTTGTGGTTTTCTGTTGGACGCTTTTTTACATTACCCCACGGCATTTGTTTCTTCCACTTGCATTTATATTTTGATCAGGTTCTTTAGTTTGTCACATGTTTTCCTTTTCCAAGATCTGACTCCTTCGCCTCATCTTTCATCATCGCATTTGTACTCTTTACCTTACGAACTACTCAATACATGAAGATTTAGCCCCAAGCTTGTGTAAGGAACGGACACGCTCGGATGCCTACTAGTGTGCGAAGTCTTCGAACCGCACCATGTGAAGACTTGGTTGATGGAATTCGTTCCAACACCTCCGGAAGCTTCTCCATGGCGTATGGGCAGAAGAACCCTCATGACCGGACCACGGCGTCAGATTTAAATAAACACGGTAGTCTAAGCTTCGACGCTCCCAGCCTTACCTTCTATTCCAATTCCCCCGCCGATGTCTCTGCCAATCGACGAGAAGCGGTTATCCACTTCCGAGAGACTCTACGCTGTCTCCGAAAAGGACCTGGAAACAACGGGGACTCGAGAGGCCGTAATCGGTGATCTAGATAATGGGGAGATCAACGAGATGGCAGTCGTTGCTGAGGGAGAAGAACGAACAACGTGGTTCGTTTGGATTTTGGTAGCATCTTCTGCTATCTCGGGCCTGCTCTTCGGTACGTATTGTCGCCGAAATTGACTTGATCGAGAACGTACTGAGCAGGTGGTTTAGGCTACGATACGGGGGTTATATCCGGCGCATTGGTCACTATTGGCTCTGATTTAGGACCTGCAGAGTTGTCGAATGGCCAGAAAGTAAGAATATCTCTTGGGCTCTAGCCAGAAGCGTACTGATGGTTATGGTCAATGTAGGAATTGATCACGTCTTCTACCACGCTTGGCGCCCTGCTTGGTGGCCTCGTCGCTGGTATACTCTCTGATTGGACGGGGCGGAGACCAGTGCTGGGCATCGCAGACATTATTTTCATAGGTGGCGCCATCGCCCAAGCCGTTTGTCATGATGTTTGGAGTATGGTAGGAACGACAAATTTTGTCCAAACGTTTTGATCAATTTACCCGCCCTAGATCGGTGGCAGGTTTCTCATTGGCATAGGTAAGGCGTGTTGTCTGGATAAGATCTTACAGGAGCTGACTGTTGGGACATTCAAGGTGTCGGTCTGGCAGCGTGCATAGCACCTTTATATATTCAGGAGCTTTCCCCAACGAGACTCAGAGGACGAATGGTTGTCCTGAATGTAGTCATGATCACTCTGGGTCAGGTCATCGCATATGGAATTGGTGCCGGATTCGCTAACGTGCAAAGCGGTTGGCGATACATGGTTGGACTGGGAGCAGTGCCAGCAGGAATCCAAATATTCCTGTTGTTCTTCATGCCAGAGAGTCGTGAGTATCATCGCTCTCGATATGAGTTTCTATTGTAGATGACATCTTTCGAATAGCGAGGATCCTTGTACGAAGGGGGAACCTAAGCGCGGCGCATGCTGTAATGACGAGGGTTTATGCTCACGCAAATGAGAAGGATGTAGATCTAAAGGTTTGCGAACTTAGCATTTCTGTAGTCAACTGACCTGACGCTATTTACTAGGTCAAAGTCCTTCAAGCAGCAGTTCAGCAAAGCATCAAAATCACCAACTCAACAACACTATTCCAACGTTGTAGATCCATGCTAAGCAACCCGGTCAATCGTCGCGCCCTCAGTATGTCCAACTCCATGAAATGAATCATATATCACGCTGATAGGCGATTTATCAGTTGTGGGATGCGGAATGCAAGCCTTTCAGCAATTGTGCGGATTCAATACCTTGATGTACTATTCCGCAACACTGTTCAAAGATATTGGGTTCGACCAGCCTACAGCTGTGGGGCTCATAGTATCTGGAACGAACTTCGTCTTCACTCTTTTCGCACTCAAGTGGATCGACAAAATCGGCAGACGAAATATAATGATCTGGACGGCTCCGGGTATGATATTTGGCCTGACGTTCGCCAGCATTTGCTTCCATTGTGAGTACCAAAGATCTCCCCTTCGTCGGACGCAACTCATGATCGCTGTCGCTCACCCAGTCTTGACGAGGAATACTGGTGGTAACCTTATCGAGAATACGGAGTACTCAACCGTCTGGTCGGGCTTGGTCTTGTTCTCGATGATCTTATTTGTTGCATCGTATGCCACAGGATTGGGGAACGTACCTTGGCAGCAAGGCGAATTATTCAGTCTCGAAGGTAATGTCTACCTGCCATTCTGTATGTTCGACACGTCCTGACATCATTGGAAGTACGGGGTATCGGCACCTCCTTGGCAACAGCGACAAACTGGGGCGCCAACCTCCTCATTGGATCAACGTACCTTTCACTGATGGCTAAGATTACGCCTTCTGGTGCATTTGGATTCTACGCTGGGATGTGCCTATTAGGCTGGGTATTCTGCCTGTTCTGCTTCCCTGAGACGGCAGGCCTCAGCCTCGAGGAAGTCGGGATGGTGTTCAAGGATGGGTTTGGCATCAAAGAAAGCCAGAGACTGAGGAAGGTCAAGCAAGCAATGAAGATCGAAGCGATCAGCGCAGAAAATAAGAGGAATGAATCGGGGGTAACGAATAATCAATAGGGGGCAGTCGATTGGAAAAGGGCTTGATTACTGCTCGTCACGACGTCTTTATATACCTATGGTCGCTTTGTAGCTGTCCAAAAGGATGTTTCATATACATAGCCTAGCATCCCTTCAGAGTTGCTGCAGTATGTTGTCGGAATGGTACGTTCGTTCTGAAAGAACGTTATGTTTGAGCTTCGTGTATATGAAAGGAAGATTACTCGTTACCGATATGTCGAAGCCAATCTCTCGGCAAAGGCTCTTCACTTCTTCCAAGTCAAGCTCAATGGACGGGTCGTTGGTATTGTTGTTTTCGAAATGCCAGAGAAGGGGACCTAGACATTAGTTTAGTATGACCATCCCTACATGTCGCGGTCACACTTACCTAGGTTAATCCACACTCCGCCTGGAGCGAGGATTTGGTGGATAATCCGTAGGTAGTTGACCACATTTTTGGCCTAATTGAACGGTCAGATTAATTCTTGAACGACAGAGAAAGGCCGCTCTGACTGTGTCGATGAAAAAGCATGTCACGACGGCATCCCAATGACCGGCCGACGGAGCACCATCCTCTGGCTCTTCTGTTTCACCATATATTTCCTCAAAGTCACCTGTGCGAAGGATCACCCATCATCATACAAGTCAAATACCTTTACACATACCAGCCACTAAAGAAAAGTTGGCACCAGAGGGGAGGTCGGAAGGTAAGACATCGGGGATGCGGATCGATCGAAGCATGGCTTGCCGGTTGGGTACGTTGGAAAATGAGTGCACGTAGGGATAGATAGTGTACTTTTCAATCTGATCGGTCCTTGTGCATAGGTTGAATAAACGAGAATCATTCGGAGGAGACCCAAATCTACCTGTTCAATATATGGAAGGACGGTAATAACATATAATGGGAGAATTCGTTAGCCTGGCAGGCGAACCCTAGTGGAGATATTGATATTCACTTTATACATGCGAGGAAGCACAAATGCAGACATACCAAGTTTTGCGATGTCATATGCAAGACGTGCAAGACCACATCCGGGGACTAGAACTCTAAAATTTCCTCTGATCCGTCGTGGCGCACTTTAGGCTAAGTTGTAAGAAGGGTGAAGAGACACACCTTTCGGCTGGAGGTATATCGGAGAAATGGTTCAATAAGGCCTCTTTCATTGGCGCATAGGCCTGCTCCCGCTCTTCTTTCCCCTACACGTGAGTATTCCAACTGATCAGTTGGAGGAAACGGTGACGGCATGCATGTATACTGTACCTCAGCACTCCAGTCTCGCACAAACTGCTTGATGGTGCTGCGTAGTTTATCCATATCGAAATCCGAGGAGGCCGTCTCAGAACGGGACGAAGGGCCTCCGTGCGAGTGAGAATGGCTGCCGTGATCATGCGAGTGTCCATGGTCATGGGAGTGCCCGTGCTGTCCTGGTTGAAAGCGTCGGTATTGTTTCTAACAAAATATCAGATCAAGTACCAGAAGGACCGTCGTGTGGTTGCCCCTCAGCCACATCACTTGGGTGTTCCTCTTCAGCACTTGTAGAGTCTACGTTATGCCCAAAAATTGCTGGATCCGACACGATGAGATCGAGGAAATCAGCGTTGGCCTTGATAGCCTTGTCGACTTCATCTAGTTTGCTTTTATATCCCACTCTTCCAATAAGTTCTCGATCTGCGCGGGGGATAGTGAAGAGGTCCTTTCGACGCCTATTATTCGCGGCGAGCTTTCAGAATCTGGTAGGTATAGAAGGTCTGGGTGGAGAATCCAGGAAACTGACCGAGTATCGTAGGTAATTTCGAAACGTTGCGATAACCCGAGAGAAGTGAATTTCCTCCTCCTCAGCGTCTTGTGCAGTTGGCGACTTCGACATTTAAACCTTTGCGTAAATTCGTGAGCTCGAGAAATGAGAGATGTAGTATTCAGCTTCAGGTGCAAGTTCCCCTGTCGATCAAAGTCAAGTTGCAGCAGGCGCTGGGCTTTGAGCGCTTCTTCCTCTTCCTCCACAAGTTACATCAAAATGGTACGCATCTTCGGGATTGCTCTTGTTGCGTGCTAACGGACGTCGTCGCAGGCTCGAAATGAGGAAAAGGCACAGTCCATGCTATATCGTTTCCGGGAGGCCCAAGCTGCAGAGCTTGGGTTGGGCACCCGTGGAGACCGTCGCCCGCGAATGGCAAGTGCTTGCAAGAGTTTGAGGGAGTGTGAACGCTGGAGGGGCGAGATCCTACGAGAAATAAGTCGGAAGGTCTCAAAGATCCAAGATTGTCAGTCCCCTTGCTTTTGACACGTTCCCTGAGCCTAACTTATATCACTTTGTTATAGCTGGGTTAACCGACTACGAGGTACGCGACTTGAACGACGAGATCAACAAGTTATTACGGGAGAAGAGACATTGGGAGAACCAGATAGTAGCTCTGGGGGGTGCAAATTATCGGCGGAATGTTGCTATGCTTGATGACGACGGGAAGGAAGTGCCAGGGACGAAAGGTTACAAGTGCGTTACCCCCCGCTGACTTTGTTACATTGATACAAACAATTCGATATAGGTACTTTGGTCGCGCCAAGGACTTGCCTGGTGTTCGTGAACTATTCCAAAGCAGGAAGCAGGAGGAAGAGGAAGAGAATCAAGCCTACGCATTCTACAAGAAATTCATGAACCAAGGGCCCTCGTATTACGGTGACACGGACGAAAACGACGGGGAAATACTCAAGTACGAAGCGAATGCGGAGAATGAAGGTGAGTGTTAGACCGCTGGTGCTCGAGACCCAAACCAACCTGAATGTTTTGCAGAATGGGAAGAAGCATACTCGAATCTTCGTGAAGCCTTGGGAATACCTACCGATGGGCCTATACCTAAATTCCAGCGAGAAGAGGTTAACGGCCGGCCTCCACCTCCGATAGACGGAAACGCGAGTGCCGGAAACAAACGCAAAGCATCGGAGGACGACGATGTTGACATGGATGTCAAACGGACAAAAGCCGACTCCCAGCCAGATGGGCGGGTAACTCAGGCAACTCCGAACGAACCTGCTCGCCTTCACGCCCAAATGGCTGCTTCCTATATATCATTTATAGACGCCGACATACTACTGCCCCCCAAAATGCCGACACGAGACGAGATGGAGAAGGTGTTGCTAGAGCTTAGGAAGAAAGCACTGGTAGAGGAGTACTTTGGTGAAGAGTCATGATTGTCTTGCAGATTGCTATGTATCTGGGCACTCGTTCTGTATTTTAGCACATGTTGCGGTACCGTGGGTACGTCTTCGCTATTCTAAATGGGTTCAATCACTTCACGTTGAACTTATTTCTCATCATGGCGGTGTCTGCGAGACACCGCGTGGAAGAAAAGGCCACCAACGATGCGGCGAGCAAGCATTGTGGATGTATATTGTCCATCACCGTGTTGGTTGGGCTGCTCTCAATATTGGTCATAACTGGGCAACGCCTATACGTTCCAAACACATCTTCTTCCCTGTTTGCGACCACAACTAAATCCAATGGAGTTGCCCTTCCGGATCTGTACGAAGCATCTATCGCAGAATTACAAGCAGGTCTCCACGCAGGTCATTTCACTAGTGTAGATCTCGTGAAGGTGCGTCATCATACCTACTCACGCAGTGTTGTATGATCATATCGGCTGAGACCGAATCGACCTTTGTAGGCTTACTTTGCTCGAATCGAGGAAGTCAATTTGAAGGGACCTATGCTGAGAGCTGTTTTAGAACTGAATCCCTCAGCTTTGGAGCAAGCAGCGACTCTTGATCGCGAACGGAAGTCCGAAGGGGCACGCAGCCCTCTCCATGGTATTCCGATCCTCTTGAAGGATAACATTGCCACACACCCTTCGGAAGGTCTCTATCCTTCGAATGCACTAGCACTTTTGAGGCTTATGTTCACCTTATCTATCAGGTATGAATACAACGGCTGGATCGTTCAGCTTACTGGGGTCCATTGTCCCAGAAGATGCCGGTGTCGTAAAGCGACTCCGAAAGGCTGGAGCAATAATTCTCGGTAAGCTTGTTCTTGAGAATATGAATGCAGATCTGTCATGATCGACATCATATTGTAGGAAAGGGAAACATGGATGAGTTCGCCCACTTCCGAGGCGACAACCTACCCTCGGGGTGGTCAGGACGGGGTGGTCAGAATACCAATGCGTATTTCCCGAATGGTGATCCATGTGGATCGTCCTCTGGCCCGGGAGTAGCGACATCTATTGGGCTGACTACTGTGAGTCTCGGAACGGAGACAGATGGAAGTATCGTATGTCCTTCAAGCAACAACAACATCGTTGGGATAAAGCCCACAGTCGGTTTAACATCCCGAGCAGGGGGTGCGTTGCACCGTTTCCAGCCTACGATACAGATCTATTTGTAACGTCGTGCCCAGTCATACCTATTTCGGCCCATCAAGACACCGTAGGGCCCATGGCGCGTTCTATAACGGATGCGGCTATCGTCTTGTCCGTAATAGCTGGCAAGGACAACAACGACAACTATACCTTGGCTCAACCGTCCTTTATTCCCGACTACATGGAAGCATTAAACCAGAACGCGCTGAGGGGGAAGCGGATCGGCGTCCCTCGACGGGCATTCTGTAATGATACTGATATTGAAGAATCAGTCAATGTGGCTTTTAATCATGCTTTGGATATCATCCGCGGCCTCGGGGCGACCGTGGTAGACCCCGCTGACTTGCCCTCCGCTGACGAAATTGCACTTTCCACCAACGAGACCACTGTGACGGATGTAGATTTCAAGGTACGTAGGTCATCTAGACGGTGTTCCCTGCATATCAGATGGTCTATACCCAACGGTTGCTACAGATCCAGATCAACGCCTGGTTTGACTCGCTCAAGACAAACCCCTCAGGTGTACGAAACCTTGCCGATTTGATCAAGTTCAACGACGATCACCCCGAATTAGAGAAACCGCCTCAACTTGAGGAGCAAAATATGCATGTTGATTCGACTTTCAACTCACATATCTACTAATATCAGGAACTGCAGGCTTATCCGCTCGGAAGCTACGAGCGGATTCGATGATGCTTTCTATGAGGCATTGGCATTTGACGAAGAGTTGGGTAAAACGCGAGGCATAGACGCCACCTTGACAGTACACCAACTCGATGCGTTGGTGCTGCCATCTGTGCGTTTCACGATCACAAGTCCAGCAGGTGAGCAAGCGATATAATATATATGGGACCTTGGCCCTTCTTACTGCTTTATATCAGCCATCGCGGGGTATCCCATCGTTACAGGTATGTTTGTACTATGTACGCGGCACGTCGGGCGACTGATCTCTTCTACTTACAAAGTACCACTCGACTTCTATCCCGACAATGTTGCTATTGGTTCTGCTGGGCCTATGACGTTCTATCCTGCGCCCGGTATACCCTTCGGCCTATCATTTTTCGGCACTGCATTCACGGAGTTTGATCTGATTGGATTCGCTTTCGCTTTTGAGCAGAGGACAAAGGCACGTTTGAAGAGGAAGGCTTTTGCAGCCGCTATTCCGAAGACGCAATTAAAGGATGTTATGAGTCAACGCTGACAACCTTTTTACGGGTGCTACGGCCTGCTTGATGCAGGTTCCACAGAGTTTCTGCCGCGGTATGCGGGAATTCACTGAGTTATCCAACACCATCCATCTTGCGGGGATCGATTGATGAATGATGAAGCACCTATAGATACCACACGCTTCCATGGCATGGCATGGAGTTGCTATCAATTGTTATAGAAACATGTCACGGTTAACGCAAGCGGTACCGGTTTAGGTTGTTCCCAATCAATGAACTTTATCATCTGGGTCTGACTGCATTCGAATTTCGGAGCGAGTTCATTCACAGAATTGATTTTCACGAAACGCATTACACAAACCCACTCAGCCCGAAATCACCAATGTCGACTACTTCCATAGAGACGCTGATCTGGAGGCCGCAGTCACTGCCCTCTCTGCGTTATAATTCTCTCATTCGCGCTACGAAAATGTCCCTCCAGCCCAGTAGCTCTTCCCTCCGTCGCCTGGCCCAATGGATCCACTGTCAATAACTGCATCAGCCTTCACGTTCATAGACATTGCAAAGCGTATCAAAGATTCTGTAGAGAAGGTGAGAAGGGAGATCTACTTCCTTGGTACTAGTCGACGCTAATTTCGACGCACCAAGGTCGCGCAGAATCGCCAAACCCTCAACGAACTCATGGACGATGTTGTGGAGGAGCTCACGCAACTACAGAGGCTATGTCAAGACCAGCAGGGACGCCTGAACTACCTCGATCCGGAATCGACGCGTTCCTTAGAAAAACTACATTCGTCAGTCTGAATTTCGATGCCTCTGCATTGGTTCATATCTGTTCATACTCGGAACAATCCTCTATGTTACAGCGATTTAGTGAATGTTCTGGACCGCTGCCTCAAACTCACAAAGCGGCGAACAGCCAACCGTGGCCTTTCTTCCGTAAAGTACTATGTGATCGCCTGGATCAAAAACGCCGAGATTGAGGGACAAATACTTCGCCTTCGGGACCGCGTCTCCTCTGTTAACCGACGCTTGAATGTACGTCTCGTCAGGCCATACACCATCCCTATGCTGAGTGACCTTTTCAGATCATTTCAGCTCTGCGAGTTGAGCGAGCGGAAAGCGAACTTCTCGTTGCCAGCTCCGAGCACCGTGCAATTTTGAACCGGCTGGAGGGCTCGATATCCCAGCTCCTCATTAACTCACATGCAATGGGGACATACCCTGCCTCGGTAAATAACTCGTCCGTCTATGATCCGTCGTTCTTAATCAGTCAATACTCAGGTTCTTGATCACCCCAGTTCCGATGGCGTTGAATATCAGTACCTCTGTCTGCAAGTTCGAAGGACGGCTGAACTGCTTAGTCGTGTATCGGACACATATACGTTCACAATCGAGGAAACGCGCGGCGCCGATCCCATCGGGTACAGGTACCAGTCAGATGTGAGCCTTATGCGCTCAACCACGATCGAGGTTCTTCAGACTTTACAACTTCTTGAATTCGAACCATCTAAACTCGCGCTTCGGGAAGGTTTTCAACATCTTAGAAGTCTCGGCAACCAGCTGGTCCGTTTAGAACTGGAGGAAGATGCGGCGATCATCTTCACCAGGACCATAAACATCTACGAACTTCTCATGCAGAGAAATCCCGGTACCTACCTGCCTTATGTTGCCTGGGGGCTTAGATCAATGGCCTCGATCTGCTATGGGACCTCGGAAGGACTAGATGCTGCAAAACGGGCAGTTGATACGTGCAAGGAAGTGGCCAGTATGCTGCGGGAGGAGTACTCGTTACATCTCGTTCGAAGCCTCCAGGTATATTCGTGTCACCTCGCTGAGAACGGCCATCTCGATGATGCACTTGCATACGCGAAGGAAGCACTCGCCATGCAACGCAAGGCACCTGTTCCTCAACAAGACTCGGGCTGCCTCTCGATTTCATGGGAGGCATCTGGCGACGAGCGTGTCGCACTTTCTTCTGAGCGGACAATCTTCAGGGCATATGAAATGGCCGCCGACGATGCATTATGCTTGGGACCTTACACGCATGTTCTTGTACGCATGGGTCGATGGTCCGAAGCCTTAATCATCGCCACTGAAACCGTGAATTGCCTGGATGCTTTGGCGAGATGTCAGCCTCACAGCATGGATCTCAAGCTCTGGCTCATCTCGGTGCAAGAACGTCGCCAAGATATTATTTCGAAGATCTGTTCTCCGGGTCCTCCTCTCGTGGCCACCGTCTCCGAGGTCGATGACCTAGATAACTTCGATCACGATCCTGGAGAAGGTGGCGTCTGCGCCCAGTCTCTCCACCCACAAGTTGGTTCGTACCATACACCACACTTCAACAAGGAGTATACCACTCACACTCTTATATCAGCGTGATAACCCTTATGTGCCACGCTCCTTTCCCTTCTCTGTTCATACTTCAAGAGATGCGCGGTCGGGGATTCTACCCTTCGAGCCTGCTGCTCCTCCTATACCTACAACCATCTCCTGGCACGATTGGAGCTTAATTGGCGGTGCGTATGATGAACAACAGGCGACCTTCAAGCGATCACAACCACTAAGACAATATCCACTGACTAGAGCCAGCAATGATGACATTCCATCGTTAAGTGGACACGCCCTTGCATTGGACGCGAACTCAATCAACGATATCCTTGCAACGACCCGGCAGATCCCTTCGTGTCAGGCGTGCGTGATGGAGGGTACAAGTTGGCAAGGCTCAGCCGAAGATAACATAGATAAATACAATTCTTCTATGGGTTCTTCCAAGTCTGCCTCGGGCAACCGTTTACCAGATAAATGATGAGATATCTACACCGACGTCAGTGCTGCTCATGCAAGTGACCCAACATTCCGCCTCCCCAACTAGACGTCATATTCCAAAATAAAACCATTTGCACATAAAATACACCTTGAAATGCTGAAGAAGACTTATGAATGATAAGTACCGGGTGTCCGTCTACTATCTACCGACTATGACAGCTGAACGCTCAACGGGTCTGGCTGCCCGAGTCACTAGCGCAGATCCACGATCTCGAGCGAGGTATCCTTCATCTGAACGTGCCCCTTATCCGCGTCCTGCAGGATACACATGCGTTAGTTCCAGCAATGAAGCGATGGGACAATGGGGTAAAGCCGCAGGCGTGAACTCACTGTGTATATCGGGAGATCAGGGTGGGGGTGGAATGCCTCCTTCGCCGTGCATTCGAGAATGGTCTTCAGGCCTGGCGGGTCCGTCAGGCGGAATATACCAAAGCTAATATTGTTGTGAGTCCCTGAAAGTATAGGAGACGATCTAGGGGCACAGGAGCGGACGTACTTGGGATTTGACTTCGGGGCACAAACTACAGCGAAGGATTCTGGGAGCATGCGCTGAAAGCCGGAGTGGGTGTGTAGATCCACGGAAGACATGAAACCTTGAATATTAAGGATCAGTTTGAAACGGCCAATGATATGGACGAGGGATCCTACATGACTGCGATGGGTGGGTATGAATCTTTAGAGCTAACGGTTAAACTCTGGATAACTTGCAATAGTTGTCGCCACTCACCCATCCCAATGTTATCAAACTTCGCTCTTCCGTGAACTGCAGAACCAACTCTTCTTCGTCCATCGAGCAAGTATCGCTCGTCGAGTGTTGCTTCGGGACAAGCAGCGTCGTGACCACGTACTTGTGCCCTTTGTCCTTCCCCAATAGCAGCCCACACGTCTCCCTATTCATCTCGGTGTTCACTTTCGCGATGGCGAGGAATCTCGGGAGGCATTCCCGCGGAAGGTTGACAGTCTTCAGCTCTGCGGTCTCGCTCTTCGAGTTGGCGCGTACGATGCGGTCATCGGTACGAGATGGTTGGCGAGGCTGGTGTTGGGGCTGAGGGGGTGGGGGCGCGTGTGGAGGTGCTGCGGGTGGATAAGGTGAACGTTGGGTATAAGACTGCGGTGGGGGGTATGAATATGGAGGTTGAATCGGTGCCGATGGTACAGGCAGCATATCAGAGGAGTACAGCGAACGCCCATTGTAATGCGCAGCGTTGGGTGTAGTATCTGGTTCGAACAGCAGCGCAGATGGTGCTACATGCGAGCCCGAAGTAGGCGGTATGAACATCGAATGGAGAGAGGGCACATAACCCTGCGACTTCTGGTGTTGCGACATCAGCCGGGGATACAGTATCCGTTGACCTTCGGATGGTGGAGGGGATGTCGTGGTAATCGGAGGAGGGTACGACGGGCTTATGGTGAGGTAAGGAACAAAGAAGCACTCAGCACACGTGCACGCTGCGAGTGCGAAGGAAACACGCACCTTCGTGCAGGCGGTCTTGTAGGCGTCCTGTGTGTATCATAATGCCGTTGCTTACCTCTGCGCCAATCATGATTCCGTGCCAGAGATTCCGAATCAGTCGAGTCCCCTTCGTACTTCGTAGGACTTTCTAGAGGCATGATCGTAGGCCCATCCGATGCCGTAAGTTGGTCCGGGAAGGAAGGCATTCGCGAACCTGAGGCACTCGGAGCGCGTAAAGTGCCGGGTGCGGAGGAAACGGATGGGTACTGTATCTTTGCCGGTGTAGAGAAGCTGCTGGTTGATGCAGGCGGTGGCATAGCCGCAGACGGCGTCGTCGAAGGGTAGTAGATACTTGGTGTTGTCGCTAAAATCGACGGTGCTGAAGCTGCTGCGGATAACGGTGTAGGAGAGTGGCCAGTCAGGTCCTGTCGGGCAGCACGAGCAGCACTCTCTGCTTCAAATTGACGTTGAGCTATACCCGCTTGCTGCTCCCTGCGCCTTTCCTCAGCATGTCTCCGAGCGATTTCCTCTCGACGCCGACGCATTTCCTCTTGTTGCTGCTGATGTTTATCCTCTGAGCTGATATTCAGTTGTGAGTTCATCTTATCGTAGTCAAATGCGGCATCAGGAGGAGGTTGTTGACGAGGTGGAGGAGCTTGCGCTGTAGGAGGCTGCGAAAAGGTGTAATCGGGACCATTCGACCTGGGGGGCTCAGCACGCCGAGACTGAGGGGTCTCTGCCCTCTGTTGGGGCTGAGGTTGAGGCTGCGTTTCGCGTTGTCGCCTCCATTCTCCGGTCTCTCGGGTGCGGCGTTGGGTCTCAGCCTCAGCCTGCTGATGTTGACTGGATTGATCCTGTGAGGGATCCCAGTCGGGGTGCGCCCTCGTCCACTTCTCAAATCTCTCAACGAGAGTCGGCTTCAGATCGCTCAGACTATCCAGGATGTCTTGGCCATTCTGCACAATGACTGAGCATCAGCGTGGGTCATCAAACGATTGATTGAGTTGAGAATTAAGAGGATGATGATTCATTCTATCAACGGGATATGACGGAAATGTACCGACCAGTCCAAGATTATGTCTCTGAGCACTTGACAAGAGTTCGTGATAATCTCGATGCGAGGGTAGCTTCTCAAGGACAAGTGTCGCGGCACGAGCGTGCTGAACGAAGGCGTTCTCAAGGTCTCCCTTCTGCATTGCCTCCCTGCCGTCACGGCGACATTTCTCCGCGACACGGAGATAGTATTTGAGTTCTCGACCTTCCTCCCAAGGGTTATCGAGAGCACGTTCAGCTAATTCAGCGATAGACGCAGGGCGTGGCGAGGAGCCTCCATTGGGACGATGAGATGAAGCACGGGGCTGGTGCGTGGACGAGCTCATTGTGATGGGAAATGCACAGTCGCTGTTGTCGTCGTTAAGAGAGAAGAGTGCTGCGCGGCCCCAGACTTATGTACAGGAGACTGTTGCTCACTCGCGGCCACAACCTAAATCGAGCGCTATTCATTATCCCCACGTGAGACACTGCATCCAGTGCATGGCCTACAGGCGCCCAGGAGGGCACCTTCCCGCTCATGACCATTGTCCATGGAGAGCCCATCTGAATCTCCTTCGCAGCCCGTGGACAAGGGCAAGGCGCGGGCCATTGCTATCACGGAACAAACCCCACTGCTAGGCCGGGCTTCCTCATCGACTTCGACCGCCGAATTCCATGCCCCATCGACACCAACGACGCCTCGCCGTGCCCTATGGCATCGGATGCTGAAGGTGTTCCTGGTCTCATTTTTATTTTGTCTCTTGGCTTTCACCCTCCTGGCGTTTCTTCTCTATTCGTACGCAGCCCAGGCCAAGGGCACGCCGATACAAGAAGTACTGAACTCATCCTTAATCTTTCACGGCCCCAGTCATGTGGACGTCCTACACATTACAGACACGGGCAAAATCCACCTTCTCGTCAAAGGCAAGATTGGTGTTGATGCCGGTTCGATTATCAAAGTCCACAGACACCCCGACTCGGACGGCCTTTGGTCCAAGGTTCGCAAGTCTATAGGACGTTGGGGGATTCGAAAATTAGACCGCGTATCCCTTCGACTACAACCAATCGCCATTTCTCCGTACTACGACACACTAGTAACGCTTGGGCATGTAGAGGTGCAGCCATTCGAAGTCCCCCTTGCCGCAAACCCTCCTTTGGACAAGTCTTGGTTAGAGGACATCACCCTCGCCGTGGCCGTGGTTCCAGCCCAGAATGTGTCTGATCTGACTACCTTTGTGAAGGATGCTTGGAGCTCGGGTAGGTTTGACGTACGGGCAGACATAGATGAGGTAGCCGTAAGAGGTGGGGCGCTCGGCGATGGGGGTTGGAGAGGGCTCTTTCAGCGTTCTATATCTCATCCTCGTGTGGATATTCAAGTACCCAGTGAGTGTCTCCTTTATAATCCATAACATACAGGCTTATCATACCCCCAAGTACCGCCGTTGCCTGGCCTTCCACAACCAGGGAAACATTTACCACTGCCATCCTTCTCTCAACTTGTTACCCTATTGTCATTCAATATAACGACTGCTGAGCAAGAGCTTTCCTTAAAAGCTCGAGCTACAGCAATAGACCCATTTCCTGAAACGATTAGTCTGACGACACCCCCATTGCCTTTCACCATCTCACTTCCAACACCGGATTCACTCATACCCATTGCCTCTGTCGAAACTCGCCCCTTCGATTTGACCCATCCCAACATCACTCTAGACATCGAGGGCCATGTCCTTCCCCTCACTACGGGCAGTTCATCAGTTCTATCTGCTTTCCTGTCACGCTATCTATCCGGCGAAGCTAATCCAATATCCATCTCCACGCCCATCTATCATGGAATGACAGTAGACGCCGAGTTCCCCGCACCAAATCCTCGACCGAGCATCCTACGTAATGTTACCATCCACGACATGCGGATAAAAGCTTATGGGACGACATTCCTTGCGAGTGGGACAGTAAACGCACGGGTGGTGTTACCAAAGGGCATGAACCTTGATCTGGACATATTCCATGTTCTCCCTGACGTCTTGGTTTTCGATGGAGAAGTACCAGACGAAGACGACGTGAAGGCTGCCCCTCCGTCCCCTGAACTTCCAGATCCTCTGCCCGAGAAAGCATTTGGCCACATTCGGCCTGAAGATTGGCTGGACTCGGTCAGCGAATCCGTACCGTCAGAAGGCGATGTCGGATCATCTTTCTCTGTCGTAGCAAATATAGTCGAAGTACCTTTGAAAGTTTTGCCCGGCCGCCAGAGGGAATTCAGCAACTTCGTCAGCAAGGTGATTGCTCCCGTCACCTCTGATGTTCGAACGGGGTGTTAATGCCATTTTAGGTTCTATTTAAGACGAACGGTGCTATTGCCGGGATCATGGGTCTGGCGTCTGTCGCTGTGAATGTGCCTGGCCTTCCTATGGACGGCGAGGCAGGAGCTATGGAACTCAGTGGTTTACCATTCCAAGGGAGCGTGCGGGTACGCAGGAACAGCTTTTAGTATTGTTTCATTTCACTTCTCGGACTCGGGACTACGTGCTCATGAGGTGTTTTTCATCGTGTAACAATAGATGTATCCAATTGCTTAGATCATTCCATCGCCTAGCAGTGTGGGACTCGAATGACTCTGCATATCCGTCGGATTTCCCATCGAATCCAGCCCCAAGCCAAATAATCAATTAGGGCCCGGTCTGCTCGTCGAAATGTTAGCCCCGACCTGCCAAATTTGAGTCCCACGGTTGGATCAAACCCGGCCCAAACCTACCCCAAGCCGGCGGTTTGCTCTGCTGCATTGGGGTTTGGGGCAGGCCCCATGTCACATCAATTCTCGGCGCTTCTTCGTATCCCCCTGCTTCTTCCCCCTTCGCTTCTTCCCCTTCGCTTCTCTCCCCTCGCTTCTTTCACTCACGCGCCAATGCCTTCTTCGACGCAATCAAATAAGGAGAATCCCCCTGTATTGAAGGGGAAAAAGGCCATATGGACGGATGCCGATGACAAGGCCCTTCTTGACTGCCTTCTTGAGCAACAAGCTGCTGGCAATCAAGGGGACAATGGCTGGAAAACCCTGGTGTGGACTGCAGCTGAGGAAAGCTTGAAGGGTAGTGAAGAGAGGAGCAAGGGTAGTCGCAAGACTGCTACCAGTTGTCGTGATAGGTTCAAATCAGTGCGTACTTGATATCTTAGTCTACAGGCTATGACTTATCATGTTGGTTAGCTCAAGGAGAGCTTTCTTGTTGTCCAAGTCCTTCGCTCTCTTTCAGGATTTGGTTGGGATGACCAACGACATCTTGTCACTGCGACTGATGATGTCTGGGACAAGTATATTGATGTACGTCTCCTTATCTTCTCCTGCCTGCCATTACTGATTATACCAGAAACATCCCTCCGCCAAGAAGTGGCGAAAGAAGGCCTTTCCTTGCTATGACCTCATGTTTGCCTTGGTTGAAGGTCGTAGTGCAACTGGTGATAATGCTGTCAGTATCACCGCTATGGTTGCTGATGATAGTGGGGATATTGGAACTCCTCGTAGCGATAATGAGGACGAAGCCTCTCAGGTATGTGCTATCAGTATTGAGTTTAACTTGAAAACTCAATCATTGTAGGATATGGACATGTTTCCCCTTTTCCCTCCTCTTTCCCCTTCCCCACCACCACCACCTTCATCTCAGTGTCGGAAGCGTGCTGCCTCTGATGCGGATGACACTCCGGCTCCATACAGGATGAAGCGGGGCCGTACCTCTGGTCCTGACGCTCTTCTTGCATTGGCAGGAGCTGTCAGCAAGGTGGCTAATGCGGGAACGGCTGCTGTAGGTTCTTCGGAGATGCTTTCTGGCTCTCGTCTGGTCAAGGTCATTGCTGCGTTGGACATGGATCATGATCTAACCATAGAAGAGAAAGGTAAGGCACTTGTTCTCTTCCGAAAGGACAGTTCAAGTGTCGATACATATATGGGCATTGATAGTGATGTACTTCGCCATGCATATATCCTTGCTGAGCTATCTTCTCTCTAGGTTACTACTAATTCATCCCACTCCTTTATTACATCATTTCACATTCTTTACCCCATTCCACTCTTTACATCTACATACCTCCTGCAATTTTAATACCAACGTAATTACATGTTCTGCTGTAGATACTGTTGGTACTGCTCCCACATCTGTTTAGCAATCCTATCCCGGAAGTCGTTTGCCCGATCTCGTTCTTCATGTGAGATGTGAGTTGAATAATCATCTGTGGTTGGTGTATGTGATTGCTGGCGATAGTTGCTGAGATCCTCCAAGGTTGCTCCATCTAAGTCCTGGGGATCATGGACACGGATGAAGTTGTGAAGTACACATAACGCAAGCACCATCTTTGCTTGCTTCTTCAACGAATACTCTGGAGCAGTGTTGATGAGCCGGAATCGCCGCTTGACAACACCAAAGATGCGCTCAACAACATTCCGAGCTTGAGCATGTCGCAAGTTGAACAATTCTTTGTAATCGCGTGGGCTAATACAGAATGAGTAAGACACCAATACAGTCAGAGACAAACTCACGTGTTTGTAGATCTTGACCACTCCTTGAGATGGTATCGGACACCACGGTAGGGTACCAGCAGTGCATCACATGCAGGGAAACCAGCATCACCAAGATAATACTTGCCAGGGGGGATCGCAAAATCGGTAGCCCTTGCATCTGCAAAAACACGGCTATCTGCAGCACTCCCTTCCCAACCTGCCCGTACATATGCAAACCGCATGTCGAACGTGGTTGCAGCAAGAACATTCTGAGTGAGCCCGCCTTTGCGATTTCGGTTTCGTGCAATCTGACTTTCGTCAGGGATAAAGGCATCGATATGAGTACCGTCAAGAGCTCCAAGACAGTCTTTGAGGAATGGGAAGAGTTTGGGGTTGGTACGTATCTCAGGCGGTGTGATATCACTTGGCGGAAGCTTCATATAGCGTGTATAAAACTGGGGATCAGTTAAACGGTTCAGAAGGTTGTCGAACACCCTAGAGAATCATTAGCAACGGTTAAAAAATTCAAGTTGATATGTATACCGTGTTATTGTCCCAGGACTATGTTGGAAACGCTCACGCACTTCCCGGTGTACCGCACCTGACCGGCACATGTACAGAAACATTGCCAACTGCTCCTCCTGCCCAATATACCTTGAACCCTTGAATCCAGAGTACTTCTGCAGCTCCTGATTGAGCTTTTGAAAGACTCGCTTATTCATCCCCATCATATTGTGAAAGCGCTCCCAATGTCCATCAAGAAGTTCCTTTGTCCATTGCTCACCAGTGAGAGCAGAGGTATACATAGGAGTCTTGATCAGATACTGAGCCATATGAAGGGCAGCCCCCCCTACAACTGCGGCAAGGATAGCAGAGGTCCGTAGACGATGTTGTGCTTGAGCATTGGCAGCTTCTCGAAGTGTTTGGGTGCGGCTGTTGGTAGTACGAACCATTGTTGCAATTGTTATCAGATTGGCGCCGTATATAGAACATGTGTGACAAATGTGACGCGCTCAGCCAAACCCCAGCGCTAGGAAATGTAAATTTCAAACTCAGCCAACCCCAGACCCGAGGGACTAACATTTCGACGAGCAGACCGGGCCCTTAGGTGTCTGTCTGCCTCTGTCAGTTGTCTCCCACATCTATGAAAAGGGGTCGCACGTTGTCAGTGATCGTGGTGTCTTCGATGGAACGGCCATATGGTCCTCACTGCTCTATATATGGACCGCGTATTCAAGAACCCGAGATCAATACGTTATGCATCCAAAATGATGGACATTTGCGCATAGTCGAGTTGATGGAGAGAAGCTCCATTTTTTCTCGTATAAAAGCTGACCATAGGATGCTGCGCAGTGACTCCAACGCCCAACGTCACTGTGTGCGCATCACAGAAGATGGCGATTCTCCAAGTCGTGGTTACAGCGTTGGCACTACTGCCATTCATCGCGGCTCAGGCTCCCCAAGTGCAAGTTGGGAATACTGCGATTATCGGTCGCAGCATACCGGAATTCGGACAAGAATTATTTGCAGGTATGTGGTGGCTTGCTCGCGTAGTAGACTAGGAATAACGCGAGTTGTCGATACAGGGATTCCTTTCGCGGAACCTCCAGTCGGCCAGCTGAGGTTAAGTAACCCGGTGCTCAAAACGCGCTTGGGTACTCCTACGTTCGATGCAAGCAACTTCGGGCCTGCTTGTTTGCAACCTGTCAGCTGGCTTTCTGCTGCTATTCTATGGACTGACTAATGGCCGTATCGTAATAAGGCTTCCGTGCCCTTGATGTCTGAGGACTGCCTCAGGATCAACGTGCTACGCCCAGCCGGAATTCCAACCGGTGTTGTGCTTCCCGTAATGGCGTGGGTTTACGGTGGTGGATTCGATTGTGAGTAAAGGAACAATCTATACGCGCGCCGCGGGCTTTTGGGCTGACAATATCAAACAGTTGGTGACTCCTCGATATACAATGCAAGCGCTATTGTGGCCCAAAGTGTAATACGCGTACGTACCGATGATATACTCTCCGTCTACCTAAAACTGAACGTTGAACTCTCATTCAGGGGACCCCTGTCGTATTTGTCAGCTTAAATTATCGGCTTGGCCCACTCGGATTCCCCCAGGGGGTAGAAGCTCAAAAGCGTGGCGCGTTGAACCTTGGACTAAAAGACCAACTTGCCGCCCTTGAATGGGTTCAGGCTAACATTGGGTTGTTTGGTTCGTACATGTCTACTACTCCATTGGTTCTTTGACTCAGATCTCACGTAGGTGGTGACAAGTCCAAGGTATTCATACCTGTCGAGAATCTTCTGATGGAGGCAAAACTAACAACCGGTATAGGTCACGATCTTTGGACAAAGTGCAGGATCAATTTCCTTGTCGATTCACTTCCTGAATTCGAACATCAAGCGCTTGGCCAGAGCAGCTGTGAGTTCATTCCCAAGCTAGTCCTCCGTGTATGCTAATCTCCGCCAGATCTTCGAATCAGGCTTCCCTGCTACGAGTCTGAACTTCCCGGCGTCTCACCGAGAACAAGGCTGGGCGAACTTCGTAAAGGATGTCCCCCAATGCGCATCTACTGCAGGATCCAAGGACACTTTCAGCTGTCTACGCTCTGACTCTATAGATGAAGCCACCTTGTTGAAGGCAGCCTCTCTCGCAGACGACCAGTCCGGCGAATTGTTTGCTTGGGACCCAACTATCGATGGCCCGGGTGGTATCCTTCCAGACATTCCGTCCAAATTGCTCGCCCGGGGCCAATTTGCCCGCTTACCATTCATCGCAGGGACAGTTCTTGACGAGGGTACGCTCACCTTAAGCCGTATTTCCAGCTCAACTCTAATGATTTGTAGCTACGACCTTCACACCAAAGTTCATTACCACAGAAGATCAGATTAGACAAAGTATCATCGCGAACTTCACTCCATCCCCTTTTGGGCCAGCAGTGCTCGCCAAGAGCGCAGAAACAATACTACAATTGTATCCTGATGTTCCTGCATTAGGGTCACCCTTTGGAACGGGAAACGAAACGTTTGGCTTGAGCAGTCAGTACAAGCGAGCTGCAGCGATATGTTCGTATCAAATCACCCGCTTCCTCTGTGGTTGTACTAAATTGAGTGATATCTCTTAGTCGGTGATGTCTCCTTCCAATCTCAAAGACGTTTTTGGATCCAGACTCTAAGCAAAGCCGGCCTCAAAACGTTTGGGTATCTTTTCACCGATCCACAATCCAGTGATCCTGTAAACGGAGGTCAGCATTGGCCCTGTGTGTAGAGCACTGATAAGCTCACCCTGGCCGTGTATTTCTCAGTCTCACATGCGTCAGAGATCCCCTACGTCTATGGAGCGCCAGGCATCTTTGGTGGTACTGTTACACCTCAAGCTCTAGCACTAAGTAGGATAATGGTTGACTATTGGGTATCCTTTGCAACGAGCTTGGATCCTAATGACGGCAAAGGCCTTCCACGTACGTGCACCACAAGTCTCTACTTCTGAGTCCTGCTCACTCGGGGATGCAGGGCCCCTATGGACTCAGTATACTCCCAGCAACCAGGTAAGTATTTTACCACCTTTGAACGTAAATCCCATTTACATTGCGACGATAAGGCCATCATGCTACTCAACAGCACTGGTACAGCGATGATCCCAGACGACTACCGCAAGAAACAGATAGATTTTATCAATTCCAATCCCGCTGTGTGGCATCACAGGCGTTCATTCTCAACTTAAAAAAACAATGTACGATCCCTCTGTTTTGCCGGGTTGTTTAAATGAAATGGCACGAAGCCGAGTCCCGACGTCTCTATCAGGGTTTCCAATTATAAGACTGACTTACATGCTACCGCGTAGAACGGCAAGTCTTTTAGCGCCTTCAATCCTTCGTGATATCATAGGATTTACCCAGGGGACCTCTTCAATCGAGTTCTTATTCCCATAATTCCTTGGTCTTATCTCTCTTCTACGCATGCTCAATACTTAATTTTAGACTCAACGCCTAAGATATCCCTTCCCACGTTGATCAGATCGTAGAATACGCGCTCTTCGGCGAGCACGATGGTCTTCGCAGCTATCCTCGCCATATGGACTCCCAATCGCCCGGGTTGCTATAAATTGAGCCGCTACGATCCCGTAGGTGATACTATTTTCCCTTGCTGTTGCAGAGCCCTTCACGAAATGGGGTCTATCGATTTCTTCCATTTCTTGTTGACATTCCTCTTGTGCAGTTTGGTATCCGCAAACCCGACAATGAGCACTCCCGCTTGCCACTCTGTATTCACTTCCAGGCAGCAACAGGATGTACAACTTCGATTCATCAAGGACTCAGGCGTCTGTGAAACCACACCAGGTGTTGGGCAGATGTCAGGATATATCGACGTCGGGAAGAACATGTCCATGGTAAGTCTATACTCGGCTGGCGACACTGGGTGAAAACTGAAAGATGCCGGAATGCCTACAGTGGTTCTGGTTCTTTGAAGCTCGCGAATCACCGGAGACCGCACCTTTCACTTTATGGTACAGTGATCTATTGCAAAACATATATCAGGAGATTCATTTCCCACAACAGGTTGAACGGAGGACCAGGGTGCTCGTCTATGATCGGATTATTCCAAGGCAAGCCCAACAATTGGCGGGACATATCTAGCATCTGATCGTCAAATTTCGACTAGAGAACGGGCCATGCAATGTCAACGCAGATAGGACAACTACAACCCTCAACCCTTTCAGGTATGTCGCGGCATAGAGGTCGATTTGCTCAATCTCACCGTATTTATTCCTCAGCTGGAATAACCTCAGTAACAGTAGGCATTCGAACGCCCGTTGTGGCCGCATTCCTGTCTTATTTTCGCTTCGTAGTGATATATATTGATCAGCCCATTGGCACCGGATTTTCGCATGGAGTGGATACCGTCAATAGCACCCTGTCAGCTGCACCGCCAGTCTGGACTGCGTTTCAGATACTCTTTGAAAGCGGAGAGTTCTCTAAGTTCAAGAAGAGGGAGTAAGCTTATATGCTTTCCTCACGTCAACGTCCGCCCAACTCACCAGACATTAATAGGTTCATTATTGCCACAGAGAGCTATGGCGGCCATTATGGCCCCGCTTTCGTAACATTCTTTAACGAGCAAAACGCCAAAATACGCAGCGGCCAAATACAAGGCGAAGAAATCAACGTCAGCGCTCTTATGATCAATAAGTAAAAGACCTCACTATAAGACCAATATTCTTCCGATCTCATTTAATATGCAGTGGCTGGTACGACCCACTAATCCAGAACCAAGCGTACGTCGACTTCGCAACTAATGCCCCTGGATATGGGCAGCTTCAAAGTGATACGGTGATTGCTCAACTAAACGATGCGTTCTTCCGCCGTGGAGGCTGCAAGGATCAGGAAGAAGCTTGTTTCGCTGCTGGTGACGGCCCTACGTCTGACAGGATATGCCGCACCGCCGACAATTTCTGTGTTAGTGGTTCAACCCTTTAGATGATACGTCGCGCTTTTTACACAAATCTGCCTTCCTAGGTCGAAAATGTCTTCGCTCCAGCAGTCGGTGACAGGGATTCAGACGACCTGCGACAGACATCGCCTGCGTCTTTCCCGCCGAGCTTTTATATCAACTTCCTCAGGCTACCAGAGATTGTGAATAGAATTGGTGCCGAAGCCACCTATTCTCAGTGCCCCGATGCACCGTTTGAGCTATTCGCCAGGACTGGAGACGTAAACCCAGGCCTCATCTCCCTGTCATGCCCCTATCTGACGTGAAGCCCCTATCTAGGACGCAAGGACGCTTCTACCGCAACTTGCTGCCCTTGCTAACTCGGGGATGAAGATTCTTATATGGGTGCGTAATTACGCGAAATAATGAACCCATCATTCACCGAACTCAGGCAGGAGACGCAGATATAAAGTAAAGCACCATCGCTGACCCCTTACCAGGCAATACCTGACTTCGTCTAGTTGTAATTGGCTTGGTGGGCATGCATCTGTACTCGCCATGGATTGGTTTGGGAAGGAGCGTTTGAACAATACTCCGTTCACGAATATGACGATTGACGGGGAAGCCGTGGCGGCAATTCAGAACGTGGACAATTTCTCGTTTGCGTGAGTGGCGCTTCTAACGCAGATTACGAACCACACACTGAACCGTCATCAACTCATTAGGCGAGTCTTCCAAGCAGGCCACGAAGTGGTTAGTAAACTCCTTCCAACATCTTTGAACAGTGTAAAGATCTCTACACCCGTAGCCCGCGTTCCAACCAGCAGCGTCCCTCGAAATATTCAAGCAAATCATCAATATGGAGCAACTACACTCGGTATAAGATACAACTTTACCATACATAACGAACTCTTCACGTCTCCTGTATACCGTTCCGCGCTATCCAACACAAATGACCACAGCCTGCTGCACAAGGATGAGCGAACCCCCCGGCCTTGTCTACATTCCCGCCTGGCGTTGACTTCGGCGTCGGTGACGGCTGAGGCGTTCCCCGGCCGTTGGTAGGCTTTGGCCTGCCTCTCGCGTCTGCGGCGTATACCGCATCGTGTCGTAGGTGATTTATCTGATCCATTGGGCGTTCGGAATAGAATTTACGATAGCAAGCTTGGTGCCCGCCGTGACAACATACAGAGCATTGGAAGAACAGCGAGCGGACAGGTAGTCGACTGTAGAACATCGCGGATCAGAATGACACAACTCGCAAGGCAGCCAGGCTTACCATATAGCACAGGTAACGCAAGCGGACTTGCAGTTCTTACAGTACGCAAACCCTCCTTTGACCAACTCCCCGAAGGACGGGGCGCCAGCTGCAACAACCAAGGGCTTGCGGCATTTCCCACAGAAAGTATAAATGGTGGTTTCGAGCTATTTCGACAATAAGTAGTGAGCAAGAATTGATAAGCGAGGAACATACCTTCGAGTGGTTGCGTATCTCTTCTGCTTCTACGACCTTCCGTACATACGCACACGAAGAGGACAAACTTAATCTAGTCAAAAGGTCTGCCTGGATGTGAGGAGAAAGAAACAGAGAGATATGGGCTAGATCCGCACCTAAATAAGCGTCAACGAAACGGATAACGCGCTTCGGCCTGATTCCGAGTTCTTTGGGTGCAATGAGAGCCATCATGGCGCACATCTGCACGTCTCCCTAGAGCATTTATTAGCACCTTCCGGTATGTATAAAAAGGATCATACCTGATCTGCAAATGTCTCTACGGCTTGTCTAAGAGCCTCCCATGCAATATCGCGATACCTCTGTTCGTCCGCAGCAACTAAGTCAGCCCCGCGATCCGTCCACTTTTCAGGATCGTAAGGTTCCTCTATTGGCAGTATTGACTCCACATAAGACGCTGCAGTCGCCCTCTGCTCAAGCGCACCGGTATCCAACGCGATCTGCACTGCAGGACCCAACTCGCGGAACGAAACCTCTCCCGCCGTCACCGTGCGTATGCTACTATGGGAATCCTGCTTGAGGAGGGTATGAGAAAGGATCGGCGCAGCAAGCGAGGCAACAGTAGAACTTCGACTCCGGCTCTTCATTCGCGCCGACGCTCTTCTTAATCTAGGCATTGTGGTGACTCGACGCGGCGAATCCGAGCTTTCCGATTCCGTATCAGTTGATCGAGGTGATGGAGAGCCTTCTTCCGAGAAGTCCGCATCGTCTTCGTCTTCAGTCCAACGCTGTCGACTCGCAATCTGTGAAAGGGGGCTGGGGTGGACAGGGACTCTTGAGGTGCCGATGGCGGGTGAGATCAAGGGAGGTAGAGCTGGAGGCTCCTCTTCGCTAGACACGGGGCCGTCATGGAGATCGTCGCTCTCAGATTCGGAGTCAGAGTCGTCTAGAGCACCCTCCCCGACGTGTCTCAGACTGTTGCTACTAGGGCTGGACATGACGGGACCGTTGGTCGACATAGATTGTCGTCGAAGCAGAGAGCTTTGTCGCACCCCCAGGCCAGAGGAACTCCGCCTCTTGGAAAATGAGTGGTTTTTTTGCGTAATGGGAGGCAGGGCATTGGGAAGAAGATGGGGAGAGGATGCGTTTGAAGATGTTGGTGTCACTCGTCGTGAAGTTGACGCAGAGTTACTTCGCCCAACGGCAGAGGTCGAACGCTCTTTGCTAGGGGTAGAAGGCCGGTTCGGGCTGACTTTCAAAGAACCTGTCTCTGGTCTGTGGAAGCGATCTATCGGTGACGATGCAGAATGAAGACTAAGGGCCACTGGCGCGGAGGCCGACTGGCAAAGATGATGGGAGCTACTGTCGTCCTTTGACAGACCAGTTGGTCGACTTTCGTCCACCAAATCAATCAATGACAGGCCTAGCAGCATCCACGTCTGAGCAGCGACCTCTTTGTTAGCTCGGAACGCAACCTGGCCCAAATGGTCAGCGTTTACGTTGTTAAAGGTTCACTTGAAATCCTACATTAGCGTTGATATCACAGAGAACCCTTCGTTCGTGCCCATCCAGGACGTATCCTCGGGCCAAGGCGGAGAAGGCATCGACATCCTCCATTAGAGACGAATCAGCGAAAACACCTGTAGACTGCGATTTTGGAGCGTATGCTGAGTCACCGAGGGCCTTAATATGCATCCTCCGTTCTTCTGCTATCACTAATTTGTTGGGAGAACTAGCAGTTGTGTTAGCACATTCGCGGGGAAAGACGAAATCAACCAACATGTCATCGTATGGAACTTCTCGGCGAGGCTTCGCGTCGGAGACGAGGGCCAGCGCGCCAGAGGCTGCCCAAGACACTGCTACGCGAGGAATGGAGTCGAGTGGTTTCGTGCAATTACGCAGGTCCAGCTGCGCGAAAGTCCCCGACGAGTGTTGAGCCCATATCGCATGCGAGTCGCCGAACGCGATGTCTGTGACTCCGCCTTCGCTGGCCGACCCATTGACAGACCACTTCGCGATCCAGCCGCGGCGAATATCCCATATCTCGATGGGATCGCCAGCGTACTGTTTGGTCCGGATGGAGGCTCTGTCTCTGCCGTCAGGGGACGACGTTCCACTACCTACGTATCCTAGTTTATATAGGTGCTAGATAGTGCACGTACACACTCACCGGCGTCTGGAGCTGCCATGTCTGGGTTGGAACCTGACCCAAATTCGGCGTTGGAGACAACGGCGACTTCACAGGGATACGATGGCCGCCACATCACTCGACGAACGGGGAAGGAAGGATGGAGAGTGTAGGTGGGCTTATGCTGAAGATGGCTTGTCGAAGAGAGATCCCATACCTTGGAGAGAATGAAGCGGAGAGGCCACTGGGCCTTGGAGTTCTACGCACCTTTACACAGTGATCCAAACCACCACTCACGATCCAGCCCAACCCACCACCCGACATGTCAGTAGAAGAATGATTGCTGGAGGTGTTGCACCAATCGAGGGATGTCACTGCGGCGGAATGAGCTACCAAAAGACGGTCTAATTGACCACGTTGGCCCATCTTCAAGTCCCATCTTCATGAAACGTCAATAAAGTACAAACCAATTGCATCGTATTCACCTGTAGATGGACCCGTTATCCAAGCCAGCTATAGCTTGATATGGGTGCGACTCGAAAGGAGAAAATGCCAACGTTCTGACTGAGGTTGGATGGCGCACGGAGGAGGCCGGTTTAGTTAGGTCGCGAATATCCTTTAACATATGAGGCTGATTGTGCGTTCAAGAGTATGACACCTTACCCACAACTTAACAGTCCCATCAGCAGAGCCCGTGATGCAATAGTAGGAAAACCGGGAAACAGCTAGTTTATGGATCGAGCGAGTATGCTCCTTCGATCTGCGTTCTATCGCTGGTATGCGGCATTTTAGGATTTCGCTGCGGTTGTTTGAATTCCGCGCACGTACAGTATTTGCCGGAACTAGATCTGCTGGCATCCCACATGAAGAACTCGCCATTCCGGGCGCTGGTGAATATTTTGTTTCCGTACGCTAGTTCGGGAGTCCGTATCACGTTGAGCACGGGGTATACAGGCAGACAACTCACAGCCGAAACCCCATGAGACATCGGTACTCGCACTTGTTAGCCCACCGCCGTCCCAGAAGTTCCTTGAAGCTTCTATGCGGTGTCCGCCCTGCCCACCACGCCCCGAACTGGACTTGTACTCCGTTGACTGGTTGGATGGACTCAAGAGAGATACTACCCTCAAGGCTAGAGATGTGATCAGTCTGAGTGGCCATTCGGAAATGTTCTAGATGGCTAGCTTACAATCCATACCAGCCACCGCGCAGTGAGTCCCATCTTCGTTCCGCGCTATAGCTCCACCACCACTGGAAGTCACTCGAGGTAGACGTATGGTTCGAATTGGTCCTTGGTAGCCATGAGTCCTGGCGTCTGAGTAGAAGTCAACGACCGGTAGCGTTGTCGTGAGGATGCTGAGCTTTCTGCCGCGTTGGACAGAATTTGTGGTTCCAGCGCTCATCGCATCGCGTAGAGAAATATCCAGAGAGCATGACTTCGTGATTGTTGCCCTGAAGTTCCCACGCTCTAATAGCATCCAAAGCTTCAGCTTCATTGCTTACATGTGTTCGAAAGGAGTCTTAAGATACTACAACGTCTAGAATCAAGACCATGAATACGAGGACCAGCATAACTTTGAACTCGGGATGAGATCCAGTAAGTGAGCCCCTTTGACCCCTGTCTGCCACATCACATCACATGATCGTGACGCGAAGATACAGAAAGCAGGACTGAGGAAAGCCATAACGGTATCGATGCACCCTTCTGCAGAAAACCAAACCCCGGGCGCATGGTCGTCCTCTTACGCCCACAACTGGTCGGCACAAGCGACTGACGGCCCTTTACGTGTCCACGGTAGGCATTTTGTCGACGGCTTCGGCAGAGTCTGCAATGTACGAGGCGTGAACGTCTCTGGGAACTGCAAAGCGTGAGTTTCATACCACATCGACCACTGACTTTGACTGGATAACTCTACTCCAACAGGCCTGTGAATCATGACCACGATACTTTCCCTCACAAACACGACGAAGTCACCTTCGTTGGCAGACCGTTTCCACTGGAGGAAGCGCACGAGCATTTCAGTCGTTTGCGGCGGTGGGGCTTAACATTCAGTGAGCCTCCCGCCCCCACAGGGAACTTATCCTGCTAACTACCCATGTAGTCCGTTTCCTGGTGACGTGGGAGGCAGTAGAACATGCAGGCCCGTACGTGCATGTATTTCTTCGCAATGCCTCTGCTAACCTGAACCGCAGGGGTATATATGACCTGGAGTATCTTGACTACTTGGAACGACTTCTCTCACTTCTACCCCAGTATGGCATAGTCGCATACGTATCCGTGCATCAGGACGTGTGGTCTCGGTACTCCGGGGGTTCGGGCGCCCCAGCGTGGACCCTTGACGCTGTGGGTTTCGATTTGCACAAATTGGAGGAGTCGGGTGCAGCGTGGCTGCTAGGGGTGAAGGGAGGTGGACACGTTGAAGCTGAGCGTGGTCTTTGGCCATGTGGGTATCAGAAATTGGCGGCTGCTACTATGGCGTACGTTTCCACTGCCGTTCGCATTCACGATCATCTCATTTTCGAGAAAGTACTTGCTTTTGGGCAGGAGACACGTTTGTCCCCAAAGTGCGGATAAAGAACCAACATGGGGAGGAGGTTTCCGTGCAGACGTTCCTACAAGACGCGTTTCTGAACATGTACGAGGTAGTGGTGAAGAGGGTGGGCCATTTAGAGGGTGTTGCTGGCTTCCAAGTGCGCACTTCCCCGCCATTTATCTGCTCAAGGCTCACAACCTCATAGATGATGAACGAACCGCATCGCGGATACATCGAGCTTCCCTCTCTTCACGGTTTCGATTACAACACAGATCTACATTTATCTTACGTTCGTGAGTAGAGTCAGTCTACGTATGTAAGTAAATCCTTTGACCCTTCGTAGCTTCGGCATTCCAATCATTCATGCTGGGCTCTGGCTACCCTACAAGCGTAGCACACTGGACACGGTCATTCCCAATGCCAACCCGACGCACATCCCACAGCGTACTCAACCCCGCTGGCCATAAAGCGTGGCGGAAAGACGGTCCCACAGACGGTCGCTGTATTTGGGAAATGCATGGCGTCTGGGGTTACGATACCAACAAGAAGACTGGCGTCGTGCTCCGGGAAAACTACTTCACAAAGCATCCTATGAATGGCAAGAAGGTAAAGTTCCTCTTCACTCGTCATACATGACTTTGACACGATACATGGGAACAGATTGACTGGTACACGGATTATTATTTTCCGCTCCTTGATAAATGGTCCAAACGCGTGAGGGCGTTGTCTCATCCCCACAAACTGGTGTTCGCCGAGCCTATACCTAACGAGGTCCGTCGTCGTGCTTTTCTTTCCTGAGACAGGCTAACGGTTGTATCATCTAGTTTTGTACTCCGTTGTGGACCTCCGAGCACCGACCTGAGAATATGGTCTTTGCACCCCATTGGTAAATGACTTGCAGATACCTTCTTACCCCCGCTGATGCAAATACACAGGTATGACCTCAATGCATTGTTTTCAAAGGCTTTTGGTGACTTTACGGTCAACGTTCAAGGCTTGTCGAGGGTGTGTTATCATTATTCTCAGAATATTTCCAACGTCTCAGACTATTCCTCAGGGCATGTTTCCTTTGAAGGCGTTCTATTGGGGGCAGAAAGGTGCACGGGCTAACTACTTCCTCCAAATCAGAAATATCGTCGAGGCTGGATATAAAGCACTGGGGGAGACGCCTGTGCTGATGGGCGAGTGCGGCGTGCCAATGGACATGAAGTAATTTGATTGTTTTCGCGAGCGGACGGTGTACTGATATTACTCGCAATGCTCTAGCCATAAAGAAGCCTTCAAGACGGATGACTGGACGTGGCAAGGCCGTATGATGGACGCGATGATTACAGGACTTGAGCGGTCCCTCATAGGTTTCACGTAAGGCAGATTGCTCTCACTCCTGCTGGCGCTGACTTGGCTTATAGTCTGTGGAACTACAATCCTGACAACGATGACAAGCGCGGTGACGACTGGAACGGCGAAAACTTCTCCTGGTTCAGCCGTCAACGCGCCCTACCATCATCTATGCTTTCCTACGAGCAGGATTCTGCTTCGTTGGATAACGGTGGCCGCATCCTCGACTCTGTCGTCCGGCCGTACCCAGCGAAGACCTGTGGCATCCCCGTTCGTTTCGAATACGAAATGTTGACCGGGGAGTTCACATACGAATGGGTGGTCCCAAGTCAAGGGAAGGCAACGGAGGAGAGCGGCTCTCCATCGAATAAGCTCCCATCGACTTCCAGCCCCCCATTGCACGGTCACCCTCGCATCACCGCCTACGAAACGGAGGTGTTCGTCCCGTCATCAATCACCCACGGCCGGAAGATCCTTATCCAAGGTGTAGAAGCACCGAATAGCTACACATACGACGAGTCCAGACAGACCTTGTTCATCGTGACGAAGGATCAGACACCCGGTAAGAGGTATCGAATCCGTGTTTCCTTGGACCCGCCCCTCCGTCCTGCCTTTGATTTGAACGACCTTTGGACGGACTATGGCTCTCGAATAATATTTGTGCTCGTTGTTTTGCTTGGATTCTTTTTCTACCGGTTCTAGATATTAATATTAAGTTAGACTATTGGATTTCTCGAATGCGAAGCTCCTCACTTAGACCATCCGCATGTCGTACGGAATCAAATGGATGATTGGTTAAACAACATTCTCCTGTAATAGTTGGCCATCAGAACTCTATACCTCTCACTGGCAGTGCCACCTTCCCATCCATCGAATACACATTTACCTCCATCTTGTATGTCTTCATCGGTAGCCAACGGTCAGGTGACTATCTACGCGTTCTGACAGTGACAGTGACACAGTGACGCTGACCACTACCTGGGAAGGTACTCCTCCTTCCCACCTGCATCTATGAGAGACCATGACCTCCCTTCAGCTAGACACCAGCCCTTCGCCTTGGGGCAGCCCATATTGGAAAAAGCTTCCAAGTGAAGAGCTTGCTCGCTATGATCTACAGGCCCCGACAGATAAATATTTTATCGACAACCTCGAGCTACTCGTGGACAATATGGAAACGGCTCTCTATAAGGGATCGCTAAAGCTGCCCGATAGCCCAGATCTCGTCAAAGGCGTAGTCAAAACAGACTTCTTCGCCAAAGCTCTGCGGACGAGTGCTTTCATCCATGAAGCCGATATGTACGAGCTCCATCTGTCTACCCTACAAGGCCTGTCGATACCGTACTGTTACGGCCTATTCCACCATAAGGACAAGGATGATAAAGTCTCATCTTTCCTTGTACTAGAGGAGTGTGGCGATCTGATTGATGATGTGAGCAGCCTAACAAACTCGTTCAAGTATAGTTACTTCTTCGTTCTTGTCGGAGGCGCATACTGAGTCTTTGCGGGCAGGCTGAAAGCACTCGACGCGCTATATAAAATTCACTGCGCGGGGTACATCCATGGCGATTTTTCTTTAAATAATCTCACCGTCAAAGACGGCCAACCTTTCTTCATCGACCTGGAGACCGCTGAACCTCACAAATGTGAAGTGACGGAGAGGATCGTCGTTGGGGAGGAGAGGAGGGCGATTGAGTGTGATGAAATCGACCTATGCTGCATGATGCTGGAGATTTGCGCGGACTGCACGAAGTTATCTATTCCCGTCTATGACATCCAACTCACCACCGTGTCTTCTCCAGCCAAAGTCAAAGTGGAGGGTCTTTGGTCTTTCAGAGAGCGCACCTTCGGAGAGAGAACATAGATTTCTTACTCTCTCTTCTCATCCATCGTAACAGGGACACCGAGGTATTCCGCCCGCAAGGTCGAACAGCTAGTAGAGAAGATGGAAGCCGAACGGGAGTACTATCGCAATATACGATCACAACGGCGTTTCATAGAACCCCCCGAGTGACATTTTGTACCTTCTATCAACTAATCTGTATTTTCTCGTGCAACTTCACGCAAACATCGAGCTCCTGAGGGTGTTGAATGTGCTAAGGTGATGTGGTGTGCTGCTATTGCTCTTCCCTTACGTCTTACACCGATTGCATTCAGTGGATGTCAAGTCAAGGGGTTTCGACACCTTCTTGAGAATGGATCTTCGCGGCGAAAACATAGACACTTTCCTATCTCTACGCCCATCACAACACGATGCCAGCGAGCCCCGTTCATACATGCAAAACCCGAACGGGAGCACTGTCGCAGTATCTTCGTGAGAGACGCCTCATTGTGATGAATAGGCCCTCTAGCTCTTTCTCAATATCTATTCCAGTGGTATTCTTGTCAATAACGTCCCCAACTTCATACGTCGGGCTGCTACATAGACGTTTGGTGTTCGCCGAGCCACTGCCCAACGAGGTCTGCTCTACTATCTCTCTTTCCTTAGACACCGGCTGGCCGTTGTATCCCCTTGTACTCCCGGATGCTCTTTGCGTGCCATTGGCAAGTGCCCCTTCTACTGATACAAATGCCCAGGTATAACCTCAACGCATCACTTTGAAGATCTTTCGCCGACTTTACGATCAAGGTTCAAGGCCTGTTCCCGTACGATTTGCTAACCGGGGAGCTCACATATGAGTGGGTCGTTCCGAGACAAGGAAAGGCGACGGAGCAGAGCGGGGTTCCCTTGAATATACTTCCATCCACTTCCAGCCCCCATTACACAACGGAGGTGTTCGTCCCGTCATCAATCATCCGCGGCAGGAAGATCCTTTTCACGGCAGGAAAATCCTTATCCAAGGTGTAGAAGCACCGAATAGCTACACATACGACGAGTCCAGACAAACTTTGTTCATCGTCGCGAAGGATCAGACACCCGGTAAGAGGTATCGAATCCATGTTTCCTTGGACCCTCCCCTCCGTCCTGCCTTTGATTTGAATGATCTTTGGACGGACTATGGCTCTCGAATAATACTCGTGCTGGTTGTTTTGCTTGGAATCTTTCCCCACCGATTCTAAATACATTTGAGTTAGACTTCCTGCATACGAGGAACTTTGACTTATATCCATCGGTACATACCCCTGTCATGCGGAATCAAATGGACGGTTGGTCAAACAGGATCCAGGTCCGGGTAGCATATGCATAAGTCACCATAGATAATCGCTCCAAGCGAGCCTGATCCTGGTGATTCCCCGCAACACCTCAAGGCCAACGACGATGTTCCCCGCCTTGCTGAGATCGGTTGCTCGCAAATCAGCGACTCAACGCCTTTCGCGGCTGTGGTCTTCCTTCTCAGTAAACGCGTCTTCCCTGCGAATCGACGCACACAACGCTTCCTTCCCTTATGTCTGGCTTCGCGACTCCTGCCAATCCTCTGACTGCGTGCATCCTTCCACAAGTCAGAAGCTCCATCGCTCTTCGGATATCCCACTCGACATCAAGCCCACCCCTGATGGCGTGCAATTGACGCCTGACGGTGGCGTCCGGGTTCAATGGACAGACGGACACGAGTCTTTCTACGATTCGGCCTTTCTTACACGCCATTCTTCGGAAGGAAGGCTTGCGGAATTCCACAAAGACATCTCGCCCTCGTCCTGGGATGCTTCCACGATTTCGGCGATCCCTGAGCTCTTTACCGAATACGCCGCGTTGCGAACAGAAAAAGGGCACCTTGATGCGATCACTCAGTTGACGCGCTACGGACTTCTGTTCGTTCGGGGTGTTCCCCACGAAGAAACTGCGCACGAGACCTGTGAGTTGAGGGCGCTGGCGGATTTCTTTGGACCCATTCGCGAGACGTTCTATGGCGGGACTTGGGACGTCAAGAATGTAACGAACAGCAAGAACATTGCGTACACCAATCTCTTCCTTGGTTTGCATATGGATTTGCTGTGAGTTGAAGGCACATATATGTGACCGATGTCTAACTTCGGCCATTTCTAGGTACATGCAGCACCCACCCCGGTACCAGATACTACACTGCCTTCGAAACCGCGTCAAAGGCGGGGAATCTCTCTTCGTGGATGCTCTGCACACGGCCAATATCATGAGGACCAGCCATCCAGCTGCCTTTAAGACTCTGGCGTCCACCCCCGTCTCCTTTCACTACATCAACGATGGTCATCACCTTCACTACGAGCATCCCACCATCGAGCTTGGTGGTCTTCCTACTGCCTCTTTAGACGAGCGCCCTGTCAGCCACATAAATTACTCCCCGCCATTTCAAGCGCCTCTTCCCCTGCACTCAACACCACTAGAATTCTACCCCGCTTTGAAGCAATTCGCTAACCTGCTCGACGATCCACAGTACGAATACAGGTATTTGCTGAAGGAAGGCGACGCAGTGTTATTCGACAACAGAAGAGTGCTCCATGCGAGAATGTCGTTTGAAGATACCGAAGGCAAGGAAGGACAGACAAACCGATGGCTAAAGGGCTGCTATCTCGAAGCCGACGCTATGCTAGACCAGGCCCGCGTTTTACGCACTAAGCTGGGGCAGCAAAAGTAAACGCTACTTACAATGTAACATAGCCCTCCAAAGCACGAAGAAAAAGGCTCCAATAAATCATAAATAATACAAGAGTCGTATCCTAAATGCAACCCGTTCGTTTACAATTTGCTCTTCTCCGACTTCTTGACGTAGGCGATGCTGTTTCCGAGCGAGATTTTGCCAGAGGTCAAGTTCTTCACTTGGAAAGCGACCTCGGTCGTGCCGTTGGGTCCTGGGCCGACTTCCCAGATCTCGGTCTCCAGGGCGTCTCCGGGCTTGACGGGGGAGGTGAAGCGACCACCGTACAGCGTAACAGACTTCGGGTCACCGCCACCAACTGTGTTGATGATCGCGCGTACTCCGAAGCCATAGGTCGACAGACCGTGGAGGATCACGCCACCGAAGCCACCAGCCTGGCCAATTTTGGGGTCTGAATGAGAAGATACGCGATGAGCCTACAAGCGAAAGTACTATCGAAGATCAGACGAACCAATATGGAGGGGGTTGTAATCTCCACTGAGACGGAAGATGATCGCTTGTTCTGGCGTGGTTTGGTCCTTGAAAGTCCAGTCGGGCTTGCGGTCTTTCGGAATGGGCTTTTCTTGAGGAGGACCAGCAATTATCTTCTTGAAGTTCGTTCCATTCGCTTTGGCTCCCAGGTTGAAGGACGAGCTCTGTAAACATGGTTAATAACCGTCGATCGCAATGTATACAGTTAATGCACGAACATAGAGCTTGGCGTATGGTGTGCCGTTACCGTCGACCAGGGTTTGCTCCACGAGGAGGATGATACCGCTTTCTAATACGGGGTCAGCAGCGTGCAAATCAAAGTGAAGTCAGAACACACGCACTGTTTTCGGTGACCCCTGTGTACCTGCCCTTCAACTTCCAGCCCGGACCACTGACCAAAGGCAACGGCCTCAAGAGCTCGATGTGCTGCGTTCCGTGGATCTGAACAGACGACTCATTACTAACGTGCCACACAACCTAACGCGTTGTCCATACCATGCGGTTTGGATCAAGAGGAGGCAACCCAGGAAGGGGTTTCGCGCCATTCACCCTCTCAGCGAAGAGGTTGAGTTCTTGCGAGTCTCCCTTCAGGTTCAGGACGACAGGGTATGTGGGGAGCATGGAGAAGTTCTTGTCTGTGTCCAGCCGGTCAGTACAACGCCAGAAACCACCAATTTCCTCAGGGGCATACCGAGCTCTGGAGTACGGTTGAATCAGTAAGTCTAGGTTCAGAGGCGGGTCCAGGCGTACCATATACGATGCTGAATTCATCCTTCTTCGCGCCAACACCTGCGGCGTAGGTCAACAAGTCGCGCTTGTTCCAAGTAACCTGCGTCCACGGGTAAGCAAATCAACGATATATCAACCGACGCGCATCAACGTACTGGCTTATCTTCGGTGGCGTGGCCAACAACTTTTGAGAGATCGTACGACATAGTGAAGGAAATGAACAGAGGAGAGGTAGCTTCAGTGTTGGTCAATAAGTCGTATAAATGGCGGAGTCCGGCAACGTCTTTACCGGGAAGTCGTTAATCATGCACGGTCGGGGTAAGTGACCGGTGCCTTGTGGGGTACGGCCTGGTAAGGCGCCAAGCTCGTATTTGCCTCCCTCAATTGCAAATTGCGCAAACCTTGGGTATGTTGGCGTCGAACTTTACGGCTCAACTTCGATGTACAATGTGCTCTCGCTGTAGTGCTCAGGCACTCACACGATAAATATAAGATGTGTGATAGAATTCTCATTCCGCGGAGTTAAATAAATGATAGGATAACGCTCAGACAACATATGCAAAGGAACGGCAGAAATAAAGCATGATACATCCACGAGAAACGAGCGGAATCGCCAGAGCTTAGGGCTCAGCGAAGATCAAGGCCTTAGCCTTTTCTGACCTAGGTTCAATAGAGCATTTGAAGGGAACCGGGTGACTAATGGGCGGTCGTAAATCAGAAAAGGAGGAGCGGGAAGTATAGGCCTGAGCTGGCTTACCTGATGGTACCTGTTGTTTGGTCGACTACGGGTGTAATAACTTTGCCGTCTTCAACGACTTTGCTGATTTTGAGCGTGGCTAGTGTCATAGCGGTGGCGATGAAGACAGAGGCATCAGCCAAGACGCGACCTGGATGGGGTCGTTAGATTATGGAAAGCAAAAAGTAAGAGTAAACTTATGCTACTCACCAGGACAAATCCGTCGTCCGAAGCCAAAGCAAGCATCACGAGGGTCGCGCTCTGGAGCATCGCCCAAGAAGCGCTCCGGCCTGAATTCCGATGGGTTCGAGTATACCGTAGGATCGTGCATCATTTTCCTGTTTAGTGGGTACGCCATGAGGTAGCGAAGCGGAGATTACGGTGGGCGGATATTTACCAGATGTTTGTGATGAAGAGTGTGCCTTTCGGGATGAAGTAACCTTTGTAGAATTGATCTTCGGTTGTTCGGTGGGGGACGGCTGGAAAACGGTATAAGCGAATGAATAAAGCAGCAAGCAAAAACGGAGACTTACATGTAGGAGCAACGGAATGCCATCGAAGAGCCTCCATGGCGACGGCGTTCATGTATGGGAGGTTGGGTCTGTCTTGGAAGGTGGGCAGTCTGTTGGGACCGACCACGGCATCAAGCTCGGCCTGAGCCTTCTTCTGTACCTCGGGGTACAGGGTCATCGCCAGGAAGAACGCGTAATTTGAGGCAACAGTCTACCAGACGGAAATTATTTAGTACATGAAATGTTCAGATGGTGGCGAGCAGAAGTCTCACCGTATCGGCTCCACCTACGAGGAACGTTAAAAATATACACCAAACACAATCATTCATATATACATACCTGTGTATAGAGATGCTGCAGACCATTTGATGTCATTCTCCTCCTCGGGGGAGACGGGTTCTTCCAGAAGCGCCGACACAAATGACTTCTCTGCCGTACCAGAAGCCTGATACATCATCAAAACAACGATCGAGAAAAGACGCCGAAATGAACATACCATCTGCTCTTTAACAAACCGGAATGGATAGCTGGCCGTCTCATCCAAGGTCTTAGCCCATTCTTTGGCTGTTTGCTTGAATCCGGCGCCGGGGAACCAATCCGGCAGAGATGCAACTAAAAAGACTAGTTCAGCCACAAACAAATGAGACTTTGGGGATAGGTGGCGTACGAGGTGGGACGAGGTTCACCAAGAAACCGCCCGGTGCCGTAGAGTATGAGAATTGTTCTGTGGCTTCGTCGGCCAATGTGACAAAGGGATCCGTGCCCTCCGCCACAGTATAACCGTGCGATATTTGCAAGATGATAGCACCAGCCATTCTAGAAAGAACGTAAGCAACAAGAACGAATTGTGATATAGTCCGGTAAGGCATACTTGCGAACATGAGCGCCTAAGTCCTCTGGACTCTTCAAGAGTCTACGCAAGAATTTCTGCGTCTCATGCTCTTCCGCAGGCTCAAATTGCTTCATCATCGCTGGTGTACCAATGACCTGGTGGAACTTCTTGCGGAAAGAGCGGAACCGGGCGCCGTACGGAATAAGTACAAGAGTGTTCTTCCACCCAACAAGTTCGCCACCCATAGGGATGACAGGTCGGTCAGAGTTGATCGCACTGCGTTTGTCCAATAGCTCTGCCGCGACATCGATGTTGTTCAGAACAATGAATGGCTGTCCGAAAATCGTGATAGTGACAAGATCCCCTGTATCGTCAATGATAGTAAGGGCCGAACAAGCCAGACGTGTGCGTAATAAAGATCGACGTACCCCACATCTCGCCCCACTTCGCGAAGGTCAGCCACTCCTTCTCTTTGGGCATGTCCAAGACGTTCCCAAGCAGGGGAAGGCCCTTCGGACCAGGAGGTAGGGGACCCAAACTCTTCCTTGTTGCAATCTTATAGATGCAGAAGAGGCCAACGCCGGCCAAAGCAGCGTCCAAGGTCGCGATGGGGGTCAACATGGTGCAAACGAAGAAAAGGTGAAAAGTTGAAGGACCAATACCATGGCCTCTAATACGGTATATGTAGCTCCCAGCAACAGATTATGTCAGGGTGCGCACACTCCCGGTCAGGCCCCAAAGGCCCAATTTCTGTGCTACTCCACTGAGATTAGTTCTTTTCTTGGCTGAGAATATGCCCGTAGAACCGCGGGTTTGACATACTGCCAGATTTGCCCATGTTCTAGGACTAAAAATGTTTTGTCGGCCAAGACGGCAGATGAACGGCCTGGTACACTTTCACGCTGATGGATTGGCGAACTTCTATCCAAGATTTCTCTTTTGGGAAAAGTCGATCAGATGATTATGTAACCACCAGGGCTCAGTGTCGCCTACGTTGACCCACTGTCCCTTGACCTTGAAGTTACAGCCGCAGCTGCCGCACTGGTGCGTGGACTAGTTTTGGAGGTAAAATCTGGTCTTTGCATACTCATCGTACTTCCTGGTAATTTCTTTGCTCTGATTGAACAGAATCTGATTTCAAGAAAAATTGCTAGCACAGGGTACGATATACGTGGTGCACTATGTTGTATCAGAAACCTTGAGAAACCCGACCCTTTACACGACTTGGAAACACGCTGCCATAAGAGAGCAACCCTGCTATCGGTTGATCTGTTTTCGAAACTATCTCCTCATGGTACCGCCAACGGCATCGTCTCGGAAATACTTGTGGCCTCGCGCAATGATCGAGACCATTTCAAGCTCGATATTGAGGAACGCATAATCTGCATAAGGCAGATACCACATTAAACCGATCTACTGAGCCGACAAACAATGCGCCACTCCGAACACGCCTTTTCTTGACGGCCTCTAGGGCGGCCGTCAGATGAGGCGGGATTCCAAGTTCCAACCCTGTGCAAGGTGTGGGGCCTTCCCAACCTCGCCACCACGCACATTTGACCCTGTAGATTTCTTCTTCGTCGATCTCGTCACATTCCTCTGCTGTAATGCTAGGGATACAACTGGGGTACCGATCTCTACAATAGGATGACGATTCGTAATTCCTGTTCCCCAAGTGACCCTTGGATGCATTTCCCAGCGTGACATTTAACCGTGAAAAAATCTCCACAGCGAAAGTCTATAAACCAGCTAGCCTTCAAGGTTGCAACGCCGCTCTCTTTTCACCCCCTCGAAGCCCTACTCAACTTCAAGATGTCAGCCATTGCAATTGACAACACGTAAGTCCCCAGTCCTAGCCCCCCACAGTCTCCAATCATTCATCCTAATGCTTCCCTATCAGAATGGGAGCTGCCTTAATTGGCTGCATCCTCGCTGCAGCGTACGTATTAGTTGTGCTTATCAGGCTGCTGATACTGGACTTATGACATAACTCTAGTTTATACGGTGGTACGTCATTTGAGATGACAATGATAGTCCTGGTACTCACAATATCTGCAGTCTCAACCGTCCAAACCTTCTTCTACTTCACTCATTACTCGCGGGTACGCTTGTTATTTCAGATCTCAGACCTCCAAGTAGTGTCGCTAACCTCACGAACTTGCAGGATCCTTGGTACACGCAGCAAATTGTTCGTCTCATTCAAGTGGACACAATCGTGTTGTAGTATAATTGACGTGCCTCTAGGTCCTTGCCGTATGGGTGTTTGATACCCTCCATCAAGCCCTGATCACACACACGGGTAATACAGCATTCTCATTGAGGAACATGGTTAGCTGACGATGTTCAATATTCAGTGTATCATTATGTGATATCAAACTACTTCAATCCTACGGCCCTGGGGAATATGATCTGGCAAGTCTCCTCTCTGTCTCTAAGTGGTCGCTAGTAGCACGTACTGACTAGACTGCTCGTAGGAGTATCCTGGTATGTTGCCAGTTGGTTTTAGTTTCATTGACCCATGTATTGATGAATTCTCGCAGCTCGAAGTATTGGTCAACGTAAGTGCTCATCCTCCGATATTATCTACTTGGCTAATCTACGCGTCACGTAGGGTTTCATTGGACTTATCGTGCAAAGGTGATTCATTCACAGTTACATATCGCATATCGGAAGAGACCTAACCTCTTCCCAGCTATCTGATGCACCGCATCTGGCGCTGTGAGTGAAGTTTGTTGTGTTCGCGCCGCCTGGGCTTGACCTTTTGTCGTTCTCAGTGAGTGGAAAGAAGATTTGGCCGCTCATTCTCATCGTGGGTACCCATCTGTCTCCAAATGAACTGTTGTTGACCCGTTGCTTCATATTTTCAGGGGCCCTTCATCGTTGGAGAATTCAGTAAGTTGTCCACCCAACCGTGTTATCCGCGTGACAGCTCACCGACGCCATCATTACGATAGTGTGCTCCCTAGGTACGAGAACCGTGTTACATCCCCAATTGCTTCAGAACAATCTCACTGACTTTATGGCGGCCAGTCTTCACCATCCTGTCGTAAGCATCTCAATTTCATTGGCCCTCGGTGCCACGTCTGATCTTTGCCCCCTAGTCTCCAAATGACAACGTTCGCCGAGTTGACCTCGCTCAAGGTTTGTCTCCATGTTGGCGTTCGTCACTGAAACCTCACAGCTCCTTAGGGACTCTCGATGTCCGTCAACGTTCTCGCGGCGGCCGGTGACCTCCTGATCTCGATATGCTTGGTCCTCATGCTCCACAAACGTCGAACTGGCTTCAAAAAGTGAGTTGCTGTATAGTTCACTCTTTCACTGGAATGCAATACTAATAATACCTGCATTATAGATCCAATACTATCATTAGTCGATTGGTAGGAAATCCTACTGATCCGGCGGTATTTTTGTTGATGTTTTCTTTCTGCGCATAGATCATCTTCACTATTAACACCGGACTTCTCACGACGATGTGCGCCATCGCCTCCCTCATCTCGGTGAGTTCCCTGCATACTTGCAATTTTCAAGGGGCATACGATCTGAATTTTATTCGTTCTCCAGATATTGGTGTGGGACACCACACTCATCTACGTCTCGTTCTTCTTCTGCATCGGCAGATGTAAGTCCCCTCCCGCCTTGCGCGTTCCATTGTCGGGTATACTAAGCGGTCGTTTAGTCTACGCCAACACCCTTTTGGCGACGCTGAACGCAAGATCCATCATCCGCAGCGTTGGCGCAGACTCGGACACAAATAGTGTGCCCCTGTCGGGTCGTCATGCATCGAGCACGCTCAACAAGGTACGGGTAACCTATTTCTTGGAGGTCGCCGCGTTCCTAAATGATCCTTTCTAGGTTGGGGGGCCCAAGCCGACAAACATCTCCATCCAGATCGACACTGCGCACGAATACATGCGGGATGATGATAGCACTGTAAGTGGCAAGATTGTCTCATCTTCTCTCGCGGTTCCTTATGCAGGCTAGACGATGAAGACCAAGTTACCCTCTGCTGAGGCTATGTAGGCACATCGTTGCGCTCGTCCACATCCTCCATTCTTTCATCTAGACCATCGTTTATAGACCATCGCTTTCGGGGCTGTCGCCCCTTGTTATCACATTGCTACACCTATAAGTTAAAAAACAGCTCACACCTGGCTTTATCTATCTTCTGTCTGCATTTATAAAGTACATAAAAAGCTAGCGCCCTAACACGGGTGCGGCTAGGAGCGCTATGGAACCACCACACTCTGCATGGGTTTCTGAAATTGACATTGATGTATGAGTATTACGATCTTCTTCCAATGATGATACTTTCTTCAATCTTGATCCGTTGCAGTCTATTAAGCGAGGCCGTGGCCGAATATATTTGATGATACCGCGTCGAACGGCAGACAAAGTCGTCCGCTGGTCTGGAATCGCCCCACCATGGCGACCAGGTGAACGGGCTTCGGGTGGACCGACATCGTTACGAAGCTTGGTTGAAGCGAGGCGAATGAATTCGGATTGGTAGTAAAATTCGGGGTGATGGTCACTGGAGGTTAAGGTTGCAGAGCATGGAAGACCGATCTTGATCGTCGCAGTGGATGATCTGCGCTGAGGCGGCGGTGGCGGCGGACGTCGAACTGGCAGAGGGGATGCAGGAAAGAAGTTACTCGTCCAATCGCTACCAAATGGGGCGTCATAGTTAGTACGAAGAGCAGAATGCAGGACATACAATCCGCGGAAGAATGGATGAGACTTCATGCCGTGAATGTCAGGACGTTCGCTAGGTACCTTGCTGAGCACCTATCGAAGTAAATCAGACACAGCGAATACTTCTCGGCTGTTCATTGGACATACTCACCCCCGAGATGAAGTCCGCGGCGGCGGGCTGTTCACACTCTCCTTCGTGAAACACCAGAGGCTCGTGGACAATTCGTGACGCCAGCACCTGTAAATCGAGGTTGTACCACGGCAGCTAAAATTGCGTCGATATCAGTCACATTACTCTCCGATGCATTCTTAGATCTAGTAGAGCTCACTCGACCCGTCATCATCTCAAAGGCCGTTATGCCCATGGACCAGTAGTCGACCTCAAACCCATACTTGTACCCACAAACTCGCTCTGGCGCAGAATACGCGGGGCTTCCACAAAAAGTCCGAGTCACGCAGCAATCGTCCGCCGTTGCCCGTTGATCTTCCGACAGCCAATAGGGCCTGATATCAAACGATTCGGAACCGTTTGAGTCGAAAACCCTGGCCAAGCCAAAATCACCGATGACCAGATGCCAGCGGTCATCAATATACACGTTGGCGGGTTTCAGATCGCGGTGGATGATTCCTTTCTTATGGAGTGCTTCTAGTCCCCAAACCTACTCATCAGTCACGAATGGAATCAAATGGGAAAGGGATATTATAAGACGTACGATGTCGGCTAGCCACGGTTTCAGCAGTGGCAATGGAACCCTGCTGCAATCATCTAGAAATGCTTCCAAGTCGCCGTTGGCGTAAAGGCTCTGTGAATTTGTGAAATCATATTTGAACAAACGGAGACGGTAAATATGGTATTCCGCACCGTAACGATGTAGAAATTTCTAGCGTCGTGGAAGCTCGCTTCCATCTGCAGGACCCTAGGGAGGCCGATGAGACGTTTCAGCGCCGCCTGTTCGTTCAGCACAGCTTGGAGGACACTCGGCTCCATATCCTTCTTCGATATGATCTTTACCGCTACATTGCTCCCATGAACGCGTCCAAGTCGAGCCGCGTACACTGAACCACTTGCACCATGCCCCAGGGATTGTACCAGGTCCAGCACCGTGAACTGCCAAGATCGGGAGAGGCCCACTTCGTGGAGCCGAAGTGGAAGTGGTCCCAGAGGTACGGTTTCTGATGGCTCTACCGGGTCTGAGTCGTGCCTGAGGCCATCGGGCGCACACGCATCCTCCCGCCAGGGCCCTCTAGTCTGCGGAGGTTTGTCAAAACAAACTCTAAAACTGAATAGCCTACGAGCACTTACGGGGCGCGCCCTTGGGAAAGAAACGGGGCGAGGTGCCTTGCGAAAAGATATTAGTATGAGTACGTTGGGGTCGGGGAGTTTGGGAACCGTACCTCATGCCATGCGGCCACCGCTCTCAGCTTGTTTATGGAATTCTTCAGACGCAGGACACGCAGCGGGCCTGGGCTGGGCTGATCCTTGGACATTCCGGTATGCAGGCGGGCTCAATGCGACATCGAAGCCGAGCGAGGCAGCATCGTTGAAGGCGCATCTGGCTTTTATGAAGGACGCGATGGTGCATGTTCGTCATTCGGGCTGGAATTCGGACACACGTTCAAGTCGGAATCCGAGGTGCCCTGCTCGCGCGATCAAAAGCTTACTCTACGGCTTTGCACGCCAACACCGATGGTTCCGATCGAATCTTGCGGAGACAGACGCTGAGCAAAGGATAAATTTTGAGTACGGCTCCAGGCGCTCGAGGTCAGCCTCTCCCGAACACTGATACTGATGCTGAAACGACATTGCAAGGAAATCTATACAAATGATATTAGCTCACTTCCTCTCGTCCTCCACAATCATCCTGAAAACATTTTCTTGTACGCTGCCTTCTCCTTATCCCGCTTCTCCTTCTTCCGTTGCCTAACCTTGGCCAGTTCATTCGCAATAGCCTGGTCATCCGGCACAACCTTGTTCGCTTCTACTAGGTCATTTTCAGCCAACTCGTCTTCCTTCCGTATGCTCCGCGCGAGCGCACGGCGGTATAAGGCTTTGGCTAGTGCGTGCACAAGCGTGATCAGCTTCCGCACATAGGTGATGCAAGCGCGATGGCACGCGTACCTTTGTCTGAGTCACTCAATTTCAGTTCGTCTAAAGCCCGGGATGTGTTAGTGATGGCGACATCAGCATTGTAAGTCGAGGCCGGTTGAAGGCGAACAGCGGCTAGTGCAGAGTTCAGAAGCAAGGGTGCGAGCAGCGCGTTAAAAGCTTCTTGGCGTTCTGCCGGTGTAGAATCCACTATGCTAATGTGGTGGTCGATGTATCGGATAGACTCTATAAGCTATGGGTTAGTGCAGTTCAAGGTCGCGTAAAGCAGAAAATTACTTTGGTACTTGCTAAGGGCTTCGTTGGTGTTGCCGGACTTGAACAACGCGTTGCCCAGCTCCCTGACCTTTTTGGCGATGTCCAGGACGAGGTCTGCATTGCTTAGATCGTGGTCATCGTCGGCGGGGAAGTCTTCGTATGGATCACCATCAGTCGACGTCTCCGCTGCTAGAGAAGGATCGTCCGGGGAGAGGACACCACACGCTGTGATGACGACAGGCGCTATTGGCGCGTCTCCCTGCCCCGTCGGGTTGTTCTCGATCTGTCGGACTACACGATACCACGTTAGAACCATTGCAAATTTTACATGGGTTGCCCAAACCTTACCGATCGATTTCCCCTTGATCACCTCGCCGAAGACGACATGTTTGCCATCTAGATGCGGTGTCTGGCTGACGGTAATGAAGAACTGAGACCCGTTGGTATTGGGTCCTGCATTGGCCTGAATGCGTAATCAATGCCCGCTCGATGCTTGACAAGTGCACCGAACGCACCATGGACAACAAGAAGGGCTTCGTGTGGTTCACGACGAATGCTTCGTCCTCAAACTTCTCTCCGTAGATCGATCCGCCACCAGTGCCTATTGGGCATCACGCATCAGCTGGAAGCCGTGCATCTTCAAGATCGCTACATACCATTTCCAGCGGTGAAATCACCTCCCTGGCACATAAAGCTACACACCCCATCAGTCAGAATCGCGCCCGACTAAGGTAGAACCATGACACACACCCTTTGATGACACGGTGGAACGCAGAGCCCTGGAAAGACAGCGGTTTGCCCGACTGTCCAATCCCCTTCTCGCCAGTGCATAGCGCGCGGAAATTCTCTGCAGTCTTCGGTACAAGATCACTGTACAAAGAGAACACGACTCTCCCAACCGGCCTACCACCGATGGAGATGTCGAAGAAAGTAATCGGCCGCTGAGAGGTCGACGCTTCGGCTTCAGACATTATGGATGTTGAGCTTGAACCTAGATCACACGCTGGTCGTTGTCGTCTGTCGCTGTTTGCTGCAGCGATGCGCCGCAATTTAAGATGGCTTCGAAGGCGCCGCGAAACGTCTGGAAATCACTAGAATTGTCGCCGGAACATTTGATGGCTTCATCGTGATTAGCGATGATCTCTATACAGCTCAGGGGCCACATCACATGGGTTCAAGATACAGACAACGGGCGAACAGCTCTTCATTGACAATGCGATATAAGGTGTACAATTTAGTGCTACAATGTACTTTGCGTACGGCTATTGCGATTAATGCGATGATGATGTGTTTAATGCTTGTTTCAAACGGACTGTAGAAGTCGTCAAATGAGATCAACAAGCTCGAAGAGAAGCAACGCACTGGAGAGATGGGAGAGGCGTAGCCCTTGGGTGGCGACGAGGCAACAGCAGCAGAAGTGCGCGCGATGGCAGCAAGATCAATGCCTTTTCGTAATCGTGTAAGTTATGGATGTGTGGCGTCGAAGAGGTGAGACGGACCTTCAGCCTTCAGAGCACCCTTCCTGAACTCTTTGGCCTGCTGAAGCTCTTGCTCAGATGGACCGCTCAGGCTTCGAACCGCAGCTGGTTTCTTGGCTGTGGCGACTAACGATCAGTGGCCACACTTGGTGGGACAGGGGCAGGAACTTACCCTCAGCTTTAGGAAGATCGTCACCGAGTTCTTGCTCTTCATCGGCGAGGGCAGCGTCCTCGAGCTCGCGCTCGTCAGCGTATGAGCCCCAGTTGTGGGTTCCGGCTCCGTTCTTAGGCATGGACTTGTTCAGACCAGACTTGGACTCGGAGCGGTCCCTGATCACGGCACGAGGGTTCGTTGCGCGTTCAGTACGGGTCATGGTGGGCGATGAGGTGAGAGATACGGTATCGATGTGGTTGTTTTCAAAGAAGTTGTGGGGTAAATTGGATGGATTACCACTGCTGCGTCGCTCCCTTTATAAGGCCATGGGGTCCGAACCTTAAGCATAGCCCCACGCCTCGCGTGACCTTTCAATTAGATCGAATCTAGAGCATTCCAGTTGCTGCGTCCGTCGACTCTCGTCCCGCCGATGTTCTCGATTTGTGTTCGTTTCTGTGGTCCCCTGTGTGTCCAACCTACTAGGCAACCAGGCGCGTCGGGCGTCGGGCAACGATCTGCGATGCCCAAATATGGATCTGGGGAGTCGTGGAAAAGGATTGGATAATCGAATGCGGGGTATGGTGGGAATCTACGATCATTACAGCGCCTCCTAGCGCCCGGTCCGCGCTCACTGGCAGACCGCGCACAGCGTAGCATGTCCGAGATTCTGAACGAAGTCAGGGCGCTGCTTCTCCCCGCGGACGATGCACAAGTTGCTCTAGAAGTTCTCGTTGCTGATGAAGAGAAGTCTAACAATCCAGGAAGTAGCGATCAACCACACCTTCTTGCAGTTATATCGCATATCAGCAGTGGGTCTTCTCAGGCCGGAGGACACGAGGAGGGCAGGTGACATTAGTTCTATCTACTGCAGACGTACGGTTGAATTTCTTTCCCTAGCGTTTTCTTGCTCAGACGGTCGCCTTCGGAACGATTTGAGATCCAGCGTGTCTTCCCTATATTCCGCGATTTATCCCTCAATCTCGCTCAGAGCAGGCGTGCAACCCTCGACCTCAGCGCGGCTGCAAAGCCTGTTTCAAATCAGCCGAGAACAGGTGTGTAGGTGTGCTCATCTATACGTATAGATAGACCAACTGCTTGGTCAGGGTTTGTACTCACATTGCAGCCGGGCTCTCAAATTCCACCCCTTGTGCTCACTGCCTTCGACACCCACAACCTGCGACCTCTATTATCTGAATGCAAACGTTTGCAGGAATTAGCTTGTAAGCAAGGGTAATATGTTGCAGCTAACCCGGATAGCACTCATGCCCTATCGCTTGGTCAGTGACGCATTCCACGGACCAGGGTGCTGCATACCCATGGCTTCTGCCGTATACACTCCGTAAAAATACCCAACCGATCAGTGCGTGTCGATCTCCTCGTATGCAATTGATAGATACTGACCACCTTCAAGTGTCCCACACGCCAATAGATTTACGTATCCTCAACAAACCCTTACACGAGCGGCTATCTCCTGCAAGTGCAGGTCTCCCCGGCGATGATGCAGCTGATATAACGCTTATTCGCGACCACTGGGTACGCCAACAAGCGCGAAATGCATGTCACAAGGGGACCCACCAGTTGACGTGAGTGCATGTCGCCATTGGTGCGGCAGTGATGTAATGATCACCTGAACAGATTGCGCGTTGGGACCTTCAATGTCAACGGTAAACCCCCTTCGGAAGACCTTGCTGCGTGGATTCGTGGCACAGAATCCTTTGCTTCGAAACTACCCCCGCTTGAAAACCTATCTCCGCTCTCAATAGGCCTTTCAGAGCGTCCGCATTCCGACCTCCAAAGAGCTTTGTCGTCCAATGCATCCAGCCTTGACCGGGACCCCGACATATTTGTCTTTGGTTTCCAAGAACTAGATCTTTCGACAGAAGCGCTATTGTATTCCACTAGTACGATCAAAGAGGATTCTTGGACTGCTGCTATTTTCGCTTCGCTTGGAAACAAAGCACCGCAGTACACAAAGGTCACCATTCTTCTTGCAGCGCATGTGACGTCATTTGAATGGATTCTACACGCGTTATTAGCTTGCTTCAAAGCAATTAGTTGGCATGTTAATTGTTATCGTTGTCAAAGCGGATCTGAAGCCCTGTTTCTCGGATGTTCGGCTATCGGCGACGGGAGCAGGCATCATGGGTGTAATGGTTCTCACACATCCTCTTTGTCCTCTTTCAAAGTCAAACTGAATAGGGCAATTGACATAGGGCAACAAAGGAGGCACCGCCGTTCGCCTCGCGTTCACTCCGCCGGCACAAGACAAGGGATCGTCTGGGTTTAGACCCACGATACTGACCTTTGTCAATACTCACCTTGCGGCCTTTGACGAAATGGTGGACAAACGAAACATGGACTTCCACGACCTATCCAAGCGTCTAGGGTTCTCCTCCTATACCCCTGTGGAGGCCGTCAACCCTCCCCAGACGAGTATTTATGAAAGCGATGTCTTAATATGGATGGTAAGTGCGACGTCGCTTTCGGGAATAGCCACTTCCTCACCTGTCTTGGTCTGCAGGGAGGTAAGGGCATCAATACGCTCGGCGTCCGGCTTCGCTTCAATTCCCATGTCTGTAGACTTGAACTATCGGATAGACCTACCGGACGGAGAAGTTCGGTCCATATTGACGACTTGGCCTGAAGACACGAGATATAGAACGTTACTGAGATACGATCAGGTCACATCACTTATTCTAATCCTCAAGTTGAGGCTCGCTAATACTAGGCATTGATTCAGCTTAGAAATGCCATCGCTGGGCGAAGGGCCTTCGAATTGTTCAAAGAATTTGCAATTAACCATCATCCGTAAATGCATCAACTCGCCATAATCGATCTTCCTCGGACTTATTATGCAGATCATACCGGTATGGCTCAGGCATGACAGATGAGCTCGGCTACGACCTGAAGTCAGTTGAAATGTGAATGGCTTTGTTCGATCTCGAATGCTGATCTCGTATAGACGAAGGCCGGCCTGGACAGATCGTATCTTGCATCTCGCCTCCCCTTCTGTGCATGTCAAGCAACTCAACTACCAAGTTCATCCGACAGTCACCTTATCAGACCACCGGCCTGTGTCGGCGGAATTCATAGTACCCGTGAGTCATTCTCCAATCCAGTATGCGACCTTCAGCAAGAACTCCTCGTAGATTGACGTACTACCTGAGAGCGAGTATCATGAGTCCGTACGGCGTTTGCTTCGCCAAGTTGCCCCTACTTCACCGCAAGAGGAATTGAGGCCTATTATCTCCGTCGAAGACACATCCATCCATTTTGGCCAAATACGGTAAGTCCATTACCATAAACGTGGTGCTAATGCCTAATCGCGCCAGTTACAAGCAATTGGCGTCCCGGACCATTCGCGTCAAAAACACGGGCAAGGTACGTGTAAGGCATGTTCATGGATGTGGTGATTATAACGAAATCCAGGTGCCATGCTGCTGGCGATTCATCCCAATTACGCCAAATGAAGCCATCAGTGAGCACTGCATTCGACTGCCGAAGCTGTTTATAACTTCATTATTGTATGCACCTGTGTAGGTCCTGAGTGGTTGCGGATCCTCCCATTGAACGTGGGGCTTAATCACCGCTCTGCTGCGTGCTGCTCCCACTAACTGTGCTTGAAGGGTCTCCTTCTGCCTTCTGAAGTCGCCTCCATAAATTTGGAGATTAACATTGAGACCAAGGAGGCTGCGACTCTCAATCTGGGGCCAAAGGTTCTTGGTGCAGCATTGATCCTGCATACTGCGTTTGGAAAGGATCATTTCATATCCGTTGGAGCAGAATATCGTGAGTGTGCTAATACCGGATATCTTATACAACCAATTAACTCAAGGTTAGAATACTCATGCTTTGCCAACAACTTGACCCGTCTAACGCACTTGCCTGGTCCGGTGCGCTCCCTCAAGTCCCAAAATGACCTTCTACCCGAAAATCGCGGCGTGAATGCGCCCAGAGAAATAATGCGCCTTGTGGATTGGCTAATGAAAAGTGCCGACATCGTACGCATTTTCTGAGTTGCGGACACGCTTTGAAGAAGTCTTATTCCTCATCTAGAGTAAACTTCTAGACTCGTCCTCTGATCCACAGGTTGTGGCGCAACTGCGAGAGGTTAGAAATGTCGGACATGCAATCAACCATTGCTGAATCCGATGTATAGCATCTGGATACTGGTACCGACTTTCCGCATCCTGTTGGAGATGTAGATCCAGCAATATCGCGAGCATTCTGGGACACCCTATGGGAGTTGATTATGTCCCTCACAGAGCCGATCGTGCCGTTCCCTCTGCAAGCTCGATGCACGCAAATGACAAGTCGTGACGAGGCGTTCGAGGTACTTCAGCAATTAGCTTTATCCGCCGGGAGTTAAACTGAACGCGTTGCTCTCAGTTTCTCAGCGAGTTAACCCCCGCGGCGGTCAACGTGTGGATCTCCGTTACTGCGTTCTTGCAATTTTTGTGCCAAGCTGACTCGTCTGATACTGCCCGTCGTGTTGGTGCGTTACAGTCCTGAATACAATATTACTGATACAAATGATGAACGAAACATTCCTAGCTACTATGTGCTTCCCTGCTTTACTCCCAGATGATCCAAATCCGCAATCGACACCGATTTCGCCGTTGGCGAAAGTAAACTTCATACTGTACTTTATAACTTAGCGGGTCTTAATATACGCTATGTGTGTAGCCGGGCGATTATAGAGGTTTCAAGTTGGGTATCGATCGTTAAACCTTTTGCGTGCCTTTGCGGTGTACCACCAGGAAGCGTGCTATGATCATCAGGAGTTGCCCAATGGTCATGACCACCTACAGAGGTAAAGACTAAGGACTGTGCACCCCGGGAATGATGTAAACGACTTACGCCTCCGAAGACAACAGGGCGCCACCAGATATAATCACTTGTCAGCAGAGCACCTGCAATAGGACTCCCTGCACACCAAGCGATATGTTTGTGGATCTCGATCTCGATCAATCGGCTAGCTCACCTACAAGGCCACCAAATCCTGCGCAAGTCGTGTAAGACACCGCAAAGGTTAGAAATAAGAGCCAATTACCCATTAGTGTGAAACAAAGGCCCATCCGGGCACCGATTTCGTTGAAGTCGCGAGCAAGGGATGCTAAACATGACGGGGCATGCAGGTGAGCGCGTGTACATCGTCTAGTGGCAACTCTAAGACGCACCAAGCAAAGGAGGCATCAACGTGACCACTGCAGCGATCGCAAATTAATCAAGCAGGCGTTTCAGAAGCACATAGATTGACGTGGTACTTACCTGATCCAGAGAACAGTCCGAAGAAAATGGCGAAACAGACTACACCGGCGACTGTCTTGACGACCATGAAGCAGAACATCAAGGCAATTATCCCGAAGGTGTTGACGACCATGAGGTTAATGACACCAAAGCGCTGGACGAAGAACCCCGGGATGAGACGACCCACGACGCTCGCTCCATTCATGATTGATATCTGCCATGCATGGTTGGCTACCGCGCACACAGAACTGATCAGCCACTCACCGAGTAGAAGGCGAATGTACGGTTCATTCCGCCCTTGACTACTTTCAATTGGAGGAAGAAAATGGGAATGAACATGGCCGTCATGCACAAGAACCCTCTACGACACGTGAGTGGTATAGATATAGAGACAGTGGAGTTGTGAGAAACTCACGAGAACACGACGAAGACATAAGGGATATCTCGAATGAATGCTTTGACATGGATGCTTGCCGCTTTCTTCGGAGGCAATCGAGGCTTCATGAGCACATTCGCCAAGAGGAGGAGTCCGAGGTTCATGCCAGCACTGGCGCGAACACCATTGTGGAAGCCAAATGAACCGTGAAACAGTCTGTTGAGCATGATCGGGTGGATAACGGCCCCTGCTGATGCCTGAAGGGGTTCTCAGTAAAACATGGAATTGATAAATTGGGACCTCATACTCACCCCAGCAGAGACTATCCCCATCGTCAAAGCGCGTTTACGGTGGAAATAATGGGATGGAATGCCTAGACCTGTTGGATGTGAGATATCTCCCTGAATAGAAGCCTAGAAGTACATACTGGGGATATACATAACACCGCACCCCACTCCTCCAAGGAGACCATGGGTAAGAAAGACCTAATTATATTCAGATGCGAGTGGTTAGTACTACCGAAGCGCTGCATTCGTTGCGTTATACCTGATAATACTGGTCCTGATGCGATAGCGACAACATGAAGACTGGGTTGTTTTAGTATGGGCTTTAAGCGGATTCGATATGACATACAGGCAAACCCATGCAATATAGTGCCTCCGAGCACTAAGTGATGGCTAGACAAGCATTGGGGATTAGGGATGCTGGCATCGTGGAAACGGGCAATACTTACAAATACCCAGCATCAAAGGCTCTACCCGTGAATAGCCCCATTGACATGATCAACATAACCTGAATGCTGCCGATCCATCTGGGCACGGTGAATAAGTACAAGGTGGGTCGAAGGCACGGAAAGGCTTACCCTATCTCACTTGATGAATATGCAGTCAGATACTCCCGTACATAGAAGTCTACATCACGTTAGGAATACTTCCGGAGTAGAGACTAATCCATATCTAACTATTATAGCTATCAGTTACTTCGTTAGGACTAGTGGACGGTAGCCACATACCCTTGATACACTCCGAAAGAGCTGATGTACCTGCAAGACGGTTCATCTCTTGTGGAATACTTCCAAGATAGGGCTTACCCGAACGTGCAGAATTGCACGAGGATACTGTGTGCGTAGATAGATTCAGCGCCATCGTGGAAAGATCACGAATGGTACTTACGCGCCCAATACGGACAACCAAGCTTGGAGTCCGCCTTCAGGAAATTCTTGATGAGATGACGGAAGAACCGTCTCTTTTACAGAAATTTCCTGCTTTTCTTTATCGTCCATTGAGTGCAGGGTCGGCGTGTCTCCTTCTCCTTCTCTATAATCGGGCAGTGATGCCGCCATTTCTTCTGCTTGTCTTGGACTGGGCTACCGAGGTTGGCAATGAGTACAGCAATGAATATTGAGGGGGAAGGATCTGGTGACAAGTCGACTTGTTACCGAGCTCGTTGTATTGTAGGCATATACGGTGCCCGAAGCCGATGAAGGGTCTTGTATATTTGTCAGTTGATCATAACCCTCAGAGTGTGCCCCCATATTTTGCCGGATATAGCAGGTAGTGAAAGGCACCTTGACCAGGAGGACAAGCAGGAGGACACCTGAGTTTGCCAAGTACACCGGCAGAAGGAACCAGCCGGTGTTCTACACTTTCACGTGGGGTACAGTGGGGAGGCTCCGGCAATTTGACTTCGAACTTCAACGTTTCAACGAACGCGCAGTCCATGAAAACTCGAAGTTTATGAAGATATTCTGGCGTGCTATTGCGCAAAATTGAACTGAGAAAAACTTCAGGAATGAGAACGAGGTATGATCTCGGACATACGTTTCAAATATTGGACATCTGCGCTCCGTTTGCTGTTCGAAAAACCAGGAAACCTTGTAGCCGAGACTGGCATTAAGACCGCCTTCCTCAAGTTCATTCTGCCTAGCGACGAGGGGGTCAGTAGGCAATCAGTAGGTACATAGAGCGTAATGTAACTCACGGCCTACATGATGTTATGCAAGTACTATTACGGTGGATTCCGCGCCACCCTTTCTAGAAGCCAAGGGCCGAGTCTTATTCCTGCACGTAAAGTTAGTAAGTCACTTGGAACATGAGGCAACACGAGGCGAACAGTCATTTCTCCAAGTTCATGGGCGCTTACACGGCGCTTGCCGGAACTCCTCTCCGTTCGACATTGGCTCCGTCGCGGCCTCACAACAGAGACTGCGGGACCACCGTGGACTCGGCAGAAATTCTTGGTAGCTGGTGAGTAGCACTGCGAGGCATCTAGAATTCCTCGCACCGGATGATCACGCCGAGAAGCCACACCCACGCTCCGATTCTCATGGTGAAGCGTATGCCTTGCTTTGTAGCCAGTGAGGTTGCCGATCGACGTGCCGGACTTGCCCTCGATGTACCTTCCGGTTAAGTGCGCCGCCGCAGTAAATGATTGGGGCTTGGACTGCTTTGTGCGGACAGTCTGTGAACTTACCTGATGCACGTTGCTCCCTTGTATTTCCCTTTGGCACAAGGACACATGATGATTATCGTGCAATATGTCAGTGGGCTGGCTCTCGCTGACTTTGTATCCCAGGCCCCCTTCTGGGTTCCAAAGCCGGCAAATTCGCAACCTCTACCATCGATTACTCATCATGAGGTATTGGGCAGGCAAGTCGCATTTGCAATTCAAGGAGTGCCCCTGCACCCAAGAGACTCATACTATTCATCGGCGTGTAGTAGCGCATCTCATTGGCCATGAAATTGCGGCCCAGTTTCATTCAAAAGGCTCGGACTCTGACATCACGGCTTTGCAGCGGCAAGCAAAGATCTTAATCTGTCCTGCCGACGGCGCCGGCGGCTTGGAGGAGCTAAAAGCGGTATCGTATCGCCAGGGACCCACCATTGGGTACCTGGTCTAATATTTTAGGGGTCACGAGTTTTTTAATAGAAAACCGCCAGCCAGATCATGGCCTATGGTCGTGTTGCCATCCTACTACTACAAAGCCTCTTCGCCATCCCGGCCAGAAGTCGCCCGTCCGACTATCTTCCCATCTTCCATACAACAAGTGCACCCCCGGGGCCATCATGACCGAATCTTTAGACTTAGAGAAGCATGTCTCCACAAAATACTCTGAGCCAGAAACGGAGGAGTCTTCGCTGTCGGCTGAGTTCCCAGAGGGTGGTTTGCAAGGGTGGTTGACTTTGCTCGGAGTGTACGTGTTTTCTGCCTGACTTGCGACGGGGCCGATTAATTCATGCCAATACAGATGGATCGTACAATTCGTAACGTTCGGGTGAGCGCCCTATAGCTGTTTTCAAGTCGGCACTCTTTGAGCTCATGCATACGTCTCAGATATACGAACGCCTACGGCGTCTACAACGGTAACTACTTTGTCCTCCCTCAAGCTATCAAAGGCAAGTCCTAACGGCACCATTGATAGACTATTATGTTCGAGAGTATCTGAGTCCAAAATACGCGTCCTCCGAAATCAGGTGCGTATCCTGCCATGCCTCTTGATCATCGTCTTTACCGATGGTTTCAGTTGGATTGGGAGCGTCCAGCTCCTTCTGGTCCTATCAAGCGGACTTGTTACCGGAAGGGCCTTTGATAGCGGTTATTTGTGGGTGATTTATAGATGCCATCGTTATCCTCCCTGATCAGGCATCAGCTATCCGCTCATGTACGGGGGCTCCGCATTATTCGTGTTCTGCCTGTTCATGCTCTCCATCACGAAACCAGAGCAATATTACCAAGTCTGTACCTCTTTGATGCCCTCTCCACCGCCCATTGATATGTGAACTCCCATAGGTATTTTTATGTCAAGGACTGGGACTGGGACTTGCCATTGGGATTACATATGTCCCATGCCTCGGCGTTCTTTCCCACTACTTCCGCCGCCGTAGGGCTCTTATATTAGGCATTGCTTCTTCTGGGGTAAAGACGATCTTCTGTGCATCGTTCTTCACGTTACTTACTCACGTTGCAGTCTGCGGTTGGCGGAATCATTCACCCGATCATGCTGAACAAATTATTCTATGGCGCTGCAGGCTTTCATCAAGGCGTCAGAGCCAGCGCTGCCCTCAACCTCGGGCTTCTCGCCTTTGCATGCCTCCTCATGAGAACACGGTTACCCCCTAAGCAGTCTAGGGGTCCAAGTGTGGTTCAACAGTTTTGGAACTTCATCCACGACCCTGCCTATGTCATCATGGTATTCGGGTGAGTAGCTCAGGTACACATTCATTAGACCGTGGAGTGACCTTTTATATCTTGGCCTCGTCGTTGTCAAGGACTGTGGTGACAATATGTGGAATCTTTTTCCCGATTTTCTTCGTCCAACTCAAGGCTGTCGTAAACGGCTTAGATCCCAATGTGGCCTTCTACACGGTGAGATCTGCATTGTTTCCGTCACCTCTTTGGCTCATCACGAATTACTTCCTGGATATAGTTAGCAGTCCTCAATACTGCGAGCACCGTAGGACGAATCGTTCCCAACTTTATCGTGGGTCGCTTCGGTGTCTTCAATGTTGTCATCCCATGTGTCGCCGCCTGCGCCATCCTCAATTTCTGCGCACTTGCGGTAAACGATGCCGCAGGGACAATCATCTTTGCCATCACGTTCGGCTTCTTCTCCGGTGCATGTGAGTCGATGCCGTTTACCCCTCCCACAAAGCACTAACCCAAAACTTAGACATTGGACTCCTTGCTCCAATGATCAGCTCGTTAGCACGAAACGATGCGGAAATTGGCGCGCGGATGGGGATCTGCTTTACATTTACCGGTACGCCCTTGACATCATTTCTCATGCTAGCGGTCATACTCAGGCTATGATATGACATACAGGGATGGGCGGTCTTGTTGGTATGTAAAATCTCCGCACTACGGGAGGTTACAAGCATAGCTCATCGCAACGATTTGCCATGTAGGAACACCGATCGCGGGAGCACTTCTCACGTCCCATTATATCTGGTGGCGCCCTATTCTCTTCGCCGGGGTAAGATGTCTGTATTTGCAGTGGTGATAAGTCTGAACTGATTTACTGATTGTTTCAGCTGACCGTCACTTGTGGCTGTCTTTGTTTCTGCACGACTTGGTTTCTCCTCATGAGGGCAAAACGTGCCCAAAGTTCATAACATGAACATAACATCATTCTCCTCGCGGATCCACAAAAATGATATGTGGTTCTTGAATCATTGGCTCTCATACGACATATCAGGTCTGAGGCCTTGGGACCCATTCGTCCTGAAATATAATTCATACGTCCCAAAGTAGAAAGTATTCACATTGCCCTCTTGACCAGATAGATAATATTTACGATGTTGTACATGATATTTATACTTACGAGCATAATGCCTATCTATCACATTCCATTGTAGAGCATCGTAAGCCGTCGACTGAACGACATACAGAGCTCCCTGATCCCTATTTCTTAAGCTCCTATCTAAAACCTCGTGATCAGAAGCGACCTCAGGAGCTTGTTCCATTAGTGTGACTCTTTTCTTCGTTTCGACTAACGATGGTGAGCCATTCATCTCTGCCTCGACCCTTTATCCATTGCTCAACGTCCCCAGGCATCCCTTCATTTCTGCTCTGAATGTAACAATCTACTTTACCCCAAGGCAGACGCGGGTCGCAGCTTGTTGACTTATTCATGTCGCATCTGCGCTTATGAAGAAGATGCAGAGAACAAGTGTGTCTATAGAAACGATTTGTTGACGGTCACCAAGTACGTTGTCGCCCTCTACTGCTGAAATCTACTGTACCCGAACGATTGTGGCAGAGAACAAGTTGGTGTAACGACAGACTTGGGATCAGACACCACCCTTGTAAGCATTTGTCTTGCCTTCCATAAGACCGGACATCTGACGATTCCATAATATATGTAGGCTCATTCCAATATTCGATGTTCGGCCTGTGGAAATGAAGAGTACGTTTCTGCGGCAGCACCATCGAACGTTTATTGATATCTTCCACTGTGTTGCAGTGCTGTGTTTTACCAGGATCAGTCGAAGCGGAAGGAAACTCGCATGATTCTGTTCTTCGTGTGCACGAAATGCGACCACAGCTTCATCGATCCGAGACTAGCCAGTAGAGAGGCAAATAGTGGAGAGGCGACTGGCGGAGACATGTAATTGACGTAGACTGTCAATTCATGCTCCTTGGTTCAGCTCTAGCAGGCTTCTACCATGATATGCACGCGCACTTGGATCATAGAGGTCATGTGGTATATTGCTACGCTGTACGTGTTCTACGGCGCTCGGTTATGTATCTTCTCGCACCAGTTGAGGACTTTTGTCCCCGTCCTCTCCACGAGCCCCTGATAATCTAAATTCTGCCTAGGGATAAACAATCCAGTATGTGCAGCAACCTCGTCATTCACCCCCTCAATCAATACCCTCTCCCAATTGCTGTCGCCTCCAAGGAGTTTGCCCAGTCCAGTAGGCAATACGATAAAATGTTTCCCTGGTTTGGGTTTCTTCTCTTTCTTCTTGCTATCCTTTTTCTTCTTGTCAGGCGGCGCGTGCACTACGCCAGTTTCCAGCAACACTGCATCGTTCTCCGCAACGTCATCCTCACTGTCCGATAGCCTGGGGGATTTGGGTCGAGTTTGGGTCCAATAGTTTACCCAGAGACCCCCTTTCCAGCCCACCAAATTCGCATACCGCTCTCGAAGGCCCGGTGGATCAAACATGCAGATTCCGAATTGGAAGCGCTCGACGATCCATCGTTTTCCAGCTTTCAATGGTTCATCTCGATGTTTACGAACCCAACGAACGATAGGATCATCTGAGCGCGCGGAAACGTAGTCGAGAGCACGGTCTAGAAGCCCAGGGGACGGAGAACGGGACGACTGCGATATGCTCGAATGTGACGAAGATAGAGATGTCGTACTGACTGCCATCTAATCAGCGAGCCTCAGCGGCGAACGCAAGTGGATCACCCACCATCAAGCTTCCGTTTGAAGCCCTCCCAGTCGTCCGTGACCTTCGCGTCCACCATGTTCACTTTGTCCATGTTGTTCATCTCCACCTCTGACGCCTTCTCGTCATCCTTGTCACCAGGCAGTAGAGAAGAAATGCCACTAATTATAACGTGGGGATGCATGCCTAGGTACGGGCAATCGAAGGCGATCATGCCCATAATGCGGCGGGGCTTTGCGCCTGGATGCTCCCCTGGGTTATTCGAAGGATGGGTGGCCGCTTCCGCAGCCAAAAGCCCACCCATCGAATGCCCCAAGAGGATGACGGGGCCAGGGGGCTGAGTGGAAAGCCTAGCCATATTGCGATTGCGTTAACTCATTAATACAGCAGAATGGAAGCTGTAGATACCATTCAAGAAAGTTCTTCGTTGCATGGGAGATGGGCTTGACGCTTTTGTACGTAGGGTATATCCTGCTGATGATCTTGACTTTCAAATGGGCGGGAACGCGGGCAGCAACGTGCTCCTGCAAATGTGTTGGAAAGGACTACTCGGTTCACGCGAGTCAGAATGACAGGCTATTCAAGTCTACGACGGCGCTCGCCTGGAAGGTTGTGTCGTTTCCTATTGTTATTGGATCAGATCACATCGCGACGAACGATGCTCCCACTCACCTTGGAATCCATGGATGTAGACCAAATGCACCGTCGTCAAGCTCATTTCACTGACTCCACCGCGCTCGCGATGTGGGAGTACTAGGCAGAGCTGCGGAAACCCAAATATCCCCTTCTGATCATTGGACTTGGCGCATCATTCGTGGTTCGGTTACTGGCCATAAGGCTCGCCTTTCGATTTTGAAGACGAAAGGGTGTTGTAGAGCATCCGTTAGTGGCCGGGATCAGCAAGCGCGTCTTGCTCTCAACCATCATCACGATTTCGCACGAGGCGCGCACAACACGATCACGACGCCATTAACGACGCCCTCCATAGAGCTAGATCCGTTTCGTCGTTCAAACCACCCGAAAAGATGTCTTCGATGAGGAGCAGTCTTTTAGCCAGCTTTTAGTGCAGAACTCGCTACCAGGGCACGACGGCTCACTTGACCATCACGTATATCGATGTCAGCATTCGAGAAAACTCTGCTGGGCGACTTCTTGGATTCATCGACACAACGCGTTCCGGACGGCGTGGAGATCTTGTCTTCAAGTTCAAACTCCTCGCGAGTCGTGGTACTCAGCTTCAATGATGGCCATAGCAGATTCCAGGCTGGCCATTCCTCGCAGATGACTTCGCTGCTCCAGCCTTTCTTCCTGACTTCGGAGGCTGGATTGCGACTACGAACATTGCTTCTATGTCTCGACTGGCATCAAGATCAAGCTCATGCACGATATGATGCATCACTTTTTTGTATCAGGACTCCCATGTCGCAGTCTACATGTTCTCCCGAGGTTTTCGTCCTTGCGGTTCAGATCGCTCGGTCCTTTCTGCCACAGCTCCTCCAGGAGGTGGCGTCCTCTAATATACCTAAATGTGGTGGACAACGCTTGACATAACTTGACATGTCCTCTCTAAATCCCCGTGATCCTGGCAATGCAGTTGTAAAGTGCAGACTCGACAATGATAGGTGGCAGAGCCTTGTGCCCGGATGGTTACGATTGGACGCTGCTAAGCAGACTTTCATACACGACTTGGACGGGCCATCGCTTTACCCACAGGATGTCGTAGTGGAAGCCCTATTGGATGCGCGAATCGCGAATGTCCATAATAACTATAGCATCTTTTGTCAAGAACCATCTTCTCGTTCCTGGCTACTTATCATGCCGTTTGTACGGTTCTCCACTTCGGCGGGGATGGAAACTGCATGATCATCGTCGACCGTTTGGCCAGGTGTAGGACCAGTGCTTTGATGTATCGGCTTTTTGATGAGCCCACGCATGGCAGGTTTCGTTATATCTATTCTATTCTATCTGTTTTTCTGACTCCATGGACAGCCTGGGACAGTCACAATTGCGGGTGTTCCGTAGGGAATTAGCACATGGCGACTGCTCATCTCCGACCGTCGTATCGACTCGCCTCCATCAGCTCAGATGTCGAATTTCGAACCAGATGTGGACGTTCTCTACTCGTCAAAGTCGCTGCCGTTATAGCTGTGCTCCACGTGGGCCATAATCACTAATACATTACCTTCCCCGACAAGGTCATTACTTGAAGCCGAGTCATGCGCTGTGCTCTCCGCCACCCTGCCTCCGAGGAACCCAGATACCCGCCTTTCAATACGCCTTCCGCATGTAAACTATCAATGGGTTTCCCCGTTCAGTCTGAGGAACGCTGGGTCAGATCTTATCATACGCAGTCATCACCAATGGGCCTCTTTCGGGATGGGAATAATACAGAATCAGAACGTTTGTCATGCTATGAGAGTGTCAAGTTTCAACCTTGAGGGCGTTTAGTTATTAGTCTAATTAGGGTGACCTTTACGACATGAGTCTTGCCCAAGACTTTTCCCCTGGCACAGTTACGGCCTGCAGCGTCCTAGACTTGGGCTACCATAGCCTTCGAGTCTCGAACGCTTATTTATGGCGCCGGTGAGTCTGCATATCAATGATCTTAGTTAATCGTCTGATTGGTGGACTTTTGCTTCCGTTTGGTGGCAGCTATGGGAAATTGCCATTCAAGAAGAAGCGAAGAAGCAGAAGTAAGGCAGGGTCGATAATGACTTTGCCGAGACGTTGCAATTTTGCAATTTCCACATCTCAATTAGTATGTCAATAATTAATTCTGCTATACAATCTTTGACAAAATAATGCCATGCCTATAAACTTTTGACTACAAGTTGCCGTAGATCGACTTCGAAATACCTCCAGAGCGCGCGGAGCGCCCCAGCTATAAACTCGGTTGCTGCACTACTTTAGTGTGAAGAGTACGAAGAAATTTTCCAATAAAATCATATCGTACGTATTCCTAAAGTGCATTTTATGCCGTAATTAGATTCCTTGCTTCCATTTCCAGATCGCCGAGGTGCTAGATCAGTTAAAAGGCAGGGTGTTCAATGTCTTCCTCCTCAGGTTTTCGTCTCTGCCGTTTACCTATCCATCGTTCGTCTTCAGACCTTGCGGCCGCACACTCTCGACGCTCACAATATGAAGTTCACATCCGTCATTGCTCTCGTCGCTACCGCAGCCACCCTCGTTGGTGCAGTCCCCTTCGAGACCAACGCTGAGCGTCTTGCCCGTGGTCTCCCTCCTCTCCCCCCTGCGCGCCGTGCATCTGGTGTTGAAGGTAGTGCTCCCTCACTTTAGCGTTGCTAGATCCTATCTGACGCGTCTATCAGCTGCCAAACCTAAGCCGTCACCTTCCCATGGGTGCAGCACAGGCCCTGTACAATGCTGCAATGACCTTGTGGATCGGAGTAACCACACCGTCGGCATTTTGATTGGCCTCCTCGGTATCGTTCTCGGGCCCGTAACTGGCTTGTTTGGTCTTGGTTGCAGTCCCCTCCTCGGCGGAGGAGCGAAATGGTAAGTGCATCCCATTGCTACGGGGAACCGTCTCCTGAGCCTCCTTCAGCCAATCCCAGACCGTCTGCTGCTCCGACAACAAGTTCAGCGGTATTATCAACATTGGCTGCTCCCCCAGTGAGTTTTTGCTGCCGTTTCTGACTCGGTTATGCTTCTTCAGGGCTGACGTTCTTTCAGTCAACATCGGCTTGTGAACAATTCGAAACCACTCCGATTGCATTTTCCACGACGAAGGCTCAAAGAGACTTATTTATCTCGAGCCGTGGTTCTACTGAACATTCGGCCGAGAATTCTTTTTCGTTGTTACATACTGGTACATACACTAGTCGTAGTGTATACGATACGTTCTTTACTCACCAAAAATCCTCGATAATTCTTCCAATATTGGCACTAGTTGTGGTTATACTCAACGTGGGTTCCTTTGATTGGCTTGCGCTCCGACATTCCATGGTTGTCGGTGCAATATACAAATTTCCTGTTCGTCAATTGTTAGTCAGAGCTTCTCGACTCTACGTGTGGGACATCGCCGCTAACAGCGCTTGCAATCTGTCACAAATGCAATCATACGCTTGTTGGTTGAAACGCATGGTGATTGGTGGCATGAGTTGATTGGCCCGACATTGACGTTCGTGGCAAGAAACCAATTGAATACGTGGGGATTGAACGCACTAATCGAGATAGCTGGAGTTGAAACACTTTGTTTCTCACAGGACCACTAATTCCAGGCCTCGTCGAGGTTATGATATCTATCCTTTCTAGGAAGTAAATCGCGCTCATGCCAAGTTCAGGTCTCTACAGCAGCAGTCCCTGGCCTGGCAGTGGCAGACACTGGACACTCCCGCGAGCGGGCTGATGACCACCAGTGATTGACAAAGAATGACTCAAGTGGTTAGTAAGAATATTTCAGCATGCGCATGCCGCGTAGCTTTTCTTTGTTCTTTCTAACGTTAACGCTTTGTCAAGGGTAGAAGTAAAGTAATCCGCCGGGTTGCGTGGAAGACTCTGATAGATTGCATACATGGAGGCCTGGATGTGCCGTACTCCTAGGACGTTATGTACGTTACCAGGTACAACTCTTAAGATGAATCAGAGAGATGGAATTCCTGATACCGCATGGAGTGTACTTAACTTCTGGAACCTGTAATTGTGGAAATAGGGGGAAGCTGTGATCGTGAGAATATCTGCTTACGCGTGGTAACTTCAAGTGCAGCAACTAGCAAGCCACCACGGCGATCTCCGAGCATTGTCTGGGTCCTATTCCCGAAGGCTAGTAAAGGTCAAGAATTTCGGTACGTCCTCAAGATGGTCAGAGGTGAGCTCGGTGCTGCTTGAGTTCACGACGTCCTGCTGAACGGCTGCTAGTCTACAAGCCAGGAAAGGTGAATTCAACAGCTGGGTTAATGTTGGTCGTGTGTTGAAAGGTGTTCTGGTGATTAGGTTGCAATCGTTCTCCAAGGGCGCCAGGCCGGAAAGAAGGTCGTCGTCATTAAACAGCTAGATGAGGGAACTAAGGAGCGACCATACCCCCACGCCATCGTCGCCGGTGTAGAACGCTACCCACGAAAAGTAACAAGACGTATGGGCCAGAAAAAGGTTGCGCGCCGCAGCAAGGTCAAGCCATTCGTGAAGGTGCGTGTTGTGTCCCACTGAACGGCGCAATTAAACTGACGTGCCTCTATAGGTCGTCAACTACTCGCATTTGTTCCCCACGCGATACGCTTTGGAACTCGAGGGATTGAAGGGTGTAGTTTCATCGGAGACTTTCAAGGAGCCAACACAACGAGAGGAGGCGAAGAAGACCGTCAAGAAGCTCCTGGAGGACCGGTATGTTAGTGGCAAGAACAAGTGGTTCTTCCAACCACTCAGAGTAAGTAATCTAAATGATTTTCCATCGGGCGCAACTAATGGTCTACCTGTAGTTCTGAGTATTCATGTCCTTCATCTCTCATTATTGCACAAAATATTGTATGACACACATGGCCATGATATGCAGTGATCCATCCATTCATACTACGTACATCGGATGTCTGTGGCAAAGATTTAGTGACGATAGCACAGCCAAATGGCTTCATCCACACATCGTCCTAGTGCCGCTTGTCTTGTCTTATTGAGCGGTCGAACGCGATTGTTTCAACATGCTTGAAATGTAATAGTCTCGGAGTGGCATAATCGATGCGCGTGCGCCGTCTTTTAGCATTGTTTGGTAGCTGCCCTCGATGCAAATAAGAGTGATCGACACACGCGCTCAGCGTCGCGTCCGTCTCGCGTTCTGGTTTCTGATTCTGAATCTGTTTTGAACGTGGAGGATTGAATATCGAAGACTTGTGAGTAACGAGACTTGTGATCTTCGAATCTACGCTCAGTCGCCTGCCTTCCCCTTATCCACTGAATCGACACGCCAGCCTGACACCATGTTTGGAGCATTTGGGAACACAGCGAACAATGCAACACCTGCGGCGGGAACCTCACTCTTCGGTGCTACATCCAATGCTCAGCCTCAGCAGCCCCAGCAGCAAACAGGCTCGCTGTTTGGGAATACTCAGAATCAGCAACAGCCGTCGCTATTCGGGGCCACCAATACGGGAAATGCTCCCAATCTGTTTGTGAACACTCAAGCGCAGCCAGGTGGCGGACTCTTCGGTCAGAACAACGCGCAGACACAGAATCAAGGGTCGGGCGGAGGCAGCTTGTTTGGGGGCCAGCAGGCTCAGCAGCAGCAGCAGCAACCCGGGACGAGTTTGTTTGGTAGTACCAACACAAACCAGCCTCAACAACAGCAGGGGACAAATCTTTACGGTGCCCCAGCTCAACAGACTCAACCAGCGGCCCCTGGCGGATTGTTCGGGAGCAAGCCTGCCGGATCCCTCTTCGGCCAAGGAGGCCTCAGCATCAATACGAATACGAGCCAAGGTAATAATACGAACAGCAACTCATTATTTGGCTCCGTCGGACAGTCAACACAGCAGCAACAGCAACAGCAACAACAACAACCCGCTGCTAACAATATCTTCGGCCAGCCACAACAACAAGGGGGACAAACGTCATTCGGGTCGAACCTTGGTCAATCTACTATTGGCAACCCAACGAATTCGCTCTTCGGGGGTAGCAACTTAGGTTCCAGCACTCTCGGGAACCTAGGACAGTCAAACCTTGGTGCAAGCAGCCTCCTGTCCCGAGCACCGTCATCTACACAGCAAAACCAACCCGATTCAGCTCAGGCCCAATTTGCGAAACTAACTGCGCAAATCGAGGCCATTGCGAATGCGTGGAACTCTTCTTCGCCGGAGTGCCGATTCCAAGTGAGTGGCAGCATATCTTCTATGATTTCGATCAACCCTTATGCTGTAATTATTAGCACTACTTCTACAATTTCGTGGATCCAAACCAGGTCAGCCTGTATGGTAGGCCGCCGAACACAGCAAACGAAGCCCTTTGGCAGCAAGCAGTCCGCGAAAATCCAGACCCCTCCTGGTAACGAAGTTCCACGATCTGCTATTCTTTTTTTGTTCACATGGACTTAGTCATGTACCCGTCCTCGCCGTTGGTTTCGATGACTTGCGCCAACGTGTTGAAGCTCAGGCTCAGAAAGCTTCTGAGCAACAGGAGCAGCTGAAGGTGAATTTTGAGCGACGTTACCTTAGCTTTAGCTAACTTCTGGCACAGAAACTCAAAACTGGTCTTAGCAACTTAACGCAACGTCATTCGCTGTCAAATTCTTCCCGCCTGTTACGCGCGGCGTCCTCTCAAACACAAATAATGCATCGACTTCTTACACTTATACAACATCTTCACTTATTAATTCCAAGCCTACGTTCGTCAGCTATACGGCCTGAGGAGGAAGAGCTGAGGGGTAAGCTAGAAGAAATCGAAGAGGAACTGAAACGAGGTAGGGGTAAAGGGAAAATCAATGAACTTTGGGCCTTAGTCGGAGCGATCAACGCCGCAAAAGAACGGGCAACCGGTGGCGGTTCCAATAGTTCGGGAGAATGGGTGGTTGTGGATGAAGAGGGGCTATCCCAAATCGCCGGCGTACGTTCTGTTTCTTTTCGTGCATGAGGGCAGCATGGTTCGTGAAGATTCTAACGCTCGGTTTCCCCAGGTGTTGTCGGAGCAACAGGCGGGTTTGATACATCTGACGAAAATATTACAAAAGGCGATCAAGGATCTGAACGTAATCATGGGGCGAGGGAGTAGCGCGGCCGATGAAGTTTATGAAGTAGATAGGGACGAGCTATGGAGCTCGACGAGTACACTACGAGCGAGTGCATTACGATAACTTCCCCAGTAAGTACCCGTGTCACTTTTGATCCACCAGAAACGACCTCATACTGCCCCGTTAGATATGTAGACTACAGTGATATCAGGACTGTCCCGACTAAATATACCAGCCTCGTGTCGCCGATGTTCGTGCCGTTGCGGATGCTGTGGAACCTATTCATGGAATTGCGTATCAGTCTTCTCATGCCTCCATCTGATAGTGGTCTCAGCGAATTTGACAAACATCGGCTGTCCATGCATGCTTTCAAAGGTAGATAGCTCCACCATCAGAGATAAGGATATCGCTCAGTGCTGTTCACATCTAGCTAAAGAAAAGGCGTACCATCCCCACTCTAATTTCTCTGTGGGCGCGGCTTTGCTATGTACTGATGGCCAAGTCATCACTGGCTGCAGTGTCGACAACGCGGCTTACGGTTAGCCAAAGCGAGCCCTTAGTCTCTAAAGATTTACCCACTGCGTAGGTGTATCCACTTGTGCTGAGCAAGTCGCCATCGTCAAAGCAGTGGTAAGCACATGTATATGCCGACTTGCCATCAAACTGATCTCGTTCAGAGCGAAGGGAGAAGATCATTCGTTGGTCTTGCAATCGTCTCGTACGTTGCACTCATTGCGTCGCTGATGCCTGCATTTTTGTCTGACGTGTAGATCCAAGCGACCTCTCTGTTCCAATCACACCCTGTGGAGTGTGCCGCCAAGTGCTTGCCGAGTTTTGTGACCCCGGGATGCCAGTCCCCCTTCTCGCAAACCATTCGCTCAACCCGGATAACAATTCTCGCGGGATGAAGGAAGTTACAATTGGGCACCTTCTTCCCTTTGGCACGGAACACACACAAGCTTGGGAAAGTAGACGAATCCCGGACGTCCCGAACGATCTCCATTCACTGTAATTGTGTCGTACCGTGAGTATATAACACTCATCACCTTCTGACCGTGTCATTTGACGCAGCTCAAATAAGGACCAACTGTCAGGCTATACGATTGAGGTGCGATGCGGTGGACTCCCTACCAAGACATTTTTTTCCTTCCTCCAGAATCAATGAGCCCTTGCCCGTGAGCCGGTATGCTTTGCGGACACCCGAGGCAGTTTGTCAAATCAGGACAATCAGTCGCGATTATCTTCACTTCCGGCCAGACACGCCTACTACTATTGCTTTGCTTCGCTTAGAACCGAGTGTATATATTCAAATCCTTCCCGAAGCACCGTTATTCTTAACCTTGTGTACTCTGCACTAGTATTCTTAATTTTCACAATTGTCAAGTGACTGCAGTGCTCCCTTTCGTGATAGGCTGTACGTAATAGGCTCGATATTGCCACGCGCGCCCCCCCTTTCATATTGCTCTGTGCCAGTGAAACCAAGCCTACGACTCTCTTGCATCCCGCCATTCCCGCCATTCTGGCCTATTTGACACATTAACCATTAAAGTCGCGCAAGAACTATCCAAGATCGCGTAAAAATGCGCTTTCGCACTCTCGAAATTCGTTGGCACGATAGCAAACCCATTTCAACTTGTGACTTTCAACCTGTTTCCTACAAAAAAGCGCGTCCAGGACCGAAACAAGAGCGCAATTATGCGGGACAGTCATATCGTCTTGTTACTGGTGGTGAAGATAACCACGTTATGGTACGGAAGTTACTACCAGACGCGACCTTCGCTTACCATTGCAAACATTCAGGTTTGGATGGTACATCCAAATATAAGGCCAACTTGCATACCCGATAGCGAAATTGTTCCAAGACCGCCGCGTATTGAATACCTATCGACTTTGAGCAGACATTCAGCTGCTGTGAATGTTGTGCGGTTCTCGCCGAATGGTGCGTGGACTCTACGTACGAGTGCAGGCCAACTGGTGACTAACCTCGCTTCAAACACGGACAGGAGAACTAATTGCTTCTGCTGGCGATGGTGTGTGATACCTGTGTGCTTTATGAAGAATTTGGCTCATTCTTCGTGCAGACGGTATGATCATAATTTGGGCGCCTTCAGCGCACCCAGCAGCGAGCACCTACGGGAGCGATCTCAGCCCTGAAGAGCTTCAACTTGAGAAAGAGCATTGGAAACCACGTATTACGTTCAGGTTGGAAATTAACTCTACCTAGTAACCGGCGTCTTGCTCACAGTGTTACGAAAGGTGTACTACCATGCAAGTCTACGATCTCGCTTGGAGTCCTTCAGGCGAATATATACTAGCAGGGAGCACTGACAACGCCGCTCGCGTTTTTGCGGCTGCTGATGGTGAATATGACCAACCTCCATTCATGCGAGGTTATTAACACGAAATTAGGCAAATGTGTGCACGAAATTGCTGAACATAGTCACTATGTGCAAGGCGTCGCTTGGGATCCTCTCAACGAGTATATAGCTACTCAGAGCAGTGACCGCTCAATGCATATATATCGGATCTCCACGAAACAGGGAACTTTCGAGGCCCATGCCGTCGGTCGCAATACACGACTACCGCACCAACGCCACAGCAGAACTCCAAGTTCCCATGGTCATAGTAGCAGCAGACCTCGTATGTTCCGTCGGGAGTCTACCGCCAGTGACGCCGAATCGGTTGCCAGCGAATATCTGAAGGATGATGTCCCAATGGCTTCTAGCTCGAGCCAATATTCTAAAGATGCAACCCCGTTGACTCCAGCGACGTCCGTTGCGAGCATGCCGTCTACTTCCATGTTTCCACCTCCCCCTATCGATAAACCATCTTCTCGAAGATCGTCATTTAGTAGCACGAATGCTCCTGGCTCCCCATCGACATTCAGTAGATATGGGCGTTCCCCATCGCCGATGCCGGCTCTTCCTGCCATTCGCACTTTGCCCTCAGCAGCAGCATGGTCACAAGTGAAACTATACGGCGACGAAAGCTTCACGAATTTCTTCCGTCGTCTCACGTTCAGCCCGGACGGTGGTCTGCTTCTAACACCGGCAGGCCAGTTTGAAGACCCCTCTGTCACACCAGGATCTTCGAAGGGGGCTAATGGTGACGAACACGGCACTCCTTCAAGAGGTCGTAGAAGTCGACAATCCGCGAGCACCGCCGACCTACCGCCTGCCGGCTCATCCTCGTCCTCTGTCTACATCTACAACCGCGCCAATTTTGCTCGCCCGCCAATTGCTCAACTTCCTGGCCATAAAAAGGCTAGCGTCGCAGTCAAATTCAATCCCATACTTTTCGATCTTCGCCAAGGGGTTGCTGGTGAGCCCGCCGCGGAGGTAAAATCTGGCGTATTGGAGAAAGGCCAAGATGGCGTCCTGGATATCGACATCGGGGCCATGTCCACGGAGTCAGTTCAACAGCAGCAACAACAACAACAAACTATGATGACTCCAAGCTTAACACCTCAAAGGACGCCTTCAGCGCCTCCACACACTCAGTTGCATCCATCCATAGTAGCACCCGCACCATTGCTTGCAGGAGCTGGCTCGAATTTCCTTCTTGCTTCGCCTGCAATCTCGCCCGTTGATCTGCGACCACCGACGCCCGCCGCATCAAAACCTTCTACACCAATTCGTGCTCAGACCCCATCCCATACCCCTTCCAATGTTGCCACTAGTTCCGTGTTCGCTCTGCCCTATCGAATGCTCTTTGCTGTCGCCACCATGGATTCCGTAGCTATCTATGATACCCAGCAAGCCGGGCCGATATGTTTATTGACGAAGCTGCATTATGATGAATTCACGGACTTATCCTGGTATGTTTAGAAGTTTCCCCTTCATCCCCACGGCGATTCACTGACCGCGTTCCACTAGGTCACCTGATGGGCAATGCCTCATTCTTTCTTCCCGCGATGGCTATTGTACACTGGTCATTTTCGACGAGATCCTCCAAGCGCATCATACGCAGCAAGCAACCCTTCAAGTCCAATCTATTGCGCATCACAATGCCGTCCCCCTTATAACGTCTAGCAACTCTTCGCACACAACCCATTCCGTCGCTAGCACACCGATAGCTACGCCGTCATCAACACATACGAGTCTCCCTCACGTTGTTACTCCTACAATACCTGCTAAGAGGAATGAGCCCCCATTGACACCTGCCAGCATCGACGGAGATCTTCCAACCTCTTCAGCGCTATTCCAACTTGCTTCTTCGAGTAAAACAAGTGAACCCGAAGGCGTAACCGAGAAGCGAGACGAAGAGCAGGACAAAGTTCAAGGCCCTCCAAAGAAGAAACGCAGAGTTGCCCTCACGAGGGTGGGCGATCTCGACTGACTTTCGTAACCATTCTATGTTATGCATCTCTCTTTTGTACAATTATCAATGCCTTAATCCTTGAAATGTCTTCTCTCGTCTTCGATCAAGTACTATATTACACTGTTTATATATACTTACGGTTCTTTTCCGTTGTCTTGTTTCGAAGTATCATTATACTGGCTGTTGCTTTGCCTTGCAGTAATGGCGCAGATACATTAACTTGTTCCCACCATTTATATAGCAAATGCTGGATAGCCATAAAATGATCTACATTCCATCGAAGTATGCCACCTAGCGACGAGAGTATGGAAAGATATCTCAAAGAGCACTCGCACCTGAGAAGCCACGTAAGAATGTGTGAGGGGTAAGAACGCGAAATGACAAACCAGTGATAATGTCGACAAGTTCGTTTGTGATAGCAGCTTGTCGTCCCCGATTGTACTGCATTTGAAGACTGCCGATCATATCTGAGGCGTTCTTCGAGGCACTGTCCATGGCATTACGACTGCGGAGAGTTAAGAAAAAATCATTCTATGAAACACTGGGGCTAAACATACCGAGCACTTTGTTCGCAGGCATGACCTTCCGTGAGTGCGGCGTAGACGGCGTTGGCTAATGAGAATTCAGCGAGGTCACCGGTGAAGTCGTCTTCCATCTCGTAAGCCTTGAATCCATCTGGAGAAGATATAAATATACAAAAGAGCCATCTAATGAAATGTCCTACCACTCTCTTTAAGGGCTTCGGCGCCCTTAACTTCCATAATGGCGGCTTCGTACGAAAGTGCAGACACGAATTTGTTGTAAACAAGAACGACGGAGTCGTATTTCACGCCACTTTTGATTATGAGATCTGCAACACCCGCGGCATCGGCAAAGGTGGGGATATCGCGACCGATTTGGTTGAAGGTCAGGACGAGGTTCTGAGGCAGAGCACGAATAAGTTGCATCTTCGACTTGTCGCCAATAACCATGACCGGGGAGTCACCCTCAATGGTAACGGAGGAACCTTCGGCAGTAGCAAAAGGAGAGTCGGTGGCATTGCTGATAGCACGGCGCGTCGCTTTCGAGACGGAAGAATGGATACCACCGCAGAGACCCTTGTCGGAGGAGACAACAATGAATAGTCTTCGTGCTGAAGACTTGTCGTCGGTCGCGACCTTGAAAACCTCTGGTTGCACGGTTCAGAACGTGGACATAGAGCGAGGTAGTTCAGACTCACCTGAATTAGCAAGTCCATACTCCTTGCCAGCCTGCATAGCCCTCTGTGCCTTCGCAAGCTTCGTCGAGGCAATCATTTTCATTGACTATAACTCCGGGCATGAGCCAATATTCCGTTAAATATTAGATTCATAGCAGACCTTGGTGATTTTCTCGATGTTTCTGACGGACTTGAGCCGTAACTCAATTTCACGGAGGGTGGCCATGTTACGCGCACCAGCCGGGGCCGCGCCCAGCGTCGGCTGGACAGCAATGCGAGCGAGAGAGCTTCTGAGGAGCATGGAGGTTTGGGAAGAGAAACTTTGGTAACAGTCGGGCGCTGACGGCGATTGGGCTACGAAAGGTCACAAAGTCCCACGATCACACGGAGTTTTAACTGACAGGATCATTTCAGCTTTAGAGTCATAATCAATAACTTGAATCATCTCACTCACACAAAATGGCATCGGAGGAACCACTATTTGACCCGTCGCTCAAGAAGCGCAAGAAGAAAGCCGTAGCCTTTACCGAGGATCCGTTGGGCGCCGATGCCGATCCCACTGCACCTGCACCTGAGACAATTGAGTCGACCACGACGAACGGCGATGTCGTTGATTTGGGACCAACGACAGCCCATGAACAGATGAAGCTCAACGGAGAGGATGTGGCAGGAGGGGAGCCACCAGTTGACGACGACTTCAAGGCAATGTTTGGTGACTTGAAGAAGAAGAAAAAGAAGAAGGAAATTCCAATGGATCTGGATCTTGTAGGCTCTTGCGCTCATAGTTTATTAAGGTAGACACTGAACGAGATGTCTAGGGCACTGACTCTGGTACAAGCGCTCCCGCGCCTGCTCCGGCAGCAGCAGCAACGGAAGATCTGGACTTCTCTGATATCAAGAAGAAGAAGAAGAAATCCACCAAGACCAAATATGACTTGGAGGCTTTCGAAAAGGAGCTGAATGACTCGAAGGCCAAAACAGCTGAAGAAGAGGAAGAGGATGTAGATGCTGCTGCTAATCCTAACCTCGATCACGTCGACGAGGCCGAGTTGGGGGAGAACCCCTTCGCTCAGGCGGACGCTCCGGTGGGAGTCGATGCTGGGAACGAGGCATGGCTGAAGAGCGACCGAGATTATACTTATCCTGAGGCAAGCAGTCTGTATCCTCCATGACCCCCGATCTAACATCTAGAAAGCTCTTAACCCGTTTCTATGCCTCTCTGCATGCTGCCAATCCCTCGCTTCTCTCTGCGTCATCACAAAAACGATATACCATCGCGCCTCCGTCAATCCATCGTGAGGGTAACAAGAAATCCATCTTCGCTAATATTTCTGATATTTGCAAACGGATGCATCGACAAGTAGGTTGCCTTGGTCGTCGCACGGCGCAAATTCTGAGATGATCTATTCTAGCCGGAGCATGTCATTCAGTTCCTGTTCGCTGAAATGGGTACTACGGGTAGTGTTGATGGTGCAGGTCGCCTCGTAATCAAAGGACGATTCCAACAAAAACAAGTGGAGAACGTCCTTCGAAGATATATTGGTACGATCGATGTCTCTTTAATTGATATGTATACTCACTTGCGAAAAAAAAGTTGAATATGTTACGTGCAAGACATGCAAGTCCCCGGACACGCTGCTTACAAAGGAGAATCGTATATTCTTCATGTCCTGCGAATCTTGCGGCAGTAGGCGTAGTGTCAACCCCATCAAGAGCGGTTTCCAAGCACAAGTGGGCAAGAGAAGCAAGAACAAAACCGGCTAGATACGTCTGGATGTGTACTTGTAGTCTATGTATCACGCATTATCTTGGATTGTACCGATGGCAATATAGTAGCGCACTGCATAAATCGTAGACAACCATTTACTTCCCGCTTTTACAACTCCGCGAGATATTGCTGATTCTCTACATCGCCCGAGGTGGTAAGTGTTAGTGCTGGTATTTCCGGATCGTCTTCTGGAGGAGGCAAGTCATTTAGCTGAATATCTGACTGATGCTCTGTCGCAATATTAACTTCGTCGGTGAAGGGTGTATAGTACGTTTCCCGGAGGTTTAGGACCAGGCGCGAGCCGAGAACGCAAGCGGCGCAAGAAACGGCGGCCTCTGGTAACTGTACAAGCTCAGGCTAAACGGACCCGTCAAGTTGTACTCGCCACATTGTGCATATAAGATACACTTACGGGCAAAGTACTCCACAAGACCGCGTTCGTGACATACAAGGAAACCGTTCTATGATCACAAGATCATTCGGAATACGGAAGGACGATCCGTTAACAATGACTCACATTAATGGATATAGTATACTATCTCGTAGTAGGACGGTCCAGATCGCAGTCCCGCCCTTGTCCTGGTTCGAGGACAGTCCCTTCGTGAACTTCATGTGCTTCCCAGCTACCCAGAGTACGAACACGGCGAGGACCGATTCGAACACTGCGGAAGGGACCCAGATGGCCCAGAGGAGGTTGATATTGGAAGGTGCGCAGATACTCATGTTTGGAGCTTGGAAAACAACTGGGAGGGCTGAATGATAAGTATTAGCGTTGAATCCACGCTCAGCATAGCGTCGTCAAGGTACGTGCATAATAAATGAGCGTATGAAAATCCAAGAATTACGGACATGGAAATTGCCTGGATGACGAAGGCCACCCCCAATATGGATGGTATTGGTATTTTGAACGGTGACGGATAGGGTTTACACATTGCGAGTACGCGGAGCTGCATGATTCCTAAAGACCCCAACTCTCAATGTAGTCCAGTGATGGGGTCAAATCGTAGGTTACCTTGCATTGCCCAAAGCGCAACGAATCCAGCAACAGCTTGGAACCACGCCCAAGACCGACCTAAATGATGAAGTGTTTATTAGACGCTATCGCGAGGGAAAGCAGCACGTACACCTGGGTGAACCAAAGCAATACAGGAATGCACTTGAGATTTGTGTTATTGCTCGCGAAATTTACTTACAGCTGACAGAAGTATTAGGGAGAAGCGTGGACGAGGATGTAGACTTCGAACCTTTGCCGATCTTGGATTAGACAGAAACACTGTGCACGGTTGGCATAGACTTTCAGTGAGATAGGTTGGTAGCAAGTACCTAGTGCATTTCCTCTATATTTTCGTGGTCTATGAGGTGGCACGCGTTGCGTTATAACAAAGGGAGAGACATACAGGGGGACGGCGCCTCCGACATATCTGTTCTGCGCTAGTTAGGAGAGGCGGATACTCAAGAAATGGGAGACTCACCAGGAGATACAATGTCTTCACGTGCGAATACCGCTTCTTCTACTCGCTGACTATCAGTCTTCAAAAAGCGGCACTCAAGGGCGGCACGTCACCCAAACAAGCTCGAACTATGTTGTATATCATTATCAAACATTCACAGTAGATATGCAGCGATGATGATACCTCTTGATCGAATGTTATTACTATCCATATGCGTGAGTTATTCCTGTCAAGGCACGCCCTATCGGCCACAGTGAGGACGCACTATATCATTATCAAACATTCACAGTAGATATGCAGCGATGATGATACCTCTTGATCGAATGTTATTACTATCCATATGCGTGAGTTATTCCTGTCAAGGCACGCCCTATCGGCCACAGTGAGGACGCACTATGTTCGTATATTATGACAATCGCGGTTGCGACTGTATAGCCTACGGATCAGCATCCTCGATGCCGCAGCTCAAATGTGAGGTACTTACGTTGAAACGATTGCAGAGTCTTAATTTCATGAATCTGCTTGAACGACTGGTCGACGGACATGGGCGAAAGCAGCGCCACTTGCGACTGCGTCAAGGTTATATATGACCTTATGCATACCAACAGAACGGCTCGGTCGAACGTATGTCGTGTGAATGGCCGTCCTGCCGCATTTGTCAAGGAAATTAGCGGGCGGAAAGAGGCTTGTGGCCTGAGGATCTGCCTCGGAGGTAAATGTCGCTTCCACCCCATCGGCGCTCCCGAAGGCATAGCCATCTCACTTGCCAATATCAATCTGAACAGTGATGAAACGATCCAGGATGAGCTCGTAAATTGAACAAGACTGTGACCATGGGGAATTGGCCGAATATTCAACGAGGTGGTCCGAAACGCTCCGCCCCGACATTCAAGGAGTTGGAAGCATGTAACGGCACTAGGACGCCACCGCATGCCCATCATTCTTCCAAGTCCAGCATTTAGGGAACCTGCCCGGTGGTGGCGAACAATGGTACAGAAATGAGGGGGAGATGGAGTTAATCGCCTTCAAGGCAAGCTAAGCGGAGATAGGCAACCGTCTGAACAAACCTATGTGGACGTGAGATCGTTAACAGAGTAAATATGGCGACAAGGGGATCCGTACCTGCCCGAGCGTGCCGGGTGGACCTACAATCCCAGATATTCCATCCATAGAACGGGTCTCTTCTATAAGACACACGAAACTAATAGTACACAATTCAGCAAGTACACAAAATGTCCTCTCCTTCTGAGCTAGCATTATTAAACATTCGGATACAGACCGGCTTCTTTTCTGATCTTCGTCATTGCTGGACCGAGTCATTAAGCAAAAAGGAGGTCGACGGGAGGAAGCGTAACAACTCACCCGCAATGATAGCACTGCCGACACCACTCCCATCTTCTGCGTGATGGGTAACGATATTACTGATGAATAGTATTCAATCAATCGCAGCCGCAGTCGCACAATATGCAAAGACGTACCGGCCCTTCTCCCCAAATATATCTTGTAGACCTTCATGGATGCGATCAGCGAATCCGGGGTATTTCTTGACTCTTTGTCAGCGAAATATGGTGAACAGCTGTTAGAATGACTCACATTGTACAGGGACCCATCAGCGCCAACAGAGCAACCTTCATCAAGATAGCCCATCTTACTGACGATCGCGGCGATGCCACACGCACTCAAGCGCGCGGCACGGCGCCCAATCAACTTCGCCAGGGCTCGAAAGAATTGTCGCTCGGCCAAAGTGGTCTCGAGGGCGAAAAAGTGATTGAATATACCGATGATCATGAGAAGTTCATCGGTTGGATCGCTGAGAATGTTGAATTTAAGATCAATATATCCGACCCTAGGCGCTGTTACGGGTACCTTTCCATGAGGGACAAGAAGGCAGTATCAATCACATACGGCTTCTCAATCTTGTAGGTGTTTTGGCCAAGGAAAAGAACACCCTCGTCGACGAGCTCACAAATGACCAGGCGCAGAATCTCGCCCAAGTAACGGCCAGAAATGAGTTTCTGGCAAGAACCATTAGATTTGGTGTACATGAGCGGGAAAACTCACACTGTCTGACCTCGAAACTCTGTTCCGCGGGCTTGTTCGAGGATTCGTCTACAATGATATCATATTTTGTCCTGGGCAAATGTTCGTGGACGAAGGAGTCGAAGGCACCCTACTAGTATGTCAACACTCGGAACGACGATAACGCCTCTGCAACTAACCCATTCGCAGTTGATCGCCATGTCGACATCATCAGTAATTCCCATAGACTTGATTTTGTCGCTATCGCGTACGTGCTCCATATAAGCGGCGTTGCACCCCGTTCCGAAAATGCAGGCGATCTTCGTGCGAGGATTGACGTAGTGGGAGGCGATCAAGGTACCAGTAGTGTCGTTGATCAAGGCCGTCAGCTTGACTGGCAATTGCTATGCGAAGAGTAAGCGGTCTGATCTCTGGGATTGGGGGAGAATGTTGTACATATTTCTCTATGGATTCGTTGAACATCGCTGCGACGTCTCTACCTTCAGTATTCGGCGAACCAAAGCCCTTGGTCCAGCGTATAAGGACGCCGTGATCAATTCGCTCCTGACTATGCCACACACAGTATTAGCATCGATTTGTTTAGAATGAAAGAAGATACTGACGTGCATGGATACGAGAACTGAGAATCCCATAGGTTAAGTCAACTGTTTCCCTTTGATTAGATGACACTTACGGTGAAACCGAGCGGAAGGATTTCTCCAGGTGTGAGGACGCCGTCAGGTTCGCTCGAGTTAGTATCGATGAAGGTCCTGAGGCATTCGGCACAGAAATCAAAGAGCTTTTGCCCATCGTCTTGTTTCTGTTCTTCGGTGAGACGATACTTGGATTGAGTGATCTCGAATTTGCCATCTCCTTGAAGAGTCACTAGGCAAACACGTAGATTTGTTCCACCTAAGGTACGATCGAGTAAGATTCACCGCGCTCATTGTTCCCTCAAAAAGGCAGCACACCAAGGTCGACTGCGATGAAGTCCCCAGTCTCTTTACCAGTAGGCCAGCCGAATACAAACGTCGGAATCATCGGCTGGATAATTTAAGCATTAGACCAATCAAACGACATCACATTATGTATTCTTTCTTCGGCCACGGTACAGAGTGCACAAGAGAGTCCATGTTGGGCTCCCGTTGTCCCCGCTTGCTCGTGGACGATAATAATAAACATACGCACAACAACTTGGCTTGGCTTTTCCAGCCCAAGTTCCAAGGCCTCCTTGAACGCTTCAACAATCATCCGCATTCGCTGGGGAGTTAATGTGAAACTGTCGAAGTTCCGTCTCGGGGTGGCTGATGACGACCGATCCATGTTCACTCACAGGGCTTCGTACTTTCTAAGATGATCGGCCATGGTTCTGTGGGTTCACCTAGTATATTAGCTCAGAAATCGCCAAATTACGGGCCACCGGCGCACTTCTTCGTGGCATGAGGCAGATCTTCCTCATCGTGAGTCCTAGTGTGGATGGCGAGTGTCTGGCCAGATGCCAGGGTGATGCTCCCACTTCCTCGACGAGACAAAGGCATGGCTGGGGATCTCTATTGTGAACTGCAATCAGGCCTAGTTGTGGGGAGAGATGGTGGGGAAGGGGAAGGAGATTGAGGCGGTCGTAAGGCTTCATTGACCCGAAATTGGTCACGCTCCACCAACCACCGTGTGAATCTCATACCTTTCTCTCCTTCCACCGCCTCCGACCATGATTGGGCTCAAGAGTACTCTTAACGTGCGTTTCTACGTGTCGTAGTTGAGAACCAACACACTGACGGAGTTTCTAGTGCATTGACAACTCGGGGGCCCTCCTTGTTGAATGCGTCAACGTTTTGAAGCGAAAAGTCAACAACGGCTGGGGCACCGTGGGCGATGAAATTGTTTGCGTTGTCAAAAGAGCTCGCCCCATAAATGCCGCGACCCAGGCATCAGTAACTGCGGTCAAAGTTCGCAGAGGGGATGTACGGCGAGCTGTCATCGTTAGGACACGAAAAGCGGTGCGTCGTCCGGACGGGAGACTCATCAGGTTCGATGACAACGCGGCTGTACTCCTCAACAACAAACGGGAAATGTTGGGCACACGCATCGGTGGGATGGTCAATGCTGACCTAAGGATGAAGGGATGGGGCAAAATAGTTAGTCTGGCACCCAAGGTGAGTTCCCCCCCTCCCCCCCGGATGACCGCATTGCTGACAACCGCTCAAGGTCCTGTAGCTCCGGGAGATATGTCCCCGGGTTCTGTTTCTTTGGGCTAGACCTAATCATATACATGCTATCATACTTTTTGGCGCACATAGACCTTAATTTCCACTCTCCAGTCGGGCTGTGTGCAGCGTGCTTGCTTAGGAAAGAGGACTCCGAGATCTACGCTACCGAAGATGCCATCTTCATAATTGAGATCACTCAGCTCGAAGGGATCCATGTGTTGTACCTGTCTCGACGCGTGTGAGGCACGCGCCTAATTGTCCATGGCAGTGATATGTGATATTATTATAGCAATCTCCTCCCTATAGGCGCCTCCATGGGAGTATATATAGCCGAAGAAACGGCCTAGCAAGGCAGACTTGCAGCTATTTGACCCACTTCACAAATTGCCGTTGTGCTGAAACCAAGACCAGCCACAGAGCAAATGAAAGCAGACACTGCTCGGTCGGCGGGTAGTTCAGCCAGGGGTCGTGGAACTTACACGCCTGTCGCTTGTAACTTCTGTCGCATCAGGTATGGGGGCTTCATTCATTTGTCAAGTCGCCATATACCAACTTTTGCGCCAGGAAAATTAAATGTAACGGCGAAAGACCTACCTGTGGTTCCTGCTCATCTTCTGGACATGATGTACGTCGGTCAAGTGTTTTCATCCCGCGCCATGACTCACTCCCGTTCCCGTGTTACAGTGCTCTTGGGGAGCGGAGGGTGCCAAAAAGCCCAGTGCTATACAATATGTAGAATCGCTGAAAAAGCGTATTAGAGCACTTGAAACCTACGCCCGTGAGCTCAAGTCCAAGGTGGACAATTGCCGTTGCGAGCAGCGCGGTGTAAATGACGTCGAACCCTCCGAGTCAATCCTCCAAGCGCGCCCTGATATCTACCTGCCGGGGGATCTGGACTTGGACAGCGATAGCCCGGAACCCGGATCTGATACTGATAACGAACTGTTGTATCCCACAAGCAATCTTGTAGTGAGTAACCACTTCGGGATGTCGTTTCCGTCAGGGTCCTCAATGTTACATACAGCTTGAGGATCGTGATCTGTTATTTCATGGCACGACGTCCATATTCCGTCACTCGACGCCTCAGAGGATGTCTCGTTTCCCAGAGATCATCGAAAACCACAAGCAGTGCTATGTCCTAATGGTGGAGGGCGGCGACCAGTCCCATTACAATCCGAACTTCGACTGGTCTCGTTACCTACCTACCGCTGTCCCGCTTGACAGGCGGGAACACGATAGGTAAGTGTTCCAATCACCTTCCGCATGGTCTTTATTAAAATTATCTCATCAGAATCCTCGACTGCCTCTTCAAATTCTTCACCTCCTGGTGTCTGCGCATCGTACCAGCCCTCTTCTTGAGGGATATGTGGCGTGCTCTCAGCGTCCCAGTCTCACAAACCCCACCGAAGACCTCGCACTATTCACCGATGCTCCACAATGCCCTCATCGCTTTGGCCTCGGCCTTCTCTGATGACCCCCGCGTCAGGGACCTGAAGGCTCGTCGATACTTCGCAAGCGAGGCAAAGTCATACATTGATGCGGAATGCCAAATGCCCAACATCTGTGTCGTTCACGCGCTGTCCATCCTCGCTAGCTTTCACTCTGCTCAAGGCGAGCAGACGCTAGGATACACCTATTTCGGTGAGCGCAGCCACTGGATCCTGTCTGTTACTCGTGCTCATGATAGGTCGAAGGCATGAGTGCCAGAATCAGCCAGGCTCGTGAGTCGCTCGTGCTCTTGTCGTCGTTTGTAGTTTATAGTTCATTAACTTGCTTGCGTAGTTGGTTTGGGAGTAGACTGCTCAACCTGGGTCGAAGCAGGCATTATCAGCCGCGACGACAGGCTTGACCGGAATTGGGGATACTGGACAACATTCAGCCAGGTATTATTTTAGCCGTCGCCTTTCCTCCCAAACACAGCTGAACCTAGTCCTAGGATGTTTGCTGGTCGCTCTACGTTGGCCGCGATTTTTGCGTCCCTTGTCCCACCAACCGCGAAAACATACCAGTCCCTTACGTTGAGACCGACTTGGACGAGCTCCCATGGCACCACGCCCCTTCGAACATCGCCCCACAAGCTGGGTACCTATCAAAAACGTTTGCTGCGTCTTGCGAACTGTTACTGATAGCGCGCCCGATCATGGATGTCGTGTTCGTAGTTCCGCGCTTATCATATCAGTTTGATAGTCCTGACCCTTTCCTCTCCAGGAACTCCCTAGGTCACACTGGCAAGCACCGTACCGTCAGATATGAACTGGTCAGCGAGATCGAGTAAGCGCCCTTACACACATCACTATCTTAGCCAAATTGGTGCTGACGAACTTGCACAGCGTCAAGCTGAACGCATGGAAGGATGCTCTGGCTCAGGAGCTTGATATCACTCAGTCAAATAGAGGAACTGCCACCCCTCACAAGATCATGCTTCATCTTGCGCACTGGTGGCTATTCATCTTGTTACACCGACCCTTTTACCGTCGACCACGGCCTATCCATAGCTCGGAAGCAGAGATCGACCATGTCAAGGTGCTTTCCCTCATCATCCCTGCCTTTAGATCACCGTTGGCTGATCCCCAAAAAGCTGTGCAACAGGGCTGCAGAACACAGCATGGAATTGCTGAGTACATGGAGGTCACTCTACGGCCTCCGTTATGCCCCCATCACTCTTGTCCAAGTTATTTTCTCCGCAGGCACGGTATACCTTCTCTCTGCTGTGCAAGCAACATCTGGTGTCAGAGTCGCCCCCGTCTCTCTGAAACACTCTCTGGATCACGCTGAACTCTGCATGCAATACCTCTCGGAGTGTGGCCGATCTTGGGAATGCGCGAACAAGATTGGGGAGATCCTTCGCAGCCTCCTGATGAAGCAGCTGGAACCCCGCCTCCAGCGCCGCAATATCTCGGTAAACACCTCATTCACTGAGGGCAACGGGTCGACTATGCCCCGCCGTACTCCTTCCAAGCGCGCTAGGCGGGAGTCAAAGTCTGCCCGCTCGAGGTCTACTGGCTCACCACAGCAACGCCGGAGCTCCTCTCGCCGGACTCCCACACAAACCTCACCCTCGTCATCTAAGTTCCAGGAATCCCCAACTGCCATCAAAGAGACGCTATCTCCTGAGACATCGCCATCCATGAGTTCATTCCCAGTCGAGACCACTCCGAGTGGCCAGGGATCTTTCGTCACGTTCGAGTGGCCGTACCCTGCCCCCGTGGGAGTCCACCAGCCCTCGGCAGCACCTCCCGCGCCTCCAGAGGACGAAGACGAGCCCATGAGCTATTCTATGAGTAGCTCCGGATTCCTAGGTATGCCAGGCGGAGAACGGCTCTCCGAACAACCCTTCATTTCCTTCGAAGTCGACGAAAACAGTCTATTTGATGGACTGTACGGCCCTAGCTGGATAGTGCCCCCGGACCTACCGCCTCTCGATCTCACAGAGGCAGATTTCCTGGCTTTACAGCAACTCTTTGAACCTACCGCTCCCCTACCTCACAATGACAGTGTCTAGATATCGACCAGTGCGGACAAGATGCATCTTGATTCTGACTCCTATTTATGTCTATGATCTCAGCTCTCGTATCTATGTCAAATCTATGCTTGCCTTCTGCTTACCGAATCTGGATGTAAATGGACGTTAGCTAGCTGCTGCAGGTTCGGCTGGCACCGATGAATGCAACCCCTTTGTCGACCCTAGGCTATTTCGTACGGAATTCTCTTCAATTATCTGCACAATGAGGCGTTGAATGGCGTGAGGCGATAGGCGCACGTAGGGCGCGCATGTTCCGGATGTACAGGAGATGGATCGGCGATGTGTCGCCACCAGCGGCAATGTCGATACAAACGCGAGAGATCCAGGCATCTTGATATCAGATTGAATTTGAAGTTCAAGTTCAACTAGGGCAGGGCAGGGCGGACCATGTTTTGTGAGCGATAACAGATAAATAGATTATATCCAGGTATTTTGGAGAAAGAAGTAGAAAGAGAAATCCTAATCGTAGACGAAGTCCTAATAAGAAGTCGATAACAGTTCGTTGATGAATACATTATTAATCCGTGCTTTCTTTGATTTGTTGGAAGGTGCTACGGCTGAAATAAGTGATCAACCAGTAGCAAACTTCGGGTGACGTGTCATGTATGAATGGTTGCTAACCACCGCGAAAACGAATTTGCGAAGGCGAAGAACGGCGGTAGCGTGGTTGGGAGGGGGCAAATAACCGTAACAAGGTGTGTTCATGTCCCCTTCACATGCAGGCATGCGTTTGCCAGCCATAACTATACAGCAAAGTGATATGATCATCCTCTCCGTAGGGGATCAGATGATCCACCGATACTGGGCGTCCCGTCTGGCAATTAACCAGGATAGGAAAACCGCCGCATTGCTGAGAGCGATCCATCATCCGATTGCCATGGAGCCCAAGAAGTACCCACCATCCGCTTGCTTGGATGGAAAGGGGCGCTTCTGCCGGCGTTTGGCCGAGGGTCTGGCGACGCTTGTGGACATAGGAGCATCGGACTTGCAGGCAGCGGAAGGGCGAAGCGCGGTCAAGGGTCACCGGGTTTGGCCTCGGGGCGGGGCGTGGAGCGGTCGGATGGATGGACGCAGATAACATAGCATGGGTTGCGTGCGAAGGGGGTGGATGGTGGACATGAATCGCGTCAGGAAGCGTTGGGCGTTTGAGTCTATTAGTATATTTCTAATGAGCCATGAAGAATGAGGATGCTGGTTTATTGTTTGTTGCAGGACGTTGCGAGGGGGAGGTGTGTAGCGCGGGCGTGGACGAAGCCGTAAGGGGTGACGTAGACCATAATTGGGGGAATGACGAGATCAGGTGCATGATCACTGAACCGGAGCATTGCATGAATAGGGAGACAAGAAGTAATACAGCCGAAGCCGCTGCGTTCTCGGGGACGAAACCAATGGGAGAACGTAAAAAAGGCCGTCCAAACGTCGGCGAAAATGTGGAAAAGCAATAGCCAATAATGATACTTCCAAGTCCACGGAAGGAGAAAGTTATGAATAAGTAATCGACGAGCGGTCTATAGCCCATTGACTCTGCCGAGTAATTCGATGCGAACCATGGAGATGTCTAAATGGGACATAAACAACGAAAACGAATAAAACGCCTGTGTCCCATGGGAAAAATGAAGAAAGCGCAGCAGATAAGTGAAAACAACAAAAGGCTTATCGCCTCCCAAAATGATGCAATGCTGGACAGAGGATCGAGGGTGTCTGGTCAAACCATGGACGTTGGCATCTCTTGTTGTGAGGTGATCGAGTCGGCGTCCTCTGAATGTGATGCGGATGCAGCGTCACGATATATCTCCCGTTCGTCTGATGATGGTCTGATGTCCTTCCGTCTAGAAGATGGCAATAGCGGTGTACGGCGAGGCGAGCCCGCGGTTGGACGACGATAAGTCTGTGGGGTAAGGGCGTGAGGTCGGCATCAACGATATCAGATGAAGATACCAACATGGCGTGACATGATCATCTTTGCCATGGACACTGGCTTCACCGACTGATAAACTGCAGGCACTAAAAACAATAGCAGAATTACTACTTTAGGCAATGATAGGTGAAATGAAGAAGCGTACGTGGAGTCTCGAAGGCGTTCTGCGTTCTCCGCGAGGCTGCAGACGCAGACTCGGTCTGAACACGCAGGTTCTTCCCATGCTGCTTGAACCAGTTCTTCGCCAGCTTTGGCTGGATGAGGTGCGCAGGTTGGCTGTGGCCGGCCGTGGGAGAGTTTTCCGTTGGCATCGCAGCAAACAACTTGGAGTTGAGTACCCCGGCGCCCGAGCCCAACACTGGCGGCGTCCAACCCAGTTTGTGGGTCGAGTTGAGTGCGATGGGGAAGCTCTCGAGTTCGAGTCCAAAACCAAAACCACTAGACCACCTCCACGACTTGAAACCCTTGGCGCTGGGTTCCCTGCTCTGCTTTTCTGAGCCTGAGGAAGCCTTCTCGTTGTCTCGAGACGAGACCTGCAGCGACGACTTGGATGAGAGTCGAAGCCAGCGGGGTATGCTGGAGACCGCTCGGAAAAGGACGAGGAGGACGAGGGACGCAGCGACGACAACAAGAAGCTGGGCGTTGATGTCGACGTGGATGTTCTCCAGAGACCTGGTCGAGGGGAAGGAGGGGATGCGCATGGAGGGAGGAAAGAAAAGGGAATGGCAGAGAAATACAGGGATGGAGGGATATGTACTGGGCGACGTCCTCTTGCAACGGGACCACTGCTGAAACTCCCTCGTCGTTATATTGCTTCGGAGTTGGCCGAAATCGTCATCCCACCCTTCGATTAGGTAAGCGCCCCTTGCACTATCTATCCACCTTCAGTGCATAATCTTTCCATTGCCGCGACGTTGACAGTGTCAATCAATTAATGTACGCTAATATTAGGGCCACTGCATACCGAGTGTCCCCAGTGGTTATCGAGGACAGTACCAAAATGTAACGATAATTAATGAGAAACACGTTTCAGGTTCTAATGGCTTTATCACCTTAACCAGTAAGACTTCCAAACAGCCCTCACTATCAACGCCGCCGATGCTTACCCGAAAATAGAGGAGCACCTTACAGGTCTCTACTGAGTGGAGGACCATCTCAGTAACGGCGGATATTATGAGAGGAACGAACGTTCAATTGAGGCACCACCGCCATGGGGCATTGTCTGTCTGATCGACTCCGCGACAAGCACTCCGCAATCCGTCAGGAGGGACAGATAACACGGTGAACGGAAGCAGATGTTGTACACAGTCGTTCCAAACGAAATATTCTGACAAGGTTCCGTGCATGGGTTATAGAAGGGTGATTTCCGCAATTTTCGAGAGTACAATGCGATCAATTCCAAACGCTCCCGTAAGTAAATAGGAGCTTTGCATATGTTTGCGGTTGACACCGACACGTGAGTCGAACTCTAATGGAACGCGTCGCGACTTCTTGACTTCGACGCCACCTTTGACTCATACTTCGACTCATTTGCCGCGAAAAGCGACTACGCTCAATATACATAACATTCGAAGGAAATCTTGCGATTCCTTTGAAACATTATGGCCGACTCAGACCACGAAGGGTCACCACCGCCGAACACGCCGGCTATACAGAATGCTTGTAGGTGCTTTAGCTTCGCCAGAATTGAACCCGACCTCAAATAATTGGACTTGGGCTAAATGGGTGGCTTTTGAAATGGCAGATGCCGAAGATACGATACGAATCATGCTCGCGACGGATACACATATTGGTTACGCCGAACGGGACCCAGTGCGAGGGCAGGATTCTATAAACTCGTTCAAAGAAGTATTGCAGCTAGCAGTAAAGCACGAGGTACGAGGCAATGCTTCCCGTTGCATCCTCATTTTGGAACACATGCATCTACTAGGTCGACTTTATTCTTCTAGCCGGCGACCTCTTTCATGACAACAAACCTTCCCGAGAATGCCTATACCGAGTCATGGCGCTCATAAGAGAATACACACTTGGGGAGAAGCCGGTGCAGGTAGAACTCCTGAGCGACCCAGATGAAGGCAAGGCCGCCGAATGCTCGTACGCACTCTAACGACTCTGCTAATAATCCCATTTATAATACTCTGACTTGAATATCATGAAATAGTTTCCCGGCGATCAACTACGAGGATCCCAACCTCAACGTAGCTATCCCCGTGTTCTCCATCCACGGCAACCATGACGATCCACAAGGCGCCGGCTCAGTGGGTCTTCTCCGAGCTCTACGGCGACAGGTCACTGACACTCGGTTAACGCCAGGAAGGCGCGTTATGCGCCCTTGATATGTTATCAGTCTCCGGTCTGGTGAACTATATGGGTAAATTTGATCTACCGCTTGCACCTGCCAAGCCAGCAGGTACGTTCACGTTCCCTACCTAATTTGCTCCGAACTCATGGTGTATGGATGGCACTCGTTTGGGTTTGGTTGGACTTACAGGCGAGCGGGAGAAAGAGCAGAGTCCCCAGCATGGGATAGCGGTGCGACCGGTGCTGCTCCGGAAAGGTAAAACGCGACTTGGGATGTACGGAATCGGCAACGTGAAGGATGCGCGGATGCACTTCGAGCTGCGAAGCAACAGGGTTCGGATGTTCATGCCTCAGGATAAGGAGGAGTGGTTCAATCTCATGTTACTCCACCAGAACAGGTGCTATCCTCCCACTTTAACAGAACAACTAGAGCTAACAATACGTTCATTGGCAGAGTCAAACATGGGCCTCAGGAGTATGTACCAGAAGGGATGTTTGACGATAATATTGACTTGGTGGTGTGGGGTCACGAACATGACTGTCGGATTGTCCCCGAGCCCGTAGCGGGCAAGAACTACTACATCACCCAACCAGGATCAACCGTCGCCACATCGCTTGCTGACGGAGAAGCCACGCAAAAGTAAACCCCTCCTTTTCCATTCAATCTTTCATCAATGCTTCCTTGTTGACTTGAATATCCGCGTAGGCATGTGGCTTTGCTACAGATTCAAGGCAAGGAATTCCAGCTGACACCCATACCATTGCGGAGTGTCCGTCCCTTCGTCATAGAAGAAGTGACATTGCTCGATGTTGCAGAGGAAGAGGGGTTCGACATCGACGATCAGATGGCCATTACTAAGTATCTCAAGAGAAAGGTGGGGTTGCTCGTCTTTGAAGGCAAGCAAGACGGTTGAATTTCTTATGAGTAGGTCAACGAACTCATTGTGCAAGCCAACACACAATGGGAGCAAAGGAATGCTCAGGCTATTGAAGAAGGCGAGGAAGGACTCTTAAAGATGTTGCCCTTGATTCGTTTGAAGGTAATTATCCCATGATTTACTACGCCATCCAACGTTTGCACTGACGATTGGCCCAAACTACTAGGTTGACACCACTGGCGTAACCGAAATGTCCAACCCCATCCGCTTCGGCCAGGAATTCGCGGGGCAGATCGCAAACCCCCGCGACGTCCTCGTCTTCCACCGAGCCCGCGCACGAAGAGCCAACGGCAAAGGCAAGGTCGTCATCGACAATCCCGAACTCAGCATCGACGACCCCGACTTGACGATGTCGGAGAAGCTCGCCAAGGTGCGGGTGGGTACGCTGGTGAAGGAGTATCTGGGTGCGCAGGAGCTGCAGGTGTTGGGCGAAGTTGGGATGGGGGATGCGATTCAGATGTTTGTGGAGAAGGATGATTCGCATGCTATTCAGTCGTGAGTGACGCGTTGTATTTTGCCTGTTGTGGATGCGGCGAGAATGACGGGGATATTTTTATTTCAGCCATGTAAATCGAGCGCTGAAGGCCCTGTTGAAGGATGTCCAGGCCAATGGCACTGAAATTGACGAAGACGACGTCGAGGAGTTGGTGAGTAGCTCAACATACCTCGTCGTAAAGAAATCGGCTCATCTGGGGAGTAGCTCACAAAGGCGAAAGAGCAGCAAGACAAGGCTTACGAAGAAAACCGCAAGAATGTACCAACCAAAAAGGTACTTGCTCTTCACTTGTTCCTTGTATTGTAGCTAGAGAGCATACATGCATCCAGGGCAAAGGCAAAGCGGCTCAGGATGATGAAGACGCTCAATCGGAAGATTCGATGATGATGGACGTAGATTTTGGAACTGGTGGTGCAGGATCAGACTTTGACCAGCTCTCTGACCCACCGCCTCCGCCCAAGAAGACGACCGCCAGGTCAAGAGCTGCGGCAACGAAGGCACCAGCAAAGAAAGCACCAGCAAAGAAAGCCCCCGCAAAAAAGGCGCCTGCGAAGGGCAGGGGTAAGAAGGCGGTTGAACCTGTGAGTGTGTCTTCATGACAGTCGTTGTCCTCCCTCCAATATCAAGCAATGAAATCAGGATTCGGATGAAGACGAGATTATTCCCATTGACGAAGTATCTGATGACGAAGAGGAAGACGACCCACCACCAAAAGCTCCCGCCAAACGTACAAATCGCGCAGCGGTCCTGAGGTCAACTTCTTGTGTCGCTTGCCATTCAGGTTGAGACTGACATCTTTCTTTCGCAGTCAAACTACAACGGCTAAAAAGACGCCTGCTAAGAGGAAAGCACCAGCAGCCTCGCAATCGAAACAATCGACACTTGCTTTTGCACCTGCAGGCAGATCAAGTACGCGAGCTGCAGCTTCTCGGGCCCGGGGGAAGATGGTGGTATGTTTTCATGAATTTCACAACGGTGGAGCGTATCTAACTTTTCCTAGGTTGACGAGGATAGTGAATGATTCTGGACTGATATTTAGTACTTTTATTCTCATTTAGTGCGATGTTACTGAGCCATTTAGCATGAGTTTCCAATTCGAGGGAATCCTCTAATTGATTCTTCACCCTTTCACTCGCTGCACGGTGGAAGCTTTAGCGCCTTACCCCTATTATACTCCTGGCCGATCAAACGCCAGACGGTGCGATTCGAATGCCATCCGCTACCACGGTATATCCTCAAGCTAATGGAGACAACGGGGTCGAAGAAGGCCAACGGCAGAATTTCGAAAGCATGTGTATTAGCTGTGGTTCTGCCCGTTTGAAGAAATCAAGAGAAGTACCGCGGTGTTCCTTTGCAGTGGTAGATGCTTGCTTATCAGTGCAAAAGATAGCTTTCGTTACGGAACTTGGGGGTTCCTCGACGGCCATCATCCTCTTAGCATTGTGGCCTAGAGGCCGATGATGCGCGAGTCAACAGCACAGCATGTGCAGGTATTCTTAAGGATGAAGGCCAGTGATCCCACCTTGCCTTCCTCGTGGATCCTTTGTGTTTTTCTCTACGCTGAAAATAGCACGATGTCTTGGCGTGGAGATCCCGGGAGAACAACTGCGGTGACTTTGGAATTTGACTATGCTGCACGTAAAACAAATGGGAGGACCTCCACACACCGAATTCTGGCGGAAGTATTCCCAGCTTATCCAGAGGTAGCCTCAATATCGAATATGAATTGTCGTTGCTTACATTTACTTTTGGTAGCTCGATCGATGGATTTTGCCAGAAGCCTGCAAGGCTAGACTTGTAGACTACACTGCACTGATCTCCATTGTTTAAGGGCAGTTCCCAAACGAGTCATCAAGGCTATAGAAGCCTACCAGCTCCGAGTCAATTATCTCGCGTGCTTTCAGAGAAAATGGTACAGGTTTCGTATGCCAAATGGCGCATGCACCATCGCAAATACCGTCCCAACTTCGATGACTGGGAACAAATGGCCAGGCGCAGACGAAGAACTTTGTGGTTCAAGCTCTATAGTAAGCTATCGCTACGAAATCCACATGCGATCGAGGGCAAATTGCCTCAGCCAAGCCAAAGACCATATGGAATCACATAATCTGCCTCCGAAGAAGCATTGAGGTAATGTGAGGAAGCACTTGCTATGACTGATGGTAAACGCCTTGCAAGTCGCGCAACCGGTTCACAGAATAGTGTTATCGACCTGACCATCTAGGTATTTAACTGCGATGCAGACTGCCGGTGAACTGCAACCCAGAACCCCTCGTTTCGACAATGGCGCGTTTTCTGGCCTTCTCTCTCGTATTTGCAGCTGTCATCTCCTCAGCATGGACGAAGGAGATTCGTAACCCTCCTCGCCTCCAGGCCTATGAGAGTGGTGCCGTCCATAATGGAATCATGGATATGAAGCATCGCCTTTGGAGCGCAAAAGAAGCAGCAGGTGCTTTCAACTCGGCACGTTACAGCAAGATCGAGGACTTCACTCCTTGTATCAACGGTAAGTAACTACGGATAATTATCAAGTTTCATTAACTAACTTACTTCAATAGGCACGGCCGGTGAATTCCGTTGCAACAACATAGATCTTTACAGTTTCTACTCGCATGCTGATCTTGGTAGCCAAACTGGCCAAGGCAGCAGTTCATGGGGTTGGGTCCATGAAGGCCGTGAATATATAATCATTGCGCAGGCCGACGGTGCGGCCATCGCTGAGGTCACTGCCGATGGAAAACTCGACTATCTTGGTCGGCTTCCCAAGACCCCTGAAGCTGCAGCTGCCATTTGGAGAGGTGGTTATAGTCGACATCCTTACTTAATAGCATTCTAATCCTCAGCTTAGAACTTCGCGTTCTCGACCACTGGCTTATCGTTGGATCTGAGGCCGTAAACCACCACGTACAGATCTTCGACTTACGCAAGATTCTTGAGATCACCCCCGAAGAAAAGCCCAAGACATTCGACCCACGCACTGATATCACTGGCCTGTTCAAGGGACTTCCCGTCGGACGCACTCATAACATCGTCATCAACTGGGATCGTGGATACGTTGTGTCCGTCGGTTCTCAACCACGAACCAGTGAATTCGCCGCAGGTCTTGTCTTCATCGACATTTCCGATCCCTCTAAACCTGCCTTGGCTGGTTTCCAGGCCGATGATGGCTATGTCCACGAGTACGTTATTTCGTCGCCTGATTGGAGTAACACTAGACACCTACCTTAGCGCTCAATGCCTCATCTACCGCGGTCCTGATACGAGATATGTTGGTCAAGATGTTTGCTACGGCTATAATGAAGATACTCTCACCATCTACAGTCAGTGTTTCGCCCGGATCTACCTACTCTCTTGATATTTACCCAATCCCAGACGTGACGGACACGGCCAACGCTTCAATTATCTCACGTACCGGTTACGAAGGCGCCTCATACACTCACCAAGGGTAACTATTCATCAGTCTAGACGTCACTCAGTGTGCTGAAAGACGTCCACAGTTGGGTCTTAGACCCGGAATGGCAACAATATCTAATTCTCGACGATGAGCTCGATGAGGTCAACGGTGCCGGCGCTGCTGCAGATGGCAACGCCGTCACTTACATCTGGGACGTTTCTGATCTCGAGAATCCCAAGCAAACTGGTCTTTTCAAGACCCCTGGAGTCACCATCGACCATAACCAATACATAGCCAACGGAAAGGTCTATCAATCTAACTATGGCGCTGGCCTGCGCATTGTTGACATTTCTTCTATCCCTACTGATCCTACTGGTGGGAGCGTTAAGGAGGTCGGCTTCTTTGACATCTACCCAGAAGATGATGCACGAGCTGGAGGAGGTGCACTCTCTTTCGTCGGTAGCTGGTCCAGCTACGGCCTGTTCCCCAGTGGAAACATCATCATCAACACCATTGAAAGAGGAGCTGTAAGTCATTTACCTACGCAATCATGACACCAACTCACTGACTTGTCGGCAGTACGTGGTCAGGATCGCTGAGGAATAGATATAGCATGCTGTGCTTTCTGCAGCATTGTTTACAACTGTAACTCTTCCTGTACATCACGACTCACTGGCATACATTATTTGAATCACTGTGTTCCACTCAATAATGTTCAACATTCAAAGGTCCCAAATTGAAACCTCAACTGAGTGCTTGTGCCCCTGATAGTCCCCTGAGGCCTGAGGGCAGTAAGTTGGGCGCCAAACGTTGGTTACTTCCTCGTTATGACCAGCAACGACCCGCAACGGTAAGTTCGTTATTAGAGATCTTTTCAGAAAAGCCCACCGATCATGCCAGGACATCTGTACGGAGACCTTGCGGGGTCCCGCACGCTTCCGACTCATCCAGGCACAGGGACCAGATGCGGATGGCATTGGTCCGATACACCTCAAGTTTCTTGCTAGAACAGACTGAGTGCTAACAGGAATCCACAAGAGCATGCGCAGCTGGAGTCACCGGACACAGGACATCTGCATTTTGCTTGAAGACTCTCATCTACGGCTCAGGTATCCCAATGCATCGCCTTCTGCTAACCCTCGGTTGAAATAAAGTCGACCTAGCGTGGGACGAAGCCTTATGGCTTCACGATGATGGTATCCTGTGCCATGGGGAACCTTTCCTAGGTCGCTATGTTTTCTCTACATTGTGATCTGTGGGTATTCCGAATTGAGTTACGACCTGCGGTAGTTCGCTCACGAGATCATCACTAGGTTGGAGAAGACAGCGCGTAAATAGCTGTCGAACCAATGTCCATACGTTTCAATCACTTCCCTGTCTACCATTGAAGTATTTAAGCCATGAAGATCCGACATACTATTCATCAGCGCTTGACCCTCTGAAGTACCTGGTTTATTTCCACAGACTGGTCAAGCCATGTTCCCTCGCTTCTCGTTGCTCCTCGCCCTGTCTGTGCTAGTCACTGCGGCGCCAGTGGAACACAGCACGCCCGACAAACGTGCTGTGAGCACGCTCTCATCCAGCGAGTTGACTTCGTTTGCGCCATATACCCAGTTTGCTAGGGCGGCGTATTGCTCGACAAGCAAGCTCCAGGGATGGAAGTGCGGAGGTTAGGCGGTGTCACCATCTTCCACCACGCCTGACTGATGCATTGGTTGTCTTCGCTGAACAGATGCTTGCAATGCCCTCCCAGGTTTCCAGCCAACCTTGATCGGTGGTGATGGAAATGCCATACAAATATGTGAGTTTATAACCCCAATTTATTGTACATGGCCTTGTGTCTAAAAATATGCCATCAAGTTTTTGTCGGATTTTGGCCGGCACAAAATTCCGTCGTGGTGGCGCACGAGGGAACCGATCCGACTCAGTTGTAAGTCTAGTCTACCGCCGAGACCTGTCGATCACAATTAATAGTTGATTCATCCAGCGTCTCTGTGTTGACCGATCTGAATATCTTGACGGACCCTCTTGATACGGCCCTCTTCCCCGGCGTTCCATCAAATGTCTTAGTACACGATGGTTTCCGCAACGCACACGCCCTCACTGCGACAAAGATCCTTGCCGAAGTCAAGAAATTGTTAGCCGCGAACAATTCTAAGAAGGTCACTCTCGTATGTCGGCTTTCTCCCACACCTTACTCTCAGAGGTCAATGGCTGACATTTGATCTAGGTGGGCCATTCCTTGGGAGGCGCCTTAGCTGAGCTAGATGCCCTGTACATGACTTTGAATCTCCCCTCCGACGTCGCAATCAAGGCGATGACATTCGGAACACCCAGAGTCGGAAACGCTGCATTCGCGGAGTTGATAGACTCGAAGGTCCCAGACTTCAAGCGTATCAACAACAAAAAAGGTAACTACGAGAGATTGATTTCACGACCTAGCACTTACATCAGGCATCATCTGTTAGACCCAGTACCAACCGTTCCTGGACGCTTTTTGGGCTTCGCACAGCCGGAAGGCGAAGTTCACATCCTTGGCCCAGGAAATGCTGTTTCTTGCTCGGGTACGTTCTTCCCGCTAAGTTCAATTAGCGAAATTAACCTTCGATTCTAGGCAACGATGATGCCACCGATGCGCAGTGCCAAATTCAAACCGTCCCAAATGTCTTCGAGGGAAATATCTTAGACCACCTAGGCCCATATGAGGGGATCAGCATTGGCACCATCTTTTGTACTTGAAAACAGATTACGCTCCCTACGCACGTAGTAATATACCCATCTGACCAGCTGCACACCGTTCGAATAAGGTTCTTTTGTCAAGAGTATAAGTAATACAAGAGCAACCGCGAGTAAATGTATACACAGATGACCGTGAATGGCACTAGAGCCAGGGTATGAATGCATCCATAGTCCATGAGTTGGTCCATAGAATATTGCGCTATATACGTACAAAATAATGATTTCGCGTAAGTATGGTGGGAGTGCGATAAAATACCAATTGCAAGAAAATACCGTGAAACGTGATGGGGTGGAGATATCAGGAAAATAGTGAAGTATCCAGGTCGTGCGAGAAATCAAGAACAACAATCTTTTGATCGTGCGAGGTGCTGTAATAAGGACACAGGATGAGTAGCTGTGGAGGAAGCGAATTCAAATATGCTGTGGCTTACCTGACGATCCTCGAAATATCGAATTTGACGTCAAATATATGGCTAGAGTGAATCGTGCGGAATTCCCGGACCATCTTACCTGAAGAACAAAGAATGTCGTCAATACATTTATCCGCAAAATACACAGAAGCACATACCAGTGCCGACTTCCCACACCCTCACGGTCCTATCGTAGCTGGCGCTCACCAGCCGACCGTTGCGAGGATCGAAGGACAACGCACGAACAAGCAGTTCATGCCCGGCTAGAGTCCTCAGGCATTCACCAGTGGATGCGCGCCATATCTTGATCTTGCAGTCGTTGGAACCAGAAACGATATAGTCATCCTTGGAACGACGGTTAGGCCAGGGAAGCTGACGAATGATGGCAAGCACGCCTACCTTGAACTCGATGCACGCAAGCCCTCTATCGTGGCCTTCGAATGTCCGCACGCGTTCTCCGCTTTGAAGGTCCCAAAGGATCATCTTGCCGTCCCCGCTAGCGCTGACCTGAGATTGAAAATTGAGGTCAACAGTGATAAACTTGATAAATTGAGGGCTGCGCATACCACACGCTCTCCTTGCAGCCCGACGGCGTTGACAGGTCCCTCATGCCCACTCAGCGTCTGGTAGTGCTCCAAGGTAGAGCGTTTCCAGACTTTGATCATCGCATCCTTAGAACTAAGGAGAGATCAGCTCCTCCATGCTTCCTACATGATTTCAAGCAAACAACCCACCAGCTCACAATCCAATCCTTGTTGATCCTGATATCAAGAACACCGCCAGTGTGTCCTTTCAACGTTGCCTTTACCTCTGCCTTTACCTGGGCGTTGTCATCGTTAGGCGTCCCCGGGGACGAGCGGACATAAACGCTTCCATGGATCAGCTCCTCTGCAGCTTCGTCGACGACACCTCGCCCTCCGTAGCCGCCAACGTCAGAGCTGGGAAAATAGGACCCAGCTTTGTCGACGGGTGGACGGACGAACAGATCCCAGACACACACAGAACAGTCGCTGCTCCCACTGACCATGAAGCCGCGCTGCCAACCATCCTTGTATTCTACGGTCGACCTCACGCCTGTGTCGTCTTGGTTTCCGCATACCTCTGCATCTAGATCAAACTTCAAGCAGAGAACACTGCCAGAGTGTCCAGAGATTGTTCCCAAGAGCTTCCCTGTCTTCACGCACCAAACCTTGATAGTGCGATCACGAGAACCGGTGACAATACGATGCGCATCAAACTCAAGGCAATATACACTAAGATGGTTAAGGTTAACAAGTCGCAGAGACGAACAAGCTTCCGAAACTCACGAGTCGGTGTGCCCGCTGAGATTCATCACTTTGGGTTTGTGATTTGGGGTTTCAACGGGACTTGAGCCGTTATGTTGACTCGATGTACGTTGATTGCCTTCCCACCGTCGGTCCAATTCCCAACGGTCCTGGAAGAGTTTTCGCCAGCGTAGCAGGAGAGGTGCTGCAGCAGGGGAAACCGTATTCATCCTGGAGAAAGTGGATAGACACGGCGAAGGGGGAAATCTCTTTAACCGCTCGCCGTCCACGCGCAAGGCATCGAAAACACTTCTCACGCGAGGATCACCGGAATGACATGGGCTACGAATACTCTGAGCCACGGTAGGTGCGCGGCTGAGATCGATGCTCCATCCATTCCCCGACATACTTTCAAAGAGGGATCGCCATACAGCATTGTCATTGGCAAGCCGATTCCAAGTGTGGGAGACCAGAGTGCAGGCAAGAATACTCTGCAGGTTTCCGTAAGAAGAATCGTTGCCCTCGTTACCGGCACCCCTACTTGTCGATGTAAACGTCGATGGCGGTAATGAAGATGGAGTGTGAGCTAGGAGGGCTAGGATATAGATAGCCAGCTCGGTTGGTAGAAGGGCGAGGATGTCTAGGTTAGGTCAGTCAAGCTCTGGAGAAAGGTCAGGTTCCGGTACATACCAACGCCAGTGACTGCTCTTGAATCTACGTAACATGCCTCGTCAACCAGTTCCCCCTCTTCTCCATCAAGCGGCGGGAGGCTTGCATAGTCTATGCAATCGATATTCGTATCAATATGGTAATAAGACGAGTATCCCGACGCGCTGTCCGATGAGAGTGCCTTGTGACAAGCAAGCAGTCTGGCTTTACCCTTGCTTAGCGTCTCCTTACCCTTGCTCAGCGTATAAGGCGCTGAGGGTTTGGGAGACACACGCGAAGGAGAAGGGCCAGGAGAAGGGGTGTATCTCATGGTTGAGAATGTAGACTGATTGGCGCGCGAGGAGGTAAATATGCTTCCGGATGATGATGTATGGGGAAACCTAGGTCTGGTGGTCCCGTATGGATACACAGACGGTGACGGTGAGCGTGCAGGACTGAGAGCGTCCCGAATTCGGGGAAATATAGAGCGAAGTGAACCTTGATTCTGAGGGGGCGGTGGCGCCTCTGGCCTCCCCGTTAACCCCATCCCTACAAAGGCACTGCCCAGACTGGGACTCGAATAGAAAGGCCAAGGCGACCTTCTACTTTGGCCGTAATGATAGGTGTATGCATATGGGTAGCGGCTGTTCTGATATTGTGGCAAGAAACCGTTCTGATGAGAATGGGGTCCATCCGGGTTAACGTGAGCATATTCGTCAGGCGATATGATTGAGAAGTCAGTGGGAGTCGGCGACGATGGCCTGGTTATGGTGTCGACCGTCGGAACCGCAAAAAGATCGCCGTCGATGACTTCGAGCTCTTCGTCTGCCATGGCTGGGAACGGGAGGAAGGAACGGGCGATTGGCGACCCGGGCTCATGTGGGGGCTGGGTGGCTGAGGCGAGGAACGAAGGCAGCACGCGGTTTGGGCGTTGTCTTTGTGTGGGCGTCGGTGTCGGTCTTGAAGGTATCGCTGGCGACGATGTCGATGCCATGGACGTCGTCGTCGAGGACCAGCTCAGCGAGAACAACAGCGGGGAGAGCAAGGTCAACAACGTGTCATGTGACCATCATACCAATTTTGTACTGCCATTAATTTGGCTCATAACTTTATAGTACAGCCATTTCATGATGTGAATCAAAGGGAGAACCGAAAGGAACCCAAAGACTAATTCTGATCCTCTACCAAACTCTTCGCAGACTTCAAATCGGCCTCTACCATTTCCGCCACCAAAGAATCAAAGTCGACCTTTCGTTTCCAGCCAAGAACTCGTTCAGCTTTCGCTGGATTGCCAAGCAGCAGGCTATGAGAGATCACGTTCAGAGTAAGGGATGAGATATAAGGTTGAGTAGACGTACTCGACTTCTGCGGGTCGGAAGTATCGAGGGTCCACCCGCACGACAACTTTGCCAGTCGCGACATTGGTCGCGGTCTCTTCCACCCCAGAACCCTCCCACCTAAGTTCGAGCTCAGTATACCACCGCTCAGGAATTGTCCAGTTTGCGACTCACTTGAGTTGTATGCCCAGCGCATTGAACGATTTGTTTACGAATTCTTTCACAGGATGAGTCTCCCCGGTTGCCAAAACATAGTCTGATGCAGATGGCTGCTGCAACATCAACCACATCCCCTCAACGTAGTCACGAGCTGTAGCACGACAGGAGACGACGAGTTAGGTCGGCAACATAATTAGATTAAAAATTGAGATCAAGTACCGTGTCCCCAATCTCGTTGAGCATCCAAGTTCCCCAGATACAAGCAGCTTTGCTTTCCCAAGGAGATATCAGCCGCAGCCCTTGTAATCTTCCGTGTGACAAAAGTCCGCCCTCGTCTGGGGCTCTCGTGGTTGAACAATATCCCATTGCACGCGAACATCCCATACGCCTCCCGATAATTGACCACTATCCAATACGCGTACAACTTGGCGCACCCGTAGGGGCTACGAGGATAGAAGGGTGTCGTCTCGCTTTGCGGCGTCTCCACAACCTTGCCGTACAGCTCTGATGTTGATGCCTGGTAGAACCGTACGTGATTCTGCAGCCCGCAAGTCCTAACGGCATCTAGTAGCCGCAGAGTCCCTAGCCCGTCCACATCGCCAGTGTATTCGGCCATCTCGAAGGACACCTTAACATGGGATTGAGCTCCCAGGTTGTAGATCTCAGTGGGCTGGACGGAGGCTATGATGTACACGAGATTCGTGCTATCGGAGAGATCGCCGTAATGCAACTTGAATTTATTTGGGCCTTGAGGAAATAGATGTTATAATCGATGGAGGCAAAGACGGTACGGACGTACGTTCATGCTGGTCCTCGTAGAGATGGTGCAGACGACCGGTGTTGAAGCTGGACGAGCGACGAATGATCCCGTGCACTTGGTACCCCTTGTCAAGCAGCAGCTCGGTCCTTTCCACGACAACCGAGTAAAGTTCCCCAGCACAGGAGATGGTGAGGAACGGAACGCATAATCATCGGGCGAGACGACATACAGATATGAGCCATCCTGTCCCGTTATCCCTATCCAGAACCAGAAACCCGTTTAACCATGGCTTCCAAGCTCCTACGAGCTCAAAACGGAACGATCCTCTACTGACCTGAGATAAGAGCGACTTTGCGTTTCTGATACTCCTCCGGAGTGGGTAGATTGAGCTTCGTAATGGCTGGGATTTGGGCGGCGTCTTGGGCAGACATTGGGTTGTGGTAGGAGGTCAAATCGTTACAATTTTGATTTATGAAACTTGGGTGTTGGGGTATATCCAATTGGTCATATGCGTGCCCACAAGGTACGATCGGTGCACCTGAATGATCACAAACTGCGCAGGCGGTGGTAGTCATATCCAAGAATTACAGTACAACACTCGTTCAATTCTACGCATTCTAAACGTTCCCCGTCCTGGCGTTATTATAATTGTCCAAGAACCACTTAACGGAGGCCGCGAGTGCTGGAGGAACCTGGGATCAGCACATGCTGTCAACATAAACCCCACCTTCACCCACCTTGGTCAAATGGAGTGAATTCAAACCCGCCCATGAGTTCCAACAGCTTCTTGTTTGAGGCTGGTTTACGGAACTGCCCATCAGCACGAGTTGTGTCGAACTTGATTGACGTCAAGTATTAGCAGCCACATACACGATGTTGAGTGATACTTACGGCATATTCGCCCTTGAAATCGACGGCCTTTACAATGGCATCGGCAACGTCCTTGATACTTACTTCCTCGTCTTCGCCGACTATGATCGACTAATCAGCGCATTATCGCGAAACCAGAGGACATACTAAATTTACCTGAGAGAATCACGGGCTCGACATCGTCATACTCTCGTAGCTGCCATATGAACAGTTTGGCGAGGTCGTACGAATAGATGAACTGTCGGAGTGGCTTCCCAGTCCCGGCAACTATGAATGGGGTGTTGTTCTCTGATGACGAGTTAGTCAGTGTCTTGGATCATTGGAGTGCGTACAGACTCTTGGCAAGATAGCACTTGTGGATGAGTGCCGGGATGACATGGGCACCCTCAAGATCGCTGGCCACAGCGTCAGCTCGTTGTGATTAATGAACAACAACAGAGTATTCACAAATTGTCGTGGGGACCGAACACGTTCGTCGGTATAGCCGAAGTAAAGTTGCACCCAAACTCCTCCTTGTACGCGCTGATAGTACGCGCTATCAGGTATGCTAGGAAAGCGAATAAATGTATATCCTTACTGATTCTGCACATCTACTAGTCTCTTGGCGTGCGCATAGCCGAAGTTACTTGAATGCGGGGGTCCAAGATGGATTTTTGTTTCATCAAGAGGATATTCGACTTTATCGGGGAACACGCAGGTCGACAAGCAAGAGATGACCTTCTGGGTCTTGCGTTCACACGCGGTATGCAGGACGTTATCGTTCATAAGGACATTGTCTCGCAGGAATGTGAGCTTGAGGCCTTGGTCAGTTACATCCATGTCAGAGATGTTGCCGCACGCACCTTGTACTTCATGTTCTTGAAAAGGCCGCCGACTGAACGATAATCACAATCATTTCAGCTCGAGATATAACGGACGGGCATTTGATCGTACCCATCGCAGCGAGATGGATGACATGGGTGGGTTTGTACTTGTCAAATAGCTTGCGAGTTTGTTCGGGGTCTCTGTCCTACTCGATGAACCACGCGTAGGGCTGCCAAACGAATGCACCAACCTCAAATCCGCCTCTGATGAGGTTGCAAAGATCCATGTCTCGTTAGGTCGCTTTCCGAACCTCGATCCCACTGGTTCGGTATTGATAATGTGCTCGATACCTTTTCCAACGAGGCCGCTACCGCCGGTAACGAGGACCACCGCAGGGTTGGAGTCGGTCATGATAGTGGTTGGGAAAGAGGTGATTTCCTGATTGGGAACGCGATCCGCCGACGCGTTATGTCACGCGCGTCGGGCTTGTCACAAGAGAGTCCGAGCTTCAATCGCATTGGGAGGTATAATCGGGTGTGTACATATGGGGGAGTGCTACAGGAGACACATGCCAACCCGCACGACAGCATCAAATAAGGGCAAGAAGGAAAGGCGAGCAATGACAGTTACGACTCGAGTCACTGGATACAAACCCACACGAAAGCGAACGATAAATTGTACAACAAGGCCGGAGTTTCACATTTACTACTTAGATTGGATTCCTATTCCAAGTATATTCTATCGTCTTCGTGGCCAGGAAGTACTTCGAGCAGCGCCCCCGTGTCACGCTGCCATACATAGACATTCCCGTCTGCGGTAAAGAACACGTACAGTAAGGATCAGCTTGCACTGGCTTGAACTGTGGGGAGCCAACCCTGACCTTGTGCCGCTGGCAACGAAATTACCATCGACGTCTCCAGATAACGAACCGGCCTTGATGATGACCAGGAAATTTGCGCGCAAGTTGGGATCAGGATTTTATATCCCAACTTTCCATATGATAACTGTCTGGCCCCTACCCCCACTCGCTACATACTGGCCGTCGTGGCTCCACTCCAAATTCCACACCCCATCCTCATGCGCTCGCAAGATCACTGATGTTGTCCTTGTTGGAAAGGTGGAGGTCGAGTCCCTGAACTCGCGCTGTTTGGCTCAAGCACGCAAACCACACAACTGCGACGCGACCAAGGCTAAGCGGCCCTGTTACCCCTGTCGTGCACAATCTAGATTATCTTATCGCACGGTTTCTCTAGCTAATGTCCTGGCGCCCTCGGCCACTGCAGCTTTCATCCCTTCATCGTCGGATTTCCATTCAACGGCCCTACAAGTCGCGGATTTTGTGGCAATTAATTCTACATTCCTTACCGGCTACGACAAGAAGCTTCCATCAAATGGATTACAGGCGCATCGTCACGCAGGTGTACGAGCTAGCGGAGTCGAGCACCGATCCTCTGGGCCCGTTAGTAAGAGAGGCCCTACAGGTGATTGATGAGGGCATAGAACGGCATGGGTGAGCTCATTGATGCCAGCGAATGCAATGGGGTGACCGTAACTTGTACTGTTGAAGACAGGGAAACATCGCGATCAGCTTTAACGGTGGCAAAGACTGTGAGTACGGCTAATACGTGTCCAACGTAGGTTCTGACCCGAAATTTGAAGGCACTGTTCTACTGCACCTCTATGCAGGTGCACTGATCCGAAGATTACCGTCCTCAGAGGCCCCAAAACCCATACCGTCAATATACATTTCCGTCCCATCGCCGTTTCCAGTTCTAGAGGACTTCATAGTGGAAGCCGCCAAAGCGTACAACCTCGACCTCTTCCACTGTCACCCCACATTGACGGATTCTGAGCCAGTAGAGTCCGTCGTCACACCACACGCAAATGGCACGACTTCGAAGACGGACTACGTCAGTGCCGCTGTACCTCCGCCGAAGGCGGTGGGGAAGGCGCGCGGCGGTGAGGGGATGAAGAGGGCACTCGAGATATACAAGCAAAAGTTCCCCCATATCACTGGTATTTTGATAGGGACGCGGCGGTCAGACCCGCACGGAGGTGAGTAGTATGCCTGCGTCGCTCCACCTATATATTAAATGTGAATGCAGCTAGGCTCTCGCATCGGAATATGACGGACCCAGGCTGGCCACAATTCGAACGCATCAATCCGATAATAAATTGGGGCTACTCTGATGTGTGGGATTTCTTGCGTAGATTAGAGGTTCCATATTGCCAGTTGTATGATCAAGGGTGCGTGCTTTCCATCCGAATATGGGCTCCCTAGTGCTCATTTTGTTACAGATACACTTCGCTGGGTTCGACATACAATACTTTCCCCAATCCTGCCCTTTTGATGCAGCCGACATGTTCTACTTCCCCAGAATCGAGACCGGACGCACTACCGAACGGTACCTCTGACGGGGGTGAAGCAACGGATTTGCTTCCTCCCACATTAGTCGACGCTGATGGCTTAGAGGGCTCGAATTTAAAACCAGCAGGCCTTCCAGACAGAGATGCGATAACTCCAAGATATAGACCTGCGTTCGAATTAGTCGACGAACATCTTGAAAGGGCAGGTCGAGGCATTGTGGACCCAAATATTCAGATTGTATCTACGAAGAGCGCAGCATAGCCAAATGAATTAGACCAATATACTTTTGATGTGCCCTCGATGGCAACACTTTATATTCTTTATGAGGACCCTTCGTCCACTCTCCAAACTTCAAACCCACATTCGCCACCAATGCCTATAACGCCATTGGCCCAATCCAGGCCGAGGATTTTGCGGCTCCCGTCTTTGCCTTTGTTTTCCCAAGCCTTGAAGCTAGAAATAGCCGCTTTTGTGCTTCGCAGGTCCCAAATGCGAACGACGCCATCGTAGCTGCCGGTCGCGATTTGTTGTGACGAACTTGAGCGTGGGGAGAGCGCAATACATGATGGAGTGGCGGGATGCACGAGCGTTCCTACGGTAGATGAAAGTGACGCGCCGTCTGCTGTCAAATCGTAGATAGTCACAGTTCTATCTGTTGAGGCAGCGAGTGCGGTATTGCCGTTTTGTAATATCGCGAGATCGAGGAACGGTTTCTCAGATGCGATCTGTAATGTGTCAATAACATATGCCACTTATTTATATGAGGCACTTACTATCGTATTCGTACAAATACCTATTTCAGTATCCCAGGTGCGCACAGTCGAGTCGAATCCACAACTTATCGCATTTTTATCACCCGTGAAAATGGCTTTGGACACTCGCGCTGTGTGTGATTTCAGTACTGCGATGGGTGCCTTTCGTTTGGGCCGGTCGGCTTCGTCGACCTTGCGCTTCTTGCTCTTGCGTTCCGCCTGCACCAGATCGGCGGCTACTTCGTCTGATGAAGGGATGGATGTATCCCACACACCAACAAGTGCGTCCCAGGAAGCGGTAATAAGATGCTTTCCCGATGGTGAAGACGCAATAGACGAAACGGGGGATGTATGTAGGTGAAGGGTGGCGAGCGGTTGGACGGCAGCGGAGTCGATGCGTGATATTTGGGCCGTTAGATCTTGCGACGAAGTGGCAATGAGAGTCGGATCCGAGGGGAACACACAAACTGAGGTGATTGGCGCGGCGTGAAGCTGGCGGTTGGCGACCATGTTTTGCGAGTAGTCGAAGGTGCGGATGTATCCATCGTAGGATGCCGTGACAAAGTGCCTACCGGCTCCCTGTCAGTCAATTGAAATCATTGGGATTTAATGCGATGCTGCGCCCTGGACTGCTTACCCTTGAAGGCCACATGAGACCGACGACACCCAATCTTCATGGGGTATGTCCGACATCCGCTGCGGCGGCATAACCGACTGGATGTACTCGATTTCCAGTGTTTCTTCCTGCTCACCGTCAGTCGATTTTTCTGTACCCTGGAAACGCGACGCGTACCTCCAACAAGCCATGTTCGGCACACCATTCCCCTAGGCTTGTACGCAGAACCTCTCCGCGAACCAAGAAATCAAAGGGGATCGGTTTGGGAAGCGATAAAGCCTTGTTGATGAGCTGAGAGAGCTGGTATCGTTTCCAGTTCGCTGGTATCATGAATTTTTGGGATGGCAAGGGGTATGGTGTCTGTGTCGACAGCACCACTGGGTGCGAGACCCTGCTAGAGTCATTGGAACTCGACGCCATGGATTGAAAGTGGAAGTTATTTGGTGATCAGAAACTGTCTGAATTTTGAAAATACCTGCTCTTCTAAATTTGGATTTCAGTAGTATTGCCCTAGATGGTAGCATATTCCCACACAACTACGCGTCGCAATTGTTTGGTTTGGAGCGCTCGACCCAAACAGTTTCAGCCTCGCTTGCGCCGACTACGGTCTGCAACACCGCCACCGCCATCCTTCTTCTTCACTTCTTCTTCCACTTCAAGACTTACGGGACGATTAGATTCACAGAAAGCCCTTTTCCACTGCACTAATTCCTGGCTACTTCTCTACTCTGAATATTGGAATCTAATTACCCTTAATGCCTCATCAAAATGAACCCAAATCCTCTAAATTACTCGTGGTATGTCTTTTATGAATTCCAGTGGGCAACGCGCTCACAGAAGCCATAGACCGGCGTCGTGTCTTTTTACTTGGTCGCTGCACTCGCTGTACGGTAGATTGCTTGTTTCGTTGGCATTAACGGTATTCTGACCTTGCTGGAACATGGTGTAGATGGTCGTGGCGTGCGTGTCTTCCCCTTCTCTTTGGAAAGATATTGACTGTGCTCGCTAACAGAAATAAGAAGGTCCTGAACGAGACAACGACGCCGTTATTCTTCCTATTTTGCCAGCTGTTCATAGCGGTCATCCTTTTCCTCGCCTCAGACGCCCTCCGACTTCTACCTGACCGCCTAACTTTCGACATTAATACCTGCAAAGGCCTTGTTCCTATGGTATCCCTTAATGTCGTGGGACTCAGGTATTTTCTTGCCCGTTTGATATTTGCTGCGCCGAATTTATCCCGTTAAAGTCTTAGTAACTATACCCTCGCCCATGTCGATGCTTCGTTCTACCAAGTCGCCCGGGGTCTCGTCCTACCATTCACGGTCGTTGCTACACTCGTTTTCCTGCACTCCACACCTTCCGTTCGAATCATCCTAGCGTGCTCTTTGGTCACGGCCGGATTCTTTGTCGGAGTATTCCTTGACGGCGTAAGACCCTCCATGGTTGGAGTCGCGTTCGGTGTTGCTTCTTCTCTAATCACTGCAGTCCACTCGGTGGTTATCAAGAAAAGTCTTGCTGTAGTTAACGGGAGCGCGCTCATGCTCTCGTGGTACACCAACCTACTGAGCGCCATCGTCCTCATTCCGATATTGATTCTGGTTGGCGAGGTACCAGGGATAATGAAACTACTTGTCGGGGAGTTCACCGGGGTAGATGGCACCACCAGTCCTTTGAAAATCTTCCTATGGGGTTCCCTTATCACCGTATGCTTCCCGAACTTCTCACAAGTATGGGTTGCTGACTTACTGCGGACAGGGTTGTCTGGGATTCCTGATGTCCATCGCCAGCCTTTTATCTATCAAGGTCACATCCCCCATCACGCACATGATCTCATCCGCAGTACGGGGCGTCGCTGCTTCGATGCTGGGCAAATGGTACTTTGGTGACATCATAACAACGTGAGCCAGAATTATGGCACATGGGCCATTGTCGCTGACACCTTCTATCCAGCGGGCGGGCTTCTTCGATAGGTATCATCCTTCTTGGTTCCGCATATTACACTTGGGTGAAGCACCAAGAGTCTCAAACCGGTGCTAAGGGTTCTGAGGCTCCTCAAGCCTCGTCACGCGACGGGCGAGGGTCCTACGAACGTGTTAAAATGGATGAGCTAGATCTTGAGGCGGCGAAGAAGGAAACGAAACCGGAGTAGAAGTGGCCGGTCTCCTACCCTTAGACGTCAGACGACAGTTACATCTCTCCCCGTACGCAATTAACTTATTTGGGATACTCGTGATGAGCGTGGAATATATAGGACCTCCTGACTACATACTCCCAGAGCCATTCCTTTCCTCCACGAACAACCAGGATCTACTCACAGTTCATAGATATGAAGGCAGCTAGATACTACGGTCCTGGCGATATTCGCATTGAAGACATCCCCGAGCCACAAGCGAAGCCGGGGCAAATCAAAATAAAGGTCAATTGCTACGAGTGCTAGTGAATGGTAACATACTCAGATTTCGTCTCGTTCGGTCGTTAGATAGCTTGGTTCGTGAATCAGCCTTTTGCATCTAGAAGGGTCTCTCCTGACGCCAGTTTGGTAGGAACGGCATTTGCGGAACTGATCTTCATGCCTACTTGCAACCTTTGGCGACAGCCCCAACATTCACTAAACCTGATTATCTGAGTGGGGAAACGCTGCCAGTCACCCTCGGTCACGAGTACGTGTATCCAATTTCCGCTCAATAATACCGTCGGGAATGAAGTCTGTCTGACTCAACCAGATTCTCTGGCACTATCGTCGAAATTGGTGAAGGCGTCGACTCTAAGTTTGCTATTGGACAGAATGTCTGCGTGTAGGTGCTCATGCTCTCTATCACGACAGACAGTCTTGATAGCATCCGATGCCAGGGAACCCATAATTTCGTGCATGAGCAAGGAGAATTGCCGGGCATGTCGCAATGGCTCGAGAAATATATGCCCTCACCTCAGTTTCATTGTGCGCTCCTCGGCTCAATCTCTCGACCAAATCGGACTAAACCACCTTTGCAGGGCCTCAGTGGGTTTGGTGGAGGCCTCGCAGAATACATATGTTCGGATGCATTGGTTGTTCACATCCTCCCGGAAAATATGCCCCGTCAGTCATGACCGTCTTATACTCTAAATGCAGGCCGCACTGACAGCAACTGATTAATGCGTAGTTGAGATTGGTGCCACCATTGAACCACTTGCTGTGGCTTACCACGCTGTTAAGAGGTCAGGCTACAAGAAAGGTGATACGGCTTTGATATCTGGCGCTGGTCCCGTGCGTCTGTTGTACTTCCAGCAACATTCTGCCTTTTGACAACTGACGTCGAACAGATTGGACTATTCCTACTGAAGGTTCTCAGGTATGTCTCGTCTCCACTGACACTCGATAATCCTGATTTTTTACGTACGTGTTAGGTCCATTGACCCGACGTCGACAATCGTCGTATCCGAACCTGCTGCCATTCGTCGCCAGTTCGCACTTAAGCACGGGGCGACCATCGCTCACAACCCCCTGGAGAAGGATATCGTCTCAGTCGTTCTTGAGGCCACGGGTGGCGAAGGCGTTGAAAAGGCCTTCGATGCGGCGGGCATCCAGCCGAGTATCGACGCATGCTTAGGATCTTTAAGAAGCAGAGGCACTATTGTCCTCGTTGCCTTATGGGAGCACCCAGCTAAGATAGATCCCATGACCATACTTCTCAAGGAACTCTTTCTCACTGGTGGGCTTTATCGCCTTCCGCAATGTCGTTTAGCTGACCAACAGGAACAGGCGTCGTATGCTACGATAGAGAGCACCCGGAGCTTCTGAAGGAAGTAGCCGCTGGGAAATTCCCTAATATCGAGGACCTGATAACTCGCAAGATTGCGCTAGCTGATTTGGTTGAGCAGGGCATGGAAGTATTGGTAAAAGAAAAGGACACGCAAGGTTCGTTGAGTCTTGGTGTGGCCTGCTAGCTCCTGCCTGACGTCCTCATCTCCAGTGAAGATTTTGGTCCATCCCTAAGCTATCTCGGTTCGTGCACGGTACACTATCAGATGACGGCTTGTATCATCAGTCTCCTCCGCGCTCTAGCGAAAGAATCATCATTTCCTTTGTCCCATTCAGTACTTTTTTCACTTCGTATCCTGCTCCTCAGAAGACGGCGTTATTAAGTGTATCTTGAATTGGTAATCGTGCATCAACTCTGAGTCAAGCCTCATGAAGGCCGCCAGGTATTACGCCCCGGGCGATATTCGTATCGAGGATATCCCCATCCCTTCATTAAAGGACGGCCAAGTGAAGATTAGGGTACGCATCGAGCTTCATTGATTGCGTGTAGTACTTATTCGGGTACTTAGATTGCCTGGTCAGTCCGCATCTACCTATGCACATACGGGACACAAGTCGAGCGCTGATGCGAACCCATAAGGAACGGAATTTGTGGCAGCGACATACATGCCTATCTTGCAGGTTTGCCCAAGTTTCCGACCTTGACCACACCAGGACCATTGAGCGGGGAAACGCTCCCCGTCACCCTTGGACACGAGTAAGTACCTTTCTCCATCATCGGCCTTCGAGGGTCTGAGGGTCTGAGGATGCCTGAAGGTTCTCTGGGATTATTGTGGAATTGGGAGCCGGCACGGATGGTAGGTTTGCTGTAGGGCAAAATGTCTGCGTGTAAGGGTTTTCCGTGACATTGCCCTGCAATGGCTTTACTTCTTCTATAGAGAGCCCATTATGGCGTGTCGAAGGGAGGGTTCATGTTGGCCTTGTCATGAGGGCTTCCATAATCTATGCCCCCTCGTCAACTCTATTGTGAGCTCTCCCTAAACTACTCTGACTACAATTGATAGTATGATTGCCTAGGGAATTGGGGGTTGGGGTGGCGGCTTGTCAGAAATTGTATCTGTAGACCAAAATGCAGTTCATATCTTACCCGAAGGGATATCCCGTAAGTGGTGCACCGAATAACCTTGCTTATTGCTCATGAAATGGGGGTTAGTTGAAGTTGGTGCCTGCTTAGAACCACTAGCCGTGGCATGGCACGCTGTGAAGAGATCGGGATACAAGGTGGGGGATACAGCGTTGATTCTTGGTGCAGGACCTGTTCGTATTCCTTTCTGTACAGTCACGTTCATCAATAACCGACCATGCTCTTAGATCGGCCTCTTCCTTTTGAAGGTCCTGAGGTCAGTCCATCCTCCCATGTGTGTCCCTAGCCCTTGATGATATAAAGCAGGGCCATAGACCCCAACTCGATCATCGTTGTCTCTGAACCTGCTGCCTTGAGACTGGAGGTCGCCTCACAGCACGGCGCTACCATTACTGCAAATCCTCTCGAAAGTGACATACCCTCGATAATCACGAAGGCGACGAACGGGAAGGGCATTGACCATGCGTTCGACGCGGCTGGTGTCCAGAGTGGCATTGATCTCAGTTTGAGATGTGTGCGCCCGAGAGGCTCAGTGATGCTTGTCGCTCTTTGGGAGGCTTCACCCAAGATAGACCTGAATTTAGTGCTCCGTAGAGAGATCAACGTCACAGGTAGGTTGATAGATCAGTATCTATCGTCGCATCTGACAGCGGAAACCAGGGTCTATCTGCTACGACCGTGTCCATGGGGAAGTCCTTGAAGCCCTCAAAGACGGTAGAATATCGGGCATTGATAGTTTGATTACTAGTCGAATAGCTTTAGACGACGTGGTGGAGCAGGGGATCAAGGCATTGATTCAGGAAAAGGATAAACAAGGTAAGATAAGCATTTCATTTCCATACGGCTGCTGAAGACATGTCTACGCAGTTAAGATATTGGTACATCCTTGATAGAGTTGAAAGATGGCATCCCTGGGCGCCTACAAGGCTTCACAACGTCGCTCGTACGATGATGTTTGCAGCAGCTTTGATGTGGAGCACAAATTTCAGCAGCTAGATACTTAGTCCACTTAGACCGCTTCAAGGGCTGAGTCATAAATAACTCACTGGGGGGGTCGGAGTCCCTAAACTTTTTGAGCGTGTCTCAGACACAGTACAGTCCTTTGGAGAAACTGACCAAAGATAAATCAGTCCGCAGTGACAGTATTGTGTTCCTGGAGGACGATATCGATTCGGGCTATTATGGACGCACCTCAAAGTGTAATATGCCAGGCATCGATTGGGACACTGTACGGGTTCGTGACCTCCGATTGACTCCACCATTTCCTTCAATTCAAAAGGCATTGTCCGAATCATGGACAGCCTCCATCCACGTCATAGTACATCTCCGTCTCAACCACAACTTTTCGCTTTGCTAGGAAAAAATGGCAGTAGATGAACATACGTTGGCGTCATGCTGTCACGATGCAGGAATCTTCCCGGTAATATATCGCAGAATAGGGCTAGAAGAGTGCAAATAATCCGTCATACAGGTGACGAAGGCTCCTGAGTGGGTTTTTATCAAGTAGACGAAAGCCCCGCATTACAATATTATGCATCGGAGAGTGTACTCTGGTCAAGCAAGGGACGAAGCACTGATTGGGGGAAAGGGCAAAAACAAGTAAGATAAACGAATGATTTGACAAACGAGTCGAAGAACTTAGTACATCCGACCCGACACAAAATCGCCTCAAGCCCAGATGTCCTTTATTAAGTCGGACGCCCGCTCGGCTACGATGTAAATAGGGACTTGGGGATGGGCCGCAGGTATAAAAGGCTAGATAAACCATACATTATCAGCAACTACGACTTCGACTATTCCGAATCTGAGGGCTCACAAAGACGGAGGCATCGACAACGCGAAGGCCCTTGACTCCTTTAACACGTAAATCGGGGTTCACGACACCAAACGGCGCATCAACGGCAGACATTGCCGCAGTGCCCACAGCGTGGCATGTCGACCCCGAGTTCCTTCGTACGTACTCGTCGATCTCCTCGTCCGAATTTGCCTGTGCGAGGTCGCCAGCGGGTCCAGTAACCCAACCCGACCACGCCGCGGCCCCAACAAATCGTTTGGCCATTTTGACGACGGAACGCATCGCGAAAACATCGAAATCGGAGGTAAAAAAGCCGGGGTTGATGAGTGGCTGATTAAATGGATTCGTGGAATTCAGTCGCAACCATCCTCCTGAAAACAATTATTAGGGGCTATGATTACTTGTTAGAGGCAACGTACGGCTGGTTGGTGTGACTACCGCCAGTCCGATACTGAGAAAGTTACCCATGGGCAACGGTGGGCGCATTCCATTCTACGAGGCCATGTTGTGTCAAGAATGGATATTCACCAGCGTCAATTCGCATACCATGAACATCATCTCGACATGGGGCGCAGTCGACCCAGATGCCGGATCACTCACTTCAGAGAATATAGACGAATCGTTAGGCAAGCGAAACCAACCCAGATGAGTCACAGTAGGATCTCCCAGGATCCCAGAGTGCGTGCGGTTCCACTGCTTGAAGGCCTTTGCGAAGAGTGTCGCATTGCGGAGCAAGTCCTCGTCGGTTGACTTCGTTGCGTTGACCGACCAGGAGCTGAAGAGTCCTGGATGATCTGACATGTTCTTCCCGACGCTTGGGATGTGGTGGGTGGTCCTTATGCCAAGTGCGTGAAGTTCATTTGTGTCGCCGATGCCAGAGAGCATGAGGAGTTGGGGCGTTCCGAATACTCCCGCTGAAAGGATGATCTCTTTGGAAGCAGTGACACTGACTGCTGGTCCATCTAAATGGTTCTTTAGCTTTCAACATGCGCCCCAATTATTCCAGAAACTTACTGCCCGATTGTGACATAAACTCAACGGTATCAAACACCTTCGAGTGCTTGCCCTCCCGAACGCGGGTGACGCGCGCATTAACAAGCACATGTAGATTTTTCCTCTTCACATATTTCGGTGCCAAATACGAAGTCGCCGACGAACTGCGTACTCCGCTCTTAATCGTCGCCTGCAACCAGCCCACACCAAGCGGGTTGCCTGAATTATAATCCAAATTGAAAGGGAATTCCCCTGGGAGCTCTTTGGTGGTCTGGATAACGCGGTCGTTATATGAGTGGGGGAAGCCGCTAAGGCTGACGGCGTTTATTCCAGTGAAGCTGTGGAAACGGGGGTCAAATTGGGTTCGGGTTTTATGATGGTCGGTAGGCTCGGTCCAACGTTCGTTCTAAAGAATCAGATTTTGTTATGTTAGGCACCTCGTGAGACGCATAAAAGTCACGACTTACCTTTCGAATGAATGGTTGGACATTGTTCCACGACCATCCCTGGTCGCCTGTTACCTTCGCGAACTTGTCGAAATCATCCGCAGGCCCTCTGGTGTAGAACATTGCGTCTAGAGGCCCATGAATACCCAAGACAGACATAATGGTTCACCCGACTTATGGACATAGCATACTTACTGAGCGAACTTGTCCCTCCAAGCATGAAGCCTCTGATATAGCCCATGGACTTCCCGTTCAGCCCTTCTTGCGGGACGGTGGTGTAGTTCCAGTTGTATGGACCGGGGGAGAAGAGATTACCGTAGAATCCTGGGACTTCGGAGTCCAGCACGCCGACATTGCTGTACAAAATCAAACAACAATAGATCAGTGGGGTAAGAATGAAGGAGAGTCAGGTAGGAGAGAGTGCAATAACCCACGAGGGCCCTGCCTCTAGCACTAGAACGGAGAAGCGGGGATCTTCTGTCAGACGGTTCGCGACAACGTTTCCCGCCGTGCCACCTACGCGACAAGGACCATCACAGTATCAATATGTTGGATGTTGATAAGACAAAAAGCTTAAAGCGTACCTCCGACGACGACAAAATCAAATCGCCGACCAGGGAGCTCTGAAATATTTTCGTATATTGCAGCACGAGCGGGTGTAGGAAGGAAAGCGAGTAGACAAAGGCATGCACCTAGGCTGATAGTAATGATAAATGTCAGCATCGAGACTGTGGGGTATCCGTATCATCATCTAAACTTCCACCATTCTCCCTTCTAATAGCAGAGCGACTTGGCTGGGAACGAGGAACGAGGAAGTGGGACAAAGGCTTGGCACGGCGTACATGGTTGAACCATAGGTGAACACGGGTTAGCAAATAAATGCTGTCCGCGTGCTAGCTAGAGCAGCAGGTACAGTGCGAGGCTTGGCTTGTCGTAATTTGTGAACGCGGAGCGACAAATTTCGAATCCCGGACGGAATGCATGACCATTTGAGCTTTTATTTGTGTGCTGAGGGCTGGTATTTCTGATTCTCGTGTTAGTTCAGACGTTCATCCCCGTATTTCTGTTTCCCCGCACTATGCTCCAATGTCGACGGTTACTGGGGCACTGGGACAAGGAGTGAGCGTGGATTCCAGGAATATTTTGGAGATACGTCGGCGTTGTATCTGGGAAAGATAGTTGATCATGGGTACCCTTTGAACTCTCTCAGGGGGAGCGTACGTGTGTGCTAAGAGTGCAATGGCTTTTGATGAGAGCCAAAAATCAGCAGCGGGGCTTGTGTCAACTGAAGAACTCACCGTTTCTCTATCTTCTCAACTCAAACAGCTGGGTTGGGACACCTGGCTGGCTAACAAAGGAATCTTCTGCGACGCAACGCGGAGCCTCTGCGATTTAGTTGAGTATGTGATTTCCCTTACATAGCAAATCTTACAACCTCCGAGGCTGACTCTCTTCATCGACTTGCGAGAAGTAATACTTTCTGGCATTTCGGTTGGGTAGTACATGAGGGGCAGCTCTCTATTGTGCATTATTGAGCAGTATACATTCATAGTATTTTATACAAGCCATCTGGCAACACAACACGTGTAAATTTTACTACAAGCCTTGAATCTGGAACGACGGACCGTCTCATCTATTGCTTCATTTTCTTCTCAGGCGGGCATATCATCAAGGATGCATCCGTCTTCTTCTAGGCCCGTAGCGGCGCCGGGACGCAGGGGATCCCATGACTGCGTCTTCCACTTGCAGGTGTGAGTCTGATGATAATGGTATGTGTCCAGTGGAAGGCACGGATACTGATGTGGACGCCAACGGCAGTTGGTGTTGCATTGCATTCACCGGCACCCAAGCAGCGGCCATCGGCAGAATGAAGAGAAGACAAGTCCGCATTTGTATACCTAGTAGATTCGCAAGTCAACAACTGCACTCTTTGGATCTCAACGCCGACTCACCAGAAGTAGTGCTGGTGGGGGATGGTCAGGAAGAATTAGAACATTCCGCAGACATCGCCGGGTTTTTATAGGGCCAAGGACGCAGCGCCTCAGATAATTGGGGTAATGATTTCGCCGCAAGGCTTCAGGGCTTTTTTTGCCGTCGAGGTCATCGCAGAAGTGCAGGACAAAGATAGAGCATGGCGCAGGCGTGGCCGCAGGTAAGCCCCTTCGAGAGAGTTTCCCACAGTCAGTAAATCGCAGAGTGTTTCACACGATCACAAATATTCTCCTGATTCTCTTCAAGATCATGACGAAGCACAGCAAGAACAATACCGCGTCCTCGATATTCTCGTACGCAGAGTACAAGAAACTCGATTATGGAACCAAGAAAGTATGTAGAATCTCCATTCATCTTAACATCGCTGTAATTTCATACTAGCAACGTTTAGGGAATGAGTCCATGCGAAGGTTCGATGCCTGTGCACTCTGCCTTAATCGCGCTCGGGAGCCGTTGGCCTGCTATGAAGGACATCTCTTCTGCAAGGAATGCGTATATACAGATCTACGTAAGGTTTTTGCTGGCGTAGCTGTGTTGTGCTGACCGCTAGGATCTAGTCACGCAAAAGAAGGACATAAAACGGCAGAAAGAACGCCTTGAAAACCTCAAGAAGGAAGCAGAGGCTGAGCGTCAACGAGCAAAGGAGGCCGCGAGAGAGCGTGTCCTTCTGGAGTTTGAAAAGGGACAACTTGGCTTAGCTGCTACGTCTACAACTGGCACGACTTCAGGTGTCAATAGCGAAGGTAATTAACTCGGTCATATAAAAAATTTCAACCGATACTGATCTTTGTCAGGCAGAGGGACAAAGAGGAAGTTTGATTTCGATGTTTCCAAGGTGGAATCTTTAGCACAAGAAGCAGAAGAGTCGGCTTTGCTACAAATCGAAAAGGAGCAAGCTGAGGCGTTGCGGAACAAACTTCCGGATTTCTGGTTGCCGTCACTGACGCCAACATATACTTCTTCTGGCCCCCCACGGTCCCTTCAAGATGTGAAACTCCAAACCACTTGCAGGGGAGGCAACCCATCACATACTCTCTCGTATGTCCTATCCTTGCCCTCTTCTCACTTTGCACTGAGCCAGCTTGAACAAAGATTAAAGCAATTGGTGCCAGTAAAGTTCTCGTACCAGACGCCCTCCGCTTCTCTCGGTTCGCCCGTCGGCAACGGCGAATTATCATCTCAGAAGGAAGAACGCGACCCCATGTGTCCATCATGTAAGAAGGGGTTTTCCAACAGCGTTCTCATGTTCCGTGGGTGAAATGTCTCTTATGCCCACGTCTCGCGCTAACCTGCATACCTAGTGACCAAGACTTGCTCTCACGTCACTTGTAAAACTTGCACGGATACACTCGTTCGTCCCGCTAAGCAATGCATTGTCTGCGATGCCCAGCTAAAGGACGGTGACATAATTGAGTTGAAGCGCGAAGGTATTTATCCCACTGGCCTCCCAACCCCCACCTGCCTCACATCTCTCCGACTTCAGGCACTGGTTTCGCTGGCGGGGGCCTCGCTGAATCGTCCAGAGCTGGGATTGCTTTTCAAGGCTAGTCGCGGTATCATTTACGTTACTACGGTTCGCGCTTTCGATCTTGTTCTTTTTGTTACCCGCTGTCCACACTAGCGATAGCATTGTAGTATTACTCCCATGGCAGCTTCGCAAATGCTCTGCGGGAATTTTCTGCTTAATTAACGGACGGCCCGGCGCCGCCGTCAACGATACATAAGAGCTCTGATGGACATCTTTCTCTGGCACATTGTGTAATGTTCGGTAACTTGTTGCAGGTTTGGGCTGGCGCGAACGCTGTCCTGACCTCCAATTCGACCTACTTCCAGCCCAACTCCACAGGTATCCGCCTTCAAAACGGGTTTGAACGTGTCTTCATTCAAGTGAGTTAGGTGCTCCACTCTACGGCATAGGTTCATCTGACGCTTTCGGAGCCATTTGGGAACCATGGCATGCGAGTTCGTGCAAGTCTCATGAAAGATCCTACAGGTCAAGAACTATCGGCTCTTCTCGACCCTCCCCTTGAAGGACCCGGTGGTGGCCAGGGTCTTTCTCATGACATCGAACTCCCTTTTCAAGGTAACGCGACCATTCGAAACGGCGACCTTATAACAGAAGTCTCCAATGGCTTCATATCATTTTTCCGTGCCGAGTCCAACGGAAGCCGTACACTCTTAACTGCGGAATATATGGATACAAAGGCCCTTCAGCCAAGATACTATATCCAAGATTTTCGAGCGTCCAGCTTCGAGGCGCAATTTTCATTCACCTCTACCCCAGAGGAGCAGATTTATGGCACCGGGCAGCAAGCTTGCTGTGATGATAACTCAGTCAATAAGAAAGGGCAGGTCGTGGATCTCATTAATTACAACTCGCACGTTACTTTGCCCGTTTATATGTCAAACAAAGTAAGTTTCATCTCTGTTCGTACGCAGGCAACACGACCCTACTTTATTATAGGGTTACCTACACTTCTTCAACATGCCTAGTCAAGGCCGAATGGGTAAGGTAGGATCGCTTCATTTGACACGCACTAATCATTGAAACAGAGTTCAGTCCACTGCGGACTCGCTTCGTTGCGAGTGAAGCAAGCGTCGTCGATTACTACATGTGAATTGCCGTGTATGGATCACGGAACCTTCGCTTACTTCTTGATTAATCTCCAGTACAACAGCTACGCCAGGTGATTATGACGCTTTACAGCAGCAATTCACCAGTGTCACGGGTACGTGACCCTAACTTACCATTTTGCGAGTTAAATTAATGAAGGGATTTTAGGGCGCCAGCCTACGCCTCCGGACTTCCTCTTGGGATACCAACAATCTAAACTTCGTTACTTCAATGAGAGCCAAGTTTTAGATGTAGCACAACGGTTTCATGACGAGCAGGTCAACGTCTCTTTGATCGTGGTCGACTTCTTTGCCTGGAAGTTCCAAGGAGACTGGTGCAGAAATCTCTCTATCCGTAGCTTTCAGGGATTCTCAGATACCTTGCAGGTCGTTCAATCCGGAATTCTTCCCCGATCCTGAAGGGATGGCTGCCAAAGTCAAGGAGCTGACCGGCGCTGAGATGATGGTGTCACTTTGGCCAAGTGTAGAAGATTTATCGGAGAATTATCTCACCCTCCAGCATAACGGTCTTCTAGCAACTACTAGAGATGGTCCAGGCGTACAAGATTCCTTTGCAGGGGTGTATACTCGCCTTGTAGACTCAACGAACCCCGCCGCTCGGGAGTTTCTTTGTAAGCGTCTGACGATATATATCGGACGACTGATCTTCATACCAGGGTATGCAGGGAGGCGGCTCAACGATAGCTACTTTTCAAAAGGGATTCACAATTTTTGGATCGACCAAGCGGATGGTTGGTAGCATAGCACAAACATTCTGATGCTCTCGCTCACGCCTAAATATGCATCTAGGCGGCACTCTTGGTGAACCCTTTGAGAACAGTAAGCTTGTCCATGTTCGACTTCTCCGCGTAGACTCACTTGGCTTCCAGACGGACAAACAATCAGATCGTTGCCTTTCGCCCGTTCTTTCGCCCAGTACTTTATCGGGACGCAAGAGGGGGCTGGTAAGATGTATCCTTGGTTGCATCAGCAAGCTATCGATGAAGGGTTCCGAAACCTTACCACCGCCGATCATGGCGCGACATCCTGCGAGTTCATGTCCTTAACGCGAAGTACCTTCGTAGGCGGACAAAGGTTCTGTTCTTATCTTTGGAGTGGGGATACGGCGAGCCGGTTCGACGTTCTACTGCAGCAAATTACCGTCGGTACTTCTGTTGCCGCCTCAGGGATATCAGCTTGGACGCTGGATATAGGGGGCTTTTCTGGTTTGAATGTTGACACGGACTTGGTACCTTCCTACTACATCAACTTCCCCCTCAATCACCCATGTTTGTATAGGGCCGTGAACTGTTTGTTCGGTGGCTATCTATGGGCGTCTTCCTTCCATTCGTGAGCGTCTCTTTCTTTCAATGAATTGCCTGGTTATGAATCAAACTTTCCGTAGATGCGGGTCCATGGGCACGTTCAGGCTTTCCTCGCGCCAAATATGTTTCGCTGATGCCTCATGTACAGAACAAGAAGCTGTAGCTTGCCTACAGGCGACTCGCAACCATTTGCTAACCCTTGTCCCAATGAACCTTGGTCCTACGGCGATGCAAACTTTGTTATAATCAAGAAGGTATGATATCAATTAGTAAAACTTCTAGCACCATGTTGAACACCTCCGTCTGTAGTACATAGCACTCAGGTACCAGCTGATTCCCTATGTGAAACAGTTGTTCAGAATGCTACAATCAACGGGGAGAAGTATCATGCGACCGCTCTATTATGACTTCTCGCTTTCAGACCCTTTTGTGTCTGAGGCTACAGCAGCCAATGATCCCCTCGTCGTTCATCAATTCATGTTCGGTGCGTGCAGACCTAATGATCTATCTATATATCCTCAATCACATCTTACGCCGCGCTATCGCAAGGTCCTCGCCTCCTCGTTGCACCGGTAGGTATACCCAACACCCTGGTTAAGGAAGTTTACCTCCCACGTCTACCTGATGCTACTGCTGGACAAAACGTTTCTTGGAAGCATTGGTGAGCGGCGTCAGTGGCGTAGGGACGTCAGGCTGATTAGGCGTCGTCAGGTGGACCGACAAAGACTTCGGGCAAGGCGGTGCGGCTGTTAATGTCAGCGCACCCCTTGATGAAATCCCTGTCTTCTATCTCGGAAGCAAGGATGAGATTCTGGGCGGCGATCTGTAACTCCTTCGACGAACAGCCGCTATTAAAACATCATGGCCGATCCAACGGCTTCCAACTGCGTCGTATATTCTCAAGGACACGATTTAAACATATCGAGAATCCCAATCTTTGATCCAAGTAGAAGCCTTGTGCCCAGAAGGGCTCAAGATATCGCGGGCGACAATCATCGGCGTTGTAGCCCAGCGTCTCTGTAGTTGATGAGGGAACACAATAGAATTTCTTCCTTCACAGAGGCCGACAAAATTATCACAGTGAGGTAAACGGATAAGGCGCGCGCTCCCTCTCAAAGATGAGTATAAAACACCGATATCTATGTTTCCACCGCCATCGCCAACTTGACAACAACCTCCTCTATACACTTCACATCGAATACTTGCGAAAATGTTCCGCAACAGGGGTAGGTTTTGCGTAGCTGGGCAAGTCTGCGTTTGACCTGACCCCAACGGTCTAGGTTCCAACACGGGCAAGGTGCAGGGACAAGTTAACAACGCCAACCACGGCAATGGGACATTCAACAATGTGCACGGACAGCAGAACTTCAATAACGGCGACACCCATCACGGCGACACTTACGGAGGAGATCATTATGCAGGAACCATTCATGGGGGTAACGTCGGTGGTCGCGGCAACAAGAATGCCATATACAACAGTGTAGCTGTCGATCCACCCCGACATGATACGAACCCCAGTTTGTGTTACGAATACGGTTCATCTTCTTTACCATAGTGCTCATTTGCGTTGTAGGGCCATCGACTCGACTGCAACAGCTCCAGGCCGAGTTAGACGATCTCAACTTGAAAATTGAGCAGAAAATGGTTGAAATGGGCATGAACGAAGAGCAGAGGCTGCAAAGGATGGTAGAAGAACTAGGGGCAACATATCGAATTTTGCAGCGGGAAGCCGACAAACCCCCCAGAGCCTAACCGCCAACTAATAGCGAATCCGAAGATCTAGCTAATTCGTGTGGATTGTGTTGCGTTGCTTTGAGATTCTCTGCTGCTTGATTTGTGTTGTGGTTGATGTCCTCGCTTTATATCGCTGTTGTTGCTTCTGATTCTAAACGTCCTGTACATGCCTCAAATCTATCATCCGACCTTTACGTTCCAATTTACTACTATCCGTGCATGCGGCCAGGCGGTGACCCGTCAAAAGGCTGTACATTAGCCTCTATATCGAGAAGATGCTCTGGGAATAGAACCTGAGAGTATAGCGACCGCAAATGCCACTCATCGCCATGCTTCAAATTCACCTCCCACGTACACCTGCCTTTCTTTGTCTGCACTAGTCATCGGCGATAATATGGGCGCCGGGACCCACAAGATACAATGTTCATATATACACTTCCGGGAACACGAACGGAATTATCAAGGGCCGACGAAGTTGGTACCACGAGGAGGTCCGAGGTTGCCAGACGCCTATGTCAAAGATGCTTGAATATAGGAAAGACAATATCAAAGATTTACCGATAGCACCCATCGAAAATATCATATCATCTTGATCCTCGGTTAGAGCCCCTTCTCCATCATCCAGCTGGACTCCCGTCAGCCTCGGGGAGACAGACATCCCAACAACCACAATGGTGGTGAAGAGACGCTTAGCGGACCGAGATCAGGACGTCAACTTTCACGATGCAGCCCACCATCCTAGGAAGACACACGCAGGCGACACTAGTATGTAGCTTCTGTGCGAAGGTAACGGTCGGCGGTCGCAAGGCAGCTTGATACATGGCACTGCCAGTGACGGTAAAATCTCAGCCGCTGGACCACGTCGGTGAGTACGATGAAGCCAGTTCTTCTATATCAGAGCATGCTGCACCGGCCGCGGCGAACATGACGAAATTTCTCAAGATCTAAAAGCATATCTTCAGTCAGAGGCTGACATGCCGATGTATAATTTTCCCCCTGGACTATGCACAATCGCTGATGTAGAGTTGAACCTCCCTCCTGAAACTGGCATTCATGAACGCTTTGGCATTTGCTGCGCAGCCTGCTACACTATTCTGCCGAGGCTGGCCCCGTGAACTAGCTAACCCAAACAATATTTTACCAAAATGCCATGCTGAGGGCATCTCGATCATCATCTCAAACACACTTATCCTAAACGGTCTAGGAATATTTAGACTCCGTCACTCCGCACCCCAGCGACCCGCTCGGAGTTGCCTCCAAGCCCACTTCGTGGTTTTCCATCATGCTCGAAGCACGGTCTGCAATTGCTCCGTAGCTTGGAATCACGATCAGGCTCCGTTTTCCAACATATTCCCCCAAGATTGGGTCAAACTGCCTCCGAGGTTCTCGTACAATCTGCCTCGTCGACTACGCGTGCAATGTGCATGACACTTTGTGGACATAGAATGGGCAGGCACGTACCATCAGTCGACCAATGATGAGAATTTGGCACCACCTGTCGACGTTCATGGCTATACAGCCTATACTACGAGCCGTATGATCGACCAGTTCACTCATGGATGTGTGTAGGTACACGGTTGGCAAACGCCACCTTTCCGCGTTTTGGAATACAAGGCGAGATACCACATCATCCTCTTATTCTCTGTTAGCAGCTAACATCGCTTTGTATAAAGGGCGTTGCATAGTAATTGCTCTTGTCAACAAACTAACAATAAGCCGTCAGTTTGAATAGCTTGATGGTGCCGTTACTAGCAGTAGCCGAGCCAACTCGAACAATGTATCGTCGCATTGAATGGTTTGATGATGCCGTGTCTGGCAGTCCCTTCTCCCTTCAAAGTTCAAACTGGAAGATAACAGCATTTCAAGACTTCGTAGGCGCCAAATCGGCAGTAAGGTGGACACACAACGTTTCCATCCCTTTATAGAACAAGAATACGTTCCTGTCCCAGGACTGGCGCCGGCGAAGCTGATCAGGATGGCGAGGAGGGCCTTTAACAGGCTGTGCGGGCTATCTCACACCGGACACCCATATAAAACATCGATAACGATCTCCCCTCACGGCATTACCAACTCGACAGCCCCCAGATATACGCTTGTAAAACGTTTCAGTATGATGCCTACTTCCTCGCCAGTATCACCAAATAATCCATTCCGGCCAAGTAAGTCGAGCCTAGCTAGGAAGGCCATCATCTCACCCGATTATCTGTATAGATGCTGCCGACAGGACTGACGGTCAATTGATCTCGCGAGACCTAGTTCCCCAATCATCACACGTACAGTCAACGGCACTGCAGCCAATTCCGTCTCGTCCTGTAGCCCTGCATGCAAACACCAACCCATCTTCCCGTGTAACATCGCCTGCTCCAGCGTTGCCACACATGCCGAACTCCTACCCTCCGCCAGGAGAGACACATAATTACAACAATAGCGCGGGGGTGTTCAATCAAGTTAATGGAGACCAGCGCTTTGACTATAACACGGCACACAACGAACATATATATGAAGGAGATACCTTTGCGGCACCGATTCACGGAGGTAACGTCGGGGGTCGCAACAACCAGAATGCCATATACAACGGTTCAGCGGCTGTTGGCCCACCTAGACGATACGGAGGCAACCCTAGTACGTGCTAAGTGCTAATCCATCCGCCTGATCATAGTGCTAACCTCAGGACAAGACATGCGCGCCTTCGAGACCAAGGCAGATACTCTTCAATCAGAAATTGACCGCCTAATGGACGAATTGGGCTTGAACGAGGAGCAGAAGTTAGAAAGGAAAATATTAGACTTGCAACTAACACTTCGCGCATTGCAACGGGAGGTCCAGGTTGCGGCCCAACGTCCTGAGTCCGCCCTGTCGCATGATGTTGGCTATGCGTAGTGGGCTAGCTAAATACTCGTATTACTTTGTAGATCGCTCGGCTTCATGCTTTGTATCGTAGTTGTGATCATTGTATTCATCTTCCTCTGGTTCCGTGTTATGCTTAGCGCCTGATCGGACAATTACTACGGCCACGACGACCACGAACGACCTCCACGTTCACTCGTCTTTCGTAGCTCGGACACAGGTCTTGGACGGGGTCCGTTGGCACGGGGTCATGCAAAATTTGGTATACAGCCAGTCATATGCATGATTGAGGTATCGATGCAGTGATGTCCGCCAAGCACTAGCCCTACTACTAGGCCCTCACTGTTGCCATCTGTTGAACATTGGCAATGTTGTATGCAGCGCACTGGCAGCCTGTGCTCGGTTGCTGCGCTTCAACTTGTTTTATATACGCCCCGGGCACGCATGCTACACTATAATTATTTGGCGAGACTGGGATCAGCTCTTACTTCCGCCAGATTCTCGCTGCGTATCATTCGAGGACCCCTGGACCATGCCTCATTAACTGTAGGCCGCCGCTTTAATGGCATTCAACATGCTGAAGGTGGTACGAAGCCATGACAAAAGGGCGATGTTCTTGAACAATCTCAATTAGTTAACTCAGGCTCGTGAAGCCGGCAACAGTTTCTTGAGAACAAAGACAAGTGTCGTGAGGTGGAATTGACCTTGTTTCAACTTTGAGGCGAATACAAAGGCACAGAGGCTCACCGCAGAGTCCATAGTATAAAGACTCTACTGTCGCTCCTGGCAAATTACCAGTGAAAGCGTCCGAATACTCACTGCTATTTCCCGCGCTATCATGTCTCCCAACCCTTTCAGACGTGCGTCGGACCTCACGGTTAAGTAATTGCTGAATTCTGACCATATGCAGGGTTCGCCGATAGACGGAAAAGCTCGAAACGCCAAACTTCCTCGCCACCCGCACAAGCCATAGAGCCCGTCCCTCCTCCACAAATACAAGAGCCACAGGCAGCGGCGCAGCCAAGCCCCCTGCTCCAGCAGCCAGAAGCAGCGGAGCCGCCTCCTTCTCCGCCAACTCTCCAGCAGGATGTCGTTGCAGTAAATCAGCACGAAACAGCCAATAACAACAATTCTGAGGGGACATTCAATCATGTGAATGGAAACCAGAACTACGATACTAGTACAGCCTACCAGGGAGACGTATACGAAGGGGACTACTTTGCATCGTCTATTCAAGGTGGCAACGTCGGGGGGCGCGGCAACACGAACGCAATCTTCAATGGTGGGAGCTCGTTTGATCTACCTCGGCGAGGTAGCGGTACTGCCAGTGCGTGGTATGCAATAAACTCGTTTGGCTCATGGTACTCACCGTAGGGTCAGAGATACGAGGCCTGGAGGCCAAAGCAGAGTACTTCCAATCGGAAATCGATCGACTGATGGATGAAATGGGCCTGAGCGAGGAGGAGAAGCTGGAACGCAAAATAACGGAGCTACAAATAACATATCGAACCTTGCAGCGGGAAGCTGCTTCACCTCGATCGGGGCCAGGGCAAGATGACTATTAGTGCTCCTCGAGGATGCTACGGCTTTGGCTAGACTTGGTTTCGTTTCCACTTTATACATGGTCTGACACTTTATCTGTTCTTTAATATTTATGTCTTGTTAATGTGCTGAACGGCCCTAAGAATGTTGATTTGCTCGGGAAAATATGAATGAGGAGCTAGGAGTCACCCCTGTTGATAGAGGTGACCGTGGGAAGTCGTGAGTCTGACCGACGCTCATCTCCTCAACCGGGTTGGTCTGCGGCCTAGTTTTTGACCATCTGGTCTTGTGCATTTCGCCACGCTGGGCCACCGCCATGCTCTATAAACTGGACAAGACTCGCGCCGCATCTACCTGACCTAAATATCCGCTACTCAGCCTCTCCTCAGGCATGTACCACCACGGTAGTAACCAGGACGGAGAACCTTTCGTTATTTGGTCTACAGCTTGGGACACGTTACCCCGGTTTAACTCTGGCCATCGCCCCATCCAGGAATCGCCATCGCCACCGCCATTGATTGGCGATGACATTACCTCGGACGAAGGAACGGAGACTGACCGGGTTTCGGACACTGCGCTCGACAATGGTCAATATGTTATTTACGAAACTTGCGGGGTGGCAATCCACGACGAGGCGTGTCCTGGCGTTAGTGCTTCTACTGGGGATGTCTTTCCGCACATATCCCAAGGCGGCTTGAACGATAAATCACGGCCTGATGACGACCTCTCGTTTCAAGCACTGCTGGACCAGGACCGTGTTCTACGGGATTTGACTTGGCTGGCTGCTGCTCGCTGGGACGAATTTGAAAGGCCTCTGACTCACATGATCAACCGCTGGCTCGCTTTACCCCCGAAGACACTTGCGAAAGTTCTGTTCTACCACGCAACTCGAAATTCGTCTTATGCCGCTCCTCTCACCACCCTGATTCTCCTGATCTGTAAATACGGCGCGGTCCGGCATGGAGTAACCTATGCGCGAGACGTGAGAGCTGCTATTGAAATCGTTACCGTTGAGGCAGTGGAAGATTATTGGCTGAACGGGAACAGAGTATGTCTTGTTTATTCTTGTTCCCCCTTCCAACCTAGTTGACTGTGACTCCTCGCAGTTAACGTCCGTTGTCTACTTTCACATGGGTCTCCATCTGCAGCGATACTCGGTTAACATCTCTGCGTTCTTGGGAGCAGTTCTCGGCGGTGGCATCGTGCCCATGCAGCTCTTGTTCCCCGTGGTACATAACATTCTTCCCAGCCAACCCAGGTCCTCCATGGCAGCAAATGATGCAGAGCGCGCAGAGGCCATTTACACGCTGTTATCTTACGTAGTCAGAAGGCTTTGCGTCAAGGAGAAGAAAAGTGGATGCGGCAACGAACGAATTTTGGAAAACCGCAAGTCGTTAAAGCGTGTGTCAGCATATCTACTTCAAGAACTAGGCTACTCCGCGAGGGGTCTGTCTTCGACCTCCGACCACCTGAACGAAAAGACTCGTAGTCGGTATTTTGCAAGTCTTTCTGCTGTTTTCATCATTTCCGGTATTTCTAATCAGTGTCGCAGGATATTCTTTACATTCTTCGCGACGCTCACTCCCGAGATCCATCGGTCACTTTCTCTGGCCTGAAGGAAGTTTGCTATTTTGGCTCAGACTTCTCAGCTACAGCTATAAATCGGACTTGAAGTCCATGGGCGCGATACCCCTCTCACTCTAGTTTTGGACTATTTCCCTTTGTTGTGCGCGTTTCACCTTATTTTCTGCTATCTTATTCATGTAGAGATTATGATCATTTGTAGTCGTTCCGACATATGATACTAATTGCATTCCTTCCATAAGTTTATGGTCATGACATGCCTTACTCATCAAGCAATGTTTGATGATCATGCACATGTCTCCTGGTGGACATCTAGAGCGAGGATATGGCACATCTACCCCTAGAACTATTCCCGGTCATCTTCCAGAATATCCTAAAGCCAAGCCAACTAGCAACCTGTTGTCTCATCAGCAAGGCCGCTTCTGCGTTCGCGGTTCCGTTACTTTATGATCGCATATTGATCTATGCATGGCACAAAGGAGCGAAAATAAGGGTGAGCCATTTGATCTATATAGTTTATAGATCATTGTTGATGGGGAACGAATCAGGTGGTTCAGGTGTTCAACACCCTCGCGAAACGCCCGAATCTGGCTCGATATGTCCATTCACTGGGTCTGTACAGCGCTGCCTTCTAATTCTCCCCGAGGGTCCCTAATAATCCGTTGATCAGAACTACGAGATTTCCCAAAGGGACCCGAGATCAGCGTATACGGTGTAGCTGTATTTCTTCGTGCCTTGGACAACTGCATCAACCTTCAGCGATGCATCTGGACTCGGGATGGTTCGTTAAACAACGAAATACTCAAGAGTCTGTCCGCCCTCCCGCAGCTTCGGTCTCTAACGATCAACGGTCATAGTGCGCGATTTTACGATGCTAGGTGCTTACTGAACATCCGTGGTTTGTGCGACATATGCGTGATCATGCCGAGCGCGGAGGTGGTGCGAGTTCTTGTGGAATGGACGGAACTCAACGCGAGCACTCTTCGAGGTCTGGAGATTATATGCAAGGTGAGTCCTGTTGATTTCGTAAAGCAGCGATGGAGCTTACCCTCAATCATTCAGACCTCGCCCCTGATCACCGATGAACACCTTGGTTTCATTGCTTCTAGCTGCATCAACTTGGAAAGGTTGCGTTTGGTCGGTTGCTCCAAGGTCTCGCACGATGGGGTGTCAAGCTTTCTGCCTTCCAATCGTATTCCGATGGTCGAACTTGCCTTAGAGGGGCTTTCTCCGAACTTCGTATGTCGTCTCTTCTACACGGTGTCCGCGAGGTATTCACACATACATTCCCCAGAAATGGGTAGACCTTAGCCTCAAATCCTCCAACAACTTGACTCGCATGCGATCGATAACGTTGTCAATGGGCGGAGAAGCTGAGTCCGACTTCGGGGAATGGGTAGATTCCGTCGCTACATTGCTGCACGACGCTCCGCTCGAGGAAATGCAGATTTATTCCACTGGTCCACGGCTTGGTAACTCAACCGACAACGAGCTTTGGTCGCGGCTGATTACCCCACACGCCGCTCGTCTCACACGTTTCTCCGTGCACAGGATGCTCCTCCTGCCGAATACCATCGAGGATATCTGTAGAAGATGCAGTCGGCTTGAGCAGCTATTTATAGCGGTCCCGTATGCTATCTTCGTTCGTTGATTGATTGTCATTTGTGGTGACTATTCGAGGCTCATGATACTGATAGGATTCCCTGGGGCCTCTCTTGGCATCTGCTAAAAGTTTGGGAACGTTGCACCTGAACTTCCCCCAGACGTTTGGTGATCCACCACTTGTGCCCCTAGACAAGGCTGCAGCTTTGGTGCGTCAGTGCAGTAGCACCTTGACGCAGTTAGGATGCAACACTAGAGTATGGCAGGTAAGATCTGGGCTTCTTATGCTATGTGCGCGTTATCTAACTACGTGTGTGCAATCTAGGTTGTTAGACATGTACGCACGGACGATCAAGGCAATTCGTATGTCGAACGCTCTCTAGGTAGATACGAGAAACCAGATATTCCGGAACAGTTTCTTGTTGTACATACATGATAATAGAGGTGCACTACTCAAAATGGGGTCGAAAGAGGGAATATCATTGGGCTACGGACTTCTTCGCGTTTTGCTATACCACACAATAGCTCTACGAGCGTGAACGCGAAGGGGAATGCCGTTCCTAGTAGGATTGGTACCAAATGTCAGTCTCGCCGTCCTGCAAGTGGAAGAATGTGAGATAGATCCACTGACCTGGTCCACGGCTAACATATGAGATCAACCCATTAGGCTTTACCTCCACCCATGACGTTCAGTAAGACGCACCTCGTCACCAACTTCCCTGAAATCACGACGGAATCCTCAGAGTAGTCGAAATCTGAGCATTGATGACAATCAGCGTCCATCGGGGCTCGTCTACGAAGCCTGAGGCCTCAACGCCAACGTCAACACCTACCTTTCTCAAGCTGCGTCCTCACAGATGGATGAGAGGTTAGTCGTTGTTTTGGGAGCCCCGAAGTCGACGCTGCTAGACTACCTGTAGATCCCTCGAATTATCAACACTCATCAAGCGTACTACGGGATTGAGTACCTGCACATATCATACCCACGAATTTGTCGTGGTCGAGGTAGTCTCTGACAAGTTCTTGTACCACCGACGATTGGGAAAGCGTTTCGGCTCCTTTAGCTCCCCCTGGGATCACCAGCAGGTCGAAATGATCCTATAGTAGATTCAAAGCAATTGCAGCCGATTAGGTCGATGTTGAATGTAGGCCCGAGTTCACCCCGGATGATACATGCAATACGTACAGGTCCGCATTTGTGTTTCTCTAGGTAGGTATCTGGCTGAATATTGATACCTCGGGAACCTTTGCAGAAGGGAGGGCTGACTGCGTGGGGCTCAGAACCATCGGTATCGGGTGCAGGGACAAATGCAGAAGTGCAGGAGATTCCAGCGCGGACGAAAGTATCATAGGGGATCGTGCTGCATTGGTTGCAATCGTGAATGTGAAAGGCATTCTTCTTAGTGAAAGACGTACAATTCCATCTCCTCGGTCCCATCTGCCATCAAAATCAGTGCTGAGGGCATTTTGGTTCTGTTTAAGGAGGGGGTTACGGCCAAATGATTGCTGCCTCTTGTCGTGAATCTCAGGGGCCCCTGAATGACTTACTAGAATTCAACGTGAAAGCACTAGATACATCTGGGTGTAATACGATCCTCACGATAAATAGATAGCACAGAAATAACGGAGGAACGAGATAGATAACTAGCTGATTATCCCCTAAGCGAAATCCCGACCCCAACCAAGAAGCCGACGCCGACGCCCAAGACTCCCACTACACCCACAACCCACCTGCGGCTGCGAAGCGTAGATAAAAACGGCTTGGACTTGCTTTTCTTGCGGCGGGAATAAGGCGTGACCGCGGTGTCTAACTTTGTTTCATCTGCTGGAGGTGATTCTGAGGTAGCGAGAGCGGCCTTGTTTGCAGTCGAGGTCCAGGGAACCACGCGAATTATGCTGTTGCTGATTCTTCTGCTGAACGGCCCAAGAAGGGAGAGAGAGAACCACAATACCGAAGGAAGGTGAAGGGGATCGAAGTTCCCAGCAGTGAATGAGTGACTGCGAGTTGAATGGGGAAATGGCCGAGCGGTATGCTGTGCTGGAGTGTCAGGTTCCGGATATGACTCGGATTGTTGCTGAGACATGGAGCTGGAAGGCGCCGCGAGCCGCCTACGTGCAACTTGAATAGAAAGATCGCTCTCCCAAAACGACTTGCGATCCTCAAAAGTCGTCTCTTCAAGCTTCCTCTTCGCCGATTTGCCAGACTGGTGGCCTTTGACTGTGCCAACCAAGTCCCTTCCTTGACTCGGCGATGTAGACGACGAAGGGTTATTATTGTTCGAGGATGGCGTGATAAGTTTGCGTGATACAGGCACGCCGAAGTGCCCCACTATTCGGTCTATTTCGTACCACCGAAGGAAGCGCTCGGCAGCCTCTCTTCGAAGTGATGGGAGCGTGTTGGAGCGAAGGATGGTACCAGGCTGAAGGTAATGCGGGGAAAAGACGTGGGTGTGAGTAGGATCACGCCTCCTCGTAAGAGTAGATTGCGGTATGGATGGATACAACATGGTAGCAGCAGCCGTAGACGGCAGCTTGATCACTGGCACATACGATGAGAGAGATTCAGTGATGATGTGCTCAGCTACAGCAACCCTTGGATCGAAAGCTGTATAGAGCATTGTTAGATAATCCCATAACGGGGAAACCACGAGGTGACTATACCTTGCCGTGCCCTTTGTCTAGGGCCCAAAAGTGCACTCCTCTCGTCTCCATGGTAAAGATCGTAGAGAAGTACAAGGCCGACACAGAGGGGCGAGCCTGATGCAGCGAGGAGATTGTGAACGAGGGACGAAGTATAGGGAGGCAGAGAGGGTGAAAGTACATCGGTCAGCTCGCGGAAGGGGTAGGCAAGGAATGATTGGAGTTCAGTAAGAGTGTTGGTGAGTGTCGAACGTATCTGAATAGCTGTTAGAGGTGGAACAATTCATGCAGCAAAAGCGAAGCGTACGAGTTGCTCTGAGCTTTCATACTCGGAATCGTAGGATAAAGAATGCGGATGTGGGAGTCGAATAGTAACTTCGATGATCTCAATATTACGCGATGGTTCGTATTTCTCTAGACCATATGCGTCCTGGTGTTCAATCCAGTCCGTCGAAGCTCTCAGGATACGCCACGAGGCTGGATCAGAATTCAATGGTTCATCACTTCGGGACTGTTGTGGGTGGAAGGGTTCCCAGCCGCCGACGTCCACGATGTCCTCGTTGTTCTCCACTAACAAGCGACCTATGTCCAGCCCAGGGTCTGCGCTATGACCAAGCAAGTCATTATCGGTGTCTGACAGCTTCATCACAAGAACCCTAACATCCCCCAGCGATTGCCCATAGGCCGTCGGGCGACGCAGAGCCGCTGGAAGGCTCAAAGAAGGAATGATTAAGTGTCGTGTGGATTGGCTCTGAGGGTCCGTATCTGAATGATGGTCCTGTTGAGGTCTCGTGTGTACTGCATGGCCCTGAACGTGAGGAAGTGAATCAAGAGAGTGAGGTTCTGACGGCAGAGGCGGTGTTGCTGCGGCCGAGCTAAAGAAGAATGACGAGGAGACCGATGGGAGTGAGGAGACCGACCCCGGGTCAGTGAGCGACGGACTATCAGGCGGCGAGGGAGGATCGTCCAAAACAGGCGAAGGCGGGCGGTGTGGATGCCGCGTCAGCGGCGGCGAAGGCGTGCGCTCGTGCTCGTTGCTGAGGTCGGCGGTGGAGGGAATGATGAACACGGTGGACGACGAGGACGCTGGGTTCGACAATGAGTCCTCCATGTCGTGGTTCAAGTACAAGTGTCGAAATCCCGCGCTTCTGGTGGCGTATCGCATCCTTTATCTGATTAGATTGCAACCCTTTGTTTGTTCGTGCTATTGCGGGCAACTCGCAAGTGTTCATAGTCCCGACAGCTATACTCTTTCCTTGCTCACAACATGTCTGATTTCGACAACGACTTCCCGGCCGAGGGGGATGACTCCATGATGGATGAGGCAGGTGGCTCCTACGAAGCCGCACCAGGTCACCCGCCAAAAGCCCGACGCGCAGATTATGATGACGAGGAGGAGGAGGAAGAGGAGGAGGAAGAAGAGGAAGAGGAGGAAGAGTCTGGTCGTGGAAGGAAGCGTGCAAAGGTGCTTGAAACCTTCCGAATCTTCCCGAGCTAGTATTCATTTATGAACAGCATCGTCACAAGCGGTCCTTCGCCAATGAATTCCTCGACATTGAAGCCGAGGTCACGGACGAAGAGGAAGAAGACGAGGAAGATGATGACTTCGGTGGTCCTGGTAAAGTTCCCCCCACATTCGCCTGCCGTGCACTATCTCATATTCACGCGCAGATGGTTTCATTGAGGCGCCTCAGGAAGGAGATGAAGATGACTTGCAGCACCGCTCGCGCAATGCTCTGCTAGACAGGAAACGTGATCAGGACTTCGACGACGGCGACTTGGAAAGGATTGCTGAAGACCTGAGCAAGCGGTACTCTAACAACCGAGCCATCCGATACTCAGGCGATATGAATGACATTCCCCAACGGCTATTGATGCCTTCAGTGAACGATGCCAACTTGTGGCAAGTCAGAGTCAAGGTGTGTGTCTCAATCCCGTCGTTGGCATACCCTCGGCTTAATATTTGCATAGCCTGGCAAAGAGCGGGACATAGTGCTGTCGCTGCTACGCAAATCCATCGACTTGGAATATACCGCCAACCCACTGAACATTCTCTCAGCATTCCAACGCGATTCATTACCTGGCATGATCTATGTCGAAGCGCGTAGTGCGCAGCAGGTCAACAAAGCTTGCACCGGTCTGGTCGGTGTTTATCCCAGTCGAGGAATACATCTTGTTCCCATTGAAGAAATGGCCAGCCTGCTCCAAATAAAAAAGCAGGACTTGACTGTGACACCAGGAAGCTGGGTACGAATCAAGCGGGGCAAATACCAGGGTGATTTGGCTCAGGTGATGGATATCACCGAAAATGGAGAGGATGTTGGTTTGAAATTCATACCGCGCATCGACCTCAACCCCCGAGATGAAAGCAGCCTTGATGGTCGCAAACGAAAAAAGCCTGGCATCGTGGGCGCTCCTAATATGCGGCCCCCTCAGCGTTTCTTCAACTACGAAGAGGTTATCAAGGTCTACACCCGCAAAGCCGTTGCCAAGCGTAACCAGGTCTATGTGTTTCAAAACGAGACGTACAAGGACGGCTTCTTGGAGAAAGATTTCAAGCTGAGCGCACTCAGTTTGGATGATGTCAATCCCACTCTGGACGAGATCACTCGATTCACAAGGGGTCAAGATGGAACGGAGAACGAGAGCAATGTCGACTTATCCATCATTGCTGAAGCTTCGCGGAAGGCAGCTATTGCCGTGCTGCAACCAGGTGATCATGTCGAAGTGTTCGAAGGTGAACAGGCTGGTATGCACGGTGTTGTCGAGGAAGTTTCGCAAGATGTCGTAACGATATCCGCCGTCGGTGTCGACATTGATGGTCAACGCATTGATCTCCCTGCTCGTAGCGTGCGGAAACGGTTCAAACCTGGTGACCATGTCAAGGTCATGACGGGAAAAAACGCGGACGAGACAGGTTTGGTTGTTTCGGTTACAGAGAATGTTGTCACTTTCTTGTCCGATTTGTCTCTGCAAGAGGTTCGTTTTCCTTCTCGAAAGAGTACCTGTTGCCATAATTGACAGTCCCTTAGGTATCGGTATTTTCCAAAGATCTTCGAGAGGCTGCCGAAGTTGGTTCAGGCACGAATATTGTTGGTGATTACGAGCTACACGACTTGGTACAACTAGAGTGAGCTTATCTATTCCCGGCCTTCTTTTTTCAGGTCTGACGCTTTACGTAGTCAGCAAACAGTCGGTGTCATATTCAAGACTGAAAGAGATTCTTTCCGTGTTGTGGATCAGAACGGTCAAGTTCGCTTGGTCCAACCACATCAAATTTCCATGCGCCGTGATTCTGGCCGTTCGTTTGCAATTGACTCCCAAGGTCACGAGTTGCGTATAAACGACAACGTCAAAGAAGTCGACGGAGAGGTATGATTAATTTCTGCAATATGTTGTCTCGCAACTAAAAGGTGATTAGGGCCGCAAAGGACGCGTTCTGCACATTCACCAATCCCAATTCGCTTTCTTGCATAACCGAGAAATCAACGAAAACGGAGGTGTATTTGTAGCTCGGTGTCGTTCTTTGGCTTCTGTTGCGCCGAAGGGGAATTTGATCAAGCCGGGCACCGATCTCTCAAAAATGAACCCCGCGATGGCCGTGCCTGCTGGTGGTATGGTGGGCTCCGGAAGTATGGGTCGCGGGCCTCGAGATCGCTCCGTTGGCTCGCTGGTAGTCGTAGTCAAAGGTGTATACAAGGGCTACGCAGGGACCATCAAAGGTACTAATGGAAACGTCGCCCGCGTCGAGCTTCAAACGGGTAATAAAGTCATTACCATTGACAAGGAGAAGTTGAAGCGTCGAAAGTGAGCAAACAGTTAGCATTGCTAATTTTTCTGACCGTACGTGTAGTCCGGACGGTTCACTTGTTGACCTAGATGAGAGGCGACCGCCGCAAAATGGCTTTGGTGGTGGGGGAGGAGGGGGCGGAGGAGGGGGCGGTGGCTATGGCAGGATGGCTCCGCCGTCTTTGACGTCTCGGACGCCGAACCCCTACGCATCTGGTGGAGGTAGGACACCTGCCTGGGGTACTTCATCAGGTCGCACACCTAATCCCTATGCATCTGGTGATGGGAAAACACCTGCATGGAATGCTTCGTCTCGCACGCCCAATCCCTACGCAGACGGAGGGAAGACTCCAGCATGGAATGCATCCTCGCGAACCCCTAATCCTCACGCTCAGGACGGCGGGCGTACCCCAGCTTGGAATGCCAATAGCGGTAGAACGCCAAATCCATATGCATCTGCCTCTGGTTCCGGTAGCACCCACGGGAGCTCGGGTGGATGGGATTCTGGCGGCTGGGGTAGCAACGGTGGCGCTTCTCCTGTTCGAACGAATTGGGATTCTGGCGATTGGGGGGTAAGCAACGATGTTCTGCCGTTATGATTGGAAACTGACTTCCGTGCAGTCTACTCCAATGGGCGCACCGACACCAGCAACAGCACCCACTCCTGGCCCCGGACATGGTTATGGTGGATCAGCCCCGACACCGGGAGCTGGATATAGCGGCGCAACGCCCTTGTCGGCACCAACACCGTTTGCCTACAATGCTATGACCAATCTAACATCGGCACCTACTCCTGCTCCGTCTGGTATGCACGATGATGTTGATATTGGTATGCGGTTCTCACTATTTATGATTCATGCCATCTAATTTCTTCGTGCCTTTAGGTGAAGAATGGCTGCTCGAGATACCGGACCAATACCAGACAAGAGTCAACGTGAAGGTCAAGGGCACGACGATGGGCGAACGATTCTACGACGGTTCACTTGAGGACCTCGAGGGCATTGTTACGCAGGTCATGCGTTCCTCCGACCTAACACAAACGGCGTCCGTCCACTTCAAGTCGAGGCCAAGTGGTATTCCTTCCATTGTCAACATCCCCATCAAATATTTGACTCCGGTACATCCAACGCGCATTTCAGAACACGTATACTGCTTCGATGGTCCGCAGAAAGGGAAGGTTGTTGTCGTTCGTGCTGCTCCAGAGAATACGACAACGGTGGTATCATCCGTCGACCTCATTGGAGGCTTCTTCGAAATCGATACTGATATGCTTGTCGTATTGACCCCCGTCGACGACCCATAGTCCACCATGTAGTTTTGCCCTTCATCTATCTATCTCTCATTATCACGAACTCATTTTGCTTTCGAAACTTATTTCGTCGTGTTACGGCTGGCCGCAGACAGTGGACCGATCAATGGGGCTTTCAAACTTCTGTGAGTGCTCAGAGATACATATAGTAAGAACCCTCAATTAAAATTACCATCAGTCCGCTGCATGTGTTCTTGATCCCTAGGTCTCTGAACCATATCGTAATCTAACTGATCATACAGAATTCCGCCCAAGACTCGGTGAATCTCATCCCCCATCCATCTTCGTGGACGTAACAATCAGATGTTCCGCCGGTCATACGCCCGACACTTTGCGTATCAGATGATTAGTTGATGATGGACAAAGCCCGGTCCCGATGACCCCTTCCCCGTGCCGCCTCAGAAGAAGGCAGAAGTAATATCATCCAGCTCTCAGATGATCACTTATAAAAAGATCTATCATGACCAACATATGATGCTGACATTCGCCTCTATCCCAGAATGCTAGGTTCCCGCTCGATAAACTGCTTTTCCATAAGAGTATGTGTTCTGGGGCCGACATCGTCATACATACAAGGAGCCAGAGGAAACCAACAATCCCCTTGTACCTTGTACGAGAGCTACTCATGCGAAGCCTTGACGCGTGCCTGGCGTTCTACGGAGCACATGGAGCCCCGGTATCCCTTCGGATGGAGTTCGCAGAACTAATCTATGTTTACAGAACTTCCTTCCAGCTCAACGTTCGGCGAAATCAGCCTACATGAAAGCCAAACTTTGGAAGACGATTTCTTCCGCGGCATCGTATAATGCTACTCTCAATTTCAAGTCTCCTCGCGTTGTTGCTCCCTACAGTCCTCGGGGCCATATACGAAAGCGCTTCAGAGCTACCAAGCCATAACTTTGATTTCATCGTAGTTGGAGGTAAGCGTAACCCCTTGCGTGTATCAACCTGCCAGTTAATGCCAAGTTGTAGGGGGGACAGCAGGAAATGTCATTGCCAACCGCCTAACTGAGAATCCGCGCTTTTCCGTTCTGGTCCTGGAGGCAGGCCCGTCGTACGTTGGAACATTAGCTCTCATAGTGACGTGGCTCTGACTTTCTTGGTAATCTGTAGGAATATAGGTGCACTGAACTCTGATGTGCCGGGCTTGGAGACCAATAACCTTCCATTACCTAACCCGCATAACTGGAACTTCAGTACTGTACCGCAAGCAGGCTTAAATGGCCACACAGTGAACTACATCAGGGGGTTTATCCTTGGAGGGTCGAGTGCAGTTAGTAAGTACTCTATCACCTATGCTCGAATGATTACAATACTGATACATCTCTGCAGATGCAATGTACTACACCAGAGGTCCTGCAGACGACTTCGACAAATACGCGAATCTTACGGGCGACCAAGGCTGGTCATGGAATAGCCTTCAGACATATATCCAAAAGGTTGAGCTTTCAATGACTTTCCTACCTTGTATTACTAACTTCTTGACAGAACGAACGGTGGCTCGAGCCCACGGACCCTCTGACAGCCAAAGACCGGTTCGACTCGCGCTTTCACAGTTCCACTGGAATGAACTTCGTCAGCCTGAACAAATTTGTCCATACCACTGACAGCCGCATGATTCAAACTACGAAAGACTTTCCCGAGGATTTCCCATTTAACTTGGACTATAATTCGGGTAATCCTCTCGGTGTCGGGTGGCTGCAGGCTACGATTGGGAACGGGGTGCGAAGTAGCTCAGCGACTTCTTATCTAGCTCCAGAGTATACGGCGAGGAAGAATTTGCATGTCCTTGTCCATGCTCATGTCATCCGGATTCGCGAGGGGATTAGTAGGTCCAAGAGATTTAGTACCGTTGAGTTTATGTCACAGTCAGGTGGTGCGTACTTCCCCGGATTTGACAACTCGCGCGGTGTAGACTGAGTGAGGGCTCCCAGATGGACCGACCGTTAGAGTCACTGCATCAAAAGAGATCGTTCTGTCTGCTGGGGCGTTCGGGACACCACAACTTCTCATGCTCTCTGGTATTGGTGACACACAGGAACTCCGAGCACTTGGCATAGACACCGTGCACCACCTCCCAAGCGTAGGCAAGAACATGTCAGACCACCCGAAGCTAGGTAGTTTATGGTCCGTCAACTCGACATTGACCGACGAAGAATTCTTCCGCAATGAAACATTGTTCCAAGAAGTCTATGAACAATGGAATCGCAGTCGTTCCGGATTACTTGCTGATGCAGGCGCAACCCATCTGGGATTCTTCCGGCTACCGAGCAATTCATCCATATTCTCTTCAGTCGAAGATCCAGCATCAGGTCCAACTGCTCCCCATACCGAGATGGTGTTCATGGTAATTGCAACTCTTGTGTATCATTGTTTCTGTGTCTGATGTTGCTTTGACACCCCATAGGATGGAGTTCGCCCACCATTAGCTTCGGGGAACTTTTTCAGTATCGGGACTGCCGTCGTCTCACCGACTAGCCGTACGTCCTGTCGACTCTTGTTGTTGCTGTACCTAAAAATACTCTCCAATGCTACAGGAGGCTGGCTGAGACTCAAATCAGCCAACCCATTCGATCCTCCGCTCATCAACCCCGCGTTTCTAGACACTGAATTCGACGTCTTCGCCATGCGCTCCGCAGTGAAATTGGCGAAGCGAATCCTGGCGTCCCCGGCTTGGGCTGGGTGGATTATTGGGCCTGCTGGTGCTCTGGCCGACGCAAATACAGACGAAGAACTTGATGAGTACGCAAGGAATAACACTGGAACGACGTGCCACGCTGTCGGTACTGCGGCTATGTCTGCAGTTGATGCTTCGTTTGGTGTTGTAAACCCTGATCTACGGGTCAAAGGAGTCGATGGGCTTCGTATCGTTGATGCCTCCATCTTCGTGAGTCTATTCCGCTACGCTTTGCCTTAAGCATATCACTGATGCAAATGGCCCAATGTCTAGCCATTTGTCCCCGGAGCACATACTCAAGCCCCCACATATATAATAGCAGAGCGGGCGGCTGATATGATCAAAGAAATTTGGGCATGAACAAGACGCACCCGTGGGGGATATCATATGCATGGTTTCTTTCGCGTTCAAGTATATATGAAAAACTTGTAATCAAGTCGATATTTACCACCAGCATGAAATTTTGTCTAAGCCAAATACCGATTCAACCTTCGTATATTGTCTAATAAAGAGGACACGTAGACGACATCAAGCCCTCGAAGAGGATCGAACATTGTTGGGGCTCCTAGCTCCTATGCGCCCCTTGGGGTGTTCAAGCGCCCACAATATTCACTTCTCCTCGTTCTGCCTTGTTTCAAGCAATGTCTGACCAGAGTGCAACTTTGGCTACAAATCAGCTCTTGGAGCTTCTGCTACAACTGAAGGTTAGCTAGCCCGTATTTCACTAGGTTTTCCTTATACTTTTCTCATCATAGAAAGCAGGCCCAGCAGCTGCTCGCCAAATTTTGAATTCACAACCCCAAATCGCCTATGCCTTAATAACGTTGATGGTTAGCATGAACGCGGTTGACTTTGGCGTCTTCCATGTGAGCCTTTGCGGTTCTCCCAGGACGGACAGAGACTTGATGCACGCTTAGAAAACGTTAGCAGAGTTCACGCCTCCGTCTGGCTCCAATTCGACTTCGACTGCTGCAACAGCTCCGGTACATGCTGGGGGAGCACCACAAGCCCAAGCTGGACCTTCTGGACCTCCCGCTATACCAGCCCACCTTCAACCTTCTACATATGGCAAAGCACCGGTCGCGCAAGCTTCATATCCGCCACCACATTCTTCGACGCCTCCCGTGAACACGTATTCGTCAGGCTACAGAGGAAATGGAACGCCTCCTACGGCAGGGCCTGGCTTTGGTGCCAACCAGTATTCTTCGTACCCACCAGTGGCGCCAGGATCGGGGGATGGGAGTGCTCGCGGTGGATATGGCCAACGTAGTGGACCACCGCCAGGGTATGGTCAGCCCCCTTCAGCGGGCCATTATCAACCTCCTCCAACATCTTATCCCCCGCCTTCCGCGTCCTCGTACCCACCACCTGTTCCTGGCATCGCTTCGTCACCCTCACAAGGGCCACCGACCGCGCCGGGGAACGTTCCTGGATTAGAAATGATTCTAGCCAATATTCCGGACGACCAAAAGGCTATGATTATGCGCGTTGTGCAAATGACACCCGAACAGATCAGGGCGCTGCCTGCTCAGGAGCGAGCAGGTTTCAATCAGCTGGTGAGTTGTCCTCCTGATCCCTTACTTCATGAGCTCATTTGATCTATGCAGAGAGCGACCCTGGGCCTACCCACTGGCTAACGGGTCAGTTGTCGACAGAGCCATGGATAACCAAAGCGTACTAGTCACAGGATATGTTCTGGTTTCGCCTACTGGTCTCAGTTGTCTTATGGTGCGTGCATAGCTTTACGAGCATGATGTGTCGCGTCTCTATATATATACCTACCGGACGATGTGGAATACATCTTCCTTTCTTCCTGCCTTCCCCACAAAAGTTACACTGTCACAAGTGCTTTTGGGCCGATTACTATGTGCGCGAGCGCCGACAAGCTGTGCCGAATCTGGAATAGTCGGATTGAAAGCGCTCGATGTCTGCTTCAATGGTGTCGGTAGTGCACCATCGCTACTATGTAGCAATGATATCGGTCGTCGGAAGGAATGAGTAGCGCCTAACCAGTTCGTAACGCGGTTTAGTTCATGGCGGTCTTCTAGAGACAGAAGTCGCCGTGTTCCGATCCATTGAAGACCTCAGGCAGTCTGACAACCATTGGGGAAGCATCTGCTGGCGTACTCGCACTCTACAAAAGCCTGCTTGGTTCGACATGAGATGAGCAGCCTTGTTCTTCAAGCAGAAGCAAGCATTTCAGAAGATGGTCTGGGCAGGCGAGGAATTCGGACCATTCTCTCTATGGCCACACTTACCTGACTGTCCTCGTATAGCGGTCATCTTGCCTTTCGTAGGCCTCTTCGCGGCAGTCATTGTTGCGGCGACCCCCAGCAGTCAGCGTAAGCGTCTGGATGCGTGTCGTATAAACATGCTGACTATTGCCTAGTTTGTACTCGTGAACAGAGCTTCACAGACAGCACGCCAGGGTGCAAGAATACTGCCACCCCGCATGTCTTTCAACCGGCCTTCTTGAACGTCTCCAAGTGGATCTGGACTGGCGAGAACCCAACCCCGGGTGGCAATAACATCATCAGCACCCGTCCTTTGAGGAAGAATATCACGACTCCTTGCGACAAATGCGCGATCTGTGCTACCATCGTCGTAGCTTCGTAAGTCCCTCTACTGTATCTCTCATACAACGCGCTAAAGGAATCTTCAGCGATGACGCACATACGTTCTATGTCAACGGTGTCCGCATCGGCGCTGGTGGAGATTTCAAACAGGGCCAGGCCTTGTTCGTGGCATTACAGCCTTCTTGGAACCTCTTCGCGGTCGCTGGTCAGAATACCATCGCCAATAGTCCAGCAGGCGTTATGGCAACAATTCTAATCCATTACACGGATGGCACAAGTGCAACCTTCATTACCGACGAGTCGTGGAGAACTCTCGAAGCCGCGCCCCCTACGAATTTCCAACTCGCCTCGACGGACGATAGCAGCTGGGCCTTCGCTGCTATACAAGGGACCTTTGAGAACTCAGTTTGGGGACAGCCCACCCTACCGCCTGTCCTTCCCCTCAGTGGCTCGAAGTGGATATGGACCTCCAACACTGCGAACACCGGCGCTGCCGTTGCATCGTGTGCTTTCAGAAAGACTATCAATCAATGCGCTAAAGTCGCGGTATGCGCAACTGTACTGATCTTTGCGTAAGTTTCTGCACGATTTCACTCCACTTTCACTCAGCCCGAACCTTTAGTGATGATCATTATACATTATACGTCAACGGAGCCTCGGTTGGATCGGGTTCTTTCGCCGGTGGAGCCGCTATTGCCTATACCATTCCCAATCTTCTGCCCACCTTGAACACCTTTGCCATCAACGCCACGAACGATGTCGGCTCCGCGGGTCTCGTCGCCACTATTCTGGTCACATACCAGGATGGCTCAAACGAAACGGTCGTCACGGATGGCAGCTGGAAGGCCACTCTGACGGTTCCGCAAGGGTTTGAGTCCCCTACATTCGACGACTCCGATTGGCCGAATGCTAATGTTGTTGGTGCTTACGGAATTGCGCCCTGGGGTACTGGGCTGGCTATCCCCAGCGCGTAGACCCTGAGATCGCAGGTGTACTGTGTTGTGCGAAGTATATTACCATCGAGATGGCTGTTGCAGATCAAAAAAATTCCATGCTTTCAGGATACGCATTGTGGACAGGTGTGGAAGTTGGATTGCATACAGCAGAGGTAACGATTGTGATGTACACTCTCACCCAGGACAACCCTTGTCTTGCAATCCGTGAACGTATACTTGAAGTCCGAGGAAGTCACGTGACCTTTTGAGTTTCCGGGAGACGCCCAGTCGGACTACTCTTGCTAACTTGATCCTCGCCTCCGTGTACTCGTTCGAATGTCTGCCCTCATTGGACCTATATCCGGAGCGCTTGTCGCAGGCGGGGTATGCGGCTACGTTCCCTGCAATTTCTCGATGCCTTATTGTATTTTCAACAGGTATATTACGGTATCTCCAATCTCATTCATACCAGGTATGTGCCCCCGTCGCTGGCACTCAACGGATCACCAACGCCCCTTCCATTCCTAGAACTGAGCAACAGCGCCGGGAGTTCGTGTCTTCCTACACCTGATACTTACTCTCGTTCCATTCACTGACCATGGCTGGTCAACAGACTGCATACGCTATCAGTTCGTTTGACCGAAACCCCTACGTTCGTGAACGCACCCCCGTCCGCTGCATCAAGGATCGAGCATAGACCATTCGCATCTCTGATAAAGGGGAAATGGAACGATGAGATAGACAACCTGGTTGCTGGCTTGCGTTCGTTAGATGAACGTGCCATTTCCTATGGCAAGAAGCTCTTATACAACTCTACCACCCCGCCCAAAACATCATGAATCCCCCGCTAGTTGAGAGAAACCTCCCTATCCCTCAGTTTACAGTCGAATATAAGCGGGTTTAATGTCTACGTCCATCCCTGGTATACATAGAACATGATACATATATCCAATGGCCACCTTAATCAAGGAAATAAATTATCGACGATCGCATCAATACTGTCTTTGACTTTGACCGTATCCGGTGGGCTGATTTGCGTACGATTGATATTGCCCTGGTTGTTGTTGGGGTGGTGGAGGCGCGGGCTGGCCCCATTGATATGAGATCGGTGCTGGTGGAGGTGGAGGCATGGACTGAGGCGTATATTGACCTTGCTGGGCCTGCTGGTAATTTTGTGTATACCCAGACTGTGGATACTGCGATTGTTGCTGCTGATATTGCTGCTGCTGCGATGGAGGAGGGGGCGGAGGGGCGCTAGCAGCAAAGCGATCAAACATATCCAGTGCTGCATACGGGTCACTCTGAGGCGGGGGCGGCGGCGGTCTGAAGGAGTTGTGCGAAGGTGGTGGTGGCGGTGGAGGCAAAGAGAAATGGCGCTGAGGTTGTTGATCGGGATGAGACAGAGGCTGATGCTGGTTATACTGAGGTTGTGGGGGTGCATACCCTTGGGACGGCGGTGGAGAGAAACGATGCTGCGATGGAGGTGGAGGTGGAGGGGATGTATGCTGCTGATATTGATGCTGTACGGGAGGAGTAGGGGGACCGCGACCCAAATTCATCGACGCGAAGGAAGAGCTGAGATCAGATCGTGACGGCAGGGGTGGTACTGGGGGTTTCGGAGCGACAGGTGGAGGGGAGGCTGATGCTGACAGCTTCTTTTCAGTCTCCAATTGAGCGCTCAAAGAGTTCCGTTCAGAAACCCGACTGGCGATGAACGACTTCGTATTCCGGCTCAGCGAAGCGCTCAAGTCTGTGAGCTCGGTGTAGAATTGTAGCCCTTTCCTATAGTCATCTATGAGCAGGGTGCTCAGGCCACAAGGAAACCCCACTTACGCTAAACCATCTCGGATTTCCATGTAGACGTCCCTTGCTCGGGAGAACCTACGTACAGTATCCCTCTTTCTCTTCTCCCGCTCATCCCATTTCTTAGCTCCAGGGCCTCTCCCCGCCGAATCCTTCAATGTCTTCCAGAGCTGAGCAACTTCTTGGAGTGCTGCTTGTTGGTGGACAACGGTAGCAGCCAGCCGCTGTTGGTATGGCCTGAACTTCTCTAACTCATTGGCAAATAATGCTGGTTCCACGCCAGAGTTACGACGATTAAGCAAGAGCAAGTGAGATACGTCGTCTGATTGAATCTAAACAGGAAGGGTCGTAAATACCTAGTCATCGAGATGATCGAAGGTGCACTCGCCTTGTCTTTGAGATCCTTCAAGACCTCAGCCCGCTCCTTGGAAATTTTGGTGAGCCTGTTCAGCCTCTCATCAATCTCGGTGACCAATTGGCCAATCTTAGCTCTCTCTGTCGCTTCATCGGCCTCCGTACTGACATCTAGATCTAACAAGCTCTCCATAGGCTTGTTTCCCCGTTCTGTGCTTGCTCGAAACACGTCTTCTATGTCGTCCGACAGTAGCAAGTGGATGTCATTTCGGACCGAGTCCCATAAAGCGGAAACTTGTTGATCAGACGCAGATGCGGCCTCCAAAGCGCTGAAATGAGATTTGAGGTCTTGCCTTATGGACTTCGTGAGACTGGCGGACGGTGCCTGCGTCCATTCGTGGCCATACTTCACCCGCATCATCTCGCAATCTCTGTTCTCTACATCGAGGTCCCGGCTGATTGTCTCCAACACTTGTCTGACAGCGTCTTTCTTCCTCTGAAGCTCGGCCATCAGACCCTCCACGCCTTCTCGGTCCTCCACAATCGATATATCCTCTTTGAATCGCCTGACGTCCATGGGGATATCCTCGCCGCCACCCAATTCACCTTCTGCCATAGCGCGGAATCTGACTATCCCGTCCTTTACAGCAAGAGCATCGAGTGCACTACGTACTTCTCCTTCCGCTGTCTCCGCATTCTCCACTTCACCTCGCACGAGTTTCGCCTTTTCCTCGGAGTACACACTAGCGCTTTCATGGACGCTGAGCGGTATCAAGCGAACGAAGAGATCAGGCCCAATGACTTTCTGGACTTCGGGCGAGCCATATACATCTTGTATTGAAATTGGCGTCGCCACTGAGAGTTTGTCTATAACTGGAAGCGCTTCCGCAGACGGAAGAATAGCGTTGTAGATTAGGTCGTTCTCGCGGGTGGCTTCGGCTTTCTTCTCTGAGCATATAGCGAGATGAGCTTTCGTTCGCTCTTGGATGGAAGAACCGGCGTCTGCAGGGAGATTGGGAGACATGTTGGTGACGAAAACAGACCCAAACGTTGCTGCGGTTCTGGAGGCTTCTTTGGCAAGGGACTCCGCCTGAGTGAAGCGAACGAGAGCATCGCCATGTTTTCCGGCAGCACTGTCTGCCAATCCGCGATGATACTGGGCAAGGGAAGAGAAGTATTTAGACTTGATCTACGGTGGAATAAGTCGATAAGTCACACTTGTAGATCAAAGTTATTAGAGTATGTACCTGCAAGAGCGTGACCCAATTTCGGTCAAATATACCTTTCCCCATGAATTCCTTCACATCCTCCGTAAGAATCGTGTACAGAGCAGCAGCTTGGGCACCAATCTTGGCGACGAGCGCGGATCCCTTCTTCTCGTCGGTACATTTCTCGAAGAAGACTTCCGTGGCCTGAGCTATGATGATATTTATCAAGAACCTCACTACGTCTCGGCTCAGATCTGTGGAAGGAGCATGCAGGAAGTTCTCGTTGATATACGTGAGCATTCCGGCACAGGTCCGGAAGTAGTAGAAGGCACGCTTCAGGCCCTCTGGGTCCGATCTGTTCTGCGAAGCGGCGATTGCAGAGTGCGTGCTGGCGATCTGGAATAGAATAGATGCTTTCTCATATGCTATCGACGTTTGGGTAATGAGCTTGTTGGTGAACGCATCGTGCCACGGAAAGCTGACGCGTATCTCTGAGAAGCGCAGCTCGAGCAGTTCTAGCTGGCCGAAGTATTTGTAAAGTAGATCGCGAGCTATTGTGACCGTGAATTCGCATGAGAGATCCAAGCTATCATCCAGACGAATAGGGAGCTCACCGGTCATGTCGCTTCCGGCACCTCTGACAGCATCTTGTCTACACCTCTGAAGCGATGCGCACTCTGCAGCGTAGTTATCAGGGCTCTCCCCGTACGATTGGGCGACCAGGTTCCGGATGGGTGTTGTCCAATCGACCTCCTCCGTAGTCTTCTTGGGTATCGAAATCATTGGAGATTGGTGCGCCATGGCTGGATTTCGTGATTCCTGGTGGTTGAGAATCAACCTTCAACGTGAGCCGTGATGCAGCGTCAACGGACTGCGGCCACCATGCTGGGAATTTCTCAGCGAATACAACTTCCTTTTTGGGAACTGATATTTCGGCAACAACATGCGTCAATAATCTTGAACCAAACCGCGACCATGTCCACTTCAAAGCCATCGTCGAGCGAAGACATCGTCGGACAAAAGGTGAGTCGGGAACATTCTGTGCTCTGATGGCGAAGCTGACCGGTTGCAGTATGACCGTTGCAGTGCGTTTCTACTCTATCTTTGGCCGGACACGGACTAAATATCATCTCAGTCGCGGATTTACTGGTGAAAGCGTGCGTGGTCTCGACAGCGTGTCTATTACCTACTGGCTGACCTTTTGGTATAGCGGCGTGGGCTTCGGTGCTGGCGTTGTCGCCTCAGTCATTCTTTTCCGTAGTCCGTAAACTTCCGTAGCTCTCCACATGCAATCTGGCATTGAATAATGAACCTGCAGGACGAACATGGCCAATCGCTCTGTCTACCGGCTTTGGCGCAGGTGCCGCATACGCCGACTGCGACCGATCATTCAACCCCGCTAGAATACCGGGAACGCGCATTATTTCTCAAACCGAGCTAGAGAAGACAGCAGCACCCTCTTCGTCGTGAAAGGAGGCAACATGATGGTATTCTGGGCGAATTCGTAAGGATTCCGGAGCAGAGGCTTAGTCGTCACATAGAATAAGCTTCAGTGCGTTTTGTATTTTTCGTGATATAGACCTCATCCTCTGCCTTCATTTCTTCTCATCGTTCTCCTGTTTCCTCGTCTTGGAAGTGGCGTCGACGCGTTGCATTGTCTCCGCCTCTTTGGCGATAGTACGTTGAGGCTTTCCTTCAACCAAACGCTGGTATAAAACCACTGCAAGTCGTCAAGTTTGTGTTGAAAATGTAAAATGGGCATTCATACGCACCCGACGTGGCTACCATTATCGGTACAGTTACAAGAATGGTTCTCCATCGTCGTGCTTGTGGAGAGAGCTTCGCCATGGCGTCAAGCAAGCACTGCAGTGTTCAGGCCTTATGGGCGCCTGTAACCATGGGAAATCTCGGAATTAGAGTGAGTGTAGGTGCGTGTGTACCACGCGCTGCTGCAACGTCTATCCTCAATATGTCGGTTTCAAGCGATCGATTGCTAACTCTATTAGACTTGGTGAACATATGCGATAACGTCCACATCCGTCGACCATCGCCTACGCCACATGAATTCGATGCAGAACTACTCATCCCCCTATGTCTATCAGCGACCCCTAGTAGCCCAGCCATTGGCCTCCTGCGCCCTATCCTCATCGATCAATTACTAAAGGAAAACCGAACCTCAGCTCAGCTAAACAAGCCTCCTCTCTGGGATATACGGATCGATACCAAAGATCTGTCGAAGCCTTTCGTTCATCGCACAGACGGCGGTACTGGCGCCTTAACTCCAAGTGTAAGCTTCCAGCCATGGTTAGACACACATGCGAAGCGGACGGCTGCGATCAAAGAACTCTGCGAACGGTGGCGCGACACTGGAGTCTTTCCGGAAGTCTGTGGTCCAAAGAAATGGCGATCCGAGCTGTACCCTGTCTACAAGGATCCATTTGGCCCCCACGACCACCCATCTCGCATTCCGTCCGACCAAGAGGTCGAAAAGTCCAATTTCGCATTTGAGATGGAGAGAGCGGCGTGCGCATTGTTCGGAGTTGTCACCTACGGCGTGCACTTGAGCATCTACGATGTTGTTAACGAGAAAGGCAAAGCAGAGACCCTCCGTCTTTGGGTTCCGACAAGGGCCAAGACCAAGCAAACGTATCTTCTTTTGCACGCACTCTGTTTGACTGTTGTAACACTTTGCTCGCTAGTTGGCCAGGATTTCTCGATAACACCGTGGCAGGGGGGATCCCCAGCGGAATGGGCGTCTTTGAGTCTCTTGTCAAGGAGTCGATGGAAGAAGCAAGCCTTGAAGAAGACCTTGTCCGGCAGCATGCTCGCGCTGTCGGATCTATCAGTTACTTCTTCAGGTGAGGTCTTTATCATTTCTCTAATGAAACAACGAGTCATTGATTTATTGTAGGACAGATAAAGGCTGGCTACAACCGGAAATAGAGTAAGAAAACGTAAGGTTAACTCAGCAAGAGTTCTTACAGTTCGTCATTATAGGTATCTGTATGACATTCGCATTCCGGACGGTGTAGACCATGCACCCTTCGTCCCAAAGCCTCTTGATGGGGAAGTAGAATGCTTCGAAGTAAGTTGCCTATGTTCGGTATTCGATTCCGAGTTGACGTCTCTCCTAGTTCCTGGACCAAGAAGAGGTCATGAAGAGATTAAAGGCAGGCTTGTTCAAGGCTAACTGCGGCGTGGGTTCGTGTGTGTTCGGTCAATTGGCGACGGTCTTGCCTAACCACTATATAGCAATCATCGACCTGCTGATTCGTCTAGGGTATGTCACTCCTGACAACGAGACGGATTTCATGAAAATCCATACTCGTCTGCATGGCAGGTTTGATTACGAACGATGGTAAAAACAATATTGCCATAGTGTATAACTAGAAACGTCCGATGTAGATTGAGAAGATACAAACTGCGCAATTGAATACCATCACTGTTCTCCCATGATCAATGTATGGAAATTAGGGAAAACTAGTTCTTCTTCGACGGTTTTCCGAATCACGTCTTGAATGAACCGCTCAACTCTGGTTACATTCTTTAGAACGTGTTTGTCCGTTTGGCCGATCTCGCTTTCTATATAGATTGAAGGCAAAAGCCGCTGGCCAATAGGTAAAGGTTTCGAAGGACGAGGGGGTGTTCCTAGTGAAGGGTGTTCGTCTTCGTTATCTGGCGAAGGCTGCGAATTATACGAATTGGTGCGTTCTACGGAGTCCCGCTTCGGACGGTCGCACGCGGGCCCATAGGGATCAAGTTCGTCAAGGATACAGACGTGAACACGCCGCCGCTCCCCCTCATACGCAACTGCCAGTTCACCGTTGAATATCAACCCCGTTATCGACAGCTTGATGGGCAGCGACATGAACATCGGCGAAGGATAATTGATTAGCAAAGACGTGGTGAGTGTTATTCGAAGGTTGGACTGCCAGTTGACATGGAAGTGGAGCTGTAAGTTAGGATGCACGCTCTCGACTTTTGGAACCTTTGAAGCGTCGTCTGGGGGTGTTCCGAGGGAGTTTGAGTTTGATTGGGAACGCTCAGTATTAGCTTGGTGGGAAGGGATATTCGGAGACGAGCCGCTTGGTGTCCTGAATGGAGTGAATGGCGTCGCTGGTGTGGGACTGCGAAACATGGGTGTTCCCGTACCGTGCCAGGGATGCCCAAAGGGTAGAGGCATTCCCATGTAAGGCATACTAGGTACAGAGGCGGACATCGGCCCATCGTAGGCAGCCCGAACGTGCGGCGGGAGAAGGTGCTGCTGAAATGAGTACGACCGGGACATTTCTTCTCTACCCGCTGCCCGTCGCGACACCCACTCAAAGCCTTCTTCGTCCTCCATCGGAGGCCCTTCTGTGACCTTTACGGGGCCATTTCTACCGAAGCCAGAGCTATCGTCCTCGTCCTCGTCTTCATCGTCCTCCAAGAAATCTCGGTAGATGTCCCGGAGGTCAATGAGCTCAATGTCCGGAGCAGCGGAGCCAAAGTCAAACGACGTGACTTCCACGGGGCCAATAAACGACGGTCTTGTGGTATTTTCAAGTTGTTTGTTGATAGCTTGAATGAGAAACGAGGAAAGCGAGGCGTCGAGGTTTGACCATTCTAGTTCAATGGACATGAGAACCGTGATAAATAAGCGCCCATTAATCAGTTGCAATGAGGCATTCCTTCTTCGTCCCTTCTCTGTTGTTCGCTTCCAGTCTTTGACATAAGGATCCACGCTAATTGGCCATGGCCTCTACCTTGTCCCTTCTCTTCTCCCCTCACTCCTCTCAGCTTCAATGGGTGCTATCGAGAAGGTCTTCACTACTGGCTTCGTGCTGAGCTGGGACGTTGTCCTCACCCTTCTCAACGCGATACTGCCCAAGCGTAAAATTGGGCATGTTACGCCTGCTGGGGAGGCAGGTGCTGGCGGGAAATGGCCAGAATATATTGCCCCGAAAGACACCGACAGCAGGTGTGCATGTCCTGCATTGAATGCCATGGCCAATCACGGTCCGTCGATATCATGATGATTGATCTGAACGAGGTGCTGATTTTATTCCGTAGGTATTCTACCGAGAGATGGTCGCAATATTACATTCAAAGAAATGAACCGTGTCATCCGAGCCACTTACAACTTTGCGCCGTCGTTCTGCTTCTTCGTGCCGAACTACAGCGCAAATATGTTGAACAAAAGTTATCGCAAGGATACGTTCGACTTGGAGGATATAAGCTTGCATAACGGTATTGAACATGACGCATCCATGACCCGTACGCTTAAAGGGTTTTCCCTTACCCCATGGGATACTCATTGTCTCGTCCCCTAGGCGAGGATGTTCGTCATCAGCCGGACCAGGGAAAACCTCACCTTCCGTTCGTTGAGGAACTTCTCTCGAGGGCCACGGGGAAGGACGCCGAAGGCAATGCGGTCTTGACAATCCCAGACGTCGCACATTACATGGCCAAACGCAGAGTAGACGCCCCGAGAGCCAACCCCGACTTCACCACCACTAAGTTCCACGAAACCTTCGGTGCTTCAAAGTAAGCTTCTCTCCTTCTGTCGGCGTTTATATCCGTTCATCTGACCACTGGTCTATTAATACAGTTCGTCTACCCTTCTCACGATTTACGGAGGACGAGTGGATGATTTGAGGCCAATTCTGGTTGAGGAGCGTATCCCCGATGGATGGGAGTCCCGAATCAGAGCACCATTCGGGTTGACGATGATCAATTTCAACGTAGGAACGGTGAACAAAGTGGAGAAGGAATCTCAGAAGGAACAAAAAGTTTACGCTGCGTCGCTGGATGATTCGTCCATCCACAAATCTCCAGAGGCGACAACATGAACGTGTCTCCTCCCCATTGTGTGGGCTCGCGCGCGAGAACTTGAAGGGCATCTCTCGAAAATGGATCTATCGTGGTTCTGTTATGACTGTTGACGAGTACTTCTTGTAAACATTTCATGATTGCTTTGGGAAATATACAGTACTGCGTCTAGAACCTTGATCGGATACGCAAGTCATTACAATGAGTCCTTGTCCTTGGCAGCACATGTTGTGATGTGAAGCTGGTTCCAGTAACTGTTGCCACTACTGCAGAGCTGCCCGTAACGAGTCAGCGACGGGAAATGTTCGCTGTGATATATACATCCATCCCGTTCCAAAGAGAACTTCGCAGCTTGAATTAGCTTGCTCTTCAGGAGGCCCCTGATGGGCACGCCGTCACCTGATGGGAATCAATTGCGCGTTCTCGGAGGCATTGTGCACCATCCTCAGAAGAGGTAAGAAGCATTCGGGATTTTCCCAGAAGCTGTTGGAGTCCCCGCCATAGAGGCATGCGTAAAGTACATACAGATCAATCTTGCCTGCTTAATTATGAGCGGCGATATGATCCATGCATGTTGGTTACCGGAGGGCCAGGCCTTCTGCTCGTACTTGCAGCGACGGTCGGCGATGGAAATATCCAGAGACTGATGTCTCCCTTTTCCCCATCTGCTATTTCCTCTCGGAACCCTGGATGCCTGATTCTGGGGTTCGAAGGTATTTAAATTATCCTTAACCTTGTCGTATACATACCCGTGTTCCCCGCTGCTCCCTTCTACAGCTCGCCTGTTGCTCTGTACGCCAGATGGACAGGAAGAGAGCGAACACCGGCTCTTCTTCACTGACGGAGCGCGACTCCTTGCTTGCGACTGACACAACTTCCTCCGGGTCCACAGAGAGGACGTCTTTCTATGCCGCAACGTCCTCAAGGTCGTGTCATTCGCCAGTCGATCCGGATCCAGACACGTCTGCGGAAGAGATAGAGTATGTACAGTCTGTCCCTGGTGCCTCCCGCGTTATCTATGTCGTTGACTTACCATATGGCATCGCAATAGTGAGACGCACGACTGTCAATCACCTACGCTGTTGGAGAACTCTAGCAGCGTCGCTAGAGATCATCTGGCTTCCGAGCGGACGTTTTTAGCATATGTCAGGACAAGTCTGGCCGTCGTGTCAGCTGGTGTAGGTATGTTAAACGGGTGCTTCCCCGTACCGAATAACCTATCAGGCGAGAACTAACGCAATGCTGCCTAGCGTTGTCTCAAATGCTCATCATACAGTTGAATCAGCATCCTCATCAACGTATAGGTGTCTTCGCAAGCCTTCTTGGCGCTGCGTGCGTATCACTCGGACTTGCTATTCTGTTTACTGGTATGGCACATCCCGCCGTCAGTCAACTGTACCTGTCACTTACCGTACCATCTCGGGCAGGACGGTCAAGGTACTTCGCTGTCCAATCAGCTCTCATGGACGGAAAATTCCCAGTCTCGCGACTGGGCGCCTCACTTATTGCACTGGCACTGGCGCTCCTCGTTGTGTTAACCTTCATCGTAATATTCGTATACCAGAAAGATATGTTGTCCTGATCCTCAGGGCATCTTCTGTGTCGTAAATAAGTGATGCATCAACGGTGGTCGGTGAACGAGGCGTCGTCCGACTACGAAGTGATAATCCGCGTCCCAAACTCGAAGAGTTCGTATGGGGAGTCCTTCCCGGGGCATCCCATAAACATGAGGGATGGAGGAATGTTAAGGCGATGCGCCAGTGTTGCCACGCTAACCGGGCTGAACGGGGCGTAAACGATTACCTGGCACGAACAATGAGGACTTCATTTCGTTATGTATTAATATTAATGCGCACTAACCAAGTCAATCGTGATCTGTGGGAACGCCTCGTCTAGAACTGTATATAAAAGAGAATTAGCGGGATTCGCAGGTTTCGGGACCCAGGTTTGAAGGAACGCGCACTCCTCGCATTAGCTTCTAATTCGGAAGGCATCCCCTTCTCGTTATCGGTGAAATGAATTATCTTGACACAAGATGTCACTTCATTCCTATACGCGTAAATCAACATCCTGGAAAGGATATGGATCTACGGTCCCTGCTCAGATATGCAGGCATGTCGCAATATATACAAGGCTCACCTCATCTCCCTTAACCAAGATACACACTGGCTGGCGCTTCATAGTCGCAATGATGTTAATTATTCTGGCACCCCAGCCCTTTGTGAGCTTCCACGAATGGAACCTAGAATGATGGTCATAGAACCATAAGACGAAGCGAAGTATTCCCGCCTTATTCTGGGTGATCAAGAAAATAAGAAAGACGCCAATGAAATAGGGAGCAAAGTATCTGATAGGGAGTGAGTATGGGGTTGGGTTGATCAGGTAGCAGACGCACCCAGCTGTAGTGGGATCAATGGCTATATTGCCAGCAATCAATACTGCAGAAACAGACATTGTCACAAAGACCAATAACAAAGGTGTATGTGGTGTTCGAGGTAGACGTCCGCGGTGAAACTTCAGCAACAATAAGCAGAAAGGGAATGTGGCCATGGTGCACAAGAAGGTGAATGAGAACCTGTCAATGCATGTGAGTAACTTTGGTAACAGGTCAAAGTGACACAAAGACTAACATCTTCGAGAGGAGAGAAAGATCTGCTGCGGCACTGGCATATAGAAGCGCACACAAACTGGCACAGGTGAAGATGGAGATATACGGCGAAGAAGTGATGCGCATGGTCCGTAAATAAAATTGAGGTAGGATACGATCAAGCGCTAGTTGCTCGAAGAGCTGACAGGAGCTCACAAATCCTTGTAGACAAAATGAGTCAAAGTCACAGCCAGAAATATATAAACTAACCCGCGAGGACGCCTCCACAGAGAACAACCATGGCATCAACGACAATCCAGATTCTTAGCCACGGGCCGCCAACCTTTGGGGGAAAATAAGCGAAGCTGCGAAGAAAGTGCGGAGTGAGATGGACCTTGTCAGCAAGGAGACTCAATATATTAGCTCCCGAGGTAATATCTGGGAGACGGATAATAGCGAGGATGGAGGTCATTAATATCACGTTGAATAGGATCGCGGGGTAATGCAAGTTCCGTAGCACAAGAGGGAAAACATTGGTCTTCATCTTGGCAAGGTACGAAGGGGTGGCTAGGTTAGCATAAAGTTGAGAAAGGGTGTTCTTCGGGAGGAAAAGCTGAGCGAACTTTCGAAACCAGTCAAGCCCAATACACCCAAGCAGACTCCGTTGAAAATCTGGTGGGCCATGCCGCTCGATGATGATGCTTTACCAGCATTCCAGTTATCTCTGAGCATCTCATTTCCAGTATGAGCCCAGTGAACCGCAGCGGCGATCATAAGAACAATCATAGTCAAAATCTGGGATCGCGCATGATGTCAGGACCGTAATTCAGAACGCAAAGGAATGAAACATCTACATGGAAAGATAGCATAGCGAGGGCTAAGCGCGCGCTCTCCCTGACTCCGGTTAGGCTGAGAAAGGTGAATACGACGAGGATGAACGCTGCCCCAACCCATGCTGGAAATGGCAATGCAACTTCTCCCGATAGATAAGACGTTGCTGTAGCTGCAGACACGACCGCTGTTGAAAGGAAGTCTAAGACAAGTATACTTGCGCAAATCAAAGCCGCCTTCTTGTTGGCTACATTGTTACTATTGTGGAGGACATGACTTAGGTCGTGTGCGCATGTAGGGGTGACGTACAAATAGGTGTATGGTGCGCCATTTATAGGCAACGCAGACCCAAGCTCTTCCATAATTGGCCTCCAGAGAAACATGGACAGGCACGCCACGAATAGGGAAATGGGGGCGCTAGTAAATGGGGAAATCAGTCAAACAGAAGGCCACAAAATAGCCTAAAGACTTGCTATACGCTCGAAATGGCAACCACGGCGGGTAGTGCATAAAAGACACTCCCAAGGACAGCATTCCCAGCAATAGCGCTGGCAGTGAATTGGCCAAGAATTCGATCTCTCCGAACGGCTTGTATGCTGGCTTTGCCATGGGCCAGATCCTCTGGAGCAAAGGTAAGGTTGTCGAAGGTGCCCCAGCCAGCGAATTCGAAAAGATTAGAGAGGTTGACGAATATTGAGGGCATCGAAGTAGACTTGACCCCTTTCCCATCCTTCGGCCGCGATCTTTGTCGCCGTAATATAGTATCCCATTGGTGCTGTGCGAAAGGAGGAGGCACCTGAAGCGTCCCAACAGAAGATTCTGGTTCTGAGAAACACCATTTGTTCTCGTTGAGTAGCATCCATCTGTAGGGTCAAATCGAGCTCACCATTTAGCACTTGGACCTCAGGCAGTTGTACCACATCAGACGCGAGAGTAGGGGCGTACATGGTGGCGAGAGAAAGAGCGTCCACTCTAGTGTACATGCCGGGGCACAAGGCACTTCATCACTCCTTTCAGGACAAATTCGAACGCGTTCTTTATCCGACTCACTGGATCACGGACAAGTCACGGTAGCGCTGCCGATCCAAGCTGACATAAGCAGTCGCCACTTCCCCCGCTGTGTAAACGCCGGGCATAGCAGCAACACTCATGGCGTACGTGTCAGTCGAATCAGATGAGGTGCGCGGTTTGATTGTCCAAGAGGAAGCTCTACTAACGCTTCTGAATATGCTCAGAGAATGGAAGAAGGCCCGGAAGGCCTTGAATTCAAATGTACGTGTCCCCATAAGTGACCCGGCCTTTGCTGGACTGACATGAACCGGAATCGTAGCATTCTTGGGTGCAGATCCAGCAGCGCCCAATCCCAATGCAGGCAGGTCCCCCGGCGTAGGCAGCGCCGACAGAGGTATGTTGAGGACTTGCTGTGGCTGGCCGTAGCTCATTCGCCCACAGGTTACCTCCAGGACCAACCCAAAGGAAGTTCTGGTTTCTGGCAAATTGAATACTACCAGCCATACTTTGATGTGGATACCAAAACTGTGAGTGGTATTTTGCCTTTGGTGGTGTCGGGCTCATTTTGTTATTTTCTAGGTTATCAAGCGATGTTACTCAACGCTCATACCCTCCAATTCTGCCTACTCTACACTGCTCAACCCCTCGCCTGATCTTTACGGTCCTTTCTGGACCCTCACCACTCTCATATTCACACTATTCCTCAGTTCATCCCTTGCTGCGTCCATCGCGTCATATATGTCAGAAGGGGAGTACGATTACAATTTCCAGCTCTTGTCTATCTCCGTCTCTCTCGTTTATGCATATGGCCTTGGAGTTCCGGTAGCTCTGTGGGTAGCGCTTCGTTACCTGGGTGTGGGTGAATGGAGTGTGGTAGAAGCGGTCTCCATCTGGGGTTATGGCCAGTTCGTTTGGATACCTGTATCTGTGAGTACTCCCGACATAGCGCATCTGCTGACACTGAACCTCTCCACAATAGCTACTCTGCGTCATACCCGTCCCCCTTCTCCGTTGGTCTCTTGTCGGAGTCGCTTTCGGGCTCTCAGGCTATTTCCTTGTGGTCAACGTTTATCCAATATTGACCATGGTTAGTTTCGTGTCGTCTCGGAATGGAAATTTACTGACTCAATCCACAGGCTGAGGCCAAGGCTACACGGCTTCTTATTGTCGTTGTAGCAGTCCTTCACGCTGCACTGGCTCTGACATTCAAAGTGCTTTTCTTCAGCTACTATGTAGCAGACGCTATCGGTCCGGATATCCCACTACCAGGCTCAGAAGCTCCTGCGGACAACTCTACGTTAACTACCATCGTCGAGCGAATGTTCTCCTAGTGCTGCTTGCCTTACACGTACTTCCTGAGTAATTATGAGGTTGTAAATTAAACGAGACCTTGCAAAAAGCGCCCTTTAGCGCCCAACTCAACTTGATGTCACTTGCCTTGAACATACACTCTCAACGATTCCAGTTGATTGCAACTGCCGTCGCTGCTTCTCTCGTAACCGCCGGAGCGCTAGCTGCGTACAACTCCGTGTCGAAGAGAGAACGAAGGCGCAACTTGAGCGAAGAAGTCTTGCGCTCCGTTTCCAATGAGGCCTCCGTCCACACCCTCCCGGATTACTCGGTATACAAGGAGGACGCGTCAATAAGGGAACCTCCGCACGAGATATCGCTGAGCTCCAATTTTCGCTACGACGAGGAGCTTATTCGCGAGCAGCTAGCTCGCAATTATGCGTTCTTCGGTGAAGAAGGGATGGCCAAAATTAGAGGCGGGTCAGTCGTGGTCGTCGGCTGCGGAGGTGTGGGCAGCTGGGCTGCGGTGATGCTCGTTCGTTCGTATGTCGCGAGGATATCTTTCTGGGAACCTTCTGATGTTGTATCGCTTACAGTGGTATCTCCAAAATTCGACTAGTTGACTTCGACCAGGTTACCCTGTCATCTTTGAACAGACATGCATCGGCGACATTGAACGATGTCGGCACTCCGAAAGTGAAATGTTTAGAGCGCAACCTCAAGCAGATTGCTAAATGGATAGACGTAGACTGTCGAGCAGAAATTTGGCGTAAGGAGGAAGGTGGTGATTTACTAGAAGGAGTCGATTGGGTGATAGGTGTGTATGAGTACTTCATATATACTTTCTTTCATGTTCTGAAACGTACTAGATGCTATCGACAACATCTCGACAAAAGTAGATCTACTGAAATATTGCCACGACCATAATCTGAAGGTAATACTTCAAGTTTGTTAATTAAGAAGGCAGGCTTCTCTAATAAACTGAGGTTTACTAGGTGTTTTCCTCAATGGGAGCGAGTGCCAAAAGCGACCCAACCCGTATCCAGATTAGCGACATATCACACACGATATACGACCCCCTGGCACGCTCTGTTCGCCGCCGTTTGCGATTACTGGGCGTTACTTCGGGCATCCCGGTAGTTTACTCAACAGAAGTACCAGGCGATGTTAAATTACTTCCTCTTCCTGAGGAAGAGTTTCAGAAAGGCCCTGTGAAGGAGCTGGGTTTCTTTGACGACTTCCGCGTTCGGATTCTCCCTGTCATAGGTTTGCTTCGCCTCCTACGGATAAAGGCTCATGATCCCGATGTTGCTTTGATCTCGTTTAGGCCCACTACCATCCATCTTCGGCCTCAACATTGCCACCTATATCCTTTGCGAACTGGCCGGCAAGCCCATCCTTAATCCGCTACCTATCAAAAACCGCAAGAAGCTCTACGAGCGGCTTCTGCGCGACTTGCTGCACCGGGAGTCCAAACTGACCGGCGAAACCATCAAGTGAGTGCCTGTGGTTCTCTTCGCATCATCTGTCGCCCAACCCGCTCTCAGCAAACTCCCGATTGACGAAGACGACGTTGGGATGATCTTTGAGGACGTCTACCTCGGTCGCTCGGTCATCCCGCCCCACTTGGTACCTTCTAGGCCAGCACTCACCCGGTGGATTCTCACACAACCACTAACACCGGAGAATTGCGTTGTAATGGAATACGCTGATGCGGAGAAGCACGTCAAGGAATGCTCCAACCCGACGATACACCCAAGGGACATCTGGGGCGAAGATGTCAATGCGCTTGTAGAGCGACGTTCGGAGGAGGTGGCGAGGCAGCGTGCGTGGGTTGTATCATATTGATAGATGAACGATACCCCACCGGCGGCGTACACGGCCTTCTCTTTCGCTTGAATTCTATTCCAAGCATTCACATCTTGGTCCGAGTTTCTCGCCAGCGAATTGATTGCGCCTTTGCTGCCAAGAGCCTTTGGATCTTGGTGACAAGATGGCTACGCTGTGGAACTAGATTGCGTTAACGAGATGCCAGTGGGCTGAGGCCTCTTGGCGAGAACGGACTCTTAGCGGCCCGAGGTCACCTTGGAGTCCACTACAAAGGTATATTATTTTCCGGCTCTTTTGAGACAAGAAGACGAGTGGGAGGTTGAGCCTTGGGTCGCTTGACCATTCTCGGTTTGCATGTCTGGAAACAGAAAGTGTTGCGCTCGCAGCCGGCCCGGGCTACTCAGGCACGTGGCTTTACTTCCACGAAGGAAGCTAAAGGCCTTTCGCCTGTTGCACATGGCTTCGAATTTCCTTGGGAGTTGATTCAAATCAAATACAGCATCTTTGACTGAATGATCAAAACGGAGCTTGACATTTGACAGATTTACGAAGACCGTTCGATGACCTTCTCGGTGTCCTGCCAAGGATCGTGACTACGTCCAACCGTTCAACCGAATATCAGAGCTGCTCGACCGAATCAAAATCAATGGTTTACTGATCTGGATAACGCTACATACAGTTGGTACTAGTTTTTCATACAATGGATTACATCTACAAGGGGTATATATACGGACAGGTAAACTCGAGATGGAAAACAATCATGTAAGATGTGCAAGGGCCCGCCGATGCGGTGAAAGGACGCATAATGTGATGAACGATCCAATAAGAAAGCATGTCAGAGCATATGATGCCGTCTCCAAGGCAGAAGGCCCGTCTCCTCTTGTTCGTTTGTTTGTTTCTTCAGCAGATTCGTCGTGGGGTGCGGCTGATACTGGCGAGACGACCGTCCAATCATCTGCATTCAATTCGCCTATCGGCTCTGCCGATGGTGATGGTACCAGTTCTTCCGCAACTTCTGCTACTGCGGGCTCAGACTCTGGGCACGAGTCCATGCATGAGTCTTCTTCTTCCGGCTCGGAATCGGACTCACGCTCTGAAGCGGACTCGGGGTCTTCGTCTATCAGCTGCAGAGGCATAGAGGTGGTTGCTGAGAGGTCTTCTGACAATTTGCGATGGTGGTTGTGAATGACCTCATCGTCATCGCAAGCGATGGTATCCGAGTCCGATAGAATCGATTCCTCCAGCGTATGTTGAGAGGAAGTGATTGAAGATGAGCTCAGCCTGCGCGAGCGTTGAGAATCCATGTCCGATGCGGTATGGTAACTCTTCTCGTGTGCCAGTATGTTAGCGGCTCTGAGGACATCATGCAGGCTGGTGGGCGTTTTGTTGTATATCGCAGACGGTGGCGGTCTTGGTGTAGCCAAGTCGTCGATACCAGCAGAGATAGGGATTTGGATTGCTATCTTGTCGATTATTGGTCGGATAGTATCGGTCGCCTCTTCTGACTCCAAAACGCTTGGTACGTCTGTCGAATCAGACTCTCGTAATTTCGCATCACTAGGCGTAGGCGCGATGGAGATAGTCTCTTGGCCGGCGGAAGTTTTCGGAGACATCTCGAACGTAGTCGGTTGCATTCCCTCAGGGATTTCTTCGAGGGTCCAAGACTCTAGAGTGTTATCGAGGGCACCAGACTTCAGGCTATCTCGCACTTGCTCGGCGAGAACTACCGTAATCGCTTGGACGACATGAGAAATTTCGGCGTAATGGTCGCGAGACCACCATTGCCCTGGCCATTGCGATATGACCAGAGCTAACTTCGTCAATACGCGTACTGACCCGGAGAAGTCCACCGGGATTGTCCCATGGAACCAGGGAGATACGAAGGCAGCTGCGAGGCGAACTGAGCCAGCAGTTGTATCGCGCAGCCTGGTTTCGAATGGCAACTGCTGGAAACGAGTAGACATTTCTCGGCAGAACTGTCGATAGCTGAGTTTGCGGTTCGTGTAATTCCATGCGACTCTGTCTAGAGGAGTAGTAAATGGAGCTGTGTATACTGGGGTGTTCTCCGAATGGAGGAAGTAGGAGGGGAGTTTCTCCAGTATGTCGAGAAGAGGCACGGAATTATAGACGGCGGTTGTAGGGATAGAGCCGTATACAAGGACCATCTGTGACTCTTGGCAGTATTGCTGCCACTTCCTATGTTTGACATGCCGCCTAAGAATATCATGTTAGCACTGGAATGCAATCTCCAGCAGAACAACGACTTACTCGGCTGGTCGTGCAGATGCGAGTATCTCCGCAGCTGTGAATGCATGATGGGCTACGTCCTCTGCGTTTATGATCGCAATATGAACGTCATGCTTTACGTTGGTGTGATAGCGTCGCAAGCCTTCCCAGATCGCCCAGACGAAACTAAATGAAGTAGAGATGAAAGGCGACGAGGATCGTGTCGTCCAATCTAGGTGCCTTATCACTTCCGCATAAGCCGGCAATAGGCTCTTCGTGGGTGAATCGACAGGGGACAAGTTCTTTGGGCTCTCTGAGTACGCTTCGTTGTATTTGGGGGCGAGGAAGTATGGATCGGTGTCGTCTGCGAAGGGAGATCGTTCTTTCGGCGTATAGACCCGGAATAGGAATGGATTTTTCTGGAAAAGACGGCTAAACTCAGTGGTATCGGAGAAGCCGTACTGCGGGAGGGATGTCGAGCTGGGGGTTAGAAGGTTCAGAGCATCGGTTGAATCCATGATGTGTCGAGGTTGCTTAGGTTCCGCTCAGCTGCGCTTGCCATATATACGCCATCCATATCGATACCTCGTGGCAGCCGTATGTTCTGGGACATCTCAACGTTGCGAAAACGTTGTGTTTCCAAATTAAGAAATCTTGCCTGGCTTGGGTTTCGCGCTGTCTGTGGCGATGCGAAACGCATATCGACCATCAAAGCACCCCAACATGCTTAATTCATGACCGGGTATTATGGAGAAATTTATCGTGTATGGTGTGCAGCATTCTGGATTCCGCTACTACAACCTTAGGTCCCCGATCACGTCTCCACACCGGGTGTATCGAGCGTCCTACGCGGTCAGACGTAAATCTAAGGGCATGCGAGTTTGGGGGGCATACCTTACCTTCAAAGGGCATCCATTCCTTGGTGTTGAGCTCAGTAAGAGCCGCGACCGTGTCGTGAATGGCACCAAGGGGTCACGTGGGGCGTACCAGCAAATTCTGCTTAATTGTATTCTTAACCAGTACATCCATCATCGACGCTATGGTTTCAGCTGATAACCTCAATCTCGACGTTCTGGGGCTCATATTTGCCTTTATCAACTCAAAATATGATCAAGCGTCGATTGCTCTGGTCAGCCGGTCATTCTTGGCTGCAGTGACACCAAGGCTCTATGCGGTGCTGTACTATACGTTTCATGAGGCAAAACGGTATCCTACGGTGAGCTACGCGATTGCATGTTATAGGAAGAACTGCACTGAAAGCGTCGGAAGCTAATGACCCCATTTGCCACCATAATTTCGCATCCACATCTCGGGGTTCATGTACGACACGTCGGTATGTCAAATGAATCACATAATCAATCGTCAAGACTAGAACACTGATGGATGTTATTGATAGAAATTCGATGCATACCTACCCGAAAGTCTCAGGTGCATCCCGATTTCATGAATGAATGCACCACCGCACTCTCGAGATGTGCCAATCTCAATACATTTATGTGTCACTCAGCCGTGACACCCCTTTTCATCCGCTGCTTTCAAGATAAACCAAGCCTGAGTAACCTTCGGATTAACGGATCTATGCCAACACAAGCGGCCCAGAAACTTGTACAAGTCCGTGGTCTAGTAAAGCTGGCTATCGACCACGGATCATGGAATCTATTGGACATACTACCTTCATGGACGTCGAATCTGAAACAAACTCTATCCTCTCTCACTCTGAGCGTGAGTTCTGTCGAGCCGCTAAAGGACTGCTTAAAATTTGTCCCAGAATTGCACCGAGGTCAACGACGCCGTTTTGCGTCCCATCCTTGCCGATCTTCCCGCATTGACAGAGCTCAATATCATCAGTTGCTCTCGATTTGACCACAATCACGTTTTACGCCTTCTTCATCTTACGCCTAATCTCGAGCATTTGGGATTCACATTGACGGTCAGTAAATATCATCTCGTATCTAATAACACTCATCTGGTCCCTCTGCAATGTAGGATAACTCGTGCACTACAGACTTCCTTCCGTTCACACTACGCCGTCTTAGACATCTAGCGTTTGACACGAAGTGCTCGACGATGGCATCTCCATTATCCTCTCTCGTCACGATTGTTATGGGGCATATCAATTCGGCTTCTCCTGCGCTCACATCCTTCTCTGCAAAACTCTCAGATCGCCTTGCAGCGAACGAATTCATCGAAGCACTAGTTAACGAACACGGTTTAACCCTGAGGACGCTGGTCTTCGTCGGTAGTCCAGTAAGCATCAACTCAATAGCACTCATGTGTAGAAGCTGTCTCCATCTGGAGAGGCTGGATATTTCTGTCCCGATTAGAGACCTCGTGCGTTCGATTTTTTCATCCGTTCACTTTTGCCGTTGCCGAACGCCAGCTTTTGAAATATGAAGATTGCGTTCACGAACGCCCTCACACGGTCATTTACCCTAACCACCCTCGTGGACTTGGGCGATATATCGCATTCAGTGCACAGCAACCAGGTGTCACTTACCACCGACAGTGCCTACCATTTGATGGGACATGTCCGGCAGTTGAAGAAGATTGTCAGTGGCGGCAGAACATGGACAGTAAGCCCATTCCAAGCGATTCTGTTTTCATTTGTATAACAGCAACACGTTCTTCCCCCTTCCCTCAGGGTAAACGAGGGCAGGAAAACGAACTTACGGTGACCCTAGATCGTCGACGAGCATACAGGCCTGAGAAATATTGGTTTCAACCTCGCGATTAGATCCGTCTCGGGTGCTCAGCGTTTCAAGGTGCAAATATAATTACATTGTATTTGACTTTTCCCCATTACCCCGGAAACGCATCCGACTTTTTCCATCGTCGTCAGTTGACCAACGGCATGCTTATGATATACTACTGGTACTACACTTCATACAATAGCCCCACATCGAAGAAGAAAGCAGCCCCGAACCCCTCCTAGCAAATGTGGGGTATACATCCAACATATTTAGATTTGTTCGGAGCGCTCAGCGCCTTCTCTGCTTCTCCTCAGAATTTTTAGCCACGGTAATACAGCCAAAGAGGCCAGCCACCCCAGCCATGACTGATTTATACGAAATTTGCTTCTATAAATACAACAGGTAAGCGACGCGCCCAAGCGGATGGGAGGAAGTACAAACCTGTCCAGAGCTGGGCCCATGATGCGCGTGCCGATGTATGCGGGCAGGCCCTTCGAAAAGTTGCACCATTGGCTTGTCGGCAGGTGACATAGTGACGGAAGGCGTTGACATTGAATACGGCCGGACGGAACTCGACCGCCTTGCGCGGGAAGCGTACTCGAGAGCAGGATGCCGGGGTCGAGCGGGGCCGTCAAAAATAATTGGGGGTGGTAGGGATGATGGTAGCGGCATGGGATCGCAAAAAGGATTGTCAAGCGATATCATACTGCTTGAATACTTTTGAGGAGATGTAGAGCCACTTGGAGAAGCCTTGCCGTATAGCTTGGACTCCCCCAAACGGTGCGGTGCGTCGAAGATGTCGAAGATTGGTGGCAATGTCGCCTCTTCGATCGACTCGAGAGGCATTGCGGTAGTATGGGCTTGAGCCCTTTTGGGGACGACGGGACGGTGCTCTTTACGAGAGCCTCGACCAGCTCTAGCCAGGTATGTCAAACTTTGGCGATGCATGACGGGGGGATAAGTTTGAAGCACTGAGGATACCAAGGGATACCAAGAAAGGGGGCCTTATAAGTCGTCCAGCCATTTGTTTACTACCCCGCAATGTAAGATTGATTGACCCGGAGGACACGGTTTCGCGGGGAATTCCCTGAGACGACTCGCACGACAACGATCTGCTGTGAATTGCGTTAAACGTCAACTTGGGTTGATGTGCTTGCTACAGGCAGAGAAAAAGAACCCTTCCCGATGGAGCGAGGGACGCGAAAACCTCGCGTAGAAATCAAGTCACAAATCAGAATCATTGCGTGCAAGCCTCTGGCGGTGGAGACGTCCGAAGCTAATTAGGAAGTAACATCTTGTCCCCTGCTAAAGTTAGGGTCAGCGATCGATGTTGCGGAGATAAATCGCTTCTCGAGCGCTGACAAGGCCCACATACTGACCACTTCATCTTCCTGGGTACGTGGGGGTACTTCAGCGAGGCGGAGAGGAGGTTATTGGCAAAGGCTATGGTCTAATCATGTGTGCTCGTTGAATGAAGTAGCATTCTGCGCACGTAATTCCAGAGATCCTACGAGAGCCAGAAGCGTTTCTAACTATTAGTTTCCGCACAAACGCCACGAACTAGAATCACTCACTCCCATGGATGTTATCCAACACTTCGACTTGTTGTGATTCCATGCATTCGATGACAACGAGGGAATAAAGATGCTGTATAGCCGAGCGCCCGCATAGAGCCCGGTCACGAATGGCAAGATAGCGTCGATTGCCAAGGACTTTTGCCCGAAAGCGTGAGTGTCGAGAACATAACTTCACGGTTAATTTGCCAAGATAAAGGTAACTCGAGGTGCCTGGCTGCCAATAGACTCCTCGATGTGTCTTCTTATCATACCCATCGAAAGAACATCGGTGACAAATGCTTGGCTGCTGACCGAAGCAACTGCGACGGCGCCACGAGGTTGGCGTAGGAAGCAACCAATCGACTACTTGCGGAGCGAGATAGCTGAGTAGCTTACGACAAGTAACAGTATGGGGCTGACCAGGAGTCTTGGCTGGCTCGAAGGAAGAACATAGGCGAACCTTTGCCAAGGGCAGTCAATGGGCTGAAATCGATGAAAGGAAGCAGAGACTCAACGTCAACTGACCCGTCATAATGGCGGCTGCGTAGGCACATTATGCGCTCTTGCTGGGCGGATAAAAAAGCCTTTGCCACCTATAGAATCTACCAAAAGCGGCCGTAAGGTAGTCACTACGAGTGGTAGATGAAGCTATCGCCCTACTGAAGGTCCAACGTTAGGCGACCGAATGAGTTGATACCGGAGAAATGAGTGACATTCCTTGGCGTTCAAGTCATTTCGCAAGGCATCGCAAACACCAACAACTGTACGCTTGCGTTATGGATGCTCCAACAACTCGAAAGTCACAGCCGATCCGTGGCTCAGTGGATACTTTTAACGGCCGGTTGCAGCCGTTTTGAGTAAGGATGTCCGGGAATCCAGTGCGATGTTAACGTTGACTTGGCATCATAGACAAGGATGGTATATGAGGGGACGTAAAAAGAGTGGATACACCCGATAGGCGCTGCTATGTGGCTGTTGAGAGCCGACGGACGCGACTGAAGGTAACGGAGAACTAGGGGGCTTGAGACCAGTTTTGCGCTTGTACGGGTATCGTGCCTAGCACCTTCAATGACTGTGGTACGGGTGATGAGTTTCTATACCATGAATAAAAGGGTAACCGTCCTGTGGTGCGGCGGTGTGGTAGGGTTATGGATGGGCTCGACCTCTGGAGTACCATCAAAGGGGGGGTACGGTGTATTGATTAGCGTACAATGGAACTTACTGTATCGTGTTTCACGGCCGGTCTACCGCGGGGCAACAGATTCATTTGATGAACGGATAGAGCTTCCCAAAATAAATTCATGTTGGTGTCGACTTGCGGGCTGTAGCCTCCAAGTACAATATATTCCTTTAGCGCCATCCCAGGCTTCAATATAAGAGAGCCATTGAATTGGTAGGAGTTATACTCCATCGTGGCACCAGGGCAACATGGTCGCAAAAGCGCGCTACTCTGACCGGGACAATACAGGGATTAGATCTGCAATAATGTAGCTATAAAAGCACTCAACTCAGGTTGGAAGGGGAGAGAAACAATATGAACTTCCATTCAAGAATTTGTTCAGATCAAGTTCAAATACTAGTGAGGGGTTCCGGAAGGCCTTCCGTAGCGCACCAGCGGAGGACCGTGGCGTGATTGTTGGTTTCATCAAAATTGCCTTGAATTTCTGAACAAATCCACAGAACACCAGACGCTCGGAGAATAAGAAGCGAGCAACAGAGGAGAGCGGTACCAGCGGTGTCCGGCGCCTAACGGGCCCAGGCGTCTGTTTATTGACACTCCTCGTCCGACGTCAACTCCCTTGCATTTTCTAGATTTCGTTAGGAAGAATGAGTTCTTAAAAGTATCGGTAGCTGTTATAAATCTCTCACAACCTGTTACCCTCTTCTGATCCAGAGTGTTCGATATAGAATGGTCGTACAACTTCTGCAGCCTCAGGCCAGATGGTGTCTCTGTGCCAATCACGTAACTACGACGGGCCTGGTGTCCAGATTTCGCAGTGATAACAATGGAAGACGACGAGGGACCTAAATTACCTGAACTTTCGAATCCCCAAGGTTCCTGGCCCCAGAGAGGTCACTATTTTCGGTATGGGTGTGTGTGTGAAGGGAGCCAGATTTTCTATTGGCTAACCCGTCATTTAGAGAATTCGTACCTACGCCGCAATGGCACTTCGCCGCCGCTCAACCTCAAGGTCCAAAATTTAAATACGTTACTTCCAAGCCCCCCCTGTCACCCTTAATCTTTAGCTACGTATCCATTCGACTAGGACGCGTTGCTGAATGGAGACGACATTTGAATTGAGTATGATCCAGCACTGCATAGTACTTGGCGGTCCTGCAAGCATGGATCAAAGGAATCCTCCCTCAGAAAGTCATGGACGCCAAGGCACTGAAGCTTTGAGGCACTGACATGGCCTATTTACACAGCTAGGTTAAATCCTCGCGTATGATATGAACATCGAATGGGCTAACAAGGTATCTATAAAACCTTAATCTCCGGCCGACGCAGCGTGATCGCCTTCCCGCCCTCCTGTTATGACATTCAACCTATTCATACTTTACGGATCAGCCCTCTTCCGCGAAAATTGGCTTTGGCGATACCCGAGATTCACCGTTCGTGTTCAGCGCTCAGCGCTCCCAGCGTCTGGCAGCCTTTTTACTTTACGCCGCCGCCCCTCGAAAGCTCCCCATGAGGCACACCTCGTGCACCCGTAAGTAGCTTCACGGGCCAGACGACACGCTGTGGAGTTGATCGTTATCGGTTGCAAGCACGCGAGTGGTATCCGCAGTAATTTCCTTGTCCTAAAGGAAGAATGTTCATGACGACAATGCACTCATCTCGGATGGTATGAACTGGCTCGAAGACGTTTGCCGTTGTGTCCTATTGTTCAAATTTATCCCCGTCGTAGTAGGATCATATGTCGGATGACCGGGAAATCCTCACTAGTCGTGAAAGAGAGAAAAGCGGCAAAATTCGGAATCTAAGATGCTTTGGACGCTGAGGCACAATAACTTGTTGAATGCAAGCAAAATATTTCAGATGTTGTCTGACCCAAAGGTTTTAGTCATTTTATTGAACACCGTCTGTGGCCGAGTCCTACTAAGCGTATCTTATCATTGCACGTTTGGGCTCTACAACATACACGGCCCATGATGTTATCGTTACGTCTTTCGGAGGGATCAGTGGTTCATTATCCCTGACTTTCTTCGACCCCATAAGCATTGCTCTTGTGTTTGGGCGTGAATGTCCAAGACGCTGGAGCAGGTCCAAGGAACATCTCAGATAACTTGACCCAGTCTCTGCTATCGGGGCTAGCCAGCAATGTTTCTGCCAACACAGTTAGTCAGGGTGCAATGAAACAAAAAGAAGGATGCGAACCGAGCTCATTTCGACCACGAAACGCGGGAGCCCGATCGTTGATGCGCCCTGGTAATGCTTCCAGCAAACCGATCGGTATGTAACGGTATTGGAAAGATAGCGCTTCGCACAGATACCGACGGGTGGTGTTGATACCTGCAGTATCGGACCCAAAATGGCTGGAGTACACAACGATAAGTAGCGAGACACACGTAGTACAACATTACTCACCTGATACCGAATTCAGCATACTACATTCCGAAGATTAGTTGGTATGTCTGAAACTAGGCCCCATGCATCCTCACCTTCTTAATGAGGTCTAATCGCTCTCGTGCACTGATATCCCACTCCCTATGTTCTTTGATTTCCGTAAATATCCACGGTTTTATCAAAGCACCTCGACCTATCATCACGCCATCTACTCCGCTGTTCTCAACCACAGACCAGTACCCCTCAGAGGAGAAGCAATCTCCGCCTCCGAATATAGGAACTGCTGGACCTGACAAGCGAAGTCAATTACAGTATTACAGCTCATCATCAGCTTCGAACATACAATTTTCTTCCTCTTCTTTTCCGCGAACAGCTGCCACGCATTGTTTGATGTATTCCCAGTCTGCCAATTTGGTGTACCGTTGTTGCCTAGTTCGACCATGCAGCTGAGAAACATCAGGAGATGACGAAGTGAATGCGGTAAAAGCTTACCGATATACATCCGACATTCCATTCTGTACTCAAACGAGGCATTAGTTTATGAGCTGTGTTACGACCATCTTTAACCCCTGTTCTGAGTTTGACGGTAACTGGTATCTCTCCCAACGCCTTGTTCATCCCGACGATTATCTTGCCTAGTTTGCCAGGTGTATCTAGGACTGGCCCATAGTTAATGGGTTTGAGGCGGTATGATTACTAGATAAGGATAGTGACGCACGCGCTGAACCGCTGCCAGTCTGAAAGACTAGATCAATGGGGCAACCACAGTTGATGTCAACAAAGTCAACATTTCCAGCACACTCCTTGGCTATGGTCTCCGCCGTTGGGACCAATGTGGCGGCCTTGTTACCGGCCAATTGGACGCCGAATATGGACTCAGACGGATGTCTGCGAATTAGCGACCATTCTTCTTTGGACCCAGCCAGGAACGAATTAGCAAGACCCACTATCGAGAACTGCGTAAGCACGACTAGCGGCCACCAAATAAAAGGCGTATCATTCTCACTTTCTCCACATGTTATGTCGGCGCCATATGCTACACAAAGGCGACGGAACGGCTAGGGGTTCGCAATGACAGTCTAGCGATATATGTCATAGTTCTGTAGGTGCACATACCAGGTTCCCAACAGTGGTAAGTGGCGCCAAGTCTTGGAATGCAAAAAAGCGGTTGTCAATACAGCGCGGTGCTGATTTGAGCCCACCAACATACACGTTTTTCCGGACCAATGAAGCCGTTTCTTCTCGTTAAAGCGCATTGGAACATCAGGTGTATCAACTTGAGTCACCGTTGCCGTTTCTCCCGTTCTCTCCGCGATCGTCTCTATTGCTGTGGACGGCAAATCGTCGCCTACATTCTCCGTTGTTGCGGCGGCGGCTGCATGACTCGTGGTGTCCTTCCCCTTTTCTTCGGCCGTCTGGATCTCCTTGAGGTATGCACTTGATATAGGAAAGTTATACTAAAAGCGCCAGTGCTCAATCAACGCGCTGCCGGAGGAGCCACGATTAATCGTTTACGAGCCGTACCTTTTTTGTTCGGAGGTTCTTGAGTGCTTCAGGCGACATGAAATTTAGTTCCGTGGCAGAGATCGCGGCATGGGCCCTTTTCTCTGTATCGCTGATCATCTCTAGCGCTCCATTGCTTTTACGGATATGTCCTCCAAGGAACCGACATTTGAGCCCGAATCTATCTATCTTGAGTAGACAATACGACGGTACAATATATTGCCCGTACCTGCACTCTCCCATCTCAGCAAAAACGGGGCATATGGTGCCCATGTCCAACGAGGGGTACTCCGCATCGGCCACAAAATCTTGTGGCGGAATGAACGGTGGTACTTCGAGTGATTGAGTAGTATCCGGTATCCGTATATCACGAGGCTTAGCGGCGAGATATGCTGGAATGTCATGGGTGAACCGACATCTGTTCAGTCAAATTGATTGACTTCACTCCTGATCCTCGGTTCAGGGTAGGCAAGACACTTACTCATCACCGAATTCACAAATTTGCCCTGCAGCGACTTTCCAGCAAACTTCAACTTCATCTCTTATTTTTCCAAAACGTCTCCCCTTATTTGCGCCTCGCTGTGCTTTCTTTTCAGCCTTGCTACGCTTCTTACGAGATGGGCCAACGTTACTACGTTCGTCTTCTCCTGCGCCCGCGCGATCCTGAACGTGGCTCGACGTGCCTTCAGCTGCATCATCGTCCGGTACGTTGGCACTTTGACCGCTGTTCACTTGCAACAGGAATCTACAGACGGGGTCATATGTCAGCGAGAGCCTGAGCGCAGCACTCGGCGCGGACGAGATGCGCAAGCGACCCACTCAGGCTTGACAGGCGCTGTTCCGAGTGGATAGATTGAAGTCATTGATGCTGATGATACAAGATCCAAATCCAGATGGATTCGTGAGGAGGGTGGCGGCCTGAACTAGAATTGAATCTGAAACGGGGTGGCTAGTCGGAGAAGCTTTCAGTGAGATGATCATCATGGGACTGACGCGACAGACCACCAAAAACCAAAAGGTGCCATGTGATTGCCCAGACCCACGCGGCAGCTTACTCCTAGGTTCGTAGGGCGACCAAGTAATATCTCGGTAAAATAGTTGAATAGATATCAAAATTACGACAAGGGTCATGTTGTACAATTAATCGATATATACACAAATTACTACGCCGTAAATTCAAGAGTTCTGTACACACAAATCGCTTAGCGTGATTTCTTGACGCTGTATTTTTCCGCGGCCTTCATGACAGCTCGCCCAGTTTTGTCACGGTAGAAAAGAATGTCCCCTGCGGCGATGTACGTTAGTTGCAGTTGTACTTCACTTCAGTCACGCATCTAGTGCTTACCTTCGTCTTCAACAAACTGGCATCGGTTGTAACTTTCCCAAAGGGCTTTAAAAACAGGCTTGTCCGAATAGTGATAGTGGTCGCCAATGAAATCTTTCAGATAAGCAGTGGCTTCAGGTCCATTGTCTACAAAGAAATCAGCTCATCACTTTTACTCGCTGATCAAGGTACCTACAAAATGGCATCTTGGGGAAGAACTATACATCAATCACATCAAAAATTAGTTGTGGGCGAAAAGAAAAGAAGGCAGATACACCATCACACTCACATGATGGATAACATGGAAGTGGGCGACATCGTGGAGGAAGAATCGTCCCTGCCACCCCAGGAAGTTACGATCAACAGTTGCGGCTGCACCTCGCTGGAAGTTCCATTCCTTGTTCCGGTAATGGGGAAGATCTGGTGCCGTATGGTGAAGGTATGTGATCATGATGACTTAGAAACGTAGGAAGTCAGCTTCTCGTTAAACAAGAGCAGCGTTGATGGGCACAGCAACTCACACCAATGCGAAACCAAAAGCCAAGGGATGCCGTAGAATTTGAGCACGTTGGCCGATCCGAAAGTAGAACTCGCCCAGGTGACGGCCCACACCATTGCAGCAATGCCGAAGTTGGATAAAATGACTGCGTTGCGCTGTTCCTTCGTAAATAGAACTGAATTTGCTGGTGATCAAGGTTAAGCCACATGTTCGTTGCTATTCAATATATAGACAGGAGAACTTACGATCAAAATGATTGGTTCCTTTCGGATAAGTCTTCTGCCCAGACACATTGAAAACTAAGACTTTGTCAGCATGTCATCTGGTGTATATCTTGTGTGACACTCACGCAAATAAGCGGGGAAAGCAAGGACTTGTTGGCGAATGAGCATGAAGAGCGTATAGATCGGCGTGTCGCCAAAGTAGTCTTCGTAGTCGATGTGGCCGCTGTTTTCAGGAGGAATTCCGAGATCAGAACGTGTCTTGGGGACATACACCTCATCACGCTCCATAGAAGCGTGGTTACTGTGATGTCTATGGTGCGAAATCTTCCAGCTGAAGTATGGCGTCCAGAGGGCCGAGTGGGTCACCTATGAAAGGAACTGTTGAGAACAAGGATCCTTATCGAGTGTCGCGAGTCTTACGAAGCCAATAACATCGTTGATGATTTTGTGTTCCGAAAAGGCACTGTGACCACACTGGAAATCATGACATCAGCTGGTGTTCTTCTTCACTGCCTCGAGGACACTAACCTCATGACCGATAACCCAGATACCAGTGAATATCAGTCCCTGGAACCACCAACTGTACGGCTATACCTGAGTGGTGTTCATCGTGGCAATGAGGGGAAACCTACTAGACCAGCCAGGCAGACCAGCGAGCTATCTCGGCCCCAAAAGGGGTAAGAAGCTGCCTCACGGCGACGCCTTTGAAGTACGGATCAATGTAAGAGGCCAGGGACCAAGCAATGGCGGCCATGAGTAGATCCCTAGTGAAGTAGAGCAGCCCTCTGGTGGTGTCGCGGGCGAATAGATGCGGGGGGATGGCGGCGCGTATTTCCTTCAACGACCTGCAGATATTTACTGTAAGTTTGGGGTGTATGGGCTCGCAAAGAAGTAATCGGAGCTCACCAGGGCATCGGAGTAAAAGCGGGGAGGTCATCCTCTCTGTAAATTGTGGACTTGGGCGAGGGGGCCTGTGTGGTAGTGATAGTGCTGGTACGCATGGTAGATCAGCAAGCGCAGGCTATATCAACCCAGTTCCATCAGCCCAGTATTTAAGTCTCCCACCACGGTATGTCGTGACGCATAGAGGCAAGTTAGGGCTATGCATCAAGCTGAAAGGAGATTGACGATTCCCTCCGACCTTAGAGTATGAAATCAGAGATTCAAAGCCGATTCCCCAGTGCAATGGGTCACATTCAAGGTTTCCATCTGAGGAAGGGCCTGCAAGGGGAAACGAAGGTCCTTTAGAGCGTGTAGGCGCCTGTGCTGAGACCCTAGACACCCTTCTGTACGCCCGATATAGAAACCAACTCCCACCCATTTCCCTCCAAAGTGAAGCTTCAAGCTCGCCTTTCTTGTATTCACCCTTCTTTTAGGCTACTCCTCTCCGAATGGGTGCCCTGTCTCCGTTTCCCGGAATTCGATTATTGTGCGGCAGAAGCCTCCCAGATCGCTTCTTGCACGAAGAATCCTCGACTTCTTCTCCAATTCTGAACGATTATGTCCAGCTCGTTTATCCCGTGTCCGACCACTGACGATCTCTCCATCCTCGACCCAGATTTGCGCGGCATCATAGCTCTACTGCCAAAAACTAATGAAACCGCAGAATCATCGGACGTTGTCGTGCAGTTCATGCGCTCAATCCCCCCAAGGCCACATGAAGACCTAAACATCGTGAAAAAGGATATCTTAGTATCCTTGGAGGATGCTGCCCCAGATCAACCACCCACCTCGCTGAGAGTATACATACCCAGGAACGCCAGTCCACATGATCGCTTACCAGTCTTGATGTGGTCTGTGAGTCCACGTCTGTCATCTGGTTGCTTGACTTCTCGCTGAACAGCCAGGCTCCCAGCATCATGGTGGTTTCTTTTCAATGGGCCCGCTCCGGTTAGACCCGTTCTGCAGTTCTATTGCCGTCGCTGCCAACGTCGTTGTTGTGGCTCCTGCGTACCGGCAAACGCCCGAGAACCCATTCCCTGCTCGTGAGTACTGCACTTCCCCTGAATCAAATACTCCATTGTCAATCACTGAACCTAACATTCTCACAGCTTTCAATGACGCCTACCAGGTGCTTCGATGGTTGACCGAATCCTCCGAGGTAGGCCAGTATCTCATCGATCCCACTCGGGTGGCTGTTGGAGGCACTTCCGCTGGCGCCACAATCACTGTTGGCATGTTCCTTCGATACCGAGACGAAGGGAGAGACATCTCAAGGATTCGCCTTCTTGTCCTCGAGGATGGAAGTTACGTCAACAAGTCAGCATCCTATTCGACTTATCACAACCCTATCAATAAACTCTGGAATGCCAACGTCACCCGGTATATGTGGGAGATGTATTTACCACAAGGCGTAGAAGGATTAGACGAACGGACTCTCGGGTACGCTGTGCCCGCTCTCGCGAAAGATTTATCGGGTCTTCCGCCCACAATGGTCCTTTGCGCTCAATGGGATGACTTGACCAACGATGCCATCGCATTTGCGCATCGTTTGTTAGAGTCGGGTGTTTCAACGGAAATCCATGTACGTTCTTCCTACTCTGTTTCACCCATTGAGCTAATCGGGGTCCGTCGGACATCCAGAACTATCGGGGCACTTTTCATGTTGCTGATAAATTAGTCCACGACGCCAAGACCAGCATAAAAAAGCGACAGGATATAGTGGATGCACTGCAATCCTTGCTTTGATATTTACCAACACACTTAAGCTCCTTGCTATGCGTATCTCGGCTCTTCAGCTCGGAGAGGCATCGCATCGAGTGATTAACGTTGACTGCATGTGAACTGTGTCTGTACTGTTTCTTCAACTGCACTCTTCTTTGAAAATTTCTCGACTAACTGACATGCGTGCAGTGACATGTGTGCAGTGAACTGTGAAGCGACTAATGTAAAAAGCATGCTGTTGCCGTCGTGAAGCTTGAGAATGTGCGCGATGAATTACGATACCATCAGATGGCAACTGCACCCACCATCACGAGTGCCGTACTGATAGGAATAAGCACACCCTTCCTTTGCCCCAGTTGATCAACCGTCAGAAATTTGTTCTCTAATGCGCCGATACGGTTGTTTTCAGTCCACGTATGTCCATCTGTGAGTGACATTGAATCTTTGAGACACGAACTTATTGTGAATTAGGGTGTTCCGGGTCTTCCCGCAATCGCAATCTTGATCTCTGCTGATCCGTTCGCCAATAAAGTCCACTTGTCCCAATCAATGCTGGACGTGTGTGCACAAAAATATCAGTATCAACATGGGAAGCAATCCGACTCAAGCGGTTTGCTTCCGGCGAAGCCGTGAACCATCAGCCATCACCGGCACCCTCAGCTTCGGTTCTTCAAATAAGTATGAGGACCTACAATCGCGCTGCATAGCGCAACCATCGCCACTTCTTGCACCCCCTCCCCTCAGACATGCTGAACATCTTCCAGGACTCCCCCGAGTACAATAAACGCAAAGAGACTCCATTCCTGCCCTCAAAGGTATGGCGAAGTCACTGCCTTCGAAGAGAGTGGGATACTCATTCCCTATTGCGTGGGATTAGGTTACTTTAGCAGAGATCCGTGCCTCAGTACCAAAGCACTTGTACAACAAGTCCACAGTTAAATCGCTCCTCTATGTCGCCAGGGACATATCATGCGGTTTGGTGGCCTACAAGCTAGCACTTCTCATTCAGCCCTTTAGCCAGGCTCTGCTGCTGAAGGGACTGGACTGGACCATCGTTCGTCTCATCAAATTTGCTCTGTGGGCTACATACTGGCATTGGCAAGGGGTCATTTTCGCTGGCTTGTGGTGCCTGGGTATGCTTTTGCTTCTGCCATTTCTCGCCCGTGTGCTGACTCTGACTTCTTTGTATGTAGGCCACGAAGCAGGGCACGGCACCATGTCTCCTTATGGCTGGGTGAACCATGCGATCGGGTACTCGCTTCATACAGTACGGCGCTCTCCGACTACTATTCTAGTTTAAACTGATCGGTATGACAGTTCCTTCTGGTACCTTACTATGCTTGGAGATCCACGCACCACGCACACCACGTGGGTATTGCTGTTCTGCTCCTCGAATGAGCGCTGATATGACCACAATCCAGAAAGCAACCAGTTCCGTCGAGCGTGATGAGAACTACGTCCCGAGGACGCGCACGGATTACGGCCTACCGCCAGCACACAAGGCGCAGGCCCGAGATTACCATGAAATATTCGAAGAGACCCCGATCTACACTCTCTTACGCATGTTGGCTATGCAAGCTCTTGGCTGGCAGTTTTACTTGTTCACTAACGCCATGGGTTCTCCGAGCTACCCCAAAGGAACAAATGTGGGTTACTGCCTCGTTTTGCTCGACGCGCCGCATGTTAACGTTGCTATAGCACTTCCTTCCATCATCGCCACTTTTCAAGCCGCATGAGCGAAACGATATCATTGCGTCTAACATAGGCCTCGCTACGATGTCTACGGTTCTATGGATCTACACCAGCAACGTCGGACTATCTACATTCATTAAAATATATTTCATTCCGTATTTGGTGAGTCGATCCTCTTCCCCGCCAACGCCGTCGCTTATCCATGCTTCTATAGCTCGCCAACCACTGTACGTCCGCGCTCCGGAGAGCTTTGTTAACCCCACTGACCCGTTCACAGGGATAGTCATGTTGACGTACCTGCATCACTCAGACCCGACCATCCCTCATTTCAGAAATAAAGAATGGTCCTTCCTCCGCGGCGCCCTTGCGACAGTTGACCGGCCGCTTCTAGGTTGGGCGGGACGATTCTTCTTGCACAACGTCAGCCACGATCACATCGGTCACCACCTCTTTTCTACGATTCCCTTTTGTATGTCTTCGCATGATCGATCTCGATACATTCCCTGGTGGCTGATAGGCTAATAGACAACCAACCTCAAGTCACGGAGCATATTAAGCGAGTCTTGAAAGAAGACTATAATTACGATTCTACGGTATGTCTCATGTCGCGCTCTAGATCAGATGTTTGTTGAACCCTTCGGTACAGAACACCTTCCGCGCGCTGTACAGGACGTTCACACAGTGCTGCTTTATTGAAGATGATGGTGACATCGTGTTCTATAAGAATAAAGACGGCGAGTCGGCACGGGCACTTGCTAAATCCATGGCCAAGTAAACAGGGTAGATATTTCTCGGACCTTTCATTACTACCATTGCATAAATACTTGTAACTCATACTGTGTATAATCAGCCTATCCGATGCCTCCGTATAAAAACACCCTTCTTCCGCTACATGGCAAGTCAGCAAGTGTGCTACTGGTAGCGACGTCGACGGCACGCGGGTGCAACAGCTCGTCATTATCGGTGCATGGGAGTGATCGTCTAGCTCCTTGGGAATGCCCTACCCAGAATTAAGTGAAAACTTCTTCATCAATCAAGACCAAGACAAGGCCAGGTATAGGCCATCTTCCCCATCTACTGAGATGCGGACGCAGCATGATTTTGTATTGACCGGTTACACGGCGGAAGAAACTGCCTATGCAAGTGATGGGGTCCTGAGGACGATAGTGAACTCGTGTTCAGGTAGCCTCGTTGAGGGTGTTATTTAGCACCTATCTCGTCACCACGCCCATATTTTCCCTTTACCGCAGAGGGAATGAGCATACTGAATCCGCGGAAATTATGGATTTCCTGACCCGCCTCAAATATCCGAAGAAATTCTACCGTAGTTGACACTCATTCTGCCACAAAGGCCCTAGACAAGGGCTCCGGAACCGCCGAACTTCGAATAATCGTTTCGAATTACACACTTCGCTGGAATGATTTCCGATATCAAGCAAATGGTCCCCAGACTTGACCAGACCCAATTACCGCCGTTCGCAACGTGTTCTCCAACACATGTTGCTGTTGCAGGGATATCGCGTGCGTGGGGTAACTGTGGATTCTGATGATACCCAAAAGTCAAGCACCAGTAAAGGGGTGGCACAGCGAGTACACGCCTTATCGTAAATACACAAACAATGTCCTTGATATATCGTCGCACCTACAGATTGCTGGGTATTTAATCACAAATATAGCGAATTATTACGACACGGTGGGCATGCTGCTCGTGCCAGTGATCTAACGGTACTTACTCAAGAGGCCATAGTACTGGATTTTAATGAAGCTAAGGTAGCACATCTTGATCAAACCTGACCCGCCTTTCCATTGATGACACCCTGCGTCGGATTTATTCATTGTGCATGATGAGCGGGGGAACAAGTTCGGAGGTGTTGAAGCAAGTTATAGCCCTCTTCTCCTAACCCCTCATCGATCAGGAGCCGCCACCAAAGGATCAACAGGGTCCTACATTCGGGAAACTATGCGAACCAAGAGCTTTGCTTTCCACCAATTCCACCAACTTTTCTGACCCTGAACCAAAGGGGATGAGGCCTGAGGCCTGAGGGTCCAGAGAATGGCCAGGATTCTAGCGATGCATGGACTGATAAGCTGGGGAAGATCCCAGGATGTATAAGATACAGAAATCTAGATATTTGGGGTTAATAGTTTACTACCTAAGTCGAATCCAGTCAAGGTTGCAGCGCATTAAGTCAATTGGAAGGGTATCAAAGAAATAGAAGGGTTCCCGATGCGTGATGATGAAGCGTGAAGCACGAAATCTAGGACTTGACCAGCTCGACGGCTCGCTCTATGATTTCATCTACTGTCCACCTCTCTGACGGTCTGATGCCAAGCTTGAGGTCGAGGACGTCCCCGATCTCGTCGCAGGCCCTCAAAACGACATCGATATCTTCCTTAGTGTGGGACGCGCTCACGCAGAACCTAACGCGACTGGTGACGAGATCCGTGGCAGGGTACGCAACGACGACAACGACGATAGGTGTTTGTCGGTTCTTCATCAGGGTATGGAAGAGGTTCATCTTGCCAGGGTGGAATAGAAGCAGGGGGACAATCGGGGACGATGGGTCTCCATACGTAATGAAGCCCAGCTTGATGAGACCGAGCGCCAGGTAACGCGAGTTAAAGGCGAGGCGGCGTAACCGTGTTTCACCTTCCTGTCCAGACGCGAGTGCAGGAGGTAAGTTGATCCAAGAAGGCAACATCGCGGGAGCAGCGGGGCCTGGATGCTGGAAGGCCTCGCCGTCAGCTGAATATAGCGTGCGTGTCGGGTGCGATAGGGACGACGGTAATCCAATCCCCATGATGCTGGCCATACTTGCAATGACCTGCGTTAACACCGGAGGTGTCATGGCTTCAGCATACGGTCCCGAATGTCCGTGGAGGCGCAGCCTGTCGATCAAGTTCTTGTTTCCCGCAATGTACCCGCCGGCAGCCCCAAACGATTTCGTGAACGTCCCCATCAAGATGTCGATGTCACGGGGATTGACGTTAAAATAGTCGTGAACACCGCGGCCATGGGGACCAAGCGCGCCGATGGAATGAGCTTCATCAATGAAAACATAGAACTGGAATATTAAATTGAGCGAGTGTATAACAGATACTCATGAACAGATGAACCTTGTATTTCTTCTTGAGCGCTAAGATAGCGGGAAGATTTAGCAGTGTGCCTTCCATACTGTATAGGCCCTCGACAATCAATAAGATTTTCTTCCATGGTCTGTGGGTCTTGGGCTGTCCTTGACTAATGGATTCCCGGAGTAAGGATTCTAAACTCTTCATGTCGTTATGCTTGAACATCCGGACACTGGCACCGCTGAGACGAACTCCGAACCGTATGGATGCGTGATTGAGTTCATCGCTGATAACGAGGCAGCCCTTGTCCACGAGTGCCGGGATAAACGTAGAGTTGGTGGCAAAGCCCATGGAGCTAATCAGAGCATCCTCCATGCCAACAAAACGGGCGACAAGGGCCTCCGTCATAACGTGCAGATCACAAGAGCCTCCCTCCATACGAGCACCTAGAGTAGATACTCCATATTGTCTGATGGATTCTTCTACGGCGTCCGCGCAGCCACCTCGTCCCTGTGCAAAACCAAGGTAATTGTATGACGAAATGTTGAGGGCACGGGTTCGGCCGCCTGTGAGGATATAAGATTGTCCGAAATCTGGAGAGAAACGGTCCAAGCAGACAATGGTTCGGCCCGCTACCCCTGTTACTGGTTGCGCGAAACATTCAGCAAGCCGTTGTTTCAGTCTGCGGGTGTAAAACGAGTCGAAATCCGAGGTGAGTGGTGCCAAACCCTGTTCCCAGTCAGAAAATAAATGCGCGAAGAATATGAATAAGCCTCACATTATGCGGCATTAGGTGTTTGTAAGCTCCAGGGTAAATGCGTTTGCCGATGAAGTCGCGGACGTGTCCAACGCAAATCAAGATGAGATAGCTGATATAGGTGGTGAGAAGGATGTAGTAGGGCGGATCTTTCTCAACGACTTCTAGCGTGGCGCCAGGAATGTGCTGCGAAACATATCGGTAATCCTCGTTGGAGCAATGTCCGAATTCAGTATGAACCGTGGTGAAAACCTGTTCAGACGTGGGTGCGCATGAAGGAAAAAGGAGACCGTCGCGATTATCGTCGTCTAGTTCGTTTAGGACCGTGTCTTCTGATGATTCGGTAATAGAGGATGACAAGGAAAGAGCGGGCGTCGAAGTAGGCGACTTGGACAGACCTCGTGCTCGAGCATCGGCCTCTGACAAGGCCGACAGGTACGAAGCGGCCGAGGTCATCGGTGCCAACGACGGCGACGACTTTTTCTTGAATATCGAGCGCGAAGGCGAGGACCTGAAGGCCATAGGCGAGGGTTCTGTGATGGCTGCTGGAGACATGGTGCCCACAAGAAAGCGTGTCGGCTGGCGATGCCTCTCGTGAAGGTCTGCTGAACGTGCTGAGGAGGCAGCAAAGGGTCGTGGTCGTCGTCCGCAGCAAACCGTTCAACCGAAGTCAAAATTATTATAAGACGACCAGACCCTTGATTTTCAGGGCGCTAAAGCTTTTTTCCTCGGCCCGACGTCTTATTGGACATATTTCGCTGACGAGTTGCTGATAAGATTGCGCGCACTACCGATTTACTTGGAAGTGAGTAGAATATGTAGAGTCTACACTGAGCTAGGTCACTGAGGCGCAATTGCCCGGACCAAATCAATAGGCAAATTGGAAATGCCTCCAAGCGGCAGAAATTTATAGATATTCATATTCAATCACCAGCCTGAGGAACAGGTTTACTATCGCCTATACGCCGCCCAAAGCCTCGAGGCACTGGTGACCCGTCGGCATTCGTCATTGTGAGACCAGCATCAGCAGGGCCTTGCGGATTCCTGGTGACAGAGGTACGAGGTGGAGTGGATGACTGAGTTGGATCTATACGTCGTACGCTATCCCTGGGGGGAGCACTCTGGAGCGATGAAAGGCTTGCATTCCTACTCCCCTCGGAGTCTCGTCCCTGCTCATTGGTGCCAAATATACGCTCACGAGCCGCGTTGTATTTCGCCTCGCGTTGCTGCACGGTTTCCCGTGCTCCGACTAGCGATGGAGAGGTCGAGGCAGGGGGCGTCGCAGAGGGTCGCTTGAGTATGCGCAGCTGCGGTTGAAACGCAGATGCGGGGGGTGCAACGATCGTAGAAGACGATTTGACGAGGAATTCAGGCATGGGTGCCTTCGTATTTCTGCGAATTCAGTGATTCCATGTTCGTCACTGACACAAAGACCGCTGAACTGACGGCTCACGCCTCGTGCCATATCTTCTTGTTCAGCTCAGGATCAGGAAGGGCATCCTCCTCCTCCTCGTCGTCGTCCCAGTCATCTGGGACGACCTGACGCTGTGGCTGCTTGCTTGGCCTGGTGACTACAAGACCTGTCTATGTGAAGATCAGACTTTGCCAACACTCGGAGAACAATGACTCACATTCGGTGGTTCTTGATCCCAAGGGTCGTCCGTTGGCATTCGAAAGATGTTGGCGAGACTCTGAAGGGCGATTTCGGTATCTACGGGCGCTTCTGACTCATCAGCTTATCAGGCCACTTTAGAGATCAGATTGGCGACACACTCACAATGCCTGCACCAACCGAATTCCTGCAATTTGTCGACCAGAATGCCGATGCATTCATCCAGAGGCTTTCAGATGCTGTCGCGATTCCAAGGTTCGTCGAATTGTTACGTTCGTCGCGAAGCCCCCGGGGGTAGTATAGTAGCAGGGTTTACCCCTAACCAAGGCCGTTACTCGACTCAAAGGCATATCACAACGGATCGAGCTAATGCGTCGTGTTCTACAGTATCAGCGGAGATGCGTCCCATCGCAAGGATGTCTTCAAGATGGCTGACTGGCTTAACGACCAACTGAAGGCAGTCGGCGTCGAGACTCAGCTCGTGGATCTCGGAAAGCATATCATGGACGATGAGGAACTCCAGCTTCCTCCTGCAATCCTTGGGAGGATCGGTAACGACCCAAAGAAGAAGACTGTCCTTCTGTACGGGCATTTCGACGTTCAACCCGTGCGTACCCTGCCTTAAATTCTTGGTCGTGTGTGTTGTACTTACTGAACAATATCACACATGCAGGCCAACAAATCGGATGGATGGGACACCGACCCGTTCACATTGGTGGTACATCCTACCAATGGCCAACTCATCGGTCGCGGATCATCCGATGACAAAGGTCCTATCCTTGGTTGGCTCAACGTCCTCCAGTATCATTTCCAGACCGGCAAGGAGCTCCCAGTCAACCTCAAGATGTGTTTCGAGGGGATGGAGGAAAGCGGAAGCGAGGGACTCGACGATCTAGTTAAGAGAGAAGGATCCGGAAACGGGGGTTGGTTTGATGGCGTCGATTGTGTCTGCATCGTAAGTATCTCAAAGCTACTGTTGTACTTACCAATACTGACATCACCTCCGTTGTCAGTCAGATAACTATTGGTTGAACACGCGAACCCCCGCACTGACATATGGCCTGCGCGGACTAACATACTTCAAGCTCACCGTCTCTGGCCCAAGCCGGGACCTCCACTCTGGTGTATTCGGCAGGACCGTCCACGAGCCCATGACCGACCTCATCCACCTCATGGGCCAGCTCGTCAGCCCCACTGGAAAGATCCTCATTCCCGGCGTAGACGAGATGGTTCCCCCTCCCACAGAGGAGGAGAAAGCCATCTACTCCGGCCTCGATTATTCCATCCAGGATATCCAGGACGCCGCCGGCGCTGCTATCGCACTTTCTGATGACAAAGTGAATGTGTTGATGGGTCGCATGCGTTACCCGTCTTTGTCTCTTCATGGTATTGAAGGTGCATTCTCTGGTGTTGGTGCAAAGACCGTCATTCCGGCCAAGGTCTCTGGGAAGTTCAGCATCAGGTGTGTACCTTCCAAAGTACCGATCAAAATACTGTGTTCAAGCGACCCCTTGCGATAGACTGGTTCCCCCTCAAACCCCTGACGCCGTGAACCCTCTGGTCATCGCATACCTCCAATCTGAGTTCGCCAAGCTGAACAGCAAGAATAAGCTTCACATCGAGGATCTACACGGTGGCAAGCCATGGGTCGCCGATCACAAGCACTGGAACTTCGAGGCCGCCAAGCGCGCTACGGAAGTGAGGACAAACCCCATCCATCAATTGACACGTTCATCATAGTAGGTTAACTGACTGATGTTGCTCACAGGCCGTGTACAAACAGTCTCCTGATCTCACTCGTGAAGGTGGTTCCATTCCAGTTACGCTAACGTTTGCAGAGACACTAGGAGTGAACGTGCTGCTCCTCCCTATGGGCAGGGGTGATGACGGCGCTCAGTAAGTGCACCTTTTATATCTACGCATTGCCTCTCAATGATTTACTTAATCAGCTCAACCAACGAGAAGCTGGATCGATCTAATTTCATCGAAGGGGTCAGCCTCTGCCAGCATCAGTTGCTTCCTCACTAACCACTGTTTAGACCAAGCTGCTGGGGACATACCTCTACGAACTGGCCTCCGTGTAATCAACTATTCCGTTCCACCAAACAACGTCGGACTGAAAGAGAGAGTTAGCATGTTGTATTTATCGTCGACCATGATACGCTTGCACAATGGAATTTGAAGTCGGGTATACAGTACGTTCCATTGCGAATCCGAGTCGTCGTCTAGTACAGTCGTAACGAAAATATTAAAAATCAGGGAGGTTTGTTGTATTCTACTGTACGATTTATTGTCATTGTCCATCCGTGCCATCTAATACTAACCTATACACATACCAATACACAGCAATACCAGCATTTATGCGGCACCACGGCCAATGGTTGTGACCTATTCGTGCGTCAATAGTGAAAGCTAGACGGAACTACATGAGGACGTACGTGGAATCCAATCTTCCTCAACTTCTCGGCGTCAAGGAGTAGGCGACCATCGAAAACGAAGGCTGGTTTGTCCATGGTTGCGTAGATATCTTCCCACTTAATCTCCTTGAACTCTTTCCATTCAGTAGCAATGACCACGGCTTCAGCCTTAGACGCAGCCTCTACAGGAGAGGCGCAGATAGTGACCTGCTTCTTGACTGGGAAGAAGTCAGTAAGTGATAGGAGCAGAGATAGGGGATATTGCAACTCACTCGCTTCAATGGGTGTTCCGGGGATGGCCTCAGCAAGATCTAGCCAGATTTGCTCATGCTCAACCTTGGGGTCGTAGATTTGAACGAGAGCCTTCTCAGCGACGAAGTCCTTGATAAGGGTGATGGCAGCGGACTCGCGAGTGTCGCCGGTGTCAGCCTTGAAGGCGAATCCGAGGACAGCAATGCGCTATTACAATGGAACTGAGAAAGGAATGAAACAAGGAGAGCGCATAGCGTACCTTTCCAGTGATGGTCTTGAATAGAGTATCTACGACGGTCTTGGCGAAACGACGCTTCTGATACTCATTCATATCTACCACCTGCCGCCAGTACGCGGCCACCTCGGGAAGATGCAAGCTCTCGCTGAGGTACACAAGGTTCAGGATGTCCTTTTGGAAACAGGAACCTCCGAAGCCAACGCTGGCCTTCAAGAATTTGGGGCCAATGCGGGAATCGAAGCCGATCGCGTTAGCCACCTCGTCAATGTTGGCACCAGTGGCTTCGCAGATGGCCGAAAGCGCGTTGATGGAAGAGATTCGCTGCGCGAGCATGGCGTTGGCGGCCAATTTGGACAATTCAGACGACCAAAGGCCGACAGTAAGGATGCGCTCCTTACTATTGCCACGTCAAAACAAACGTACCGAAAACGAGAAGATCAGACACTTACGGAACCCAGTTCGCATATACATCAGCCAACGCGGTGCAAGCATCGATACCCTCCGGTGTTTGGAGTGACCCGATGAGCACACGGTCAGGTTTCAACAGATCGTTGATCGCAGTTCCCTCTGCAAGGAATTCTGGGTTGGATAGAATATCGAAGTGGCAGTTGGGTTTTGAGTTTGCCTCTAAGATGGTGCGCATAGACTCAGCCGTTCTGCAAGGCACAGTAGACTTCTCGACGACGATCTTGGAGGATGTCGCGACAGAAGCGATGCGACGCGTTGCAAGTTCGACGTAACTGATATTACAATCGTCAGTTGGAAGAAAAGCGCATACATGCGCGTCACATACTTCAGATCAGCCGCAAAACCAGCACCAACACCGCTCTTCTTGGTCGGGGTGTTGACGCTGACAAAAATGAGATCGGCCTCGTTGATCGCTTTGTCGACATCAGTGGAGAAGAAGAGGTTGCGCCCACGGGCTTTTCTAACGACGTCCTCCAAGCCAGGCTCATAGATGGGGAGCTTGAAGTCCTTGCTGTTCCAAGCATCGATCCTAGCTTGATTCAAATCTACAATGGTGACTTGGATATCGGGACAATTGAGCGCGATTACAGCGCAAGTTGGCCCGCCTAAAGAGTGTTCCCGTCATGAAAAAGCGCGATTCCGAAATATCTCGGTACGCACCAACATAGCCAGCACCGACTGCAGAGATAATGAGATTTCCAGCTTTTCGGCACAAGGCGGGACGGGGAACTTACTGCAGCAGATTTTCTGAACTTTGACTGGGGCCATTTGAGATGGTGGTGGCGAGGAGAGAGAGGAAGGGACGATACGAGAGTGTTGCAGAACGGAGAGGGTAATTATAGTAAATCAATAGTGTGGGAATCATTGTCATTTCGGCATGTCGCGCAGCGCGATTTGGACGCGACGGCTATCTTTTTCCTTCTGGTTCTAGACAATGTCCCTTTCCGACACAACGTCGATGTTGGCAGGCAACCGGCCTCCGATTCACGCCTTTCAGTAGTACCTAGGACTCATACCAGGTACTTGGCTTCATTTTCGAGTCCAAGGACGGGCACTTCCTGTCAGCGAGGCAATATTACGAGACCGCTTTGCAGACAGGCAGAGAGACTTACGAAAAGATGATGGCAGAAACCGCATGTCGGCTTTTTCTGTTTGCCTCATGTCGAGAACAACACAGTCGTGGTCATGGTCGTGGTCAACCATTGGCTGTCAAAACGCTGACCCAGACTCCGAGTCAGACTTCGGGAACGATGTAGTAGATTGTCGATCACGTGTCAAGTTCATTAACGCGTTCGGCGCGATCAGTGGCACTTTCTTCATCTTGTTTTAGTACCCCCACGACCAACGCCCACAAGTCTCAAGAAACGTCAAACATGGAGAAAATGTATGCAGGATCTTGAGTTATCCGATAATTTTGCTGAGCATCGCGTCCCAGACGTCGCCAAATGCTCGAAGACTCGAGGCTCTACCCTGAATTGGCACCTCGCCAACCACGCGAAGTCATCGTGCGTTTTCTCTCACAACCTTTTGTTTCTTCTGAAATGAAGTGAGAAACAGTCTGTCTCATCCTCTGCAACGTCTTCCACGGGTGGTGGCCGTTCTCAAGCAAGGACTCCCCAAGTTAACATCTCGGACTCAGAATCAGAGTCAGGATCGGTGTCTAGTGATGACGATGGAGACGCTGCGCCTAGGTAACATTTCTCGTTGCCCTCAATGTGCTATGCCTTTCTAATGATACAGCTCGCGTTCAAGCCGACCACCCGCGACGAAGACGAACACAGTAAATCAAGGGACCATCCCCCTGAAGAAGCCAGTACTCCCTTATTTCCCAACTACAGACGCGTCGAGACCAAATCTCCCAGGTGCCTACATTCCAGCTGCAGGGATTCCCATACGTATACCAAGTAACGGAGCTTCACCTTTCGCGGCGGCGGTGTCGAATGATGCCGAACCAGGGGAATTGATTGATTTACCGCAGCAGACATATATTGGTGACTTCATGGCCAATACTGACACGGAGAAAGCTCTGAAAGAGCTGATGTCGGGAAGTATGAACGATGAAGAGGTTGACATCGATATGGCAGAGGCCATAGTAAAAGGCTTCAAGGAGAACATCCGTCTGCTACCTCACCAGGTGGTTGGGAAGAAGTGGATGAAAGAGCGTGAAGATGTAACGCAGAAACGCTACGGCGGTATTCTTGCTGACGATATGGGGTAAGAAGAGTGCAAGCTTACTCGATCATTGTTAACTTCCGCTTGCCTAGTCTGGGTAAGACAATCCAAGCGCTTGCTCGAATTGCCGAAGGGCGCCCTCGCAAGTCTGATAAAGCTGATGGCTGGGACGCCTGCACTCTGTAAGTTTCATTGCGTGGGATTTACGTCGCCACTCCTCAACCCCGAATTGTAACTAGTGTTGTTTGCCCGTTGGCTTTGGTGGGACAATGGGCCGACGAAATTAAGAAGATGTGCACCCAGCTCGAAGTTCTGCAGCATCACGGACCCAGCCGACCGACAGGTAATTCCTTATGACACTCAGTTCCATAGTCCACGACTAATGTAACTTTGGCAGACCCAAATGTTCTTCGCCGTCATCATATTGTCGTCACTACGTATGATGTTGTCAAGTCGGAGTACGCCGTCTACCGACCAGATGTGAAAGACGAATCGAAGAGCAAGGCAAAGAAGAAGAAAGCTGCAACGAGTGACAGTGACGATGACGTACCAGTGGTCAAGAAGGTTGCAAAGAAAGGTCCCAAACGCGACGCTATATTCCGTATCAAATGGTGGCGCGTGATATTGGGTAAAGTCTATCGCTCAGCGTTTCTCTACTTCACTAATCCAGACTTCTGCAGATGAGGCGCATAACATCAAGAACCACATCACGAAAGGCGCAGTTGCTTGCTGCGACCTTGATGCAAAGTTCAGATGGTGTCTCACCGGCACTCCGATGTAAATTTATGTGCTCGATCCTTAACTTGGCTTAACACCCTGTTCTCAGGCAAAACGGCGTCATGGAAATCTACTCACTGCTCAAATTTCTCCGGATCAAACCCTTGAACAATATCTACACCTTCAAAGAGCAAATTGACAAACCCATCAGAATGGGTCAACACGCGGGACTTGCGATGAAACGGCTACAGGTCGTCCTCAAAGCCATCATGCTTCGCCGGACAAAGACCGACACCCTCAACGGGAAGAAGCTCATCGAGCTTCCTGCCCGAGTTGTCGAAATCGTCAATTGCAAGTTCAACCCGTCTGAGCGCAACTTCTACCACGCTTTGGAAAACCGAATCGAGGCGATGCTCGAGAAATTGATGGCTCAGGATCATGCCAACTATACCTCCGTGTTGTTGTTGCTCTTGCGGCTTCGTCAAGGTGAGTGCTGTGGTTTATACCTAGTGAGCAGAGACTAATAATAGCTTATTAGCTTGTAACCATCCCGGATTGGTTGCAAAGGACTATAAAGAAGATCTGTCAGCTGTAGACTCCACGGCGGCAAAGAACGCCGATGACAAGGCGGACGATGCTGACGAGCTCGCGAACGCTTTCGAGTCCCTTGGTGTAACGAAGAAATGCAAAGTTTGCCAGGAGGAGTAGGTCTTCGTGGATCAGTCAATCATACGAAGATGCTAAGTTCCCCTCGCTTAGATTGAACAGCACGAATGTCGACAAGAGACTAGATGATCATTGTGAAGCTTGCGGAGACCTTGCATACGAGGCACGGCTGAAGAGCAGTGAACGTCCTGATTCAGCCAAGATCAGAATGATCCTAAAGTTACTGCAAGATGTCGACGATCGCTCGGCCGGGGAAGAGAAGACCATCATCTTCTCTCAGTTCACGAGCATGCTGGATCTGATCCAACCCTTCTTGAGGGAAAAGGGGGTGAAGTTCGTCCGATGTAAGTTGCAAGTGTTGGGAACTGCTCGATCGATTGATACCACATATTGATACTCAATAAATTGAACAGATGATGGCTCCATGTCTCGTCCCGAACGCGAGGAAAGCCTTGACGCCATCAAGAAGAAACCTAATGTCCGTTGCATCTTGATCTCATTCAAGGCTGGTAGCACAGGTACATTGTTTCACCGTGCGACCTTAACCGCATTCTTACCCTAAAATTTCAAGGTCTGAATTTGACTTGCTGTAACAACGTCATCCTGGTTGATCCCTGGTGGAATCCTGCACTTGAGGTCCGTATATGTGACTGCTCATCCGCATCGCATCGCTCCAATTTTTATATCATTTGAACAGGATCAGGCCTTCGATCGCGCTCACAGATACGGACAGACCCGCGATGTCAATATTTACAAGCTCATGATTGCAGAAACCGTTGAGGACAGGATCTTAGAGGTGTGTTTCCCATCATCTCTTGCTAAGTTGACTTCTTATCCTCGTGTACAGCTTCAAACGAAGAAGCGGGCTCTTGCACAGGCAGCATTGAGCGGCGACAAGCTCAAGAACATGCGCCTTGGCATGGACGACCTTCTCGCTCTATTCCGACCAGGTGGCCGTGACGACGACGACGACGAGGAAGACTTCTAGATATGATTTACATGATGTTATCTCACATGCTTTTGCGTAACGTGTACATATATAATGTGGTGTTCGAGTCTCCGCTCGAAGGCCTGCCCTATGAATTGATAACACTAGGGTTCACAAGGTAATGATCCCTTCGGAATCAGCCCACGAGATTATCATCTGGATCGTGCAACTCCAGCCCCCTTTCCCGAACCTTCCTAGCCATGCGATGCAACAGCAATGGGTGTCTCTGCGCCAAATCTTTGAAAAGCGGCCTTCCACCAAGTTGTACAACTTTGAGTGATGAACCTTCAAAATAGATAGTTTCAAGTATCTGGCCTAGATAGAAGTATTGGTAATGGTTGGTGGATGTGTAGTGAAGGGACGAAAGGCGTAGATGAATGACAGAGGGTGGCACTGCCAACGGGGGTGAGATATACAGTCCGTACCAACTTCGGCAAGAGAGTCGCAGATGAATTAGGTTCGGAAAGAGAGACGACAAATCCAGCGAGACGCCAGATTGAGTTTCAAACCTGTGCATATCGAACGTGAGTGTAGTGAGGTTGTTGCCGAATTGCGGGACGTGAAGGTTTAAACGGCGAGAGGGGTCTGGAGGGGCAAGCTGGACACGCGGGACACGCGGCGTTGTGATCAACTCCTGGATGCCATTAACCACAGACGTAGAGGGGGACTCGGGATCCATGAATTCTGCCATAGGAATAGAGATGACGGATAAGTGGTGAGGCTTGTAAAAGATATCCGGTCTCGTGTGATCGCACCGAACATCACATCGTAACGCAGACAGGGAGTTCATCTTCTCTAAGAAGTCATACCAGCTTTCCAGAGAGACCTCCCGGTCTGGTTGATTTGTCGTTAAGTTAAGATAGCGCAATGCTTTCCCATGGAATGTTCTTAAGACATGTAAGAAAGCCGGTGAGACGAATCGACTTGGGTGGTCTGGGAGAGGAACCAGAAGGTGGAGGGCAACAAGTCCGCCAGATAAGCAAGAGATGAGATCGAGTATTTCAGATGTGACATCGACATTCGGGGTATATGGCGGCTGCAGGGTGACGACGAGCCGTCGAACCCAAAATCCGAGAGGTTGCCTGCGCGTAGGGGTAATCCCAGCTGTAGATTCTTGACTCCCAGTCACCCGATATCGGTCTACTGGCATGGTGTCCCCGAGTGACTTGTGCAAGGAAGCACGAAGCTTCACCAACTGTCGTGCCTTCGCAATGAAGAGTGTCTCGTACAGGAACGGGGTAGCTAGATCATTCCATAGTTTGGACACGCGTACAATCTTTCTGGCGGTGACCTACGCGACGACTATAAATCTCTGTAAATCGGAGGAAAGGGTAGTGACCCTCACCAAGACTTCGCGATATGATTTCGAAGGGTATTTGACCTGGAATGCGCCACGCACAAGTTCGAGGTCGAAGTCCTCAGGTAGACTAGTAGCACAACGAAGAATCCGTATCCAGAGCTCGGTTGGGAGCTCGGGCCAAACAATCTTTGGCTTCGCAAATGCTTCAGTGGCAGACATAAAACCAATAACTTTGATGGTGACCGGTGCCGTCCGAACGACTGAGTTCCAAATCGGTTAGGAAGTAGGTGATTTCTCACCAGGAGTTAGTCGTGAATTGTGATTCATCCCTTTACGATCTCGGCTTCACTGCTAGTTCGAAAGAGAATTTGTTACTATACCTCGACAATGAATTCATGCTTAGGCTGTGAAATTTGGGACTGATACATCAGGAATGATAAGGGAAGCACGCTCTGAGGTGAGTGCGCGTTACTTCGAAAGATCCATGGTAGACTCTGTCTTTGTAGGAGCAGTCACCGTAGATTTAGCACCTTTGGCCTCGCCACTCGGAACGGGAGTATTGAGTGCCGAGTCGGTATTTGCGAGCGCAGTGAGCTTGAGGGACTCTATAAGATGTGTATTGTTCGCCCGAATTTCATCCTACATCAGATCTCAGGATGAGCGTCCAACGCGATCTTACGAAGTAGTTAAAACGAACCTCTAGGTGAGAAGGCCATTTCACTGCAGGCGAGTCCTCAGGCAAAGAGCGGCTGTAAAAGAGAAGGTACGGTCCAGCACCCAGATGCAGACCAGTGGTATCGGTGAGCACAGCATCATCGGCGACCTTGGATTTCGTGAGTACGCAAAGTACGACGGGGACTGTGCAAGTAAGTACCTTTGTCACTTCCGTATCAACCATCTTCCACCATTCACCGTCGTGGTGTACATATAGATACGTATGTTTACGCCCCGGAATGCCTGTGTGGATGCAAACTGCCCGTAAATCGTACTGGATAAGGGATGAGTTTCGAAATGTGCGATTAGACATCCAACTTTACCTTGTGGTGCTGAAGTTCTGGACAATCAAAGAGTTTTGACTCTTCTTCCTTCAACTTCGCTACTTCAGCGTCTATACCTACGAAGTAAAATTAAACACGCTTTCGTTGAAGAAGTAAAAAGCTTACCTTCTGCCTCTTTTTCGATTGTTGTCAGAATTGCCTGCAATTGGGCCAATGTGCGCGTCAGTTTCTCTTTGCGCTCTGGGTCACCCTTGGCGTCAGCAAGGTGTTCATAGTAGTACATCGAATCTCGCAGAGCTTGTAGGCCATCTGTATCCTATCAATGAATGAGCAAGGGTGCAGGACACATCATACGAAACCCACACTTGATCTCGTGATGGTCTGCTTTCGTGTTGCAAGCTCCTGTAATCTATCACGAATCTGCTGCTGTTGGACGCGCTTTTCGTTGGTGAGCTTCAGGTTCTCCCCTAGGAATTGATCCATATAGATGGACTTGGGATATGTAAACGGCTCTTGTATCGAAGAGGACGAGAAGTTTCCGTGTTTAAGACCGAACACAACAACTTGGGAGGGCTCCACAATGATATCGTGTTTTGATTCGCCATCAACATACTCCGATAGATCTGTTGAAAGTCGGCTCATAAGTGTATTAGGGCTGGGTCGGGAGCAATTGACATCGACGGAAACGACGGAAGTTTCTCCAAAAGCCCGACCCACACCGTTTGGTGCAGCAGGGGACAAAACAATCGAGCCGTGTCTGAAGTTGAAAAGACGCTGCCTGCATAAACTACATATTGAGTAGAGACCACCAAGGTTACGAACGACACAAACGGTTTTGGGTCGCCGTTCTCATCGAGCTGCTTGACGTAATCGTCGATGAAGGTCGCTGCCTTCTTTAGGAAATCTGTAGTCAGAACGATTAGAGCCGAAATGGACATGTCGGGGAGAAGTATGACCTGAAGAGAGTTCCCCAGGCGAATCGCTAGGTCCATTGAAAGGCTTTGCCTCGAAACCACAAAGGATATCATTGCCCAAAAGCGCCCCTAGAGCACCAAGGTCCATGTGTGCGTACAACTCAATCAATGATAAGATGGTACGGTCTACAGAAGCGCAATTAGCCGTTGTAAATGTGCCGGCATTTGGATGGAGCGTACCTGCTTCATTTTGGACATCAAAAAGGACATGGCTTAGCTTTGAGAGAGTTATGCGAACTTGGGGCACAAAAAACAAAGCTTGTAGAACCTATGTTGATGCCTCAATACATTACCATGGTTGGCTTGACACAGATGCATTACCAGTGCAGCGTAGGCCAGAGTGGGGGATTCCGTACGCAGAACCACCGGCCTTCGAGACACAGTTAAAGGAGGCATATGGTTAGTGATACCAAAACAAACCTATTACCCTCCCTAATCGTGTCCTCGAGTGGAGGCGTGTCATCTTCATTGACGCCTGCAAAATCTTTGAAGCTGGCTTCGATGGCACGACTGAGGGACTGATCGTCTTGTGACATCGCAGAATGTGTTGGTTCCTACACATGCCCTCTATCAATGATACAACGGCACATATATTGTCAAGTGGTAGAGGTACATTTGACCGCACCATGGCCCAAGCAGGGTCCGGAGGGGCAGATTTCTGGTCGCGGTCAACTCGAGTGCTCTGTTCATTGCTATGGGTCTCCATCGAGAGATTTAACGCACGCGAGAGTTCGTCGTCCTCGCCTTCGCCAGTAAGGTCAATAACGGACGGTTGCACTGGTGTTCCAGGGCGCCCTGCCGTACGACTCCGAGGCCGTTCGTCGGTTCGTATTGTGTTCAAGGAGCCTGTCCTCCTTATGACTGCAGTCTCTTCAAGCATCCCCTTGGCAGTTCCCTCGAGCAGAGCATCGGCGGCTTTCTGAACGTCGCCGTTGCATTTCCGAAGCAAGCGACGAGCCAGATCGAGATCAATATCACCGCCCATCATGGCAGACAGAAGCTCGACGCTCTCGTTCTCCATTGATGAATAGGCTTGGTCGCTGTTACTGGCCCCGGATGGGTTGTAGGCCATCAATAAATTGGTTTCGGTGGTGAGATGAGGTTTCCGTTCGGTAAAACCTTAGACGCGGTGCGGTGCTGATCCAAGTCGTAAATATGCAAGAATTGCCAGGGCCTTCGTTGTGGTGAGTGCAGATGAGCTGAATATTCTGTGATTCCCACGGGCCCAACATGTTTCATTTCACCACCTTCCGCCAAGTTCTCGACGAGCTCTGTTGAGCCTACATGACTGGGATTTGAATATGAATTTGTAGCACTACTCGCTTGCAAGAACACACCTCGATATGGCTGAATCTCCAGCAATCATCTCCAGGTACTCCATTCTTCACTGAGGCGGGCAATGGACTTACAGCGGTCTAGGAAGGCAAAGAGCCTTCAACAAGCACTCAAAGATATCCTAAAGAACAGCGACCCTTGGGATAAGGATGTCGAGTTCCAGCGCAAGGAGTGAGCACCCGTTTTCTCGTGCTACTGCGCAGTCGTTCTGATGTCGCGCGCAAGCCTACGGAAGAAATACCTGTGCCTGCTCCTCGTTCACCCTTATGCTAAAGAGTCCAAGGACGCAGAGGCCCATCTGTGGATGCAAACCTCGTATAATTTTATATCCGTCTACAAGCAACGGCTGGCGACACTCGATCGCGCTATCCAGACGGCTAAACAGCAGCAGCAGCAACCCAGGACTGGGGGATCAGGGCCCGTGGTCGAGCACAGAAAGCTCACGCAACGTTTCCGGCAATTTCTAGCAGAGGAAGAAAAGTTCTGGACGCAGCTAATCGTTCGGCATCGACGAGAATTCGGTTTGGTCCAAGTACAGCCGCATTTGGTCGCCCTCGGTATCGAGGAACTCCCTGCGGAAGTGCAGCAAGAAGACGCAGCAGCGCCGGAGGCTGGACGAAGACCCTCTCTGTTCCCCCCAGACGATGGACCGCACCCGCCCTCATCGAACGCGGAACGAAACAGCAGGCTTGTGATCGTCAGCAAGGCGTTGATATGCCTGGGGGATATTGCTCGTTATCGCGAGCTGTACAACGACAATCGCAACAAAGCAGGCGCGAGACGCGGACGAGGCGGCGGACCCGAGCCGTCGCAGCGCCCTCGCAACTACGACAAGGCTCAGCAGTGCTACGAGAAAGCGCGGATTCTGACGCCTGATATAGGGAATGCATCGCATCAACTCGCCATCCTCTCGGCATACCAGAAAGATATATTCACATCGCTCACACATTACTATCGAGCCCTGTGCGTACGGTACCCCTTCGAAGCCGCCTCAGAGAACTTTGGTACGGTGCTCCGTCGAGCCTACGAGCAGTGGCGGCGAAGCAAACGCGAAAGGGAGAAAAAGCACACTCGCCAAGGCTCTAGTAGTGTTCTACCCAAAATACGAGTCGACAACTTCAAAGAGAATATCGTGTTACTACATGCGCTGTGGCGTTTGGAGCCTCAAAGGTCAGTTCTCTTAACTCTGGTTGATCCTCACCGTTCAATGTCTTGTAAGGGTGGATGCAGAAGTTCCAAATCATTCACAGCATGTTGCGGATGATTTCATGTCTCTCGTTGCCGAAAGGATTCTACCACCCGACATGATCTCGAAAGTCATCGTTATGTCTGAAGGTGCACTCTGGAAACACCGAATGGTCCGCGATACCTCTGGCAGCAAACAAAGGGCCCCCTCGACATCAGCTTCTACAATAACAGAACACCGCATCTTCCTCCACATACTGGCTGTACATCGCGTCCTCCTTGCCGTTGGCGTGGTAGAGCTCGCAGAGCCGATGCAAACCGACGCAGGCGAAGGCGATCTAGCCCAGCGAATTACCGCCGTTTTCAGGCGCACCTTGCCGGCGCTTCGCATCGCAGGGAAGTGGCTGAAGGCCAACTACAAGTACGTGATCCAAAATACCGAAAACGAGCGAGCAGAGGAGGGCGGGACGGTCGAGATTCAAGCATTTTGGAATGTCTATGCTCAATTCTTTTCCGCGCTGGGTCGTGCTTTCCCGATGGACCGCCTGCCGGCTATCAACGCCCTCCTTGAAGAAGATTTGGACATGAAGGGCTTTTTACCCCTTAGAAAAACCATGGGCGAATTACCCTCCTCACATAGGGCGGATCCCAATAAAGGCTCCCCGACTGGGAATCAAACGGAGGAACAAGTCCATCCTAATGTCGAGCAACTCATGCGCATCCATGACCTACTCAAGGATGCTAATGCGGTGGTTGCAATGGAGGTAACGGTGCCTAACTTCTTACGATGACCGCCTTGCTTATGCTGCCTGAAGAGATGCCCAGTTGCGCTCTTTGATTCTGGATTCGTGTTGAAGGGCCTTGAATCAGCGCAACCAGAGAAGCCGGAGCCTGCGAAGGTGACACTGGCCTTGACCCCACACTTGCAGACAATGGACCAGATCAGAGACGAGCGCCTCGCATCGGACAATGCCAAGCGCGATGACGACGTGATGACTGAAGCGACTTCGCGCACGGAGGATGACCCTGTTGGCGACGCCTTCCGCACAGCACTTGATCAGGACAGCGATGTCGACGGTGCGGACGATCTCGTTGATGATGACGACGAGCAGATCGTCTGGGACCCCAGGTGGGATTTTCTATTTCTTCGCTGCAGTCTTTTGATTAACGACCAGAAGATTGTCCCCTACCTCCGCAGGATTTCCCTCTCCCCCGATCCAGCAGAGTCCAATGACTCCCGTGAAAGCCCCGATCAGCCCTATTGGACCCCCCATGACGCCTACCCACAGACCTACAATCTCTGCCCAACTTAACTCCCCCCCTCAGGCTTTGAGGACCGCTCAAGACTTGCTGAACAGCTTCAATATTTCACCCCGCGGAAGGAGTAATAGCCACCAGGCAACCGTGTCGCAACCACTCTTGTTTGGCTCTGGATCTTTGACAAATCCTGGACATTCTATCTGGTCCCCCTCGATGGACGATCACGTCATGAACTCGGCTAGTCAAAATAGCGTGGTTTATCAGTCGGCTCCTCAGCAATACCACCACACACCCTCATTATCGCAACAAACCTGGCTATCGTCTCAGCATATGTCGAGCCAGAACTCGCAGTATAATCTTCCAGGCGCCCTGCCCCCCAACGGATTCGTACCGCCTCTGCCGCCAATGGCTCAGAATCATCAAAGACTTCCGTCTACTACTGTCCCCATCGGACACGAGCTATATCCTACCGCTCCCCCAACGCTCAATCACGCATACACAAATACCATAGCAAACTCGCTTGCAAACTCGCAGCATTCGTCGCAGCAGTATCCGGTCAACATCACCTACCGACCCGTAGAAGGTGCGCTGTACGAGACACCCCATGCCGCCGGCCACCCTTCCGTTGCTGGCCTTAACAATTTCCATACCCGACATATGTCGCTGGTAAATGACCCGAGACTGGGTGAGTTACACGGAGCCTCCAGACCGCTCCCTCAGCCATGGGGACATATCAGCTAGTCGGAAGGCTGTTGGACCAGCCACCGTTACTCCGCTCAAACAAACAAGTGCTCTCTTGGGTTGGCTTTGTCTGCGTGACATCGAGGATGCATCGATCAAATAGAGGTTACAACATACAACACGTCCCTCGGCCGCAAGTCCGCCGTTCGGGATCGAATTTGAGGGACATGGGTCGCTCTCATACCCTAACATGACCCGGAGAGCATGTTGGTGTCTTTCTATTGGGTCTCAGCGTTTCTGTCGATTGTTTCCTGTTGTACGTACGTAGCTATAGCCAAGTGTTTCAAATAGGATAATTGAACGTGGCTCCTGTCGAACAAACTTATACATCGGTGCTCGCTTCCTTCTCCCATGGTTTCAATTTCGCGGGAGTTTTGGATTCGGAAGGGGGTGCCTCCTGGTAATGATAGCATCAAGGCTTGTCAGCGCGGGCGTCGATGAGACTACGTACATTCAATGTATCGGGGATGATTCTGTTGTTCGGAATCTCATCGACTCTGCCCGATTGGATTAGTTCCTGTAGCTCTGCGAATGACAGGACGCGAGGCTCGTTAGAATCCGATTCGGGGGTGACTGGAGGCTTCACGGCATGGGCCTGCTCGTAATTGCGGACGGCGTCTACGGTAATATTATTGCTTGTCTTTCTGGATCATTGTTAGGCAATCAATCAGACAATGCAAGCAATCGCGAGCCGACCGGTTGAAGTAGAATATCTGCGCCAGCCGAACGACGTCGGCCTTCTCCTCGTCCGTCTTCCCGACCAGAGCCCCGCCAGCCATCAAGCTATTCAGGCCTTGCTTCGGTCAACCCATATGGTTATTGAGTTTGGGGGATACAATGAATTATGGCATGCCATGTACCTGAAATTCTTCATCGGTGCCAAAAGGGTATGTGCTGTACGCCGCAACTGCTGCAGCGAGCTCGGAGGCTGGGTTGTTATCGATCTCCACGTCTGCCATTAAAGGTTTCTTGCGAGATGGTGGATCGATGCCAACTAGGATTCGGATCCTCAGGGCCGCGCCGAAAGCACTTGTGGCACCATTGTGGCAGGCAGACGCCGATTACAATTTCGTGACTGCAACCATCATAATATTCAACCAGGCAGATGTCCAACCCGAACAAGTTTGCGACTGAGCGGAATCAGCGGGCTGTCCTGGAGCTCGCAGCGAAGCCGGGAAATGGTGCGGTGATAATGCACGGAGTATAGAGAATAATGTGATTGATGAGTGGCGAACAGATGTCTGCGCAGACTGCAAGGCGAGGAACCCTCGATGGGCGTCGCATAACCTTGGGATATTCATCTGGTGCGTCTGAACTCTCTGCAGACGAGTTTGCATTCAAAGTGTGAGGAAACAGCGTGAATTGCGCGAGCATACACCGCAAGATCGGAACCCATGTCTCCAAAGTGTGCGCATTGGATGATACACTATGGCCACCTGCTTGCTTGCTCATCCTACAAACAGGAAGAGTCTAACGCTGGACGAATGGACGAAAGACCAGGTCGAGGTATGCCACCATCTTGTAGCGTTCACATTTACGTGAATTGACCACGCTTGGTAGTTCATGAGGCAGAATGGGAATCTCAAATCCAATGCTTATTATAATCCGAACGAGTCGAGAAATCCCCCGCCTACACGCATGATGGAGAATGAGAGGGACAGCGAGCTCGAGCTCTTTATTCGATGTGCGTATGCTCGTTCTCCATCAGATCTGTGACTGACTTCCGTGATTTAGCCAAGTACGAGCATAAACGCTTTATCGATAAATCTGCGCTGGTAGCAGCAAAGCTGGGACCATCACGCCCCGCTCCAGTACCTTCGCAGTCCTCTCGGGCTGTCTCGTCTCCCATTGTTGCTGGAGCACCGACGCTGTCATCACAATCGGCGTTGGGCATAAATCGTCCTTCCACTTCAGCTTTGCTAGAGACATCCTCCATTGCTGCACGACAACCCGCAGCGCGTTCGGCGTCTCATCCACTCCCTCCTTCAACGGTTCCTCTAAACCAACAATATATGAAGCCGATGCCGCCATTGCCCAGCGAAGCAAGACCGCAACACCCGCAGGCTCCTCAGCCCCCGTCGGACAATCCAGTATGGAATGATCTAATATCGCTCAGCCAGCCAACCGTCTCTGCCTCGCTCCCTTTACAAATGCAGTCTACTCCCACTCAGATGCCACAGTTCAACGCTCAACCAAATCAGTCGTTCCAACCGGCACTCTCTTTGAATACCGGGTTTCCTTCGAATTTACAGCCGTCACAGTTCCAGGGGGGTCCATCGCCGCTCGCGATGAACCCAGTTTCTAGTTTCCCGACTAGCATGGGAATGAACAACACATCGTATAGCACGAACCAGTTCGGTCAACAACTCCAGCAGCAGCAGCAGCAGCAGCAGCCAGGGATGGGATACCCAAACCAACCCCAAGCAGCATCATATCAAACTGCGATGAGCACTGGTATGATGTCGATGGGCCAATCCTACCCTCAGCAACAACAACTGCAACAGCAACAACAATTCCTGCAACCGCAGCCGACGTCCGCGATGTCTATGCAATCACAGGGTATGCTGTCCCGCTCTCCTCAACCAATGATGCAGAATATGCAAAACCCGATGTCGCTCAGTCCGCAACCGATGCAACAGTCGATACAACAGCAGCAAGGGCTTACGTCGCATTCACCGATGCTTCAGCAAGGGTTCCCCCCTGGAAATTCGTATGGGGGGAATAGTCCGATGGGTACGATGAGGATGCAGTCATCTCCCAGCCCTTTCTTCCAGCAACTGCCGCAACCGCAACAACAACCGCAGCAACAACATTTCGGGACGTCTCAGCAGCAACAACAGCAACAATTCGGGGCGTTCCAGCAGCAGCAACCGCAACATCAACCCGGGTTCGCCGCGCCCATCCAAACTAATCAATTTACCGGGTGGATGCAGGCCCCTGTACCAGGCCAGCAGCAACAGCAACGTTGGGGGATGTAGGCTGATATGACGCCTTGCAGTTCATATCTGGACATTGTCGTTCAAACTTCCAAACTTCTAAATTAAATATACATACTAGGACCGTCACCTTGCTTTCTTGTTGTGCATCTTGGATACTCTACACCAATCTTCTATACACACAACCTTTACTCTGACTTAAGAAGTACTCTACATGCACTTGGAATATTGGGATACTTGGATTTTCACGCTTGAACGTTCTGACCGTGGCATTATTCTCCAGAATGTTATCGAAGATATTGGCTCTTTCTTTCGCTACTCGTTACTGTATGTAGACAACCATCTAACTAGTATGATTGCAACTACGCCGTGGTCAACATGATGGTCCGTGAATTTGTGTCCGTTATTCTTTTCGTACTAGTCCGCTGAAAACAGAATGTCTGCAAGCGATTCATCCACTAAAGACTAGAAAAATCAGCTCGAACGTCAATGGTCAGATAAAGTGAATCAACGTACCTTAGAGATGGCACTTCGAGTTGTTGACCTTCTTCGCTGAGACCTGCGCCGTGCCCAATGGTACAGCCTGTCCCCCAGTCAAGTCATTCATCGCCTTTTTCGAAATAACATAACTATCCGCGTTCCTTGCTTGATCAACTGCAGTGATATAAACCGCCTTCCCCTTGTATTTGAGCTCCCAGCACGAGCCGCATAGGGGGGAGTTCCAGCTGGCGCCAGGGACGGCGCCGACGTGCGGGAAGGAGGGGACTTTGCCGAAGGTGGGGAAGCGGGAGGCGAGGCCATTCGCGCCGTCGGAGCAGGAGACGGAGGACATGGAGCCACTTGGGTTGCCGTATGTGTCGTCCCAACGAACGGTCGCGCCGAGGGTGAGTGGGAGGGCGATGAGTGACGTGATGAGGGCAGCGAACTTCATAGCAGTATAAGAGGGATGAGGATGGAAGGGAGGGTGAAGAGGTGAGGTGAGCTGGACGCTGGGCTGAATTTGGAGGAGCCTGATGAATGCTTGCGTTGGACGATAGGATTTTATAGTCGGGCCAAGCTGCAGAGGGAGTAAGTACATTCACAATGACCATGACACGGGACGTCGTGCCATATGGTGCAAACGGCGTGTTCAGCCCACCAACAAGAGGACATCCATGCACGAAGTGGGTACAAGTCCGTATCTTTCAAGTTTTCAACTGCTTATTGAGCGTCGCGGGGAATACGAAGGCCTCCGGGAATCATTACTGACGGTGGTTGGTGGACAAACGCCGTCGAATGGTGTGGAAGAGGGAAGCAGGGCATCTCTCGTTGAATCACATTGGAGCAAATGACCCAGTTAGAAACGTGATTGTCCTATTGAGTCCAGCTAGCGGGGATTAGAGGCGACAAAGGCGTGTCGCCCTCGGCGCGATCACCACCCATGATTCGCTCCGTCCGTGCTTCACAGACAATGAGTCGTCTCATTAGTTCCAAGTATCTACTTCGCTCCGGCTCTGCATCGGTCAGCTGGGCGACCGCCTGCTCAACGTCGGACCGGCGCAGCCTTCGACCCCAGATGCTCTCCAGATAGGTGTCCACGAGACGCACAGATCGCAGCGTTGCGCTGTTGTTCGCGCAAAGTCTCGCGACCCCCAAGGGGCTGAGGAAGGTCGCCTGCCCAAGGTGCACAGTTTGGAGAGAGGGGATTGTGGGGAAGATATCCTCGTACTGATGGTCAGAGGGTAGAGGGGACGCGGTGTTTGAGCTCGGGAATGCGACGTTGGTCAGGTGAAGGTGTTGGAGATCTGTCCAAGCTGGCATCGCCTGGAAGAGCAGCAGCGTTACTCTAGGAACGATCTAAAAGGGCAAGGCCTTCAATGAATTTATCGCTCTGAATATTTCGAGTACGATGGACTCACGGCGATAGAAAAGTGATGAGGGGGATCAGGACCAGTCCATATAAATGTCCGTGGTCTGAATATTGTATAAGCCACCAGAGTAACCAGTAACTGCAATCCAACAGACCTACTGATAGACAGCGCTGAGTAGAGCTGCTCCAAACTCTCTGATGCTGCACTGTAATGAGAATTGAACGTGAACTGTAGCTTATCTACATCCGTCGAACCACCACCATTGACATCAAATGCTCTACAAAGAGTATCCTTGATGTATGTGAAGAGATGGTGGTTCGCCACGCCTCCAGCGAGTTCTATGGTCACAGTCTGTGGCTGGCATGCCAAAGGTCCGCTCCCCATTGCAAACTGCCGTAGCTGCCGTATTGTTCGAAATCGGAGATTGCGGTGTAGGATGAACTGTGTGATATGGAAGAAGGTGGAGTTGACGACGAGGATATCTGTCACTGAAGGGTGTTGTAATAACACGTACTCCAGTATGGCAGAAACCAATTCTGCGGGCAAACGGAGGAGGGCATCCATACTTCCGTAGAACTGATCATGGCACGAAGCCAACGAGGTCTTGACTGAGTCCGTTCTGGTAACTGATTGGGTCAGGGGGGGGAACAGGGGTGCAGCTTCAGCATCTGTTCTATGGTGGCCCACTGTAAGTCAGCAAACAGAACACTGTTTCAAGGCTCTGTACGTTTGACTGATATATGTCAGGTGTCCACATATGATTAAGAGAGCACGACTTTTCTTATGCGAAGTCTATCTGCCGTCGTCAGGAAAGTCAGGAACTAAATATAATCTCCGAGTATGAATGAAATATTGATGGATCCAGTTTCAGACGATGTACATGTACAGTGCGTGCGTTAAAGCGTGAGTTATATAGCGCCGCAGGAGATGAGAGGTAGAAGTGACGAATGTATTTACTCCTTGGCGATTCTGACGACGTACTATTGAGAAGTTACGAATTAGTGAATCGTCTGGAGAATGGTGTAGGGGAGTAACTTACAGCGCCTCGCTCAATGGTGTTGATGATGATGTTCCCACTTGGGAACAGGCCATAGCTCGACCAGCTGCCGACGAAAGAGAGGGCTCCGCCGCCAGCTCGGGCATCATCTTCTGGGTAGATATCGAAGAATCCGACTTCCTTGACGCTTCCGCCTGTGGGGTCGGTGGGGATGGACGAGATGTCGACGATGCGCAGGCCGGCGCCGTAGTTGGATTGGTAGACCTTGCCATTGGAGATGTATTGGTTGTGGTCGATGGTGACGCCGGGTGTCTTGAAGAGACCGGTTTGCTTGGGATGTTCGAGATCGGAGACATCCCAGATGTAGGTGACGGCGTTCCCGTCTGCGGCGGCGCCGGCACCGTTGACCTCGTCGTATTCATCGTCGAGGATGAGGTATTGTTGCCATTCGGGGTCTAGAACCCAGCTACGAGTTAATGTCAGTAGACTGAGCCGTGTTTGAGATTGGTAGCTAGTTACCCCTGGTGAGTGTAGGAGGCGCCTTCGTAACCGGTACGCGAGATGATTGTCGCGTTAGCCTTGTCCGTCACGTCTGCGGAGAGTAAGTAAACGTAGAAAGTAGGGCCAATCTGGATACTGACTGTAGATGGTGAGAGTATCCTCGTTGTAGCCGTAGCAAATATCTTGACCGACGTATTTCGTATCGGGGCCACGATAGATGAGGCACTGAGCACTGAAAGGACGTCCTCAGTCGTTTGTCTTTAATCAAACAGATGAACAACGTACTCGTGAACGTAGCCATCTTCGCCCTGGTAGCCGGCCAACGTAGGCTTTGAGGGGTCGGAGATGTCAATGAAGACGAGGCCACTAGCAAACTCGCTGGTTCTTGGTGCAGAGCCGACGGAAACAATGTATCCACGATCCCAGTTGATGACGATGTTATGGGTGCGTCCGACGGGAAGCCCCTTGAACAGACCAGTAAGCTCAGTGCGAGGGTCGAAGGTCTTGGGCTTTTGCTCGGGCGTGATTTCGAGGATCTTGCGCAAGTCGAAGATCTGGATATGGTGGTTCACGGCCTCGGAGCCGACGATGAGCCAGTGGTCCAGAACGCGAAGCTCTGTGCCAGGGGTCAGAACTTCATAGAATAGTGGCAAGGTGCATGAACGAACCTCTCCAAATGGCAGTGGCAGCCTCAGGCGTCTTGGGAAGGCGGCCGAGGTAGTCGAGCTTGCCGTCGGCTGTGACTTCTGCGATGGCGGCGCCGTCAGCCTGTGCGATGATGATGTATTCGCGGCCTTCATGGACCCATCCCCAGGAGCTACTACCCTGGCCGGTCTTGCTGCCAAGATCGGCGTGCGAGTAGAAACTGTAGAGATCGATGTTGCTGCAACGGAATTCACCGGCCGTGCCTATTGGAGCAAGTCAGGACATGTTGAAGGTTAGGTGCCCTCTTAAGTAGCATTCACTGACCATTGACGCAAGGCGTGAAATCCTCGATCTTGCTGTAACGCGCCGAGTTGAAGACACCAGCGGCTTCCTTCGCGTTCCAAAGCCGGTGCTTCATGTCCATGATCTCTTGATGGACGGCACCGCTCTCATAGGCCTGGAGGCGAGGAGGGTTGCGAATCTCCTTCGCAACCGCCGAGGAAAGGACGGCTGCGAACACGAGCGAGAAGGCCAGGAAACGCGCCATTGTTGATACGAGGGGTTCTGGGTTCGAGCAAACCACTACTTAGCATCGCACTTCAAATACCTCGATGGGCGGTCGATAACACGATTCCTGGAGCCGGTTGCGCGACTGCGAAGCGTCTACTATCAGTCAGAGTGAGTGGTCTCCTCGCGCTCCCAGATGCTTCTCCGGAGGCAGATTATGTGACCCCATGTGGACTTGGGCTTGGCTGAGGCAATTTGCCCTCGATCGCATGTGGTTTTCGAGACGATAGCTTAGTATAGAGCTCGAACCACGGAGTGCTTCGACTTCGCCTGATCACCCATGGCGAGGTTGGTGTTATTCGGATGGTGCATGCGTCATTCGGTGTCCGAAACCCTGCATCGCTTTTCAGAAAGCATGCGCAGGATTTGACTAGGAGTTGGTACGCCTTAATGGCGTATTCGGTACTGTCGCTGGACGATAGAGATCAGCCCGCTACGTTCATCAAGTCTAGGCCGGGAAATTCCTGCGAAATCCATCGATCGAGCTGTAGAAAAAGAACAGTCAACCTCTAGTTACTGGTGGAAATTCGACTACCTTCGAAAAAGCTAAAACGCTTCCACCGAAGCCGATGTGTGGAAGTCCTCCAAGCTGTAGTGGCATTTACTTTTCAGCGCATCACTGCAACTGCTCTCTCATATTCGCATATCAAAACAGTGACCCCGCGACCGTGCGAATTCAAAGCCAAAGGCATTCCATGAAGAAGGGAAAGAGGGATTAGTGGCTTCCGTCCCCAAGCGCAACGGCACATGCTCTGTTATCGACTCGCGCACAACACAGGTTCTATGCCGCAATGCTAAGAAGATGACCGTTGAGGTTCCCCGACAAAAGACATCCTCTGTTGTGATAAGCCAGTATCTGCCACTCCAGAGGAAGGCCGCAGTACATCTTTCGACTTCTTCATATGTACAGAACCACTGTTAAAACCACAAGCTTCCGAAATTCTGCCACTGTGCTTCCTCAACCCCATTAGCTTCCATGGCTCGAGGCTACACTATGGCAGCCACACGGAACTTGAGTGGTACTCACCATTACTAGTTCTTCTTCCAGGCTCTTCAGAAATTATGCCTAGATGGAACCGCGTGGAAGGATTGAAGCGATGAAGGTGCCATTCAGACCTGCATAAATCTACTGACACGAGGGTATAGATTAGTCTACGGGGACTGCGCGACGTTGAACGAGTTCGAGACTACGAAAAGCGGGAAGTACGAGGCGATGAGGGCCATTATACACATCCTACGCACAGAGGCAAATTTATCAGGCTTGCTGTTCATATGCGTACAATGCTACTCACATTAAATTCATCAGAGCATTCCCACTGCCCTCCTTGGTCCTTAGAGGGTGTTGGTTAATGTACGCGTTGAAGGCAAGCAAGATGGCCGGCCAAGCAAGGTATCTATTTAGCAATTAAGCCAAATTTTGAGTGTTTCTCTGAGAGGGCGTACCGGTTTCGGGTGACCATGATCAGGCCTGCTAGGAACATGCCGGACACGCTCAGAGGATCTGAAGAACGCGACTCAGTACAATGGAGCAGACTACATTAGGAGCCGAACTCGAGCCATCCCTATTCCACGTCTTGGGGAACGACATCTTGACCTCCAAAGAAGAGTCCCGGGGGTCGTTTTTGCTGGCCATGACAGTTGGAGGACGAGAGAAATTCAGACGGGACCAATCAACTCTCGTCTCCATAAATGGAGATGTATTCCCACAGTCGCCACTGCGCCTATGGTCGATCGCACAGCGGCTCATGCGCTTTCCATTCCTCGCTCACTCTCTGTGAACGAAGCCAGAAGGTTTGATCTTCTTCCCCGGAATATGAGGTCCCTCTCTGATGTCCGAAGGGATATGTTAGAATTCCATATGTTCGGCGGCTAAAATTGACTGGTCAGCGCCAATCGGCAACAGTAGACACTTGGCGAACGTTGGGCGCATGTCGTATCTCACTCTCTTCCCTTCCCCCACATTTTGGGATGAAGAACATCCCCAATCGCGTACCCGCGCCGTCGCACAGACACGCAGCGCCGTCGGGACCTTGGCCATGGATGGATTTAGGGACCCCAATACTTCCGGACCAGCTCAAATCTGAACGTCCTCCAGTCCCCCCTCCATGCGACCACATTGATTGCGAAGGACGATGCTGGATGTATTACCCTGCCTCTCGTTTTCCGAATTGGATGGAGAACCAAGTTAGAAGGGCGAAGATTGCCGACGCAATCAGGTCCTATGACAGAAGCAAGGCTTGTGTTCTGTATGTGGTAGATACTGATACACATGGGTTATTCCATAGCCGTGACGAAGTTACAGTCACGGAGGAGGAAAAGGAAGACTTCTGGAATGTGTGGTTACGTTCAAAGGTATGGTATCCCGACGCGTCTAAACATTTAGATTGCTAACTCCAATGTAGCGCGAGGAGGGTGTCAGGACACGTTGTCTCTTCGTGGAGAATATGACAGGGCCAGTTCTTCAAATGATTGGTGCAAGGTATGGTCTCTTCCTCCTAGAGCACTTTTCTGTTGAATGACGCCGAGTAGATATAACATAGAACCATTCTTTTTCTCTTCGTCAATCAACTGGATCCCCGCTCGATATCAGGAAGAAGTGCGACCCAAGCGGGGAGATCGTGAGTCTTGTGCATCTAGTGTTTTCGCTCCATAGTTGATCAACACTTTTAGACATCACTATTTCGCTCACATTTCTAACCACGGCACCAAACCCTCTAAAAAATCATAGAACTCGACGGCAAGGAACAGGCCGCTCGATTGACCCAACCTTTTACGACTCTGTTACGGCGACGCCCAAAACATCGAGGACCTCCCTTGACTCCGCACCATTCAACGGTAAGAATCCACTTTTCTGCACCATCTATATAGGTGATCATTATCTCGTGGCCACAGAAGAAGAACAGGTGATCGACACCCAAGCACCCCTTGCTGTGCGCACTAGTAAGCCACAATTCGATGGAATGTCCCCTGACTTTGCTAATGTGGTCATACTAGTCGATGGGGAGCATCGCATTCTTCTGCTAGATCTCCTTGCTGTGCACTTCATACGGGATGCTGAATCTTCAACTATAATCTCTTACCATCCAAATCTTGAACAAACTGAGGAAGGTCTTCCTCCGTTCTTTATCGATCGCCATGGCACCACGCGCCAGGCTCGTTCTTACCCTCCCTCACAAGTCAATCTTCCGAGTGCTCCCCCTACGCTATCTAGGATTGGTGAGGTAGGCACCGGAGCTCGTCACCTATCCAGACGTATACGATTGGCCGGGCAGTCTGTATACTGGCAGAACTTATTTTCCAAGTCGCCGGATCCGACATTCGTCCTTGTCACATACCTTTGGCACGCTCTTTATGCATGGGATGAAGCCCTTGAAACACTTTATCAATATGTTTGCTATCTGGTAAGTAGCAGATGCAAGGTACATCGAACTACCCGTTGCTGATGACAATACAGGAAACTCAGGTGATCAATACTTCAGACATGGGTATGACCAGAGAGTTGCACATAATCCGTGCCCACCACTTGCATTACTCGTCGCTCTTGAAAGATTTTGCGAAGACGGTGCACTTCGTCAGCACTACATCTAACCCTGCGATGGATGCGGAGTCCGTTACAGACGAAGAACGCGAGAATTCAAAGCAATGGCTCAAGACTGAATGTGACAACCTTATGTCTCAGATTGAGCGGCTTCAAAAAGGCCGGAAGATGCAGGACCAGCGACTCAAGAACGTCATGAACCTTGTGAGTCGCAAATTCATTAATGGGTCTTATTGAATACGACGTTCTCCTTTCAGGTTTTCAGTTCGGTCAACATAGCCGATAGTAGACGCATGCAGAGTCTTACGCAAGCTGCCGTGAAGGACAGCGCTGCGATGAAACAGATTGCATATCTCACTATGATCTTCCTCCCTGCGTCATTCCTTGCCGTGAGTACTTATTCTCGGCATGATATTGATACTTGACGCAGTTTGACGTTGCCTCTCTTGTAGACGGTTTTCGGGATGAATGTTCACGAGGTCACAGATGGGGGACGCGAGACAGTTCCCCACTACGTCGCAGGAGCCTTGGTGCTTACTTTCGCGACAATTTGGATCATCATGGCGTTCCAAAGTGATCTTAGCGACGACGAGCGGGCCACTACTGTCATGCATCGTCTGGCATGGCCCTACTTTTGGACGAAGAAGACCATCAAGGGCATGCAGAAGAGACGAGCGGACTCCGATGCGACTGGTCGCAGTGATACCTATCCCATGAGTTACGAGGATTGACATTTCTAGGATATTTTGAATATCGGTCATATGAAGCATAGTTGAACTGGACGGTTAATATCCTAGCCAACATATCTGACAACAGGAGTATCTAGGTGGAGGTCTCTTTTCAATCAAAACTGCGCGCATCGCACTATTACCCTCGTGGCTTGGAAGTTTATCTAGGGTTCGCTCATGACACATCCCCTTAACTGCGGTCCTTTAAGTATTTATCACTGGGAAATAAAGGCGTGATGGAGGACTGATGAGGTAGCCTTTGTTCATCCCATCCATGAAGTTGTGTCTCCAGGCTCTACTAACGACTTGTATCGCCCATGCCATCCAAATTCCTCTCAGACCGCCCCCCGATTCCGCTGAATCATCGACTTTCGAGCACAAGGCATGGGACTTGAACAAGATCCCAGACCCCGACTCTACCGGACACCTGATCTTTGACACGGTGGCTTCGCTGCTGCAGCATTGGCCCAACACTCGATACAGAAATGGTGTGGTATCCTACCTGAGGTTGACATTGCGTTGATTAACGACCATGCGTAGGCCATAACATTGTCCCCGGGCTTGTCCCACCGGGAACGCTGCTTTATCATGGAAGACGCGATAACGTCATCCCCTCCGTTCCGGAGTGGGTGGCCACCGACCCCGAGCACTCGTTACTGTTCTGTCGTGAAGATTGTTGGCACTTGACGCTCGTCACAGCGCGTCCGCTCAAAGTCTTGTACTTCGATGGTAGTAGCGCTGCTAAAATGGAGGGTGGACCCATGGATAGCCAGGACATCGTTGCTTGGGGAAAAATCAAACCAGATTGGACATTTAGCGAGCGCCGAAGAATAGAAGACCTCTGTGAATGGGGCAAGATGTTTGATTTAGATGGGTTCGTCAGGTGCGTTCTACACGGAGATTCCATTTGGACACATCGCTGATACTTAGGGGGCAATGAAGAATGGAAATGGATTTGTACGATTATTCCATTGGCTTCCGGTCAAAGTGCTGATATCGGTGTGTTAGTGAAATTATGCTCTGTGACTTCTCTGCCGGAGTCGAAGTCGCCTCATTCCTCAATCTCACCAGCAAGATGACAGGCAAGGATCGTCCGGGTCTCGATACACTCTCCGTCGAAGTCATCGTAGCAGGCTCGTGGCATAACTTCTACCCTGGAGAAACGCGCATTGTGTTGGATCTTTCGCGTCTTGTGTCTTTCTACGATACCACCTTGTCACCTTCCCTCGTGCGCAAGCGCCGAGGGCAGGAACGATGGCAGCATCGCTTGGAAGGCATGGCGGAATCTGACGTTCATTCTGTCATGCAGAGATTAAAAAACGTTCTTGACGGGAGTGCGCCATATCCCTCCGCTAACCGGATTGACTGGGCTACTCTGGTAAAGGTCGTCGTCACTCGCTTCTCCGACAGATTAGACCTAGTGCGCCGCGTTTTGAATACTACCAACTCCCAAATCGAAGTTGGACTGGGGGATAGCAAACTATCGGAACGGGCGAAACAAGCGCAGAGGCACTTCAGCACAATACTGGGTCCCTACACCCTTGCTTCAGCTACACCTTCTAATGCCTCTGATGTGTCCTGGGCATCCCCGGTGTACAGGGAATGTTCGGTGGCTCATACATCTTACATCGCTCGGCAACAGCATGGATTCACACACTCGGAACGCTTATTGTTGGCTGCAATTGAGGATACTAGTGGCGAAATATGCCGCGTTATCACGAAGATGTGGGCGAAAGGTGTCCTTGCTGGCTTGGATAGCCAGCTAGAGTATCCTCCGCTGGGTAACGTTGACCTCTCGGCCCTTGTAACGGAGTGGACCGTCTCGGTAACCACTCTGATGGAATGGTTAGATTGGAGCCTGTGGGTTCGATGCAATCCTGCTTGTAGCTTTGATGTGAGGTTTCCCCGCTAGCCTTGTTAACTATTTGACCGACGACGAGCTTTCAGGAGCTCTGCTATCTTCCAACCTGGCCTTTCTTTCGCAGCCCGCGCAGGCGGCCACCACCTGGGCCAGGTCATGAACTCTATCAATCCGATCGCCGTACGGCATACGCAGATGAAGAGCATAACAATTTTGAAGAAGACTGGGAGGTACCCAAACCGAAATGCGTTAGAAGACTCGAACCTTACACGTCGCTTTAATGACTCGTATTATCACAATGCATAGACTAAAGGCTATGAGGCAGAAAAAGGCTATGAAGTTATGAAGTTGGATGTACAGCCTGTACTTAATTTACGTTGAGAACATCACAATGTGCAATTTCCCACACACATGTTTATTCTCCCGCGCTCACTTAGTTGACTAAACTCCATCCTGTTGCTGGATACGGCCAAACAACTTCATCACTTACTTCAATGTCCTCTCAAGCCCAAGGGAGCGGGGCTCCGCCAATGCCTCCAGTGCCCTCCTCGCCTCCATCGTCGGGTGTGAGACGACATCACACAATCTCGGCTTCGTCTAGATCGGCTAGGCAGGGCGCAAGAGAGATCATCTCGGAGGAAACCGACCAACAGCACTGGGACGAGGATGAGGTCGTCGATCAGGACTGGGTTGTGCAGGGTGTATTGGGGGCTGTCGGTGAGAAGACAAGCCTTCACAGACAGAGTTCATTACCCGCGCGCTACCCTAGAAGTAAGTGTTTTGTCGGCTGGCCGTCGAGCCTCACTGATCAGGAGATTCTTTCACTGAACCATGCTGGATACTTCCAATTTCTCGCTAACAACTATGCTTGGTTGCTCATCGATCCACGATGGTTTGGATATCATATTCTTAACCCAGCCTACCAAACCCGAGGCTCGAGGACCGGGACATCGACCCCGAAACCTATGAATAGTCTCACTGCTATTGCAGGTCACGAGGGTGATGAGGAAGATTGGGAGAGGGATATGCGAGGACTCAGTGTGAACGACGAGGAGGTAAGCATACCCAGCAATCCGTTTATGCAAATACTCTGCCATATCATCTCTACGACCAACGTCTCATAAGTTGACCATACACACAGGCTCCAGAGGTACTGCCACACCAGCAAACTATGGATCCGTCCAATCCGTCTCCCTTGTCGCCACATTTTGGCGCTATACCATCTCCTCCCCCGGCTGGAGCTGCTGGCGTTCGTCGACACGTCTCTCTCACGTATGGTGCAGGCGCAGGTGGTCCAAGGAAAATTGCTTCGCAACTGAAGCGCTCTGGAACTCTTCAGGCACCCCATCCCCATGGGATCACCCCAACTCCCCCGGGTTCACAACTATCAGGGCATAATACTCCCAGTCCACCCAACGCTGAGGAAGAAGAATATGGGTTCGACCCCTACGAGTACGTTGATGAATACGCAGCCCCTGCGGGCTACGAGGGCGACTACCCGCAGGGACAATATGCGAATCCAGCCAGTCCCATTGGACGTTCGTCACCTTGGAACAATACTAATACTGCTCAAAGTAATGACTGGCGAGGCGTCTCCACTGGTGGGAGTGTTGATGACGTTCAACGTGCCCTCTCGACCTTAGAGTTGAGCTCTCAAGGATACACGAACAACAGTAACGGTGCATCTTATCAAGGCGGACAGGCTGCACAACCTCCTCGTTTTAACAACGCCCAACAGCAAGCTTCCGTACCTCGCAATGGTACCGATGGCAATAACAACAACACCCCTCGTAACAATGGTGGGAAGCTGCAACTTGTGACCGACTTTGATGGTCGCAAAACCCCGCAAGGCCAGCAACCTGGCAACTCAGGTCCAGCCAGCGCTTCTGCCTATGTTCCTAATTTTGGCGCGGGCATCAATCAGCAGTACACGGGTGGGAGCAATAGAGGCGGTGATGAACGGCAGGTGGGAGGCGATCGTGTACTCAGCGGCCGGTCCTCGAATCCGAACCTTGGATATGGGTATCAGCAAGGGCAGCAAGGCAACGGAAAGAATGGTAATGGAATCCCCAATGTCCCGCCTATTCCCCAGCAGTACTTGCAGCAACAGCAACAGCAACAACGAGCGTATGGTAACAATCAAGGGGTTCCATCCGCTGGTCCCGTTAACGTAGGCGGGATGGGCCCAGGCTTCATAAGTTCTCCCATCGATGTTCCGAGTCTTATCGCCAGCAAGGGTTACAATCCGTCCAATTTCGATATTAAACCTCAGTTTGTAAGTACTCGATTTTTTAGCCGTGGAATATCTCCCCAACACCTCTTGGTAGGCGAGATACTTTGTGATCAAATCATACACGGAAGACGACGTCCACAAATCCTTGAAGTATGAAATCTGGAGCTCGACCGACCCAGGCAACAAGCGTTTAGACAAAGCGTTTAAAGAATGCGCGGGCCGTGGACCAATTTATCTCTTCTTCAGTGTGAACGCTAGGTAAGTCCAGTGATGGCTTGCGGTGAAATAATCATTAACTTTCGATTTAGTGGACATTTCTGTGGCATGGCGGAGATGCTAACTCCCGTAAGTACCTTTGGTTCGGGCCGAATGCCGTAATGACCTTCTGGACGTGTTCAGGTGGATTACACGAGGAGTAGCACTGTCTGGGCGTCGGACAAATGGAAAGGTGTTTTCAAAGTTCGATGGATATTCGTTCGAGACATCCCCAACGTGAACCTGCGCCACATCAAGTTGAAGTATGCACTCTTTTCTGCATGTGCCGGCCTATCGACTGATGATGGTGTTTCAGCAACACGCAAGAGCGTAAGCCGGTGACGAACTCCCGAGACACGCAGGAACTTCTCCCAGAGGCTGGCCAAGAAATGCTGAGGATCTTCCACAGCCATCCTGCTCGCACATCTCTTCTTCAGGATTTCGCATTTTACGAGGTACGCAGCCGTCTTTCACCGTTTTCTGTTTTTTTTTTTTAAAACCGTGTTATGTAGCTTCAAGCTTTGCAAAAGATGCAACCGCCCCCCAACCCAACTGCGTCCCCTAACCCCGGACATATGTCTCCACCCTTGCAATCTGTCTCCCCACCGCCTCAACAACAGTATGCAATGCAAAATCCTAATCAACTAGCCTTCCAAATGCCGCAAATGACCCCAATGATGCAGATGCAAATGAATATGGGCATTAACATGGGTATGGCTGGTTCCGGTTTCGGGATGCCCCAGACACAAGCCATGCACCAAAGCGTGATGCGTCACCCGAGTCCTGGTCCCAGTGGCGGCGCTGGTGCTAACTTCATGCCCCTAGGCGGCTTCCAATAGAGAACTCAAGAACATATTAAAAATATGCCCTGTATTTGTTCCATTTACAGTATCTGTTCGTCGAGATGCTTATTTGATCCGATACCTCTTACATGTTAGTATATGTATTCCCTCCATCTGATTTACCATAATCACATATCTCTTTCGCGCTCCGTATTTTTGTACTCCTATCGCGCAACCTACAGCTTTGGATAGCTTGCTTTCATATTCATTTCCTTATATCAGTTACACATTCGATGTACAAGGGGGACATTGCACGGACTTGGACTCTTGTTCGACCAAATTGTAATTGTTCGCGTACCCTCAAGAGTCAAATATATTTATAGTTTCTCCGTTCCCTCGTTCGATGAGAAGTGAATGCAAGGCTGGGCAACACGATGTGAAACAGGTTGATACTAAACGGGAACCCACCCTCTACAGCTCTCCGTACCGCAATGACATTTTCTGGCTCCGGGCGGCATTTTATCCTTGCCCTTCTTTGCACGATCGCCTGCACTTGGATCGTAGTCAAAGGTCAGTTCAGTACGGTGAGGGATATCCTGCAAAGCAACAAACGCAAGGTACGGGTTGCCGAACTTGGTCATGAACGATGATCAGCTTGCGCCCGTCAAGTGCAGCCAGTGAGTCTCACCTCTGGGATAGTGTCGTAGACAACGCTGTAAACGACCATATTTGGGCTACAAGAATGGCTAGCCATCCGACGCATCCATCAGCAGGCATTCAAGAGGAATACGTGGAAAGGTCTAACTTTATGAATCGAGTCCAGTTGCCTTCATATTACCCATTTAGTGAATAGAGAGACAGTAAAGCTCAATAGGCTGACCGTGTTGCCGAGAGTCAACAGTGAACTGGCGATCCGAGTCTGAGGCATTTCCATCAGGGTCTTCGTATCCATCCAAGTCGAAGCAGTATCCGCGATGCTTTAGCGGCATCTCCTCTGCTTGCTCCCGAGTACTAGAAACACGTAGGAATATTGAATCATAATCAGGCAGAAGAAGGCCTACATCAATTGACTAGACGCCACCGAGACGGCATTAGCTCGCGAACTTGCGCCCGAATAAAACTCACCCGCTATAAACACCCACTACCTGACCTCGCTTGAGGTTGCTCTGTGAGCGTACTCCCCAGCCAGCTAACGACGTCTTGAATACTTCAATGACAAATTTTCTTGGTCGTTGAGCGACCCTATTAACACAATCGGGGTTGCATTCACATTTCTGGAGAGTATCCCTGTCAGCGGTTCACTCAGTTGTCAAGCACATGGACAATAGAGTACCTTGTTACATTCAATGACCTCTATGCCGGATGGGACCTGAAAGTTGAACAGACCCTAGAGGATATCAGCACCGCCAGTAAAAGGAGACAATCGTGAAGCATACATCGGGTGTGTAGGCGAAGATCTTCTCATTTCTGTTGTGAAGTCGGGACGGTGCTTGGCAATCGCAGGCACTGGCTTCTTCATGATTACACTCATAACAGTCGCAGCCCACCATTACAGCATCGAGATCAATTTCTTCGACATCTTTATGGCTAATGCAAATATGGTTAAATGTGATAACATCTACTAAGGTGTCCTACATACTAAATGTAGCCTTGTTCAACATATCGAAAGTTGGGAGGCAAGGGTGGCCCATCTTCATCGTCAATGATGTTTACGATAGCGATTGGTGCAGCATGAGATGTATGTGCTATAGCTGTCCATTCCTTTTCCAACTTGAGTCGCCTACGGAAGTCTGAGAAGTAACGTAAATCTTGAGGTGGCTGTGACTTACCTTTCCTGTGAAGCAGGCTGCTTTGATGAACCGGCTTTCGAGCTCACGGTGCTGCTTCTGGCTTGAGACGTCGATGTCCTGGCTTGTGAGGCCTGCAATCGAGACTGTCGGGGTTGCTGAGTGATCGGGTGTAGTTTTTTACTAAGAAGTTCATGCATATGTTCCACGAGCTTGTTTGGAGCCTGACTCGGCTCCATGCGGCGAATAGCAAGTTTCTGTTCGTACCCTTGAGAACGTAGATCCGTCTCCATGAGATGGCCATCCAAGGTCGTTGGGACCTTGATTGCAAGAGACGAAGGCGAGTCGACGAGCATCTTCTGAATTCGGGTGGCTTGCTCCTGCTTCCAGGCCTTAGTGGCTCTCACTGGGATCGGATCCTTCTGCCCGGGCCAGGTGACGTTGGTGCCGTCGCTTCTGTGCCAATTGAGCCACCTAACCTATAGATGGAGCTGTAAGTGTAGCACAAGAAACCAAGGACCATATCACCGTACCTCGTATCTGACCCACGAAGTGCATTGCAAATATACATTGACCCCTGCAGCGCCAAGGCAGATCAGAATATCGCACACCTTGATGTCTTGCCATCCTCATCAAGCTCCTCGCCAACGATCTCGAACTCCCATTCCTTGTCCGTGTCATCCCAGACTTCTGTAGGACTTTCCGAGCGACGCCAGAGCTCTTTCCTCGAACCAGACATGATGGGAGTAAGGAAGCAAGGTTGGCAATATATGATCGAGCAGCTTAAATACATCATGTGATCGTGTCTGCGCCACTCTCAACTTCACTTCAAAGATCATGGGCTTCTTCGGTCGAATACATGGGCCAGAATTCACAAGACTTTTTCTTGCATGCACACCACCGGGCGGATGGCCTAGAACAATTGGTAACTACTATTTCTTCTCTCTCTTCGCTGGCCTGAGCTCGCTTTGCAGCCGTTGCGAACTCCGGAGGGCCGGACTCTTCCTGTTTGCTATTCCTGCTGCATGAACTCATGCAAGCTACGGTCGGAGCAACGTCCCTTCCGAAGAAGGTGGTCTCGCTAACGGTCGATCATGGATTGCAAGCCGAGTCTGCGTTAATGGCAGAGCAAGCTGCTGGTGTGGCTTCTAAACTAGGTGTTGAGCACCATACTGTAAAGATTCCCTGGGGTGAGACTCCGTTTCCACCGATACCAGCTGGAGACAACGCGTTCGAATCTATTGCACGGTTGGCCCGCTTTCGTGTGCTCTTCGAGGCAATGAAGAAGACTGGGGCTCTGGTCCTAGCACTGGGACACCATGCCGATGATCAAGTTGAAACGTCCTTAATCAGAATTGCGAAGGGGACGACGGAAATGGGTGCTGGCGGGATGAGGAAATGTCGGAGGTGGGGAATGGGATTGGGGAAAGAAGGGGACCTCGGTTGGACTGGGTACGAAGGCATGAGCCGCTGGATGGTACGACCACTGCTTTCCGTCAGAAAGGTGTGTATTTTATCAGTTTAAAGTGTTTCTCCACCACTAACAATCTCAGGAAAAAATCCTAGCGACATGTAAAGAGGCTGAAATATCTTATGTACAAGATAAGACCAACTTCCAACCGGAAATAACCATACGCAACGCCATTCGACACATAATCAGCAATGGTGTTATAGGTAAATTTTATCAAGTAAAATGACTTGTATCGTTGATTTTACCTCGCGTAGACAAGGAAGCGTTTTCCCAAACGCTACCAGAGCACATACGGGAGGGGATAGAGAACATGCAAGCCCGTGCTGAATCGTTAGAGGGGGCCTCCTTCGACCTCTCAGCTGGATCAGAGCAACTAAGGGCTACAGTGCTTTCACTTGGCCGTCGCGTTGATGATATTGACGAAGAAGGTAAATGATAGCCCTTTGAATGATCACCTTATTCTAAAACACTCTACGTTAGTCAATGCTCATCTCAAAGCGATTCGAGTCTCTGGTCCTCCTGGTACATTTGTGATGTCGCACCCAACTGCAGCCAAAATTCAAAACGAGACAACCCGCGCGCGGATAATCCAGCGCATATTGCGCTACGTTTCCTTCCACCCGTGGGGCTCTCTGCGTGCGGATGGCAACCGTCGCGGCAGCAGCCTTAGTCGAATTGTCGCGAACGTCTGGGACCCGCAGCCGCAACGCCAGGCAAATTTCATCGCTGGAGGTGGGGTGATGTGGATCCCGGCGGTCTTCAAGCACAATAAGTTGCAGTTCATCGACTTTGGCAAGCAGGAAAATGTATCGGCCAGTGGGTCACTGGTGTGGGTGGCTACAAGGGCACCGCCGCTAGGGGCGAACAAGTTGAAAGCCATGAACATGGATAACCCTTTGAACATGGATGTGACTTCTGCGCTACTGGCTGCTGTGGCCCAGTACAAACACAATCCAAGTGCCCCAAAGACAGTCGAATTCCTTTACGACTGTCGCTTCGTCGTCACATTCGATATCAGCAAGATTCCGAACAGCATCCTCAGATACCTGGAGGAGCTGGACGGCCGGTTATTCATCATTACTCAGACCAGGTGGTATTGGCCTCGGGTGGTTCTGAAACCAAGTGAAGGAGGTCAGGTAGTTTTGGAATCGGAGATGCCAAGAGTCGAAATCGGAACCATACAACAATGGCGTTGGGAGGACCGCAGTGGGGTAGTCAAATCGAAATGGATAGAATCACGATGGATTCGGCCTCTCGACGCAATATAATCAACGTTCTCTAGCATTGTATAATACATCATTATCTCAAGAATACCGTAACTACAATCGTGCCTTCTGATCTCCCGAGGAGCGCAAGAACGTTTCGAAGACATCACGCCACACTTTGATATCGAAATATTCGTACCAGTTGTGACCGAACTCGAGGCTGGGCAGTTGGCCGGGCTCTGATCCAACTTGCACGGTCTGCGCCCAAGGCATCAGGCGATGAATTTCTTCGCCACAGTAGTACGGGACAACACGATCCGCCGTGCCATGAATGATCAAGATTCTTGTGTTTCGCAGCTTGCTATGTAGTCCGGAGAAATCGAATCGATTTGTCTGCGCATAGGTCATCAGTCGCCGGGGCGAAGTAATTGGCAATGACTCAAACGCACCGCTCGAGCTTGTTTAACTGTGAAACACGATGAATGGTTCATGGGCGCCTTCAATACTTGACCCACGAAGTGACGAGGTCAATGCTCACCTATCGTTTTGTACGGTCTACAAATTGACGGTCCCAAGGTTGGTATGATGATCGTCTCGGCATCAAAATTGCGGGGCGGAAAGCTTACCTCTTAATCAGCATCCGGCTTAGCCACCACTCCTGACGGGCCTGCGTGGATGCATCAGCAAGCCATTTTGGGTCGAACATCAGTTCCATCTGGGGTTTGATAAACTCTCTGAGCACCTCCGGCGTAAGTTCTCTGTCCGTGGGCAGCGGATTCAATCGAACACCGTAATTTTTATCCTTCAGCACAGAAGTCAACGTTGCCGTCAGGAAGACGTGCGTAATTTTGAAGGGTAGTGGCTTAGGATTGTTGACGATGTGGGGCAGGAAGAGTAACTGCAGCGTAATAACGCCTGAGTGCACAGTTAGTTGGCATCATGCGTTAAACCAATGAAACTGACCGCCCATAGAATAACCGCATATCGAAATGGAATCCCACTGCAAAGACTCCACAAGGAAGCACAAGTCGCGCGCCATTGATTCGATGGTGATATTGTCATCCTTGGCCTCGGTTGAGTAGGTGGAGTCCCCAATCCCCCGGTGATCAAATACGAGGACTGATAACCAGATATCAGTTTCATGGTGTAAAGGGCTATGCACATGAGATCAGACGCGCCTGGACGGGATTTAGCAAGCTCGTCAGATAGCCTTTCGAAGTCACCGCGCGTCGAAGATATCCCGCCTACCAAAACGATTGGTTGCCTAGAGCTAGAGCCAAGGTGCTGAGCGCCCAGAATCTGGTAGGCAAGCTTTGCGCCATCCTCAAGCAGGACAAAAGAATGACCGCTCATAGTCACTCTTCAAAATTCATATTCGGTTCAAGGAAGAAGTATGTTTCTGAAAGATCGGCTACACGATATAGCCGGTACCCGATGTCACTACTTCGATAACTTCACAAGTTACACTGCATTTAGCGAAACTCTAGTGAGTTCGGTAACAAAGCGTAAGTGATAGAATGAATGGCTAAGTGCGGGTCCAGTATGCGCCGGCCGGCCCTGCGATAACTGTATCTATGAGGGCAATCAACATGGGCGATGACCTGGACGAACGATTCTTACAAATGTAGGGCCAAGCTTGAAAGCCACACAAGAAGTCCGAGTCGCCGGCATCTTGCTCTTGGGATGGGATCTTGAATTTAGATCGATGATACATGGCGTATAGTGGATGATCAAACGTCTGAGGGCTCTTCTTCGTATTCATCTTCATCGTCGGCCATCTCGTCTTCGTCTGTGTCCTCCTCCTCATCTCCATCCATATCCTCCATGGAAGCATCAAGATCTTGACCGGAGTCGTTGTCGCCGTCGTCTTCGCCCACGGATGCAGCGCCTCCCCCCTCCTCGCTACTGGATTCATCGGACTCGTCGTCCGCCTATTGTAGTTGGTTAGCAGCGCGAATGGAGGTGGCAGCAACCAAGAGATATCACATCATTTCGCTCTTCTTGCTGCGTGACTGTTCGCCCAATGGGAATTAAGAAACCGAAACCACGGTTGCGAACAAGTGAATTCTGGGGTCATGTTTATTACGCACTGAAAGTCGTCGTCACAGAGTAGTTTGGACTGACCATATCTTCTAGCTCATTCTCCTCGTCACTGAGCTCATCCATTTCTTTCTCCAGGTTGCGTCGACGGCGAACATTATCTAAGTTTGTTGATTTTTGATAAGGTACAGGATGTGGCTGGGGCGGTGTAGGGAGAAGCAATGGAAATATAGGATCTCGGGGTAAAACAGTAGGTCTACCAACCGACATGACAAACGGCGTCGCGCTCAAAGGGCCACCGTTGCCAGTCGCGTTTGGGCGTCGTGTAATTATCGTGGGAACTATTACCATATTGAGTAAACGTAGTACAAACGGCATGCCATGCCGCCACGGGCGTCGACCCACTGATGATTGCCTCAATTGTTTCTTTGCCGACCACGCGCATACGGTGCAGCATTGCACAAACTGCTCACTTCTTGCTGCCGGATCCCTCAGGCCTACGCGCAGTCATCCTGGGAAGACTCGCCAGGTCTGAGTGACACTGTGAGAGTCTCATCATCATTTCGGGGAAGCGCTCACATCATCCGACTTTCTAAGACTACTATTCTTAGAGGCGGACGGCTCCAATGAGCAAGAAAGCCGTGACGGCCCAACAATTCACGCGAATTCCCATTGGTCAGATGCGCTAAAATTACTCAGAACCGTCAGACTGGGTATAACTGGCATCACTGCGTCGTTAGCATGGAACCGTTGATGGAATGCATGTCATAATAACCCACTTCTTGTCGCACGGTTGCGGTGCTGTTTCAGATAGAAATAAGTAGTGCCATAAATCTCGTTTGTATCCCCAGTTCTCCACTTCATCCACCCCCACCTTCCCAAAAGTTTTAACGACCATGCGTTTCGCCTCAGCCGCCATTGCCTTCTCGGCTACTGCTCTGGTAGCAGCTCAGAACGTCGTGAGTACTTCCTCTCCTTATGCGCCTCGACCCCATTTCTAATCGGTCTATAGGTAGTTCAAGTTGGTTCTGTCGCAACTGCCGATGGTGGCGTTTTCCAGTTCATTCCCAACGACATTACTGCCGCCAATGGCACAACCGTCACGTTCAGATTCACCGGAGCGTAAGTAAATACTTCTGAATCGTGCATGCAAGCGCATGCTGACACGGGTTTATGCGCGTCAGACCGGGAAACCACACTGTTACTCAGTCGAGCTTCGCCGACCCATGCAACCCTTTGGCTGGAGGCTTCGATTCAGGCTTCGTCTTCATCCCGCCGACCAACACCACTGAGACGCCAGAATGGACTTTGACCGTCACCGATGACTCGAGGCGTAAGGACTTTTTGTATCTGGATAGTCTACTGTGGTATTGACTGATATGGTCCGATAGCGATCTGGTTCTACTGCAAGCAGTTGATCCCTTCCCCTCATTGTAGCGCAGGCATGGTTGGCGCTATCAACGCCCCGTCCACAGGAAACACGCTAGCAAACTTTGTTTCGGCTGCCAGGGCATTCTCAGGCGCCTCTGGAGTACGTGTTTGTTCTCCCTCAGTATTCTAACGCCGGCTGAAATCGAACGACTTATAGCAAGGTCAAGGTGGTCTGTCCGGTGTAGGTGCCACTGCGTCGGCCGCCCCCAGCCCAATCGTAGGTGGTGCTTCATTGGTTGGAGCCCCCACATCTGGCGCGCCCGCACCTACTGCGTCTGGCTCACCCACGGGCTCGAGTACTAACACTTCGCCTTCCCCAACTGGAACTGGAAACAGTGCGAGTGCATTGGGAGCAAGCTCTTGGTTGCTTGGCCTTGGGGCCGTTATGGGCGTTATCGTGGCCTAAGAATGGACCGCTTCACTTTAAAAAGAACTCAATGCCTTCTCTTCCTCATGCTGGGTCTTAGTATAGCTCATTGTACACACGTCTCGGACACGCCAAAGGAAGCATTGTTTCGAAATACTTGTGAACCCTACTTTGAGTAGTGCACTGGGTGTTCTAGTAATCAAGGTGTGCCCTGAGTCGGGTTTCGCCTCCCCATAAAGCCCGCAAACGGGAACACCCTAGATCATACGTAGCAAACTAACGTGATGCCCAGCGTATCTGATCTATTTTCAACTGTAAACCTTGATAAGTACGTGAAGGTATGTTGAAAATTGCCTCAACTCCCACACATCATGAGTTGCCGTTTTCAATTTAGCGAGGGAATCCGAAGGCGCTGCTAACAATAAATTACGCATGTTTACAAGCGATATCCTTGGAGACGATAGCTGGATAATGTAGCTTAGTTGAGTATCCCGTGAACATCCGCCTGGGATTGTCCTCTATTATGTGTTCGAGTGTTTCGCGACTTAGAGGCCAGGGGTCTAACCCATAGCTTTATGTGACCGTTTTTAGTGGATGTGAGAAGTGCCTGTGGGACAAATGTGATGGCTGCAAGTAAATCACCCTCCAGATGTTTGACCTGGGGAATGGTGTGTGAACGACGATCAGATGCGGGGCATGATGATTGACGTACGAGGACGGGTTGTACAACAGCAATTTCATTTCGTGATGGTGCCATGTGGTATCTTTGAGGGGAGTTCTCATCAGCAGGAGAGCCGAGTGAAGGCAAATGTAGTGCCGAGCGGTCGCGTCGGAAGGCCAAGGATATTGTGGAAGACATTGAGACGCGCTGGTGATGCGCCTAAGTCGCGCAACAATTGCATATATCAGTTGGTTCAGAAAGGGGATTAGAATCATTGACGAACCTGAAACTTTGGTCGATGCAAAGCACCACTAGAAAAGTCCCACTAAAGAGGCATCTATCAGTATTATAACCTAGCTAAATGAAAAGAATGTCATGCCAGTATCAATTTGTTATCTTCACCTACGCTTCCGAATCGATATGTGCGTCCATCGCATCTCAGGTCGTCGAATGCCACGGCTGAAACGAAGGATGAATGGCCCTGGCATCGAGCAATAACTCTCTGTTCCCAAGGGGAGAAGATGGTGATCAGGTCATCTTGACCGCCTGTCTGCAGGATCAGATGAGTTTACAAACTGCGATAGATAGATCATGAAAAATACCAGAATAAACCGATTATCAGGAGACCATGCCACGCATGTCAGAGCGCCGAAGTAAGACGCGTAACAATCTAGCAGCCTAAAGATGCGCTCAATTGGCTGCTGTGTACTGACTTCTGACTTAGATAGAAACTCACTGCTCGCCAAGAGCATCTATCACTCGGAGGCACCCATCATCAGAGATGGCTGCCACATACTTGTTGTCGGAAGCAAAGACAAAGTCTAGGTACTGAGTTCAGCCATCAATTACCTGGAACGGAGAATGTGCCTACCGACAACACTTTTGTTGGACACGCGCCAATGGCTTACAGGATTCTTCACCGCCCTATCTTTGTCGTTCTTGCCTGAGCCGATTCCTGCCGTGGGATGCCAAGGGGGCATCGTGACGAATATCTCATTTAAAGGATTCCATGGCTTCGGTGCATCGCCGTCGGTGGATGGATGGACGTGATTTCTGGGCGTGATAGACCCGTCATCACGTTCCTTGTCGTAGATAATGATTGTTCCATCTGCGTGCGCAACTAGGAATAGAGTAGGGGAGTTAGGGACCCATCTCACGGCTGTGCACGGCGAACTTGTGATACAGCCCTACCGCGTCAGTTATTTACAGCTTCAATCATATCGTTGGAATATGCTCACCTGTTTGTTTAAGCGACAATAGCGTGATGATATGGGGTCTAAAACGCCGTACATCAGCGTCTGTGACGAGGGCTGAGTGGTGTACATACCAAACCAGACTAAATCCCCTGTGTTAAACCCAATAATCACATCCAACCTCTCCGACGAGGCGGTTGAGTTGTTCACGTCGTGGCACGTCGGGTAAGCCGAAAACGTTATTCGAGCCAAAGGATCCTGTTACCAGTCATTGGGGACGCCCCCGTCCTGAAGAAGGCACACACCTTGGCCTTTGAGCCAGCCTCTATCCAGACGAACCCCTTCACTATATTGTAGAAAATAAAGGTGCAATCCCCCTGCTTTGCTTGAAGAGTCCGCGATAAACCCTCTACACTCTGAATTCTTGTAATAAAGGTTGACGACGTTGTTCTGATGTTATGCTTCGGCCTTGTAATTCGTCCTCTTCTACCCGCAACTTGAGGCGAGAACAAGGTTGCTGCAGGTGGCTCAACGGGCGTAGTGGGACTTGCAGGGATATGTTCCTGCGCCGAACCGTTCGGCAGGTCATCCTCAGGCGTTTCGCTGCTGGACAGGCTAAGGCCATCGTCCTTTTCCTTCACAACCTTGAGGTTATTGCTATCCTTCTTCGCATCCCGGTTCCCTCCTAACAGCTGCGCCAATCCAGGGGGGCCTCCACCCTGCTTCGCGGCGGGGAAGCGTACAACAATGGTTGATAACCGCGTCGGATATGATGGGGGATTTGAGTTGGAATGCACGATTGATATTTTGTGCTCCTCGGTCACAGAGTATACGCCTTCTGGCGCCACGAAGGTCGAGTCATTCTCCATCGTTGTCGGCGACGCACTCGAAGGGTCGATACCAGTGATTGCCAACTCAGGACCGCTATACAGGGCGCCTATTTCCAAGAACACCGACAGATCATGAAGACCCGGTCCCATAATAAATTTCTGGAGACCCGGATCTTAGCCACTCCCACTCTTTCATGCTGACCGCCAACATCAAACGTTCTGCACGAACGGCCAGAAAGGCCATTTCTCATATTGTATGTGCGGTTTGCTCATTGACCACTGGTAGTAGCTTAGGAACTCGGCAGGTTCGTTGCAACTCGTCTGCTGTGGAACCACCGCCTGCTGGAGGGCATCTACCTTCCGTATCCAACTCGCAGTTATTACGGAGCACTAGAGATGCGGCTTTGCGCTCACCAGGAATTCGTTGGGCCGATGAAGACGACTCGGGTCCCGCAAATATCGTTGGAGGACGAGAGACGCGAAAGATGAACACATACCAGGCCGTGCGCGATGCTATGAGGTACAGTAATGCCCTTCGCGTGGCGTTCAGAGGATGTCCTGAGCAGCTATAGCATCGCACTTATGAAGGACGACACCGCCGTCGTATTCGGTGAAGATGTCGCATTCGGTGGTGTGTTCAGATGCACTATGGTACGTCGGTTCATAAATATAGAGTCATAAATAAAGCTCGTATTCCGCAGGGACTAGCGGAAGAATTTGGTAAATACATTCCCTTCTCGCGTAGATACATCCTTCATAATATTTCAGGCCGAGAACGCGTCTTCAACACGCCCTTGACCGAGCAAGGAATTGCCGGCTTCGGCATTGGCATGGCCTTGATGGGGTATGTTTCTCTACATTCAACTTACATTTGGTGCTAACGATAAGCTTAAAGCCATACCGCCATCGCAGAAATACAGTTTTCAGACTATATTTTCCCCGCGTTCGATCAAATAGTCAACGAAGCTGCCAAAGTTCGTTACCGCTCAGGGGGCTCCTACAACGTCGGAGGGCTTACCATCCGCACGCCTACCATGTCAGTAGTACGTATACCTGTTCAACTCGTTCCTTGCGTTGAGATGCTGACCCTCTTCAGGGGCATGGTGGACTTTACCATTCTCAATCTCCCGAAGCGTTCTTCATGGGTGCAGCGGGATTAAAGGTTTGCTGCCATACACCAGCGTGGTACGGACCGACAAGCTCATCATTATCTTAGGTTGTGATACCCAGATCTCCCATACAGGCCAAAGGCCTTCTACTTGGAGCCATCAGGGACCCAAATCCAGTAATATTCCTAGAACCCAAGATCTTATACCGTTCAGCTGGTGAGCTTGCGAGATATCCCGCCAACTAGCCACCCCTCTAACCACCCGCCTCAATAGTTGAGCAAGTACCAATAGATGACTTTTCTTTACCCCTTGGGTCCGCAGAGACACTGGCTCCTGGGAACGACTGCACACTCCTTACATGGGGTACCCCGGTCTACCACTGCGAAACAGCCTTGCACTTGCTTGCATCTCCCCCTCCATCCTTGGAGAAACACATCCCCACGTCTCTGCGCTCTGCCTCCATCGAATTGATTGACCTCCGTTCAATCCTCCCATGGGATGTGCAAACAGTAGAAGAAAGCGTGAAACGAACTGGAAGATTGGTGATCGTGCATGAAGCAGGTATGACGGCTGGTGCGGGCGCGGAGATTAGCGCGGAGATACAGAAAAGGTGTTTCCTGAAGCTGAATGCCCCAGTTTCGAGAGTTACGGGATGGGAGTGAGTCGAGGGATTGTCTTCTGCTGATCACAAGGCTAACGAGACCTTCCTAGCTTACCTGTCGGCCTCCAGTTTGAGAAGTTCATTATTCCAGACGCTTTACGCATCGTAGATGCTCTTGTCAAGACATTATCCTACTAGCAGGAATTTATCGTCAGGTACATTACATCCACATAGTGGTCCAATCAACGCAATCATACAAGTACATATATACGAGCGGGCGATACTAGCCCCACCAACAAACGGAGGTCGAATCATCGCTTGGACACCCTGACCTTCCACCGCTGCAGGTTACCGTTTCCTAATAACCCGGCCTCCCAAGCCAGCATGAAACGTTCTTCGAGATATGCGCGTATATTGTATCTTCGCACGTATGTCTTCCTGGTCTTGGAGTCCTCCGCTAACTGTTTCTCCTCGTGCACCAGAGACAACCTGGTTTCCAGAGATACGTCTTGAATGTAGTCGATGTGCAGGCCCGGAGCGTGGGTCGCCAGTAGTCCGGTTACCTTGGCTAGATTTAGAAGAAGAGGCGTTGAGGTATACGCTCGTGTAGGAGGATCGTCGTCGTGCGTATATGCACCGTGAGCTTGAGCTTGAGCTTTATACCGCGATCTTTCCTTGGAGAGAATGGGTCTTGCGAAGGTTTGTTGCCTCATAAAAAAGGATACCGCACATATGGTGTATTCGGGCCCGAGAAATGCCAGATCCGGGGCTATGGACGAGAAGTAGATTGAAGCTTGTGTTCCATGCTGGAGTGTATTGTCCATGAGTCGAAAGATCTTCGAAATTTCAGAGAAGGGAGCGATATCGAGGCTGACGGCGCATTCGGTGCGATTACCTCTGTCTAATCCCGCCAAAACTAGTCAAGCACTACCATACTTATACAAGGACAGTCGATCTCACGTTCAATGATGTCCTGGGGCTGGCAACGTCCATGTATGGGCGTTTGAGTGCTAGCTGACATGGGTATATGCTGCAATTCGCTTACCTTCAAACCACCGTATTGTGACTTAGCTAACCAGGTTACAAGACGTGGTAGACGTGTGCTCTCGACCTCCAGAAGAACATGCCAATCGTATACCTTAAGTGTATTCGAGAGGAAGTCGTCCATATCAGCAGGCGTCCTAAGTTCCATTCGTCCAGCGATTATATCTTGTACAAGCTGGAACAGCGGCAGTTTGATGGTCTTGAGCTCCCTGGTACTCGCAGGCTCTGCCTCCTGGAGTCGCCTTGGATCCTTCGATCGACACGGGGACTTCTCTGTCGTGACAGATATCAGAGACGCGCCGTAGGCTGAGGGCCAGGTCCCCGATGTGGGCACAACCACATTTTGAAGCGCATGGAGTGCGTCTCGTGCGTCCGTGCGTTCTTTTGCTGTCACCGCCTCGTCTTCGTCGTCCTTAAGGTTGAAGCTGAAGTTGAATCCCAACATGATGGCCACGAAGGCGATAGCCGTAAAGCAGTAATTCGGGTAGCGATAAATCCACGTCGAGGCGGTCATCAACAGTGAGCGAACGAGACTGCCCATGGCTTTCCATATCAGATCGTCGAGATCGAAGTTCATGCTGACAATGAGAATCTTGCGTAGACCTAGAAGTAATCAGTAAAGTGGGCGGCGCGCGTATTATATGTCTGTGGCAGCAAGTCATTCATGGCCGCCTGGCGAAATGGCATCGCGTCTGACTACGAATCAGGAGATTGCAGGTTCGACCCCTGCGGTGGTCATTTTGTCGCTAATACTTTTCTCCCGCATTTGTAACTTTTAATCAGCTTGATAAAGAGTCAGACCAGCCCTCACACTCTACCGTGGTCTGTGGAGGGACCTGAATATTGAATACTGGAGTTCATGGTATATATGCTATACAAAGTTGGGTGAGTGGGTTCCGGAGCTTCAGTATATTCCTCAGGGGGCAGGCCACTGGCGGTGTCGGCGGCTGGAAAATTATAAGATGCAAAAAGCGACACCAGCAGGATTTGAACCTGCGCTGGGAAACCCAAACAGATACTACTTGATTCGAATCTGTCGCCTTAACCACTCGGCCATAGTGCCTTGATGTTAGTGAGCAGTGGTTATCATCCCTGGCTTGCGGACAAGAGCAAGATTCGTGGAGTTCATTGAACATCAAATTTCTGAAGTCACCACAAACAAATGAGTGCACCGATATACTATTTGTACGGTATTCCTGTAACACAATTCATTAATGGGATTTGCAATGAGCTTCCAATACATTGAACATACCATTTTGTAACTATGATTCCGCACCATGAGCGTAGTCGCAGACGACGAAAGGCATGAACTCACCCTCTGAAATTCATCGTATGCTGTGCTTCGTATATTCTCGTGCGCATTCCGTACCACGCTCAACATCCATTCCGCAGCCTGCCTCTCATTGTATTGGAGGACAAACCTTTCCCGCAGCCGCTTGATGGTCCCTTCCCCCTTAAAGGAAGGAAGCCCAGTATCAAGCATCAGGCGAACTGTGCCGATTATTTGCTCAGCGTGCGGCCGTAGTGCAAGGAAGGCTTTGATTGTGAGCTGTTGGAAGAGCTGATACCCTTGTGAGTACCGCCCTCCCATAAGGATTACCATCTCATGGTTGAGCTTGAAAGAGTGTGGTTCAAATTTTACACCCTGTCACGACGGTAAACCAGATAAAACATGGAAAGTGAGAAAGCAACTTACTCCTGGACGTAGAATCCCAAAAGCACGCAATAAGAACTTTTAGCAGCACGATTAGATATAAGCACTCATCTATATCGAAAAGGAAGCCGAAGTCTGCGTCCAACCGCGTTAATAATGCAGTTGCTGGCTGTGTAGGGAATGTTAACTTACCGACGTGGACTATATGACCTTCTCCGTCAATCATGATGTTGCCGTTATGTCTATCCTTTATCTGAAGGATGTAGCAAGCAACGGAATACGCTGCCATCGACTGTATGAATTTAAGCCGCGCTTGTTGGAACGCTAAAGTATCCTGGCCGCCGTATTTGGCTATGAAGAAGTCAAGCAAGTCGTTGACCTTGGCGCGTCCCATCTCGTCGCGCGAAGTAGCGTTTGGAACGACGTCAATGACACCACACTATAATATGCAGGAATGGATGAACGAGTGCCCAGGGCTAACAACGTGAAGACATACACCAGGGGCAGTGGCAGTGACACGATATGGGAATAGATAAAGTGTCAGCCCTATGCTGGTATAGATGTTCTTGAACATCGCAATGACTTGCAACGCCAGCACATCTTGACGGCAGTCATCGCCAACCTTGAAGATAGCTTGCTGCCAAACCTCGCACGTCGTGCGTGTCTCAACACCACCGTCGCCGTCTAGCACTGAGTCTGGGTCTGAGTCAATTGTAATTCGTTCCTTCTGTACTTTGAAGGTGGCCATGAATGGAGCCTAGTTCGGCGAGTGTTAGTGAATTATAGCGTGAGTGTACGTGCAGCTTACCTTTGCATGACTCTGAAGGGGCCGGCCTGACTTCTTGTCGATGTCCACTACCTTGCCGTCTGGATTACTCGGCAAATAGACGCCGACTTCGACGTTGATCTTAGCCATCTCTTCGTCTATCTTTGCCTAGAATAATGCGATCGTGAGTAGGATAGATTGTTGGGGGAGTATATTTTTACCTTCTTCTCTGGCTTTGTCTTCTTGATGAAGGGCTTGAGTTTGCCTGAGATAGAAGTGACCTCATGGAAGAACGTGAACTCTTTGTCGTAGAATTCTCGAGCATCCCCAGAGAGTGACTTAACGACCAGTGCCGTCATCTTGTCCAAAGCTGGCTTCAGTGAATCTTCCTAAAAATCGGATGGGTAAAACGATGGACCACGAGTTCACAAGACTACGAACAATCTCTGCGGAATCGTCCTTATAGCAATTGGCGTTCATGTTCCATATGATTTGGTGGCAGAAGAGTTGTGAGATCTTGGCGGTCTCGAATATGAAGCGGGCTACGTAACCTATAGCTAGATGAGGATTAGGTTCATTAGCTGGGGAACCAGCGCACCAAGATCATCATAGCGTAAGGCTTGCACCACTTGAGGGACAAAGAAGAAAGTAAGGTCGACTGGATGCTGTTCTAACACGCGGTGTGCATATTGTAGGATACACGGTTCGTTGTTGTAACGCTTCTCGAACAAGGCGTTGGCAATGATTGGCGGGACTGGTGCCCACAGTAAGAGGTGCTGCAACGAAGCTGTAGATTATATACACGAAGATGAAAGTGTGAAGATACCTTGAAGTCTCTTTGGATCCCAACTTCCAAGCGCTCGCCGACAAGGAAGAGGAGTGCTTCGGGTGTATCGAGAACGTCCAACGGGCTGGATCGAATCATCTTCACGACTTCTTGACGAACAAGTGGAGATTTAAACCGGTCTGGTAAGTGGACCACAAGGGCCGGATCTATCTGCCACATTGTGCGAATCATATTGGGCCATTGCTAGACAAAGAGGGTCAATGTTGCTTCGAGTCGCAATTTAAGGTCTATACCTCCGCTAGACTACGTTCTGGAGTCGACATGGGATCTGTGCCACGCTTTGGATCATTGGCGGGGTTGATCCATACTGCGAGGCGAAATATCTCGTTTTCAACGAGCGTCCGTAACGGTATGCTTATGTCCTTCAAACGCGCCGCGAAGCCTATATTTGTGTGAGCATATTGCTCCCCTAGAAGCATCTGGGGAACCTACGGCGAGGACTTGGCATAGCCTGGGCTACGGACAGACTCGAGATTGAGGTGTTTCCGCGAACAGCGTCCGCATGAAGACATGACAAGAATTCTGTAAGAATCTTCATGTCAGAGTCCACTTGCACTCGATTAGCGCCATATGTCCACCTACAAAGAACTTAGTGAAGCGTGCGCGCAAACGTGATGGCCACGCACTGGGAACGGACAGCGAACCATGAGTATGCTGTACTGTACAGGCTCTCGCGAAGGACGCTCTCGCAGTACAGGTCCAAGTGGGAGTTCCTCAGCGTCTCAAAGCCAAAAAGCAGAAAAGAAAATCTAGGGTCCCTGGCTAGCGCATGTGTGCTGTTGAAGCATAGAGTTAGTCTATCCACGCACTGGTACTAGCTTGATGAGTTACCTCATATATTTGCATGACCGAGCAGACCGAAGAACCAGCGTCTGAAAGATATACATGACAGATGGTCTACGATACTTCGCAGCCTGCAATCGACTGAAGAGCATCTTCAAAACCATGTGATGAGGTGCTAGTAGGCGAATCGCATGGGCCATGCCACGGTCGATGACGTCCTTGTCGGTGGGGCTATAGTCTATAGAATGGTAGAAAGGGTCATCGTAACTAAAGGCTATGGGGTAAGTGCAGGATACTTGACGAGGTCGGACTTTGATACGAACTTTATGGACCGGGAAAAGATGCCCTTCTCAACCCGGATTGAGTTCGTCCATGCTGAAAGCAATTCCATCATGACGGTTACTTCTAACTCAGGTTTTTCGACAATCACCCAAGACCAGACTTCTATGCCGGATGTGATAGCGGATGGGGTAGAGATCTCGAACGGTAGCGCAACTAAGTAATGGAGGAGATCGTGTTCGCACTGTCACATTCCGTGTGTTTAGTAAACCTTGAAAAAGAGATAAATCGGGGACCCGAACCTTCTGTAGGGAGATCAAGGTCGCAGCACAACGGAACAGCAAGCGCTTGAGGTCTTGCACGGTCAGCGAGCTTTTCTTGCTACGTATCTCGCCCAGAGTGTTGGCCATCTTGGATTTCAGTGCCTGTATCTCGGACGATGGAGCGGACTGAGGAGGCAACTTCTCGAGCTTGTCGGTACCTGTGATACATGAGTTAAGTTAGAGACTTCCAGCAATATCTCGTTACCTTTTCGACTTGCTAATCGGATGCCGGCTGCTTCTCCTGCGAAATACCCCTTGCTAGCTATCTGACTTGCGAGGGCCTTCGAACGATCGGTCTTCAGCTTGACGTAGTTCGACAACGATGCTAAACACACGTGTCAGATGTATTTGATAAATCAAGACACAGAACATACCTAGTTGCCGTTGAATAGGTCCAATCGCCTTCCCAAACTTCTCGGCCATCGTAGCGCCAAGTTCGGCTGAATCAGTGCCAGAGGGTTGCCCAACTGCAAGATATTTCTACGACTGTGTGTCAGTCTCCCTGTGGACGAAATACTCCGGTATTCAGCGCACCTGAAGTGTGGATTGCAATTCAATAGGTGCTCGGGCTAAGGCGAAGTCGAACCAAGTAGTAGCATTGCGGTGCAAATGGGCTAGGATGTCGTTTCGCACTTGATAATCGTCGCTCAGCTGTAAAGTGATGTCGCTTCGATCTGAGCGGTATTCGAAGACCGGGTTGAACTATTAACGACATCAGAGACAGCCCACATATGTTGCGTAGGTCCAACCTCGTCCACAAATTCATTCTCGCACGCCCGACGTAACAAAGTCAAGACTTCAAGGATGGCAAAGACCAGAGGTGGATCACACATCAAGGAGGGGAACGCTGTCATAAGCCTGTTGAGGTATTTGGACGCGACGTCGCGGGCCTTCGCAATACGGTGGGTACTGAAAATCAGGAGTGTTTGGAGTTCGGCGGCGAGGCAAGGTGGAAGAACTTGTTCTGAGGCCAAGCGGCTCAGCTCCGAGATACTTTCACGGATCACCTTTTGTCAAAGTGAATATCATGCTTTAGGGATGACGTCAAGTTAAGTACCTTTTCAGCAATAGACTCCATACAGCCGCTCAGCCCAGCGTTACTATTGAGGCTGTCATTGACAAAGTAGGTAGCAAGGGATGAAGTCAGGCCAACGGAGGAACGCATGTATTGAATGTCATGCATGGCCAGCAGGAAGATAATTTGTCCAGAGGAAAGATAACGGACGTCACTTGATCGCAGAGATATGTGTTTCGTGAGTGAAGCTCGATGCTTAGACACGACCTCCAAGAATAAGATGAGCCAATATGGCATTGGGGGGCGGCAGGCAGAAACTACTCACTGTATTAACGTAGTCTTGCCGCAACACAGAATTATACTCCAGGTCGCTGGCAGCTGCATCGCTCGACTCTTCGAGCACAACGTTTGGTGTCTTGGCGGCAATTCGAGACAGCGTAGTCTTCTGCCAGTCCATGGCAGTGACATCGCGTTCTAGCCACGTCAAGTTGAACAGTACGCATAGGAACCACATATTGCGGAACAAAGAAACGAGGCTAGGTGAAGCGTCTATGTGCGGCTCGAAATCATCGTGGGCCAGAAGTGCATTAATGGGGAGGAGCAGGGACGCCAGTTGTTCAATCATGTCCTCTGTCTACACCACCAGAGACAGAATCAAGACAAAGGAAACTATAGTCGGGACGCGCGTACCTTAATATGTGGATTAGAGGTCACAAGGTTCTGAATTGCAACACCCTTGTCCGCAAACAATGTCAGTAGTTCGGTAAGGTACGTTTCGTAGAGTTTAGGTCGACGATATAACTCGTTTGCAAGGCGGGTTTGAGCGGCGAGGACCTATTCCCCCGCTTAAGTATAAGCTCAAGGTGATATGGTAAACGTATAGCTACCATATTGTTGGAGAATCTAGGATCATCCGGGTTGGCGGATCTATTGATTGAGGACAGGGCACGAATAATGTCAAGAAAGGAGCTTTCAGGGGCTGCGAGAGCTAGGTCGACTAAGTTGTATGCGATGGCGGCTTCAACTGTAGGCTCCGCGGAGCGAATACGTTGCAGCAACATAGATATGGTCAGGCGAGTGACCTGCACCATCTTTCAGTACGGCATCTTAGAGGATAGCTGACAGACGCACCTCCTCGATATCAAATTCAAGCGCAAGCCGAGTGACGACGGAGATGGTGCTTATCCCTACCAGTCGCTTCTCATCTTCCGTCAGGGTACTGAGGCCGACTTCAGCGGAATGTGCGTTAGACTCTTGCAGGGCTTGAAGAGATGGATTCAGTATATGCGATGAAGTCGAACTTCCCGCCAAGTCTTTGCTCGTGGCGGCAATATAGTTCAACAGTGAATACATCGTCGACATGATAATGTCATCGCCTGGCGCGAGCTGACCAGAAGGTGAGCTCATTTTGTACGATGTTGGCAAACAAATGCCAACCTTTATACAAAGCGCCATGCATTTGGCAGCCGCAGCTAACGGTGGAGGAGCACGCGTCTCGGAAGCGAACTTGAATTCGAAGATCGCCAGAGGTGAAGTCACAAATCTTCGCAATTGGCTTGCCATCCGAGGTGCTATTTCCGGGAAACTACACACATATATTGAGTAAAAAGTAGTGTAATTGATGGTATGACATACTTCTGAACTGCAACAGTAGTGGCCTTCAAGGCGGCCTCTTGGACGAGATTATCAGATATGGGAGACTCAGCACTCAATAGTAGGAGCAATCGGGAGAGTAGTTTGTCGTCGAACTCTTGAAGAGCTACGGAACAGATCGTCGCTAGTTTCTACATACCGTCAGCGTCCCCAGAAGAATGACAACAAAATGCGTGCGCTTACAATACTCTCCGACATGGTCTCCCAGGCGTACGTATCCATTGAAGGCTCCGCCTCCATCTCTTCAATCTGGACAAGTAAATCTGCGAAACACTGCATTGCATACGCGATGGTTGCTCTCAGGGTTTCAGTCGCATCCTCTTGTGTAACGTCAATCTGGAGAGCCGCGTCGTGCATTAGGGTAGACCAAGCCCTATTGGCGGCTGCAGCCTCTGACACCTTCTTGAGGTCAGTAGTGCGAGGAGGGGCGAGGGCCTGAGCTAAGATAGTCCATTGCATCTCGATGACACAACACACCACGAAGAATCCGCTTAGGGGACGTCCGTTAGATATATATCGAGAAATGAAAGTCTGGATGAATTGCAGCTCGTCGGAGTGGGCGTCCTCATCCCGCAGAATGCCTGTGGGTATATGGTTCAACTTGTCGACAATGGAGGGCCCGCGGAGCTCATTGAGACACTTGGTAGTTTGTTGCCATTGGGAAAGGGACCAAGGGAAAGGCGTGGAACTGATAGCACGGTATAGACCGTGTAAAGCAGGGGCGAGGTGAGTAAGGATGTCGACGGCTGAGGGAGTAGAGTATGAGATACCATAGCTCCAAGGAAGAGGATTGCATGACTTACGGCTAGAAGATTCGATACCACGAGCAATCCCGGCGAGGAAGTTACATATTGCGATGGTCACCTCTCCGCGATAGTCGGGGTACGAATTAGAGAGAGTCAGCAAGGCAGAAACTATGGCATAGACTAGTTGGTCTGGCAGCGCCCAGTCTATAAGCATGCGTGTTAGCAGTGTGCGGCCAACAATAGAGATGCGAATATACCATCCCAAGAGAGGCATTTGTCGAAGTCAATGAACGGGACGTCCCCTAGGATTTCAACGAGAGCTGGGATGAGGGTTCCAATATTCTCGCGTATGTAGTCATCGGGAAAGTTCGCCACAAGTTCTCCGAATGCGATATTGCAGTGAACCCGCGATGCCGGCTATCAACAATCGTAGTTCCTGAGCAAGTATTGCTGGTAACATCCAGCTTGAACTCACCATGTAAACACGCGTCGACTCCTGCTGTAACTTAGGGCCATCTTCAGCTCCTGCTTCTATATCCTGCCTGGTGGCCCGAGTCCGAACTTTGGACGCAATCAAGTGTTGCGCATGGTTGATGTCTTCATCGGACTTCTGGTCAATTGACGCGATGTCGGAAAGAATGCGTTGATGTATCTTAAGTTCCAAGCTGTAATTCTCGTTAGTAGCTGTCAATGGCCTGGACGAGCAGTTTACTCACAAATCCATCACTTTGACGTTTGCTGTACAGCCTGTACTCAATGACGCCAAGATCCAAGTAGCTTAGGCGCCCAACACGTCTTGGTTTCGGCCTCCCAAACATCGCGCCGCAATTTAGAACTCCGCGAAACTCATCCTCCTTCACAAATACCACTTGGTTTGCAGACAATGGTAGGTCACTCCACTTCGTCAGGCACCAAATATGATGGTAAATTAGGTTCGCTCGGCCGCAAAATCAACCTCGGCGGCGCCAAGGCGCCCTACCAATGCTCCAGCAAAGGGAAAAGATGCAGCCAAAGCGTGCCAACGAGGGGGGAAGGAAGCTGCTGATGGGGATGACCAGCAGAACAAGTACGTGCTGTCCTTCATATTGTTCACAATGGGGACGTAGTATACGCAAATAGTAGCCTGGACGGCCTTTTGGACGCATTGAGTAAGAGCCAGTTCCGCTGTCTCTTTGAACCCGTGATATCCATCCTGCATATAGAATCGAACGCGAAGAAAAACAACGGCAAATCAAGTGGATTCACCACAGAAAAGCAGGAAATCTTCACGCAATGTCGAGCCAATGCTACAGAAGTGTCTCGGAAGGGGATCAAGCACCTGTATGCATCTTCGTGTTTGGGTACGTGCACAGAGGAAATGATGCTAGACTAGGGATGCAGCGAAACAGCATTTGGAGGAGCTCCGAAATCAGGAAATTGGTCTCGATAAGAAGATCGAAGACATGAAGTTGATGTGGGAAGCGAATGGTGTGAGTGGGTTCGCCTTGTCTAACTGCGGTATTGATGACAGGACGCTGGATAGTCCAACCTGAAAGCGGTCCTGCAAGTACATCCAGCTCTAGTCGAAGATCTCTTTCCAAGAAGGAAAGCGGAAACAAGCGCCGCGGCGGACCGACGTAAGGAGCACTGTCTTGTTCTCAAGTGCAACCTAATATCATCGAACGAGTAGTAGACGAACATAAAGTTGAGCGTGAAGGATCGCTGAAGACGTTCTTGAAGCATGCGAACACACATCTTTCGAGAGGGAGGGAACATGAAAAGGTACTTCTTTCCTCCAACCACATTGTGTATCACTGACACGACCCAACGAATTTGTAGATAGCGACTGACGCTCGGGCACTAATTAAGAATTACAAGGCCTTGTTGACAGGTTGAAAGCGTTTCGAACGGCCAAAATGCGTTTGTATGGTTCAGAGCGGACTTGCTGTCGACTGGACGTGTAAAATAAAGATAAAGTGTATTCTATTAGATCTCTTAGATCTACTATGCCGAGTGTTCAGTTACAACATGCATAAGATATCGAGTCAGCTGAGCATATGTAGACTTACAAGTTCTGATTGTGATCTTGAGGAACGTGCTGATGGTTCGGGGTGCAGGTTGAGGTACTCGCTCATGAACACTCGTAATACTAGATTCCAGCGACGCATCGTTGGAAGGTCCAAAGCTGAGGCATCATCCTAGTCAAAAGTTAGCAACGGAGATGGCAGGGCGACTGGTAGTAGTACACTTACGGCAAGCGTATGCCATACCGAGGGGAACGGTTCAGATATTATATGCAGCACACTGACCCCTCTGTGGAGGAAAGGAACATGATCATCTCCCATATACCCAAAATTCGACTCGTGGCCGGTCCTTGCGCGGAAATAGCTCCTCCATTTGCCTGGTGCCATACCCTGCTCATTGCCGTATGCGAAGGCGCCACTTTCTCCAAGGCGACGTTCTGCACCTGCCATGGCATCGAAGAGCCAAGCGGTATCGATGAAATATGAACGGATGCGGGGAGACGGGGCACCAAGGAGGTCCAGTAAAATCAGGTGCTCGATGGTAGAAAGCTCGGTAACAGATGGGCCATACAACCGTCTCTTCTGTCCCGGAGCAATGTACGTGTTCTCCCACTTTGCTGCAAGATGCCTGTATTGTTCATTCGTTATTAGGCCTTCAGGGGAAATGCAAGGTTCTCACCGAGCGCCGTATATGGAATCTGTATTCGTCCATTCCTTAAATGCCTCTTCCCCATCGAAGAAGATCAACTGCAAAGTAGTGTCCGAGATATCGTCATCGTCTTCAAGCCCAGCGTCAAGGCGCTCTTTACGCTTATTGAGCAATGGATTCAGTGTTTCCGCAAGGTCGAGTATCATTGCGCATGGCGCAGCAGAGTCCGTGGCACCTAAGAACTGTTATCATTTAATGAGGCCACGTAAGACCCAGGTGGTATCACGTACGTCGTGAGAGGCGAAGTACTTGCTGTCGAAATGCGCAGAGAGGACGACACGTCGCGGAGCGGTTGGGTCCTTCGTTGCTATTATGTTAGTGAATTTCTTCTTCCCCAGTGGTGTGGTATCCGTGAAAGAATCCTCCTCGATGTGCCAATCCAAAGCCTTCATCTTGGACACGATATACTCTCTGACCAGAGTGTTATTCGCCGTGTCAGCTAAGTCCACTCATTAGACTTTGTATGCATGTTCCCCAACGACACGACACGCACCGACGCGAGGGATGAGGATTTTGGAGAGATGCGAGTTCGGGTCATTTGGATTGAGCTGCTTCAACGGGTCCGGGGACGAGACCAACGCCTGGATTTCCGCTGGCGTTAATTGTTTGAGAGACCGCCGCTCCAGGCGGGCTTGCAGAGTAGGCTGCGGTGCCAGAAGCAAGCAGAACAACCATAATGTCAGCGTGAGCGTGGTGAATGGCGGCGACCAGCGACCTCTTGTGCGGGTGCCTCGCATTGTCGAGGTGGACGATGATGCCAGCGAAAGGTACATTTATTTTAGCGCCCACGATCACTTCTATACGACGTGCCTGTCCTGACAACTTAGATGGCCATCTTCGGACTCTGGGTAATGCTCTCATTCTTCGTAGACGATGCTCGGTGATGAACTCGCGTGAGGTAGGTAATCAACAAGGCTGGTGGTCTCGTCTACCAGCGCAACTTCTCGGGTGAGCAACACACTGGTTCTACGCGTGTGCATCAAGCACTAACGTGATGTCTAGATGGATTAGCGCAGTTGACTTCAAATGAGAACCTCGTCTTGGCCGGGACGCTGCACGGTATTCATGCCATTACGCGAAACTTGTCGCCCACGGGCACCAGCTCTGGAGCACATGTTATTGAGGGCGAAAGCTTCAAAATGACCATTTTATTGACCCCCACTGGTCAGTGGGCTATCTCCCGTGCGACGGCATATACTGAGACGCTGCTAGCAACGAAGTTCGTTTTGCTCACATCCCTGACGGAGACGACGGCGGATTCTATGCTGCAGAAAGTCTACGAGGCATATTCGGACGCTGTCATGAAGAATCCCTTCCATACACCAGAGATGCCGATTCGAAGCGAAGGGTTTGATAGACGCATAACATCCCTCATCGGTTCATGATATTGTTGTGCGCTACGTTCACCCCAGTTTCCCTTCGTTTTACACTGATCCCAAATTTATATCGAGCTCGTATTTGTATGTATTCCCATAATTTTCTTATTCTTAAATACACGAAGCTGTTCCAACGCCAGTGCCTCGAACTCAGATCTGAAAGGAGGTTGATCACGCGCGAGCGGCGCATTCTCAGGAATTCTCATAATTTCCGCACGACTCTGTTCCTTCCTACCACCACCATCATGCAGGCTCAGTGCACCAACACCACCACACAGGCTATCACATCCGTCCAGAGCCTAGCTGCTGTCCAAACGCTCCTTCGCGCTGGATTGGGATGCATTGCCTACGTTCGGTAGGTTGTCTCCGTCAACGTATACGTTCCGTGCGCATATATCTATCACTATCCAGCAATTTGTTGCCAGCGGACAATTTCAGCCCGAGTCACTTCACGTCCGAGGATGACTCCGTATCTACCGAGCTATCAGAGTGCTCCACTCCGGGAAGTGGAAGAAGTTCAAGCATCCGGCAAAACATCAACGGATTCAAAATTATGGTGCGTGGGGATCATTTTACGACCTACCTGTCACGCTTAAATCTGTCCTAGACTATGAGCCGGGGATATACTGATGAAGCAGATAAGATACTCAACTACCTGGTGAGTCTCCTGGTCGGCGCGGCCGGCATCCTCATCCTTGTGACTGTCAGGAATATGGCATATTCGATGCCGTCGAGAAGCAGTACCTCCGCAGCTTCATCTTCGGAATTTACCTCGTAAGTAGCCTATCGATACCCCGAGGCGAGATGTTCATCTTCTGGTCTCAGGATAGCAACGATCCCAATAAGTGAAAAGCGCATATACGTAGCCATTTCCTATCTAACACCTTCCCATAGCATCGTGGAAGCCTACACGTTCAATTTTCAGGTGCGTGTTTAGTGTAACCATCATTTTCATGACTTACGAAGATGTATTAGTACCACAAGATACCTGGAACGAACATAGCCATCCCTGTGATGACCCTCGACGAGGGCGTCAAGAACATGTCACTGAATGGTCGCGACCCGGTAGTGGACGCAGTGAAAGGAGGCAAGCCACCCACTTTGCGTGACGTAAAGCGCAGTGTCAAAGTCAGCGGCCTTCCTCAAGTCCGCGACGTTGTACTAATGCCGGGACGAGCAGAGACTTTTGAAAGCGCTGATTCATTCCACAAACAATATGGAGGCGCTCCCTAGTGAGTTTGTTGACTTTGATCTGATACAACGTAGAGGACTAAGCATAGGCAGAACGACGCTTCGCAACGTTCAAAGTATTCTATACTGAGTCTACCCCTCCTGAATACGAACCGCCCAATTTCCGCCCTGGAGACCAGAAAAAGGATAAATGGTACTTCATGACCCATGACATGGATGAAATGCCTGAGAAGTGGAGTTTAGGATCCGTGGAAACGGGACATCATAGGTATATCACCTCATCAAGTTGGCATATGGCCTGGCTGCTGATGTCCGGCTGGTTTCATAGTGTGGATGTCAACGTAAGATCTGTCGTCGGCTACTTACCATCCTCCACGGAGAACGATGATTCTACGTTCACTGGAACCATCTCGGTCGATAAGAACGCTCACAAGCTCACACCTGTACAAGAAGCTAATGTTCGGGTCGTCGAAGCAGAAAATCAATTGAAAGATGCAGAACAACGAAACATCGCCTGGGCCGTGGATGGCGTGGTGGTAGGAGATGAGGATGCGGAAGGGGATGAAGATCCTGAATACGAGCTCGGCCCTGAAGGCCAATACGTTCGAACCGTACCGAAAGGGCCTCTCGTTCCCAACGAGAATGTCCCCGTTGGTATGAGAAGTATAGACGGTGAGATAATTCCGCTTGCGCGGCCCCATCATGCGGACGAAGGTTCGATGGATATCGACGAGGCACACTTCGGCGGTATTTCAGAGGAAGTACCGACTCATGTCGCGCAATTGGTCCGTACAAATCACAATCACTTCGTTAATTATATCAAGCTCATTGCCAGAAGCACCCTGAAAACCAGCTTACACCCGGCCAAGCCGACCCTCTAGAACAGACCCAGCCTCTTCAGGATCCTGCTCTTCTATTCACACCAAGTGCGAATCGTCAGACCTCGTCAACGTGTATTCCGTCACTATCCTCGTCACCAATGTCAGACCATCTGGATTACGAGACCACGCCTACTCCGTCTGGAAGGAAACTCCCCACCTCTTCTATTCGTGAAGACGCCGATCTGGGTGATGAAACCCAAGTCTTGGATGATGTTGCCTTTGGGATTGAGAAAGACGGCGATACTGAGATGCTAGGCAATATATTTCTCGGTAAAGGGACTTCATAACACTCAACTACGCCATATAGATATGGAAACTCAAGTGCTTGACCCCATCCAATCATATGAGGACGACCCCAAAACTGAAAATATCGATACTACGCCGAAGGGAAGCGCCACTAAACCTGATAGGGACAATGGTTTGCATTGCGAGTGCCAGATCGACGTGCGTACGTGAACAGGCGAAGACCACCATATGCTCAGCCTGTATACAGATCGAAAATACCGATCAATGCTACTGCGAGGGTGGTTGTGGTAACTGGTACCATTGCTGGTGCGTTTTTGTAATATTTGATTTTCACTTGATTGACTCTCCTCGAGGTGTATGGGGTACGTATACCTCTTCCTTACCAAGGATCTCATTATCTAGAACCCCAAGATCATAGTTATCACTCGGCTCAAGATCAGAGAATGCCCAAGAAATTCGTATGCTTCGATTGCCGCCTTCGTGGCGATCCGAACTGGGAGCTAATTCAAGTCGACCTATATCCACGGATGATATCTAATTTCCGAGAATTAGCGATATTCAGGTGATGGTGTTCTATCCCTAGATCTCACTTTTCACTAATCGGGAAGAATTTATCAGACGAGCGATTAAATTCGCTGAAACGATAAACCCGGAAACAGAAAGTGATTTCATCAAGGCAATGCGTAAGTCGTACAGAAATAGTACACTACTCTCGTACTGAGTAACTCCAAAGAATGCGGCACTATGGAAGGCCACCGACTATTCAAGCGACTCAAAGATGAAGGTCGTTCATGTCATTCACATGTGCAAGGTTGCGACTAACGTGATCCGCAGATATCATGACGCAGAAGATTACTACCGTGGATGAATTGGGCCTCGTAGAGACAACCACCCGGAGTTTGCGAAGCGGTAAGGGCAAAGGGGGAGGCAAACAGAACAAGCGAAAGCCCATTCAGAAGCCACGATTCGCCTTCAATTGCGCTTTCCTAACGACAAAAGAATATGCTAACTACTTCAGCCCGGATTCTAAGGTTGAGCGGGAACTATTGAATATTCCGCAATTGGTTTGATGATGGATACCTAATCTTGGAACTACTGCTGAGCCTCCTTTTCTTAGGTACAGGACGGACGGGTTTTGGCGAGAGCTAGGCTCAACACTCCCTTTGGAACGAATGAGACTCTGGACACTGGATCCCAAACGCAAGAAGCACCTCCTCTGACAATTAACACTGGCGCTGGCGACCTAAAACGAAGCCATGCTGGACAGCAAAACGGACGACCTTCCAAGAAAGTCAAGATCTCTCTAGCTACTGGCGTGGACCTCGCGGAATAAGAACGGACTCGGAACTTTTCTCCCAAGGCATCGTGGATTACGCCCTTACGTCCTTTGTACCACTTGTGAACTGCACAATGAATTGAATGATACTGTATGAAGGAGATCTGCAGCCAGCACGCGCACGGTGGTTATATGTTCAGCCTTGACTCCCATGGGTGCTTCTCCCGCGAAGGTTGGCTTTAGGGTGGGACAAAAACGTCCACATACCAGAGGTTCGCAGCGCCTGCCCTAAAGTTGTCCATAAAAGTGCGACGGCGGCTATGTGTAGCGCCCATCCCCTCATGGCTTTTTACCATCGTCGAAGACACTCTGAGAGTCGGCGGACGTAGCTGGGAGGACCTCGCAGGAGATGAAGTAATGGTGCAAGGCATAGACTACACCTCCGTATCTCCCTTTCGTCGATATCCACGATGCTGGGGCTCGTTAGAGTGGTGCACATTTTCCCAGTACCTAGACACTTGTTTCTATAGCCATATAATAGAACAACCCTCTTTCTGCCTCTACCCACATGGTCTTTTAAAGGCTTCCCCATTGATCTCGAGGGACCCGTCAAAGTCGTGAACATTTGCCACTGAACCTCCACTTTCCAACTCCGGGGGTTTCCCAGTGCATTTGCGTATTTACTTCCGCTCCTCCAAGATCGCTGTGCTCGCTGGTCAAGACGAAGCAAGCATGCCGTATAAGTTGTCTGCAACGCTCGCGGCGCACTCCGCTGATGTGCGTATCTGCTATTGCTATGTTGCTGACGAGGCGACATTCATCTGCGCCATCTCTAGGTTCGTGCGGTTGCTTCACCATCGAACGATCTTGTGCTGTCGGCCTCACGAGATTCGACAGCGATCTCCTGGCAAAGATCCACGGACGAACCTATCTTTGTACCGGCCAATATCCTTCGAGCGGGCTCACGCTACGTCAATTCAATCGCGTATATACCTCCAACACCGGATGTGCCAAAGGGTGGGATCTGTAGACGCCTGCGGTACGATATTGGATGGAACTGACACCGGGATCAACAGGTTACGTTGTGACGGGTGGACAGGACACAGTCGTAAACGTCTTTCGGCTAGACAACCCAGGAGACGATCCGGACTTCTCGTTGCTTGGACATACGGAGAATGTGTGTGCGCTGGACACGACTGCTAGCGGGGTCATAATCTCTGGGTCATGGGACAGGTGAGTGCTTGATGATTCCGGGGACTTGATATCAGCGTGTTGATGACCACAGGACTGCCAAGGTTTGGTCTAATTTCGCTCTCACCTACGATTTGAAAGGCCACCAGCAATCGGTGTGGGCCGTACTTGCAATCGACGAGCAACAATTCTTGACAGGTCAGTTGGTGCTGGATCTGGTGCTGGGTCCTCTAGTGCCCAATCTAACGCAACATGCAGGCTCTGCCGATAAAACCATCAAGATATGGAAAGAGCATAAATGCATACAGACATATCAAGGCCACCGAGATGCAGTACGAGGGCTGGTCCTCATACCAGACATCGGCTTCGCTTCCTGCTCAAACGACAGGTAATTCTGCACGCTTCCCTTTCAGGTAGCTCTAACCGCATCATTTACAGTGAAATACGTGTATGGACCCTCGGGGGCGATGTAGTATACACTCTGTCTGGGCATACATCCTTTGTATATAGCCTTTCCGTCCTGCCCAACGGTGACATCGTCTCCGGTGGAGAGGATCGATCGGTTAGGGTTTGGAGGGGTGCGTCTGTTACGCTTCCCTCTTTAGCCTCCGCCACCGTTTGCTCATCTGTATGCGCATAGATGGTGAGTGCTCGCAGACCATCGTCCACCCGGCTATATCCGTCTGGGCCGTCTCCTCGATGCCAAACGGTGATATCGTCAGTGGCTGCAGCGACGGCGTGGTGCGCATATTTAGTGCCTCGGAGGAACGATGGGCGTCTGCGGAAGATCTGAGCGAGTACGAGCAGAGGGTTGCTAGTACGGCTTTGCCCGTTCAACAGGTCGGAGATGTGAAGAAGAGCGATCTCCCTGGGTTGGAAGCTCTTGACGTACCTGGTATGTCATCCTTTCAGACAAGTATGTCTTAGCTCTAGTTTATTCTGATCGCCGCGAAGGCAAGAAGTCTGGAGAAGTCAAGATGGTGAAGAACGGAGCGTTGGTGGAAGCACATCAGGTATGTCTTTGGTCGATACTTACCAAATAACTTAATTCTTACTCTGACCGTAGTGGGATAGCGCTTCAAATGCGTGGCAGAAGATCGGAGATGTCGTGGATGCCGTAGGACAAGGTCGCAAGCAGCTCTACCAAGGCAAGGAGTATGACTACGTCTTCGATGTCGACATTCAAGACGGCGTCCCACCCCTCAAGCTACCGTATAACGTAACTGGTAGGCATCTTTCCAAACTTTCACCTACTGAGCCCAACCTTAACTCTACCAGAAAACCCGTACTCCAGCGCACAGCGTTTCCTCGCCGCCAATGAGCTCCCTCTGACCTACCTCGATGAGGTCGTGCGGTTCATCGAGCGGAATACAGCGGGAGTGAACATTGGGACAAGCGGTTCAGAGTATGTGGACCCGTATACAGGTGGGGGCTTCGGCGAACTTTGCTAGGTATGGGTAAAACTAAACTTTGTGTTCTAGGTGCCTCAAGGTACCAGAGTTCGGTCCCTTCTGCGCCACAGGCCGATACATCTATGTACGTCGATCCATATACCGGGGCCTCAAGGTATACTGGCACCCCGGCGTCTGCCCCTTCATCCACACCTGCCACCAACTACATGGACCCGTTCACTGGAGCCTCAAGGTATAGCGGCGCGCCTGCGCCTGCCCAAGTTGCTCCCGTAGCACCTGCAATTCTGCCCGTAGTAAGCGTGATATGTTCCAATAGGATTTACTTCTTGCTCAATCCTTCGCGCAGCCGAAAGCCATTACATTCAAGCAAGCGAATGTGGCAGCTATGCAAAATAAAGTACAGCAATTTGACGACGATTTAAAAAATGAAATAGTACGTGCGTGGTTCACCCAGACGGATGGCTACTGACTGCACTCTGTCACCGCTGATAGTCTACTTCTTCGTTGGCCATGTATCCAGAGGAGGCCACTGCGTTAGAAGAAATCTTCTCTCATCTCACACCCTTGCTCTCGACGCCTCCTAGGCGTCCAGCCGCCCCTTTGTCGGAGAGGCATGTGGACGCAATCATACAGATCTTAGGGCGGTGGCCCATTTCCCAGAGATTCCCTGGTTCGTCCTTTTTTAAGGTGGTTCCTGCGCATCTAATAGATTATCGCGTCCTTCCTACCTCCAGTTATCGATCTCAGCCGCCTTCTCACCGGCTTTTGTCCCAGCGTGTTCTCGGCCCCTGGACTGCGAGAACGATTCTTAGAGGCGCTTTTCGAAGCATCGGATTGGTCCTCCTCATGGTCCACACCACTGCCCAAACCCAGGGAGACTAACATCCTTCTGCTATTGAGGACCCTAGCCAATTCATTTCAAGAAGGAACACGCCTTGATGAGGGAACATGGCCTACGAAGGTATGGTCACATTGGTCTATTTCTACACACACTAACCTATTTCCTCTCGCGTGCGGCTCGCAGGTCTTTGAAGGATTGTCTCAGGCACCCTACACTACCCTAAACAAGACTCATAGAGTGGTATTGGCGACTATCCTATTCAAGTGATTAGGACCCCTCTTTCCCAATGGGTGTGAATTCTCACCACCTTTGCAGCGTCTCGTGCCTTGCCCTCTCTGCGCCTTCCGATGCATCTATTCGCTCCAAACATATCTCGTTGATTCTTCGGGTATTCCCTGCTCTATTCACCGTCCTGTCTTCACGCTAATCATCCGCTGTTTGTTCCAAGATACTGGAGACCGAACGGTCAGATTCTGAAGCTGTGTATCGTGCCCTGGTCGCTCTAGGAAACATGGTACGTGCAGCGACCTCATGGGTCGATCATCCGTCATTGGGCATGTTTGCTATTTTCAGGCTCACGCATGCAAGACGCATGGGGCCCCGTTCGCCGCGGCCCAGGCTGGGGAAATTAAGCAGTGCTTACAAGCTTTACCTGGTTCTTTCCCCGAGGACCGAATTCGTAACATAACGCGGGAAATAGGTTCTTTGCTGTGAATTATACGGTGTCTGCCACATAGATGAGGGTTCGGGCGTGGGTTAATGGTGATGATATAGATACACGGATGCATACGCCTTATCGATCATGAGAATGTAAGGGTGATGGTTTGTTTAGTGGTTATCGGATATTAGACTTTCCCCGCGCGCCTTAGCAAGTTGGGGTCCTTGTGTGATGCGTGACATTATTTCGCGGCGCCCTTCCATTTTGATGGTGGCAGTGGAAAAATGCAGCAGCTTGAGCGCTCGCACCAATATACCGATAAACATTGATCCTCGTGTACTTATGGCCGCTGTTGATGATCTACAAGCAGCGCACAAGGGTCAGTCACTGAGAACGGGGACGCCGCCAGCGTCGAAGACTTACGTCCTATTATTAGACTGACAAGGCCAGCGAGTGGCAGACCCGAGTCTGGGGTATCCTCAGTATTTGCGGGAACCTGCACCGCGATCGTCACGGTGGTGGGATACTCCTGGACAAGGGTCCATGAGGTGTACGATCTGGAGGTTCAACTCATGGGTGAGGAGGATATCTGCCTGCCGGTGGGTCATCTTGAGATAGAGACAGTACCATTAAATAGACATAAATGAAAGTCTATGTCTGCGAATTTCGGGAACGAGAGGAAGCTGTAGAAAGGAGCAAGCGCCACTGCGAAGTCCGGTCGCAAGCGATCTTACCGTTACGAACGGGGCAACAGTGAACAGTGATTTAGCAAAAAACGTACCGACACTGATGTCCAACAACGGTAATATAGTTTCATGGGCACGGGGGTGGGGACCCTATATATAACAATCAATATTCTACACCGTGGCTCACTCACCAGCAACATCCTCTCTAGCGCACCACGCTGCGTCCGAAGAGATGAAAGATATATTGGTATCACGATTACAGTCAAAGGAGTATCGGGTGTGGTACAATAAATACGCACACGGGTAACATGGTTCACGAAGCGGGAATGGTCTTATTGAACCAATTGACAATCTGATCTTGGGATTTCTCGAATGCTTCCTTAATTTCGGGAACGTCAAGGTTAGGGCGAGCACCGAAGCCATGGACAGTGCCTGCTAACATGAGCAACTAATGGGCGGCAGATCGAAGTTAACAGACTTGCCTGGGTACAATGTAAACTCGTAGTCAACCCAGTTGTTTTCACCTTCTCTTCCAGCGAAAACAGCCTCAGCTTCTTCACGCAGTTTGTCACTGAAGCTAAAGTCCTCTGTGGGAGATTAAGCGAACGGGAGGTAATCTACAGTGGCAAAGGCTGACCTTCTGCGCACACCCAGGCAGCCGGGATCTGCAAGTGCAAGCAAGCGATGTTAGTGGATGCCGATATGTGAATCAAGCGACGCACCTTGATAGCTCGAATCTGCTCTAAGCTGACTGGGCCAGGGTGCACCACCACGATGCTATCCAAAAGGTCTGTAGCACCGAAGCGAACGGCAACAATGCCCCCGAAGCAGTACCTATAATGCACGATCAGGGGCCTATGTCAGTGCACAGAAGCGATGTCGCCAACTACCCACCCCACAGCGCCAAGCTTCTCGTACTTCTTATCTGCTTGTACCGCTTGGATGAACTAGGTTGTAAAGGTGACTAAGCCGCAGATCTGACAGGCCAAGATTAATGGAGGAACGCACAGACTTCACCCGTTGATCAACGACTGACGCCCGACTTTGGATAAAGGCAGGGATGCTTGGCAGCATGGAGAAGAAGAAGCGGACCCAGCGAAAGAAGCCTATCTTGACGCCGGGGCGATTAGGCATGTCGAGCTGGTTTACACCTAGGATTGGCTTGCCTGGCGACCAGTGGAAGGACATCGTGACATTGAGTGGTCAGCATTGGGCAATTGGTAGGTACTTACCAGCAAAGAGATCAGGCACCCATACGTCGCACTCCAGACGTTTCGCCAATGCATCTGCGATGAGTTTGCTATTCTTGAGGGGTAGCCCAAATACATCGGTGAGTAGCAGAACGGCCCTTTTAGCATGGGGAGAAGGCCCTGGCGCGTAGTATGCGCCCGAAGTACTGATTGTCCCTGTCGGTTCACCTGGAAGTACGTCTCCGTTCTTGCAGTCGGGGCAACTCATTTTGAAGGGTCTGGGCGATATCAAAGTTCAACAGCAAGTGGTTGCTTTTAGACACCTTATAAGGGCACCTCTCCTTCCCACTGAATAGTGGCACACGTCATGGTCATTTGCCAATCGTCCAAGAAAACCAATCGGGTTCGCCAATCGTGTCCGACCGGCAAACTACCGTCGGATAACGCACTTATATTTAACCAAACCATGATAACTGTGACTGTACTCGTGAACGCCCGTCGGCCATTGCAACCTGGATCACCAAACATAATTTCTCCAAAAACGTGGACTATCGATTTTCTGAGAAATAAATTCCGGGAAACATACTATCTGTCGGGACAATAATAATAGCGTGGGCCGTGTATACAAGCCAGATGTGCCTCCAGTATAGGTTTTAGGTAGATGAAACGCGGACACGGAAGATCGCAGCCCACGCCGGGAGTGATATGTGTGGCTGGGTAACGAGCGGAGGTATAGTGTTGAAGAAACGCAGGGAAACGGGTGAGGTAGCGCAGAGTTGAGAAAGAACTTGGTAAGGGTCACGGAAGGCATGGGTTTTGCAATTGCAATGGTCGCGCGAGGTGTGGATGTTTTATGATACCCAGACTGTGGTCCAGCAATTAGTATAGCGCGGAGGACCTACAGGAATGTACATACAAGCAAGGGCGATGACGATGTACAGTCCGACGAGCCTGTGAACAGACCAATGAGAAGGGGTCGCATCAAAATTACACGTGGATGGACATACATGAGACCCTCCATGTAATTCGATTTTCCATCCCTATAAAAATGAGGAAACTGTATACGGAAAGAGCGTCGGAAACTTACTGCAGTAACAGGTTGACGAGAAGAACCGAAGCGAAAAGCGTAATCGTCTGGTGAACTGTCAGAAACACGAGGCAAAATCCTGTTCGCGTTATCGTACCTCGAAATTGGCGAAGAATAGGCTGAGGTCGTGTCCAGTGCTAGAACGGAGTCAGTTGGATACGTCTCACCGTCCAAAGCGGTAGCTTACATCCATCCGACAATAACCAAAAGGGGGACAACGAAGACGGCGATTTGCTAGCGATACAACCACAATGAGCAAACGCTCGAGATAATTCCTTCCGATGCTTACGATTGAGCTACCAACGGCGATGGTAATGGTGATTTCCATTTTGCCTTTATTGGCCATCCAAACGGCGGTGACATGCTCTGCTGCGTTGCCCTGCATTTTGTTCACATAGCGTCAAGATGAAGAAGGCAGAAGGCAGCTCACAACAAGGGGCAACAAAATGACACCAATGAAGATCTTTGGGATGTGATACCTTTCTGCAGTCTCCTCAATTGATGCAACCACTAAGGAGAGGGGTTAGGACGGATCAATTCGCAGAGGAAGACGACCGACAGTAGTCAGCGCAGAAGGCTGTAACAACAGTAACGCCCAACAATCTATAAAACGATCAGTTTAGTCCAGTGGAAAGTGTTACATCACTCACGCTATACCAGCTGCGATCGTGCTCATGTGTGGCTCCTCCACCTCCTCTTCAATAACGTCACCATTGGAGTCGCATTGAGGCACCGCGGTAAATAGGTCGGAATGTGATTTGAGCTGGACTCAAAGCCGTTTGAGGTATGAATTCTACAAAAATTTGGTTGCTTACCTGGAAATACAGATACGCGATGTATATGCCGAGGAGGATGATAGATGTACCACGAGAGATAACCAGGAGCTCGTGCATGTCATTATCGGCACCGTTTTCTGTCCATCTGATAAGCCGCCTGGTTGCAACTCATTTGGATGAATCACGTACCTCTAGTACTATGGAAAGCAGCAGGAATGACCAAAGCTAAAGGCGGGGCTTAGCTGGCAGCCAAGGGTGACGGTGAATACAACGAACTAATGCAAGCCAAGGTCATCAACTTGAATCAATCGGACTTCAATCAACACGTGTACTATCATTGGCATCGAAAATGCATGAAGCTCACCGAAGCCGAACTAGTGAGACAGTGTCAGAAGTGGACGACACAGTTATACGAGAACATACGTTTGAGCGGCGGTAGCCTGGAAAGAGCTCTCAGAGAAATTGAGTCCCGCTGTACAATGTTAGCCTAGTTTCGTTGGTAGAGGGACCCAACCTACCAGCCAAAAAGGAGCAGCCCAGAACAAGCAAGATATTGGAGAGGATGGAACCAAGCATCTGGGCTCGCCATTGTTAAACGCGTGCGTATGGATAATCCAACGCAACCTACGGATGTCTGGACGATTCGGAGTTCATTCTGGAGTAGGGCGGCGACGCCGACGATAATCTCAACAGCATTGCCGAAAGATGCGTTCAGGAGACCGGCCAGTGTCTGACCCAGCTTCGCAGACACCTGTTCAGTCGCATCGCCTAATAACTATAGATGCAACGGTTGATTAATTTCTATTCCGACCAGGAAAGGATACATGACCGATACCTTGGCCAGGGGAATAATAGCGATGAAGCTGAATAGAAACCGGAGACCAGCGTCCCAGCCGAGATGGTGGGATATTATGCTAAGGGGCACAAATACAAGGAGTACATTGAACCAGCTGCCAAACAGGAACCATATAAATGAATGAGTCCAGCTAGGTTCGCCTTCGGCTTTGATGAGCGTAGACAAGCGCTGAGATACTGATCTCGCGGAGGCATCGCCATTGTGGCCGTTCTCGCCACCGCCATTGGGGAGGAGAGGGGTTCTGTCGGAAGGGGACATGATGGTTGATGAGGTGAAAGGAAAGGCGGAGTGATTAGCTTAGAAGTGGTAAATATGCAAAAAGAACAATTTTTATTCCAAAGCTGTTGAGCTTGCTTTAAGGGTAAGACTGACATCAGGCCTGCCGCCTGGGGGCAGTGTTTTGCCACGTGATCGTCTATTTAGGGGCTTTAGGTTTCGTTTACATCCGCGTTGTCTTGCACTACTTCCACGGATTGCGCGAGAAGGTGAGAAATATCGCCGTATTTCACCAGAATTGGCTCGCAAGCGTCGGGAAAGTCGATGGTGGTCACTGCCGTGTTCAGCAGCCTCCACACACCAACTCCGCCGCCACGCTGCACCTCGCCGCTCCGGAGCAGGTTCTGAACCAGGGTTCCAATGAGGCCGCCGTGCGAGACAACCAGGATGTTGTACGGAGCAGATCGGGGAGGCAGGGCCCCAATGCCCCCAACAATCTCCCTCTTCCACCAAGCCATCATCCGACCTACAAATTCCTGGCTTGGCTCAATCGAATGGTTGTACTCTGCAGATGGCAACTGCGCCCGCTCTGCAATGCTGAGGCCTTGCGCGAGCCCCATGTACTGTCGTAAAAAAATCATCAGGCCCCACGTCTCGCACCGGTGCCCGGTCCCGGTCACGTACTACGGGGATTACTCACCTTTTCCCTCAGCTCTACAGCTTTATTCAATACGACATTGGGGTGATGCCTCAGAATACACTCTGCCGTCTATCGTCGACATCAGTGCCGTGAGTCAGATACAATCTATCGCCTCTCACATCTACCGCCCGCTTCAGATCACTGGTATGCGCGAAATCGAAGGGGATCTGTTGGAGGGCACGTGCCACCAGATCAGCTTGCCGCCGCCCAGAGTCGTTCAGTTCGGTGTCGAGCTGGCCTTGGATGATGCCGGAGTGGTTCTCCTGGGTCTCACCATGGCGCACGATGTAGATGCGAGCAGTAACCATCTTATACACGACGCAGGCGCTACGCCCTACAGCTTACCACTGGGATCAGGTCCGTTTTTGGTAATTGATCGCGCGGGCGCTTCTCTGGAAGTCACTGTCACGTCAACCTCTATCAGCCAATGCATCATGTCGTGTTTGGCGTCACAGGCCTCACCACAGACTGGCGGTCGAGAGAAATTGTATATGGTCGGACACCGGGACAAACGAACCCAGGGGACGGCCGCGTGACATTGAAAATTACCAGAATGGAAACTCATCAATCACACGATGTTTCACTCTGTAGGAATGGTGAAATGCCCAAAACCCACCTGCTTAAAAAGTCGAAGAGATCACTCCTTCCGTGTCCACAAAGAAGTCTGAAGATATTCAAGAGTATACTAAAAATGCATGGTCAAAATCTGGCATTATTGACCAGAGGATCATCAATGTTTGAGACACGAAAATTCCTTATCTTATTGCGTGTGTCAAGGACCAGTAATGTATGAAATTAATTAATAGATTTATGAACGTGAATTACTTCTAAATTGGCGTATACTATGCTTCATCAATGCTTCGTACCCCATCACTACTTCGTACCCCTTGAATTACTCACCCATTGTCTCCTACCCTGCTAAGATATTCTCGGAATATGATGTAGCAATGCCTACGCACGCATTCGTACCACTTTGAAGCAATACACGACCATATTTCAAACGGTAGAATCTTGGCTGGTGTCACGCTCTGCCGCAGAAGCCGCTGCGGACAATGAATCTGGGATTGATTTATCCTACGTGAGTTCCAATACCTTTTCCGCTCGTCCCTGTGATCGCCAAGTCGGAGTGCAACACTGTGACGTGACGTTTGTGACGCTACGAAGTAGTGATGGGGTACGAAGCATTGATGAAGCATAGTATACTGAACGGCAACTACTCAGTATTGGTAGGGGTTAACGTTGACCCCAACACTCAGAAAGAGTCAAGAAACAAGACTGTCGCCTTGCAATTCTTCGAACTTCCGGCGAGCCATGCGAATGTTGAGCTTAAGCGCTGCAGTTTCTACACAAAGCACCGATGAGTTAGCTGCCACGTCCAGCACCAGGAGGTCAAGCACACCTATCGTCGGATTATGTACGATGACCAAAACGTATGCATTCTTCGTCATTTCGTCCAGGACGGCAGTAAAATCTGGCAATTCCATTTCCAGCGAGTGGAACTCTTCTCGTACACGGGAACATGAGTGTTTGAATGCTTTGACTAGTTCAGAGGTGCGTTCGTATCGTGTGGCATTGAGCTCGTGAGGGTCGGAGTCGGTAGATGCGCTGGGACCAGTGGAAGTTGCGATGACAAGAAAGGTGGTTCGTTCGAAGAGGATGACCTCCGTTGCTCCGCAAGCACGTGAAAAGATATTTAGATGCTTAGAGAGTAAAGCTGCGTTGGGTATGAGGGTGTGGACGATGCTCGACCAAGCCTACCGCGAAGGGTTAGTAGTATGAAGTTAGATTGGAGACGTAATGAGCATGCCTTATATAAACTTTCGTCATAGATACTTGTTCCGAAGATGGTGACAGTAGCCTCAGCACTTGCCGCGGTCAGCTCCTTCTGCTTCTTCGTAAGCACAGCATTCCTGTCTCGGACCAAGTCCATTTTGTGGACCAACAAGAAGACCGATGCTTCGGGACTGTACGTCCTCAATCCGTCAAGGCAGTCGCGGTAGTATTCCAAGTCCTTGTTCATCTCCCGCGTCTCTGCATCAAATACGTATATCATGACGCCGACGTGTTTGAAGATAGTAGAGCGCTGGGTAGTGAGGTACGAGTCCATGAAAGCATCTTGGCCACCGCAATCCCAGAGATTGAGGATAAGGTCGCCCAAGAACCTGACGTGGTTCTGCTCTACGTCGATCGTGGCGCCAAGCCGCGCCGTCAACGACGCGGGATTGTTGGAGCTAGAAAGAACGATAATGGATTCAAGCAGAGTCGTTTCAAAAGAACGGCTAGCGAACCCACAAGATGAGGGACCGCATGGAGGTCTTGCCACTCCCGGAAGCCCCCATGAGGAGGACCTGCGAACGGACTCGTGGTCTGTCACTTTCCTAGGAGTATCGAGCACATTTGCAAACCTTCTTCTTCATGGCTGCGGCCTTGAAGTCGCGAGGAGAGAAGCAATGGTGGTGGTGTTGGTTCAACCAAGGGATATAGGAGCCTGCGTGTCACGCGACCGCTCTTCAGCGACCAACACTTCCGCATTCAGTCCGGGTCGGGATGTGATACTGCTTGGATGTGATGTGATGATACACTTTCTAAGTACACTACTCGTTCGTTCCGTCTTTTTATTTCCCCACAATTTAGAATTTCCCCTCGTTCCAGCGTCTGATCTGCGAGGCCATCTCGACTGCCGCTAGTCCCCAATCCTCGCCATGGTTATGCCCTTTATCTTCGCCTCGACCTAACCCAGCCCTCTCCAAGGCTTGATCGTCGGTAAGTGCAGTCAAGACACCGAATATGACGGGGACGCCGGTGTCGAGCTGGACTTTCATAAGTGCATGGGATACAGTCTCGCAGATGTACTCAAAATGCATGGTAGCGCCTTTGATGAGCACGCCGATCGCAATGACAGCATCGAATGGACCGTTCGGCATGGAGACCGTCTTCGTGGGCGCCGGAGTCCCAGAGCGAGACGCGACTTTGGGCGAGTCCGTTCCAAAGCTCAATCCGCCAAGCAGATCGGCGGCGGTGGAACCAGCTTGGAAGTGAGAACCAGATATCACTCTAACCGGGCTGATGATGAGCATGCGCGCAGAGAAGTGAGCGAACCCACTTCGAGCATGCCAGAGGAAGTTCGTAGCTCCCTGGAACAGACTGCACTACGATGTTGCTCTCCTTCACGCCGCGTTCCTTGAGCTTCGCAATGGCGCCTGCTATGAGCGCGTCTATCACGGTTCTGTTCCACCGGGCATGCACAATGGCGACACGCAGATTTGACCCATCGTACAGTGTTTCTGGTGCGCCGAGGCCTTTGATGGTGCTCATGGTCGAAGTTGCGGTGATAGATTGGACGGTGGAAACTTGCTCAACCTTGATGATAACGGATGAGGCAGTGTAAGCCTTGGACTAGAACTGTTCTTTCCCACCGGAATATTATCGCGAAGGAATTCTGAATCTTGTACCAGTCACTGGTATTCTACAAGCGATAATCCCGGACTGAGCAATGATATGGGAGCGGTACCGTGGGAATAAATCTTCGATCACTAATTTCAAGCGCCCGACCACCATCATTTTGTGCTCAAGACTGGCTATCATCTCAAAGACGTTACGGAGATCCCGAGAATGGGTGACACGAATCTAGTCGGTGAGGGACCAGATATAATGCGAGAGTTGAAGCTGATGTGTCTTAAACAGCGACATACACCCTCATCCATTCATTCCTCACGAAACAGTCCCATGTCAAAGCTGCTGCTGCTCTGAAAAAAGCTGTCAAAGATGTGGTTATATTGAAAGATGAAATAGAAATAGAAGGCCCTCAGCTAGACGAAATTATCAACGAATGGAAGAAGGCACAGGCGGAAAATAAGCAGGACTCATCCTCGTGAGTACAATGAACTGCACGCATAACTCGTCTTTTCTAACCTCCGGATTCCTCGTGGTAGTGATAGTGATAGTGACTCTGATACCAGCTCAGATTGTATGTCAATTCCAACCTTGCTATGCCTACTGTTGGCTGATTGCATAGATTGCAGCCACTTCATCTGAGTCCAGTGCGCCAAAATCACCCAAAAGTACAGCACAGAAAACCCGGAAAGCCTCCGTAACAAGGAGCCCACCCTCGTCATCATCTTCCTCGGATTCTTCTGACAGCGATGCAGAACAAAAGCCCAAGCCCTCTAAATCGAAACCCAAGGCGGTGGCGGCGAAATCAAAATCAAAGGAGTCTAGTGGTTTGTTGAACATTCTTCCATTTCTTCATTCATTTATTTACAACTTCTCGCGTAGACAGTTCTTCTTCTTCTGATTCGGACTCGGACGCCTCTGCTGCAACAGTCCAACAAAAGGTACAAAAGGCCACTGCCCTGAAAACAGTCAAATCAACAAAATCCTCGAATTCGAGATCTTCAGATTCAAGTTCGTCATCAGAATCTGGCTCCGAATCAGGTCAGTATAGCATTCCACCATCGTTGTTACAATACTGTTTACATTTCAACTCTTCGTAGACGATGAATCTAGCGACGCCGAAACAATAAACAAAAAGCCCATCAGCAAAGCTGCCAAGAAAACAAAATCACCCGACCGCGATTCAAGTCAAACGCTGACATCAGACTCAAAAGCTGGGAAGGGAGGATCTTCGTCGCCGAGTTCAGATGAAAGCTCAAGTTCGGACGAAAGTTCGGACGAGGATATGGCGCCTCCCGCCGCCAAAACGGCCCTGACCAGCAAATCGGGTGAGGCTGCAGCGAAAGCCGACTCCTCGTCGGAATCTTCGTCCTCTTCATCAAGCGAATCATCAGATTCGGATGACGAAGTGTCTCCAGTCAAGACATCTAAAGTGCGTGCGATCGCCCGGGTAGACCGGGTTCTAACCTCATTCACTTTCCAGAGCAAGGCCGCTGCGCCTCCCGAACCGCAACCTGCTGCTGACCCAGAGTACACTCAAGTAACAAAGAAACGCCGTACGTCGGAAAGCGGTGCTGCAGTCACTACTGCCACGACCGTCTCCTTGCCAGAGGAATCATCGACAAATTACCAACAGGAACAGAAATCTAAACGAAATCAAGGCGGGAAGCAACCTCGCAAGCCAAATACGCCATTCCGCAAGATCGATCCTGCGAAGTACGAAAATACCGAATTGATAGATAATCGTTATGTGGCCAAGGTTCGTTCGTTTCTCTCTCCCTCGGTTAGTTGATGTTCGACCGAAATGCTGATTGATTTCATAGGCGGGCCCATCGAACGATTATGGTGCTAAGGCGCACGCCGATTTGATCGTCACCCGGGGCTCGTCGTTCCGTAAAGAGAAGAACAAGAAGAAGCGAGGAAGCTATAGAGGTGGTGAGATTACGGTATGTTACCCCCCTCCCCCGTCATTATGTCCCGCTTCTGATGGCTGAACGGTTAGATGGAGAGTCATAGCATCAAATTTACGTAGCTGCGATATTTTGTCATCTTTGGAGTCGTGATCTACATTCATTCAATACTTGGTGCGGGTGTTGCCATCTGTCCTTAACCTCCATGAGGTGTGTACACTTGAGCTTGCAGCGCCACTGCGTCCAAGTGACCGGTGCTGGCGAGTATACTCACACTTTAATCAAAGAAACTCTGCGCCAATGCGACTCTAATCCTGATGGCCGTTCATCTAGAATTTTTCAACCTTCTTATGTTAATGGCGAAAATAACGACAGCAAGTACAATTACACCCTGTCACTAACCTGCAGCGCACGACGTGATTGCTTTGCAATTTCCAGCCAAAGCACGCCTCTCCGATCTTGAACATCACGTCCTTGGCGCTGTCACCTTGGTGAATAACCCTTTGTATGTGCGCCCCCAAGGGTGATCCATCCCGGAAGGTGTTGATTCGCTCCTCGGCATCGCTTTCGGCCTTCAAACATTATGTATTTTGGGCTAGGACAATACCCTATTGTGTCCGTACGGAACTAAACACGCAGAACAACGTCCTCTGACTTTATCCGTTAGTGGAACACAAAATTTGGCATGCTATGCAAGTGTGTTGATGATCATTTGTTTTGCTCTTCTAGCTTGGAGGGTCTTCTTGTCACACGTCGGTAAAAACTCCTGCCCTGTGGCCCACCGTGGTGTGATTTGTCCTCGAATGCTGAGCGAATACAAGGGACCGTAACTCGGGTACGCAAAGACGCAAGCTCTAGACTTCACCCACGCTTGCCAATGATTATTGGCAACACGGAAAAAATGCTTGGCATCTGCTCGACAGCGAATTTGAGGTCGCTGAAGAGTCGCGAATTATCGTCCGTGCACAATTGCGCTTCATGGGAACGGTCGTCTGCAGAGAGGAAAGGGAGTATACCGGCGGCGGTGCGAAGGTAAGGGTGAATTTCCGTTGCACGTGGTTCGGGACGTCGGAGCAGCGGCAACCCTGAATATTGCATTATTTGTACGAGTTTGGTTAGTATATTAACAATTTCCGAGTAAATTTCCCACTAGTCGCCTTTCGCCCAGCTCTTTCACTTGACCTCGCCTCATCAGCGTGCTCGACACTCACACTCTTTTAAACCAGAATCACCTCCATCTCCTCATCCCACAAAATGTTCTTCGCAAAGTCGCTCGTTGCCCTCCTCGCCGCCGGCTCATCTGCCTTGGGTATGTCTGACATTCAAGTCATCTTTTTATTGCGGCGGCTGATCGTGGCGCACGACAGCTATTACCATCACCTCCCCCTCCCAGTCCGCTTACTGGTGCGCGATTTCCCCTCCTACCTTCTCTTGTTTCTAACGGTGACCGCGCAGGGTTCAGAACACCTCCAATGTCATCGCTTGGACCTTTAACAGCGGTGATACCAACCCCATTGAGTGCGTGAACTCGGGCAAACGAACAATTGAGCACGGCTAATATCTATGTCTAGCATCACTGTCACGAACTCGAACAACTCCTTCCTCAACGGCATCTTCTCTGTGCGTGATTAGCTTTAGGGTCTCGTCGAAGGTTGATTCTCACGCGCATTCTTTTCGCCTTGTAGATTGCGCGCGGTGTTGACTTGACAAATGGCTCTTTCACTGTCACCAATGTTACTCTCGTCGCCGCTTCTGGTAGGCATTCAACGCGTTTCAAACAATATCATTGCCAATCTCCAATTTTATAGGCTATGTTGTAAACTTCGTCAACGGCACCAACCAGTCGCAGATCTTTGCCAGCTCTGGTGAATTCGACGTTCGCACTTCAGGAAGTAAGTATTAGGTTATCTAAGCGCTCCGATCGCGTACTGATTCACCCATTAAGCCACCCCCGCTAGCGTCTCTATCCCTGCTCCATCCCCCACCGCTACGACACCTACGTCTGGATCTGCTTCCGGCACTGCTGCCTCCGCTAGCGCCACTGGTCCTCCTGCGCCCTCCCCGGAGGCCAATGCTGCCGCCCCTCTCATCGCCAACGGTATTGTCCCCATTGCCCTCAGCGCAGCTATGGCGCTGTTCGGTGGCATTGTTGCCATGTAAAAAACCGGCGCGCTCCGCATCTCGAACATTCCGTTTCCATATGTGTTCATCACCGATACTGTTATATTGCACACGTTCTTGGCCGATCTGTAGATGCCATTTTTACGATGAGTAGTAACGTTCATCTTTTGTTTATAGCGTAATTGTTGGTTATAATTTGTTCTTGCTCGTGTCTCCCGTTTTGTTCTTGTTGATACCCCGATCCATGATGACCTTGTTGTATTATCCATGGACGAGACACAGCAGAGCAAACAATATAATTCGCTTCAAATCATCTTGGATACAAATGTGATTGTTCACCAAGGCGGTTTGGATGGCAATGTTCCCCTGCTTCCAGATGGATCTGGCTCGGGAAGAGATTGTAGATACAGAAGTTGATGCTGATGGTGTTCATCATCCCCTGCATTTCACTACCTATGCCTGTTGCCTGTCAGACGACCACACACACACATCTACATCGTTAAGCTAAGTAAGGTGTTCAGTGTGTAGGCAAGGTGCAGCAATGAGCGCTATTGTTCTTATCTTGGACATCCTCCCATCCCTGCCACAGATCGAAGCTAGCTTCCTCCCTCGCCTGGGCCCCCAGAGAGCTCCCCAGAGGTGACTGCATGGGCGTAGACTCCCCGTTAAACCTACCTTCCCATACAGTAATCAGCGGTTATCAGTGCAATTCCATGCTTTGAAGGGCTCCATGACAAGGATGAACCATACTCGAGCTCACTTATGTTCCATCAAACCTTTTTTTCTCACTCTTGACTGGTTTTGCGCTAACCTTGTGGACCTGCACATGAGGCCCATATGATGCTAACCTCTTGACACTCAATTGGCTTAGCTTTGATTCAGTGTCCTCTGAGCATTGGACATTTGTGCAAGCCCCTTCATTGTTTCCCCTAACCCCTCAAGTCACATGTTAGCACATATATACACACATCCCTGAGATTGACTATTTACTTCTCACTTGTATTCCTACTTCCACCTTCCTTGCATTAAATGCTTCCTCTGAGTGTTATGCCTTTGGGCTTTCTTTCAAAGTATTCCAGTATCCTGTGATTGGTGAAAATCTCAAACTTTGTGCCAAGAAGATCAGTTCTCCATTTATGTAGGACACATGTAAGGGCAACCTCAAGATGGCTGGTAGTGTGGGAGGAATGTAGGGTAACTGTACAGTACACCAGTCACAGGTATGAACAAATATCACAAGGTACAAGGGGGCATGTGATAATAAAGTGGAGGGGAAATGCACAGAAGTTGTGCCAGCAATCTGGGGAAGTGGGAACAGAGAGTAATGAAGCAGAGGAGGGATGTAGAAGCACTTTGGACAAGCCCCAATACAACCTGGATGACTTCAAAGCATTTCCATGGTCCAGACCTGCTCAGACTTGTTGTTATGGTTTGACATTCCTTTCTTTCTTTTTACTGTCCTTTTTCCTTATCATATCAGACACATAGTATATTATGCAAGCATGCATACTGTAAACAAGTTACCCCCTTTCCCCTGTCTAGTTCCATGTGACACAGACTTTCATTATATATCCAGTACACACACATTATTGTATCTTATCTCTTGACCACGACAGTGTTATGGTCCGATGTTTCTTTCTTTCTTTTCCAACTATCTTTCTTATCTTATCAGGCACATGATGTATTACGACTTACTACTTACGTCATCCGGGCCGTCTGACTAATGGTCTCAGTCAGCGCCTCGCCGCTACTGCATGGGCGCAGTCAACAAGCGTCATACCACATGCAGCTGAGCTAAGCATTCCATGGAAAGACGACAGGATGCAGCATGTAGTTAGACATGAGGACATAGCATGTACAGTAGTATATAAGTGCCCTAATAGACACCCAGAGACGTTAACTCGTTCTCTTGGGAATACCACTAATACTAGTGCCTAAGTCAGCATCTTCGCTATCGCTCCTCACCTCTCACCTCTCTTAATCTACTACTTTCCACTTGTATTCTTGTTGGGTCCGCGTACGCCTTGTTGTGTATTAGCGTCGCCCTAACAGAAGAACGAGTTGACCTTTGTACGCCCACCCAGCAGCGTTACCTGCGAAGAACCGACGACGAAGCAGGATACGTTTCACCTATCCCATTTCTCTAAATTCCTTAACACTTCTTCCGTTTCATTCGATAGCGCCGTTAGCGCTTGATTGTTTATTTCATACCCCTATAGCCGTGCACCCTATTCAAACAACTGACTCTATACTCCAGCGGGGTAACGTTTAGACGACCCTCCGAGTGAGTCTTTAGGTGTTGACTGATCACCAACCCTCGGGGAAGGGTCAACACGCAGAGTGCTGGGCAGAGAAAGAAGGCCCTACTCTGTTTGTTCAGCAAAACGGTGTACCGCTTCGCCTTTAGTTGCCGACGAACCCTACCTCGTTAATTCCATTTGCTCAGGCACCGGCGCGTGCTAGGTTGAAACTTGGAATTAATTGACAGGAACCACTACATGCCCCCATCCCGCACACACCTCACCCGTTCCCACATCTACATTGTTTTCCCTTACTACCTCATCCCCGACCCAACCCTTAACCGACGAAACCAACGAACCGCCATCCAGGCACTGAAGAGCACCCCACAACTCTTTGAAACCATCATCATCCCAATTTCCCCATCTAACCTCCGAAAGCCACCCCGTCACACTCCCGCTCGCCACTTTTTTAATGGAAACAATGTCATACTCGACGACAAGACCGATCGCCGCGCAGCCCTACGACAGGCAGCGGAGGCCCGCACTTCTCAGGAGAGATACGTCAGCAGATGCGGCCGCCGCCGCCGGAACTAGTATCTGGGGAGGGGGAATGGACCCCAACATGCCGGCCACCTTTATTCCAAACCCACCGACACCGCCACAACAACCAAATGATATGATGGCGGCAATGAGGGAAATGATGGAGAGTATGGAAGCAAGAATGGAGGCCCAGATCCAGCAAGCGCTGAATCAACGAAGCGGACCACCCAGCATGGGTAGTCAAAGGCCGCTTCCCCAAATACCCAGAAGAGCACTGCCACCACCACCCGGACCCCCCTACACCGCCGCCACCCCCAACACCGTTTGCAGACACTCCCGACACGCCCCAAGCCAGAAACGGCCCGAAAATGGCGCGCCCGGAACCGTTCGACGGAGAAAGGGCAAAGTGCCGGACCTTCATCCGGAATATTGAAGTATATGTGTTCGTAAACGCGTACCAGTTCCTCAACGAGGCCACAAAAGTCCTCTTCCTCCTTTCCTACGTCCAAGGAAAGAAGGTAGACAACTGGAAGAACACAATGACGGGTAGACTGCTAGACTGGGTAAGAACATGAGTACCGGACGAGCAGGTCTCGAGCCTCAGAAGAATCTGCCGGAGCCTCCAGGAGGCGTTCGGAGACCCAAACCCGTGGGACACGGCCATCACGGCCCTGGCCCACCTACACCAAGGATCGGACATGGCGGAGGACTACGTCATGAAGTTCAACGCATATAAGGACGACACAGGCTACAACGACATAGCCTTGGTCGAATTGTTCAAGAGAGGTCTGAACGCAGGGTTATTGACCCGAATATACGGTAGGAGGCCCCTACCAGGAAGATGCGAGGAATGGCAGGAGGAAGCCATTGCCTTAGACAGACAGTGGAGAGAGGCGCAGGCCTATGCGAAAGCGGCACCGGCCAAGCCAGCGGCAAAGACGACGACAACGCCACAGAACCAGTGGCGCCCGTATTACCAGAAGCAGACCCCGCCCCAAAACCAACAACAACAGCAGCAGCAACCCGCGAAGCCTACACCCCCGGCTCCGCAAATCGCAGCTAAAGACCCGAACACGATGGACGTGGATAGGTCACAGAGGGGGCCGATCCGTTGCTACAAATGTGGAGGATTGGGGCACATGGCCCGAGATTGCAAGAGAAGGTTGGACGTGAGGCAGATGACCTACGAAGATCAGCAAGAGTACTGGCGGGAGGAGCTGACCCGCCAGGGTTTTTCTGAAGGAACCCAGGAGGCGTCAACCTGAGTTCCAAGAATAAGTATGCAGCACTCGTCTCGGAGCCGGACTCCTCTTTTGTCGCCGAATCCCATGTACCAGTAGTTACGGACAATATATCTATTCCTTCGACATCAGACGAGACACCTAAGATGCAAGAAAAAGAAAAAACAACTAAAGATATCTATGTGCAGAGATCGTTCTCAAGCAAAAATTATGTACCCATTTCTATCTCCCTTACGACGCACGACACCCTGACGACATTGGATCCGGAATCAATGCTAGACTGTGGAGCATCAGATTCATTCATTGACCAGGGATTCGTCAAGAAAAACAACATAAAAACAAAAAAACTAGCAAACCCGGCGGTCATCAGGAATGCGGATGGCACGTCTAACAATGCAGGAAGAGTGACGGAGAAGGTAGAGATACGGATGCTGTTCAGAGGACATCTAGAAGTCATGGTTGTAAGGGGACACTCCTATTTTCTCTCCTTTCCTTCATTCCATGGACTCTTACCTACATTCCCTTCATTCCCCTTCGTTCCTTTTCGCTCCCTTTCCTTTCCACTTCCTTTCCACCCACTCCTTTCGCATCCGAGCCGCGTCCGGTGACTCCGGAGTCTTCCCGCACTTCGGACACTTCGGACTCGCTCGGACTCGTCTCGGACACTTCGGACTCGCTCGGACTCATCTATACTCTTCGGGGCTCGTCCGGGTTACCTCTATCCTTTTCCCCCACTTCATTACTCTTCGCCCTTACTTCCCCAAGTCGCTAGCACGACTCCTGTGCATTTACCCTCCACTTCATTATCACATGTTTCCTTGTACCTTGTGATATTTGTTCGGACTTGTGGCTGGTGTACTGTACAGTTATCCTGCATTCCTCTCACGCTACTACAGTATATACTTCGCTTCCTAGCATGGAGAATCCTTATCCTGTTCTCTTTGGATTCTCCCTCTGCTAGGTGAGCAGCCCTCTCATGTATTGTAGTTAGCCTTATTCACTATCTTTGGATTCTCCC